CGACCAGCTGGAGCACATTCTGAGAACGTCTGTTGTCGAGACGAGGTACGGCGAGACCACGGCTGCCAAGCACAGACTTCCAGACATGGAGGTTATCCGCGACGTGATCGATTCCAACTACGTTGTGTTTGACGTGCTGACGCAGTTCCTGTGCTCTGCAGACCCGTGGATCGCTGCTGCTGCCGCAGAGGTGTACATCAGAAGGGCCTACAGAGCGTACTCGGTGACGGAGGTGAGACACCATCTTTCGGCGTCGAACAGCTCGCCGGTGGTGTCGTGGCGGTTCCAGCTGCCTGCGCTGTCGACGGCAGCGTACAACTCTGTGCCCGACTCCATCAGAAACTCCAAGTCCACCTCGATGAACAGGGCCGTTTCTGTGTCGGACCTGACGTTCATGATCAACAAGGACGACTCCCAGCCTCTGCGGACGGGTATTCTTGTTCCTGCGGGCCATCTGGACGACGTTGAGGACATGCTCAGCAGGGGCCTGGAGCTGGCAGACGTCGGCGCGGGCCAGGACCCTATCAACGTGTGCAACGTTTTTGTGCAGTCGACCGAGGGCTATGACACCGAGGAAGACGTTCTGAAGCAGATGGCCGAGGTTGTCGACTCGATGAGACACGAGCTGCACGACGCGCTGATCAGAAGACTCACGTTTGTGGTGACGGATCACGTTGGCACGTATCCAAAGTACTACACGTTCAAGTACTCTGACGGGGCATACGTCGAGGACCAGGTCATCAGACACATCGAGCCGGCCATGGCGTTCCAGCTGGAGCTCGGCAGACTGTCGAATTTCCACATCAAGCCGGTGCAGACCGCCAACAGAAACATCCACGTCTACGAGGCGGTGGCCAAGAACTCGGCCGGCATCGACAAGCGGTACTTCACCAGGGGCATCATTCGCACGGGCTCGATCAAAGACGACATCACGGCGCCTGAGTACCTGACTTCGGAGGCCCACAGACTCATGAGCGACATTCTGGACGCTCTCGAGATCATTGACACCTCCAACACCGACCTCAACCACATCTTCATCAACTTCTCGGCCGTCTTCAACATCACGCCCGAGGACGTGAGAAACGCGTTTGGCGGCTTCCTTGAACGGTTCGGCAGAAGACTCTGGAGACTCAGAGTCACCGGCGCCGAGATCAGAATCATGTGCACGGACCCAGAGACAGGCGTGCCGTTCCCGCTCCGAGCCATCATCAACAACGTCAGCGGCTACGTCGTCAAGTCGGAAATGTACATCGAGGAGCGCAACGCCAACGGCGAGTGGATCTTCAAGTCCTTGGGCACTCCGGGAGCCATGCATCTCAGAGCCATCTCCACGCCGTACCCTACCAAGGAGTGGCTGCAACCAAAGAGACAGAAGGCCCACAGTCTCGGAACCACGTACGTGTACGACTTCCCAGAGCTTTTCAGACAGGCCGTGCACTCGCTGTGGAAGAAATACGACCCTACTGCCAAGGTGGGCGACGACGTCTTCAGCTACCTGGAGATCATCACCGACGAGGCCGGAAACCTGACGGAGGTCGAGAGAGAGCCGGGAGCAAACACGATCGGCATGGTCGGTTTCAAGATGACTGCCAAGACACCAGAATACCCAAGAGGAAGACAGTTTGTGGTCATTGCCAACGACATCACGTTCAAGATCGGCTCGTTTGGCCCGAAGGAGGACGTCTTCTTCCACAAGTGCACAGAGCTCGCCAGAAGCCTGGGGATCCCAAGAATCTACCTGTCGGCCAACTCCGGTGCCAGAATGGGCATGGCCGAGGAGCTCATTCCTTACTACAAAGTCAACTGGATCGACCCATCCAACCCATCCAGAGGCTTCACGTATCTGTACCTGACGCCCGAAGACCTGGCCGAGCTCGAAAAGACCGGCAAGGGCGGCTCCGTCATCACAGAAAGAGTCGTCGAGAACGGCGAGGAGCGTCACGTGATCAAGGCCATCGTCGGTGTCGAGGACGGGCTCGGTGTCGAGTGTCTGAAAGGGTCTGGTCTGATTGCCGGAGGCACCGCCAGGGCGTACAGAGACATCTTCACGCTGACGCTGGTCACGTGCCGGTCCGTTGGTATCGGTGCCTATTTGGTGAGACTTGGCCAGAGAGCCATCCAGGTCGAGGGCCAGCCTATTATTCTGACTGGTGCTCCGGCCATCAACAAAGTTCTGGGCAGAGAGGTTTACTCGTCCAACTTGCAACTTGGAGGCACGCAGATCATGTACAGGAACGGTGTTTCGCACATGACTGCGAGAGACGACCTGCAGGGTGTGGAGAAAATCATGGAGTGGCTGTCCTATGTGCCGGCCAAGCGCGGACTGCCTGTTCCAATTTTGGAGTCACGTGAAGACCCGTGGGACAGAGACGTTGTTTACAGGCCGGTGAAGAACGAGCCGTACGACGTGAGATGGCTGATTGCCGGAAGAGAGACCGTGGACGGCTTCGAGCCTGGTCTTTTCGACCGCAACTCGTTCCAGGAGGCTCTTGCCGGCTGGGCCAGAGGTGTGGTTATTGGAAGGGCCCGTCTGGGCGGCATTCCGATGGGTGTGATTGGCGTGGAGACCAGAACCGTCGACAACCTCGTTCCTGCCGACCCGGCCAATCCTAACTCGACCGAGCTGCTGATTCAGGAGCCGGGCCAGGTTTGGCATCCGAACTCGGCCTTCAAAACGGCACAGGCCATCAGAGATTTCAACAACGGAGAACAGCTGCCGCTGATGATCATCGGTAACTGGAGAGGTTTCTCTGGAGGCCAGAGAGACATGTACAACGAGATCCTCAAGTACGGTTCCTACATTGTGGACGCGCTTGTGGACTTCAAGCAGCCGATTTTCATCTACGTTCCTCCTACTGGTGAATTGAGGGGTGGATCGTGGGTCGTTGTGGACGCCACCATCAACAAGGACATGATGGAGATGTATGCAGACGTGGACGCTCGTGGAGGTATTTTGGAGCCTGCTGGTGCGGTCAACATCAAATACAGAGAAAACAAGCTGGTGTTGACGATGGACCGTCTGGACGACAAGTGCAAGAGGCTTCGCCAGCAGCTGTCTGCCGAGGGCATTGCCGACGAAGAAAAAACCAAGCTCACCAAGGAGCTGAGCGAGAGACACAGGGAGTTGATGCCTATCTACTCGCAGATCGCCGTGCAATTTGCCGACCTGCACGACAGATGTGGACGTATGCTTGCGAAGGGTGTGATCCGCAAGGCTTTGGAATGGACAGACTCTCGTCGCTTCTTCTTCTGGCGTGTGAGAAGAAGACTGAACGACGAGTATTTGATTGCCAAGATTGCCGAGCAGCTGCCGCAGTCCACCAGACTGGAGAGAGTCGCCAGACTGAACTCGTGGTACCCATCTTCGCTGGACCTTGAGGACGACAGGGCCGTGGCCACGTGGACCGAGGACAACCACAAGCTCCTGGAGAACAACCTCAAGAAACTGAAGGGAGACGCGGTCAAACAGACTCTGGCCAGACTGTTCCGCACCGACATGAAACACACGGCCGAGGGGCTTTCGGAGATCTTGTCTCTGTTGCCTGCCGAGGACCGTGAGGCGATTTTGAAAGAGCTGAAGCAGTAGCTGAATTTACATTCTGTTGATACGTTAAATAATTAAAAATCTTAGTCTTTTTACCTGTTCTATTAAGTCCCTAAATCTTTTTTAAACGCGCTAGCGACCGATCCCCATTTTATTGCTTTGCTTTGCTCATGAGATTTGCAGGATTCTTGGTGGTGTTTGCCACGTTAGGCGGCGGGATGGCTGCACCGGTCGAGTCTCTGGCCGGGACCCAACGGTATTTGGTGCAAATGAAGGAGCGGTTCACCACAGAGAAGCTGTGTGCTCTGGACGACAAGATCAAGAGTCTGAGCCATTTCCGAGACGGCATCGACCGAAGCTTTTCATTTGGCAATTTCGAGGCCTTCTCGGGCAAGTTCAGCAAGGAAGCGTTGCTCAGAATGGCTTCCAACCCAATGGTTGCAAAAATCGTGCCCGACAGCCTGGTCGAGGCCGTCGACATCGACGTCGAAACAGACGCTCCGTCGCATCTGGTCAGACTGTCGCAGGATGAGCCCGTCAGCCCAGACGACTCCGACTATTTCTATGACTCCGAGTATTTGGGGCAGAACGTGAATGCATACATCATCGACAGCGGAGTGTTTGTGGACCATCCGCAGTTCGAGGGCCGCGCCGTCAACGGACCCAATTTCAGCGACGACGTGTCGAACACAGACTTTGTGGGCCACGGCACACACGTGGCTGGTATCATTGGGTCCAAGCATTTTGGCGTTGCGAAAAAAATCAACCTCATCAGTGTGAAAGTTTTGGACAGATACGGCCAGGGCTCGCTGTCGTCGGTAATTGCCGGATTGGAGTATGCGGTCAAACACCACAGGGAGCACGAGAATACGCCGGGGCTGGCCAATCTGTCGCTCGGAGCGGCGAAAAGCTCTGTTCTGGACGACGCCGTCAAGGCAGCCTATCAGAGCGGCCTGGTGATCGTCGTTGCCGCAGGAAACAGCAACATCGACGCCTGCAACACGTCGCCGGCCGGCTCGCCCTACGCGTACACCGTGGGCGCGATCGACGACTCGCAGGACAAAATCGCCAGTTTTTCCAACTGGGGCAAGTGCGTGAATATTTTTTCCAGTGGAGTGGATATCAAGAGCCTGTCCAATAGCAAGACCAATTTGAAGAAAGTGCAGACGCTGAGCGGCACGTCGATGGCCAGTCCTGTTGCCGCGGGGCTGATCGGCGTGCTGCTGAGCAAGGGCGTGTCACATGATGAGATCGTCTCCGAAATGGAGGATCTGTCGATCAACGGGGCTGTTCCAAGAATCAGTCTGCTGTTGCGGCCAGGAAGCCCCAACAGAATAGCGTCGAACGGCATCAGAGAGTACGACTTGGACGTGATGCGGGTGTCCAACAGCAGCGTCACAAACGGCACTGTAGTTAGAGCGTAGGTAGATGGCAAGTGAATATACGATCCGGACGTTTAGCGGTGCGGCTGGTGCGTGAAGCTGATCACGAGCCTTCCGGAACGCGCGTTGTAGGACACGAAGATCAGCGAGTGGCACGGCGCCTTGGCCGGGCTCTGGTCCACGGGCGACGACTGCAGAGCCATGAGTTCGGAGTCGATGTCGTCGTTCTGGAAAAGCATGTCTATCTCATTGACGCATTTGAGACACTCGCGCACTCTCATCTGAACAGGGTCGCAATACTTGCGCGAAAACTCAGACTCCGTCTGGTACTTGAAGTCGTAGCCTGTGGCCTTGCTTATGGCGAGAATATATTTTTCGTATAGTCGCAGGAGCACCGTGGCGGGCGTTTTTTCTTTGGCGGCCGTCCTTGCGAGAAGCTGCGCGTGCGGCTCCGTCGTCGTGAACACTAAGTTGCACAGCTCCTGTTCGTGGTTGAGCTGGAGCAGCTGGAGATAGTAGTCGAGCGATTTGATGACCGAGTCTCTGTTTTCGCACGGAGAACACAGGTCGTCGAGGCCGTCTGTGTCCTGGCCGCAGCAAACACACACAGACGCAGGCCGCCGCGGGTCCTGATGGCCTGTGGCATGGCTGTGCAGCAGTCGCTGCTGCATGTCGGCCCTGGAGTCTACCGGAGACTGGGTCGGGGCATCGTGCTCGGCCAGCGAGTCTTTCTCGAGCCCAGACCCGTCGGGCTGCTCGGGAGACGACGCGGTAGACGACTGCGGCACGTCGGGAGTCGTCTCGGGCGGTTTTGCGGATTTTGTGCGCGGAGTGTCGGCCGCGGCCGCCGTCTCCAAATCGGTATCCAGACCTCTAATCTGCTGGATCATGTCGTATTCCTCTCTATTTTTGATGACGCTGGTTTTCGACCCGCGCCGCTTCTGCGCTCGCTCGATCACGCGGCACGGGTTGCACGTCTTGAACTGCAAGTGTTCGGGCGTCTCAGACACCAGTCTCTTGCGCTTGCATCGACGGCACGTTATGGGCTTGCCGTTGACGTAGACGTAGTCTGTCTCGGAGCCCTCGCCGGCGTTGTTGTACGCCTTGAGCCGCGCAAGAACGCGCTCATCGGTCAATTCGGAAGCCACCTTCATGTCGAATTAATAGGGGGCCAAGGGTGTATGCATCAGCTACTACAAGTTTTTTTTTCTCTTGATTATTCTCCGGGTCGATCGACCCGTCGTCTATTTGAAATAAATGAATCACCTAGATCTAAAACACAAAAAACCCTTCCTCCTCTAAGTACAAGACGATCTTCTGGATCGCAGTGTTGATCGGCAAAGAGTCGAGGTCCACGCGGATCTCCGCGTCGGCAGGCACCTCGTAGCCCTCAATGTCCTTTCTGGAAGCCTGGAAGTACCCTCTTCTGTCGTTAGCCTCGCAGAAAGCCCTAGGCGTCTCGACAGACACCACGGCAAAAGTGCCGGACTTGGCGACGGTGCTTCTAATGGCAGACAGCTCGGCGTTCGAAATGACCTCCTCGTTGTTCACCACAATCACGCCGGCACCGGATCTCACCAGCTCGCCAACAATAAAGCCGACTGCTTCTTTGCCGATCCTGGCCGCATCCAGCAGCGTGATGTGTCTGCCGCCGGCAAACTGGTTGAACGTGGCCTGCAGAGCATAGCTCAGCGCCTCGACGCCCGAGTTCGGCAGACCCTGTAAGTACAGGGCGAAACCCTGGGTCTGTCTAGGAGGATAAGCGGTTCTCAGGATCTTGACCACCTCAGGGTACGAGAACCACTCTGGGATGTGAGTGCCCTCTCTGAGCCGCTTTCTGAGCTCGGTTCCGGAGATGTTGAGCGTCTTGGTGCCGTCTGGGATGCTGTCGATAGGGGCGTATCTGGCCTCGTCGGGCAGATAGGTGACCATTCTGAAGGGAACGACCTCGATCTCCAGCTCGGTGGAAAATCTCTCCACGAGCTCCTGCGCGTCGTACGGACCGTAGAAAGGAACCCCCTTGGAGTTGGAGCCCGGTCCCGCGTGGTCTCTGCCCACAATGAAGTGCGTGGCACCATAGTTCTTTCTGATGATCGAGTGCCACAGGGCCTCTCTGTCTCCGGCCATTCTCATGGCCAATGGCAGCAGAGCAAGCTGCGCCATGCCGTTGGGATACTTTTTGATGATCTCCTGGTACACCTTCACTCTGGTGTGGTGGTCGATGTCGCCTGGCTTGGTCAGCCCGACAACGGGGTGGATCAGCAGGTTGGCCAGCTTGTCTCTGGCAGCACGCACCGTCAGCTCTCTGTGGGCCCTGTGCATTGGGTTTCTGGTCTGGAACGCCACCACCTTGGACCAGTGCTTGTTGGCGAACTCGGAACGCAGCTGGGCCGGGGTCTTTCTGAGCTCGGTGTAGTCGTAGTGCTTCGGAGCATTGATGGCCTGTAATGCGCCACCAATGTACACCTCACCAGCCACGTCGAACAGGTAGCGGACAGCCGGGTGCTCAGGGTCGCCCCTGAACACCTGTTTGGCCTCCAGCTGCTTGTCCGGGGTGTAGATGTCGCCTATGGTGAGAATGGCCAGTGCCAGGTCGTCTCTGGGGTCTCTCAGCACAATTCTGTCGCCAGACTTGAACTGCGAGCTCACCTGCTTGGAAACGTCCAGGGTGATGGGGATGGGCCAAACCTCGCCCGTGGAAAGACGCATCTTGTGCACGACAGACGTGTAGTCGGCCTCGTTGAGGAAACCGGTCAACGGAGAAAATCCTCCAACGAGAATCAGCTCGAGGTCGCACAACTGTCTGTCAGTCAGCGAAAGAGACTTGAGCGTGGCAGCCTCGGCGGCCAGCTCGCTCTTGATTGGCGCATCGCGTAGCAATAGATCCTGGAGGACACCTCCGTGGGGAACGAGCATTTTGGGAAGAGAGTCGATCAACTTTTGATTAACTTTTCACTCGAGGCTTGGACTTTGTCGTCGGTACTGATAAAATTGCACGTGACTCGGACAAAGAAGCCACTGCAATTTTTTTGCTTCTTGGCCCGTCTAGAGCTGCACAGCCCTGAAATCGGTCTGCTCCAGACGGTACAGGTTTCTGCACTCGACGATGCGCAGCTCGCACTCCTTCATGGACGTGGCGTCGCCGAGCTTGCCCTGCACCGTCCCGCCGAGCCGCTCGACGCACATCCGCTGCGTCTTGGCCAGCACGCGCGACATCACGCTCTGCACCTGGTTCGTAGCCAGCACCACGTCCTGCAGTCTGAAGAGTCTGTCCAGCAGCAGCGCAGAGAACAGGTCGCCGACGCCGGTGAAGTACGAGTCCAGTTTGGGGATTTCGAACAGAATTGGCTCGTCTGCGTCCTTGGACGAGACGCAGCAGTAGAAACAGCCTTTGGGCTCCAGACCGAGCTGCTGCGCGCTCAGAAACAGCGACGAGACCACCACGTGCTTGACGTGGTGTTCCGTGTGCAGCGTCGCAAGGGCGCGTCGCAGGTCGTCGCGGCTGGCGATCTTGAAGTCCAGCAGCAGCTCCAGCTCGAGCTGGTTTGGCGTGATCACGTCGACGAGGCCGCTGTGCACCAGCTGCCTGTAGACCGGGACCACGTCCTCGCTGACGTAGAGCTGGCCGTCGTCGCCCATGACGGGGTCCAGCAGCCAGAGACACTCGGGACGGCTTTTTTTGACGGCCTTGCACATCTGGCCGACCGCGGCCAAGGAGCTGGCGCCGTGAATGTAGCCCGTGAGCAGGGCGTCGTAGCGGACGTTTATGTCGCACAGCCCGGCGTAGAGCTGGGCCAGCTTATCGCCCGCGACCACCTCGCCATGGACACTGCCGTAGCCCGTGTGGTTGGAGAAGTTGACCGTGTTGAGCACGTCGACGTTCCAGCCGAGCGTCTGGAGCGGAAACGTGGCGGCCTTGTTCCCCACGTAGCCGTGGGCGACGTGCGACTGGATCGAGAGGAGTTGCATGGGACGAAGAGACGATAAGATAAGGTCGGCAAGGAGGGGTTGTTCGGGGCGCTGGCGCGAAATGTGTGTGTCCAGCGGAACTAAACGACTTGTCGCGGCCTCAAATGCTCTGCCTCGTTGTGTCTGCCCTGTGCCAATTGTGTGACACTCGAGCGCACCTTTTCTCTATAAATATTCTCGAGAAAAAATTAGTCAACAGCAGGTAAAAACCGGAGGTCGAGAAGTCACCGGCTGCAGCCGCTCGACTATCACCGTTTTCGTGCCAACGCTAACCAGCTGGATGCCCTGGTCCAGAATGGTCGTATTGCCCTCCTCCCACTTGGACTCGTCGATCTTGCCGGACAGATACGAGTTCCAGTTGTTCTGCAGGTCCTTGCCGACGGGAACGGCGCTGTCGGTGATCGAGGACTCCATCGCGTTCACGATCATCGGGATCGGGTTGGTGAACGGCACCTCGATCTCGGAGTCCTCCACCAGCATGCGCGGCTTGCGCGCCAGGTCCAGCGGGCTCTGGCCCGGCACCAGCAGCGTCTGCACCACGTTCCAGGCCTGTCCCTTGAGCACGGCGAGCTGTTTGCGGAACATGCGCTCCTTGAAGCCCGGGTCGCGGCTCAGCATCTCGCGCAGCAGAACGCTCGTATCCTCCCACCACGCTTTCGAGGTGAGCAGAGGCAGAAAATGGTTTCTGGTCTGCACGGAGAACGGCTGGCCAATGATGGAGATCGGGAGAAACAGCCACCCAAACGGGAACGACCGCCACTCGTTCGGGTGTTTCCACGGCAGCGACAGCCCGTTGTCGATGGCCCCGAGCCGGACGCGCGCCCGGCCGTTCTCGTGCTCCACCTTGAGCATCCAGTTGTCGAGGCCGCGGTCGGTGTTTCTGACGATGAAGTCGAGAATGACCAGTTTCTCGATCTCCCGCTGTAGTTGCGAGAGCGTGTCTGCGGTCCACTCGAACGCCCCGCTGGTCTGCGTGGCGGTCTGTGCCGGGCCCTGGTGCGGCAACGGGTGTCGTCTGAAAAATTCGTCTGCCCCCACGTAGCCGTCCAGATACAGCTGGAACGAGCCCACCTTGTGTCTGGGCTTCTTCTTGCGCAGCACGTAGCCGATTTTTTCGTAGAAAGGATAGTAGAAGCTGTCCGACGAGAGCGTCACGATGTCTGTGTAAGGGACGATGTGGGTCTGGAGCTGGCGGTCGAGCAGACTGGTGGCGCTCTCGGCTATGTAGCCCGTGTTGGGGATCAGGCACGAGCGGCCAAAGAAGCACGGAAAGAAGTTTCTGTGGATCCATTTGGTCATTTTCGGCGACAGGGGCCCGTACGGCTCCTCGTCCTGGGGCTTGAACACGCCGATCGGCTCGTAGTTGGCGTTGTAGACAAAGTACGACCCCGACGACCCGGACGAGATCAGCCGCGGCTTGATGCCGAGCTCGATCGCGGCCGCGCCGCTCGCGACGATCCGCTCGAAGTCCTGCTTCGTCGTGGGGCCCGAGTCCAAGAACCCGGCGGGGGGCAGCTGGGCCAGAGGGTGGATGTCTGGCGGCGCGCGGAAGACGGAATAGTATATTTCTGTTGTGTGGGGCTGGACGTTTTTGGAGCGGAAGAAACGCGGCAACCTCAGGTCGCGGATATTGTTTGTCCACTGAGCAAGAGACCGTTTTGAGAACGGCGAGTGGTCTGCGCCGGCGGCGGGCGCCAGCAGCGGCGTCGTCTCAGACGGCCCGCCCGACGACGATCCCAGCGCAGGGCACTGGAGCGGGCTTGGGGGTCCGGGCTGGGCGGTGATCGTCATGGGCTAGCGCATGCGTAAAATATTTAAATAATTTGAGAAAAAGAAAATGACGTCCTCGTCGCTCTTGGGCAGCGTTCTGCCGCTCGTGGTGCCGTTTCTGGCGCAGCAGGACAAGCTGAACGCGGCGTACGCCAGCTACGAGCTGTACGCGGCGGTGGTGCCGCTGTTGTACCGGAAACTGCTGTTTACCGGCAGACCCCTGGTGGACAGCGAGGGCAGCTGGACAAACATTGGCTCGCTGAAAAACCCGCTCATCAGCGACAAAAAACACAGCGAGATGTACACGCTGCGACAGGAGCTGCTGTTGCAGACGCTGACGCTCAACAAGGAGCTCGCCAGGTGTGTCGAGCAGGTGGTGGTGGTGGATCAGGAGATTTTGCAAGATTTGGCACAGGTGCTCAGCAGATGCCCGAATCTGCGAAGATTCGAGGTGCCGCAGCCGGACCGCTGGCTCGGAGAGATCTACACCAAGCCTCTGGAGTCGTTTGTGGTCACCGAACTGGACCAGCTGTGCCATTTGCCGGACACCGTCAGACGGCTGAAACTCGGGGTGCTCAAGTCGGAGTCGCTCTCTGTTTTTGACCGCCAGCGGGCCCTAAAAAAAATCTACTCTCTGGACGCGCTCGAGCTCGCGGCCGACGAGCCGTCCATCACGACGTTCCTCAAGTTTGTGCAGCCGTTCGCGCGTCTCAGACTCAGATCGCTCAGCATCGTGTATTATCACGGCTACAACGACTACAACCACGTGTCGCGCACCTTGGTGCAGCAGCTGCTGGACAAGACCGACCTGGCGACGCTGCGGGAGCTGGAGATGGTGCTTGGGTGCGACGAGATGGCGTGCGGGTGTCTCGGAGAGTTCTGCCACCATTTGGTGTCGAGACCGTTCGATTTGCGCAGACTGGCTATTTTGCAACGCACGGTCCACAGAGACCACAACTACACGGAAAAATTCGACGTTGCCGTGACGTCGCTGCTGGCGTCGATGCCCAACAACGAGCGTCTCACAGAGCTGTATATCAAGCACGCGCCGCCGCTCGACGCCATGATCGTGCACGGGTTCGAGGGAAACTATAATAAGCGACGCGACCTGTACCACTCGACGCTGCCGCAGCTGCGCGGGCTCGAACGGCTCGTGTGTCCCACGTTCGTGTGGTCGCTCGCGTGCTACGAGCAGCTCATGTCGGACCTGCTGTGGAACGGCTGTACGTGCGACCATTGCGAGTCTTTCCTGTCGCTTTTTGACGAATTTATCATGAAACACCATTACTATGACGCCGCGTCGGGGCTCGAGAAAGACGTCATCTCGCCGTGTTTCTTCAGCTGCGCAGCAGCAACGCTCGCCGCCCGGTTCGTGGGAAGACCACTCGAGCACCTCCCGATGCTCGACGTGTACTGGAACTTCCACTCTCTGCTCAACATGGACCACGACGCCGGCTACGACTGCCGCTTCAACCAGAGCTTTTTCAGGCACCTGGCCGCCTGCATCTCGCATTTCCTCCAAGACTACGTCCACGAGGTGTCGCGGACAAACCCGAACCTGTGGCACGTCAACTTCAGCGGCATAGTGTTTGAAAAAGCAGACTTCTGGGTCTGCAAAAACGAAAAAGTGTATCGAGTCCAGTAATTGTGTCTATTTGCCAAACCGCTCGTAGAACCGCTCGCGCTCGTGCTTGAGGTCCAGCGAGTACTGCAGGATTTTCTCGTGGCTGTCTGTGTCCTCAGGCGTTTTGAAATGCTTGGTGAACAGCCGGTCGCACGTCTGTCGAATGGCGTCCATCTCCTCAATTTTGTTCATGTATTCGTAGTCAAACGTCACAAACGCCTCCTTCTGTATCCGCTGGCACTCCCGCACCATCTTCCACAGGGGAACACACTCAGAACTCCACACGTTGCGTGCTCTGTCGCACTGGAGGAATTTGTTGAACAGCTCGGCACAATTGATCGAAATCGCCTCCGAAACGGGATACTCGCGCTTGTACATCTCCAGCCGGTACGCTTCCTTGCTCGATTGTTGCTGGAGGCGATAGGAATTCGGGTCTGTTCGGTGTTTCGAGTCGTCGCCGATTTCTCGACCGTCAGTCTGTTTGGCCAGCAGCTTTTTGAGCTGGCGGTCGCTTATCGTTGACTCCTTCGAATCAACATACTTTTGTAGCTCTTCGGGTAATTTATCGTCCGTAGTCTCGGACTTTCTAAACCACATTTACCCCACAAGAATAAATAAAATAAATAAAATAATTAATCTACTTTAATTTCAGTATTTCAGCTTCGGTTCTGGACGCTTGTTTTTCTTCCACGATCCTCTCAACGTCCGTGTTTAGTCCAAGCCAATTGACAGGCTCGATTTCTGGAAGAGAGTTGATCCACAGGATGCAGTCGTCAACGCTGTCCGACTCCGGTAGATAGATAGAGGACCCGTCAACGGCAATGCTCTGCGAATCCAGGACGTTAGAGTTGAACAGAAGGGCAGATATGTCGGTAATGACTTTGAGGTCCTCCGTGTCAGAGACTTTTCCTCCAAAGACAACACGACCGATCAAGTTCGACAGCATGTCCCACGAAATACTCCTGGAAATTATCTGGTCCAACACATGTTTGGCCGATGACAAATCGCTCTGCGTGAACTCGTAGTGCTCCTTGAACCCAACAGGCACAAACCGCAGCCTCTCTCTGAGAATCCCGTAAAACCAGGCCAGCAAAACGTACATTCTCGCGTGGTCTGGATGCTGAGCTTTTCTGAGGTTTAGAACGCCGTTGGCTCTGATGAGAGTCTCCTGGAGAACCGTTCGTATTCCAGGATTGCTCTCCAGAATGACCTGCTTGCACATCTTGACTACCGTCGTGGCGATGTGCGAGTCTGTCTGGCTGGTCAGGAACAGGCGGAACTCGCTGTGGATTTCTGCTTCCAGAAGCTTGGGAATAATCTCGACAAAGTCAGGAGCCATGTGCACGTTTTCAATCAGAAGCCAGCTGCCTTTTTTCAGCGCAGTAACAAAAAGTCTGCGCGCAATCTCAACTCCCTCGCTGGATCCCATGGAGTAAGACTCGACATGTTGTTGAGCGGTCCGTGCTAGGGAGTGGATGGTAGAGCTTGCATCGAAACCGCCAGAAGTGCGCAGGATGAAATACTTGTTTGACTCGAGCAACTGCGAAATGTCGTACTCACCAGAATGCTCAAAGTCGCCAACGTATTCCTTCAGCAGGCCTTCGAAAATAGCGCGGTCTTCTTGCAGCAGCGAGCTGGACAGTGATGAGTACGCCTCCTTGCCGAAAGCTTTCACCATTTCAGAAACGGGGCGCCCTTTGTTCTGCATCAGCATCTTCTTGAATATCACAACGAGATCGACGGAAGCAAATTGGTAGATTCTGTTGAGTTTCCAGAGACGGTCAAGAAGAAGTTGTACGTTGCAGAAAGCTTCACCAAGAATCGTATACTTGTCTCTCACCTGCTTCACCTGGTCCAGGACTTCTGACGACCGCGATAGCTTGGTCTTGATGGATGCAGCCTGATGTTTGATCGACTCAAGCTTGTTGACGAGCTCGTCGTTCTCCAGGATGCTCACTCGAGTGTCGCTCAAGCTCAACAGGAGATCGTTTTCCAGGTTGTATAACGACTCCTTATATTCACCATTGAGCTTAGAAAGCTCGACCAGCTGCTGCTCGAGCGATGGCTGCTCACTGTTGAGAGTCATGTTTAGCGCCTGGTTCACGAGGGAACTGCTGGTAAAGGTATAATTGAGAACATTCATCCGTGCTTCCAAATATGGCGGAATATAAGCAGACGCGTCTTTGGTGTGCACGAAAAGATGGAAATTAGGAGAAAGATCAATCTCCCTTGATCCAAGCTTGACAAGACTGCGCCCACCGGATGTTTCAACGTCTCTGGCAATCACGCGGCTGATAATCGGATCGTAGTGTTCACCGTCGCGAATGAGAATAGAGCCTCCAAATCTTATGCAATTCTCGAGTAGCTTCACATACCCGTCGTCCAAAAAGCTGGTTACCACAATGTCCTGGTAGTGTTTCTCCATGAAGTCAACCATCAAGCCCGATGGGTCGATAAGGAACGCAAACCTCTTGTCTGCAGACATCATCATGGTGTTCCCGATGAAAAGCTCATCGTTTGGAAGACCATTAGTTTGCCAAGTAAGCTCCTGGTCAGGCTTCAAACTCGACGCGCGGTAATTAAACGTTGTGTCGAATGGAATTGCGTATTTGGCGAGCTCCGTCTTCCAGAGCTCTAAATACTCACGTCGTTCGAGCTCGTTGTAGCGTCCCAGATATGACGTGTAGGCTGCTCCCAAAAGAGTGTTACCAACAAGACACTCTCGCTGGCCCTGGAACGTCACCACACTTGCCTCCCATCTGACTTTCTCCTCTCGCAAGCTCTCCAAAAGTAACGTGCTACGTCCAACTTTGGTTTCCACGTCTTGCATCTCGGCCTTGATTTTCTCGCTTTCACGAATAGTCTCGCTGTACTTTTCCTTGTAAACTTCAATGCTCTCCTGCAAGTCGTTGATCATTCCATCGATCGCTATCAATTTAGCCTTGGTATCAATAAGCTCGTTTTCCAGCACGCGCACTTCGTTCCTCAGAGGCTGAACCTTCTCAACAACAGAAGCATATCTAAGTTGAGCTTCCACCCAAAGTAAGAGCGGTCCACAAGCTTTACTGGCCCGGTTAACTGCCTCAAAATTGTACCCTGGTCTTGAGATAAATTCGCGTTCCATAAAGTCCGCCAACTCCTTGGTAAGATGCACTTCGCTGTCGAACCCAACAATGCTTGCAATAAAGTCGTCTCTTCTAATTATGAGCTGGACATCTCGCCACGTGTTCACGTCGTATCCCAAAAGAATGCACACAGACTCAAGGGTCATCTTCACTGCCTCAGGAGGATTGTTCATCGAACGGAGCTCTGTGAGGTGCTGTTTCTTGATATTTTTGACTCCCTTTTGTGCCTCTAAAATCAGAGGCTCCACATTTCTGAGGTCTTCAAGAACGACGTTCCGACGGTCGCTAATAATGCGTTCCTGCTCGGCAAACCGTTTGTGGATCTCGATCGACGCTTCCTGTTTGCGCTCTGCCTCGTTCTGATCGGTGATCATCTTGTCGAGCATTTCTCTTGCCTCCTTATTTTTGTTGTCCAACTGTGTCTTTTTAATAGACAAACTTTCGTTCAGCTTCTTGACTTCGAGGAATGTCTCTCTAAGCCTGTCCAGACCAACATTGATGTGCGATTGGTGCTCTTGAAGCTCGGTTTCTTTCTGTTTGAACGAACTGATGAAATTATTAACCAGACTGAAAAACTCATTAGGAGTAGGGCTCCTGTTTTTGAATCCACTGTGTATAGACACCAGAACATTCACGACGGCATCACGCAGTCCAGCCACGTCCACTCCAGGAGGCGCGTGGTACTGTGAATTATTAATCGGCAGAACAGCCAATAATCCTTTGGCCACTGTCTCCAGGGACTCTGTTCTCCAGTCGCCCATCCAGCTGATCACACATCTATTAAACAACGCCGGAGACGAAATGAGAGGCGGAGCATTTGACGAGTAAGGGTCTGTAATTGTGAACACCACATGAAGGTTCTTGGCCACCTGCTCGGTGAACCAGGTGTACAGTTCCGCGTCGGAGTCTAAAAAAAGCCCTTGCTCTTGAGACTTCTGTGAACAAAGAGTCATCAGTGTGTTGTAATCTTCTCCTTCAAATAGTCCAGGAACCTCTGCGTTGGCAAGAAGAGTGTTCATTCTCTCCAGAAACGCGGTCTCCAGAATAGCAGACTCGTCCATAATGAAACATAACTTGTCGCCGTCGGCTGCCCGTCGAAGAAGTTCCCGCAAGGTCGCATCGAATTCCGCCAAAGTGTATTTCCGGGAAACACTCAGCTGGTGGATGGAGAGTCCGTTGATCCATGCGACAAACTTAGTAAGCGTGGTCTTGCCGCTGCCACTTGGACCCACAAGAATCATGTGGCCTTGGGGATTTTTGAGGACACGATCTATGCGCAACACATGGTCTAGCAAGTCCGGATAGAGCACGAGAGAAGCGTTTGTTTCCTCCTCGCTGAAAACTTTTAGTCGCTGATCGAGGAACGCACCAAGCTCCTTTTCGGAAACAGGGCTGTAGTCGTACGACAGCCAGCCGGAATACAGAATTGGCATCTCCAGTGAGCTTTGTATGTCAATGTACGGGAAGTTTCTAGTGAGTGTCGATTTGATCATCTCATAGGTCCAATTTCTTTCCTCCTGTGTGATCAAACGGTCAGAGAACAGTCTCAGCGCTTCATGGGCCCATATGCGGAGAAGACCTTCCAAAGAAAGCTGTGTTGAGGATCTCACCGCCTCGTAAATACCACGGACCCAACGAGTCAGCTCTCTTGGGGAGTATATGTAGTGTGCTCTGTGTGTGAAATGCGTTTTGGACGAGCTGTAAACCTGGATCATCGAGTCGGTCAGCGATTGCACGTATCCTCGTAGATCAGGAACACACTTGAGCAGCGCTTTGTTGAATGTAGAGTAGATTTGGTTCAGTGACTGTGTACCAGGATAGTCCACCATGATCACAGAACAACGTCTCAGGAACCTGCCGTTCAAAACGTTTCTTCCGGGATCCGTAGGCGGGTTGCAGGCTCCAACAAGCTGGATGTTTCCGAGACTGACCCAGGCCCCGTCCTTCTTCCTCCAAAATCCGTTTTTCTCCACCAGTTGTCGCAAAAACGATATAGTTGTCTGCGAGCCATACTCGTCGAAGGCAGGAAGGTTGATTTCGTCACAGAATAGAACCACCCATTTCTCGGCCACGGCAGGAACGAGCTTGAGCCCTGTTGGGCTGTTTTGATAGACACAGTGCTGCTCCAGGGCCCTCACGACCAGTTCTGGCGTTGTGTCCTTGGAGAAGTTCACGCCAACAAAAATGTATTGGTGCGACTTTCTAAGCGCAGCCATCAGCGTCATCGTCTTTCCGGAGCCGGGAGGACCGCAGAGTATCACGGTTTCGTGTTTTCTCACGAGCGAAAAAATAAGGTTCTCGTGGACGCTGGTGTCCAGCGTTGGAATGACGATGTCTGGTCTTGTGATCATGTGAGGCTCCAGGTCGCACCCTTCAACTTCACAGGGCGACCAATTGTAGTCAGCCATTGAGATGTCGGAGTAGAGCATGTTTGGTGCACTGAACCGCGCCAGCCCAGGTAAGGTCTGCACATAGCTGCAGAATTTCTCCCTGCTCTCCAATGTCAAATCTCCGGCAAAGGACCATATCAGCGAATGCAGAATTGAGCGGGCAACGTATGGAACAGTGTCCGCATGGAGAACGGTAGCTTGCATGGCCAGTTTCTCCAGTCTCTGTGACATCAAGCCGAAAAAGGTGTCAAGCATGCTCAAACCGCGGTCCATCACGTGAGCATAGCTCTTCGTCTCCAGCCATACCTGCTGAAGCACAGATGCGGGAAGCAGTTCCTGCACGTCGTCGGCAAACTTCTGCTTGATGGCGTCCACTGAGCCAGCCAGAACGTTTCCGGCCATTTCGTTTTCAAGTGACTGATTGCGGAACGAGCACATGAGACTGGCATAATAGTCCTCAAAGCCGAAAAGCAGGTTTCCAAACGAAACAATTCCACACCGACTGACCGTGGCTGGAGTGGCAAAGTTCAGATTCTCGACCTCAAACACAATCCTCACGTTTTCTGGCAAAGGAATCCGCTCTCCGCTGGGCAGAGTTAGGATTTTGTTGTCGTCGAGAACACTGTTGAGGTTTTCGACCCACTGAGGGTCGACGTCCCCGTCAAAGACGATCCAGATGTTCTTGGATTTTTCCCGACGCAGATTCAGTTCCACGCGCCGCAAAATCGTACTGAAGACACCGTCAGTCCATTCTCTTGTTGCATAGTCCAACGAGCCATACAATGGTTCTTTTCCCAAGACCTTAGGGTCAATGGTGTACACGGAGTTCTCAACCCCCGTTAATCGCCTCATGGCCTCCAAAAGACACTCAAAGAGCATGGTCTTGCCGCATCCGGCGTCTCCGACCATCATAAATCCATGATGCGACCGCTGTATCTCAAAAACTTGTATAGCTTTCTTCAGCCATGACGAGGATGCTGCCAGTCCTTTCTCGGCAGCAATCTCCTTCAGATGTGGAACGAGCTCGTCAGCTGCTGTCTCCAGACCTTCGTCACAGCCAAATACACCGATATGTTCGGCGAAAAAAGGCTCGTCCTGAACGAGGAGCTTGGGCAGAGTGACCGTGTTCAAGCTGTGGACGACAATTTTGCTCTCCATCTCGGAATCAACCGACTGCTCTCTGAGCGCTCTACGGAACCCGCCGCATCTTGCCAGTGTGCTTTTCAAGGCACGCAGTCCAAAATCGTAGTGAGGCTGGTTTGAACAGCTCGATGCCAGCCTCCTGAAGAAATCCACCACTTGCTCGCCTAATCTCTTGGCAGAGTTGAAACCCTGAGATATCAATATCACCTCGCAAATGATGCTCTCGTCTGGCTTCACAACGGCAAAAGTACGGTATTTGGTCTTCAAGTTGTCCGGAAGCGCAGATCTTCCGGCATAGTTTGGGTTGCTGGTGATAAACACACCTGATCCTGCCGCCACCTGAAACTTCTTGCCCAGAATCTCAATTTCCACGCCGTCGTCAGCTCCCAAAGCAGTCTCAATCTTTTCAATCTGCGTGGAAATGGCAGAAAGCATTCTCTTGTCCAGTCGATTGAACTCATCAAAACAACACCACGAGCCTACACGACAGATACCAATCAGGATCCTGCTGACACTTTGAAAATCAAACGTCTCGTCACAACAGAAAACCAGCACCATCACTCCCAAGTTTTGTCCTAGGGCTTTGATAGACTCGGTTTTTCCTGTACCTGCAGGTCCAACAAGAGAGCCTCCTAACCTTTCGTTCAATGCCTCGGTCATAGCAAGGTGGCAGGTGTCCATCAGCGGAGTGTAGACAAGACGGGAAGGAGCTCCGAGATACTCAAATCCATAGTGCGCCGCCCAGTTGCCTTGTTTCACCACCACAGACTCAAGCACGTTGTCTGTCTCTAGTAAGTAGTAGCGCTGCTGTGACAGCCAGTCGTAGGACTTCAAGTTCTTCCCTTTTTGTCGCGCTAAAATGTCGCGTTGGTGCACAAGCTCAATAATTAGGTTTTCGTACTTTCTTCGTTGCAAGGACGACAAATCTTGGAGTATGAGTTCTGCAAAGATTGAAAGAACTTCGCTGTATTTTTCCACACAAGTTCTTTGATCAGCAGTGGATTCCACCAGCTGCGTCCAAAACACCTGCAATGAGAGAATCAGGATCTGGTTCGGATACTCTTCAATCCATTGAACAAGACTTCTTTTTAAAGCATCTGAGTCCCAAACGGTGAATAGCTGTTTCAGCGAACGTTGCAACAAATGAGCTAAAGTTCGTTTGGTTTCTGTTTCCAGCTCACGTAGCCATTCTGTGAGAGACGGATGAGCAACCAAGGAGACCGGTGAGTTCAAAATAACCTTCTCCCCTTCTGGCGAAATAATACCTTCAATCTTGGACACCTCTGGATTGTAGAGCGTGCCCGCTATTCCAGTAAACATTTTTTGTAGATATGTTGAAATCAGAGGAATGTTGGTCGAATTGCCAACGATCTCAAGCAGCTCTTCATTACCAATGAAATAGAAGCGAGGAAAAATGTCCCTCTGCTTTTCCAGATACCCTATCAAGGACTTCTTGATCTTCTCCAGAGTTTCGAAAATCTTGGACAGAACTTGCTTGACGTTCGGAATGTTGCTCACCTCAGCCACCAGCACAGATTTGTACACCTTCCTCATCAGCGAGTGAAACTCAGCAGATGTGTTGTAAAATCTGTTTGACTCTAATGGTAGCAGCTTCTTTATTTCATCGTTCTTTTCAAACACACCAGACAGATATATCCATTGGCGCTGTACGTCAATCCACATATCCAAAACCGATTGCACGTCGGACAGTTTCTCCTCGAGCTGATTGATTGATTTCTCAAATGCAGAGTAGTACGGCGACATTTTCATCGACCACAGAGTGTTGAGATCCTCTGTAATGGTCTGGAACAAGGTATCCCAGCCTTTGATCAGCCTGAACTCATCGTTGAACTGGAACAACTGGAAAGAGAGCTGTTCCCAGTTCTTCTGTATATTATTGATAGATTTCTCCAGGTTCTTTTCTCCTTGCGCCTTGTGTATCGCTGACTTGAAATATTTCTCGTTTGCAGCAAGATCCAAATCCAGGACGTGGCCCAGAGTCATCTTGGCCGGTGGCTCTTTGAGAGTGTGCTCTTTAAATATCTCAGTCCAGTGACGGTCATTGATCGCGTCAGAGCGTAGTCCTCCAATAATTGGCAGTGCTTTGATGTAAGACTTGAGTTTTCCTTGAAATTCCTCAAAAGCAGAGTACTGTCTTATGGCAGCCGGCTGGGCCCTAGAACGCGCTAAAATGTCTTCCAACAATTTTCGAAGAGAAGAGATGGTGACAGACGACCATTCCTGGGAGCGTAATTCTGTTAAAGAAACTTGTAGTCCGTCGATAATCGACCAGAACCTCCTTAGGTCCCCAATTTCTTCTAGAACAGATGATAACGTATCTTTTATAAGCAGTTGGAGATCAAGAACCTTGGAGGCATTCAGAAGCTTTGACCGTTCCTTGAGCAGCCTCTGGCAGGCTTTCTCAAACCCACTCAATGACGAAAGAGCCACCTCTGGCTCAAGCTTCTTCCCCAGTGGTTTGTCATTGTCCCATTGATTAGTCAGGGAGTCAATGGACTCCTTGAGCTTAGAGGCTTCTTTTTCCACTGTGCTGACAACCGTAGCCATGTTTGATAGAACCAGCTGGATTTTTGCATCTACCAAACTGCTTAGGGAAAAGAAAGCTTTTTGAAGCTGCTCATAATGAACCCAATCGTGCCCGAACTTGACGCGGAAAAGGATCAAAAGATGATTGCAAGAGTCTATCGTTTGAAGTTTGGTGGAGCCCTCCTGAACATAATTCCTTGTCTGGTAGAGAAGGTCCACGAGAGCTATGACTGCTTTTGCGGAGCCGAAATCAACCGGAGCTGTTTCAACTGCTCTCCGTTGGGCTCTGATTTCTTCCAGAGTGCAGCTGATTTGTTTCGAGACTAGCTGTGTAAGGACGTCCAGTATATTTCGCTGCCATGTGTTGTAATGAGCGCTCACCTTCCTCTGGGCATGCTCGTACTCCAGTTTGATCGGCCCAATTTTGGTGAACGTCTCCACGGTGTCAAAAGCTTCCTTGAGGTTCTTCACGTCAAGAAGCGCATCACGCCATTGTGAGAGATTGGTGCCAAAGGCTTTTTTCAAATCTTCAAATTCAATGCTCCACAGCGATTGCAGCTGAAGCCATTTACCCACCAGACTTGTGGCCGAGACCATAACGTGGCCAAGCTCCTCAACACATTCGAAATAGGGCCTTTGGAGCATGCTTTGTAGATTAGAGAACGAGTTGGGGCTTTGATCAATGGAGACGTCAAATTGGCCAGAGGTTAATCGGTGTTGGCCGGTGACAATGTTCAAGCACTTATTGAGATCCGCAACAATTGACATATTGGAAAGTTCCAAAGGAGGACGAACAGAAAGCTTAAAGTCCTGCATAACTATTGTGTGGATTTTATCCGGGATGGCTCCCTCCATGCCATATAATCTTGCCTTCCAAAGTGCCAACTCAGACTGGCATCTATGAACAAGGATGTCCTCGACTGCGAAATTCATGGCACTGGTAAACTCCTCGATATTTGTAAATCCTTGTAGCGCAAACTTGTTGACATCTCGTTGCAACGCGTCGATGTTGCGCCGGAACCCGTCCTCGGTGTAGTTGCATGTTGTCAAGTCATTAAGAATAGCTTTGATCTGTTCTCTTGATAATTCCAAAAACTCAAACTTTTGCAAGAGAGTCTGAATTTGAGACTGGAATTTCTCAGCTTCTTCGCAAACCTTCACCTCATCGAGATTCGTTAGACCTGAATCAATTAAGACTTGCGCATTTTCCAGCGCAATCCATTCAGACTGTGAAAGAAATCTGATGCCTTCGAAAATGGTGTTTAGGTACGGCTGAAGCAGTACTTTGAGCTCTCCCAACTGATCGACCTGTTGCAAAATAGACTCGAGATTGATCACTGAATTGTTGAGACTTGTTGCAATGGGGTATATGGTCTCCAAAGTATGGGCAAGAGAGGCGACGTTACGGGGAATTTCAAAGCCCATTATTTGGAGCAAGTTGACTTCCTTGAATAGCTCTGCGTCAGCAGGTGTCAAGTTGACTTTAACTCTGAGTTCCTTGGACTCTGTGCGCTCTATCTTGAGTATTTTCTGTTTCACAGTTGTATCTTTGATATTTTGCTTGAAAGAGGATAGCCAATCGCGGTAGCACTTGTCCAGGTCCAGCTTCTCCATGAGCAACTTCATTTCATTCTCGATTTTTGCGCCTTCTGGATACTTTGCCCAGTCTTTTGTCAAAACCAGTTCCATGCGCGTAACCAGAAACTCAATTTTGTACCTTGCTTGGCTGATCCAGGCAATCATGCTGCTGAAGCGCGGAACGTCTCGAAGCTGGAGCATTTTCTGTGTGCTTTTCTGTCGTTTGAACTCCTGCTGGAGGGACACTAGATCGTCCTGAATCACCTGCAATAGCTCATGCTGGTGGTCAAATATCGCGGCTCTGATGTTGGGTCGTCTAAGCAAAAATGAGTACTGCTCAAATATCGTAAAAATCTCGTTTGGAGCCGAAATTGCCTGGAGCGTTTGGCGTAGAAACGCAATCAGCTTATCTTCCAGCGCATTCACTCTCTTTTGGTACGTCCTCTCTACCTGTGTCCATGCTCTCTGGCCTTCTGTTCCCATGTCAAGGGGACTGGCAGTCTCCACAGCACTATAAGCATAGTCAACTTCTTCCAGGTATTCAGTCACCCTTGTGGCTTTGACCAGGTTTGACACAATTTCTTTCAACTCTTCATGCTGGGACCTGAACTCAGCAGCTTTCGAGACGGCTTCTTTCAGCTCGCTCGGGACCACAATCCTCACGGCAATGAATTTGTCTGATCTTTTTCGAAGCAACTCACGAGCCATTGTGGTGAAGTCTTTGATACACTCATCGAGATTCCCCAGTAGATTGTCAACTTGATCGCTTATAAGCTTGAAATCGGCATACGCTAGCTCCATCACCTTTGCATTGTGTAGGATACCAATCAGTTTGTGCATAATGTCCTCGACGATGGTCTGACAGAGCTCGATTGCTCGCTGGATCGGATACATGGTCACCCGGAGTTTGCGCAAGTGCTCAAAGATGGCAGAAACGGCCTCGCCGACTTTGTCCAGCGATTGTGCGGATAAAAGATCGTTGACGGGGAGATCTTTGAGCAGCTGGTTGTATTTAGCGGCCAGATTCAGTGCGTCTCTGATGCCAGTGTCTGAAAACGTCACTGTGGCGTGGTATCTCTTTGCAGAGCGCAAAACGTCGAGGGTGAGCTGAATTTCCGGGCTTTTTAGCTGTTCCTGAATAGACAGCAGAGCCGTCTCCTTAGAGGCCCAGAAATTCACTTCTGCCAGCGTGGGTCCGTCGGAAGGCTCGTGGCTCAGCTGGGCAACGTTCTGGACCTGTTTCACCCACTCGTTCACGATCGCCTGCATCTCGTTGAGGATCTTGGAGTCTGTTTTGGTGTGCTCGTCGAGAACGTCGATCGAGACCGAGGCGAGATGCTGGTTTTGCTGCACCGCATGCAAAATGGCCGGATGCGCGGTGGTGGCGAGATTCGGGATCTGGATCGTCTGCTGCAGATGCTGGAACGAAAGGGTAAGCTCGGAGATCTTTTTCTGTGTAGAAGCCACGGACTGCGAGGTGGCGGCTGACGTGAGCACCGAAAAGTACGGAGCAATGCCGAACTGCAACAGCGACTCCAGATACTCAAAGTTCTGTCGCGGCGGAGACCTCAGGGGAAGCTTGGCCACAAAGATCTGATCTGAGCACGGCAGGCTGGCGAGCAGCGGGCCCCTTTGCTTGAGAAAAACCACAATGGACGCCGACTGGGCAAGATCTGCCAGCTTCTCTGTCTCCAGTCGCTCGTATAGGTGTAAATCTAGAGGTTAGAGCGCGCAAAACGGTACTTACCGTGTATTCCTGTCTGGACAAGGAAAAGGGCACTTTCGGTGGGGTTCTGGATGAACTGGGTCAGCAGGAGATCGTAGTCTCCGTCGAGGCTGGCCGCGCTAAGCAACGAGGCCGCCGACCGCCGAATGTAGTCGAAAACGGTGGCGGGGAGAAGCAAAGACATGTGCGGGAGAGTTTTGTTTATTTGTTGATCTGGGACGCGACTTCACCGCCACACGGCAGTGCTGCTACGCCACGGAGGATTTCTACGAAACTCAAAAACGGTATATTGTATTGTATCCATCATGCTAATGACACTTAGATCACAAAACTGAACATCCTAAATAGAACAGATATTAGTTATTAGGCTGTCGTGGGCACGAAGGAAGCAAGATATCAATGATGGGGGAGCAGTCCTCTATTAACCCATTCAAGTGCTAGCTCAGTTGGACTTCTCGTGCTGAGTAGAGACTCTGTTCATGGCAACCATGAAGTCCTCAAGGGTTCTTTGAGGAGGTCTCTCCTTCAGAGGCTTGCCGTTCATGAATCTGTCGAACTTCTCGGACTCAGACATCATGACGTAGGCGCCACCAAGGACACAGAACACACCGAACGACCAGATCCACACTCTGACAACGGTGACGATGTCGTTCCAGTTCTGGGACCACCATCCGAACAGGGTGAACATGGTGGCGATGATATCGACGATCAGGACGGCACCAGACAGTTGCCACGATGGCACGGAGGACCAGAATGGGCCGGTGGCTCTGGTGACGAAAATCAGCCAGTTCTCGGTCAGGGAGATCTGCAGGAATAGGACACCGTCGATGGAACCGAAGTTCTGGATGATACCTCCCTTTGGCAGGAACATGGTGGTCAGGGTGATCCACGTACCGACGGCCAGAATGACACCCATGACGATGGACATACCCCATAATCTTGGCAGGTTCCACTTGACTGGCTTCTGGTCGAATGGAGCGTTATCGTAAGCAATGGCAAGAGTAGCAACGTCGGCAAAGATAGCAATGAAGACAACCAGGTCGATGTTCAGAGACTCGTTCAGAATGGCAATCCACAAACCAAGGAAGATCTCCAAGTGCAAAGACAGAGCAATACGGTACACCACGTAGGCGTACATTCTGTGGAAGATCTGTCTGGAGGTCTTCAGGGCGTCGATGATGGCAGAGAGACCTGGAGCAAGGAAAACGATATCGGCAGCAGATCTGGCAGAGTCGGAGGCACCCTCGACGGCAATACCCGTGTCGGCCTTCTTGAGGGATGGGGCGTCGTTGACACCGTCACCGGTCATGGCAACCAAGTAACCTCTCTTTTGCAGGATCTCGACGACGTTGTACTTGTGTTGAGGGAAGACCTCAGCGAAACCGTCAGCGTTCTCAACAAAGTCGAACAACTCAGAACCGGACAAGTCTCCTCCTCCGGAAAGTCCCAATCTGTCGGCGTCGAAAATGTTGGTACCAAGACCCAGCTGTCTGCAGGTCTCCTTGGCAATACCAACGGCGTCACCAGTAAGCATCTTAACTCTCAAACCAAGTTCTCTGGCCTCGTTCACGGTCTTAGCAGTGTCGTCTCTAGGAGGGTCCATACATGGCATGATACCCAGGATTTCCCAGTGGCCCTCGCCTCTCTTTCTGGCAACACCCAGAGATCTGAAACCTCTGGAAGCAAACTCGGCAACCTTGTTCTCGTACTTCTCCAGAATGTCCTCTGGGATAGGGTGGTCCTCCTGGACGGTCTTCAGAACGAACAATGGAGCACCCTTGACACAGATGATTCTCTCACCCTCTGGGGACTCGACGTAGGCAGTGACTTTCTTGGAAACAGGGTCGAATGGCTGGAACTCGAGCATCTTGTACTTGGTCAGGGCGGCTCTGGCTCTTGGGTAGTTGATCAGGGACTTCAGGAAGGCCTTGTCGATGGCGTCAAGACCCTTCTTCTTTCTGGAGGCAGCAAGACAGGCGGTGAGCATCAAGTCATCTGGCTCAACACCCTCGACGGTGTATGGCTCGTGCAGCGAAAGCTTGTTCTTGGTCAGGGTACCAGTCTTGTCGGAACACAGGATCTCGACACCGGCAAGAGACTCGATAGCAGACAGTTTCTGGACAATGGCCTGTTTCTTGGCCAAGTAGGCAGCACCGACAGCCATTGTGGTGGTGACGACGGCTGGAAGACCGACCGGCACACCGACGATGGTGATGGCAAGGGTGTATCTGAGGATTCTGACGATCTTTGCGGTTCTGTAGAAGGCAGAGGTCCACACAACCAGCAGAGTGACAATGACCAGGACGAGCAAGGTGGTTCCGATACCGTTCAGGACCTCGGTGAAGTGACCTTGGCCGCCGGAGGCCTTGTTGACCAGGGCAGCAGCTCTACCAACGAAGGTGGAGTCACCGGTAGCAGTAACAATCATCAGGGCCTCACCTCTCTTGACGGTGGAGGAAGAGAAGGTAGCGTCGCCGGATCTCTTGTCGACGGCGAGAGACTCACCGGTCAGGGCGGACTGGTCGACTTGCAGGAAACACTCGTCGGAAACAAGCTTACCGTCGGCAGGAATGACAACACCGTCTTCCAGCTGCAGAATGTCACCTGGAACGACCTCGGAGGCAGGGATTTCGACCGGGTGGCCGTCTCTGACGACGGTGGCGGTGTTGGCCAGCGTCTTCTTCAACTCGTCAACAATGGAACCGGCCTGGTACTCCTGGATGAAACCGACACAGGCGTTCAACATCAGCAAACCACAGATAACACCGAAATCGACCCAGTCCTCGAGACCGGCAGCCAGAATGGCAGCAGCCTCCATGACGAACTGGATAGGACCAATAAAGAACATACAGAACTTGAGCACGAGGTTCTCCTTCTCCTCGGCCATCTGGTTAGGACCAAACTTCTTTCTTCTTTTGGCAACCTCGTCGGAGGTCAAACCAACCTTCGGGTCGGTTCTCAGCAGCTCCTCGGGAACGACCTTGAAGGAGGTGTGGTCCTGCTCCTCGTCCTCCTCCTCGCCGTCGTCGGCACCGTGGTTGGATTGCAGTTCCATCACCAATTGGTCGATATCGTCTTCCTCATCATCTTCGTCCTGAAGAGGGACTTTCTCCTTGGTTGGTTCAGTTGCAGACATGATGAGTCTCTATTCTAGCAATTGAACTGAAAGAAAAAAAGATATAAAGTTGGATGGAGAAAAACGAAGGAAAGATACTGCATTTTTAAGAGGTGGATGCAAATTATGCACCTTGAAACGAGCGACTTTGTTTGTCCAAATTGAGTAAACAACAACTGGTACCAAAAGGGCAAAAAAGAAACACGAACCACAATCAAGTTTCCGACCAGCGAGTTATTTAGCTGTATTTTCACTGGTCGATATCGTCGCCAAAACCGATTTCTATTGTTTTTCAGCAACGGAATATCCGGGACGGCAGAATTTGCGTGAAAATTGAATACCGGGACATTGCCGATGCTGGCTCGACCGTGCCGAGCAAACCGCAGCGCACTCAATCTAGCCGTGAGCAGCTCGATCTTACCCGGTTATCTGGGAAAATGGCGATACCGCTTCGCGGAGACGTTTTATTAAGCGTATCTTACCCGCCTTTTCCACGCTATCGTTTCTTTCTGTATGGCTATTGTTTACGTTTTGCAATCCAGGGGAACCTCGCAGCACCGGGCCAGATACGGCTAGAACCGGAGTCCCGCGGAGCCATAATTTACCACTGGCCTCCGTCCGCCCTCGGCCCCTATAGTTCTACCCCCGCCCACCAACGCCAGCGGACCTCCTTGCAAGCCATCCCCAGCTTCTACAACTACGTAATTGCCAAGAGCATAATTTCTGCACCGGATTCGGGTCAGGACCGGTTATATGCGAAATCATAACTTTTGAGGTTTTTTTGGGCCAGGTTTTTTTCACTCAACTTGCCAAAACCGAGCCGACCTTTCCAGCCATTCATTCATTCCGCATCCACCGCCAAAAAATGCCTGTGTTCTGTTTTTAGACCACATTGTTCCCTATTGGGAAACCCCATTGCCTAAACAAGATACCCCGGACCACAACATCTTTCTCGTCATGACCCTCGATACCGTATCGTTTCACGCCCCATGTGACATGGACTCCCTCGGAGGCTGGCCCTTGCGTGTTGCAACGGTGGGCCTAATTCGCTGGACTAATTAGGTAAATTTGGTGATTACTCCACCTGGCTGCACCGAAGCTGGCTAATATTTCTGCTTTTTTAATTACAGATAACGGTCGTTACCTATTCGTTACAATTCCATTTATCCACCTATAACCGAAAACCTATAACCCAAGTTCGCCGCCTGGTTCACTCCGTCCACTCCTCGTCGCTGTCGCTCGACAGTATCCTCGACCGGTGCCGCGTGTTCGCAGGTCGATAGTACTCGTCACCGTCGTCTATGTCACTGGGCACGCTATCTGCGTCCCTGAGGTCGCGCTCAAAGTCGTAGTCAACGTAATCGTCGTCGAAATCTTCATCTTCTTCGCCAGGAGACGGGGCATTAATAAACAGTCGAAGGGTTTCCCGTTGCCGCCAGGCGTCCGCGAGTTCGGGGCTCTCCCGCTCTAGCAAAGAGATGAAACTCTCTTCGCCGTACGAGGCCGACTCATCGTGGTACTCGGGATCAGCCTCACTGTCCGAGGACGAATATCTCTCGTTAGCAGCGGCAAGAAGGCGTCGCCCGCAATTGAGACACCGCGAGCCGTGGGCCTCCCAGTGGCAGACGCTGCATCGCGGGATGCCGTCGCTGGTGTCCAGAACGGCCTCTGAATAGTTATCAAACAGGTTTTTGAAACAAGTGTCGTTGTGGTTGTCTTTTTCGTATAACCTGTTGCGCTCGCGTATCATTTTGGTTATGGGCTCTTTTTGGTCCGGGTGGTCTTTCGCCACCGCCTCCAAATAACTCTCCAGCAGCTGTTTCATCGGCACATTGAACACAGGAACACGCCTCACACGCTGGCGACACAACGGACACGAGTGTTTCACCTTGAGCCAGTCAGACAGGCACTCGTAACAAAAAGTGTGCCCACACGCGACCGTGAACGGAGTCACCATCAATTCCTGGCAGATGGTGCAAGTAAAGACCTCGACACTGCGTCGCATCAGGTCCTGCTTGTTCTCATCCCCCAAGGATTGCAATAACTTGAGTACCTCCATCGATGTAGATCATAAAAAAATATCTACGATTCTGAGAAATTTGTTCGATTTGTCTATCTTTATACAAGTTCCCTCCAGCGGGCCATTTTCTCTAGATACTCATCCAGTTTTCGCATGTGCTGCGCGCTGACGTGGTCGTACTGGTTCTGTAGCACTTTGATCGTGTGCTCGAGGTATATGACAAGGTTTTCTCTGATCTCGTCGCTGTCTTGCACGTCCAGGTTATGGGCGTATAACTCACAGATTGATTTCGTGTTGCGCATGAAAAACTCCGTAGGGTAAAACGTTTTGTCCTTCTTGACTTGCTCTAGTATATCGATCGCAAGGTCCAGACGCCCTTGCTCAAGATAAAACTTGATTATAGCGTACACAGCCTTGAGAAGCTCGGTGTTGCTGCGCGGTGATACCTCTGCCATTCTGTCCATAACCACCATGCCAAACTCGTGGTTATGGAATTTGACGGCGTCCAGCAGCATGTTCGTGTAGTCTGAAACGGTCAGAAGGTCGCGATATTCCTCCACGATCGACGAGAGGAACTTGAAAGTGCCGAGAGGGAATTTCGGGTTGAGAGTCTTGCGTTTGAGAAAAATCAGCATTTTGAGCGACGGCTCGTCCAAGTCGGCGAGTTTCGGGTTGCTGCGCATGAATTCCACCAGCTGCTCGACTTCCTCGATGGACCGCGACGTCTTCAATGCCGTCACCAAAAGCCCCTTGTGCGGCCAGATCCCGCTGCGCATCCGGCTGTCGATTGCCTTCATCCGCGGCAGCACAGGCTCTGCCCCGTCTCCAACGATGCTCTTGCGCAACAGACGGTGCTTGCCGGTTTTTGCGTCGAGCGTGATCACGTGCGCAAGCCGTTGAAGCGAGAAGCTGTCGCCGCTCTCCATTTCTTGCACAAATCTCCGAGTTATAGGTGTGCGGATCATGGGGTATGCTGCCACATAGGTTTTCCACAGGTTATAGAAAAATTCTTCCTGGAATTCCAGGCCAGCTTCTCTGGCTACCTTGAGCAAAAGTTCCGCATAGACCTCGGGCTGTCCGTCGCGCTGAATCCACCATAATACTCTGCGCAGCAAAATCTTAAACTCCGCGTCCGTGGCAGCATCCTCCAGCACTTTCCTGGCCAGCGAAACCTCTCCAACTCTCATCAACATGTCTATGCACTCCAGACGGAAACACTCACATTCCTCGGGCTCTAATCGCTCAACCCATTCCAGATAGAGAGTGGAGATGTATTCCTGGGCCTCTCGCCTCGTTTCAATCTCGTCCAGCTCGTCCACAAACCACACCTGGTGACCTTTCGTGTCTTCCATATGCTGTATAACCCAGTTTTCTTGTTCTGGTGTGCCGTGGCGCATCATTATCTTGTATATCAGGACTCGTGTGCGGAAGTGGATGTCATGGCCTCTGGAGTGCCATAACCGGTATGCCATGTAGCACAGCGACGGATTGGACGTGGTTTGTTGCAGGTCCTTTAGGTACGAGTCCAAAATCTCGGCGGACAATTTTCGGCAAGACATAACTGTCTGATTAAATATCTGCGTGGCCACGCTCACGTTTTCTGTGCGCAGATACACACGTAGAGCGAGCCGGAAAGCGTCGGGATTGGGGTCGTCGACACGACTCAGGTAAATGCTGAATATACGCTCAAACTCTTTGTAGTCGAAGTTCATGTAGAGGACGAGAAGCAGGCGTTCAAGAAATGCGATGCTCAGGCCGGCGTAGTCGAATATGTTGCGAAATCTTTGTGCCATTTTGTAGATGAAGGTGTAGTTGCCAGACATAATGAGCAGCTGCTCCAGCTCGAACGGTGCCAAGGGCACCGACTCGAGCCTGCGGTATAATTCGGCGTATTTTTTGGTTTTGAAAAGCTGTGCCATATCTGGTGGTAAAAAATCGGGAACAGGCCTCTCGGGATGCTTCTCTCGGGGCTTCCGGTTGTATGTACCCCTCAGAAAAACCTCCATGGGTCGTTTGCTGATGCTGAATAAGTTAGATAAGTCTGGACGCTCGCTCTGCGGCACTTTTTCTGGCTCCTGCGGTAAATCGTTGGATGACTCCTGGTTTTGTGGCCGTGGGTCAATGGGCGCAAGTTCTTTATATACATCGCTCTTGGTGTGCTGTTCGTGTCTGTCGTTGTTGTCGTGCGGGATATTCTTGAGCCTCAGCCCGGGGCCGAATCCAAACACACCCCCTTGGTTCATATTCGTAACCGGTTTGTCGCGGTCTAGCTGGCCCCAGTCGAGCTCTACTCGCATGGAGAAAACCCGCAGGTATATTCGCCCCGGCGAGCTCAGCAGAATGCGCGCGTTCTGAAACCTCTGCATCGCAGAGTTTTATATGCAGCGAGCTGGAATTATAAAATAGGTCGATTTGGAAAAAAAAGAGAAAAATCTTGAAAAAATATTATATTAAAATAATTCCGTCACAGTTTACTGGATAAATTTATGTGGACCGCTTTTGTCTGGCTGAACGCTGCCAGGCCGGCCTCGCCCAGCTCGCGGCCAATTCCCGACATCTTGTATCCTCCGAACGGCATACGGTAGTCTGCTGCGAACGTGTAGTTCACAAACACCTGGCCGCTCTGCACCTCGCGGATATACTTCTGCGACCGGTTGATGTTTTGAGTGAACAGGTATGCAGCCAGGCCGTACAACGAGTCGTTTGACAGCTCAATTGCCTCCTCGTCCGTGTTGAATTTGGACACCGTGACAACAGGGCCAAAGATCTCTTCTTGGACAACTCTCATGTTTTGGGAGCAGTCGGCCAAAATTGTTGGCTGCAGAAAATAGCCTGCCAGATCAGACACTTTGCTGCCCCCGCACACTAGTCTGGCACCCTCAGCCACTCCTATCTTGACGTAGTCCAGGATTTTGTCCTGCTGGACCTTGGAGACCTGCGGACCAACGTTGACACCCTCGGCGAATTGCGGACCCTGCACAAAATTCTCTTCAACGTGTATCTTGAGTTTCTCCAAAAACTCGTCGTAGATATCCGCTTGCACGTAAACTCTCGACGAGGCGGTGCAGATCTCGCCCTTGTTGAAGAAAATACCGAACGCAGCCCACTTGACGGCCTGCTCCAGGTCGGCGTCGTCGTACACCACAAGCGGCGACTTTCCGCCGCACTCCAGGGTGCACACCTTGAGGTTTTCTGCGGCGAGTTTCTGGATGGTCTTGCCCACGCCGGTGCTACCCGTAAAAGTGACCTTGTCGATGCCCGGGTGCGAAGCAATGGCAGACCCCACCTTGGCTCCCAGACCACAAACAACGTTCACCAGTCCAGCCGGAGCTCCAGCCTTCAAAAATAGCTCGCACATGTACAGGGCACAAAGAGGCGTTATTTCGGACGGCTTGACCACAATGGCATTGCCGGCCGCCAAGCAAGGAGCCACTTTCCACGCAAACGTGGAGCACGGGAAGTTCCAGGCCATGATGGCAGCACACACCCCGTATGGCTCCGTCACAGTGTAGGTGAATTTCGAGCGCTCTGTCTCGACCGTCTTGCCGTCCTCGGCGGTGATTGCCAAAGCACTGTAATAGCGAAACACGTCTGCCGAGTGCAGCACGTCGAAAATGGCGTTCGTCGCCTTTGGCTTGCCGCTCTCGAGGGCCTCGAGGTCGGCCAATTGTTCGCTGTGTTCAACCATCAGCTGCGACATCCTGAGCAGAAGGTCGGACCTTTCGCGGCCACTTTTGTTCCGCCACACCTCCGTGAAACACTTTCTTGCGCTCTCCACGGCCTTGTCCAGATGCTTCTCGTCGCCAAGATGGACCGCACAGATCTCAGTGCCGGTGCCAGGGTCCTCGACGGCGAGTTGGCTGTCGGTGGCCAGAAACTCGTTGTTGATAAAGACGCCGGTCTCCAGCTGGTATCGCCTGCCGTTTGGAACTGCAATGTGTGCGGTGGTCATTGAGTAACAAAATCAGCACCGAATGCTAATCTATATATCATGTATGCACCTTCCTGATAAGGCAGGAGCTGAAAAATATTCGAGTTTAATCACTTATGGTGCAAGGGTGTAGTAAAAAAATTAGCATATTATTCTTCGCCATGAACGCTCCGTCTACCCCACGACACCCTGAGCCAGATCAAGAGGTGGAATTGACCGACCACGACATACCAAAGGATCTCGCCGAGGCGCTGGATTTATCGTCCGACTCTGAGGAGGCACTGGGCAGCGAAAGCGTCGAGATGGTCCCAACAGCAACCACGGGCAGTTTTGACGATTTCACGGACCTGGACGCCACAATCAATCAGCCGTCGCCAGTCAATCCGTTTGGACAGAACCGCGGGCTCACTGCGTCGGAGCCGCCGCGTCTCGTGCGCCGGCCGCCCCAGCGCCCGCGCAGACTTAGTGGGGCGCAACAGAGCCGGCTGGTGGCGTACATGGACGCCAAGCTGCTGCAGATCCAGCGGATGTTTATCAAGTATCTCTCGCTGCGCAACGATGACGACGAGAACGATGCCGATGACGAGCAGGCCGAAAAGTCGCCGCTTGCCGAGATCGACGCGTCGCCCCCGCCCCAGTCAGAGCCAGACGACGTTTCCAAGTACACGCTGGACCGGCTGCTGGAGCAGGTCACGAGCGCCGTGCTACTGTTGTGGGTGTCGCTTTACGGGACACAAGAGATTCCGGCTATTTACCATTCAAACATAGCAGACACCGAGCCCGAGGACGAGCTGCAGATCGACCTGATCGACCCGTCGACCGTCGCGGGGCAGCCGGCATACCTCATCCGGATCATGGGCGATCTAGCGGATTATCTGGAGAAGTATCGTCTCGACTCGTTTCAGGACTTCCAACTGGTGCTGGAGCTGCTGGCCAAGATCGACAATTTCGCGAGTATTCTGATCGACCAGACAGAAAAACCGATTTTCAGCACCACCGACAAGGTGCGCATGGACTCGATCGTCCAGCGGACGAAAATGCTGATGGTGGCCAAATTCGAGGAGTTTCAGGCCGCCGTCGACGCGAGCGAGACAGACGAGCGCGGCAAGCGCGGCGCGCACTCGGGCAGAGACCTGCTCCCGACGTACCAGCTGCTTGTGGGCGAGATCTACGAGGGGATCACGGACCGCACGTCGATATGAGCCACCGGTACGCCGACGCGGTGTGCCGCTCCTCCTCGCACCACAGATCCTCCAGTTTCTCCGCCATTCTGCGCGCCAGCGGGTACTGTTGGTCCTGGGCGAGGATATGTAACTCTTTGGAGAAAAATTCACGGTGCGCCATTTTCAGGGCCACACAGCCCCCGATCAGTAGCGGGAACAGCAGCAGCGTGAGCGAGTTGCCCGCCAGCGCGCCGAGCTCCGCCACGAGCTGCTCGAGGTAGAACTGCACCACCGGGCTGCCCGCCTCTGTGGCGGTGTCCGCGAGCTTCAGATACAAGATCTCCTGCGCGTAGAAGAGCGCCTTGCACACTGCGAGGTTCCGCTGCGTCTGGCGCTGGCCCGGCGTGAGGTCCTGGAGCGGGATCTGGATCTCGAGCGTCTGGATCGCCGTCCACGTGAGCGTCATTTTGTGTTTCACCGGGGCGAGCAGTTTTGTGGTTTTCGCGTCTGCGAGCTTCGCGAGCGTCTCGAACGACTCCAGCAGAAGCGCGCGCTGTTGCCCGACGTGCCAGTCGCACGCGAACGGCACATCGACGAGCGCGATGAAGTTGAAGCTGTGTTGGTAGAACTCGTACGGCGAGGGCAGCTTGGCTGTGTTGCAGAAAAACAGCGCAACGGGGAAATTGCGCACAAAGACGTTGAGCACCGTATGGCTGTCGGGCAACGCCGCGAGCGCCCTGAGCGTCTGCGCGTCGAGCAGGCCCCGCAAGCTGGTCTCGAGCGTGTGCAGCGTATGGATCGCGACGATGATCCACGAGAACGGCGGGGCGTTTTCCACCACCATGTCGAGCGCCGGCTCGGAGGTCAGAATGTCGAAGCGCGGCGCCATTTTGCGGTCCTGGTGCTTGTACGAGTCGACCTCGAACACGAAGCACATGTGCGAGGGGATCGGGTACTCGCCCGCATCTTGCGGATCGGGCTGGGACAGCTGTGGCGGCGACGTTGCGGCTTTTATCTCGTAGTTCCTGGGCAGCGCAGCACCTCGTTTTTCGGGCCACGAGCAGTGCAGAAAGTTGCGCGAGCAGCCCGAGCACACGGGGAACCGCTCGTCGCACTTCTTCTTGCGTTTTCGGCAGGTGAAACAGCCGGACTTGGTTCGTGATTTGGACATGGGAAAATTAAAAGAATAAAACAATTTTGTGGGTCCGAGGTGTGAACAGCACAGGTGCGCGGGTGACACAGGCTGCGTAGCAGCGAGCACAGTAGCCGTCACCGCGCAGCCGTCCGGCGCCGCCAGGCGAACCTAGCTCGTCTTTGCAGTGGCGCTCCCTTATATGGCCATCCTTCCACCGCGGATAACTGCCTAAACGAGCGACAAATTCTTTTCGCATGGAAATTCCAAATCTGATTCTTATCAGTGCTAAATAAATAGCTGCCACCTGCCAACACCCACCATAATTTTAATCATGGTGTCTGCCCCTGCCAATATCGAATCCTTGTACAAGTTCACGGACGACGTGTCGGACCCGCAACTGTTCGAGTCCTGGAAGCCCAAAATCGCCGCGTACCGCCAGGCTCTGGCGGACTCGCTGCCGGCGGAGTACAAGCTGCCCGAGTCCGAAGTTCCTGGTGATCTCGACGAGACCAGTTTCAACACGGTCCAATTCCTCAAGGAAACCAAATACCTGACTCCGGCAGAGCGCGAGATCACCGAGTCGTCCGCGACTGAGCTGCTGCGCAAGATGGAAGCCAGACAACTGTCTGCCGTGGCGGTGCTCAAGGCGTTCGCGCACCGGGCCGTGATCGCGCACCAGCTGACCAACTTTGCGTGCGAGTTCTTTGTGCACGAGGCGCTGCAGCGCGCAAAGCAGCTGGACGAGTACCTCGCTGTCCACGGCAAGCTGGCGGGCCCGCTGCACGGCATCCCGATCTCGCTTAAGGAGCAGATCGGGCACGCGGGCAAGATCACACACGGCGGCTGGGTCGCGTGGCTGGACAACGTCCCGAAAGAGGACGCCGTGACGGTGCAGGTGCTGCGGAACCTGGGCGCCGTGTTCTACGTGCGCACGAACGAGCCGCAGACGCTGATGCACCTGGACTCCAACAACAACATTGTCGGGCGCACGCGCAACCCGCACAATTCGCTCTTGACGGCGGGCGGGTCCTCGGGCGGCGAAGGTGCCAGCGTGGGCTCGCGGGCGTCGCCGCTGGGCGTGGGCACCGACATTGGCGGCTCGATCCGTGCGCCCGCCGCGTTCGCTGGCGTGTACGGCCTGCGCCCGACCTCGAGACGGATCTCGACGTTTGGCGGCGTGTCGTCGGGCAAAGGCCAGGAGTCGATCGTCGCCGTCGCCGGCCCGCTCTCCAGCAGCGTCGACGACATCGAGCTGTTCATGCGCGCGTACATCAACGCGGGCAAGCCATGGGACCTGGACCCGTGGTCGCTGCCGATTCCGTGGCGCCAGGTCGCCGTCCCTGAGCCGCGGAATCTGACGGTCGCGGTGATGTACGACGACGGGCTCGTGAGACCGCTGCCACCAATTGCCCGCGGTCTCAAGCACACGGCTGACAAGCTCAAGCAGGCGGGCGTCAACGTGATCGAGTTCAAGCCGCTCGAGACGGAAAAACTGTACGAGGTGGCCAATTTGCTGTACAGCTGCGACGGCAACCACGCGCAGAAGGAGATGCTGCGGCCGTCGGGCGAGCCGCTGCTGCCGCTCACGAAGTGGGCGCTCTCGTTCGGGCAGGGCGACCGCGCGCTGTCCATCACTGAAAACAGAGAGCTCAACTACCAGCGCGACAGGCTGCGTAAATTGTACAACGATTATTTCGTCCAGAACAAGGTCGACTTCATCCTTTGCCCGAACTACTGCGGCCCAGCGCCCGTGTGCGTCCAGGACGGCGTCGAGGGCCCCTACTACTGGGGCTACACGTCGCACTTCAACCTGCTGGACTTGCCCGGCTTGACAGCTCCGACGGGGCTGTATGCGGACCAGAAAATCGACGCGAAGCAAGAGTACACGCCGCGGTCGGCGATCGAGGCGATCGAGCACGACAAGTACAAGCCGGAGCTCGTGCACGGCGCGCCGATCTGCTACCAGCTGGTCGGGCGGCGGTACTTTGACGAGGAGGTGGTTGCTGCGGGCAAGCTTTTCGGGCAAATCCTGGAGATAGAGTAGGTAGCTATAGATCTATGAAACCCTGTCCAAGACCGGTAGAAACTGCCCGACAATGAGCATCGGGATGTCGAACACGTCGCGCTTGATGGTCCAGATGCAGCAGCAGCGCAGGTAGTTGCGGTCCTCGGCCTTGCGCAGGTTGCAGTCGGTGAGGTACGTGGCGTTGAGGTCGCCGAACGCCAGCTCGCTGAAGCTGCGGAAGTACTTGATCGTGCTCTCGTCGTCCATCAGCTCGACTATGAAGGTGCGCTTCGACAGCAGCGCCTTGCGCGAGTAGCCCGTCATGACGGCAAACGTGTCTGTGAGCGCGACGATCTCGCCCGTGCGGCGCCAGATCGCGATCGGCGACGGCGACAGCGCGATCAGATGCTCGTATTCCAGCAGCGACCGCTGGAACGAGTGCTCTGTGAACAGCAAATCGTTCTCGTGCAGCGACTTGGTAGCAGAAATGAACGACGGCCGGTACTTGGCCATGCACTTGGCGATCTCGATCAGCTGGCCCTTGCTGAACCGCCGCTTCAAGTACGAGATCAGCGCGTGGTACGCGCGCGGGTACCGGTACGGCTTGATCAGCTGGGTCAAATAAATATCGTCCGGGTGCTTGACGTGCTGGCGCACCAGGATCGGCGCAACGTAGAATTCGTCCTGCTCGGGCACCGCGGGCACCTCGCGGGCAAGGTTCGGCATCGCCGAGTGCCACTCGTTGTACACGTACGAGTTGGGCGTCTCATTGTTCGGGTACGACGACCGCATCGTCAGGCTCTCGATGTCGATCTCGATGAACGGCCGGAACTCCTTGTCCTCCTCGAAGTCGACAAAATCGTCCGTGGGCGAGGGCGGGTTCGTGTTGAGCAGGTCGGTCAGCTGCGCGTACTCGTCGTTGGCCATCGTCGACTCGAAGTTGCGCGGGTCCGGGGCAAACACGAAGGGCAGCGAGCCGAGCCTTTCGAGTGGCGGGTCCTGCGACGCCACAGACGAGTTCCTGCTCGACTGCGTGCGCGAGCCATCTCTGTAGACGCTTTTTTTCTTGCGCACCGAGTCCCGGCACGAGTCTGCGAGCCCGCGCTTGGTGCAGTTCGCGCACGGGCGCGCGTCGTTGCACTGGAGGTGCTTGCGGTGGCAGAACTCGCACGCGACGCGCGTGGCCTTGCGCGAGAGCTTGACCTCGAGGGGCAGACGTTTGGTCATGGGTGCGGTGGTAGGTGTGGTCTGGGGAACCGCCGGGGCTGCGGCAATATGTTTTTTATTTATTTATTTATTTTATTTTATTTTATTTAATTAAATTTAATTTAATTCAATTATAGCTCGGTGCTTACGCTAACCCTAGTTACTTCTCAAAACGTCCAAGAACTGGCCCTTGGATGGCTTGGCCGGCTGGTTCTCGGCCTTGGCAGATCCGAGTTTCTTCTCGGAGAACGCCTTGGCGTATGGGTTGAGTCTCAGCAGAACCTGCTTGTTCTTCAATGGGTTCTTCTTCAGAACGTGGGTTCTCTTCTGGGTGGCCTGGCCAGCTGGTCTGACAACAGCCTGGATCTCAGCAGAGTTGATCAGTCTGGTGACGTCCGTGTTGGAGACAATGTTGGCTGGCAGAGCGTAGCCGGACTTGGACTGGTAGACAGAGTCCAGAGCAGCAAAGGCAGACTCGGTCCAGATGACAAATCTTCCCAAGTGCGCACCTGGAGCCAGCTGCAGCAGGCCCAGAGCAGTAACCGGAGCGGTCTCGACGCCCGGCAGGTTTCTGAAAGCCTTGACAAGACCCTTGTCCTCGCCGTAGACAATCAATGGACCTCTTCTCTGGGTGAATCTTCTGCCTCTCAGCTTACCCTTACCGGCTCTCATCTTCTTGGACTTGATGACCTTGACGACGTCCTTGTGGGCGCCGACAGCCTTCAGAACAGCAACGGCCTCCTTGGTCTTGGTGACGGACTCAAGCTCGGAGGAGACAACCAATGGAATCTGAGGAATCTCCTCGACTCTGTGGCCTCTGGCCAAAACAAGGGACTGCACGGCAGTGGCAGCAATGGCAGAAGCAGTGGCGTATCTCTTCTCGTTGAGGTTGACCTTGACATGCCATCTTCTCCAGATCTTGGTTGGAGCGAACATACGACCGCCTCTGCACATGTTACCGAAAGCAGCCTGGCCGGATCTGTGGGTTCCGCCACCGCCCACTCTTGGGATTCTGGCAACGGCTCTTCCGGTACCCCAGGACTCGGCAGAGGTCTGGTGACCAGCGTTTTCAGCGACGGCGTAAGCCTGTCTCTTGTTCTTGTTGACTCTGGTGAAGACGGAGTGGACGATGTCTGGTCTGATAGGAGCCTTGAACACGGCTGGGAGCGGCAGAGAGCTGGATGTGGCCTTGCCGTCGAGGCTGACGACGGAAACTTGAGGAGTGGACATGGTTAAAAAATGATGAAAATTCAGAGTGAAAAAATTGTGCGAAATATTCGACGTCGTGCGGCGCCCAAAACACGCATCTGCGCGGCCGGGTAACCAGCCTGCTCTCCCTCTCCCCCCCTATTGTCCCCCTCGCACCGGGGCACAAAATAAGCTGACGTCCTTTGTTTCCTGCCCCATCCAACATGTCCTCCACGATTGCTCCCCTACTGCAGATCGACCCCTGGCTTGAGCCCTTTGCTGCCGAGATCGACCACCGGCGCAAGCTCGCCGACAATTGGCTCCAGGTCCTGCAGAAAAACGAGGGCGGGCTGCTCAAATTCGCAGACTCTTATCAAAAACTGGGGTTCCATGTCAACCCAGACAACTCCATTTCCTACAAAGAGTATGCCCCCAATGCCTCCGCTGCGTGCGTGATCGGCGACTACAACGACTGGCAGCACGACAAGGACGTCATGACAAAGGACAACTACGGCTTTTTCAGCATTGTGCTGCCTCCTGTCGATGGGAAACCTGCGATCCCGCACAACTCGAGGGTCAAGATTTTGCTCACCCTGCCTGATGGGTCCAAGGTTGCGCGGCTGTCGCCGTACATTCTGCGCGCTACTGCGCCGCCAAAAGAGTACAATAACCCGGCCTACGAGGCCCGTTTCTGGAACCCCCCAACAGATTACGAGTTCAAGCATGCTAGACCGCCTCTGCCGCAGTCGCTCAAAATTTACGAGGCACACGTCGGGATCTCGACGCCGGAGCCGCGCGTCGGCACCTACAAGGAGTTCACCGCCAACGTGCTGCCCATGATCAAGGACCTGGGCTACAACACCGTCCAGCTCATGTCTGTCATGGAACATGCATACTACGCGTCTTTCGGCTACCAGGTCACGTCGTTCTACGCGATATGCTCGCGGTTCGGAACCCCAGAGGAGCTGAAGGAGCTCATCGATACGGCACACAGCATGGGCATCCGTGTTCTTCTCGACGTGGTGCACTCTCACGCGTCCAAAAACGTTGAGGACGGACTCAACATGTTTGACGGCACTGACTACTGCTACTTCCATGGCGGTGGGAAGGGTGTTCACGACCAGTGGGACTCGAGACTGTTCAACTACGGCAGCTATGAGACGCTCAGGTTCCTGCTCAGCAACCTGAAATTTTACCTACAAGAGTACAAGTTCGACGGGTTCCGGTTTGATGGCGTGACCAGCATGCTGTACACTCACCACGGGATAGGCGAAGGCTTCTCTGGAGACTACAATGAGTACATGAGCCCCAATGGGTCAGTGGACAAGGAGTCTCTCACATACATGATGCTCGCAAACGACCTCTGCCGTCAATATGGAGAGCTTGAAAACTGTACCATCACGACGGTGGCAGAAGACGTGTCCGGTTATCCAACCTTGTGTATGCCTCGCTCAATTGGAGGTGTTGGATTCGACTATAGGCTGGCAATGTCGATTCCAGACATGTGGATCAAGATCCTCAAGCATCTGAGAGACGAAGACTGGGATATCGCTGCCATCGCGCACACTCTTACCAACAGAAGATACAAGGAAAAATGTATTGCATATGCAGAATCTCATGACCAGGCCCTTGTTGGAGACAAGACGCTGGCATTTTGGCTCATGGACGCTCAAATGTACACTAACATGTCGGTGCTAACTGAACTGACCCCTATTGTTGATCGCGGTATACAGCTGCACAAGATGATCAGGCTGGTGACGCAATCTCTTGGTGGAGAAGCGTACCTAAATTTTGAAGGTAACGAGTTTGGTCACCCAGAGTGGCTGGATTTCCCTCGTCAAGGAAACGGCGAGTCGTACCACTATGCAAGAAGACAATTCAATTTGATCAAGGACGATTTGCTGAGATACAAGTTTTTGTACGAGTTTGACAAAGCAATGAACACTACTGAGTCGAAATACACCTGGCTGAATACGGACCCGGCGTACGTGTCTCTGAAAAACGAGGTGGACAAGGTGCTGGTTTACGAGCGGAACAACAAACTCTTCTTGTTCAACTTTCATCCCACGCAGTCCTTTACTGATTACAGGGTCGGTGTCGAGACTCCTGGGTGTTACAAAATCATTCTGAACTCGGACCGCTCTGAGTATGGTGGACACGGCCGTATCGACGAGTCCAAGTCTGTCTTTTTCACCACTGAGTTCCCATGGAATAACAGAAGAAATTATATTCAGGTGTATCTACCTTCACGGTGCGCCCTGGTTCTTGCTTTGGACAGCGAGATCCAGTGAGCACCTCATGCCAGTCATTGCTATTCGATATCGGAAACGAACTTGATACGGTTGAGCACGAGGGATTCCATAAATATTTCAATGCATTTCTCGTGTGAGGTTTTAAGAGCATTAGCTTTGGTGAGGAACGTTTCCTTCTTTTTGATCACGTTCTCTGTCGGAGTGACTTCAAACAATTTAGAGAGGGCCTCCACATGGTTGGAGAGGTTACTTTGTGTTTTCTCGAGCATGCCTTTCTCCTTCGAGCTCTCGAGATAGAACATCAGGGCATACGACCACATCAGCGTGATACGGCATTTCAGCAGGGTATCGATCGACTCGCGGTAGAAGTGCGCCTCGATCCACGACACCTTAGCCCGTTGCTGTATTTCCTGGACTTTGTACTCGAGTTTGGCAAGGAACTCTGTGTCCTTTTTGAGCGAGACGCGGTGAATCTCAAACAGGTCGAAATAAAACAGGTATTTTTTGAGCGACACTCGCGACGTTTCCTGTTTCTCACGCTCCTTCTTGGCTTCTTCGTCGTCAAAGCTTGTGCACACAAAGTTGTTTTTGTGGCGACTCCAATCGCCCAGACAGATCCAGCAGAACTGGTAGTGGCACTCTCCGCAGGTCATGTGGTTGCAGCCTCCATTCTTCTCAATTGGCGACGAGCATTTGGGACAGTCTTTAGTGTTTGCCGTGATCCAGTGCGACGTTTCCGTCTCGTCTGCACAGGTCTGGATCCATTTGCGAACTACAGCGCACGTGGCCGGGGCGTGGTCCTCGCTCATGCACGCAAAGCAGAACCGATGGCCATTGGCACACTGCACGATGGGGATGTACTTGTGTGCAACGTACTCCTCCACAGAGCTGATCACGTCCGAGTCGAAGCCCCTGTACTGGATGAAACACTCGCAGTCGACCGCGGGACAGTTCCTAAACGTCCGGGCGTGTTTCTTTGTGTACTGGAGAACCACCGCGTACCAATAGCGCGACAGAAGCACTTTGTTGCGGCGTTCCTGTTTTTCGAGCCGCTGTTGGCGAATATGGCGTTCGTGGAAGTTGAACAGCGCGTCGTCGGCGCTCTCGTCGTCGTTCGCTGGCTCTGCGTCCTCCTCGTCAGAACTCTCGCTTGCTATCTTCTGGTACTTGGCCATGATCTGCTCCGAGGTTAACGGACCACCCAAGTTTTGTCTTTGTTCCTGCCGCTCTTTCTCTTCTTTTTGCAGCGCTCTCTGCTCGTCAAACGCGCTCAGCTGCGCCAGCTCACCGGGCCGCACATACAGACGACAGCCAGTGTCGGGACACTTGACGAGCCCGGTCTGGCCGCCTCTGACATAGCGCACATAGCAATCAACACAGTACCGATGATCACACCACGAGAGCCCGAACGTCTCGACGGGGCCCTCGCTGCAGCAGATCGCACACATAAACTCCGGCCCGGCCGTCTCCACCAGCCCAGACACCACCTTCGTGTCTGTCGCAAGCCCGCACTCTCGACGCAGGTTACCCGGCTCTTTCGTAGTGAAGTCCTCCAGCAGCTTCTGCTCGTTCCACTCGTACTTGAGCATCAGAACGGCGCAGTCGTCCTCGCCGATCTGCAGAATGCCGTCGACGTCCCTGATATGGGCCTTGAGCTGGCCCTCGATCTCGTCCGCCTCCACGGGCTTGTACCGCATGCGATGCGTGCTCAGGCCGGTGGCCGTCTGTCTGTTTTTGTGCGTGTAGTGCACAGAATCCGTCAGAGACAGCGCCTCGAGCTCGTCAAGCGACACAGAGCTCGCGTACTCTTCCTCGGAGTCGTATTCAAACTCGCTGGCGGACATAAACTAAAATGCTTGCACAGCCAGCAAGTATGAAATATATAAAATACATAATTAAATCTGTAAAAATAATATGTGATTAAAATTAAATAATTATTGGTAGCAAGATACTTTTGTGTCTTACCCATCTCCCGGCGATTATTCCCACTTAGCGATTCATCTATACACGTTTATGGTGCCGCTGCGGTCGCCGCTGACGAGCATCTCGTACGGCAGACACACCCACGCGATGTGCAGCACCCGGTCGCGGTGGCCGACCGTCGAGGCCGCGCGTTTCTGATCTGTGCGCCGCTCGCTCACAAACATGAGGTTCGAGTTGATCTGCGTCGCCACAAACGACGCCGCCGACTCCTTCCCCACCACACACGACCGTTCGGGCTCGCCAAGATCCCACACCGTCAGCTGGTTGTCTGCCGCCGCGCTCACCATCACACCGTCCGCACATTTCAAGGCTGTGCAGCTCTTGTCGGCCGTGACCAGCTCGTCAGAGAGCTCGAGCTGCGCAAGCTGGTCGTCCAGCGACTCGTTTTCGTTGTCCAGCTCGGTCACGATGTACGTTTCGATCGTCGACGACACGCTGGAGCAGCAGAACACCTGCCGTGGTTGCAGCCGCGCCACGTCCCAGACGGTCACGTCTGCGTCGCCAGAGCCGCCAATCACGGCTATGTATCTGGACTTTCTGCCGTTTGGCGAGTACTCCGACGGCAAGGTCTCGATGCGGTGGACTGGGAAGCTTGATCCGCGGAATTTTGCGCTCCTCAGCGAGATCTCAAAGTTCAGGTCCCACAGGTCCAAGATGCCCTTTGACGTGCCGACCACGGCCCAGCCCTGGGACTCGTCCACAGCGAGCGCGGTGGGGATCCCGTGCGACAGGTTGCACTGCAGCGAAAACACGGGCTTCATGGTGCGTACGTCTAGGCCGACTAATTTGGACGTGGGCGTGGTGGCCACCAGAAGCGGCTTTTCAGCCTGCCAGCAGAACCCCAGCTGCAGAGCGTACCTGTCGGCCCTGTCGAGCTTGTAGTGTCTGATGAGGCTCAGTTTGGCGGAGGAGTGCCGTTTGTGCGCGTTGGAAAACTCAATGCGGAAAATTTTGATGTAGCCGTCCTTGGTGGCCACCGCAAGACAGTATCTGTTTTGCATAAATTTAATGGCCACAATGGGCGATTCCAGGTTCACGGCCAGCGTTGACGACCCGGTAACGTTTGTTTCGAGCCGCGCGGAGTCCCAGAGCTTGAGCTCGCCAGACTCGTCGCTCGAGACGAAAAACTTGTGGTCTGGAGAAACCTCGAGGCCCGTGATGGCCGCCCTGTGCTCCACGAGCCGGGAGATCAGCGTGCCAGACACCAGCGGCTTCTCGTGGGTCTCTGGCGGCTCGTACGGCGCGGCAAGCCCGCCAAACTCGTTGTAGTCATCCAAAGTCGGCTCGAAGGTCATGCTGCCCAGAAACTTGAGAATGTACGGGTTCGTGCCCGAGTAGCTATGTTTGATTTTGGTGGTGATTTTCTGGACGCTGGACAACTCCTCGACGGAGACGGGTGTCGATGGCGGCAGCGATGTTGTTCCGCCGTGGACGGGGCGGCTGCTGGTGAATGTGAGCGGCTCTGCCTTGGCGGCAGTGCCGTACAACAGAGCAGACGCCTTTTTCGGAGCAGACGACGCAGCGGAGCCGTTCTGGGGCAGCGGCGCAGGAATTTCGCTCGGAACCACCTCCGAGCGATGCATGACGTCGAAAAACACGGTTCGCGGGAGCACGTTCGGCTTGGATACGTCGGCAGAGGTTTTTGGCTGGCCATTGGTTCTTGCGATTTTGTAGATGTAGGAGCGCAGCGTCGCCACTTTCCACAGCTCCGAGTCGGCCATCCCCACGGACTTGAGCCGCTCGACGTGCTGCAAATCGCTCTGGCTCAGCGGCACCTCGTTGTTGGCCACCACGGCCATGTCATCGACGCCGTGGAAGCGGTGCAGCGAGCTCTGGGACACGTTTTTGCGCAGAAACGCGATTCCAGACGTGTTGAACAGGTCGCCGCGGCGGTGCGAGGCCTCCACGCGCTGCCAGAACAGCGACTGGTCCTGTTTCAGCGACCAGGCCTGCGCCAGCGTGTACACGGCGGGCGAGATCGGCTGCTGGGCGCTGATGTAGAGCGATTCCCACGAAAACTCGGTCAGCTCGTCCTGGAAAAACGGCCTAATGATCGGATACAGCATGCAGTAGAGGTCTGCGAGCGAAAGACTAGAGCCGACAGCCACAACGAGATCGAGCACCGCCTGTCTGATGGTTTCGTTTGGGTGCAGCAGCAGCCGAATGGTGAGCTTAACGAGGTCCCAGTAGTGGACTTTGCGCACGAGTCCAAGCTTGCACAGCTCTGTGAACGTCTTGATGACCCCGATGACGACCAGCTCGTCGGCGTCGTTCAGGGACTGCACCAAAAGTGGCAGAATATACTGTTCCAAACTGACGATGCCGACAAAAACAGAGATGGGCACGATGCTGGCGACGAAGCCGAGCCGGATGTTGGGGTTCTTGTCGTTGAGGTAGGTGATGAGATGGCTCAGAATAATGTCGTTGGTCCTGTCTTTGCCGAAAAACGCCGCCAAGGGTAAGATATTTTTCAGCAGCGCTATGCGCACAAACGAGTCCTGGTCGGTGAGAATCTGCACGACGAGCGACTCAAACTCCACCACCATGTTTTTGAACGATTTCTCCAGCTGCAGGTCGTTCTCGATCGCAAACTCGTCCGACGCCGCGTGCTGCGGTTGCACGCTGAAAAGCGTAGCCATTTCGTAGAACCGGCGCGCGGTCCGCGCCAGATAGGGCAGACAGCCCGCAAACACAGACCGCAGGTATCTGCCCGCCTCCGGCTGCGCGGTATCCTGGTATGTGCGCTTCAGAAACTGCTGCAGCTTGGGCAGAACGTACTCCGGGAAGATGTATGCGTTGACGGGCGTGATCACGTCCACCATGGCCAGAAGCTGGGTCATACACCGCAGAGCAGCGCTCTGCACGTCCTCGCTGGGGTCATCCAGCATGTACACCAAGTACGGCAGACATCTGTCCAGCTTGGCCTCGTCGTGGAGCTGTTCTGCAAAGGAGAGGATGATGTCGCAGGCCTGCACTCTGAACGAGGAATGCGTCGAGTTCCGCACGCTGTGCAGCACCAAGGACAACAGAATCAAAGAAGCGCAGTCGTTCGACGCCTTGAAAACCTCGTGAGTCGGTTTGGGCACATGATCGTTCATCCCGGGCAGCTGCAAGCGAACAGGGATCATGGTGTCTGTAAGTTGTTTTTTGTCGTCGTCGTACTGATGCTTGAAACCCAAGTAAAGCGATATTTTGTCGAAATCGTTGTAGACGCGAGCAATGCGCACGTCGCAGCTGCGAAACGGGTCGTTCACCTCTGTAATGTCGCTGAGTTTCCTCATGTACGGATGCAGAAACGTGTAAAAATGGTCGGGAAACACAGAGCGACGGAACTGCGTCAAGCAGTCCTGCGCGCGGAGCCGCTGGCCCGGGTCCAGAGCGATCATGCTCTGGATCAGTCTGCGCACGTTGATGTCGTCTATACTGTCCAAGTTCGGCTGGTACTCGCCTTTTTTGTACTTGAACAGCTGCGGAAGCGTGAAGATCGAGAGACCCTCGAGGTAGATCTCGGCAATGGCACATCCCAGCGAGAAAATGTCCATTTGCCAGGTCAATTTCGCGTCTGGGTGCTCCTCGACCTCTTTGTCAGAGGCGAGAAACCGCTCGGGAGCAACATAGCAGGTGTGGCGCTGGCTGGTGTCAAAGTAGAACGAAAACTGCGACGGGTTGTTCTCCGGCAGATAGACAGGCTTGAAGACGGCAAAGTCACTGATCAAACACCAGTTCCACGACGTCATCAGCACATTTTCCGTCTTGAGGTCTCCGTGGTACACGTTTTTCTGGTGCAGGCGCGAAAGCGCAACAAGAAGCTGGTACACAATCCATTTGCGCTCGATCGGCTCCAAAAACGGACGGATGCTTATTCGATCGTAGAGATGGTAGCGAATATAAGGGCGAATTAGGTATCCTGCTCTCTGGGAGTCTATGATTTTCTCAAAGGGTAACACGTTGGGCAGATCCAGTAGATTGACCCTCAATAGCTCCAACTCGCGCACCCAGGCCTCGAGATTCAGCTCGGTGCTGGGCTTAATGAGCAGCTTGACAACAACGGCCCCTTCTTTGTCGAGACACTTGATGGTCTTCAGGAACCGCGTCGAGCTCAACGGCTTGCTATACTGGACGTCATTGAGATAGTCTATGTAGGCGGAAACGGCAATTGTCTGCGCCGTGGGCGACAAGAGCGACAACTGGGCACCCATCAGAAATAACTAAAATAAATGAAAAAAGGGACACAGCCTTGTTTTCTTTCATACGTGTATCGTTTATTCTAATCTCATTAGCTTACAGTATACCACGGAGCCCTACTTGAGCGTTGCCTTCCTTTCCTTGCGGAAAAGCTCGACTTCCTCGTGCAGCAGGATTTTCATATCGTTGACGGTCCGGCACTTCCACTCGAAACTAAAGTCGAACGGCTGTGCTACCTCAGGCTCGTCTTCCAGATTGCGGACCTCCGCTAGCAACGGGTGGTCCAGACACTGCTCGACAGTGTACCGTTTCTCGACCTTCCAGCAAAGCAAGTTCGAAAGCAAATCGTGAGCCAACACACTCGCGTGGGGATACACGTTGGACCACTCCTGTTTCTGGAACTGCGGCTTCGAGGACGCAAAGTAGTCCCACGCCACAGTGGAGTTGTACCCCAATATCACATTTCTGGACGGAGTGCCCAGCACTTTGCAAATCTCACTGATCTGGTGCATCTGGTCGTCGCCGATGAAGAGCGGCTTGCGGCCGTACAGCTCGCCGAAAATGCACCCAACGGCCCACATGTCGATTTCCTTCCCGTACTGTTTTCTCGTGAGAATCAGTTCTGGCGCGCGATACCACCGCGTGGCGACGTAGTTGGTGATGTTGCTGGATCTATGGTTCTTGTTCATGTACTGTTCCGAGATTCCGCGCGCAAGGCCAAAGTCGCAGATCTTGAGCACTCCCTGGCTCGTCACCAGAATGTTGCCCGGCTTGAGGTCGCGGTGGATCACGTCTGCGGAGTGAATATATTTTAGTCCGCACAAAATCTGGTACAGGAAACACTGGATGTGGAACTCGCTGAACTGCACGGACGAGTGGATCACCTTGGCCAGGTCGTAGTCTACCAGCTCCTGGAAACAGTACAGTCCGTCGTAGGGCTTCATGTAGACGATGTCGAGGTCCACCAAGTTGATGATGTTTTTGTGGCCCTTGAAGTAGGACATGAGCTTGAGCTCTCTCACCGCGCGTTTCAGCAGCACCTCCTTGTTGAATATATTGCTGACCTTCTTTATGGCGATCGACACCTTGTCCTTTGACTGCATGTCGACCGCCGAGCAAACTGTTCCGTACGAGCCCTTTCCAAGCACAGATATGATGTGGTACCGGGAGTCCAGGTAGAAGTTGGCCTTTTCGTACACTATTCTGGACGGCGGCTGTTTCTGTTGTTTGGCGTTGGAGGCGAGTCTGTTGTTGAGCGTGCGGGCGACATATCCCTCTTCGATCGACATGATTTATGGGAGCGCCAGAAGGAGAGAAAAAAAGGGCAGGGGGAAAAAATTATGCGAAACTGAACGAGGGCAACACCCCACCGTCGGGAACATGTGCAAGCTCCAATTGCTGGAACTGGCCCGACGACTGGTGGAAGTAGAGCCCCGAGATCGAGCCCGTGAGCTGGTTGAAACAGATGTAGTAGAACCCTTCGAAAGAGGCCCCCATGATGCTCTTCACGCTGGCGTCCGGAACGAGAAAAATCTCCTTCCACCTCATGTAGAGATGCTCGTTGTTCAGTGCGGTGTCGTAGATGTGTTTGTTGGCAAGGTCGTTGTCCTGGTCGAAGTCCAGACTTCTCCAGGACGGGAACCTGCTCCAATGCTGGAGGTCGTTGCGTTTGTTGGACCCCCACTCCTCGTTCTCCGTGTAGAACGAGTGATGCGGGCCGATGATCTCTCCTTTGAAGAACGTGGTGAACTCGGGATGCGACTCCGTCAGGCCGTGGATCGTGAAGTAGCCGCACAGATACGATCTCTTGAGGTCCACCTCTTTCAGGTCCACGCGGACCTCAAACGTGGACCGGCCGGACTGCTGGGACCCAATGAAGGAGGAGTTTGGCTTGAGGAAAGACGACACTTGCGACTTGTGCCGGCTGGCGAAAAAGTCGCGCACGCCGGGCGACGCGACGATCTGCGGAGGCGGAGCATGGTGCCTGGCCTTGAGCGGGTGTGATGAGCCCGCGCAGCGCTCCTGGGTATCTATGTGGTCAATGTTTATTGGGGTAGGCATGGATTTAGTGGAAATAAAGCGAGTCGAACTTTTTCTGCCGGATGATAGAACAAAAAAGGCAGGGTCTGGTGTTGACAGAGTGGTCTATGAAGACGGTCCTTGACTATGAAAAATGCAATCTGCCGAAAGTGCACAACACTGTTGGGTAAAAATAGTGTCTTGATACCTGTTGACTAATTCTTTTGCCTTGCCCGTTTCAGCCATTTTTTTCCGTATCTTATCTCGCGTGAATTCGCGAAATTAATAATTTTTCACAGATTTTCAACACCCATGAGCGACGAGTACCGAGCGTTGAAGGACGTTTTTGCCGGCACGATGGGCGGCATTGCCCAGGTCCTGGTTGGCCAGCCGTTTGACACCACCAAAGTGCGTATCCAGTCCGCTGAGGGCCACGTTTCTCCCGTCACCGTGGTGCGCCAGCTGCTGACCAACGAGGGTCCTATGGCCTTCTACAAAGGAACACTGACTCCGCTGATCGGAGTCGGGGCCTGTGTGTCTGTGCAGTTTGGTGTCAACGAGTTCATGAAACGGACGTTTTCGAGTCTGAACGGTCCCGGAAACCCGATCAGCATGCCTCAATTCTACGTGTGCGGAGCAGCAGCAGGATTTGCAAACGGCTTTATAGCCGCGCCAATAGAGCACATCAGAATCAGACTGCAAACGCAGACGACCGGCGCCAAGACGTTCAGCGGGCCTTTAGACGTAATCAGGAAGCTGTACCATGCGGGCGGCATCAAGCTTATTTATAGAGGTCTGGGTCCCACGCTCGCCAGAGAAAGTTTGGGTAGCGGAGCATATTTTTTGACTTTTGAAGCTCTCGTGAAAAACGAGATCGAGTCGCGGAATATCGCCAGAAAAAACATCGAGAACTGGAAACTCTGTGTCTTTGGAGCGCTGGCGGGCTACGGCATGTGGCTCAGTATTTATCCCATCGATGTGATCAAGTCCAACATGCAGACCGACAACTACAAGAGGCCGGTCTATAGAAATGCTGTCGAGGCTTTTAGGGGAATCTGGAGACAGAGCGGTGCGTGGGGACTCGTCAAAGGGTTCTCGCCGACGATTCTGAGAGCTGCCCCGGCCAACGCGGCTACTTTCCTGGCCTTTGAGATTACCATGCGGTATTTGAACTAGAATTAGAGAATAATTGAAATATGGAAAAAATTAATTTTCAGTACAGGCCAGAGGAAAGAAAACGGTCGACGTAGCCACCGCTTCTCTGGGTCGCATCGTCGTCCTCCTCGTCCTCGAGCCGTCTCAGCAGGTAATCGACCTCCACCTTTTTTGTGAGCGGAATCACGAAATCCTTGTAGATCTTCACAATCACCTCTGGCTTCACCTTGCTCTGAATGTGCTGCGTGAACTTCAGCGTGGGATCTGTTCCGTACGCTCTTCCCTTTTCAAGAAGTCTGTCCAAGATCCGTTGCTCAACCTCCGCGTTCGTGATGAGCGCCTCAATGCCCTCGACGTCTTTGTTTCTGATCAGCTCGACGATCTTGTCCCCCTCGCTGATAAATTTAGCCTCTGCGACAAAACGGCCAAAATGAATTCTTCTCGACAGCGACTGCAAACACTCGATATCGGCCATTGCGCACGAGCCAAGGTTGTCCTCCTGCTCTCCGCTGCCCGCAGCAATTCCTGGTACTATCTCTGAGGTGTAGATCTTGAGTATCTCGTTGTTGACGTTGATCTCGTCCGCGTAGGAGGCCAGCACCGAAGGGTAGTTGATCTTGGGCAGGAACGTTTTCTCGAGCACCAGCGGGAAAAAAGGCACTTCGTCCGGCGCGTCGTATCTTCTCACCTGCGAATGGATCCGCTCGTGTTGCGACAGCAGCCAATCCAGGAACGAGCCGTCAAAGTTGGGAATAGGGAACTGGTTAACTTTGTACACCGAGGGCGACGCAAAGAACTGCGACCGCTCAATGAAGTTGAAGATGATTGTATCCTCCATCCGGACCAGGGCGTCTCTGATGTTGCCAAGATCCAGCACTGTTTCTGGTTTCATGAAATCCATACCTATAAAATTAAACAGTTTAAAAAAAAATCGCTCCTCAAGTGCGCTTATCCTCACCTAAAAGCCAGGACAAATGTCTGAACCATAGAAACCGCTGGATGCGCTCCTCCTTGCTGTCGCCAAACCCGTAGTTCTCGCGTGCATCTATAAGGTCTTTTCGCGATCTCTCCGTCATTTGGATGCGTTTCACGAGCGACTCGCGATACGTTCCGCCAATGTAATCGTCGTAGAATATGATGTGTGCAAACTGCAATGCTGTGTATATTCCGGTGGCCAGCAGCAGCGTGAGAAAGATCGTTCGCCTGTTATGCCGAAACGTCTCCATATTGCTGGCATTAGGCCCCATGTCTCTCCATGTGTTGTCTGTGTAATATCCAAACCCAAAATCCTGTTGGCCGTGCCACCTGTCCTCCCACGTGCCGTACGTCGACGGACGATAGTGGCCGGCCTGCGGAGCGGTCTTGGGCCGGTAGAGGCTGCTGGAGTTGTCCTCCCAGCCGATCCCGTAGTTATCGTAGTTCTGTCGTGTCTGTGGATTTTTCAGCAAAGCATACGCAGCAAGTATCCGCTTGAAACGGTGCTCTTTTTCCTTGTTTTCCAGCGCGTCGTGCGCAGAGTCCGGATGATACACTTTGGCCAGCTCGTAGAACCGCCTCTTGAGCTCCTCCTGCTTCACGTTGCTCTGTTTCAAGCCAAGCACGTCGTAGGGCGTGGCATTCTTGAACGTCGGATACAGTTTGAGCAGCCGGCCGACGTTCGCGTCCGTGCTATACCCCCGTCTACACAAACGGGGAATAAGCATCATGGTTAAGAAACTCTACTTGTATTGATCAAATCTATTTGCTCAAGATTTTGGAGCCACCCCCACACCGTTTATATTGCGGAACATCCGAACACCGTTATCACCTTCCACGAACTGGCACGCCCTGGCGGATTTCCACAGGGTGTACCACATGGACTCGTCGCTGTGGCGGTAGTGGACGCCCATGGCCTTCTTGATGCCCTCGGTGGCCGGTCTGGCGTTGTAAAACGGAATCCGGGAAACGTAGTGGTGCAGAACGTGGGTCTCTATAATGTCGTGGAAAAAGAACCAGCCAACGAAGCCAAACTCTCTATCGATCGTGGCGGCGGCGCCCCTGGCAAAAGTCCATTCGTTGTTGTCGTAGTGAGGCAGCGAGACATCGGTGTGTTGCAGGTACGTGATGAACACGAGCCAGTGGTTGGTGAAGACGTATGGCAGGAACCAGTTGATGAAGCAGTGGAAGCCTCCAAAGCTCTTGCACCACTGGTACACCACAAACGACTGGGCAAGCACGCCGATGTCGGACAGCACCACGTACCAGTAGTCGCGCTTGTCAAAGATCGGCGACGCAGGGTTGAAGTGCGACACGGCAAACTTGGTGTGCTCTGGGTATTTCTGGCCAGTGACGTTGGTCAGCAGATACCACCACCAGCCGCCAAACTGCTGCACCAGCAACGAGACCAGCGTCTGGATTGGCGTGTCCTCAGAAAGCTCACTGAGCTTCACACGCGCGTCTCCAGCCCGCTCTTTTTTAAACTCCTCAACAGTTTTGGGAACGAAAACCATGTCTCTTGTGAGGTGTCCGGTGGCCTTGTGGTGTTTGCCATGGCTGTACTTCCAGGAGAAGTATGGAACGTACAGGTAGGAGTGGATGATCCAGCCCACCGTGTCGTTGAGCCATCCGTAGTCAGAAAATGCCTGGTGGCCGCACTCGTGTCCCAACACCCAGAGTCCCGTATAAGGCAGCGACAGCAGGATCGCGTAACCCAGCCACAGAGCGCCTCTCACGGCCGTCCAGGGGACCTGTGGAATGTAGGTGTTGGCCAACCAGCCCATGGCAAGACAAACGGCAATGTCTCTGAAAACATAATAAAAGGACGTGGTCAGTCTGCGTTCGAAACACTCTTTAGGGATACTATCCAAAATCTCCTTGATGGAGTAGTCTGGCACTTGGAACTCATTGCCCTCGGTGTCGAGAGCGCGCAGTCCTTTGGTGGACTTGTCACCAAAACGACGTTGTGTCACTGTGGTGGACATATTCTAATAATTCTCCTGGTCAAAAGAAAACTAATTTATCAGCTGGTCTGACTGTCTGCCCTGCCCCCACTAAAAAAAAAATTTAGGTGAATCTACCAGATTTGGATTTTGTTGGGTCTGGCTAAGGAAAACGGGATTTGTGGTGGTGCAAGGATTTGCAGCGCTTTTTTCGTGCGCTTTTTATTTTATTTTCAAATTCTCCGTACTAATCAACGCAGCATGAGCGAGGTCCAGAAGAAACCCATTTCTTTTTCAAACATCCTGCTCGGAGCAGGTCTCAACATGTTTGAGGTCACCACGCTGGGCCAGCCTCTGGAGGTGGTCAAGACAACGATGGCCGCCAACCGGTCGCTCACCATATTCCAGGCCACCAAACACGTCTGGTCTCGTGGAGGGTTGTACGGCTTTTACCAGGGTCTGATCCCATGGGCCTGGATCGAGGCCAGCACCAAAGGTGCCGTGCTGCTGTTTGTCTCTTCGGAGGCCGAATACCGTCTCAAAGTGCTCGGAGCGTCTCCGTTTGTGTCTGGAATCGGTGGAGGAATCACTGGTGGTTTGTTCCAAGCATACCTGACAATGGGATTCTGCACGTGCATGAAGACCGTGGAGATCACGCGTCACAAGGCCGCTGCAGCTGGAGCTCCTGTTAAGAGCACTTTCGAGGTTTTCAGGGAGATCTTTGCCAAAGACGGTATCAGAGGCATCAATAAGGGTGTCAACGCCGTGGCCATCAGACAGATGACCAATTGGGGTTCGAGATTCGGTCTGTCGCGACTCGCAGAGGACAGCATCAGGTCGGTGACGGGCAAGAGCAAGGACGAGAAGCTGGGAGCAGGCGAGAGAATCCTGTCGTCTGTGCTTGGTGGAGGTCTTTCTGCCTGGAACCAGCCTATCGAGGTGATTAGAGTCGAGATGCAGTCGCAGACCAAGGACCCTAACCGGCCAAAGAACCTGAGCGTTCTTGGCGCAGCCAAGTACATCTATTCGATCAACGGCATCAAGGGTCTGTACCGAGGCGTGACTCCAAGAGTTATGCTGGGAGTTTGGCAGACGGTGTGCATGGTGACACTGGGAGACTACGCCAAGGAGTTTGTTGCCGAGCTTACGGGTGAAAAGCCTGCTGGACACTAAATAAATACTATTAGAGTGATTACTAATAATGTTGGCCATCTTAGAGGATTGATGCTGGATATCACGAGTTGGCTCACTGCTTGCGCTGCACGCCCCATTTGTCGTAGCAGTAGAGCCCAATGAAAGTGAGTGCGAGTCCTGTCCATTGGACTGCGCTGAGTTTTGTGCCCTCGACCAAGATCGAGCAGCTGATGATGATGATCCGTTTGAGGATGTTGGCGATGCTGTAGTTGATCGGACTCACCATTCCAAGGATCTGGAAGGCGACCACGCTCTGCATGAAATGGGAGAGTCCGTTGACGAGAATCAGACCGGCCACGTAGCGGTCGATCTTCGCAAGAGAGAAACCGGAGTCTGACGAGAACTCCGAGAGCAGATACAGCGGCAGCGTCAGCACAAAGCCCACAGACGAGCAGTGGAACAGCACCGACATCTTGTCGAGTTTTTTCTCGGAGTTGATCACCAGCTTGTTGAGAGATTGCGACGAGTTGCCCAACAAAGGCGTGACCGGCGGACTAATGTGTTTTGGGGTCATCGCAATAGGGAGCATGGGCGTCGAGGTGGCCGACTCGCTCTTGACGACCTTGTAGTTGAGGCTGTGGGTGAAATAATCGTTTTTGGAGTCCTTGGCCTCAAAAGTGAGGATTTTTTTGGCAAAGATGTTCTGGGACACAAAGATGAGCATGGAGACGAACGCAAACACGCAGCCGGTGTAGAAGAATTCCGAGTCGGCGGTGATCTTGCTATTTTTCACGCAGGACAGCATGACACCCACCATTAGGGGAAGCAGGGTCAAGTACGTCTTGCTTCCAAACTGCTGTTTGAACATGAAACGGTAGATTAAAACGGTGGTCAGAGGCGAAAGCGCCTTAATCGTGTGAACTAAAGAAACGGGGATGACTGAGGTCGCCTTGTGCGACGCGATGTGGCCCACAAACTGGAACATTCCCATTGGGAGCGTTGTTTTCAAAACAAAGAGTGTAGGGGTCAGAAAGTCTGTGAGCGTGTAACCGTAGCGGTTGAGCTCCATTGGAAACGTGCCCTTGGGAAATTTGTCCAGCAGCGACGTGGACTCCTTGCCTGCGTACAGAGAGTTGGGGTTGAGGTGATGACGGTGAGATGCAAACATGGCGTCATATTTCTTGACAAATGCCACGGTGAGGAAACAGTACGCGGCGTTGATGATGAACTGGAGCTCTGTGAGCGTCACTGGGTAGTCGAAGTTGCGCAAGATGGATTTTGTGCTGTTTGAAGAGACAACGCTGACCGTGTACCAGACCGCGCATAGCAAGCACAGTTTCCAGTCAATAAGGGGCAGCAGGGGAGATATGTTGGAGGACAGCTCCTGGACAGAGCTGCGTAGCTTCTGGATACTTGGCCGGCCAAATATTAAGAGCATGGTTGAGAAAGCGAGAGGAAGGGGACAAGATAATTATAGAAAAACAACTTATGTTAGGGGTGGCTGTACTTTTAAATAAAAAGAAATGGTCCGGACAACGAATACGGCAAGAGACTGATTTAATAGAAAAATTTTATTGTTCGCTTAGGTAAAACGAGTTCCTGATTAATAAAGATTGTCCCGATTTACCATGCGGGCGTACCCCTTTCGAAAATCTGCGCGTATGCAGAGCTAGCAGGAGGCGTGGTTTTCGTTTTTGGTCAACGCGCTGATCCAAAAACCTTAACACTCGGCAAATTTTAGCTCGATGGCATGCAGGTCCATTTCGCGTGTTCCAAATAATTTGAATTTTTTTCCGCAATCTTAATGACATCAACGATCGACCCTAGCAAGGTTATTTCTTGGCTGCGACAGCCGCACAACAAGGCCTTTTGGCACACAGATTTACAGGTCAGGCACACCCAGCACGGCGTGGGTGTATTCGCCTCTCGGCGAATCGAGCCCGGCACTGTGCTGCTCAGCGTTCCCAAAACGTCTATCTTATCTGCACATAATTCGTGTATAGCCAACCTTCTCTGCGACGCCCAGATCTACGGGATGCACGCCTTAGTGATCGCCTTTCTCTATGAGAAAAACGTTGGTGCAGCAAGTCCGTGGTCTGATTACATTGAGTCCATAAATTTTGCTGGTGCGATGCTGCCACCCTGTATGTGGGACGCAGAAGCCAAGTCTTTATTGGCTGGCACAGAGGCCGATCTCATGGGCGTTCTGGACAGCACAGAGCTTGTTGCACATTATGAGCTGGCCAGACGCTTTGCGAATCAGCATGCACCCATGATATCTGCGCCTGCCGAATTGGCGGACCTTTCGCAGTTTGCGGCCGTAGTTCTGGCCGTGGCGTCTCGTGCGTTTGAGATCGACCATTTCCACCTTTCGGGACTGGTTCCTGGCGCCGATCTGTTCAATCATCACCCAGACGGCCACGGGTTGGTTCATTTTGAGGCTCTTGCAGAGGTGTGTCCTGACTGTGGCAAGCTGGACTGTGGCCACGGCAGCGATGACTCTGACGACCAATTCGACGAATTCGACGACTCTGAGGACTTTGAAGATTCTCAGGCCACTCACGAGGTGGCAGACGCACAGGAAAAAGATAACGATGAAAACTCCGAACTATGCGACATTGTTAGTCACACGAGCCTTGTGCCAGACACAGAAATATTCAACACCTACGGGCCCCTCTCGAACGCTGAGCTGCTCGCAAGATACGCCTTCTGTGTCGACGATAATCCGCACGACACCGTTTGCCTGGGAAAACAGGTGTCTGCACATAGAAAACGGGTCAACCCTGCCATTTCCAGACGGCTCAGGTGGTGGTCGCGCCAGAGCGAGCAGCCGTGGCTTTTGGAGTGTTATGTCGACGCCAACGGCACGCCGTCGCCGCAACTGTGCTGCGTGGCCAAGCTTTTCACTGCCCCAGGCAAGACGCTGTCGCGATCGCGGCTCTCCCGTCTTACCCCTTCTGCCAGACGACTCATACAGCATTGGTGCGCTCAGAGAAAGTTGCCCGACGTGCCAATCACAATTCAGGACGCGACCACCGCGGCCCACATCCGTTGCATCAGAGATAACGAGAACCGCATCCTAGACAAGTGCATTGCCAAACTGAACTACTAGTCTGTAAATAAATAAATATCCCTGATTTGGCCCACAAAAATTAATGCTACGCTGATGTAATCACCCCAAAACAAAATTTTCCAATTGGACAAACAAACACTTCACCAACCCTCATAATATTCATGTTGAGAGCAGCCAAATTCCATCCTGCCGCGCGTCAGGCGGTGCATGGCGTCAGACTGCAATCCACAATACCAATCAAGAGCGTCAAGAGGTCGCGGCCATTCAGAAAATTCCTGTTCCGGCTGTCCATGTTGACGGCAACGTTCTACCTTGGAGGAGGCTTCATTGCCACGAAAAACGACACTGTGCAGGATCTGTTTGAGGACTACATTCCGTTCGGCGACTCTGTGGTGTCGACCATTGACTACTACCTATATCACAAGGACGAGCTGCTGAGTCCCTTCTCCAAGGTCAATGATTCGTTTGCCGAAGTGAAGGAGAAGCTTGGTCTGGAGAAAACCATCACGATTCCAAAACAAGGTGTGCAGAGCGACAAGGTCGAATTGAAGGAGACTCCGGCTGCGGGCGCTACAGAGGTCGCCGTGGGCCGCAGTCTGCCGCTTTTGCATCTCGAGTCGGGCGACGAAGTGATCGACAGCACTGTCAATGCTTTGAACGAGCTGATCGCCGCATTGAACCTGAAGGTGACCAGCTTTGAGAACCACGAGGTTGTGGAGTCATTGCAGAAGAGTCTGCTGTTGCTGGCGGAAAAATATCGTGCCATCAGCTTATCCAAGAGCCAGGAACAGGCCAGTCTTGACGACAAGCTGAAAGCTCAACTGAGCCAGAAGGAGGTCGAGCTGACGGAGGAGTTTGTGCAAAAGCTGGAGGAGGCCAAGAAGCAGATCGAGGAACGTCATTTACAGCAACTGAGAGTCGAGGTGGAAGCCGCCAGACAGAAGATCGAGCTCGAGGCTGCGAATCTGATAGAGCAGTCCAAGCTTGCAGCCATCGACGAGTTCAACAAGGTGATCAGCGAGAAGATCGACTCGGAGAGAAATGCAAAACTCAAGGGATTGGACGCTCTGGCCGCCAGAGTGGCCGAGATCGAAAAATACGAGCTCGAGCTCGGCAAGAGTGCCGGAATGTATCTCTCGTACAAGGAGGTCAAGAAAAGTATCAGCTCGTTGCAAAAGTTGCTATCCACAAACGAGACGTCTCCGAAACGCGGCGAAGAGCTCGTTGCCGAGCTGACCAAGCTGAAACAGCTCGTTGCCGCTCTGGACAACCAGCTGATCACGGAGGCCGTGGCAGCTCTGCCGTCGAATGACAAGCTTCTGAGAAGCGGCGGTGTGCTAACGCAATCTCAGCTGATCTCGAGATGGGAGCTGCTTCTGCCAGAGCTGAGATCTGTGTCTCTGCTTCCACCGAACGCCGGTCTTGTTGGCCACATCTCGTCGCTGATCTTCTCGAAATTGCTGTTTTCCAAGTCTGGCCGGCCTGTTAAGACCGAGGACGAGCTCATTGGCAACGACATCGAGTCCGTGATCGCCAGAGTGAACAACTATCTTGTCAAGAACGAGTTGGACAACGCAGTTGAGGAGGTCTCCAACATGAAGGGCTGGGCAAGAAGACTTGCCGATGACTGGCTGGTCGAGAGCAGACGCAAGCTAGAGCTACAATTTTTGATTGATTTGGTCGACACCGAGGTGAATGTCAGTTTGTAGAGAAATATAGAAATATATGAAGGAACACTATAGCATTAATAATTTTTCTAATTTATTTTCATTTGTGTATTTTATTAACTTCAATGACCGCCGCGCCACAGGTTTACGGAGCAGACGAGATCAACGCCATTGTGATCGACCCGGGGTCGTACCAGACGAAGATTGGCTATGCAGGCTACGACTCGCCCAGCATGGTGCTTCCGTCGTATTATGGCCTGGTCGACGCAGACGGCAACAAGAGACGCATTTTCGACGAGACTCTGCTGCTTTTACCGCAGAAAGGCCTGGAAATCAAGCACATAGTCGAGAACAACGCCGTGGTGGACTGGGAAGGCTTTGAGGCCCAATTGGAGTACATGTTCAAGAAACTAGACATTGATCCTACACAGCAGCCCGTGCTGCTGACCGAGTCCACCATGAGCTCGTACGAGAGCAAAGTCGACGCGCTGAAACTTTTTCTGGAGAAACACAGGTTTCCTGCATTCTACCTGGTGAAACAGCCAACAACTGTGTCTTTTTCGCACGGCCGTCCCAACTGTCTCGTGGTGGACGTTGGCCACGATCTGGTCACGGTGACGCCGATCGTGGACGGGCTGTGTCTGAAAAATCAGGTCATGGGCACGCGGTATGCGGGGGCCTTTCTGAACCAGCAGTTCGAGCAGTTTCTTGCCGACAAGAAGATCGCATTGCGGCCGCATTACACGATAAAATCGAAAAAAATAGTTCACTGGGAGTCCGAGACGACCACGGCGCACTTTGAGGAGCGCAAGTACGATTTCGAGGTGTCTGCGTCGTTCCGCGAATACTCCAAACTGAGGATACTCCAGGAGATGAAAGAGACGCTACTCAACTGTATGGAAGAGGACACCGAGGAGGTCAAGGAGGCCAAGGAGGCCGACGACGAGGTGCGGTGGTTTGAGCTGCCTGATGGCATGGCAGTTCCGTTTACCAAAAAGGACCGCACTGTGCTGAGCAACTCGTTGTTCAGTCCGCTCGAAACGCTCTCTAAGCCGGTTAAGGGCTGGGAGACGCCCGAGGACGGAAACATTGTCAAACATCTGGGCAACGCGAACGAGGCCAGCAGCAAGGAGTACGTGCCGATGAGAAGAGCCAAGAAGCCAGAGGACGACGACAAGGACAAGCCGGAGGAGGACGCCGCCGAGGCCCAGAAGGGCTTTGGGCTGCTTAAGCTGGTTCAGACCGTTCTGGACCGGCTGGACATCGATCTGAAGCCCCAACTGGCCAACAACATCGTTCTCGTCGGCAGCACGTCGCTCGTGCCGGGACTGAACGCCAAGCTGCACTCTGAGCTGTCACTTGCGAATCCTAGTCTCAAGATCAGGATCCACGCTTCTGGAAACACCATAGAGAGAAGATATGCCTCGTGGGTTGGGGGCAGTATTCTGTCATCGCTCGGGACGTTCCACCAGCTGTGGGTCAGCAAAGACGAGCTGGACGCTGTTGGGGCAGAAAAGCTGATTGTCAATAGATTTAGATGATATATTACAAGTATCCACCGATTTGCCAGTATTTCACCAGATCGAGCCACGAAGCGACACGTAGCTCGTCATCGGCGCTGTTGCGACCGCGCCAAATCTCAAACAGCGCCTGTTTGCCGATCCAGCGGTCGCCCGCGTCGAACGCGGTGCGGCCAAGAATGTCGTAGCGGGTCTGGAGCTCCTCGTCCAGAGCGTCGGAGCCAGACAGGAAAAAGCACCAAAACGGCAGGTTCACTCGCAAATCGGCCGTTCGACGCACCCTCAGCTTCAGGTTCCACAGGGCCTCCAAATGGTACAGAGTGGACGCCACGTGGCGCTGCAGCTGGCTGGGGTGCGACTCTTTAATTATGCGGTAGAAAAACATGAGCGTGGTGTAGTAAAAGCACACCGATAGATGGTACACGCTCTCGTGCACGGGGCTGTAAAAATACAGCACGCTGTCACGCTGCTCGTACAGCACCCAGGGAAGCTTCCAGTTGCGCAGGTCCTCTTCCAGGTCGCAGCACTGTTTCGGGAAATTGCGTGGATACACTTTTTTCCGCAGAATATAATTTCTGTGGTCGGACAGCTCGACTGTGCGCTCCATCAGCTCGAGCAGACTGCGGGGGATTCCGAAACTGAGCTCGATAGGAGAGAAGGGGAGGTCTGTGATAGGGAATTTGAACCGAATCGGCTCGCCTTCGTCCTCGTTGTCGTCCTCCTCATCGTCCTCCGACTCCAGCTCCTGGCCGTAGGTGAATTGTACCACGTATTTTCGCGGAGGTTTATCCTCGACTGGCGGGCGTAGAGCCAGCTTGCGCGGCACGTTGCTGAGTTGAACGTTCTCCCAGCTCTCCTCCACCACCAGCTGCTTGATTTCAATTTTTGTCGGGTCCTCTGCCGGCAGAACCACCTCCTTGAGGTCCACTTTTTCCTCCTCTAAATGGTAATTCTCAATATCGATGATCGAGGTCGACTTGAAAAACATGTTGAGGTACCGCAGCCACAGAAGAAGGTCTCTGGCACTGCTCGCCGGCTCGCGCGTCTCGAGAAACTTGCCGATGCCGCCCGCAACACCGTGCAAAAACTTGTAGTTGTGGAAAATGCTCATGGACTCGTCCACTTTGATGGCCATCAAAATCACCATCAGTAGCTGGTCAATGAGGCCGTTCTGCAGCATCGCGTCCAGCAGCTCGTGGTTCGTCACCTCCGGCCGCTCGCACTTCACACTCACCAGCGCACTCAGCACACGGCTCAGGTTGGCCAGACTGGCCTCGCGCAAAAAAATGAACGCGCGCAGCAGAGACATCGAGCTCTCGTGTTCTCCGGAAACGTCAAATAGCGCCTGGTACCTGCCCAGCGTCGAAATTGCGAGCGACTCCAGCACGAACGTCTGTTTCAGCAGCTTGAATAAACTGCCATGTTCTGATTCCCGGGCCTTTTGCACCACCAGCTCGCCAACGTCTCGAAGCAGAGTCGGCACCACCAGCTTGTCCAAAATGCCGTCTTTGTACGCCACAAATACCAGACTAGTACACTGGCGCGAAAACTGCTGGATCCAGCCGCGTGTCTTGGGGTGCTCGAGAAAATCAAGAAATAGATCGCCCGTGCTCTGGGCACCCAGCTCCAGCACTAATTTTTTCAGAAATCTCTCTGTTATGGCCTCGTTCTCGGAGTCACCCAGCATGATCCGGTCCACAAGCCTGTTGCGCGGCGTGCTGCCGTAATACTCAGCAAAAACCTCCCGCTTTACCGTCTCCCAGTCGTTGGTGTTGACCATAGCGTCTCCTATCATTGTCCGGTACGTCAACAGGGCATCCACTTGCAACCGCGGGTGCAGCCACAATTCCCGAGGAATTATCGTTTCGAAGGACGGCGCAACAAACGACGACGGCGCCGCAGCAAAAGCTGTCCGCTCGACCTTCTCTTCTTTATTCAAGCGGAACACCCCAAAGGGCCCAATAAATCGCTCCTCGCTGCTGTCAATCTTGTCCAAATCAGAGTCCATGTCTTCTGGAAATAAATAGCCGTTGCGAAATCTCATGAAGGGAACATGTCTGCGCTGATGTTGGACAACCGGACCGCCCCCACTCACCTCGAGACCTCTCGGACCAGCGATAAGATACTCGTAAAAGCGAAGACGGATCCCGTAGCCAAGACACTCGACGTTGGCCTTTTCGCAGCGCAGACACTGCGGCCGCCGGCCGTCGCACTTGACCTTGCGATTTCGACAGGTGTCACAGCCAGTGAAAGTCCGTCGCTTGATCGGAGCCATTAAATAAATAATTAGTGTGGAGTTTTTTTTCGATATAATTAATTAATGCTTTAGTGTTCCTACTCACTGATAGCCAGGTCCTCCTCGAGATCGACGCGACGGAGCTTCTTGCGGTTCGACTTGGTTGGAGATAACGAGTGCTTGCGCAAAGGCTCTGTCTCGACAAGCTTGTTCGTTGGCTTCAATACATCCTTCTGGCTTTGTCCCTGACTCTGAACCTGTTCGCCCTTATCTGTCTTCTTGCTCTTCTTTTTGCGTCCAGGCGACTTGCGCACAGCAGACTCTCTTTGAGGAGAGTGGTCCTCGAAAATGGAAATAGGCATATTCATGTTCGTTGTGTAAAGATCGGTCGGGAATAGGTACGGAGACTTGGTTGGAGACTTCGCTGGAGACCGGGACGGTGTCTTGGCACGGTCCACAGAATCTAGAACACTCATTTTGGTCTTCATGGACTCCAGCTGCGATCTCAGGTTTCGGATATCGTTTTTGCTTTTTGTCTCCACCTGCACGAGCTTGTTCTTCAGATCCTCAATCTCTCTTTCCTTGGACTCTATCTCCTTTGCCATCTCCTCCGTACTGTGATTCATTTCCGATATCTGCTTGTCATGGGTCTTTTGGAACTCAGCCATCATGACGTTGTTTGTCTCTAACTCCTTGACCAGAGACTCGATGCGTTCACGAAGAGGCGCCATCTGTTTCTCGTGCTCATCCTTCAAAGACTCAAGCTCAACCCTGTGTTGCTCCTTGAAAGATTCGACGGCTTGGTCGTGTTGGCTTTTCAGGGTCTTGATGATTTTCTCATGCTCAGTTGTGAGATCATTGCTATTCTCTTGCATCAGGTCCTTCAAAGATTGGATATCTCTTTCACGCGCTTCAAGCTCGGCTTTTAGTTTCGCTTGATACTCCTCCTCCAGTTTCTTGGCCTTGAGGTCGAACTCCACGGAGTTGCTTGATAGCCCTTGTTGCAGCTTGGTAATATTCTCCCTCAACTCGTTTATTTCAGACACCTTCAAAGTGAGCTCGCTTTCTATCTTACGATTTTGCTCTTCTGCCTCTTCGACCATCTTGCCCAAATCATCACTTTTTTGCAGAGACACCTGGAGCTCTTGCTGAGCGTCCTTCAGTGTCTGCTCATGTTGCTCCTTCAATTCATTGATTTGGGTTTCTAAAAGTTCATTGAGCTGCTTCAGCTGCTCGCACTTATTCTTGAGCTCCTCAACAAACGCTTTGGACTTTTCAAGCTCCTCATTCTTCAAGCTCACCTCGCGATTTAGTTTATCCTGATAACATTGGGACAGTTCTTTGAGCTTGGAATCTGTTTCAAGTTCGTGCTCTTGATTTAGTTGAAAGATCTCATTTTTGTGCTCCACGGCTATTTGATTCAGTTTGGCCTCATTTTCCTCATAGAGCTCCTGGCGAATACGAACCTCCGTTTGCACCACTTCCTCTTCAAGCCTGGCCACCTTGGTTTCTAGCTTCTGCTGGTATAGTTTCAGGGTATCTAATTGGCAAAGCAGCTCATGTTGAGTCTTGCTATCAACTACCGTTTTGATCTGAGAGCATGAAGAGGAAGTATGTCTTGGAACTTTCTGATATTGAATTGGATTGACGTATCTCAAAGTTTGAAGAATCAGGCCCTCGTCTCCAGCGGGATCCAAGTTAACAATAATGGAGATCAAGCTTTTGCTTTTGACGTAGTCATGGAAAATCAGACGTGTCAGCTTATTTGTGCGCAATAAAGACTTGTTGAACTGCTTAGTGGCAACCAGCTCCAAGCATCTTCCAAGTTGCGTTAGTGAAGCATTAGTGAAGCTTCCCTCCCTCAAATTCAAACCGCTCGTCATAGATAGCTTGGATCTTTCCAGGCCAGCGAGGTCTGCGAGAGTCAGTCTGGAACAGTTGACACTTCTACCCGAGATGCGAACAACGTTGATAAACAGAAAACAATGAGATCTCGAAGAGTCTCTGTTGACATGGGTGGTACACGTTTTTCTGTTCGAAAGACCACGGTTCAAAGTTCTGATTGCATTTTCGAAGTCGCTCACCATGAACTGAGACAGATTGTAAGGCTTAAGTTTTTGGTCCACTGGGTCCGTAATGATGTCGAGGAAAGAGTTTGATTTTTTGGTGGTTGTGTTCATCAGCAGATCTTTGATGTTGTCATTGTAGATCTCAAACATTGATAACGTGACCGCATACTCTGAGTCAACAAATCCCTGCTGAGAAGTGTTGCCGTTCCACAAATTGCTCATCAGACCAGCCAGCTTTTTGTGATTGGTGCTGATGTCTCCATATTGAGACAGTCTTTCAAACACATACCGAAGAGAGTTCACCGCAAGGCCAGTTTCCGGATCGAATACGGTATGTGTCTTACCGGAATTAGATGGCCCTAAGGTAAAAAGCAAGCAGTCTTGTCCTTTGAACAGCCGGTCGTCCAGGATAGGTTTTCCCACGGTTTCGAACAGGCTTTCAGGCTCTTGTGAGACGGATTTGAAGTCGAACGATGCGTCGAACTTGGAGAACTCTATTTGGTTTGGATTGGTCTCACTCCTTGTAAAAACAGGGACGAAGTCGCCCGAAAACCGTCTTGTTCTCAAGTGAAGGTCCATGTTTATATTTGTTTATTTATATTTTTCTCAAAAAAGCCTAAGAAAAAAAGGGATCAAAATAATTTAACTCGATATTTAGGGAGCTGATTTCAGATTGCCAAGCAGTTTTCAGGCCTATGAAGCTCTGGTACACTATTTCGAAAGGTCTTAGGATCACGGGAAGTATTATTCCCGCTTTTGGGTCGGCCCAGCGACTAACCCAGACACGATTTACTTGATAGCCCGCGTAACGCTTTTCATTATATGCTGTATTATTTCTTCAGTTACCCTGGTAGGCGTGTTCTACCTGTGGATTGACCCAAAATCGCTAATAGAGTGGATTGCACGCAATTACACAAGGGTTTATTACGGGGACTGGAACTAAGAGTCGATCGACGCAAAAATAATTTGTTTTAATTTAGTTAGCAAGATATGGCTGAGACCAACAAGAAAGAGGCAGCTGAGGAAAAGCAGGAGCTTGAACCAAAAGCCGAAGCTCTTCAGTTGCCCGAAAAGAAAAGGCCGATTGAAGAAGAAGAGAAAGAGGACGTGAAGAGAGCAAAGAGTGTGAAGAAGAACGAGGAAACACAAGCAGAGAAGACGCAGGAAAGTGACACAAAACAGGACGCCGATGCCAAAAACGATACAGAGGAAAAGGACGACAGTGTTTCCGGGGAGAAACACAAGACTTCTGACGTGATAGACGAAAAGAAAGAGAAACCAGAGTCCAAATTCGTATTTGGTGCCCGGACAACGTTTGGACAAGCCAGTGGGTTTTCCATGCTGTCAAAAAAGAATGTATTTGAGAAGCCAGACGACAAAGACAAAGACAAGACAAAAGAAAAGAAAGAAGCACCGAAGAGCGTATTTGGTAGTGGTTCAACTTTTGGAAATGCGTTCCAGCATGCAATCGGCAAGAAATCAATATTTGACGAGCCGCAGGAAAGCTCTGCAGAGCCCGAGGACAAAGAGGTCTCCAAGGAGGTCTACAAAAAGGTCCACCTCGAAAAGCAGCAAGTGAAGTCAGGAGAAGAGGAAGAGGAGACCTTGTTCCAGGTCAAAGCCAAATTGTATCACATGGATTTGACCAATGTTTCTGAAGGGTGGAAGGAAAAAGGAGTTGGTGTCTTGAAAGTGAACAAATTTATCAATCCAGTCAAGCATTACCATGCTCGGCTTGTCATGCGTCAAGACGGCATACTAAAGCTGATCTTGAACGCGCCAATCGTGAAAGGAGTGGAGGTTTTCAAAGGAATGGCCAGCTCTTTGAATAGCGACAAGTTCATTCGAGTCCAGGTCGTTGAGGACTCGAAACCCGTGCAGTACGCATTCAAAATCGGCATGGTGGAAAACTCGTCGAAACTCTACAACGTGATTGAGGGTTTGGTAAAAGAAGTGAACTAGTATTACTTGCGTTTGAAGGCAACAGTACATATGGCCGAGCCTTTGACTCCGCCGAACTCAAACACCGGGTAGTCGACGGTTTTCCAGACCTCAAAGTTGCCAGAGGCAGTTATCACCTTGATGAGCTCGTCTTGGGTAAAATTGCACGACGTGACTAGCAAAACCGCATTTTTCTTCAGCAGGAACTTCACCGTGTCTGGATACACATCCTGTCCTGTTTTGCCATCATACAGGTTGTCGCTGAGGGCGATCGCGTCCAATGTGCCCTTGTCCAATACCAGGTCGAAATTATCCGCATTGGTCTTGAGAAACCGGTCCTCCAGATTGAGTATATCGCTTTGATAGAATTCTACATTCATATTGTGGGTTTCTGCTATGGTCTTTGCAAACTGGACGCTGGCCTCGCTGTAGTCAACTCCCACGAGTTGTCCTTTCCAGCCCTCTTGTAGGATTTCAAAGAGAAGATGTCCATTTCCTGTACCGAGATCGCAGACAGAGACGTTTGGATCGAAATTCGAGAACACGAAGTCTACGATTTTCTCCTCGGCGCCCGAGTCCGCAAACCAGCATTCGCCCGTGTCGTCTGGGTTTTCTGCGAAGTTGTCCTTCTCTAGTTTGTAGAAATTGTCCCAATATTCTTTGGTGCCTAGTTTTGAGTGGTTGAGTTTAGTAGTGTCCATAGGTTGTAAAAGAAAAAAAATACTGCGTCGATCGTCTCGACAAGAAGCCACAACGAAGCGTGGATTATGGCGAGCGCAGCCTCAGCAGCAGCTGTATCCCACGGGACGCAAGGCCATGCTGGACGTAGTTACCCTTTTGGCCCCATTCGCTCCAGCTCGCCCCGGACCAGCTCGTTTTTCGATAAGCTCTTTCTCCATTTGGAAGTGGGATGCGCGGGATGGACGAGGGAGCTGGTACATATATTTTATTGATAACGTAGTATAAACATGTACCGATTATCTTGGGCCAAACATTCGAGCAGCACGTTTTATAGAAGCATGTCCACCGTTAAAGTTCTTAGATTTGGACCAATCAGATACGCCCAGGAGGCGTGGGAGAAGCTCGAGCAGAGACCCAATGTCGAGGTGGTGGAGAGCGGGGCCTCTTCTAGGGAAGAGTTCCTGAAGGAGCTCAACGAAGGCAAATATAAGGACGTCAGCGTCATTGCGAGAACGTTTGAGAGTGTCAAGCAGACGGGACTGCTTGACAAAGAGCTACTGGCCCAGTTAAAGGAAAAGACCTCTCTCAAAGCCATTTCCCACAACGGTGCTGGGTACGACCAGGTGGACGCTGTTGAGTGCGGCAAGCTTGGAATACAGGTGTCCAACGTGCCTTCTATTGTTGACGCGGCTACTGCAGACACGCATATATACCTTCTTTTGGGAGCATTGAGGAATTTCCAGGACTCGACGCTGAGAATGCTGCAGGGCAAGTGGCCGACCGAAAAATGTGCCGGCACTCCCGTTGGCCACGACCCTGAAGGCAAGGTACTGGGAATCTACGGAATGGGCGGCATTGGCCGTGCAGTGAGAGACAGGGCCAAACCGTTTGGGTTCAGAAAGATTCTGTACCACAACCGGAACCGTCTTGCTCCGGAGTTGGAGCAGGGTGCCGAGTATGTGAGCATGGACGAGCTTCTGAGCCAGTCGGACGTGATCTCAATCAACATCCCGCTCAACAACGCCACCAGACATTCGATCAACAAGGATACTATTGCCAAGATGAAAGACGGCGTGGTAATTGTCAACACTGCCAGAGGCCCTATTGTTGACGAGAGCGCCATTTTGCCTGCTCTCAAGAGCGGGAAAGTGGGTGCTTTCGGATCGGACGTGTTCGAAAACGAGCCCCACGTCAACATGGAGCTGATCCGGCAGCCGAACGTGGTGTCTCTGCCTCACATGGGAACACACACCGTCGAGACGATGAAGGCCATGGAGGAGTTTGTCGTCAAAAACGTTGAGACGTTCGTTGACCAGGGCAAGGTGCTGTCGATTGTTCCTGAGCTGAAGGGTAAATTCTGAGTGGCGGGTGTTCACCAAATGCCTGCCACACAGGGCCATATAGTGAAATATTTATTCGAAAAAAAAAAATATGATTCTCACTCCGCAGCGATTGATACAGTTATCCAATGCCCCACGATTAGGCAATATGTGGTATTTGATAGCGACGGTCACGCTGACCGTTTGCAACCAGCCCCAGGAGATCCCAAAATTGTACCACTATGCCCTCCACGTGAAGCACGGGCTGGGGAAGCCGTCCGAGGAGCTGTACCACCGCGTGGCCCAGACAATCGAATCTGTATCTGCCGACATCAACAGCTGTCCGTACGAGATCGAGTCTGGGCTTAAGCTGTCCGATAAATTCCGAGAGAGCATTCTCAAGACGGCCGCGCTGAGCGGACTGCCCAAGGCGATCAACTCTCTCATGATTTTGAGAGAGACTACGCCGAAACCGCTGCGTGCCACCGCAGACGTGAAACGGCACGCAATTGAGTCGTTTGCAGACTACGAGGCAGAACAGGCTAGGGGAATGAAGTTCTGGAAAACCATCTACAGCAAGATAAGCGGCCGTGTCATCAACCAGATGAGCTCGTCGTATCCAGATCTATGGACGTACACAATCCAGCATGTTTATTCGCCGTTGCTGTCGTTTTCAGACGTGCTGACTCCGCAGGAAACCTCTATGATCGTGATATCGTGTCTCATTCCGCAGGACGTGAACCCGCAGCTGAAGGGCCATCTGAAAGGAGCGCTGAACCTGGGCCTGGATCTGGAAACGGTAAGAGAATGTCGCGAGATGGCCATCGAAATCAGCAAGTGGTGCGGCATGGTGTGGAAAACGGAGGTCGCCAAGCTCTAGCGCCGGTTACGACTCGCCAACTTCCATCTTTTCCAGACCTTCAACTTCCTGAGCAGCCGGAACCTCCTTCTCCGTTTGAGGCCTCCCTACATTGAGAAACCCATTCATCTCCTCGTCGCTCTTGCCGAACAGCTGGTACCAGAATCGCACGTTGTTATAGTTCGGATATATTATGTCGTGCTGCTCGTGGTAGCCAGGATTACTGAATTCGCGCTTTCTGCTCTTGAAGTAGTTCCACACCGACTGGGTCCTGCTTTCGAGCCGTAGCTCCTTCTTCTCACGTTCGCTGTCGTACAGAAACGTTCCGTACTGACAGGAGTAGAGATGGTACACGAGACGGCGCAGGAACCGCTCGTTAAACTCGAACTTCTCGGGGTGCTGGCGCATTAGCTGGTACACACAGTCGAGGAACTGCTGGAACACGGGGCTTTCCAGCTTGGTATTCTGATGATGCTTGAAATGCTGGTTGAGCTGCTTGATTTTCTGGAAATTTGTGTCCTGCGCGTAATTGTAGAATTTAGTTTCTCGTTGCAGATGGCCACACCGCTCGTTGAAACGATGGCCAAAAGAACACCAGTCTTTTTCCACCAGAACCACGAACCCGTCCATCGTGCAGAAGTACGGGTCGAGACAGAGCTGCACCAGCGACGCCACCTGCGACGTTCTGTCCCAGCCGTCAGAACAGTGCAGCATAAGATGCATGCCATTGAGATGGACGGACTTAACGAGCAGGTCTGTAGCCTTGAGCAGATTTGAAATGTGATCGAGCCACCCCGATTTGATCAATAGCTCAGGATTGTACAGCTGTGTGGACACATCGCTGTTTTTCAGCACCTCTTTGATTTTATTCAGGCTCTCTCTCATGACGTGAATATTTTCGATATTCAGAAACACTTTTTTACAGTTGGAATAATTCTCCATCACCTCTGTGCCGGCGCCCAGAGCTGCCTGGGCCATTGCGTTGGTCATGGGCCGTGCGTCGACAATCAAATTGGCTGTGGATTGGCGCCCGTTTGTTGCAAAAATCTCCGTCAGCAGCTTTTCGTCCTGCAGAGACCGATTTTGTTTGATTCCGGTCAATGGTTGCGCACTGCGCACAATGCACGCCCCGTTCTTTGCGTAGTAGTATGTCAATGCTGGGAATCTATTTTTCGACCGGAAACTCACCGAGTGCGCGAGAATGGTGTCGCTGATACTTCGCGGGACCACCGTGTGCGACGGGTAGCTTCGACAGAGTCGATAGTCGCTATTGAGCGACGACAGTCGCCACGGGCCCGCGTCCATGTCCAGGCCCTGTCTCTGGAACTCGCTGCGCACATCGTAGTCGTTCCAGCCGTCAAACGCAACTTCGATCTTGATGGGCGTGTAGATAAATGCGTAAACCTTGTCTATGTCGTCGATACACGTCAACTTCATAATGCTCTCAAAAACGTCCTGACACTGGGACAGATCGGCGAAATCGAACGCCAAATACGTAAAGTCGCGACATCGCACCCTCAGAGACGCTCCTCTGCACAGTGACGGATGCGTTTCCGCGTCCAACAGGTATAATTGAGACGACCCTCTGTTGAGCTCGACCTTCTCGATCATCGGATAGCAGCACCACAGCTCCCTCATGCCTGACGCAGACGGCGGGAGCGTGAAGATCAGGTGGTGTGTGGTCAGATGCAGCGTTCCCTTGTGCGAGACTCCGCGTCGGAACAGCAGAACATCGTCCACCTTTGTGATTTTAATGTATTCCATAAAAAGATAAGATTTAATAGCCAAAAAAATATTATTTCTATTATATCACTCCTTCCAGTCTGCCATCCACCGTCTTGCCAGTTCGTCCTTGATCCACCTGCTCTTGTTTCTCCAGCTGCCCATCGACCAGAAATGGTGCTGGTTGAACACGGGGGCCTGTTTAGGTGGCTCCGGTTCTGTTTTTTTTGTGCTCTCAGCACCATCCTCCGTCTTCGCTTTCTCCCACGGCCGGACCATCTGCGGCCCGAGCCATTGACCACTGCGCCAGTGGCGGCCGTACGTCATCTCGTAGATCCGGCTCACCGCACGCTTGTATGCGAACATCTCGTCCTCGCCGGTGAATTTTCCAATATCCTTGAAATTGGTCTCCACCTGGCTCTGCGTGAACTCGTTCTTACCCTCCTCGTAGCTCTGCACATTTGGCCGGTACGGATTCTCCAGATACAGCTGTGTTCTCGCAAACATCTCCTCCTCGAGGATCTGCTGGTTGTTGGACCGCCCGTCGTCTGCCTGGCGCATATCGGGGAAGAACAGACGCGAGGGCTCGGCGTCCATGCGGAACACCACGTTGCAGCGCGCCTCGTACAGCGAGTCGAGCAGCGTGATGAACCGTCTGGCCTCGCTCCTTCTTTTCGTCGTCAAGACGGGTATCTGGTCGACCACCAGGGTGTGGAACCTCGAGGCCAAAGAAATATACTCGCTCGGGCCGTAGTACGAGTCGCCACACAGCTCGTCGAACCTGAATAGAGCAACACCGCCTGCCTGCGCAGGAACACGGATCTGGCGGCCGTAGCTGAGAAAATGCGTTTCTGTGGGTTTTTCGGTCACCACCGAGTCCACCAGTTCTTGCCATTTTTTTTCGTGCTCCGGGTGCTCCTTCACCACGAGATGCGGCCGAGCACCGCGGTCAATCAGCTGCATCCGGTAGTCGCAGTCACTGTTCATGTCAAACACCTGGCAGCGCATCTTGAGAACGCGCTCGAAGCTCTGGAACTGCGTCTTGTTGAAATCCGTCGAGTACAGCTCCTCGGGCAGTCTGTTGGAGGTTGCTACCAGAACTCCACCGAGCTTGAAAAAATACGTGAACAGGATCTTGACGATTTTGGCCGACGCCAGGTCGGGCAGCATGAACTCGTCCAGCATCAGCACGTAGTGGTTGCGGACCATTGTCGAGGCCACCTCGAGCAAGATGAACTCGTTCTCCAGCCACAGGAAACTGTGTTTGCTATGGCTCTCTCGCTTGCGACGCTCGTAGATCGAGTGGATCTCTGCGTACACCCACAGAATGAAGTTGTTGTAGTGGATGCGCAGCTTGCGCTCGACTGGCAGCGAGTCAGCAAAAATGTTAAGCAGCATCGACTTGCCGCACCCAACTTCTCCGTTCACCAAAAGTCCCTGCGGAGCCGGGATGTTGTACAGCTCTTCTTCGTCGCTCAGCACGCGCACAAGCTCCTTGCGCTCCTTTTCGGCCTTGCGCTCGCCCCAGACTTGTCTGTAGCCGATGGTGCGGTACAACAGCCCCGCGTGCTGCTGGTCGTACCGCATCTCCAGCTGTCTCACGAGATTGTTCATCTGGAGCTCCTTATCGTCCGGAACGTAGTCCTTGAGCCGGAAATAGAGCTTCTGGAACTCTAGGGCGGCCCGATGTTGGTGCACGTCTGGCTGCAAGAGGTCTGACGCAAGATAGGCTCTGTAGATCTGGTACGGGTCGGTCAAAACCAGGTCTGAAGGCCCTGGCAGCTCTGCCGCTCGGCGCAGCGAGACCGCGTCGACATGGAGCCCGCGCCAGCAAGCGTGTCGTGTCAACGGGACAGCCGTTCTCAAAATATTAAACATTAGTTTCGCACTTTGCGGACAAGAGAGGATAAATTCAGGGACTGATTTATATAATTATAATTCGTATTGACAGAAATAAGAATCTTTTGATCTCGGAGCTCGTATATACCGCCAACCTGTTCTGCTTCGCCACTCGGAATGGCCTTCATAACTGTATGCTTTGCTGTCTTTTCATCACCCAGAGCTGGCATCCGCAAAAGAGGAAGAACAGCACGTACAGACCGACTGCTCCAAACACCGTCTTGGCCACACTGCTGTTAGTAACACGCGATTGCAGAAAATACTCACGCCTTGCCGTCTTCCGGGTCGTTGATCGAGCCCATCATGGTCTCATGGTTGTTGTAGAATAACGCTCCGATGATGGACAGTATCACTATCCCAAATGCGGAGATCAGTGTGCAAGCCCACGCACTTCCCGACTGCCAGTTAGCACGACGCAATCCCGAGTACTTACAGACACAACTGGTTTCATTCTGCTGTCTATCTATAATTTAGTTTTAATTTGAATAAAAATTCCGGGTAACATTAGCTTTTATTTTCTTGATACATATCGTCGCTTCTCCGTATAATTAGTTTAGTTTGGCTTCGGGAAACCTTCCTGGTCCACGCTGATCCGCGCCTTCTTGCGTAATCGCTCCAGTTCCTCGCTGTCTCTTTGACTACCTTTTTCCACCACCAGATTTCGGAGCAGACGATTTTCCATTTCGAGCTGCTGTATCTTCAATTCGAGGTTTCTTGACAGATCTGTAAGTTCCTTGAGTTTCCTCTCCATCTCCTGCTCCTTCAGCTTCTTTTTGATCCTGAAACGCGCGGACGCCGCCGTGTTGCGTCTTCTTTTGTCTGTCTCCACGTACTCCTTCGGCTCAGACGAATACACGTCCGGCGACACTGTAGACGACATGGGCACGATATGCGAGCTGGAGCTGGACTCCAGCGGTTCGAACGACGACACCTGGGCGCCCGACTCCGAGCCGTTCCGCGAGCCGTTCTGCGATCCCGAGCTCGACTCCGAGGAAGAGTTCTCCCGTTGAATAATATCGGGTTTGTGGTAGGCTATGAGTGTTGCAAGCGCCTCGATCTGTGTTTGGGAAAGGCCAGCAGCGGAAAGTGTGTTTTGCGCGCCGCGGGGCACCGTCACTTTGGGGAGACTGGACTCAGAACTCAGTTCTGGTTTCTGCGCGGAGGAGGCGGACACATGGCTGTTCTGAAGCTGCGAGTACGGTCTCTGCAATAGTTCGGATATGGTGGAAGGAATGGAGCCCTGGGCGCGGTCAGAGGACTCGAACTGGTCGAACTGGTCGTTGTTGTTGCTGTTAGAGTACTCCATCTTCAACTTTGGTTTTTCCTCGTCGGGGAAGATGAACGAGTCATCGGCAAACGCAGCGAGCTCGACGCTGAGCTGGTCGTCAAAGTTAGGCTCGGCCGAGAGGTCGTTCTGGTCAGCGCTGTTCATGAAGTTGTCTACGTAGACAAGTTGCTCTAGTAGAGCCATCGGGGTATCGTCGGGCATATTCGTGTTTGACGAGGAAGCGCCCTGCTGTATGCTGTTGAAATCTTGGGGGTTCACGAAACCAGACATGGTTATATATCACAACCACGTGAGAAAGGGCAACGGATAATGATGCTTAATGGAATGATTAATGAAAATTTGTAGCCACAATCTTGGGCCGGGTAAGAAAAACGCCACGAGCCATACCGAGCCACACAACGGAAATTACCGTCTAGCAGATATTAGTAGTACACAGTCTATGCAATCGTAAATCGTAAGTCTGAACCAGCATTCAGTGATGGAAAAGCCTTTCCAATCAATCGGAGACAGAGGAGCTTCTACGCCAGCGTAATTTCTTGCCCCACTTTGCCCAGGACGACCCCGAGCCGTTTTTAGCGGAGGAGATAGAGGAGAAGCTTTGGTTTCTGTGTGTTTTGCCGGGTGCGCGCTCGCTGGCCTCGTCCCGCTCTAGCGTGTCGTCTTCCTCCGACGAGGATTCTACCGTAACAAACATGTTTTCTATCACCTGTCTGGTGAATTCCTGGTAGGAGTCGTGTAGATAGTGTTTGGTGATGGAGAGAAATCTCTGCAGAAGACCGATGTCCGGTATCGTGGATCCTGAAAGCCCTGCTTTCAGGTCTCCAGGGAGGTTGATCTCGCTAGAGGCGTTGTTTTCGAAGTACTCCTCGTAGAGTATCTTCCACACGTTGCTGTCCGTGTTATGGTTTTCGATAAATAGCTGAAGCGACTGGTAAAACTCCAGATTCTCTAGACAGTGTTTGTTGAGCAGAAACTTGGAAAAAGCCGACTTGGAAAAAAGCGAGTCCGAAGGCACCTTGTTGCCCAGGACCGAGTCTAGCTTCGGCACCATAGGCTGTACCGACGAGGAGACGCTGGTGCTCTTCGGAGCAAGAAACGTAACCTTTGGCTCCGACAGTGACAACATAAATAAAGGTGGACGAGAATTTTTGCGAAAACCTTTATATATATTAACAGGTTTCACTCCAGGGGCAGGAAGACACTATCGTGATAATAGAGGTTGATATTATCTCACCCAATCCATTGAAAAAGAAATTTGTTTCCTATTGTCAGATTCCTACCTGGTAACGGTTTTTCTTAAACCTTTATTAGCCACTATTGTTTGACAGTTGTAACGCCTTCCTGTTCCGGTAATTCGTTCACGTTCTCCATGCCTGTCAGCACAATTTATGTGTCATGTATGGCGTTTTCGCTCACCTACCTAAACCGAGTAACCGATTACGTGCCCCAGCATGCTTGCTATTTCTTGGCTAGCCGTCGGTCCCGCACTGGTCATCATGCATCTCCTCAAACTAGGAAACCCTTGCTTGCGCCGGTCTCCACATATCGCACTAAAAACAGACTCCTCGTATCTTGAAGCATAACGAACCTGTCTGTCAATCGTACGCGCGTGCCTTCAAGGTTTCATCCCACACAATGCAAATTAATATTTGATGGATCGTACTGCTCACCCTGAGCCTCCGCGGCTGCTCCGGTCGCAGGACCCGTCGTCGTTGCCCGACTATCTCCGCGAGCTCAAGAACTCAAAGCTCGTCACCCTCTCGTACATCCCAGCCAGCAAGAAGAAGGCCCGAAAGCATATCGAATCCGGGGTCTCTCATGACATCCCCATCAGCATCCTGTCCAAGTCGCCGTCGCTTCTGATTCCAATCAGCACGAAACGCCGTGCGCGTGCTAACAAACCAGAAAAGACCGCTCTGCGACCGCGAAGACCTTCCAGTGCGGCCTTTACGAATCTGACTCAGAAACAGGACTTCAGCAGCCTGTTCCCTGATCTCGTCCCCGAACTAACAAGCATTGCGCAAATCGGCCCGGACTGGGCCTTCCACTCCACCAGGATCGCGGTGGTGCTTCAGAATTACGCTTTTTTCTACAACTATCTCCGCCAAAAACGGAAGGAATTGAGAAATATGCACAGAAATACAGAATGAAGCTCTAGTCGCTCAGAAACTCCAACACGTTGCTGATCACATAGTACTCGATGTTCTGGCCCCACACAAGGTCCAGATGCTCGTAATTCTCCACGCCCACGATCTGCAGCTTCTCTCCGTCGCTGCTGTTCATCGTCTCGTCCACCTTTTGGTTGTCTACCACCTCCACAAGCTCAGGCTTCATTTCCTGATTGTTGAGAACCGAGATGTTGTACTCCTCAAACTCAGGAAGCTGCTCAGTCATCTGCTGAATGTCCACCAGCGAGTCGGACATGCCGTAGATAAGCAGAATTTTCGACAGCTTAATATTTGTGTGTATTGGGTACTCAAACGCAGGAAACAGGTCAGACTCCTGGTACATCTGAAATCGCTTCGATCTGATGATCTGGAACCAATGCACCACACTTTTCACGGATGTTGTCGAGTACAGGTGAAAGTAGCAGATGAACTTCTGGATCGGGTCGATGTTTTGAGACTTCCAGTCAAATAGAATCTTGTTCGACAAGTCGATCAGTTTGGAGAAGAACGGTGGGTACGTAATATCCTTCCAGAAGAAAACGGATTTCAGAAGGATTTTGCGGCCAAAAAGCAAGTATATCAGCGCTGGCTGGAAGTTCACAATCGAGTTGATAAGCCAGTTAGACAGTTTTTTCGGCGTTGTGGCCGGAGAAATCAGCACGAGCTTGCTGATTTTCATATTCAAAGGGTGGTTGACAGATATAGAGGCAAGAATTTGTGAGCATCCCTGGCTGAACCCAATGTAGATCAATTGCGAAGCACGGTTTATCTCCAGAATATGGTCTATTGAGGCCGGAATGTCATATAGGGCAAACTGGTCAATAGAAAAGTCCCAGAACGCGTCATCATTCACCGAAAGCGAAACGTGGCGCGCAGAGTACTTATTTCCCCTGTTATTGCCGAGATAGACATCATAGCCCAGTTCACAGAGCCGGAACGGCAAGTTCTGCCGAGTATCGGCCATGAGCACCCATATTTCGCTGTTCATCAACAGGCCGTGCTGGAAGTAAACGATCTTACCATTTGGACGATACCCGTTCTCATGGGGGTCTAGTCGGTGCACAGTCAGCAGGTAGCCGTCTTTGGTCTGGACGAGGTGGCTCTGAGCCTTGAACCCATGGATGGCACAGAGCTCGTCAAAATATTGCGCTTCACGCAGTCTCTCTATTTTGCCGAGTTGCTTGTCCATTTCTAAATTTCGACCTTTGAGATAGCGGTTGTACAGTGGGTTGCTTGAGGCGTGGAGACTGAAGATAAACTTCACCATTGAGGTGAAGAAACTTATGAGGCTTTCAGGCAAGAACCAGGTGATACATGAAACGAGCTGCTCTAGGATAATGACCCCGACAGAAGTCAGATCCTCCAGTTTTGGCTTCACTTGTTCAAACATGGTGAGCAGCTAATATACTTTATTTCTAATTTAATTCGATTATTTTTGCACAGCCCGCAGGTTCTCGAATTTCATCTCTTACACACAAAACAATACTTTCTAATTCTTGTTTTTTTTATTATGGTTCTTGACCGTTTACTCTCCAGAAGGCCCTCCAGAAGGGTAAGTGTTTCCAACTTTGCCTGCTAACCGTCAGTCGAGAGATCCAGGAGTGTACTACTACTCGAGCCCTCCCAGTCCCAATCAGAGCCAGCCATCTGCTGCATATATGGCAGCTAATTTTGCTACCGGGAATGTCTCCCGGAGCAACTCGATGAACAATCTATCCAACGCAGCGGCATCAGCAGCGCTACGCAAACATTCGTCTACGTCCAACCTGACAGACCATCGGGTCGCCGGCCAACGAACAATGTCGCTCAGCTCCCGCACCTTTCGGGCTCCTGATTCGTATGTCAGAAGGTCTAATTCTCTACAGTCCAGCTCCTATAATCCAAACATCTACCGTTCCAGCAGCATGACGTCCAGCAGTTTCAGACCGGGCAACTCCCGCACCAATTCTCTGACATCCAACTCCTCTAGATACACCACCGGCTTCACCACCACTACAACCACCACAACGAAGAAACTGCCCTCGAGCCGTCTCAGCACGCCGACTAAGATTGTGAAGACCACCAAGGAGCAGGACGCCGAAGGCAGAACCCGCTCCATCACGAAAACCACCATTGAGCAGAAAGACGGTTTCGAAGTTGTCAAAACTACAGTTGTTAAGCCAAGTATTGTGGAGAACTACAACGATCTAGGAAGCATTGCGGAAGGATTCGACGAAGAATTCTATCACGAAGAGGAGCCGCTGCCCAACAACACCCAGGAACTGGAGAACATTCAAGAGGAACCGACCGAGCCCGAGAAAATCGAACTTAGACAACAAAAACAGCCTCAACCTGAAACACACGAGTCTGCAGAATCTGCAAGGACCCACACTTACCGCCAACTCACCCAATCCAAGGTCAAGCCACGTACCAGTCTTTCACCTGCACGCATAATCCTCAAGAACCCTACTCCCGACGACGACTCGGACGGACAGTCCATCTATTCTGATGCCAACGAGGCCAATCCTAATGCTGTGAAAAATAATTTTAGTGAGAAGGTTACAGAGGAAATTCGGTCGTATGCGTCGAGTACGGCCGGAAACTCGCCTGTGATTCCTCAAAGGTCTGCGTTTAGGGCCCCTTCTGCATTAGCACCGCGTGCCAACAGCATCACCTCAAACACTTCGTCTATGCGCAAGCAGGTGAAAATCATGGGCCCCGACCCGGCAGAGTCTCGCTACAGCTCATCTCCTCCTGCTCCTGCCGTTCCTCTTAACAGGCCCACCCCAGAAGAGCTGTATCAGCAGGCATATCAGGTTGCCATGCAGAAAGTGTACGGAGCCCGTCCAAACAGCTTGCCTGACTCGGGAAGTGTGACCGAGATGGATGTGGACACACAAAAGAACACTCTGCTGAACTCGTCGTCGAGCCAAAACGGCCGCACGATGTCTCTGACCCAGAAACCAGTGAGTCCAGTCCCGGCAACTCCAACGTACCAGTCCAATGCCGCAGGAGTGGGATTCAGAACGCACACGTTACGTGGAGAGCTGGATGCGAAGGAAGAAAAGAAATTGAAGGCAGCGCAGCACAAGGAGGAGAAGAAAAAGCTGAAAGAGATACGCAAGGAGCAGAAGGGCGAGCTGTCAGAGCTGAGCAAACAACGCAAGTCGGCAAGAAAGAACGTGGACGAGTTTAGCGAGAAGAAACGGATTTTCAGCTTTAAGAAGAAAGTTCCCTCGACCACCGCCGAGAACGCCACGGACAACTCTATCACTGTGACCCTTCCCTTGGAGGAAGAGCACGCAGCCAATGCGAAGCCTCAAAAGAGCGAAAAAGCAGGCGTTGGGCGCAAGTTCAAGAAATTCTTTAATTTGTAGTTTAATGTTTCGGTAGAAAATAACAAGGCACTGACTGTGGTAAAAAAATAGTCAAATTAATTTTTAAGCTCGACACTCAAAAACAGAGGCTGGTCCATATTCACAATGTCCATTGAGGCTGCCATCCACACCCTTCATTGGCACGATAACAACCTCCCGATCTATTCGCTGGACATCCAGCGAACGAAAAACCCCGATACCGGCACCCGTAGCGCACGCGTGGCCACTGCGGGAGGAGACAACAACGTGCGAATCTGGCGTGTAAACTATACAGAGACCAAAGTAGAGTCTGTGGAGTATCTGAGCTCGCTCACGAAACACACCCAAGCCGTCAATTGTGTTCGATTCAGTCCTTCTGGCGATATGCTGGCGAGTGCTTCCGATGACGGAACAATAATGATATGGTGTTTGTCGGATAAAATTATCAAGGAGTTCGGCAACGAGGACGACGATGTGAAGGAGAGCTGGTATTTGGAAACTTCGTGTAGGTCCTCAACGCTTTCAGAGATCTACGACGTTTCGTGGTCGCCGGACTCCAAATACATCTGCTGCGGATCAATGGACAACATCACGCGTATATTCAGCGTGGCCACGGGTGCCATGATTAAGCAAATTGCTGAGCATAACCACTACGTGCAGGGCGTTACGTGGGACCCCAGGAATGAGTATATCTGTTCTCAATCGGCAGACAGGTCTGTCCACATCTACAAGATAGTGTCAGAAAAAGGAGCAGACTTAGTTCTGTCTCCGACGACGTTTTACAAGATCATTCGCGCAGAGCTGCCGACCAAAAGCCTCACCACAGAAAATCTCAAAGAGAACTCCGAAAGCTCCAACATGGACCCTCCTTTACAGACACCTCGTCACAAACGGACACATTCAAACTCATCCGCCTCCTCCTCGCAGTCCATCGCGGTGTCGGCTACGCGCTCGTCGTCTCCGCTCCCTGCCGTAATGCCTGCCTCGCCAAACCCTGTCTACAAAAGCCTGCAACTTTACCACAACGAAACGCTTCAGTCTTTTTTCCGGCGACTCGCTTTTTCTCCAGACGGCATGCTATTATTCAGCTCCAGCGGGGTGTTCAAGACAGACGCGTCTGAGGAAAACATCAATACCGTTTACATTCATACGCGGTTTGGTCTCAATAAGCCGCCTGTCGCGCATCTGCCTGGATTCAAAAAGCCGGCCATAGCGATCAAATTTAGTCCGGTGCTATACAAGCTTCTGGATAACGAGAAAAGTGTTTTCAAGCTGGCCTACCGCATGGTGTTTGCCGTGGCGACGCAAGATTCGGTCGTGATATACGACACACAGAGACTCAAGGCGCTGGGCATCGTCACCAATATCCATTACTCCGTGATCACAGACCTCAGCTGGTCCTCTGACGGACAGGTCCTGATGGTTTCAAGCGCAGACGGATTTGTTTCGAGTGTCAACATAACCAGCTCGCTGGTCGGCGAGGTGGAAACCTACAGCGTGGACGAGTACCTGAGGAAGCACAAACAGGCAAACGCCCCAGCAAACGCTGGTCAACAGACCTCCATTATAGACCTGCTGAGCGCAGACCCGACCTCGGCAACGGAGTCAATCGGGAAACCGGGAGACTCGGTGCAGGTGATCGACATCACGACCCCGCAGCCGGAGCGCGACAGCACGCCGGAACCCGCACCCAAGAGGGCCAAGATATAAAAGGTGTACGATACCCTGGGTCACGTGACAGAATCACGTGCTTCGGTTTACAGAAAAGGCCGTTCTCCAAGGTTTCCGGTGTAATTATTTAATCTCCAGAATTTACTATGAACAGCACAATCACACTGGTGGTGACACTGGTCGTTGCGTTTGTGTTCATAGCGTATTTTCTGGGCGACGATGCCGGTGTGACCGACGAGATGGTGGCGCGTGTCGCCCAGATCGCTCCGAACCTGCCGCCGTCGGTGATCCGCCGCGATCTGGAACGCACCCGCAGTGTTCACGTCACGATCGATAATTACCTGAACGGACTGCTCGCCGCGCACGAAACGGGCGAATCGCAACGCACCGCAAGCCAGCCTATAAAGAAGCAGGATTGGAAGCCAGCCCAGTTCGAAGGGCTGAACTTCGAACAAAAAAAACGGGAAATGGTGCTCAGGGCTCGTCAGAGACTAAATCTCTCCACCAGTATCTAGTTTCGTCTGTCGAAATACATTTTGAACTTCTTGTCCTCGTTCTTGACCCTGTAGATGAAACCCATTATCACGTCGCTCTCCTTCACGGTGAGCTGGTTGTTGAAATGGTCCTCGACAGCGTGTCGGAGGTCGTCTCTGTTGCGGTATTCGTACATGTTGGTGCCACTGCTGAGCTCGTTTTTTGCGTACGACTCAGACGACTCTCCAAGCTCTGAGCCTTCCAGCATGTAGCCCTGGAGCGTCTTCACATCAGGGGTGATGATCTGTGAAGGATTTAGATATAATTCTCTGTATTTGCGTAGCTGTTCCTCTGTCCAATTGGAGAAATCTAGGGGGTCCCTGACTGGAAAGTCCTGCGGACCATTTGAGTGGATGTACTTGGCCAGAAACTCCTTCTGCTGTTGTGCGAGCACCTGGTTCCGGTGTTTAGTGGACGACCGCGATGACGAAACCTGTTCGGGCTCGGAGGTGTCTCTTCTAGCCATAATAAATAGATAAATTATTTTTTTTCGCTATGTCCAACGTCTACATTCTGGGAGCCGGAGGAATTGGCACGTTGGTGGCCTCTGCGCTGACGAAAAGGTATGCGGTGAATTTTCTGGTGAGGAGGAAAGAGAAGCTGGACTTGCTGAAGAAGACCAACAACACTTTTACAATCACCCAGCTTTTCAACCAGGGCCGGCGGATGGACTGCAAGATCGCGCAAGCGTGTCAGGCGGACGACATTCCGGACCAGCACATTGACTTTCTGATTGTTAGTGTGAAGACCTTCGACACTGTGAAGTCGCTGACGCCTCTACTGCCGAAGATCTCGCCGTCCACCAACATCATGCTTATTCAGAACGGTATGGGGGTTTTGGAGGAGCTGTACGCTGACCTGTGGCCGCAGGAATCCAGACGGCCGATCATCTACCAAGGAGTGATCACGCATGGTGTTTTCCAGAACAGAGACCAAGAAGGCACATTTAACTACAACCATGCCGGAAACGGAGATCTCAAGATCGCCAGGGTGGACGGCAAGGAGCCAGACCATCCGGTGGTGAAAACGCTGGTGGAGAGCGACCTGCGCACCACTTTGTACTCGTACGAGGACCTTCTTGTGCACCAGGTTGCGAAACTGATGGTGAATTGCTGTATGAACCCGACCACTGCTGTTCTGGACTGCGTGAACTACGAGATCGACGGAATCGACTCAATCAGAGAGTATTTCACCAGAGTGGTCCACGAGGCGATGGCAATTTTGCGCGCCCGGTATCCGTTTCTGGAAGGCCATGCGGAGCTCGACGAGTCGCGTCTGGTGGGGTTCATTCTCGAAAAAGGTTGCAAGTTGAACGGGAAAAATAGCACGAGCATGAGACAGGATACTTTGTTCCTGAGAGACACAGAAATAGATTACATCAACGGGTACATTGTGCACTTGGCAGAACAGGCGGGGCAAGACGCCCCGTACAACAGGACGATCCAGCTGCTGACAAAAAGCAGACTCAGAATAAATCGATCTAGAGCATTATAGAGGAATAAATTAGCTACGCCTTTTCTCCGTAGTATCTCACGTCCTGGCCCTTCGAGACCACCGCCTCGATGACGTTGTCCTCGTCGTCCGTGACCAGCTGGTCTTTGTCGAGGTTGCTCTTTGGCCCCTTGTACACCTTGTGAGCGTACACGGCGTACCACGCCATACACAGGAACATCGAGCCCCAGTACACCAGCACCGTCCAGTTCATCATGTCTGGGGTGTTATCTGCCCCTCTGTACTGCGGGAAGTTCAGAATCGGGATCATGAGCGTCACGAAACACACGGCCACCACACCGGACGGAATGGAGAACGCACCAAGGTGCCACGGGCCTTTTTGGAACGTTTTCCTCGAATAGGTGATTCTGAGCATTGTTGGCACTGTGAAGGAGATGAAGGAGCCGATTGCCCCGACGGAGAAGATGGCGTCGATCGGCGTTCCGCCGCCAAACATGAGCAGCAGCAGCAGCTCGCCCAAAAACCAGTTGGCCCACACAGCGTTGACGGGGGTCTTTGTGGTGGTGTTGACGTGCGACCAGACTTTCGAGAGCGGGAAACAGCCGTCTCTCGAGTACGAAAAGAGCACTCTGGACGCGGCAATCATACAGGAAAAGGCCATGGTGAAGGAGAGAACAACGGCGAACGCGGTCAGCGTGATGACTCTTTCTTTGGTCATGATCTGCGCCAGAAACGCGACGTACGGCTGGCCCAGCTCGTCGTTGACCGCGTCGTCAACGTCGACGATCGTGTACGCCATGGCGAGCTGGAAAACGAACCCGAGAATGCCTCCGACGGAGGCCGTCAGCACGATGGCCCGCGGAGTGGCCACCTGGGCGTTGCTGCACTCCTCGGCAAGGTGGAACGGCGAGTCGAATCCGGACATCGTCCAGATCACGGCCATGAAACTCATCAGAATGCAGATCCCGTTCGGCCACTCGGTAAAGTTGGTGATTCCCCAGGCCGCGTCGTTGCTGTTGAACTTGGGAAGCCCCTGGTCGCTTCTGTTGTTGCCGCCGAGGATGATAACGAAGGAGATGAACAAAAATAGCAGGTTGAGCGCGGTGGAGCCGGAGTTGATCCAGGCGATCCACTTGGTTGGGAGCGAGGCGATGATGGAGCAGAAAAACGTCAGACACGAGGTCAGCAGATACGTCTGCCAGTTGGTGGCAGAATAGTCTGGGTCTTTGAGCGACTTGAGCGCGAGAATCATGCTGGCGCAGCCGTACGCAACAGACGGAGCGCCCGTCACCTGCACAAAGTAGTTCGACCAGCCGACAAACCAGGAGAGTACAGCCTTGTAGCCGGGCGGAGCAAGCATAGCCGTGGCATAGTAGAGGCCGCCAGAGGTCGGGAAAGCGCTCGAGATCTCCGCCATGGAGCACGCGACGGCCATGACGCCAATCATGCCCACCAGATACGCCCAGGTGAGCCCCGCGTTGCCGGAGTAGGCGAGCGAGTACCACAGGGTGGACGCGATCGAGGGCAGAAGGCCGAGCACCGAGAACGAGACTCCGAACGTGGTGATGAGCGAGAACTCTCTTTTGAACTCCTGTTTGTAGCCGAGGGCCAGGATGACCGCCTCGTCCTTGTCGACGGAGTGGTCCACGAGAATCTTCTGCGACCTGTTGGACAGCACAGAGGTGATGTGCATTTGGTCCACCGAGACAATCGTGGCGGTGGACCGGACAGCGTCAACGTTCGAGGCCATGGCGCAAATTGGTCAAGAGGACCGATCGGTGTCTATATATATACAGCTTATCAAAAAGAGTTTAACTGTGCGTATCGTCAAAGGGCTGTGCTGAAACGTCTTATCGGTGGACATGCTTTGGCGGCAACAGAACAGACGTTGCAGAAGCGATATGTGGAGATTGGGCCGCAATCGACGAGCGAGGCCCGAAAACGCTTCTTATTGGCTTTGCAGCCGCGGTCTGGCGTACAATAGCCGTGTCCAGAGCATTCATGGTGGAGTTTCTCTTTTCAGACTTGATAGCAAAAAACTTGCATGTTATCAGAGTGGCATTTCATGCACGGTGGCCGTCGATCGGCGGGTCGACTTTTTTTGGTATCTTTGGAAAAACTTGGTTTTAATAGGCTGATGAGAAACGCAAGAACCCTACTCCGTTCCGGGAGATTTCTGGCCAGAGCTGTTGTTTTGACGGCTCGGCCAACAGTGCGCGGACGCATTGTGCAAATGGCGCCTCTGTATCACCAAAGTGTTCGCTGCAACTCCATCTCTGCCAGGACCGATGGCGCAGACATCCCGGAGAGCGTGCGGAACCTCACGATGGAACAGTACGACACAAGCGCAAGCGAGACGCTGGAGTCCATTTATTGTGATCTGGACGAGTTCTTCGACGAGCACAACATCGCGGACGCCGACGTCGAGGAAAGCGTAAGTATATCTAGGCCCAGGCAACTAACTCCAGGCTGGCATATTGACCCTGAATACCCCACAAGGCTCGTACGTGCTCAACAAGCAGCCGCCTAATAAACAGCTATGGCTGAGCTCTCCGATCTCCGGGCCAAAAAGGTTCGACCTGCTGGACGGCGAATGGGTCAGCATTCGGGACAGCGTTAAACTGCGTGAGATTCTGGAAGAGGAGATGACCCAGATTTTTGGCGAGTTCAGCTTCAGCGAGCAGTTCTAGCTGGCAAGTAGAGCATCAGATTGTACATATCACATGTGTCCCCATCACGTGCATGGAACGAAATCGACTTTTTACGACTTTTTACAGACCTCCACGACCGTAAAATTTTTTTGAAAATATTTTGGTACCTTTGACCATGTCTACTGTTTCTGCTTCGAAAGCAAAAAGAGAGGCCAAGAAGGCTGCCAAGGCCGCCGAGGGAAAGCTCAAGACCAAGAAGCTGACAAAGAAGGAAAAGGAAAAGCTTGAGTCTGGCGGAGATGCGTCTTCAGCTGCAGATGAGATCGAAAAGCTCAAGTTGCAACAGGACAAGGACGGATTGAGTGACAGAGTTACCACTGGTGTGCTGGACTCCCTGGAGACCTCCAGAGATATCAAGATGTCGTCTGTGTCTCTTCTTTTCCACGGTAAAGTGCTTTTGCAAGACTCCTCTTTGGAATTGAACTATGGTAGACGTTATGGGTTGCTTGGAGAGAATGGTTGCGGCAAGTCCACTTTCCTGAGAGCTCTGGCCGCCAGGGAGTATCCAATTCCAGAGCACATCGATGTTTATTTATTGAACGAGCCAGCCAATGCTTCTGAGTACTCTGCCCTGGACTGGGTTGTGAGAGAGGCCGAGTCCGAGCTCGCTCGTTTGGAAAAAGAAGTCGAGGATATTATTGTCAACGACGGACCAGAATCGCCACTGTTGGAGCCACTGTACGAGAAGATCGACGAGATGGACCCATCCACTTTCGAGGCCAGAGCCGCTGTCATTCTCACAGGTCTGGGCTTCAACGCTCAGACAATTAAAAAGAAGACCAAGGACATGTCTGGTGGATGGAGAATGAGAGTTGCTCTTGCCAAGGCCCTGTTCGTCAAGCCTACGTTGCTGCTGTTGGACGACCCTACCGCCCACTTGGACCTGGAGGCCTGTGTGTGGTTGGAGGAGTATCTGAAGCTTTTTGATAAAACTTTGATTCTTGTCTCGCACTCCGAGGACTTTTTGAACGGTGTTTGCACCAACATGATCGACATGAGAATGAAGAAAATAACCCAGTACGGTGGTAACTACGACGCCTACGTTAAGACGAGAACCGAGCTGGAGACCAACCAAATGAAACAATACTACAAACAGCAAGAAGAAATCCAGCACATCAAGAAATTCATTGCTTCTGCAGGTACCTATGCAAACCTGGTGAGACAGGCCAAGTCCAGACAGAAAATCCTTGACAAGATGGAAGCCGACGGTCTGATCCAGCCAGTGGTTCCAGACAAGGTTTTCACGTTCAAGTTCCCAGAGGTGGAAAGACTTCCTCCACCGGTGCTTTCTTTCGATGACATCTCGTTCGCTTACGACGGCAACCCAGAACATTACCTGTACAAGGACCTTTCGTTCGGAGTCGACATGGACTCGAGAATCGCACTGGTCGGACCAAACGGTGTGGGTAAGTCCACGCTGTTGAAGCTTATGACGGGTGAGCTTCAGCCCCAGAAGGGAAGAGTGTCCAAGCACACCCACTTGAAGATCGGTGTGTATTCGCAGCACTCTGCTGACCAGCTCGACCTCACCAAAACGCCTTTGGAGTTTGTCAGAGATAAATTTTCGCACATTTCCCAGGACTTCCAGTACTGGAGAGGCCAACTGGGAAGATTTGGTTTGACCGGTGAAGGTCAAACCTCGCAGATGGCTACCTTGTCCGAGGGACAGAGATCCAGAGTGGTGTTTGCTCTGTTGGCCCTCGAACATCCTAATGTTTTGTTGCTGGACGAGCCTACCAACGGTTTGGACATCCCAACAATCGATTCTCTGGCCGAGGCCATCAACAGCTTCAACGGAGGTGTTTGTGTCGTGTCCCACGATTTCAGGTTGCTGGACAAAATTGCAAAGGATATCTACGTTGTTGAGAACCAAACGGCTACCAGATGGGATGGTACTATCGGGCAATATAAGGCCAAGCTGGCCAAGAATATTGTGCTGTAAGTATAAATATAATAAAAACCATTCTATTTTTCCGTTTTTATATTGATCCCGTTATTCAGATCCCGCAGATCAGCAGCAAAGAGCACGGAGTGTGCCCAGCCCGCGTATTCGCCCCACAGTTGCTTGAACCTTTCCTGGATTTGTGCGTAGAGCTCTTTATTTAGTATTTTTCCTGGCATGCGGTACGTTTTGGTAGCAATCTTGAAAACATGGGTATCGACCGGAACGACGTCGTGCTTGTCCAGTGACATCAGACACACGCAGTCAGCGACTTTAGGCCCGACACCCATGAACGTCTGGAGGTACTCGTGGCACGTTTTATGGGGCTCTGTTCTCATCGAGTACAGTTTCATAAACTCGTCCTTCTCTGTTAGCATTTTGGCCGTTTGCTGAATAAATTTTGCCCGGTACCCAAACCCGAGCGCGCGCAGTTCTGCCTCCACATTTGGCTGGGCTAAACGTTCTGGCTCAGGAAATTTGTAGTGCTTGATCCCCTGGTACTCGACCAAAAAGTCGCCATAGTGAATACATAAATTCTCGCACATTTTCGAGATCCGTTTCACGTTGTTGTTAGTCGAGCAGATGAAAGACACAAGGTTTTCCCACGGGTCCTGTCTGAGCATGCGTATTCCGCCAAAATTCGCAGAGTTTTTCGTAAAATGCTTATCTTTGGAAGCCCAGTCAAGGTAGAGTTCTTCGAGCCTGATCGACAGGTTAAAGTAGTCCAGAACCACCTCCTCGGTGTCCTTTAAGTGTGGGATGGATGCGTAGTGGAGAAACGTGTCGTCCTGTTTTATAAGCAGTACTCTGTTCTGGATCGTACAGGACCAGATGTCGTCGACGTATTTCCAGCGGAAAGCTTGTCCGCAGCGCAAAACTCTGGCAACCGAGAGTTCCTGGCGTTAGCACGTTTGCGGGCCGTTAACATACCTTTGGAGAGAGCTGGATGGCTTTCCAGACGATGTCTTTGGTCATGATTTGAAGACGCGTCGGCTGAAATTTTTCGTCGCGTCGAGAAATAATCATGGTTTTGCACAACGATAAGTGGAAGTGGAAGAACAAGCGCAAGCATTTGAAAAAGGTAGGCGAGACGCAACAAAGTGATGGCTCAAGTGGGGAGCTGAGCGAGGACGAGCTCATCACCAACGAATGGCGGTTTGAGGAGCTGAAGCCAATACAACATCCTAAAGATGAGGAACAGATAGCTTTGGAGCGGGAGCAGAGAAAGATGGAGTTGGAGCGGGACGAGGCCAACGCTCGTCTGGTTTTGGAGAAGCTGAGACTTTCGACACCAGAAATCAGCACATCTGGCAAACACAAGGATGCTAAAAAGATGTCCAAGCAGGAGCTGCTAGATTGGAGTGTGGAGCGACAGGGCAATTCTGAGCCTGTTTCAGCGGGTCAGCGTACCCGCACACTGAGTGAGGACGAGAAGGCCAGGTTCTACGAGCTGCAGAAGCGCATAGAGCGACAGAAAATGGTGACGTCCATGAAAAAGAAGTTTGCTACCACGAGAGGAACAAAGGTGTTGGAGGTGTCAAAAGTGGACGACGACAACTACAAGGCTGTTAACGCTCGCAGGCTCGAAGATTCGGCAAAGAAGCCCAAGGAGGGCGAGTTCGAGGACAGTTTGGCAGATCTGTTGGGAGACAGGCCAGTTCTGACCCAGGAGCCCGTGGCAAAGCCAGAAACTAGAGGACACAAGAAGACGCCAAAATCAGGCCCAGCATTCAAGCTCAGTCCTTCGCAAGCCGAAGACGAGTTTCTGGACCAGTTGCTTGGATGATATTTCATGCGCCGATCGACCCGGTCCGACGCGGACGCGAAAATAAATACATTTTCACCGTACCGTGTCAAAGTTATGGACACGCCCGATGATAGCGAGCTCTTGCCTGACGACCAGAAGCTTCTGGCATCACTGAGAAGCTTCCTGGTCCGGAAAAACGCACGAATACGACGGCAGGCTGGCGATTCTCGCGGCGACCTGGCCGAGCAGGTGCGCCAGCAACGGCATGAGATCATTGAGTTGCGCAACAAGTGCCGCATGCTGGAACAGAAGCTCAGGATGTATGAGCAGAGCAGTCCAAAACACGCCATCCTGGTCTCCCCGAAAAAGATCCAGCTATCACCTCTCAAGGCACAGCAGCACTCGCCAACGTATTCTGCGCTTTCTGGCACGGAAACCGAGGACTCGGAGTTCAACACGCCGCGAAAACTGCGACTGGTCGGCACGGCGGCTGTGCTGACGGCGAGTCCCTCGAAGAATGGTTCGGCACTTGACGACTGCGACGAAGAATCAATAAAAGTGCTAAAACAGAGCAGCTCGCAGCAGCCACGCGACAAAATTCGGCAGATGGCCGTGGTGGACCTGACACACCATCCGGGCCGCAAAGGTAACTGGTGGCCGGAGGATTTCAAACCGAACCCGGAAACCAATTTTGGACAGACCGAAGCGTTCAAATTGCGTCGAATCAACCCCAAGTACGCGCATCCAGCGTTGCAGACACAGTTCAAGTACCAACAGCAGCATTTGAAGCAGGAAGCCATGAAAGATTTCAATCGGCTGGCAGGACAGGTGGAGCCGGTCACGCCTGGAGTGAAGCTGGTGTGGAGCGCTGCGGACTCTGCGTCGCTGCCGACGCCGCTCAAGACTCCCGACCAGGCGCTGAGCAACCCGAAAATCGACCCGGTTTTCAAATTCGAGATCAACAAGTCCAACTACAAAAACTTCGACCTCAACCTCAACAGCAACAAAATCAAGCTCTGGCTCGATCTGCAAGACTCGCCGCCCGGCCACGAGCGGTCGGAGTTCCCGACGCCGTCGCAGTCGGAAGCAGACCGGCAGAAAAGCATCAAGCGGGCCAAACTGGTGGCTCTGCAAAGATTGTTCCAGACGGTGTTCATGGTGCAACCAACAGACAAGTCAGGAACGTCGTACCAGCAGGTTGGCAAGTTTATTTTCCGCAACGACGAATGGAACGAGCTCGTGAGACGCAACGAGTTCCAAATCGACGAGTCCATCTTCTACAACGCCGAATAGCTATGAATTGCATACTAATTAAATACAGTATATTTCTCTATCTATTTCTTGTTGCCCTTGTAATCAAGGTAATTGTAGTAGTTGAAGCTATTGAGCGCCGGGTTCAGCTCTAGCGACGTGCTCACAAATTGCTTTGCGCCCTCGGAAAGCTCGTGGTGCACTGTCTCGTGCGAAGAGGTCGGCGTCAGAGACTTCAAGAGGTTGCCGTGGCCGTCGGTCAGGGTTTTGGATGTCTGGTCGGGATAGAACCGTTTGAGCGGAATCCAGCTCTGGAACAGCTCGTACGATGCAAGGGTGAATCCGAATTGCGGCGACGACCGGCAGATTCTGGCAATTCCACCCTTGAAGAGGGCAGAGAAACCTTCCTCTTTCAATATCCGCGAAAACGCGTCCGCAATGTTCTTGTACGCCTTCTCGCCAGGACGGCTTTCCACCTGGAGTCTGGTCTTGATCACGTCGCACGGCGTCGTGAAGTATGCGGCTGGCATTCCGGCAAGCGCTCCGCTAAGAAGCAGTTCCCACGACTCGAGCTTGCTTTTCTTGGCTGGGTTGTTTGGATCAAAGCCAAACACAAACTTCTTGATGTTCGCGTATGCTGGGAAGTAAATGGCGCTGAACGGAACGTCTCTGAGCAAACAGGCAGATGCTCCTTTATAAAGGCCCCGGAGTCCCAGCTCCTTCACTATATCGACGGCGGACTTCTCTACGTAAGGAAGACCGTCCTTGGCCATCTGTCTTACGGTTTCTCCTTGCACTTGCAGTCTAATCTTGGTGATCTCAAGAGGATTGGTGAATATAACCTGGCAGGCACCGGCAGAAGACCCGGCCAGGATCTCCCAGCCCATAGTCAGCTCGCCATTTTTGCAGTATCCCGCACCAATACCTCTCACTATGTCGTTGACAGTAAGTTTGATAGCCTTTTCGGGAGCAACACCAACCAACTGAGGAAGCAAACCGGAGTAAAGTCCAATGAAGCCTTCGTGTTTGAACACTTTGCGAAAACAGTCACCGTAGGACGAGTACAGAGAGTTGCCCTTCTGGTTCTGCATTCTGGTCTTCACCAAATCAATTGGATAGACAACAGTAGCCCCAATGGCACCAGCCACTGATCCAAGAAGAAAAGAGTAGGCAGAATTCAGGATTGGATAGAAGCTGAATGGAACAATATCTGAAGATTCACGGCTTTTGATCAAGTCGTCTGTGAGAATAGCCAGCATGTCACCAGATTTAATGGCAGAGGTGCGATCTTGCTGCTGGAGAAGCTGCAGGTTCCATTTGAAGAAAAGCGACGCTTCCCTCTCGGTGAGGGTGCCAGCAACGCGAGATTTGGCGAACTTGTAGAATTCATCTTTGGAAATGAGTTTATTTGTGTTGTTGTACTGTCCGGTGGAGATTTGCTCGTATATGGCATAATTCAACGAGGGAAGGTCTTTCAGAAGCTTGATCACGGTTTCCGAGTCGCTCAGCGACAGGCTTGGGCCGAAGTTGGCTTCTGAGAACGACTCAATCCGTGAGAGAATATTGTCTGGGAGTCTAGAGTGGAATATTTCATTGACTATGTTTCTGAAGCTGGCGGTGTCGATCTTGTCATTCTGGGACAGCTGCTTGAACTTCTCGTCGAGCTTGATCAGCGGAAGCTTCTCGATAAGCGCGGAAAAGTCTGCCGGGGTCAACTTCTCGAGTTTGTTTTCTTCAAGATAATTTTTCACAAGCTCGATATCAGAATTCGTTTTTATTGTCTGGTTCAGATTCGACAGAATATCCAAGAAACGGTCCGTTTTGATCTCCTGAGGGGTCTCGCGCTCGTTGTAAAAGTCTTTCTCGAACAGCTTGAACAGTTTGAAAAGTAGCTTGGGCGACTCCTCAGTGTTAGTCTGCACATTGAGGAGTTCCTTGGAGAATTTCTGAAAATCGCTCTCTGTCAAGTATCCTTTCTTCTCGTGGTCGGCAATCAAATAAAGTAGCCCAAAGGAGTCGATTGGCAGGAACGAGGTCACTCTAGATAGATTTGGCTTTTCCTGATTTCTGAGCACATTCACAAAATCCTCGAACTTCAACACTTTTTCCTGAGTGTCCAGATCTGAGTACTGTTTGGAAAACTGCTCAAAGATAGTAGACAGAGATGAATCTACGTTGGGTGACATGGTGGGGGAAACGGCCTTGTGAGTGGAAGTTAAAGAAAGTAAGGGAGAGTCACTTTTATTTGTAGTGGTAATCATGACTCAGTTTCCAATTTGGTATTGTTCAAACTATTGTTAAAGCCGGAACCACCTATGGAGAAAAGGAATACAAAGCGAAAAAACTTTCTCTGATGATTCCAGGGAATAACGATATATATACAATTTGAGAGGTTTTTCCTTATCGCAGGAGCGGGGACGCCTGTTTTCGTCTGGTTGGCTGCTGTGGTAAAAATAGTCTACATTACCTTGACTGGGAGCGCACGCTATTACGCGTACCCCGGGAGTTTGCCACATCGGTTATTCCCGTGGTCCACTTCGCCGTTGGCGCACGTAAAAACCCGGTCCGAAAATAGGTGCGGTGAAAACGTGTTACCCGGCCGACTAACTGGAATCACCCCCACATTAAGCGGTCGATAAAATGCTTCAGCTAAATCTCATTTATTTATTTGTACAGCTATACGTAAATCTCCTAGGAGTTTATTTCTTGGTGGAGTCAGCACCCTCCTTAGCACCAGAGAGAGCGCCAGAGACGTACTCGACAGCCTCATTCAGCTTCTCCTTACCGGCATCCAGATATTGGTTGGCGGTGTCGGCCAAACTGCTCTGGTTCTCGTCGACCTCGGACTTGGCCTTGTCAGAGCCTGATTGAGCCTTGTCGCCCAAAGTCTGTGTGAATGACTTTTGGTTGTCTGGTGTCACTTTCGAGGCAAGTTTGTCTGCCTGGTCTGTGACTTGCTCCTTGGTCTTCTCGTAAGCGCTCTTCTCAGAGTCTGGCTTCACGGTCTCGGTGAGTTTGTCGCTAATGTCTTTTCTTCCAAGGTCACTCATGTTGATTCTATGGTAAAAGAAAGGAAGCAGACCAGCTCATTTATATAGCTCACAAAATAGCAATCATACATAATAGCAAGTATTGCTATGAAATACCGAGTTTATATGAAGAATTACGTAATATGTGGCTGTTCGGTCTCGTCGTCGAGCCAATCTTTGGCCCTCGAAATGGCTTTTTCCCAGCGTTTCCACATTTGATGTCTTTTCTCGTCCTCCAGCTGGGCCACAAACATGTTGCTTTCGTCCGATCCGCCGTTCAGCTTCTCTCTCACGTCTTTGAGCGATTTCCAGACTTTGACTTTTTTATGAAGTCCTGCAGCTATGGCAGAGCCCAACGCAGTGCACTCTGCATTGTCAGATCTCACGACTGAAACGCATGGCCCCAGCAGATCGGCCTGGATCTGCATCACGACGTCAGACTGGGACATACCTCCGTCGACGTGGAGTGTGTTGAGTGGATTATTTTTATCTTGTAGCTCCGCGTGATCCAGAAACTCAGACGATCTGCCGGCGTCCGAAACCATGGCACGCAGAATAGCACGAACCTGGAAACAGACTCCCTCAATGGCCGCTCTGGCGATGTGAGAGGCCTTGGAATACTGTGTGAGCCCAAAGATTGTTCCTGTAGTTCTTGGGTTCCAGTATGGGGCAAAAAGACCGGAGAACGCAGGAACGAACACCACGCCGGCACTCGTAGGAGCCTGGGCTGCAAGAGGGCCAATGTGCGACGAGCTGTAAATAAGTTTTAGGTTGTCTCGCAGCCATTGGACACACGCACCTGCAACAGCAATCGAACCTTCGAGACAGTAATGCGGATTAACCGAGTCTTTACCGTCAACAGCAGGGTCCAAGTCAGGGAACCAGTATCCAACAGTGGTGACTGCACCGTGCTTGGAGACCAATTTCTTGTCGCCCGTGTTGTACAGCAAGAAGGCACCGGTACCGTAGGTACATTTGGCGTCTCCTTTTTGGAATGCCAGCTGGCCGACGAGAGAGGCAGATTGATCACCCAAGCAGCCTGTGATCGGAACGTCGGCAAGCAGTCTCATGATGATCTCTTCTGCGTCTTGCGACAGAACCTTCCGCTGGTACCCAATGTGTTTCAAGTCCGGCAGCTGGAATGTTCCGTAATCGTAGCAACTAGGCACAATCTTTGGGAGATTGATCTTGGTGGTGTCGACCCTCCAGAACTCCAGCAATGCCTCGTCGTAGTCTTTGGTCTCTAAGTTCATGAAACTAGTTCTTGACGCGTTCGTGATGTCTGTGAGGAATGATTTCTCTTTGGTGATATTGTAGATCAACCAGGTGTCGATAGTGCCAAACATCAAGTCGCACTCTCCACTATCGTAACTTTCCTGAATTTCCGGGATATTGTCGTACAGCCAGGTCCATTTGAGAGACGAAAAATAGGTAGAGATTGGACAGCCGGACCGTTCTTGGAGCATGGCGCGGATATCGTCGGGAACAACACTATTTAGCTGGTTCATCAAATTGAGTGTCCGGGTGTCGTTCCAGACAATACCGTTGTGCAACGGCTTGCCGGTACGTCTGGACCATATAATGGTGGTCTCACGCATGTTGGCAATACCGATTGCTGCCACGTGGTACACTGTAGGCGATGAGCCGTCGAGCGGTTCTTCAGAATTCGAGATTTCAAGTCTCATCAAACAGGCACCTAGACACTCTAAAACGTTGGCCAGAATGTGACAAGGGTCACATTCGACCCATCCAGGCTGAGGGAAAGACAAGGTGGGGCCCATGTGGTCTTCCTCGACCTGGACATGGCCGTCTTTGCCAATCTCCAGAGCTATACCTTCATTGGAGAAAATCGTTGGGGAATTCCGCTTCGACCCCTCCTTGGCAGAAGTGGAGTACTCGATCTGGTGTTTAGTGATTTCCTCCCCGTTCTCAGTGAACAGAATCACTCTGGTGGAGGTGGTACCGATATCTATAGAACAGATAAGTGGAATACTGGACATGAGTGCAAGCTGGGATAAAAAAAAAAAAACAGGAAACCTATATTACCCCAGATTAGCGAGGGAAAAAATATTTATAATGCCAATCCCCACGCAGTCTAATTATACCATTCTATTGTATTAACAGCCTTGCAGCCTCTCTGAAATTCGGATCGTTGTTTTCCAAGTCGAACTCCGGGTTATCCTGCCAGATTAATCGCCGAAAAATCTCGTCCATAACGAGCTGCTGAATGTTATTGGCAAACGGCTCGCGAATGTCGAATCTTGGGTTGGCGGACGCGGCGTTAATTTTGGCAATTTCTTCGGCATCAAAATAGATACTTCGCTTGCTGTACCTGGCGGCCTTATAGTTCAGCTGGTACAGCTTTTTCGCCAGTAGGTCCCAGTGCTCGGACTGGTTCACATACACCATGCCGTGGACCAGTATCTTCCAGTTCTCCAGGTCCTCGTAATCGGGAAATTTTTTCTTGAGAAAATTCGTTAGGGCAATAGCAAAGTAGATTTCACCCGTTAAAACAAAATGCCAGAGAAAGTTGCGGACAACGCGAAAACTAGGACTTGATTTTTCGTTTGCTTGCGCGGTATCTAACGTCAACTGCCAAGCCTCGTTGGCTTTGCCCCTGGCCAGCAGCTCCTTGACCGCCTTGGTGGTCACTGCAACGCTAGTTGTCCGAACTCCGTGGTCCTGCATCGCCGTCCGAATTTCACTCAGATCTCTATTGTCCAGCGACAGATACTCAAACACCTCGTCTTGCACCGGTCGCATATCTATCTTTAGCGTCTCCATTTTTCTGTATATCGCTTTTTTGAGATCCAAGTCTCTGAGTCCCCGAAACATGACATGGAACGTTGTTTCGTTCGGCAGAAGATGGTATTTGTCCATTATTTGCAAGTTTTCCAGCACATTTGCAATTCTGTTGGGATGATGTTTTTGTAGCGTTGTCTCCAGAAGCAAGTTGATCACCTCTGTGTCGGGCTGGTGGCCCATCTTGATCATTTTGTCTCTCACCTCAAAACATTCAAGCGTCATGTATGTTTTGGCAAAATACTGGATAATTCGCTTGAAAGAAAGCCGTGTCAGATCCGGCGAGTTTGACACTAGGTTGTAGATCCGAGTGATATGTGGCAAAAGGTCGCGGTATCGCCGGAAATCCAGTTCTGACACTGATGTCACATACTTGTTAATGGATTCCGGTGTGTATTGCGCTGGTGGTTCTGGAAGTTTCTCTCCCAACCTGAGCTTATCTGTCCACCTAACTTTATCTGTCTCGCGACGGAACCCTCGCCGATCCAAGATGTCAAGGAAATATATCGCTATGACACTCTCATGGTTGCCCTTTGGCACTTGCAAACCGACTTTCTCGCTGGTCAGTTTCAGAAATCGATCGTAGCGATTCTTGATCCGTTTCTCAGCTATCACAGAGGTGGAAGTGTTTCTCGCCGCCGTCGAAACACTGAATTTGCGAATTATATTCATAAATCAAGCCTAAAAAATAAATTTGTATTTTTTTGTCATAATCTACATTACAGCTTCTAGTGCCAGCGCTGAAGTCACTCCTCGTGGATCTGTTCCGACACAGAAATCCAGGCCACCAGCTTCTCAATCGCGTCGTTCTCCTCTGGCAATCTCTCGTGCCCGTAGTTCACAATGGCTCTACTCTCTCCCACCTCCCTGAACGTGTTTTGTACTCCATCGATGTTCTCGCGTCGGAATACACCCACTTTGTACTCTCCCTCAAAACAGTGTTCCTTTCCAACAAGTCTCCTGCCTCTCATGTAATTTATAATCTGATCCTGTCCGTCCACGGAACAGCTAGCTTTCTGAGCATTCCAGAACTGTGATCCCTCCGAAACAGGCCCGGTGTACTCTGAATACACCGGTAGGACGTTGCACTCGTATTTGGCCGTTTCACCCTCTGCAAAACTAATATTTGATGGATGCAATGATCTGCTCATTACGCGTATTAAATATTTCTACGAATTTATTTTTTTAGTTCGATGAGTGCCATACAGTCCTTCAAACACTACCCATATTTAATCTCCAAGTAAGTATAGAAACCAAACTGCAACTAACATTAGGTACTGGGACCCCGTATTTGCAATTTCCGTCGGAGTCGTGTCGTATTACGCCTACGAAAAAAGAGCAGGCCGGCCCGAAGGCCACACTCTCAACGAGCTCATAAGACGCAAGTACGAACGAATGACAAACTGATGAACCGTTATAATACTCAATAAGCTTTATTTTATCATTTAACGTATGCAAGACTTGGATTGCGAGGTCTAGACTCTCAGGTCCAAAGTAGGCTTTTTTCTCGAGAGCATCCGTTTCGTCCGCTTCGACTGCTGTTTTCTGTCTTTCTTGCCAATATCGATCAGATCGCGTCCAAAGTTGTCTCTGTTTTTCAGCTTGTAAATGCGGACAATCCAGTTCTCACTGGTGAACGCTTCTTCCATGACGTCCAAGGTGATCGACTTCGCGTAGCTGGAGCTCAGTTTCTGCTGTCTCACACGGTCAACAGGATCCAGACCATTGTAGGCATCCCCAAATCTGTAGAAAGACAGCTTGTACATCAGCGAGTTCTTCATGGCGTCTGTGGCTAAGTCGTCCACTCTATAAGCGCCTCTGTCTGTGAAATAATTGCGCTCGCTGATTTCCTCAGGCCAAATTCCTTCAGAAATTCTCACCATCCACAAAAACTTGTTGATATCGTCCCCAGAGTATCCAATCAGTCCGCCAAAAATCACAAGAACATAGTCTACATCGAGCTGTCTCATGATCACCTCCGCTTTGTCTTCCGAGGTGGCCATGGCACGACCCACAGTAGCGATGTGCGTATTATTCCACGTGTTGTTGTCGACAAAAGTGGTTCTGTCAGCCATTCCACCAATCTGGTATCCGTAGTCCCACCAGGCCATCACTTTGGCGTCCTCTGGAGTGTTCATACGCAGCCAGTAGTATGCCTCTCTGTAGTCGTCAATAAGCAGCTGAGAGCCATCAGGGTTCCTCGAGGCAAGAACAACTGATGGAGACGAGTATGCATTCGACGTGACCCAGGTACAATGTTGGACGTAGAAAACGAGGTAGAAAACAAAAGTGGCGCTGACAACCATCTTGGACAACAGCGTGAAAAGAGAGTCCTGAGATTCTTTGTTGTTCCACCAACTCGAAAGCTCGTCTTTGACGTCCAGATAAATATTGAACAGTCTTCCCAGTGTGATACCTGCACAGACACAAACGATTGGAGCGAGAGTCAGCATCAATCTGACCATGACACCAGCAAAGTAGGAGCCCAGAACGGAATACACGATAACAAACACGGCAGGGTTGGAGAGTTCCTGGAAGCAGAAGTAGACACCAACAGGGAAGAGCCATATCATGAAGTTGAGATCAAAGAAAAACGAAGACCATGGGGTAGGCTGGTGCTCAGAAACAGAGGCAATAATTGGGATGTGCACCTTCGCATAGTTTGTGTCCCAAAGGGAATAGAATCTTCCGGTCCAAGGGGCAATCCAGCCCATTTTTGTAGCCAGTACAAGACCGGAGATGCCAACGGTAGCCACCACAGCACTGAAAGCAAACATCAATCTAACGAATTTTGTTGGAGACAGAGTGTCTTTCAGGTAGCTGACAAGAAGCACCAGTTGCAGAAGTCCAAAAACACCAAAAGCGGCCATGTGGTCGTTGGATCTGATCGGCAAAAAGCCAACAAACGGGATCTGCATGGACATCAGCGTTCCCAGAGCGTACCAGGTGCAGTATGAGGTGTAGATTTTGTAGTCAAAACGGCCCATCAAAAGCAGAATGAACACGTGCAACGGGATGATGTTGGTGATAAACACATAACCTCCCCAAGCACTGACCATGTAGAAGTAGAACATGGCCGTCAAAGCGCCGTAAAAAATAGACCCCGTGTTGACCGACTTCACCCACAGGAAGAACGTCACCAGCAGCAGCGTGATGGCAATGGCCTCGTTATCGTAAGAGCCGGCCACAGATCTGGAAATGTATCCTGGAGTAATGCCCATTAAGAACGCGCTGAACAGCGCGGCAGTCTTTTTGTGCTTGAGGGTTGGTGTTGTAGAGGTGACTTCCAACGTTAGAAGGTACATTGCCACGGAGGTGATGGAGCTGAATGCTGGAGCCAGGAGAACACAGATATTTCTGATGTCGACTGGCAGACCCACAAATTTCAGGATATGGTAGATGACGGAGGAAGTCACCATCAAACCAGGATAGAGCGTTCCTCCGGTGACTCTTCCCAGCGGATACCATGTTTTGTCGTCGAACCAGTTCAAAAACTCGTAAAAGGACGTGTTGACAAGGTGTTTAGTGGCACGGAAATTAAACCATGGATCGAACTCGTGGATGATCGACTCAAAGCGGATCACCGAGAAAAGTCGCGAGGAGACGGCTGCAAACGACACAGACACGAAAATTAGCGTCAGCAGAAGCAGTTTCACAAGCTTGAGCAGCGTAGGGTCAACCCTAAGGTATCCCTCATTATCTATCAGTGAGACCATTTCAGGTACAATTGTGATGTGGGGCCAATGAACGATTTCCAGTAGGCACGAATATCTGGCTGTTTCTGGATATTTCAGCAATCCACGTCAATTGTCGAATTATTCAAAGATGCCTTTGTACGTGTTAAAATTTAAACTCGAAAAATATCACAAATATTTGAACAAAAAGGCAAAATAACAATCCGCGAGATAATTGTTAATTTATTAATCTTGTCCTTGACAAATCACTCATCCGGAAATTACACATCTGTTTGACATGGCCTCGCATAGAACCACGGGCAGTCTGAATCTGCAGCCCATGAACAGCGCAAACTACACAGCAGCCCAAGATGGAGTACAAGATTTGCAAAGTCCTACGAATACTGAGAGCGTAGGAGATAAGCCGAGTTACCATGCCGCAGGGCCCACCTCGCAGCCCATTCTCGACATGGCCACGGCTTCGCTACCAAACGAGGAGCAGCAATCTTTGGCCAAGACGGAGCCTAAAGAGCAATCATTAGATTCGCATCAGCCGCAGCCGCCAGAACCACTAGCTGTGCCTCCCGCACCATCACTCATACATCCTTCTGATCCGCCGCCAGAACAAAAATCCAATACAGCTGTGGCTCAGGCTATTCCCGGCAAACCGATGACTCTTTATATTGACCAGAAATCGCTAAGCGAATCACCCCCTCCTCGAACTAAATCGCCATTTCGAGACTCACCCAACATCTTCATCAAGCAAATAAACGACCAACGACGCCCGTTGTATACGCCTGCTGTCTTGCGCTCAGACAGCTTAGGCCAAACAACCCCGGGAAGCGAAACATTCGATGTCTACAAACCCCCAGAACGTCCTATACTGAAATCGGCTCTTTCTTCTTCATCGCTTAGATCGCTCACATCTTTCACAGACTATTTTGGGGGCTTTGTCAGAGGCTATGGGGGAAAGCCAACACAGATAGAAGGGCCTACACGGAGGCATTGGAAACCCAATAATAGTCGGTTCAGTTGTGCCAAGTGCAACAGGATTTTCCATTTCATGACAGACAGCCGCAGAAAGCACCATTGTCGCTACTGTGGTGAGATCTTCTGCAACGACTGCCTGAAGAACTTTGTCTATCTGGATGATAATGCGCATTTCACCTTATTCGGTAGCTCCGAAGATCATCTGGACACTAAAGACAAAAAATACCTGTGCAAAGTCTGTCAAAATTGCGCTCAAAAATACGAGGTGTATCTGAAAGAGCATACCGCAAAGAATTTGGATCTGGACTCCAATCGAAACACGAACGGCAAAGTCAATACTACAAGAAGGGAGACAATAGCAAACAATCAAAACCCGATGCCTGCAGACTGGGATTGGAGTTCGTTTTGATTAATATACAAAGATATCAAAAGCCGACTGCGCTCACTCCTCGTTCTTCTCGTTTCGTTCTCTGTTTTCGCGGATCATTGTGTCTCTGACAAGGCCAATTTTGGACGCACTGGTAGAGTCGTCTTCAGGCTCATACTCCGATCCAGAAGAAGCAAAGTCTGTTTCACTTGAGGAAGAAAGCCCCACGGAGGAGTTGTTGTCATTATCGTTCGAGATGATAGGAACAGAGGATGTCAATTTGGCCTTCAACGATTCGTTGGCCTGAGCATATATGCCCGCCTGTTCTCTTTGCTGTCTTTTTGCAGCTCTTCTCTTTCTGAGTCTCTGCGTCTTGGCTTCTTCGTACTCGTCCTCCGAGTCCATGGTCTCCAGTTGCTCGAGCTGCAACTTCTTTCTTTCCTGCCGTCTCAATCTCTTGAGCTCGAGCTTCTTCTCATAGTCATACAAATTGAAGTCTGGGAACAATTGAGGGCCGTACTCGTTGATCACCTCTGTGATTTCCATTGAAAGTTGTCTTCGCGTCTCACGCAGTTGAGTGAGTCCTTCCTTATTGACCAACGCAAGCCACAATGGTCTGATCGATTTTAGAAGGTCCATACCCTTGTCGCCGAAAATAAGGGCCGAATACGTGATCATGGCCGAGAATAGGTAGATGGAACAGAATATAGTCAATGCAGACCTGTCCGAGAGGACATAATATTTTCTCATCAGCATGGTTCCCAGGACGGAGTAGAAGATGTACAGTAGCGGTGCAAACCCGATACTCACCAAAATTTTCCATGTAGCGATAACGTCTCGCGCCATTATCTTCACCGTGGAGGCTGCCAGAGCCTCGCGTCTTTTTTTCTCGCTAATCACCTTTGTGGCGATGAAAACTGGGGAGAAAAGAATTACTCCAGGCAGAGCCAGGGCTCCCAGCACGATCAGCTGCACGAGCGAAGTGACAAACCGTGTGAATATGGACAATGCGTCGTCGTTGCGGTCCCCTTCCACCAGATGGTCGGGAATCTTAAAAATCCGCAATCTCTCGTTGTACTCAAGAATGCTCTTCTTCAGCTCCATGATCCGAGGCTCGTCTTTGTAGTGCAGATAGCCCTTGAGCAATCTCCGGTTCATTTCAATGATACTTTGCAAAGATAGGTGTTTCGACATGTTGTTCGAGTACAGTCTACGAGCGACCTGGACGCATGTCAGACTTTCGTAGTCTGGACAGGTCACGGTGACTGCTTTCAATCCGCCAGTGATTGTCTCGAGTAGTTCCTTGATGGCGTCCTTCGAGGTTTCGGGGTTCGAGTATTTTGCGACGAGTTCCGGGCTGATCTCAATTGGCATTCCAAACTCCACGACTGCACGCGAACGGAACTTGTGCGGATGGAAGTAGTTCATTCCACAGGGAACGATCTTGACGTTGCAGCCTGGATGGGCTTCCATGGCCCCGAGAGCCATCACGGCCACGCCAGCCTTCAACGGCAGCAGGTCGGGACGGTCATGGGAGCCACCTTCGGAGAAAAGTCCGAGACAGTGGCCGTGCGCGAGATGCTCAAAGACCTTGTGGTAGACCTCGGACTGGTCAATTCTTGGCGCTGTTTTGAACGCTGTCCCCGTCTCGAGCGCTTTCTTCGCCTCGTCGGCGGTTTTGGGAGACGAGAACTTGAACGGCTTTCTCAAATACAGCTCTGTGTCAGAAACTATTTCGCCAACTTCGGCAGTGCCCCACGACCTAGGCAGTGCAAGAAGACCCTTGGTTTGGCACACGTTGGTGAACTGTGTGTCCACTCCAAGCACATGGAGCTCGTTTTCGGGATCGATCCTGATGGAGCCGGCAGCCGGCTTCAGACAATCCTGAGCACGACGCACAGGGATGGACATCTGGCTTCTACTAACAAGACCGATAAACTTGCGCTTGTGGCTCTTTTCGGCGATCAGAAAGCTGATCCGCCGCCCGGTCTCGTTCTTGACCTGGCCCATGAGCACAATGGGGTCGACAAACTGGTTGGCGTGGGGAGCAGCCACGAAAATTATGGGGCCTGACTTGGGCAGGCGGAACGCTCCCCGCGGCCGTATCTCGCGGAAAAAGCAGTCGAAGATCACCGTGAACGTCCACAGCACCAGGTCGTACACTAACTTGCGGAACCACGAGGGCTCCTGCCAACTGGAACTGGAAGACATGAGAAGAGCTTAGAAGAGCTTAAGTGCGTGACCAAGAAAAATTAAAATAAAAAAACCACCACAATTACCGTGTCATGGTGATCGTCGTTGGACAATCACAATATCAATGGAAGCCCGCAGAAATCAATTTTTCCACCCTAGCTCTGCTTTGCATGCACTCCCACTTTCGGCTATAGTGCAATTTTATTAGCTTGGTCGAAGCCAGTATTACTGCTTTCGGAAAAACACAAACATGGTGAAACTATTTCATCTCTCGCTAGTATTTTAGTATCTCTACAAAATGCCTGGCGTGAGAGAACTTGGCCCCATGCTCGCCTCTGCTGCGCTTTCATGGGCCTCTGCATCTCTGGCCCTTGCTCTGGTGGTCCTCGCGTACTCTCGATCTGTGCCACTTATCCTGGTCACAGCACTGGAATACGCAGCTGGACTGTCTCAAATCGCTTGCCTGTGGAGCAGCAACTATTATCTCACCGGTGCCTGTGTGCTGATAAATCTTCTGTCCATCCCCGTCGTGATATACTGGTTGGAAACCGTGCTCGACGCTCCGTCCAAATGCAAATACATAGAGCTTGCCATGCTCACTACATACATTCTGTCCTGTCTCCTCAAGCTGACAGCAGGCCGTCAGTTAGCCAAACTTCCCGACCCAGAAGCGAACATCAGAAACAAGCACTCTGCGCAGACTCTTGTGGACGAGATGGCAGAGAAAACCATTGACTTCCACTGCCAGAAGTCTATTGACCCGTTGCAACCACAGGAATTACATGATCAACATTCTAAGCAGGACTCAGAAATTTCAGATAGTCCCACCAGCCACAACGTCTCCTCGGAGTCGTTCCACTTCACCTACAAGGCAGACATCCACGCACAGCAGCATCTGGAGTCGCAGGTGCCACGAATGCTACCACAGCTCGAAGAAACTCTGGCACCAGTGTCATGTTCCTCTGCAGAGCTCGAGAACATCACAGAAATACCAAAACCGCACTGGGGCAGCCCGGCAGACCCGGGTCTCAACCACATCTCGCTTGAGGCCTGGAACCAGCATTCTCGACAGTGGCACGAGGAACAGCAGCTCTGGGGAAATAATTTTTTCAAGCGGCCAGATCTCACCAGATCGTTCAGCGACCCGTCCTCGGTGCTGACAGAGTACCATTCGCAGGGCACTTGGTCACGGTCCAGGTCTTCCACCGTCACCAGACATTCGCGTGTCTCGCCGTCCAGGTCGATCCGCAAAGCGCCTTCGTTGCACTCGACATCGAGCAGCCCGCTCAAGAGACTGCGCAGTCTCAAATTCAAGAAGCCACTCGGCCACTCCCAATCACAGCCAGAACTCAACTTCGAGTTCCTCAAATCGCTCCAGACGTCTCCGATCCGCACACACCAGCACCAAAAGACGCTTTCGTCGAACTTCAAAACTCCCTGCAACTCGCCGGTCAAATCGGTCGCAGGCGTGTCTTTGCGGCATTTGAACGAGAGTCACACCCCAGAGAGCCAGCTAAGTAACCATTCCAACGAGAGCAGCGTGCCGTCCGTGGTGGTCGGAGCTTACGACCGCGAAAAGTGGCACACGATCAAAAATCAGCTCATCCTTGAGGCCCAAGCTAGTACGGGCCCAAGCGTGCAAGAACGCTCTCCTATATGGAGCTCTGCATAAGTCCGGTAATAAGAACATTACAGTGCATATTATTATCTTTATTTTGTATCACGTTTTCCGTGCATTACTTCTGCAAGATTTGGTAGAAATTATTGTTGACGTTCCGCCCCAAGGCCGCCGGCCGTGAAATTTCTGAAAATGTATAAAAGTTGAGCATTTTAGTGACTCCTGTATGGTCGATCCGACAAAAGACGACTCGTCCGCATGCACGCGCGACATCCGACAGCCGCCAAGAGGAATACGTTCGCTCTATGATTCTGCCGGCCCACCTCACACAAGTCCGCAGGAAAATGCCTCGCGTCCATCCACCCTTCTTCCTCCATTGAGCTCGGCAACGTCCACCACTTCGGCTAGCTCGCATTTTTACTACCAGTCCCACCAGCACTTTTTTCAGAGGAGCACCCCGCGGTTCTCCTCCAGTTACAGTGATTTTCCTCACAGTAAAGGCTACAATTACCGGCCACAAGCTCCGCCGAGCCGATTAAGCTCATCCAGAACCTCCATTTTTCAGACACAGATAAACCCGTTGGAGTACACGCCGGCCGATCCAGGGGTCGATCTTTCCATCTTCTCAGAGGAGGACGCAGTGGTCTTGCGAAATCTTCTTCCACTGGCAGAGATCCATAAATGGAAGTTTGTTGCAACCAAACTCTCAAAAAGAAGATCGAAAAAGCTTAATGCTGACTTCTGCATCAAAAAGTTCCACGAAATGTTCGACCTCCCCTTTAACCCGGCCCACTCCCTGTTCAATTCCCAGTACTTCCTAGGAGCGACTATTGGTACGGCCCATTCGCAAAGAAACCTTGAGGGCCTGGTTGGCAGCTCGTTGCCGTACATTGTTTGCAAAGACGGTTGGAACAATGTCGAATACGACACCTCGCACCGGGCCTCGGCATAAAAATATATATGTAAGAAATATTATTTTATATGCTCAAATTATCAAGAACCCTGAGCTCAGTGGTATCGGGCACACGCAATTCGCCTAATTTTAGGACGTATTTGAGATTGAACGATGGGAAAATAGGATCGTTCTTTCATGACGTCCCACTGGGCCTGGACAAAGGAAAGCGTATCGCCAATATGGTGGTAGAGATCCCAAGATGGGTCAATGCTAAATACGAAATCTCCAAGGATATCAAGGCCAATCCAATCGTCCAGGACACGAAAAAAGGAAAGCTAAGATACCTTAACAATATCTATCCGAACCATGGAGCGCCACACAACTACGGTGCTTTTCCGCAAACTTGGGAGTCTCCGCTGGAGTCGTCCTCGCTGGTCAATCAAGATATCTTCGGAGACAACGATCCACTAGATGTCATTGATATTGGTCGTCACGTGTCTCCCACGGGGACTGTCAAACCTGTCAAGATTCTCGGGTCACTCGCCCTGGTTGACGACGGCGAATTGGACTGGAAAGTCGTTGTCATCGACACGAACGACCCCTTCGCTGCCGAGCTGAACGACATCAAAGACGTTTACGAGAAAATGCCAGGAGTTTTGGAGAACCTGAAGAGATGGTTTGAGGTGTACAAGATCCCAACAGGCAAGCAGCCGAACTCTTTCCTGTTTGACGGCAATTACAAGGATACCGAGTTTACCCTTAAAGTTGTGCAAGAGTGCCACGAAAGCTGGTACAAGCTGGTCATGGGTGAGCTTCACGGGGACAATCTTCCATCAACAGAGAATGCTACGTTGCCGCATACCAAGGGCAACACCGTGTTTGGTGTGGATATTGAGATTTCGCAGACAGAAGAACAAGTGCCACCGGAAGTCAATGATATGAGCTTCATCAAGTAGTAGGGTTTTTCAACTTGTATATATTTAATTCAGTACTCCTTGCACCTGGAAGTGAAAAAATCCAAGTAAACAAAAACCTTGTTTAAGAGAAACGTTTCTCAGATGGCTGTCAAGACGAGCGTTGATAAACCTGAGCCGGCAGTTGATCTAAATTGGACATTCCGGCACGCGTATCTGACGCTGCTCAATGGTGTTTCGGATTCTTCTGCCTCGTCATTTTTGAGCAGGTTTCTCACATTAAATAAGAAACACCTCTTGGCCAAGAACCTGCCGTTTCAAAGCAAGACAACCAAGGCCGCTACAGACGACTTTGAGATTGGGTCACGAATTGTTAAAAATAGATTGACTCCCAAGCAGCAAAAATATGTTTCCGAGATCTCAACAACACTACGTTTTGACATCCATGAAGTCGCCCGGATCGTTCAAATCACTACCGAGAGGATCCCCGATGAGAGTGAAATGGACAGCGCCGATAAGTCATTATTTCAGTTAACAGAGACTCATGACAATGTGACCCACTTCTATTCGAATGTTATCAAGGAATCTAGAGCAGTCCTGAAAACGCTCTTGTATCTAATTAAAAACGAGCATTCGCTGTCTTCCGATATGCAAGACCTTTGTTACGAAATCAAGCAGAATGGCTACGATCTGCTCCAGGCCTACATAGAGTCTTTGGTGGAGTGGAACAAAACACCGATTGAGATTTCCCAGAAAAGCCTGCAAATGGAGCTCGAACTACTGGTGCTGGATGTGTTGAATCTGATTTTGTACCTTATATTCAAAACTGGTACTGGATTCACCAAAGGTACAGCAATGAAGTGGTTCAAGCTCATGAAAGACTCCAATTACTGTGGTCTTTCTCGGATCTGTGAAGATGACAATAACGATAGGGTGACAACCTTCGAAGGTCTTTGCACTGTTCTGTCTCTGGTGATGCTGGACCTGGATTTCAATTTTGGAGCGCTAACAGACGAGGACTCATTCACTAACGACCCAGAAATAATGTATGCCATTAATGATTGTCTACTAACAAGTCATGCAAACTCCATCGTCTTGTACGCTTGGAGCATAATCTTGCATAGAAAACATTTGGTGATCTCCAACGACCCTAGCCATCCCGTCAGTGTCCAGTTGATTGATAAGTTTGGCGGCCTTGAAAATCTGCAGAAGATTTTCCTAACGTGCGCTAAAAAAGCTGAGGAACTAGACGTATGTGCATCCATGATTAGATGTCATGATATATTGTCGTACGATAGTCTCTATGATGCCATTTTGGCAGCCTTTGTTGTTGCCTTTGTGCCCTACATCCAGCTTAATGACAACATCACTCTTGCAATCAGAAAAATCATGACTAATGCCCCAGACAGAATAGTTGAGAGATTTTTTCTCAACCCAGCAACAGAAGACTTGATGGCCATTGCTCGAGCCAAGCTGCCTTTATCAATAAAGTCTTTTATCCGTCTTGTTGGAATAAATTCAAATTTGGCTTATGAAGAGCTCGCTAATCTCAAGTCTTATATGGAGGTGTTCAAAGAAGAGGAATTTTATTACAAGTACCTCATAGACGATGAAAATCCAAACTTAATCAAGCTCACTCAAGACGTTGATGTCCTGCCTCCATACGAAACTCCCGGGGAGCTTTCACTGCTGCTCAAAGAAGGCACAAAGGCTCAGATCTTCCCGGGAGCGAACAAGGATGACATGGTTGTTGCATTTCTTTACGATTACAATGGATGGACTTTACTGGGTAGAATTCTGAAAAACCTGTCAAAGAAACTGGATACTAACCCTGAGAAAGTGGATCTGGCATGCGAAATATTCCAGCTAATGACCAAGATCTCGCAAGAGCTGGAGAAAGACAAGTTTGACGAAGTCATAAAAGCAATGAGTTTGTTTTCCGATGACCGTGATGTCATTGAAGTCATTTTCCGTATTCTGGAGCAAGCGCTGCAGTTGCGAAATGTCCACTTGTTGCAGTCTGGATACAATCTTCTGTCCTCGCTTTCTATGTGCGGATACTCATTCAGGATATGGTCATACCTTTACAAATCGCAGCTTCTTGGGCTGAAGGCTAATGCGGGCTTAGCCAATACCATTTTGGGAACAGTTGAGATGGTTGAGTGGAAGTACGCGTTTACCTTATCTCTACTAAAGCTCACAAACTCTATGCTGGACGATTGTCTAGCAATTTCCGATGAGGTCAATTGGAAGCTGAAGTCTGAGGTTTTAGATCGGCTAGTGGCGCACTGCATCCACGTCTATGAGAACTTCCTTCACTGGATGTTCACTGATGACGTTCAGAGACTACAGATTGGGACATATGCTCAGTTGATTTTCGTGAAGATCCTTGTTTCTCTATATGGGATTGACGATGGAACGGACCCAAAAAACAAAGTGACGCGTGTATTTGCGCAGTCTTGCGAGAGAATCACGAGGATGTTTTTGGTTCCTGATATTCAAGTTTCAAGAACCTCCAAGCCAATTTTGGAAACCTTTAGCTCACTTTCTGACACAGTTACTGACATTGATACGTCTGGACTTTTTGGTCTTTGGCAGCAAAGATTCATTGGCGGCATGTTTGAGTTTGCTACAACTCTTATATCCATCAGAGATGCCTGCCAAGGGACACTTGCATCCGCCTTTGAGATGGATCTTTATTCTATAATTCCTAGGCTGGTCGATTTGTATGCTGGCACCATGAATCTGCGTGCAAGTGTTCTGAATCTGTTGTCCAGTCTGGTTAGCACAAGTTGGGAAAAAGAGCCTCCATCTCTGCTCACTCACCTTGGACAGGAACATACTCAACTTTTGCTCAAATGCCTAGCAGTGGACATGGCAAATGAATTTGAGACTCATGATATGAAAACAGCGCTTTTCAGGTTTTTCTCCTCAGTCATGGAAGGAGATCAAGAAGGACTGTCAATCGTTTTCATCACTGGACGAAATATCAAGGATTGCATCTTGGATGAGAAGAAGAGCCTCAGTAAAGAAGATAAGTTGAAGAAGTCGCAGTTTTCGCTTCTGAAGATTTTGAAGGCATTAATTTCGAAAATCTCTGTCTATCCAAGCAACGTCTCGCTGAAACTGGTGGAATCTCTTGCTCTTGCGTTTAACTCATGGACTACTGCCAAAGAAGACGATGACGATGAGGGCTTTGTGATGAGCATCATCAGCGAGCTGAGTTCATTTCCAAAACCACCGTCAACTAACGAGGGTGAGGCTTTGAGGGAGTATTTCTACCAGGTCAACATAAAAGCGAAAATGGCCGAGATTGTTTCCCTGTACCTGTTTGTTTCGCAAAACAACGCCAACAAATCGAAGATCTATCAACTTCTGAACTCCCAGGAGTTCATCTCACAGCTCAAGGGTAAGTTCGAACTTAAAGATAGCTCACTCTCTCCAATAGAACAAGAAGTGAAAGAGTTCACCATAGACGGAATGAAGTTCCAACTTTCGCAATTTGAAAGATCTCCTTATTTTGTTAAAGAGGCTTACGGTGATGATTCCTCGCATTCTATGGAATTGATGGACAAACTGTTCAGAAAAAGTGCAGAGTGGGAAGTAGTGAGAAACCAAGCTGTCGCCTACAGCTTAAATTTCCAGCTTTTTTCTGCGCGTGTCACGGCTGCTAAGTCTTTTGGTGCCTTGGTCACATGCTTCTGCAAAAACAACGGAGCTGAAACTAATTTGCAGTACATTTCTCTGGCTACTACGCTCCTAAAAATCAACGATCAAGAGGGAATACTTTCACCAAACTTTGCCATTATATACCAGGAACGCATCGACCTGGCATTTTTCATTTGTCTGACTTTCTCCAAACGCAAGGAAAACAAATTCGACGATAAGATAGTGTTCCCTTTGATTTCCTCTGCCTGTCAACTCCTTGTGTCTAATGATATCAATTTGCAAGCTGGGCTTGTGAGCTTTGAAAACCAAAACTACCGTCCGTTATTGAGGACCCTTCTGATAGCCCTTGGTATGATCAAAGAGGATACCATGCTTTTCATGGAATATGGTGCCGCGTTCGTGGACATCTTCAATACAATCATCGCTAAATCTGTGAAAACAATATTCAAATCCATTCAAAATGAAGTGATGGCTTCTAGGAAAACTGACTATGGGAACTCCTTGCTTGTCTGCAAGCAAGCAGATGACCTTTCACTGATTATCAGTTTGCTGAACACGCTGATCAACAAGCATCTCCCTCGTGACCTGGAAGTTTCCATCGCCAAATGTGTGATAGATTCAGGTCTCTTCAGATCCACCGCGAATCTTTACTCTTGCTCCCATCTGATCAAGATCAACAAGGAAGCAGTGTTTTCGGAAATCTCCCTCAAGATTATCAACGAACTTGTGCAATTGAAACCTGTGGCGGAGAAGTTGCTGGCAAATGGACTATTTATGGTTCTGGTTGACTCTCAGATATCGGTACTTATTCAAAAAGGCGGTGTCTCTCCTGTTATTCCTGCCACAGCCAGGCTGCACCAAATCTGGGTTGATGGTCTTTTATCGACCGTTCTGACCTTAATCACAACATTTGGTGAGAAATTATCTGCCGAAATATTCTTGTTCGTCAAATCATTTTCCAAACAATTTCAGAGTACTCTTTCCGGATGGTTGGAGTCTTCCACGCCAATCAGTCTTCCAATCGTCCACGAAACCTCCCAGATCATTTTCTTGGCCAAAGCTCTCAATCTTCTTGACATCTACGAGAACGTGGCTTCCAATTCCGACTCTGTTAAGCTCATTCCCGGTCTGGATACCAAAGAGGAACGCCTCAACCTTGTCAATGGCCTAAACTATCTTATTTCGCATCCCAAGTTCCTTTCTTCGAGAATTGTGGCATCCAATCTCGAAGAGCAAAAGCTTCTCGACTCAGAAGAAAAGTACAAATTCGTGGACCGACTTCTTGATGAAATCAAGCAGCTGAAAGATATGCTACTAGAGTGATTACATAGATTAGATTAAGTCTTGTTTCTCTTCAGTTTCAAGAAGTCTTGAAATGTGCCGATTCGAACGATAGTGTCTCCGATCTTGCGACCGTTGAATTTGAAGTCTGCCATACCAGAGCTTCTGACAGTCTCGAATTCAATCAAAGCCGCATTATTTTCGGGTTGCAACTCTATCTGGGTGACAGGCCCTATTTCTTCGAATATAGCCTTGAGATTTTCTGTGTTCAGTTTGTCGTCAACATTGAGCACCGAGATTGTCCGAGCTCTATCAAACTTCCCCGTTCCGATAACAGACACTTTCTTTTTCTTGGGTGTGGCTAGTTCGACCTTCATTGGTCGTCCAGCCAACAAATTGCCGTCCAGTTCTAAACTATTCACGGCATCGGAACTGGACTTGAACGAAATGAATGCAAACCCGTTGTTGAGCTTATTGGTCTTCTCATCACGTTTGACAGGAATGCGTATCATTTCAATATCACCAAATTTCGAAAATAACTCGCTCAATCTATCCTCGTCGACCTTATAAAAGTCCAAGTCGCTAACATACACTTGTCTGCCCTCTTCCAGCGCACCTTTGCGATCTTGCCTGGCGTCGGGGTTCGAAACCTTGACTGTCAATTTGAAATCACCGGTTTTTCCCCGTATTGTATGGCCATCCAATGCTTTTACAGCGGACGCGGCATCCTGTTCAGACGAATATTCAACGTAGCAGAAACGCCTTTGCACGTTGCTTTTCAACGATGGCAGTCTAACGGACAATATCTCGCCATATTGTCTAAATATATTCCTCAAGTCTTCCGCAGTTTTCTCGGGAGGATAATTTGCAACCCAAAGGGTGTTATTCTGCAAATGGACCACCTCGATCGGCGAGTCCTCAATTATTGTGCCGTTTTTCTTCATAGCTGATAAGAGTCCTTGCTCGTCTGTAAATTCGATAGTTGCCTTACCTTGCAAAAGGGAGATGCTACGGATCTTTCCACAGGAGCTAAAATTATCAGTCAATTCTTTCTCATCAATTGAAGGAGGCAGATTAGCTACCAGTATAGTCAGATGTTCGCGATCTCTGGTCTCGGTTTTTTGTTTCCTTGGCTTTGTTTCAGCAGTATCCTCGTGTGCTCTTCTTTTGCTGTGGGGCCCTTGTGATTTTTCTTCCACTTCATGCTCTGAAAGTCGTCTTTTACTACCTTTGATCCGTGACAGTGCGCGTTTGCAAACTTCATCGCAGTATTCTTGACTTTCATCTGTGCCTTTGAGCAGCTCGAACCTTTTCCATTCAGATGCTAAACGCTCCGGCCAGTCAAGCTTCTCAGCGATACCCATTGCTTTCTTGAAGAAGTCCGTCACATGTCTGTAATTGCCGTGTCTCTTTTCAAACTCGACAACATAAAGCCACGCTTCCGTTTCATTGTCAAAATTCTCCAGGAGGGGAGTTAAAAAATCCCTTCTGATGCCGTCAACGTCTCCAATATCCTCTTGGATTTCAATACACAATTTTGGGACAGTGTGGAATATGTCTCCTGCTTTCAATGTTCTTGAAAAAAAATTGTACGTATCTTCCATCAGCAATGGTTGCGCCACCGAAGCATTCTGTTTGAACAGACGAAGCTCCATTCGAAGAATTTCACAAAACACGGGTACTAAAATTAAATCAGAGTAACTATTCAATTGAGACCGTATTCTTTGAAGTTGATCCACGGGACTATCACGGACGTATTGGATCCATGCTTCTGCATTGGATGGCTCAATTTGCACAACTCTTTCCCAAAAGGCAGAGTCATCCACCTCCAAGTTGAAGGACAGATAAGTTTGGATTACTGGTACAAATACCTGGACGCCAAGACTTCTTTCCACTGTACACTGAATTAGACGCTTTTTGGTCACTCTGTCCAGCACTTTGCTTCCGTGCAATGCCTTCAAATAGCCAATCCAGTAATCAGGACTTCTGTCCTGTCTCTGAAGCTCCCAAGGCTCAATCTTCTCTAGTATTTGTGTCACTTTTTTCTTTATTTGAAGTATGTTTTTCATTTTGTCTGTGTATTGTTCTCCAAAGTGATCTGACACAAACTTGGAGTAGTCATTCAAAAGGCTATCATAGTCCAAGCTTGGTATTTGCAGTTGTTGAAGCCAGAGCTGGTCAAGTTCTCCAGCCTCGTGGACCTTAGCTGTGCAGTGCTTATAATAGAGTCCCCACATCTTGTAGTTGTTTGTCACGTCGAATTGGGTGCGATAGTATGCTAGTTGGTAGTTTTCGTCCGTTGGGCTTTCCTCGAGCAGTCTCCGCCATAGCAGAAAAGACGTCGGGTGCAATTGTAGCTGGGCCTTTAGTGACATAAATAATTTACATTTTTAAGTACTTGTAAATAAATAAATATCAAGAATTACATTACGCTCCTTTATTTTCTATATCTTGTTTCATTTCCCAGTCTCGTAGTGCGGCTTCCCATTCGTCTTCAGGATCCTGCTTCCCTTGTATGTTCTGGAAATACTCTTCCAATTCATGACGTTTTTCTTCTTCAAGCTCGTCCCATTGCTCCTTCTCATCTATCCATCGTTCGTGGATGTCAATATCTTCCATAAACGCCAGGGATGATTGTCGAACAGCATCGGACCATATGGAGTCGCCTCCAAGCTCGTTCGTTCCAAAACAGTAGCCGTTGGCCTTGTCGATTATAGAAAGAAGATTGATCATTGAAATCTTATCCTCAATTGCCAGAACCGTGTACTGGATCAGTCCGAAATCTTCAATCAGATCCGCGATCAGAGTTGTCAGTCTCTCATATTTCTCGTTGAAATAACCCCTCTGATTATTCTCTGTCCTCACATATGGCAAAAGCTGGTTTAAGTCTTGAACTTCAGTATAGTATTGCAACCTGAAGGGCAAGCCACCTTCCAGATCTTCCTCGTTGGTTTCTCCTCTTTTTCGCTGCTCCATTTTAGAGGCCTTGTCACCGTCAATATAGGATTTCAAGAGATCAATTTTAGAAATGACATTGACTTGGGGCATATCCATTTGAAGCATCGACCTCAAAGTCAAGAGCAAGGTCGAGATATAGTTAGAAGGGGTGACTAGGTTGATAGAGTCTACTAACGACACCACACAAAACCTAAAATCAAGCTCTTTCTCCAGTTTACTGAAGATATTTCTAAAAATTGGGTTGTTGGTGAACAGCTCTGTTTGCCCGGGGCAATCGAATATAATGTATGTGGACTGTCCGTCTAAACTAAGGGACATCAAATCTTTGATTTTCTCGATGAAATATTGGATGCTTTGCTCAAATACCTCCAAACAGTACACAAGGCCTCCATTAGGACCCAATCGTATATTCTCATCGTTCATGATCTCTTCAAGCGTGATAAAGTCTCTGATATCGACCGTGCAATGGTATGGCAATAGATCGTTGGCTGGATCCAGGTTGACGATCAATGAGTTTCGGCCTATTGAGTTTAGAAATTGGTTCATACCATTGCAGTATGTTGATTTCCCTGCGCCTGGAGGACCTATCACGATCTGTCCATACGGAGGCATGAATAAATTATCTTTTTTTTTATTTTTTTACTTTTTTCCTAGCGAGCTCTACTTTAAATGGAAAACGAGATATCCCTTATAGATTCTATTCTGTACAACTTGGTTGGGGTTAAGCAGCTTTATGAATTTGAGGTAAACCACCTACACACGTTTGCAAACTTGACTCGCCGTTTCACGGAGGAGAAGAACAAGGAAGTGGGAGATAAATGCACAGTATTCAAAGACAAGGCAATCAAGGAAGAGCAATGGGTGAAAGAAAAAATACGTAACCTGGAATCCGAAATCAACAGACTGGACAAGGAAATCGAAGAGCGGAAGGCTTCCAAGAAAAAGCTGATGGAGTTGTTCGAGAGCTTGAAGAATATCGATAAGTTCGAACACAAAGAGTCCAACTCCGACGAATTGCCTATAATGGAGATTCGCGAGGAGCTGGATGACGAAGGTCATGTCATTTCCGGTGATGTGAAGCCTTATGCAGAAGTGTCAAATGGGAGCCAACGTGTCAAGTCTCCTCAGTCAACCAAACCTGAAATCATGGAAGCCAACAATGAATCAATGACACACAAAGAGGCAGCTTCACAGCAAAATAAAGTAGTGTATGATACCACTGCACACTCCACCAAACTCGAGCCGGAGAATAAGGCCGCCTCCGCTCAAACTCAGAAGATTGAGGAACTATCTGAAGAAGAGCAGAAGAAAATCGATGAGGATCGAGAACAACTGGCTGAACTTTTAGACGATATGGATATTGCTCCTAAAACAGACACCAAAGTGAGTAGTAAAACAAAGGATACAGAGAATGCAAAGGATGCAAAAAATGCAAAGGATACAGAGCAAACAAAAGATTCCAGTGATTCTTCAGAGGCTACTTCTGATTTTGCGCCGGGAAAACCGGCGATTGACCCGGAAGATATCCTCACTCTTGAAATGATTGCTGAAGATTTCGATGACGAGGATTATGACGAGGAAGAGAGCGATCTGACAAGGGATATTGGAGATGAAGGAGAAGAAGAAGATGATGATGATGACGACGACGAGAGCTACGTCAAAGTTGTTCCAGGCGGCGCAAGAAGTTTGTTTTTACAACAGATCGCAGAAGTCAGACAGAAGAAACAGGAGGAGAATGGTCAGCAGAATCTTCCTGAACCCAAGAAAGCAGGAGCGAAGAAAAAGAGCGTCAAGTTTGCAGAGTCGGTGCAAGTCAAGGAAGTGGAAAACGTTTCTGAAGAGCTGAAGAAGACCGAAAACACAAGAGTTTCTCGTTTCAAGCTCCAACGCCAACAGCGAGGCGTTAGTCATGAGAGTGTGCCAGACGAAGATTCAAAGGAAGTAGTGCAGGACGTGGTTGAAAGAGACATTGAGGAGCAGTCGCATAATGAAAGTTCAAAGATATCTGCCGTTCCAGCCTCTCTAGATTACCGGGCTATGCAGGACGACCTCGATACAATGGCGAGGGCTTATACTCTGGGAATGTACGACGATGACATTGAGACACATGGCGAAGTTATTGAGAAGCTCGATGATTTTGAGTCTCATAATAAGATAGTGGAGTCCAAACCAGTTGATATGCCAGAAGAAGAGGAGGAGGAGCCTGAGGAGGAAGAAGATGATGACATGGTCTTAGTGGACAAGATTGTGGAGAATGAGGTTGACGACGCTGAGGAGGATCCTGAAATCGAATTGGCTGATGAGGTTTTGGAAGCCGACGTTGCCATGGATTACACAAGACTGCGAACGAAAATGATACATCGGTATAACGGAGGATTCCAAGAGAGCGAGAAGGAGAAGGAATATGAGCCTATTGAGCCAGTCAAGACAAGTCGATTCAAAGCTGCTCGATTGGGGCGGATCAATTAGCACATCTGAATGATTCTTAAAAGTATGTAACTATTTAGTTTACGATCTTTAACGTTTTGGTTGGCTGATACCCGCAGAGCATAAATGGCTCGATCCCAGCATCGCATACCGCCTGATCGGAGGGTGATCGATGCTGTTTTCTGAGGTACGTGGGCTTTCGGGTGAAGATAGTTGTATCAGGAGGCGACATGTGGTGTTTTTTAGGCTGCGGTTTTGGTTTTGGTGGGGACTGATAATGACTTTGAGGCCGTGGAGAGCTAAGAGTGTAATCTCTCACATCAGCCTGGTTAAAAGTCTCAATGGGAATAGAAGGTAGCGGTTTTGAGTAGGTACTGGTGATACCAGTTTTTGGTAGCGATTCTTTTGAAGAATGAGTCTGAATTGAAAATAAAGAATGCTCTGAGTCAGAGTCGCCCATTTCCTTGTAGCTATTGATGAAACTTGTGACTAGTGATGTTTCTGAGCCGTTGTTTTCCAACTGAAGGGGCGACGAAACTGCCCTTTTCTGGCTGCTCCTCTCTTTCTTCTTTGTCATCGGGTGTCTGTTGTAGAATGAGTGTTCCTGTTCAAATTGTGAGAAGGCGTTGTAGAAGCCGGGTGATGTGGAAGCTTCATCAAAAGGTGGAGAGTTTGAAGTGTGTGAAAACGATCTAGCTTTAAGCTTGAATTTTTCGATTCTGTGGCTGGGAGACGGTGGAGGAGGTAGTCCTACGTCAACTTGAACGCTCAAAGGATCGAAAAAGTCTTGATCCAACAAGATCTTGTGTCCCATATGTTTCCTCATTGATCTCTTTTGTTCTTAGTTTGAGGCTTGGGCGATCCAATATTAATTGCTATAGGAGGCTGTCTTGAGATTGCTACCATTTCGGGAAAATCTGGGGATAGTCGTGGCTGACCTAAACGGTCTAATTTTTTTTAATTTTTTTTCAGGTTAGTTCTGACTTTTAGCATGTCAAGTCAGGATAAGAAACCTCCGCTGGAGTCACGGTTGGGACGCGATGAGCCTTTTGACTTTGGTCAGAGATACTTAAAGAACGAAGAAGAAGTCTTCAACTACAACGCATGGGACAATGTCGATTGGGACGAGGAACAGCTCAAAGAGTTTGAGGAAAAGATCAAACAACAACACAACGAGCCCGTGTCCGAGTACTACAGGAAGCTATACAACGAAAAGCCAGCCAAGTACTGGGACATCTTTTACAAAAATAATCGCGAGAATTTCTTCAAAGACAGAAAATGGTTACAGATAGAGTTCCCTTCCCTTTACGAAGCAACGAAGCCCGATGCTCCCGCATGCAACATCATTGAGATCGGCTGTGGAGCAGGGAATACGATGTTCCCGATTTTGCAGCAGAATGAGAATAAGAACCTCAGACTGTTTGGGTGCGACTACTCCAAAGTGGCAGTCGATTTGGTGCGATCCAACGAACTTTACGAAAAGAACGCTGGAGTTGTGCACGCGTCCGTGTGGGATCTAGCTAATCCAGACTTGGAACTCCTAGAGGGTGTCGAGCCGCACTCGATCAATATTGCAGTCATGATATTTGTTTTCTCGGCCCTGAGTCCCGACCAGTGGGAGCACGCAATCAATAATTTGTCGAAAATGATGGCTCCAGGCGGGAAAATCCTGTTCCGTGACTATGGCCGCTATGATCTGGCGCAGATTCGGTTCAAGAAGAACAGGCTTCTTGACGAGAACTTCTACGTCAGAGGGGACGGCACCAGGGTGTACTTTTTCACCGAGGAAGAACTCAGAAATATATTCTGTGGTCCTTTCATAGAGCGCAAAATTGCATATGACAAGCGGCTATTGGTGAACCGCAAAAAACAGCTGAAGATGTACCGTTGTTGGATGCAGGCTGTGTTTGAAGTTCCAGAATAGCCTTACTGCTCGTCTTTTTGGATCATCTTGATAGAGATATGTAGAAAACCGTCCAGCGATTTCATGCAAATATAGAGGTCGATAATAGGGCTGTTTAGTGGCAGTATGACTCCATGCGAATACGGGTGTGCCACAGTGTACATCAGTGATGACGGGAATAAATCCGGAACCAAATTCTGAAGCAGGTTGCCGAGAGTTAGTTTTCTCCCCAGATTAGACAGGACGGGCTGTATCAGTTTGTTGGAAAGAGGAAGATACACTTTGATCGGAAGATTTTTCAAGCTAGACACGTTGGACGGCAGTAGTTTTCTGAACATTGACTCGAACTGTGTCGAATCTTTGTGAATGGCGGCGTGATAGAAATCGTCTGAGTCTGTGCGGGACATGTTCATAACAAGCTTGCTTGAGCCGTTCAATATGAAACACGCCTCCTTAAGCTGATTGGTCCAGTGGTCTTTGAGAAAGGAAGCGTTCTGGTCGATCGGAATCACGTACTCTGTGGGGTAGTCGTAGTATTTAAGTGTAATATCCCATACTTGTTTCTCTATTTGCGCGTCCGTGGTCACGAGGTCGTAGAGTAGGCCAATTGGCAAGTTCCATTTCAAAGGAACTCTTTCAAACTCAAACCACCAGTTGTGAGACTGCGCCAATCGTGCGTCCTTCAGAAATGGATTGAAGAACTGGAGAATGGCCGGTAACGAGTTGTGCAGGTACGAGTTGCGATGAACAGCGATGTAGAAGCTGGGACAGTCCTGGTTGGACAGCGCGGGGTCCAGATGGAACTGCATGTACAAGACGCCGCCCCATACCCTGCTAATGATCTCCGAGGTGCTCATAATAAATTATGTGCCAGAATTGCTAAGAAAGTAATCTCGACATACTATATGGATAAATATCTATTTTTCTATAAATTTTTGATCACCTGCTCCGTGAAGTGGGAGGTGGTGGAGGTTCCCTTCAAATCTCTAGTTCTGTTTTCTGGGCCAGAGGCAATGGTCTTCAGAACAGCGTTCTCGATCTTGTCGGCATGGGAGTTCAGCTCCATGTGTCTCAGCATCATGCATGAGGAAAGCAAGAGAGCGGTAGGGTTGGCAAGACCCTTGCCGGCAATGTCTGGAGCAGAACCGTGAACAGCCTCGAAAATGGACACTTTGTTACCCATGTTACCGGATGGAGTCAGGCCCAGGCCTCCAATGAGACCAGAGGAGAGATCGGACATAATGTCACCGTACAAGTTTGGCATGACCATGACCAAGGACTTGTACTCAGATGGGTCTGCACAGAGTTTCAGAGAGGTGTTGTCGAGCAACTCAAACGAAAGCTTGATGTCTGGGTATTCCTTGCCGACTTCCTTGGCGGTCTCCACAAACAAACCGTCGGAAAGCTTCATGATGGAAGCCTTGTGGACAACTCTGACCTCTGGCTTGTTGACGGACTTAGCGTACTCAAAAGCATATCTGATAACTCTCTCGGAGGCTGGCTTGGTGATCAGCTTGATAGATTGCACAACACCAGGCACAATCTCGTGCTCGATACCAGAGTACTCACCCTCGGTGTTTTCTCTAATCAAAACAGTGTCAACATTCTCGTATGGAGTCTTGTAACCTTGCACGCTCTTACATGGTCTGACGTTGGCAAAAAGCTCAAAAGTTCTTCTCAAGGTCAGGTTCATCGACTGGTGACCCTTACCAACAGGGGTAGCCAGAGGTCCTTTCAGGGCGACCAAGTTCTTGTTGATGGAGGCAACAGCATCAGCCGGCAGGGTGGTCTTACCGTTGATCAGCGATGGAGTCACGTCGACAGGCTCCCAGGTGATTGGCACCTTGGCCTCTTTGAAGATGGCCTCCACAGAGGCTGCAATCTCGGGACCAATACCGTCACCAGGGATCATGGTGACGGTGTACTTGCCGTCAGGACCTGGCTTACCAGTGAATTGACCGGTGACCTTGCCGGTGGCGTAAGTTCTTGCGAGCGAGAGAGGGCTTCTTGCGACGGCTCTGAACATTGGAAGAATTATAGTGATCTCGAAATTATTCAAAATATAAATCTTGAACCCGCGCACGGTACCAGGCGGTGGTGCCCGCCTGGGCTTTGCGCTGGGGCCGCGAATTTTTACCAGGCATGACCGAAATCGAATCCGACTACTCCTCGCACCTAGCCGACCTCGGGCATGACGAGAGACGCGTCGACCGACCGCAGACGTTCCATTTTAGCTTGGGACTAAAAAACATAGCATACATCGTATTAGCATCTAATGTCTAAGTATCGCGCGACAACTTGATAGGAGCGTAGTCGAAGTCCGGCGGAATATGGCACTTCTTTTGCGACCTATTGCTCTTCCAGTGACCTGTCAGCTGGTAAGAGCGATGGAAGCGTTTACCACATCCCCATAGTTTCCCGTCTGCCGTGCGACCTTGGCAGATAAACAGCTTTTCAGAGTTGCGTAGGTGCTTTTCGCGAACGTGGCGTCTCAGGTCTGACGGAGTGGAGTACTCAAGCGTGCACTTCGCGTACTGGCATTTGTAGGGCTTGAGTCTCTGATGTACAGACGAGACGTGGTTCTTCATGGATTCTCTCCGCGTGAATGTCTTTGCGCACAGTTCGCACGCGAATTGTTTGGTTGGCTGCGCGGTTCCGGTTTTGAGTTTGTTGCTGTCAGCTACTACGCGTTCTGGCTCGAATAAAGTCGGTGTATCGGCCGGTGTATTGGTGTGCAACTTGTAGCTGGGCTCGACAGCGGGTTCAACCGCGTGTTGTATAGCGGGTGCATGTTGCACCAAGGTGTACTGGTATTCGGGGACAAACGAAGGAACTTCGGGCACTATTGGGTCTGACAAAAGAGAGATGTCGACCAGTCCCATGTTGGGCACGTTTATATTGGCATACCAGTCTTCAAAATAGTCTCTGGGCTCTGAGAGGTCGAGGTTGGATTCCACAGTAACGAACGGCTGGTCTAGCGTGGGCCACGGGAACTGAGACACGTTTGCTTGCATTGATATTGCAAAAGTGTAACAAGAGCATTCGCTGCCACAAGTCTATATGAAGAATTAGACATGGTATTTATATTTAGGGCAGCGGATTCATAATATCTGCACTACAGCAGCTTGCATACGAGCGTGTTCCATGCAGGAACCTTATTTCAGGAATAAGGTGAGAAGAGATGCTGCGCGATGTAGACCGTGCAGCAAATATGTAGTCCAAATTAGGTCAGGTTAACAGAAATGGTGTAGGTGGATCATCAATTAGCTCTCGTAAATGGTTATGCATGGATGATGCGGGCAAAATGAAGTTAAAATCGGAAAAGTCGTGCTAGATTGTACGGGCAGACAATCGGCCAGACAATCGGCAGCACCAAAATAGCAGTTACTGCCCCCATGCCATCCAAAAGAAAGGCGGTCTCCTAAAATTGCCTTATTATTCTTGTCTGAGGCCCGGTCATGCGGTGCCTGCGCTTAGCTCTTGTTGACAGACAGTGTAAAATAGGAGCGGAGAATATCAAGTAATCGCGGGTAGTGCCCGCCTGTACAATATTAAAGTTTACTGCGATTTTTTTTTTTTTCGTTTTGCATATTAGCTCAAAAACACTGGTTTACCGAGATGGTCCCGGATCGTTCCGCGCCAACCAGAGTGTCTTTGGAGCTTGCAAAAATCTCGCTCACAGCATTCCTGCTGGGAACATCTCTGGGAATTTCATGCGCGCTATTCTTTACGGCCACTTTCAAACAGCTTCCTGTCTATCTTGCGTCTGTTACATTGTTCCATTTCCTGGAATTTTATTGCACAGCCAAGTACTCTCCCGATAAAGTTACCACCGATTCGTTCCTCCTTTTCAATGGGTCTGAGTACATGGTCGCGCATGCAGCATCTATTACAGAGGCGCTTATGGAGTACTTTTTCTTCCCAAAGTGGAAGGCGTCTCATACCCGTTTGTTCCTGGCTGGAGCCGCACTAACCGGACTGGGTCAGTTAGTGCGCTCCATCGCAATGGCCACTGCACGGGAATCGTTCAGCCACACGATTGCCACAGAGAAGAAGAATAATCACTTGCTGGTCACTACGGGGGTCTACAGCTATTTCAGGCACCCGTCCTATGCAGGTTTTTTCTACTGGGCCCTTGGCACGCAGGTGCTTCTGTGCAACCCTATTTCCTTCATTGCATTCTATTTTATGTTGCAACGGTTCTTCTCTCGCCGCATTCGCTATGAGGAATCTACCCTTATCCAGTTTTTTGGGCCGGCGTATCTTGAGTACATGAAGAAAACCCGTGTCTGGATTCCGATATAGAGAAGTATTTATTGTACATACATAATTTACAACGGTAGATGAAATCCTAGCAGGGGATCGCTATTATTAGTTTGGGTCCCGTCACTCTCCCCGCGGCCCATATCCGTGCTGCCGTTCGCGACAATGTCAGGGGACGTGTCGTGCATGAAAAGATTCTGCGCACCAATTTTCTCTGTAGATTCCTGCTTTTGTTCGGCCGTATGCGCGGCCGATTTTTTAGTTAGCTCGTCAGCCGCGGCCTCGAATGGCTCGTAATTTTGAGCTTGGTGGGCCAGCCCCTCGACGTAATTCGGAGTCTCAGAAGACTCTGGTGGGTACGTTTCAGAGCCGTTCGGGTCTGTGTCCTCGTCGTCAGACTCCAGGCTGATCACCTCGAAAACCCGAGGCGGTGGAGCTGGAGGCATAGAAACAGCATGCATATTCTCTGCCTCATTTGTTCTCTCGCGGTGTTCCGGAGCCTGAAAAGAGAGCGCGTCAGTGCTTTCTGTACGGCATTGCTGCAGGGCAACGTTCGTTCCACTGTGGACAGAATTCTGCGCCTCTTGTGCACCTTCTTCTTCTTCGCTGTCAAGACTAATGATAGCCACCGGCTCTTCGCTCTTTTCGTGGGGCTGGGGCTGCTCGCTCTGCTCCCTTGACTCCTCGGTCTCGTGCTTGACCGTCCAGTTGCCCTGCTCGTCGATTTCAATTGCTTCGTCGTCTTCTCCCGTTTGCTCCACTATTTTTAGAAAATAGTCGTCCAAGGCCAGGTCGTTGAGCTCAATCCTGGAAGAACACACAGGACACTGCCATGTCGGCGCCTGTTGTTGCAATTGCAAAAATGAAAGCGCGTCAAAACACTGGATATGGTGGCATTTGGTCGACCGGCACGGATACCGCATTTTAATGAATGAGCACGGACACATCAGCGACACCACCTCTTTCTCCGTCTGAATTAAATCGTCATCGTCCTCCTGGTGTCTCTCCTTGATGCTGTCGATGGTCTGCTGCTCTGAAATGTGCGCCTTATTGAAAATTCCATCCAAAAGCGAGCTCACCGGTATCGTCTCCACAATGTATAGATAGAGCCAGAAATCAACGTTTGTGAACGCATACACCACATCCAATCTATTAGTTTCGCTCAATCGCAAATGCTCGGTCAGGTCTATGGGCTTCGCAGACCCAGGCTTGCCCTTTATTCCACGTCCTGTTTGCTTCAATTTTACACCGTTCAGCGTGATCTCGTTCGGTTGCGGAAATTCAACATCCTGCTCGCTCATGGAAGCAGACCTCTGCCCGGAAATCAAACACGCTCTCATGTTGGGACTGCTCATCAGCAACTGTCTTTCCTCTGGAAGCAGGTTGAATACAAACCTGCAACATCCCCGATCCTTCACTTTTTGAGGTGCAAGAACAGGGTTCATTCCACTCGCATGTATTCGCTGTCTAAGAGTGTAGAAATCGCTTCTTTTAAACACAACTGTTGGAGTAGGTCGAAGGGCAGGCGGTGGTGCTGGTGGCGGCGCTGACGGTTGTGCTGGCGTGTACTGGTTTGGAACATGGATTGTGTGGGCATTGGTGCGGTACGTGGCATACAGTGCCTGGTACGGAGGAAGTTCCTGTCCTATCGATGCTTTCATTATGAGCGCTCGAACCGCAAGCAAGCGGGCGTTGTCTCCCTGGTACTTTCCACTGGAGAAAAACTGCTCTATACGGCCGGCGATGTCGGCCTTGCGGCCGGACCGAACCAGTCCAATCGACCTACAAATGGTCTTGAGCTCGGAGATCTTGAGATTATGGAGCTCTGAAAGAGTTTCCTGCGAAATTAGTGTCTGCAACTAATTTACCTACCTGAAACATATTCTCAGGCATCATTCCTGAGGGCCCACTCATTCTTGGCGACACTAAACGCCAGAAGAGGTATCTTTGCTAGGAGTATTTTATCAGTCTCGAAATTGGCGAAATAGAAAAATATTAAGGCCTGCTTATATAATCACATGTAGATCTGGTCGATGAGAATCGCGTCAACCACCGTGCCTGTTTTAATCACTGTCTTTCCATAATCACTGGCAGCTGGGAGGCAGACCAGCCCGTTGGCCCTTTTGAAAGAGCCGATGTTGCTGCTTCGTTGGAACCCGGTGGAGGTAGCAACCAAAGCCATGTCTGACTGACGAATGCTGACCCGCTGGTATTCAGGACGTTGTGGGTCCAATTTCAGGTCTTCTGCAAGTTTCACCTTCACAACTGGCTCTGTAGGCAGTTTCTGGCCAACTGCAGGCTCGAGTCCTTGCCATTTTAACAAGCAGGGCAGAACAAACAGATGGTAGCAAACAGAAGACGAGGCAGGATTACCGGGCAGAGCAAAGACGACGGTGGATTTGCCAATTGTTGCAAAAGTGGTTGGTTTGCCCGGCTTCATTCTGACGCGTCCAAAATGGATGGTGCCGTGGAGTTCATTTTCAATCGTCGGTTTGAGCAAGTCAAGCTCTCCCATGGACACTCCTCCAGTGGTGACTAAACAATCAATTTTTTTGACGTCCACAGCGTCTTTTATAATTTTGACGAGCGAGTCCTTGCTATCAGACGCAATTCCCAGGTCAACCACCTCGTACCCGCAATTATGCACCATCGACACAAGCGTCGGTCTGTTGCTGTCGTATATTTCTCCATAGTGTAGCAATTTTTCAGTTTGCACGTCCTGTAGTTCATTTCCAGTAGAGAGCAGCCCAATCACTGGTTTGCGGTACACTTTGATTTTGTTGACCCCGACGCTCGCCAACGCGCCTATTTCTCCTCCTCCTGATGAGATCCTAGATCCTTTGGCCAGCACCAGACTGTCCTTTTTGGTGTCAGAACCTATGGCCCTGATGTTCTCTCCAGCTTTGACATTTTTAGCCAGTATCTCAACGAGCTTCTCCTCGGTCCCGTCCTCCGTAGTCTCTGCCAGCCGTGTTTCTTCCACCATCACCACCGCGTCGGCTCCCTGAGGAAGCGGCGCTCCCGTGGTGATTCTCGCAATTTGTCCTGCAACCAGTTCTTTCTGGTCGTTCTTGGAAGCATGCGAAACACTAACAACAGGATAGACGCCAGGCCCATCGGAGCTTATGACCGCGTATCCGTCCACAATACTTGCGCGAAAATTGGGAACGTCCATCTGCGCAGTGACATTTTCCGCAACCACGCTGCCAACTAGACGAGGGTCTGAGATGCTCAGCTCGATCACCTTTGGAGTCGGCGTGTTCTCGCTAATCTTCGAGTACGCCTCATCAACAGAGATAGCAGGATACGGCGAGACTCTGTGCCTTGCAACGACAGAGTCGACCAGCTCGTGTTTGGCAAGGTGTCCATGATGATGGTGATGATGATGATGGCCAGAACCGGACTCTTCGTGTAGCGATCGTGAGCTCTCAACTCCCAGTTGCGAAAGTGCGTGCCCAAGAACCCCCTTGATTGCCTGAAAATTCTCCGTGGCTCCCTTTGGCGAGCCGGGCAACGTGACTATCAACGTCTCTCCACGAACACCGGCTACCGGCCGAGCAAGCATGGCAAAGGGGGTGATTTGGAGAGAATAGGAAAGCATGGCATGGACCAATCCAGGCGCCTTTTTGTCCAACAACGGCTCAATGGCCTCCGGAGTGATATCTGTCTTGGTGAAGCCGGTTCCGCCTGCGGTCAAGATAAGCCTGATATCCTGTCTCACCCAGTCCAAGACTGCAGCTTGGATATCCTCTATGTTGTCCGGAACAACCTTTTGCGCTATCAATTCAAAGCCGTCTAGGTGTTGTTTCAGTGCATCAACAACCTTGTCGGTCGATAAACCCCTCGAAACTGACTCTGATACAACCAAGATACCAACAGTCATATCTTGAAATTACGTTTGGTTCGACGCGACGATAGATAAAATTTTTTACTGGTTTCTGGTCGTAATGTCTTCCACCCAGAAATATGAGGTCCTCGTGGACTCATTCATATCGAAACTCAAGCGTCGACAGATCACTGGATCCTACAATGTTGCCACCGCGACATGTCGGCTGCTTATGAGAGTGATTTCGAGCTCCAGATGGTCGAGCACCGAGGAGTTCATCAACCTGATCAGAGGAGTCGGATGTAAGCTGATAGACGCCCAGCCTCGCGAGTTTGCGACAGGCAACATTGTCAGACGTGTGCTGGCGATCATCAGAGACGAAGTGAGCGAAGACTCGGTCACCCAGAGCGCCAATAATGCACCGTATAATACGTCCATGTTCCAACTGCTGTCCACCACGCACACAACCAAGCCGCAGGGAACACAGGCCACGAAACAGCCCAACCAGGACCTCCGCTCGGTGGTCATCCAGGGAATCCGCGAATTGATTGACGAGATCGCTTCTGTGCACGAGAACATCGAGTTGATGACAGTGGACCTGATTCACGAGAACGAGGTGCTGCTGACTCCTACACCTGGCTCGCAGACAGTCTTGAACTTCCTTCTGAAGGCCAGCCTGAAACGTAAGTTCACCGTTCTTATCACAGAGTCCTATCCCAACGATATCAACGAGTGTCACAGCTTTGCCAAAAAACTCGCAGAGATGAACATCGAGACGGTCATCATTCCCGACTCGACGGTCTTTGCCGTCATGTCGCGGGTTGGAAAAGTCCTCATCGGCGCGCGTTCCGTTTTTGCTAACGGCGGCTGCGTGACTGCTGCCGGTGTCGCGACCGTGTGCGAGTGTGCAAAAGAACATAGAACTCCGGTCTTTGCAGTTGCAGGACTGTACAAATTTTCTCCAACGTATCCATTCGACAGAGACTCGCTGATTGAGGTGGGCAACTCAGGCAAGGTGCTGCCGTACGAGGACAGCGATCTTGTTGGAAAGTGCGAGGTGACGAACCCGCTGTTCGACTACGTGGTTCCGGAACATATCGACATCTACATCACCAACATAGGTGGATTCTCACCTAATTTCATCTACCGAATAGTGCTGGACAACTACAAAGCTGAAGATGTACAATTGGGATGAAATATAATGAATATATGCATTGTTTGAACCGTTTTTGCACGCCCCGTGCCTCGCTCGGTCACTCAACAATTGGGTGATCTTGAGCTGGATGCAACGTCTGCCTAGAGCGACGCTGTAAGGGGCAATATCGACAGGATTTGATTGAGTGCGGCTCTATCCTATGGTAGAGTTGCAATTATGAAATTCGACAGTGGAACATCAGTAATGAAGTCTTGTAAGTAGAGTCGTCTGTATTGGTCCAGGTCAAGACAGATGTAGCTCGTGATGTTTCAGAATTTTTGTGAAATAGTCCCAGTGTCCGAGTGGTTAAGGAGCCGCCCTGCTAAGGCGGTGTGCTTTGCACGCGCAGGTTCGAATCCTGTCTGTGACGTTTTTTTTTTGTTTCCATAGATTTTTTTCCAACTAGCCGAGCAACTGCCTCCCGTCTACAACAATACATCCAGACATTCAATCTACAGCTTAAACACCTAAAAGTTCTGGTCAACCAGCTTCTTGACCAGCTTCCAGTCGTTCTTCTCACTGTAGTCCAAAATCACCGTACCACATCCCTTGCCGTAGCACTCGTCCAAGCTGGCCACCATCAGACCCTCGGTGACCTTCTCTGGCCAGCAGTCGCGGTCAAAAAAGTTCGATCCCGAGCAAAAGTTGATGAACAGCTTCGGGTCGCTGTTGGTACTGTTGTAGCTCTTGGCGTTGTTGATCATGTTTTTGACGTACTCCGCCTTCTTCGGAATATCTTGCTCAGTCTTGATCTCACAGAAATCTTGGACCCTGATACATCCTCTGTCGTCATCCGTGGTGTTGTAAGACCACGATGGGGCAGGAATACCCAAAGAGCCTTGCTTCTCCCCGCTCTGGACACCAAAACGCCTGAACAAGACAATCTTACCTCGACAGTCTCTCAATGCTGGCAGCTCTGAGCGCAGATACCATTTGTCCCTGTTCTTCGAGATGAATCGGTCGTTTATGACATTGGCAAACTCGTCGTTCTGGTTGTCCCACGTGCCGGTGCCCTCTTGCTTAAGGGACAAAATCACAAACTCCGAAGGGTGCTTGTCGACGAAATTATACACTTCGTCCAAAAGCTCGCTGAACTTGACAGATCCGAGCAGCTTGACGGGGAAATTGCCGTGAATGACAATCAGGTCGTTCCGGTGCTCGTCGTCGTCGTGCGTTGTAATGAAGTTGCGGGACAGTCTCACGTCCAAGAACCGAACGCCGTGCTCCAACTGTTTGGTGACAGATGCGCCCTGGCATTGGACAGAAGGAAGGGCAGTGTGGCACGCAGCAGAGTTGTGGGTTCCTGGAATGGAAAGACGACCGATGTTGGTGTCGTCAGAAACGGACTTGAGCTAATTGGCGTAGTCAACCATCTTGGTTATATTTTGGCAACTGTATTGACGTGCTTACTCTACTAGACTATTTACTGGGAAGCTGAAATTGCTTAGGTAATCCCCGGACGCAGGAGTCAACAATAGACATTGCATAGCCAGGCCTCAGTTGTTCAGCGCCTTGCGCAGGAGCTGCTGGCCCTGTTTTACCAGGTTGAGGTTCCGATAGAGTTCTTGCGAGGCGTCTTCGTACACGAAGCCAAATTTGTGCCATTGGCTTGGGTCCTCGGTGACCACATATATTTTATCCAGGTGTCTCTTTCTCGTAACATTCTCGACGTACTCCAGCAAGCTATCTTCGAGGCCATACTTACCGCTGTAGGCAGGCAGCACGCACAGTTTATCAATCAGCAGACCTGCAGGCGATTTTGAGCTCACAGGCTGGAGAGGCTTGCAGATCACCAAGCCCACGGGGACCTCGTTGTAGTAGGCATACTGCGCTAGTTCTCCGGACTCTTTGATTTCCTCGAGCTCCTGATCTGAATAAGACGCGTATGCTATCACGTTAATCAGGCCCAAATTGTTGGCAGTTAGATCGTCCAGAGAGATCATAAAAGCTAAATCTAAAAATGTAAGTCTAACTAAAAATACTCTCGATATTTCGCTTCATCATATTAATGCATCAGGCAGATAGGTGAAATCTCACCAAGTCTGCAATTAATTTATTCATATACGTATCTCTGTTTCCTATTTCTTTTCCGCCACCAAAACCCCCACCTTGGGGTACTTGGACTTGAACATTTCCTCCCAGCCGTCCAACGCTTTCCTTTCTGCCTCAGTGAGATCTTTCAGATCGTCAATTGGCTCCCCAAAACCCCTGACCATGGCTATACGTTAGTTGAGACAAACGGTAGATACTTACACTCGTCAAACGAGTTTTTCGCCAGTCCACGAGATGCGTCGTGGCCAGCAAAATTCGAGTATGGTCCTGATGGGCCGTAAAATTGTCTGGCCTTCGAGACATCGTACACATTGCCCTTCACTGCAATGTAAATCTGCTCGAGATCAAACCCATTGTACTTATACAAAGTACGAGGAGTGAACTCCTGCTCCTCCACAGCCACATCGTCTGACGCGGGATTGATTTCCACTGTTCGCGAGGGTGCAAATATAGTGCTTCCCAGGAAGAAAGTGGCCAGAATCACCACAATGGCAACAAGTACTAGAGTCTCCATGATGAAATATTTATTTGTGGTGCTACTACAATTTAGAAATAGAAAATGGAAAACTAACATCCGTGCACCGCAATGCATAGTCTGACCAGAGGAGACACGATCGGAATGCTCAGGCTTGCATGCGTCGTCTTGGACCCTCTGGCGGGCGTGGCTGATCATGGGATTCATATTCTGCGCAGGTTATCGTTACTCGCCCTCTTCCAGCACGTGCGACGCGAGTCTTCCTAGTGCATCCAGCATCGTCGGGCTACGAGTCGACTGGTCCTGGACCTGTTTGCGTAGAAGCGCATTTTCCGCCTTGAGTGCCTTCACCCTGTCATTCTTGAGCGTCTTCAAGCTTTTGATCAGTTTCAGGTTCTTCATGTTTATGCATTCGTTTTCGTTCTGTAATATGTGAACGTTTTTCTCGATGTTGGCGATGTTTTTGAGCAGAAGTTGACGCTCCGTTGCGTACTCCTCCATGTTGCTCCTCAATTGGTACTTGACCAGGTTCTTGCTCAAATTTAATCGCAAGACCGTCTGTTTTGCCATTTGAATCAGCTGCTCCAATTCCGGCTGCTCCACGGCTTTGGCGTTCTGTAGCTGAGCCTCCGTGCGTTCCAGGACCTGTAGAAAGGCCTCCACGTCGCCGTCCATCTCTTCCAGCTCGTTGGGGCTCAGCTTCGATGGCAAGTTCATTACCGACGCCGGAGACGATTGCGACGAAACCTGGACCGAGCTGCGTCCGGAAACGCTCAAGTCGCTTGGCGAGCTGTGTACGCTGCTCTTGGAGTCGTTGGGCTCTGCGGAAGCCTCAAATGACTGACCCATGGTTGTATTGCAGTAAATTATCTGTTTACTATTTCGCGTATTCCAACGCGCCGCAAAACATTTAGGGTAGGCGGATAGGGCAATCCCTTTTTTTTTTAATTCTTCCTTGTTCTCATTGCAAGATGGAAGACCCTTTTGTCGCCAGAGTGGTCTGTGCCGTACAGGCCATGTTCTGCGTTTTAATAGTGTCTTTTTGGCTCAATATTCTGATACTAGTCATTTTACTGTGAGTTTGCCAAATTCGACATATCGCGCTAACGCACAGGACCGACCACTTTGTTTTCCATAGCTACTTGGTCACCCGGCTCAGAAACCTGCTTTATAAGACCCCCAGTCCTCCTCCTAATTCTTCGCTAACAGTTTCATCGCCTGGACATATCTAAAGCGCGACTGCCAAATTAGGAAAGTCGGATAAGATCTGAGTGAAAAATACTTAAATACTCATAGCTGGGCACACACATTTCACATTGCAAGATATGTTTGCTCGCACTCTTAGACAGTTTGCCCGCAGAAGGCTATCCAGATGGTCTGTTCCGGTGTCGGGAATGGCTTTAGGCGCCGCCCTGTTGGCTACCAACTCGGGCCCTATGTTCAACGATTCTAGAAAGAAAAAACGCATTATCTTTCTGGACGATGACGAGGACGACGAGGACGAAGAGGATCGCAAAGAAAGAGAACGGCAAGAGGCCATAGCCAACAAGCCTTCGCTCTCCACCGTCTACTCCCTAACCGATTTTGAGAGTATTGCGAAAAGAGTTCTACCTGAAGGAATCTGGGGATACTACTCCACCGGCTCCGACGACGAAATATCCTTGCGAGAAAACCACTATGCCTTCGGCAGAATCTTCTTCAGGCCTCAATGCCTAATTGATGTCAGCAGCTGCTCATTGGACACAGAAATTCTGGGCACCAAACTCTCTGCGCCATTCTACATCACCGCATTTGCCGGCTCTCCCTCGGCCCATCCCGTGGCAGAAAGAGGTCTCCGCAACGCTGCTGGACTCGAAAACATTATTCATCTAATTCCATTTCAACTGTCCTTCCCGGTGGAGGAATATCAGGCTGGCCTGAAACCCGGACAGCAGAACTTCTATCAATTGCATTTCTATAACCAAAAACAGTTTGACGAGGCTCCCGAGTTTTTCAAGAAACTGGAGAGCATGCCTAATATTAAAGCCGTTTTCATCAATGTCGACCTCAACGCTCTCGGCAATCGTGAAAAAGACAGCAAGATCAGAGCACGGATCGACTCTGGAACGACAGAGGCTCTCGAAGTGTATGCGCATTCCGACGTCAAGTACTTCAACCTCACCTGGGACCACATGAAACAGATCCAGCAGATGACCAAGCTTCCTATTGTGTTGAAGGGTGTTTTGAATAAGAACGATGTGCTCAAGGCTGCTGAGGCTGGTCTTGCAGGTGCTCTTATCTCAAATCACGGTGGTCGTCAGCTCGACTTCGCCATGCCTCCAATCGAGATTCTGGCCGAGAGCAAGCAGCTTCTCAAAGAGAAAGGACTGGACAAGAACTTTGAGCTATTTATTGATGGAGGAGTTAGAAGAGGCTCGGACATTATCAAGGCTCTCTGCCTAGGAGCTTCGGGAGTCGGTCTGGGAAGACCGTTTCTGTATTCGCTGGCCAGCTATGGTGAAGAGGGCGTTCAAAGAGCGATTCAGATTTTGAAGACCGAGATGATCAGGGACATGAAACTGCTGGGAGTCAGCTCTATCAGCGAGCTCAATGAAGATATGGTGGACATTACCTCATTGAAGTACAAAGGACTGCAAACCAGAGACCATCTGTACGACCAGAACTATACACCTATGCCTGATCCGCCATTCCGAAAAGAGTGAGCAGGAAACCTATTTATCCTGCTCCACCACATTGGCCTGGCTCCATCCCATTCTCTGATTGAGACGCTCGTACTTCAGACGGTCTTTGTCACTAACAGACGGCTTGACACTGTCCAGGGCCTTTTCAAAGTCGTCACTCGTCACCACGACGTCATCGCCCATATGTAATTCCTCAATAGATTCGTCTCCAATGCTGATACCGGTAAAAAACTTCTTCTTCAACGCAATAACACCTGCCTCGCGGACCAAAGACGAAAGATCGGCACCAGAAAAATTGCGGCAGCGCTCGTCATGCGCCACGGCAGCCAGGTCAACGCTGGAGTCCAACGGCGTTCCGTTAGAGGCAATAAGCGTTCTGAGAATTTCCAGTCTCTCAGCAGCATTAGGAAGCTCAATGTACAGCGTCTTGTCAAGTCTTCCAGGCCGCAGCATGGCTGGGTCGATCATGTCCGGTCTGTTGGTAGCTCCGATGACGAATATCCCTTTCCTGTCGTTGAGACCGTCCAGTTCGGTGAGCAGAGTGTTGACGACTCTCGAGCTCGCCTCGCTCAGCGACGACTCTCTTTTGGGCACCAACGCGTCCAGCTCGTCGAAAAATATGATACACGGAACTGAAGCTCTTGCACGTGTGAACACCTGTCTGACCGCGCGCTCGGATTCTCCAACGTACTTATTAAGAAGCTCTGGTCCCTTGACAGAGATAAAATTGGCCTTCGACTCGTTGGCGACGGCCTTGGCCAGCAGTGTTTTACCGCAACCAGGAGGACCCCACATAAGCACACCCGCTGGAGCAGTGATTCCAACTTTCTCGTATATTTCAGGCCGTTTGATCGGCTGCACAATGGCCATGTGTAGCTCGACTCGCACGTTCGACAGAGCACCCACGTTAGACCACGTGACATCTGGAATGGTGGCAAAGCCTTCTCGCTTTGCAGATGGCTGGATCTGAGGCAGGGCCGTCACAAAGTCCTGGTGTTCTATGCACAGAGACGCAAGCTGTTCGGGTGTCAGCGCTGTAGGGTGCTTGATGAGGAACTTTTGAATTATCGAAAGCTTGCTGAACTGCGGTTGCTCGTTGCTTTTCTGCAAAAGCTCTTCTGGATTCTCGTCCAGCTCCATCCCATCCTCTTTACTTTCCTCCTGTTGCAGTTGAACCCCTTCCAAAAGCAGCTTTTTCTCGTCTTCCTCGCTCAAGGAGGTAAATATTCGCTTGATGGCAGAAATACCTGCACCCGTCACCAGCGCCTTCAAATCCGCACCCACAAACCCAGGTGTCATTTTGGCTATCGAGAGAAGATCAAGCTCTCCACTGATTCTCAAATTCTTCACCATGCTCTCCAGAATCTTGAACCGCGCGTGTTCATTCGGAACATTGATGCAAATTTCTCTATCAAACCGTCCTGCCCTTCTAAGAGCCGTATCCAGGGAGTCTGGACGATTAGTGGCGCCGATAATAATCACTGGTTTTCCGTCAGTATTCTCAAGCGAAAGCTCGTCCATCGAAGTGAGCAGCTGTGCCACAATCCGTCGTTCCATCTCACGCTGTGCACCACCATCTCTTTTGGGCGTAATCGCATCGATTTCGTCGAAAAACACCAAACAAGGGGCTAGTTGCTTGGCCTCATCAAATATCTCCCTGACCTTCTTCTCGCTCTCTCCAGACATTCCGCTGACCACGGACGGCGCACTGATCGATATGAACGGAACTTGAAGCTCCCCAGCAAGCGCATATGCAATAGTGGTTTTACCACATCCCGGGGGACCGTGCAGCAGAACTCCTCGTGGAGGCTCAATTCCTGTAGCCATATAGATCTCAGGATGAAGAATGGGCATTCCAACGACCTCCATCAGCTGCGAAACCACATCATCCAGACCACCAAGCTGGCTAAGAGTGAGGGTAGGCGGTGTGCGATCTTTAGCCACTTTAGGTCTCTTAGAGTGTTTGGAACCGTCCTTGGATCTTTTCTTGGCTTTTTTTTCTTCTGGCTCTGTAGTCTCGGTGGCCGGTGTCTGTACTTCATCTTCGTCTTTCCATAAACTCACAACGCTTCTATTAGCTTGGTTAGTGTCCCTGACTTCCATCATGTTGTCTTGTTCTTCAGACTCGTCGTCTTTGATTTTCAAAGTGCTTGGATCAATACCCATACTTTTCATCTCCTCTTCCTCGTCCGCTATCACCGTCTTCCACACACGATCGATCGAGTACCGCAGATGGTCGTCTTTGGTTCTCCTGAAAGAAGCATCTTTCAGCTTGACATATTCGAAGATTTGGAGCGACGTCAAGTCCTTCGCTAGTGCCATGGTCAGCGGCCCATTAGTGATTCCCTTGGACCTCATAACTTCGGTTTGCTCCTCCAGCAAATTCATAATACTATTATAGACCTTGTCATCCATTTCGCGCTGGAGAATGCCTCCCTTCTGAGCTTTCACCTTGGCCATGGAGAGTTTATTATTCCAATATTTTTTCAAATATTTTTTTTCCTGCATTAAATTATTTTGGTTTATCTACATTAGCCATGGGCAATATGGCATCCTCAGGGCCCAAAATTACGCCACAAGATAAGGCAATTTTGCAACTGAAACTGCAAAGAGACAAGCTTCACAAAGCGTCTGTGAAAATTCAGACAGTTATTGACAGAGAGACAGAGATCGCCAAGCAATGCGTCAAGCAAAATAATAGGAGAAAAGCCCTATTGGCGTTGAGAAAGAAGAAGTATCAGCAAAACCTACTTTCAACAGTGGAGAAACAAGCCGAAACGCTGGAAGAGCTGATAAATACGATTGAGTTCAAGCTGATCGAAAAAGATTTCGTTTACGGTCTGGAACAGGGTAATCAAGTCCTCAAACAGTTGAACAAAGAAATGAGCATAGAGAAAGTGGATAAAATACTGGACGACTCAGAAGAAGGAATCAGGTATCAGGAAGAGTTGAGCGAGAGACTAGGAGAACTCATGTCCAAGAGTCTGGAAGACGAGGTGGATCTGGAGCTTGAGGAACTGGAAAAACAGGAAAGAGCAAAGCAGTCTCCCCAAAAAGATGTGGCGGCTCAGCTTCCAGAGGTCGTCAACAAACCCTTGCCCGAAGTCAAACCGAAGCAACCAGAGGAGCGCGAAGAAGAGCAACACGCACCACTACCTGCATGATAATTTATCATTATTTATTACTGGTGTACTCATAGCTGGTCTATGACTATTTACATCGGGACAGGCTCATCAAGCCACTCAAGGAATTCTGGAGTGAAGTATGATATGATGATTCTGGCTCCCGCTCTGAGGAATCCATAATGAGCCTCGAAAGCAATTGTCTTCAAGTCGACAACGCCCTTTTCTGCTGCAGCGTGCAACATGGCGTACTCGCCGCTGACATGGTAGCAGCCAATCGGATAGTCTGTGCAAAGGTCGCTGGCCTCTCTAATGATGTCCAGATAGAAGGTGGCCGGTTTGATGAGAATTCCGTCTGCTCCTTCCGAGACGTCCCTGGTTAGGGCTCTTCTTGCCAGACCTCTTCCACCAGATGGTAGCTGGTAGCACTTTCTATCTCCTTGGCCAGGACTGGAGCACGCAGCATCCCTGAAGGGGCCGTATAGATTACCACTGAATTTAGCAGAGTATGACATCACAAATGTCTTGTGGGCCAAGCCTGCGTCTATGAGACCTTGCTTGATAGCTCTGACACGGCCGTCAATCATATCAGATGGTGCAACAGAGTTTGCGCCGGCCTTGGCGTAGTTCACGGCGACTGCTGCAATCCGTTGCACAGAAACCTCGGTGTTGATGGTTCCGTCTTCGTATAGCACACCACAGTGGCCATGTGAGGTGTACTCGCACAGACAAACGTCGCACATGATGTAAAGTTGTGGATATGCTGCCTTCAATGCCTTGATTGCTTGGATAACAGGTCCGTCTGGGTCATCGGCAGCAGTTCCCACGGGATCCTTGACGCCGTCTTTCAGCGGCACTCCAAACAAGATAACAGCCTTCAAGCCTTTCTTGACCAGAGTGCCGACGTATGGGATCAGTTTCTTAACGCCGAACCTTTTGATGTTTGGCAGCGATGGGATGTCTTCCTCATCGTCTTCGTTATCAGTTACAAAGAGCGGGAAAATGAACATGTCTTTGGTCAACTGTCTCTCATGTTGCCATGAACGAAGAAGGGGGTGGTTGTAACCTCCCTGCAGAATCGACGAGATCTCTGTTGGACGCGTTTGAAGATATTCAGCGGAATGCATTGAAAAATCAATGATTATAAATATGAAAAATTAAATTTCTCGCTTTAGAAAACTTGAAAGAGTAATCAAATGCAATTTCATGCAATTTTTGGTAGCTACATGAAATGTGAGTCTATGCTATCTATTTTTTGCGTTGAATGTTGCGTCGAACATTGACAGATTTCGCACCTTTGCCGAAGGCCGTGTATGTGACGTATGGAAGAGCGTTCTTGGTAGTCATTTTGGGGATGAGTTCCTCTGTCGGAAGGTCCGATCGTCCTTTCACCAGCACCAATTTGGTTTCGTTGGTGGCCAACGACTTGGAGAGACGTGTAACGTCAATTGGCGTGTATAGATTAATGTACTTGTCCGTAGTGTTGATTGAATGGATCAACGCTAGACCTCGGAATTCAGATACCACCGATTCGAGCGTATTGCTGAAAAGATTTGGATACGACTCAAATGAGCTCAGCTGACCACGCTGGGACATCTCGTCGTAGAAGTTCATGAATTCATCGTTTGCTAGCTCAAACACCCCCACCACCTGAGTTTCGAGGCATTCGACCAGGTCTTCGTGGTTGATGTTCGCAGCGTCCAAAATGGAAATACCCGACAATCCTGGAAATCTAAGCAGTTCCTCTCTATTGAGAAAATCGGCATAGCTGATTTTGTATGGAGATCTTGCCAGCAATGGCTCAAAATCAAAAGTCCTTTCGTAGCGATTGTAGTGGAAGTAAGAAAGCAGTCTAAAGTTGCGAATTTGAGAAGGTGAATAGCGCACTATGTCATATCCTCTAGAAGTGAAGCCCGCAACAGGGACGCGCACGAGGTTTTGGTAGGTTAGATTGCATAAAAGCTGGTTGTCGTCTTCGCCGCCGAAGGAAAGGTAGACAAGATGAGTTGGACGGACTGCAGCTGTGAGCTCTTTCAGGATCTCGACTCCAAAACCTTTGATCCACCCCGGTGAGTTAATTAGCAGAGGGCCGTTTTCCATGTCCAGATGCGTTGCCAGTGCCTTTAGCTGCGAGATATACTTGATTGGCTGACGTTGGGGAGTATTAAAACCAATATAGCAAGACCTTGCCGGAAGCTCGCACAGAAACGGAAAGTACTGGCCATGTATGGGTTTGTGGTGGGTCGTCAAAGATATACAGTCAGGAAGAGAATATTCAGGCTGTCCCGGATCAATGTCCAATACTTTGGGCGAGATATGCTCTTTATGTGCCAGTTTATTAAGCAGCAGTCGTAGAAACGTGGACTTGCCTGTATTTTTGGCCCCAATGACCAGAACACGCATGTCTTCTGTGCTCCCAGAGTCACTAATAAGCGTGTCCAGAGCATTCTTCCAGGTTTTGTTGATATATGTGCCAAGATTGTTACTTGGACTCTCCACCACTTTGAAAGAGTAAGGGTAAAAAGATTTTGCGAATGCAGATCCCCCGAACTCATCGATATCCTCTCTGTTAGGATGTATATTTTTCAATTGCGGATATAGAAGGCCTATTTTCTCCAAGCCATCAAAAAGGTCGTCAAGTCTGATCACCGATTTGTAGTCTGGTGTGAATAAATGCTCCGTTTCTGGCAGAATTGTATCTTCGACCAGACCCTGGTCGGTGACCTGTGCAGCTGATATTAGTGGAATACTGGAAAGTGACAGCCCGTAGATTTGGATAGGATCATGGCTCGAATGGTATAAGATAGAGTCTATCTGCACGGCTCCTCGCTGGATCTTCAACGAGTACTGGCCCTTGACCATAAGAAACTCGTCTGCTTTCAGGCCAATAACCACATAACCCCGTCCATAGACCACGTTCTCGCTGGTGGGCACAAACTTTGAGCACGAAACAACAACGGGGGCATTTGGTGCTGAATAGACAGGCACAGAAGGCTGGGCAGGAGCCTGCTGTGGCGGCTCAGAAACCGGTCGCTGGTCACTTCCTGACCCTGACTCCTCGTCTGACTGTTCGTAGCCGATCACGTCGTCATCGTCAGCGCTGCTCAGCGCCGCAAAAGCACTTATTGACGGGCCTCCCATAGACATGCGACACGCTTTTTTGTTGCATCGTGAAAAAATTCATCTCCGACAAATCCCTTACATAAGCAGGACCCCGGCCAATGAAATAGTGTGAAAATACAACATGCTGTTGAACAGGCAATTTTCGCGGGAAGCGTCCCGTAGCAGGCTGGAAATTTTTTTCGAAAATCGCCCTATACACTCAATCAACAGACTGCATCATGAGTGAACCACAATATAAGCTCCAAACCCCGGGCTTCGACGCCAGATTCCCTCAACAAAACCAGACCAAGCACTGCTACCAATCTTACCTGGACTACCACAAGTGTGTTGCTCTTAAGGGTGAGGACTTTGGACCATGTAAAGTGTTCTTGTCCACTTTCCAGTCCCTATGTCCAACCTCGTGGGTTGACGAGTGGGATGAGCAAAGGGCCAACGGTACTTTCCCAGGTGACCTCTCTGTTGACAAGTTCCAAACGAGTGCAGAGCCTCAATCTGGATCCCAGGAGTAGGGATTTACAAACGGTATAGACAAAAATATACATTTCGATCATGCGGTATTAATCTGAGCCTGACTGACACGACCAGTCGGCGTCTACGAGCTGGGACCTCAATTCGTCCACATCCATAGTTTTGGAGTCGTTAGTGTCCATGTGCAGGTAGATGTAAAGAATAGGCACCTTGATAGGTTTTTGCAGCCGCAACTCGTCCTGCGGCCCGGACGCCTCTCTGGGCTTTTCTCTGTAGGTCAACTTGTTGAATTGCAGATGAGTTGGGTGTTTTCTTTTCATAATCTCCACGATCGTAAGCAGTTTCTGTATTCCTTCACTCTCTGCCATCAGCACGATGTCTGCTGGTTTCTGCTCGCATTTGGACAGCAAAACATCCAGCTTCTCTTTTATGCCGTCGTTTTTGCGGACAACCACCTGTTCCAAATTTGGCACGCGCTGGAGGTGTTTCAAAATAGCCCCGTCCATAGTAATTTAGTCCTATTTTTTTCCCTGAGCATTTATTAATTTTACAGCCAATGTCCTGTCACCGTCATTCACACGGCGTCCCTCCAATTCCTACAAACGAGTCGCAGTCGATCAATTCCCATGTTCTCACGACCCAGCTGGTGGCTTTGAATGTCGCAAACCCGTCCTCTGACCTGGAAAAACTGTTCAAGACGCAAACCAACAAGTACGAGGTGATACCGGAAATCAGATCAGATGCCGATAACCAATTCATTCTAAAAATCCCTTTCCAAGGTTCTGTGAAGCTATACTCAATCATACTTCGGACAGCCCGCCAACCAGACCACTGTCCCCGCATCATCAAGCTTTACAAGAACCAGGACAGCTTAGACTTCGATTCCGTAGGGGACACAAAGGCTACGCACGAGATCGAACATCCGCAAGTTGGCGTTGAGGTTGATGGAGAGCTGACACACGAAGTTGTTGCGGACGACACTTTTGTGGAACATTATCTTCCTCGCCACCATTTCAGTGGGGTGTCCTCACTCACACTTTTTTTCCAAAACAACTGGAGTGACAACGACGACGAGGTGCTCAAACTATACTCCATAGAACTACGTGGAGAATTCACTCCTCTGGCCAAAGATCCAGTGGTTACCCTGTACGAGTCTGCGGCTAATCCAACAGACCACAAAAACCTCCTTGCCCAGGAGAACCACAACTATCAAAATATTTAGTATTTTTTTAGCTACGCGAAATTATAGCATTTAATTGATGACTGTCCCATTCCCAGACATTGATCCGTACGCAGAATTGGGGTGCAAGCCCGAGGACGCGCCGCCGTCGATCAAGAAGGCGTACTATAAACTCTGTCTTAGGTTTCATCCGGACAAATTGTCGGAACAGGACCAGAAGAAGTATAAAACTAAGTTTGAGAAAATACAGTTCAGCTATCAGGTGCTGGGTGATCCAAAAAGACGCGAACGCTACGATAAAACTGGAAACTTAGATGAAAGCGTAGCAGACGATGACGATTTTGATTGGTATGCGTTCTTTCAAGAGATGAGAGAGTCGGATGTGAAAGTCACTGCTGAGCTGATCGAAAAGGATAAGAAAAGCTATCAGGACTCAGAGGAGGAATACCAAGACGTGCTGGAAACGATGATCTACTACGAGGGAGAGTTTCTCCGTCTGTTTGAGACAATACCTCATTTGGAATTTTCAAAAGAGGAAGAGGACCGCATGTTCAAGCTGGTGCAACAGATGGTTGCCGATGGAACGCTGAAAAATTACAAGAGTTGGAAGACATACGCAAAAAATCGGACCTCAGAAATGAAAAAGATGTTCCGCCAGCTGAAGAAGGAGAGCAAAGAGGCTGAGGAGGCTCTGAAGGAAATCAACGAGAAAAACGAGCTCAAACTGAATGGATCAGAAGATTCCCTGCGGCAGCTGATCCAGTCTAAAAAATCGCATACTTTCGACGATCTCATCGCCAAATACAGCAAACAGAGTAAAAAGCAATCCAAAAGATCTAAGAATTCTGAGTACGATCTCGATGATGAAGAGTTCACGAAAATTCAGAAAAAGATGAAAAAACAGCGACACAGCTGAAACTATTGTAAGGGTTGGGTTCCAAGCGCGACGGAATTTTTCTTTCGGGGCGGCCAGAAATTTTGTAGCAGAATTGGCAGGAGAAATAAATTAAATATAATTATGTTGTTTTGAAGCGGAAAGCAGAGTTTAGAGTATAAATAGTTACAGGTACACCACTTACGAAAACAGTCTCGCACCTACACCAGTTATCTGTTTCCCGTTTCTCCCTTCTACATTTGAAAGCTTTCACACTTAGAGATTGGTGAAGGCAAAGACAACAACACAGCAATCTCCCACCTCAATATACCATGACCTCGCCCAGAAGCACAAGCTCGAACAAACACGCCTCTGTGAACTCCATCAGGTATCCGCTTTCGAACATCAGCCTGAGTTCCGTGTTGCCGTTCTCTGACGACATATCGACGAAGCCTTGTGAAACGCGCGTCGACATTGGCCAAGATCCCGACACCGAGAGCCGAGTCTCCAGAAAACGTCTTAACACGGGAGGATTTACATCCGGGTGTTCCGACTCTGAGATGACAGACATAGCCATCGACACTAACGCTGTGGTGGACAAAACAGGGTCCAGTCCGCCTAGCAAGAAACGCCTGGTGGATAATTTGCCGGCCGGCCCTCCGACGGTGACGTCCCCTTCAGCTTCGTCGTCGAGCAGCGCGGATTCGGCAAAAATGGCCACACCATCCAACTTCGTCATAAACACGTCGTCAAACTATATTGATGAGTTGCAGCAACTCCCGCTTCCCTCACCTAGCGCGTCACCGATACAGTCTGGAAACCTTGTTGATTCCCAAAATTTCGAGGGAATGGAGTATACCGATGACCACGACTCCCGAGTGATACAGACGAGAGAGGAGAGAGCAGAGATTTTCAAGTCCGTCAATGAAATGATTAGTTTACTTCCCGTCGGCTCCCCAGAAGTGAATTATCTGCTCTGGTCATTACTGCAGAGAACCGATAGATCCACTCTTTCATCGTTACAAGAGACGATAAGGAATTCGCTGAGAAAAGACCTGGTTTCACTTCTACCATCAGAAATCAGTATGAAGATATTTGGGTATCTTGACTACGAGTCTCTATTACGCACTTCTGAAATTTGCAGAAGTTGGCTCAAGCTGTCCATGGAGAGCTACGATTTCTGGAAAGATCTCTTGTTCAAAGACGGGTTTATTGCCACAGCAGATGAGTTTGACACGGAATATGATTGGGTGAAGTCGCTAAACCCGCACATGAACTCCTGTCAGATTACGAAATGGATATACAGACGAAGACTGGCAATTTCCAAAAGATGGAAAAATCCAGACTTCCAACCTCGCCGCATCACGTTGCCAGGGCAGGGCCCAGACGTGATCACATGTTTGCAATTTGACGACGACAAAATAGTCGCGGGCGATGCCGACCATAGCATCACCATTTATGATATCAATACAGGGAAACTCAGATCTGTCCTTTCAGGCCATACAGGAGGTGTTTGGGCAATGAAATACTTGGGAAACATATTGGCTTCCGGTGCAACAGACAGAACGGTCCGCATCTGGAATATGAAACAGGGAAAATGTACGCATGTTTTCCGTGGCCATACTTCGACTGTCAGATGCCTGGAAATCTTGGAACCTAAACAAATAGGTGTTGACGACGAGGGTAACGCGATAATGTTCCCTAAGGTGCCGTTGGTGGTCACTGGTTCCAGAGATTCGACTCTTTACGTCTGGAGGTTGCCTATCACGGGAGAAGACGAAGAGCTTCCGGACGAACCGATTGAGTTGGATGAAACCTCCAACAAGTACTTGGTGAAAGTGCTGCGTGGCCACACTGGCTCCATCCGTGCCGTTTCAGGATCGGCCAATGTCCTTGTGAGTGGTAGCTACGACGCTAACGCTCGTGTGTGGGATTTGAGAACAGGAGAATGTAAATGGCTCCTATCTGGTCACACAGAAAGAATATACAGCTGTGTCCTGGACGTGAAGAAAAATAGATGCATTTCAGGTTCCGCTGACAACACAGTGAGAATATGGGACCTCAACACAGGCGAGACGGTGGCAATCTTGGAAGGCCACCAAAATCTAGTTGGTCTTGTCACTCTGTCTGAAAACGCATTGGTGTCCGCAGCAGCCGACTCTACAGTAAGAATCTGGGACCCAAATACCGGTGACATGAAGCATGTGCTGAGGGGACATACTTCTGCAATCACGTGTATCCAGCACAACGACAACATCATCATATCTGGTTCGAATGGAATGCTGAAGATGTGGGACACACAGACCGGGAAGTTTATCAGAGATCTTCTTGACGATGTCGATGGTAATGTTTGGCAAGTGAAGTCGGATTATAGACGATGCATTGCCGCTGTTCAAAAAGATGGAGGCACATACATCGAGATCCTGGACTTTGGCCACTCTGACGCCGATAACCTCAGATTCCATCAGAATGCAGATCAGATTATGTAAGTTCATACAGGTATGCTAAAAAATTTAGGAAAAATATTGATTTAGTTCTTCGATGGACCCGCGACGTTATTTGAAGAGCTATGGATGGGTCGAGGGGGAGGCGTTGCAGCAAGGAGGCTTGAAGAGACCTATTCTAGTCACTCATAAGAAGAACGCGTTTGGAATAGGTCACACGAGTAATCAGGCTGAGGCATGGTGGGAGAAGATGTTTGATGGTCAACTCAAATCGCTTGATGTGACGAGCAAAAACGGTACTGTCAGTTTTGCCCAGGATGAGCAATCTTTCAAGGAGTTTGCTAAAAGCCAGTCGCCACTGTACAAGATGTTTGTGAAAGGGGGACTGTTGCAAGGAACTATAGAAAAAGAACCGGAAATAGGTAGATCAGGAAGCGAACAACTAATGATCTTCGATCTGGGTGATAATTCAGAGAAGAGGAAAAAGAAGCGGAAAAAAGACAGAAAGGAAAGAAAGCATAAAGAAAAGAAAGAGAAGCATAAGTCTCAAAAGAAGGGTGAGGTGAAAGATGGGAAGATAAAAAAGTACAAGTCCAAGACGTAACTTCGCTGCATATTTCATACATTCGCATACATAATGTACATCTATATTGACCCGTCATCGAGCCTTTTAACCTGATGGTGAACTTCTGCAAACTCATTGGCTAGCTCCACGTACAGCTGGAATTCTTCTTTCAGTGTGCTGACAATCATATCAAGTCCATATGAACCAACGGCTGGGCCTCCGCTCAAAGAAACCTTATCTAGATCGCTAATGGAGTTCTCTACCTCTTGCAGAATTAGCTGGTACTTGTCAATGTTTTGTCTGAACTCTTCGATCTTGGCACTGTAGTAGCTGTTGAGAATTTGAGGGACATTCACATGAGAATCTTTGTCCAGCTGCTGTGATTTGGAGGGCTGCGATTGCAAAAGGCCTGCGGTCCTGACTCCATTAACTCCAATGATTTGTGTTACCGTGCCATCTGCAGATTTTGCTTGCTCGTTGTTAGACATTCCCAGGATCATTGGATTGGTCAGCTGTAAATAGACCTTTATTAGTTTTTCTACCCAGTTGTCAAAGTTCTCGAGCGTCTTGTTTTTGAAGCTTTCCACAAACTTCAGGTCACTATTGAGGGCCTGGTTAGTAGAAAAGTAGCGTTTCTCAAGAAAATCAATGTCTCTAGGAATGCTATTGATGAGTTCTTTGTGTTCATCCTCGTCGTTCTTTAGTCGCTCAGCTATGGCCACCTGAGTCTGGATGTATTGGTCTAGCTGCTCCAGCTCTTTTTGGAAAGCCTCCGGAAGATCGCTCACTTTGGTCATAGGGTTTAACGGAGGCAGTTGAGGCTGGTTGAGATTTGTATTTTGTTGCTGGTTGCCAAATAACCCTCCAGACATTCCTGATGTGTTCTGTTGGTTGCCGAAAAGACTGCTTGTGCCTCCTAGACTGCTGCTTGGTTGGTTACCAAAAAGACTACCCGATGTGCCGGAAGTATTCTGTTGGTTGCCCAAAAGTCCACCCGAGCCTGATTGCTGATTTCCTCCGAATAGAGAAGAGCCTGTGCCGGTGGTTTGAGACGGCTGTCCAAACAGCCCTCCAGATTTGTTTCCAAATAGACTGGTTGAAGTATTGGATGTATTATTGGCTGAATTGTTGGCACCTCCAAAAGAGAATCCGGTATTTGTGGAAGGAGCAGAAGTGCTGGAGGATCCGAAAAGACTTCCTGGTTGGGTGCCCGTTTGCGTATTGTTTTGAGTATTCGATGTTCCTCCAAACGAGAAGCCTGTGTTTCCGGAGGTCCCTGATTGATTGGAATTGTTTGCAGTATTGCCAAACGAGATTGCTGGTTTTGATGCGGTGGATGTATTGTTTTGGCCAAATAACCCGCCAGAGGTGGTGTTATTTCCAAACAATCCTCCAGAAGTCGAGGTGTTTGTGTTTCCAAATCCCGTTGACACATTGTTTGTATTCGAATTGGCTCCAAAGAGGTTTGTGGAGCCCGTTGTATTGTTGTTATTGGCCCCAAACAGAGTACCTGTGGAGTTGGGCTGTGACCCAGCTGGAGCACTATTTTGAGTGTTCCCGAAGGAGAATGTAGGCTTCGAGGCATTGGAGCCTCCAAAAGAAAAGCCTGTTCCGCCCGTCGACGAGGCGCCTGCTGTGTTGCCAAACATTTGTAATGCCTGGATTATATTCGTATTTTATTTTCAGTGAATATTTTCTCCGGGTAAGCTCACATTGCCACAGATTTTCAGTGTTGAATTTAAATAAAAAAGACAAGCTAAACACGCTTTTTATCACGAATTCAAAATGGGTAAGTATTAGGCTTTTGCACTCTACTCTAACAGCAGGTATCCCAAAATTCTTCCGGTTCATCTCTGAGAGATGGCCTTTGATATCGAATGAAATTGATGGGTCGACTCCCGTTCCAGAGTTTGACAACCTCTACCTGGATATGAACTCCATCTTGCATACCTGCACGCATACCAACGACAGTTCATTGCTCAGAATGACAGACGATCAAATGTTTGGTGCCATCTTCGCCTACATCGACCATCTGTTCAACATCATCAAGCCTCAGAAAGTGTTCTACATGGCTATCGATGGAGTTGCTCCTAGAGCAAAAATGAACCAGCAGCGTGCTAGACGGTTCCGAAGTGCGATTGAGGCCGAGCAAAATTTGGAGAAAGCTATCAAAGAAGGAAAAGAGATTCCTAAGGAGCCCCCTTTTGACTCCAACGCAATTACTCCTGGTACAGAGTTCATGGCCAAATTGACCCAGAACTTGAAATTCTACATCAACCAGAAAGCTTCCTCGGATTCGAGATGGCAGAATATGCGTATCATTCTGTCTGGCCACGAGGTGCCCGGTGAAGGAGAGCACAAGATCATGGACTTTATCAGAACGCAGAAAGCTCAGCCCGGATACGATCCCAACACCAGACATTGTGTCTACGGTTTGGATGCCGATCTGATCATGCTGGGCCTTGTCGCTCACGAACCGCACTTTGCTTTGCTGAGAGAGGAAGTGACCTTTGGTCCAAAGGCTAACTCTCACTCAGACGACGACCTTACGCAGCAGACATTCTTCTTGCTCCATATCTCGCTGGTCAGAGAATACATGGAGCTGGAATTCCAGGACCTGCAAGACCAGCTTTCGTTCGAGTACGATTTTGAGCGTATCATTGACGACTTCATTCTCATCATGTATGTGATAGGAAACGACTTTTTGCCGAACTTGCCGGATTTGCATCTGAACAAGGGTGCGTTCCCGCTCTTGATTGAGACTTTTAAGGAAGCCATCAGAGACATGGACGGATACATTAATGAGTTTGGAACCATCAATCTCCAGAGGCTTGGAAAGTGGCTGGAGTATCTGTCCGTTTTTGAGCTGGAGAACTTCGAAAAAGGTGAAGTTGACGTCGAATGGTTTAACAAGCAGCTTGACAATATTTCGAAGCAAGGAATGAAGAAGAGACTGAGACAGGGTAAAGAGCTTTTGCTCAAACAGCAGAAAAAGTTCATTGGCCTTGTTAGAGAGTGGATATATCGCGTCTATTCAGAAAGATTCGATGTCAAAGCCATGCTAGAAGATGAGTCCAAAGTTCCTGAACTTCCTCTTCCACGTGATGTGTTTGAAAGTGAAATCAACAGAGACGTCATTGCAAAATTCTTGTTTGAGCTTGGTGTTGTGGTCATCCACAGCAAGTCTCAAGACACATACACCGCCAGATTGGATGTCGATGGCATCAATCCTGATGAGACTGACGAGGAATTTAATGAAAGAGTGGAAGGAATTAGAAAAGTGATCAAGAAGTATCAGAGCTCCATCGTTGTTGAAGACGAAGAAACGCTAGAGTCACAAAAAGACCTTTACGATGCTAGATTCGTCAAATGGAAAAACGAATATTATAAAAAAAAGGTCGGGTTCTCATTGAATGACGAGGACAAGATCAGAGACATGGCTGAGAATTACATTGAGGGATTGCAATGGGTGTTGAACTACTACTATAAAGGAATATCGTCTTGGCCTTGGTATTACAGGTACCACTATGCTCCGCGCATTTCTGATGTTAGCAAAGGCTTGAATGTGAAGATCAATTTTGAAAAGGGCCATCCATTCAAGCCTTTCCAGCAGCTGATGGCTGTTTTGCCTGCCAGGTCTAAAGAACTGATTCCAACTGTCTACAGACCACTGATGACGGACTCCAACTCCCCAATCATAGACTTCTATCCAGATGACTGTGAAGTTGACATGAATGGTAAGAAGGCGCCATGGGAGGCAGTTGTGCTTTTATCTTTTGTGGATGAGAAAAGACTGATAGAAGCGATGGCTCCGTTCGACTCTAAATTGAGCCCTGAAGAAAAACTAAGAAACTCATTTGGTACCGATTTGCAGTTCCATTTCAATCCCCAAATCAAGCACCTAATCAAATCTCCTTTGCCTGCGTCGTTCAGTGACTTTGAATCTCACTGCACCGAGACCGAGTTCCACCTTCCTTCACTTGAAGGGCTGAAAATTAACTTTGGCTTGTGCAAGGGTGCCAAATTTGGTAGAGAAGCATTGGCTGGCTTCCCGTCACTGAAAACCATCCCATGTCAATACAACCTTGAATATGCCAATGTTGTGGTGTTCCAACAGCCATCTAAAGCCATGACGTTGATGCTGACGCTGGAAAATCTGCATAGCAGCCTGACTGTGGAACAATTCGCCAAGGAGTACGTTGGACAGATTGTCTACACTAAATGGCCGTTTTTGAGGGAGGCAAAGGTTGTCTACGTGACTGACAACCTCATGAGATACGAGAAACTGAAAATGGGATCTGTGCCGAAGGTTGTCTCGTCTCCTTTGGAGTCATTTGAAAGAGACGAGTTTGAAAAAACCAGATCATTCTTGTACCATAAATTACAGACTAATAAGGGTGTTCGATTCCAAGCTGCAGAATCTGATGAAGAGTCTGAAAATAGCGCAAAAAGCTCCTCCACAAAGAATCCTATTGAAGGATTGGTCTATGTTAGAGCTGTGAATGGACTGATCCGAAACGAACACGGAGCTTTTGTGAAAACATATGCTAAGGAGATGGAATGCTATCCTATTCAATTGATAGTGGATGAAGTGATCAACAAGGATGCGAGATTTGAGGCGAGACCTCCTGTTCCTATAGAAGAGGAATTCCCGAAGAACTCGACGGTTGTTTTCCTTGGTGCCTTTGCATACGGTGCTCCGGCAGACGTTATCGATCACGAGAACAACAAGCTCACACTAAAAGTGTCGAAGATCTCCAAGAAGGCAGAGCCTAATTTTGGTATTTTGAGAGCACAGCACGAGAAGAAAACTATCAGATACCATCCGTCGTCGACTGTTGCAAAAATCCTGAAGTTCTCCCCTCTGTTCCTGTCCAAACTGACCTCTTCGTATGCGGTTGAAGGACCTGGTGGAAGAAGATACGACATTGGCCTTCCACTGAAGTTTGAGGGTAAGAAGATGAAAGTTTTAGGGTACACAAGAAGAAACGATAGATACTGGGAATACAGCGATTTGGCAATCAGTCTGATCCAAGAGTATATAAAAAAATTCCCTGATGTTTTCAAGGCCTTGATGGAACATAGGGGATCCTCTATTCCGAGCGCTAAGGAGATCTTCAAGATTGCTGAGCCGGACAAGCTCAGGGCCAAGTTGGATGCTGTGCAGTCGTTCCTCAAGGCGAAGAAGTCGACGTTTGTCACTGTTAGCCTGGAGTCTGAGTCCTTCACTAAAATCGGCGTTGCAGAGCTCGAGCAACAGATCATTGACTATGTGGCAAAGCCACAGCCTCTGGATACGAAGGGAATCAAGGGAATTCCACGGAACGCTGTTTTGGCTCCGTCGCAGTCGTTCCAGTTGCTCAGAAAGCAGCACTTCTCTCTTGGAGACCGTGTTGTCTATGTCTTGGACTCGGGAAATGTTCCGTTGTTTTCCAAGGGAACAGTGATCGGTATCAGATCGCTTGAGTCCAAGGTCGAGCTGCAAGTTCTATTCGACCAGCCTTTGCTGACTGGTAATACCTTTGGTGGCAGGCTGAAGACGCAAAGAGGACTGACGCTGGATTCCTCTGTGTTGCTGAATTTGACTGATAAACAGTTTATTTACCACTCAAAGGCGTCCTCCAAGACTGCTCAGGGAGACTTGAGCGAGGTCAGAAAGCGCTACTTGTTGAAGAAGAAACAGGAAAAGGAGAACGAACTCAGAAACAAGAAGGAGCTGCTAAAGGTGATCAAGAAAAGCGATACTCAGGGCGAGGCCAAGAACTCTGCCGACCCAGCTCTCCCAAGCGTCTCTAAGAAGAACAGAGTGGCTCAGAACGTGTTCAACTCGGTTCTGGGTAACGTGATGCAGCCGATTGCTCCTCTGAGAGGTCCTCACTCCATGATGGGCATTCCTCCAGGACTCCCATTACCTGTGCCTATGCCTGCCAACACCAACGGCTCGCAGGAGCTCATGGGTATGCTCAACAGCCAGAAGTCACGAAACTCTGCAGGCAGGCCTGCTAGCAAACCGGCCAACAAGCAGGCCAACAAAGCTACAAAAAAGCCTCAGGTCAAGCAGAAACCAAAGGTCGCCAAGAAAGAAGAAGCCTGAGCTATATATCTTCCTGTAATGTGTACTTTAGAACTTCGTTTTGCTCCAGTTCCTGCCGTCTTTCGAACCACCGCTGTTCGAACCCGTTGGTGCGGTTCACCCCGTCCCAACGCCAACCAGGCCGTATGCCAAACCTGTTGTCCGGATACCCGGTTTCTGAGTATAGTTTCCTGCCTGTCGCGCTGAGATTGGTGAGCTTTCTTTTGCGGCTCTGCAGGTTTGCGTCAAACAGCAGCGCAGGGTCGTCGTCGCTGACAAACTGCTTTTTTTCGTGATCTCTGCTCTCCAGTGTCTCTGATTCTAGCTGTTTCAGTCGTTGTTGTTCCTGTTGCTTTTGGATTGCTGTGTATTCGCTCTCATTGACACGCTTTATTTCCTCTCTTCTGCGTTCCTCATCGGCCTTCCTTTGTGAGTCTGGGTCCTCTACTGTTGATATCCTCCGTCCTGTGGCATCTCTATAGACCGTTTCGACTTTATTGGGGTCATATTGCTGTTGGACCTTGCGTTTTTCTTCTTCCAATTGACGCTGTTTCATCTCCATCGACCTTTTGATGTCCTCCCCCGTCTTGAGACCCGGCAGCGAGCCGTCCTGCATGAGCTTGGGTCGCGTACCTGTTGTCTGTTTCGTCTCTACCGACGTCCAGCCCTTGGACTGCACCTTTCTCTCGACCACAACGGGTCCTTCCTCTGTCTCGGACAAATCCGAATCTAAGTCCTGCTCCTGAGGCTCCTCAGAGACATATTTCTTGAGATAATCCTGGAGCGACATAATGCACAGAAAAGGCCGATCGACCTTGAAATTGAGAAAAAGTCCACCTCTCAAAAAAACACATACACTCATCATGGAGGATTGGAGAAGAATTGACGTCGACCAGTACGACCCAGATTTGCAGTACGAGCCAGACCCGATCGACGCGCCTGCCTATTCTGCACAGCAATTGGACTCGCTCGTGACAGAGATCCGCTCCAGCGTGTCCAGAGGCGACGCTCTGGGTGCAATCAAGCTGTGTGTTGCGCAGCCTCCGTACGGCTCCGACAGCGCTCTAAAGACGACATATCTACAGGCGGTGCTGAACGCGTTTGTTTCCGTGAGACAGAGCGAGATCCCCAACATTGTGAAGAGCCTGGATATGGACGAAACAGACACACTGGTCAAACTGCTGTACTCGCTCATGAGCATCAAAGAGGGCCAGAAGTCGGGCGGAGTGTTGCTGGGCTGGTTCGACAAAGTGGTGGAGTTGGTCGGAGAACGCCCTATCGTGAGCTATGTAAACAGTTCGTTGACATTGTAAGATAGAATACATGCGTCGTCGTCGCGTCGATAGAAAAAGAAGCGTAGGCTACCAGACATGGCAGCACAGGGGCGCGGGTTTCCCCACACACCACAGTTGCCATCGGCTATTTTACGCGAGACTGGCGGTATATAAGGTCGTCTGAATAAGCCGGTGCTCCCAAGTTTAATATGGTTGTTAAGAGAGGCGACAAATTCCCTACTAACGTGAGCACACTCTTTATCTCGTCCCCCGAGGGCGAGCCCAAGCCCTTTGATCTGAAGGCAGCAACAAAGAGCAAGAAGTTTGTGGTTGTCAGTGTTCCTGGTGCTTTCACTCCACCTTGCACCAACCAGCACCTTCCAGAGTACATTCAGAAAGTGCAGAACTTTGCTTCAAAAGGGGTCGATTTCATCCTTGTTGTGACCCAGAACGATCCGTTTGTGCTTCGTGCCTGGAGAGAAAAATTGGGGGCTACTTCCAGTAAGATCGTTTTCGTGTCAGACCCGTATCTCGACCTGTCCAAGAAGCTGGGATCTCCTATTGATTTGGGAGACCTGGGCCTCGGAACGAGATCCAGCAGACTGGCTCTGATTGTCAACCGCAGCGGAATCGTCGAGTTTGTGGCCGACGAAAAGGGCGGAGAAGTCAACGTCTCGACCGCGTCGAAACTGCTGGCAAAGTTGTAACCGGTAATTAGGGTTAAAATTTAATGTTTTTTTTCGAATAAAAATAATCTGGTCTTATGTCCCCTGATCTGGAAAACCCGTGGTCCGATGTGGTACCGAGCACAGGCGAGTCGTCGTTTGTCATTGGGCTGTGCATTGTTGATTTCGACCACGTCCACGGCCCAGAGATAGAGTACTGGCTCGACGACCGCACAAATGAGTACAACCAGGCCTCGATGGCAGCCAAGTTTGCGCAAATATGGCCGCAACTGCCCTTTCAGGGGCTTCCCGACGGCGCGCACCTGTTTGACGAAGCATTTACGAATTTCACGCTTGTCTACGACGAAAAAAATCACCTCTGTCCTCCGCTCCCCAAGGAGAAGACAGACAAGCAGTACGATCTCACGACACTTTTTGGATGCGCGTGCGTGCGCCAGCTGAACAGCAGCGCATTAGCAGACGCTGCGGACTTCAAGCGGTCGATTATCCAAAAAAGCGTCGTGATGATCACCCGATACCCGATCCCGATCCAATTGAAGGAAAAATTAAGCATAATCACCATGAGCTACTTTGACCAGCACAACTTCCACGACAAGTCCATAATCAAGGCCCTTTTCGAGAACGTGGCCACCGTCTACAACTCGCACGGCTTCAAGGTTGAAGACGACGATCTGTACGAGACCCCCGTGACCCAGGACAACGTGAAAGTCATCAAGGAAAGCGACTTCTACACGGGGCTCAATCTTAAAGAGCTGGTGGTGACATTCAAACGCAACTTGTTGGTCATCTACAAAGCGTTGCTGCTCGAGCAACGCATCCTCGTGTACTCGAAAAACCTCAACCGTCTTTCCAACTTCCAGTACTCGCTTCTTTCGCTCATACCGAACTTGTTGCTCCATCTTTCCGACAGCGGGAGCCCGTTAACCGGCAGCGATCCCAGACAGGTCGAGAAACCAACCTCACTGAAAAGCAGCGACAGACAGTCGATGCTGGCCTTCATGGGCCTCCCGTTGCGAATATTTGGCAGGGGAGGCTTTTTCCAACCGTATCTGACTTTGCAGCAAATCGAGTATCTGACCAACGAGAACACGAGCTGGTATCTGGTCGGCTGCTCGAATGACATAATGCTGCATCAGAAAACGCGATATGCAGATCTGGTGGTAAATCTCGACGACTCAAACGTCGAACTGCTGAGCTCGCAGTTGAAGGAGAAGGTGGCGCTCACGAGCGCAGATCGCCGCTTTATCGACTCATTGAGTGACGAGGTGCTTGCCGCAGACGACGTGAGCTTGTCGCTGGCAAACAGCCCAATGGAATCGCAGTCGTACCGGGGCGGCGACGATTTTATCCGATACAACTTCGAGGATTACCTAATCGGGATGCTCTCGAGCATCAAGTACGACAACTTCCGCAGCATGTCCAAGCTGGAAAATGTCCAGCAGCTGAGCTCGTTTGCGAACGAGATCGAGCAGTTTGGGAATCCGTTTGTGGCGGCGTTCCGGGCCACTACTGCCTACAAGATATTTGATCGCGGGACCGACGACGAGCTATTCAATTTTTTCGAGCCCAAACACGTCGGCTCCAGCCTTGTCCGGACAAACGTGATTCGGAACCTGTTCAGCAGAATCAAAGACGAAGATCGCAAGTATTTGTCGGGGCTGTTCGGTTTTAGGCGGAGCGAAAATAAAAATGGCTAGTCTGGCTCAAAAATTATGGCACGCATGCACCTATGACAAAATAGTAATTCGGGCGGTGTGGCATCAGGACCGAGGCACCACCAAAAGACTTTGTGGCCGACACCAATTATATAGCCACTTATATATATCTCTGGCACTAGCAGACGATCCCAGCACACTCACCGACGAGCCCAGACCCCTCCTCCACTCGGCACGGGTCATTCCTTTTATCTTATCTCCTCTTATCTGGCAATTTTTTTACGTGCAGATACTTATCTCCTCGAGATAACAGCATTTATTTTGCGACAATTTGAGCAACTAGATTTACAAGTTTTCCTCCTCACCCACTAGAGAAGGCTTTATCTCTGTGTGAGAAAATGCTCCAAACCGATTCACCAAACCCGGTCAGATACCCTATCCGGCAGATCCCTCCGGCCGTGCTGGCTCGGATCCCGAAGGAACAACAAGAGATTATCCCTTCCATTTCGTCCATCACAAAGCGCAAGTACTCGACCTCCATCGACCCGCGCAACTACTTGACGGTATTCGAGTACAAGATCAACGAGTCCTGGATCATCTGGGACTACTCTTCCGGCCTGGTACATCTCACGGGGCTCTGGAAGGCCATAGGCAACTCGAAGGCCGACATCGTGAAACTGATCGACTCGTCGCCAGAGCTCGAGCCCGACCTCAAGCGCGTGCGCGGCGGGTTTCTGAAGATCCAAGGTACCTGGATCCCGTTCGAACTGGCGCGCAAACTGGCCGCCAGATTTTGCTACAAAATCAGATACGCCCTTGTGCCCATGTTTGGCGAGTCCTTTGTCGACGAGTGTCTGAAGCCGTACGAGAAGGGCTTTGGGATGCTCCGCTTGAAGGTGAACGACGACGACTTGAGGAAAAAGAGAAGCAATAGACGCAAAAAGTCCATCTCCTCGGGCTCTGTGCCCTCCGCCCACGCCAGAATCGGCAAAAAACCGCGCTCCCGGTCTCAGGAGTTCGAGTACGGCAAGTCGCTACCGCCGCTGTCTCCTAGCATCATCACGCGGAACAAGGGCCCGGAGACTGGATTTTTCGTGTCGTCCGTCGCGGCAGGTCCTGCAACAGACTCGTTTCAGATCAAGACCGCCAAGCCCAAAGCCGACGGGCTACTTTCGGTCCTCAGAGCAGCAGAGAACCTGGACGCCAATCCGTTCTACACCTCTATTCTGTCGACCGTGTCGTCGTCGTCGTCGTCCACGTCGTCGTCCTTTTCATCTTCGAATTTTCCGATCAGTCCGCTAGCTTCGTCCACCTCGCTTATCAGCAGCCAGTACCAGTACCAATACCCCCCAAGAGCACTCGAGATCCCGTACAAGTCCAAGGCCGAGCCCCCGGTGACCTCCGAAACAGACATCAAGCGAAAAATGAGCATCAGCGATCTACTTATATAGGTTTTCTAGTCTTAATTAACATTGAGCACGATGTTGGCAACGTTAAAAGGGTTTTCAAGGCCGTGTAATTATTTTTTGCTGCCACCAAACTGCGCCAAGATTGGTCGCCTCTCAGACTAAAATTCCTTCTTTATCAGTCACCCTGTTTTTAAGCAAAACAGTTTGTGCCGTCTAGCCCTGCATACTGACACCGCCCAATCATCAGTCCCTTCATCCAGAGCTCCAGAATCGTCAACAACCTTTGCTAGCTTTCCAGAGCATCCAGAGCGCCCTGAACCGTTTCACATGTTTGCGGAATCGTACTTCAAAACAGTCGCCAGTGATGGATTATCTTACCAGCAGATCACTTTTTTGACCTTCCAGGCTGTCACAGAGGTTGTTATCATCTGTCTTGCTGGCTTCTGGGCAGCAAAAACCGGCCTCCTCAACAATGAAGCCACAAAAATTATCTCCAGGCTCAATGTGGACCTCTTCACGCCAGCCCTTATCTTTTCAAAATTGGCCTCCTCCCTATCATTCCAAAAAGTGCTGGAGGTCATCGTCATTCCTATATTCTATGCACTCATCACAGGAATCTCATACGTCGCCTCCATCTGGGTGTCCTCTCTTCTTGGGCTGTCTGAACCCGAGGCCAACTTTGTCACAGCAATGGCTGTCTTTGGCAACTCCAACTCTCTGCCCGTGTCTCTGACGTTAGCGCTTGCATACACCCTGCCGGGTCTTGAGTGGGACGAGATCGAAAACGACACGCCGGACCAGATCGCCTCCAGGGGTCTGATTTACTTGCTCATTTTCCAGCAGTTGGGACAAGTGCTCAGATGGTCCTGGGGATACAACACTTTGTTGAAAAGACGCTCTCCCTCTGTCGAAATTGCTCTTGATGATGATCCTGAGAGCCAATCTCTGGAGACTCACAGGCCGTCTAGCTACGGATCGGCCGACGAACAGTCAGACGAAGAACAGAGATTGCTCAGCCACCCGCCTCCAAATCCCGGTAGGTGGAGCGAAGGCTCCTCTATATCTTCTCACGAAAGCGTTTCAAAGAGCGCCAATATCGATGTTGAGACTGAGAACCAGCCGGCAGAGGAGGAAAAGCCGTTGCCACTCAAAATCTGGAGCAAATTCCTCTCGGCAATGAATCCACCTCTGTGGTCCATGTTGATTGCCATCATTGTCGCCAGTGTGCCTCAGATCAGATACGAATTTTACGAGAGACAAGGATTTATACAGAACACATTGGCATTGGCAATAAAGCAGCTTGGTTCTGTCTCAATTCCACTGATTTTAGTGGTATTGGGAGCAAATTTAGCTCCATCCCAAGACATTCCTCCTGCTAGCCCCCACTACTCCAAAATCGTGTTCGGCTCACTTGTATCGAGGATGGTGCTTCCGTCCATTGTGCTTCTTCCTGTCATCACACTATGCGCCAAGTATGTGGGATTGAGCATTCTGGACGATCCGATTTTTTTGGTCACTTCATTCTTGCTTATCACGTCTCCTCCGGCTATCCAGCTGTCGCAGATTTGCCAGCTGAACGAGGTGTTCGAGAAGGAGATGGTTGGTGTGCTATTTTACGGGTACGCGATCCTGACTTTGCCGGTCACAATAGTGATCGTGGTTTCCGCTTTGGAGTGTTTGAAATGGGCCAAGATGTAACTAGGTAATAATCTGCCAATCACATAACGGTTGGAAAAAAAAATATTGAGTAAATATTTGATTCAATCTATTTAGAGTATTATGGACAGCGATGAGTAAAGAAAGGAAGATTGCACTGGTTGGCGCGCGCGCTGTGGGCAAGTCCTCTCTAGCTGCCCAGTTTGCTGAAGAGTCTTTCAATGACCATTACTTTCCGACGATAGAGAATCAGCTAAAGAAGGAGGTCAAGTACAAGGGAATCGATTATTCGCTCGAAATTATGGACACTGCTGGTCAGGATGAGTTTTCCACTTTGCACAATAAATTGTTGATTGGGGTTCACGGGTATATGCTAGTTTATTCTATAAATTCAAGACAGTCTTTCGACATGCTGGCTGTTGTGCGAGACAAGATCCTTGATGGGCTGGGAATAAGCTCTGTGGAAGATGGGCCTCCCATCGTGATCGTGGGCAACAAGAGCGATCTGGATTTCCAAAGACAGGTTTCCGAGGCCGAACTGAAACAGCTGGCAAAGGTCTTTGGCGACGTTCCGTGCTTTGAGTGTTCTGCGAAAAATAACTACAATGTTCACGAGGCGTTTGGTGCTGTGATTGACCAGATCGAAGACATCAAGGAGCCTAAGGATGAAGAAGAGACCCAGGCTAAAAGTAACGGATGTGTTTTAATGTAGAGTACGGGATATATACTTACACAGGTTAAAAAAGTGGTGGGGCAAAAAAAATTATATTGTCTATAAACTAATAGCAAGTGAGCAGCACAATATAATTAAAGGCGCGATTAAATAAATATAATCTACAATGTCATACCACGAGTTCACTTGGTGAGTATAATCGTCGATACCAGAGTACAGTCGTGCTAACATTGTAGGCCCTCCGGTCCAGAATCTGTCATCTTGACAGGGTCCTTTGATAACTGGTCTCAGTCGTTGCCTCTTATCAAGCAGCGTGATGGCTCCTTCTCTCTGTCGTTCCCATTTCCTAATGACACTGAGAAAGTGGCCTTCAAGTTTGTTGTGGACGGCAAATGGATCACAAGCGAGGATTACAAAGTCGAGACCGATGAGCTAGGAAACAAAAACAACGTCCTATATGCAAAGGACGTTGTTTCTGCTCAAGGTTCCAACTCTACAAGAATTCCCGAGGCAGGAGGCATGGCAGTGCCATTGGCTGGTGGCAATGCTTCTTTGCCGAAGAGCAAGGCTGAGACAGGCGGTTCAGAGTACAAGCCTACTGTCCTTCCTTCGACCGAAGGACAACAGGTGACGCTGGGAGAGCCGGGCGTAGTGGTGCCAGCCAACCCCCACTCGATCTCTGCTTTCTCGGAGGTGAGAGACGTTGACCCGAAGACGCTCAACGAGCCTTCTGGCTCGACTAAGAGTGCGCCTGCTGAAACTACCACCGCCACCAAGTCACCTGAGGCTGCCAAGACTCTCGATCCTGCAGAGCAGTCAAAAGTTTCCGGGACTGCGGGCTCCACCAATGCTACAGGAGCCCCCGAAGCCAGTGCAGCTGCACTGGCTTCGGGACCTGGGGTTGTTATTCCAGAGGACCCTCAGTCGATATCGGCCCTGAACGACGTTAGAGACGTGAACCCAAAGACGCTGAACGCGCCTTCGGAACCAACCACTTCTCAGACCGAGACGGCCGTTGCAGACGAGGCTACTAACCCAAGCACCCAAGATACAGCAGAGACCGCTGCGAGCGAGCCTTCTGAGACGGGCGCCAAGAAGACCAAGTACGTCAAGCGGGTGGTCTCCAAGATCAAGAAGGACGAAGCTGAGCAGACTCCTGAATCTGAAAAAGAGACCACTGCAGCTGAGACACCTGCAAAATCTGCACCACCTGCCAAGGCTGAACAAAAGACCGCAAACTCTTCGTCGCCAAAGAAGAAGACTGGGTTCTTTGCCAAGCTCAAGAAGGCGCTCAAATGAAGGACGCAATGGGTCCGGGTGCTTTCTTTTCTTTCATCTGTGTATTAAATGTATCATCATTTGAATGGAATAAAAAAAAAAATGCCGAAAAAAAATGGGCACATGTGTTCCACTTTAGGACAGCTCCCAACCGCTCTGTGTCCAACGCTGCTCGATGCAGCCACTCTTGTAAAGTAAACGGAATTTGCAAATTTCCATAAGAATTCTTCCGAGTTCTTTTATTAGGAAGCTGCGTTCCGGATTGGGAAATGTTGTTGATCGCAGTATGCATGGATGATTTAGAATATTTTTCAATAATAGAATAGGCCTTCCTTTCTCAAAAGCCCGTGACATATGCTGACTAGCAAACTTTTCGGGTCAACACGCTTCATCATGTTGATCTGGTTCTTCCTGGTGTCCTTAGGCTCTGCCTTGGAGCAGGCGCTATGCTCTAAGGAAAATACAGGATCGGTGACTACTAATAACATCTGGATGTCAAATGGATATTGTTCCGACTTTTGTAAAGAATACCGCTACGCCATTGTCCAGGGAGAAGACTGCTGGTGCTCCAACACGGCCCCAGACGACACCAGTGACTTGGACAACTGCGACACTACTTGTCCTGGCTACGGATACGAGGATTGCGGAGGAGATGGCTACTACGGATACATCAAGGTCGGGGACACCTCTGATGATTCGGGGTCTTCGAGCTCCTCTGCCGACCAATCAAGCACTGCTGATCGTAGCACCTCAAGCTCAACTGCGAACACTCAAGCGTCGTCCTCCTCCGAAACCGTTTCAAGTGAAACACCGTCCTCGGATTCCACATATGCGGACTCAAATTCTGACTCAACCTCGTCTGAAATACAAGAGGCCTCCGCCACCACGGACTCGTCATCGTCGTCAACATCCGCCACATCCTCCTCCTCTTCCTCCTCCACGTCGTCGACCACACATTCGTCCACCTCTACCTCCTCGTCTTCGGCCTCTCCATCGTCTTCTTCGACTGCCTCGTCCTCTTCGGTCTCCTCCTCCACAACGTCTACATCTGCTAACCCCACATCGTCAGAAGCATCCTCAGCTACCTCTATACCGTCGTCTGCTGCCTTATCGTCCACCTCTTCGTCCTCGTCACAAACGCTTGCGCTTTCCACCTCATCGTATCTCAGCTCTTCACAAGGATCGGGCATCTCCACAGCTCTTGTAACCACGATGATCAAAACAACCATCACCTACACCCCAGCATCGTCAGCCACCGAGATTAACAAAAGCTCGCCGTCCAGCACAGCTACTGACTCAAGCAAAAATAGCTCGTCGTTCTTCGACCACAAAGGAAAAGTCGCTGCAGTATTTTCCGTGGTTGGCATCGTATCTCTCGCTCTGATACTGTTGTTGACATTCATTCTCAGAAAAATGTATTTGAACAAGCATAAAGGACCAATCGCCATTGAATCAGATACAGAAAGTTTTGAAAAGCCCGTCATCATCGGCACGTTGCCAAACACTCCAACACCGTCGAGTCCGCCGCCGTCTGCTTCAGCCAAAAGAGCTTCAGTGTTTTCCCTGCACCGCAAATCAAACTCGGCCCCCACCGCTGTCCAGCGGCCAACCCCACTCTCAGACATGGTGATGGTCGACCAGAGACTGGACCCACACAGTGAACTCTACAATAATAATAATTACTCTACTCGAAGCCTGAGTGATCAGGTCGATTATAGCAGGAAAGTGCTTCGGGTAGCCAACCCTGACGCCTAATAGGTGTGAGGTGTCGTCCATTTACAGCCCCATGGAGAAAAGAGCAGGTTATTAATTGAAAAGCTGGTCGCGGCACAATAAAGTTGGGTCTGGGCAAGCACAAGAGGGCTCATGTCACTCTTTTAATTAGCATGGTTCGTCGTTTCAGCCTTTCCCAACTCATAAATATGTATAACTCTCAATTAAATTTATGCCAAGAAATCCTTTTAATTATAAATTAGCTTTGCTTCGCCTACTTTTTTGATCGTCATATTTTTTTGATTGTTTTTGCTATGAGCAAGTCCACGCTGAACGTCCACCCTGTGGCGTACCTGAACGCCGACTCTGACCACTCTCATCAGGGTGAGGACAGAGCTTCAAGAAAGTCGCACTCTACGGAGTCCACCGGTTCTCCGATAGGTTCCATCTCGTCCTACACAGAGATATCCTCAGACCCTGACTCTCCGCCCGGTATGCAGAGCACAAACTCTCCCCACATCAAGCAGAATGTCAACACCACGAACAACTCTACTTTGGGAACTATGCTACCTAATATTTCTGCCCTGGATGCTGCCTGCCATCCGTTCGACTCGCAGTCAAGATACCTCTACCCAACTTTCAGGCCACAGGTGCCTCAAATCTCCCAGGTTCCGGTTTCTCAGGTCTCTCAAGTTTCTCACGGCCCTCAGGTTGCCCAACTACCATCGTTGTCGCTTCCAACGCAATCTTTTGCACCAGCGAGAGGTGAGAAGGAAGGAGACGAGGGTCCTCTGCAGTGTAAGTGGAAAGGGTGCACCAAATTCTGTGAAGATGCGAAGACCCTTTACCAGCACGTTTGCGACTTCCATGTGGGCAGGAAGTCGAACAAGAATCTGGAGCTCAGCTGCCAATGGGACGGTTGTCGCGTGGTCACTGTCAAGCGTGACCATATCACATCCCACGTCAGAGTGCACATTCCTTTGAAGCCTTTTGCCTGTAATCTGTGTTCCAAGAAATTCAAGAGGCCCCAGGACCTCAAGAAACACACTAAGACCCACTTTGATGACTCGAAGAAGAATGCTGCCAAGCGCGAGAAGCAATTCAACGACTATTCGAGAACAAACTGGATTTACGGCTATCCTGTCTACGACCACGCTCCTCTCCCTCACCCATACGCTCTTCCTCCACCTCCCGCTTCTCAGCCGATCGAGAACAGAAAGCGCAAGTTTGACCTTTCGTGGAACGTTCCAACCCTCTACGAGGACCTCAAACGCTCGAAATTCCAGCCAGCCTACAACCCGGAAATCGCACACAAGCTGAACGGATTCGACACTAACCTGATGCCAGGCTCCCGTCCTTCTGCTGACTTCTCTCTTCCGCCGCTACATAACTCCAGGTACGGCGGATTCCACACTCAGCAGGATCTGATGGAGGCTTCGTCGTACTTCAGCCACATGTCGAGCTCGATGTCTTACGACCAACTCCATCCAAAACCAGCTGTTGCTGGTAGCGGCCAGCTCTATCCAATGCTGCCTTCCAAGACACCCCACGTCAACATATCTGACTCTGATTACGTGAGACGGCTGAATGTGAGCTCCACACAGAGATCCACAGAGGCAGAGCTTGTTAGTAGGCTTGCTGCCGTTGAGTTATCCGAGTCATCTGACGATGACGACGATCATTCGAGCTACTATGATGGCTCCGACTCCGAGTCTGACTATGAGGACTCTGAGCAATGGACGCAATTCTACAAGCACCGTGAGCTGATCAGCACGATCTCCGCTTACTTGAACGACCTCGTGGAAGAATTGGACAAGCCGCAGACCTCGAGACAATCTCTTTATCCTGCTATTAGTGTTTAGTTTGTAAATTATTTTTTGAATACCCCCTTACACCGGATGTTTTTGATATTAATATTTCTAGTAAATACAAAAAAAGGCAATCCAAAATGCCTTCTGAGACTTCCCAGCCTACGCAGACTACAACACAAACAGAGACCGTTCCTGTGCGAAATATATTGAGGCTTTATCCTGCTGAGGAAAAACAGAAAAAGAAACAGAGAAACAGGGTCAGATGGGAAGAAGGCGTGGTCGATAACGAGTTCATGAATAAGAAGAAGTCTAAAAGTAAGTACATTAATGTTGCTGTATCATGCTAACGAGTCAGTCTGTTGCATTTTCCACCCTAACAACGAGGACGAGTACGAGGTTGAGGAGACTGAATCGGAATCGGAGTCCTCGTCATCCTCTTCGTCATCCTCTGATGAAAGTGATCACGAGGGATCTTCCAAGCCCAACGCTTACGAAAGACAACCGAAATACAAGCGCAAGAAATGCGCCCAGTGCGAACACGAACACCATCATGGATGATCACATGTTCACTTCCAGATTGATCAGAGTTGTGTAAACTTCTCTTGGCATCTTGTACTGGACCATTCCGGCATATATCATACAGTTTCGGGACATTTGTCTAAGCGAGACAAGCTTGTCCTCTTTTGATGCGTTCTGGGCACTGATCTGAGGTAGTTTGAGCACGTTTGAGTCATAACCCTGGCTGAGTTCATAGAAAAGCTGGGCTATGCAACTCATCTCGATCACCAGTAAGTTTGGAACGTTCTTGGTGATGGCCTCGCTGACGGTCTTTAGTTCCTGAGATTTGGCCCGAATCTTCTCCAACTCCATCGTCGCAGAGCATGGGATCACATTGAGTTTCTCGATTTTGAGAAGGATGCCTGCAAAGTCGGGATTCGTGGTGGTGAATTCTCTTCTTATTTCCACCATATCCAGCAATGCGGTACATGTTTCGCGCTGCTTCAAAGACACCTTTTCCAAGATCGACGGTGAAGCAGAATAGATCTGCATGAGTCTTTGCGCAAGTTTCACGATGTTAGTCTCGCCTTGGATTAGCTCCTGCCCCAATATGTCGTCAATAGGGGTCTTGAGATCGATGGATATGAGGAACTCTGCCAGCACCCTGTTCACTAGATCGATAACCATGTCATACTCCTCGCTCAATTGATACAGCAGAATGCAGTCGAACGGTCTGCCTTCTTCGTCTGCCTTCACTGCTGCCTGTTCCGCGATGTTGTGCAGATAACTCTCTTTGTCGTCTAAGTAAAGTAATTTCTTGCGCTGTTCGATAATGCCTGGCGACCTTGTACCATCCTTGTCTATTTTACCAAGGAGAATTACAAACTCCCTGGTCTCGAGCACCAACTCTCTGATGGCGTTTCTGCCAAGTGTGATTTGTGCTTCTTTCAAAGATGGCTTCAGTCCTTCACAAAGACAGATGCAGAACAGATATTCCGCTGCCACCCTTGGATCAGAAAACTTGAAGCTGCTGGTGAAATATCCTATCAAACGAGCGTAAGAAATCGAGCTGAATCCTCTGTTGTCGACAGTCAACATTTTATCCTCTTCTTCTATCTTATCCTCTGGCACCCTCAAAAGTCCGTAGTATGCCAGAGTGATAGCCAGGTGAACGGCATCAATCTCACTCTTCTCGAACAAGTACTTGACAGCAACTTCGTATAGGCCTGTGAGAACCAGGGCGTGCAAATACATTGGGTTATTTGCCGAAGCATTGAACGAATCCGCTCCATATTGGAGAACGGATTTTTGGAAATCGTTCAGGGTATAGAACTCGCGAACTAGCTCATCCTCATCGAATTCGTCCTCCTGGATTAAAGACAGATGGAACCACAACCAGTCTTCAATGCTAAGGGTGATAGATGGCAGATTTTTCTTGCTCAAGTCACATCTTCCAATAAGCTTGTAAACGGCGTATTTGAAAGGATCAATCTCTTTGTTGAAATGTTTAAAGTATTGGTTAAACTCGTTTAGAATTCTTCCCTGCAGTTCACGAGAAAGTTTCCTATCTGGACTCTGACAGTAGTTTTTCAGGTACATTGGGAAAGAGCGCTCTAATTTTTGGAAAGAATCGGTTGACTGGGTAACCAGCTGGACAGCTTCGTCTAGACAACCTGCCCTCAAAAGGTAGAATAGCGTGGCCCAGATCGGGTTTCCGTTGACAAAGTATAGATTTGGTACCTTCCATTCTTTGTTTTTCCCCTTGAGAGTCAGCTCCAAGAAGTTCTGGACCTTTGTGACATTGGACACAACTGTATCTTGAGCAGCGGCATCTGACTTGAAATATAGCTCGTTGATGTAGTCCAAAAATTGGGCCTCCAAATAATTCCTGCTGTGTGTCACGATCCTCTTGCGCAAGGACAGCGACTCAAACGCAGTCAGCGAATCGGAGCAGTGGCCTTTGGCGAATCTTCTCTCGAAAATCTGACCGGATTTCGCCTCCTCTGTCTCGCAAAAGTCTCTCAGAACTAGCCATGTTTCGTGAAGCTGCTTGGACTTGGGACTCACTTCTTGTTTGGAGAGATCTGCAAAAACAGTAGCCAATGGATACGACTGACCTTGCTGTCTTGCGTCGTTGAGCTCATAGATAACTTGGGCGTATAGTTCAAACTTCTGTCTGAGACCGTACGAAAGGTTTGGATTCGAGGCCTTGGGTTCTGGGATCTTCACGTCTGTGAATTCCAGTTTCGAGGACAAAATGTGTTTGTGTTTGGTGCTGTTCCATATAAGTTGTTTTTCCAGGCTGGCGTCAGCTGTCTTGGCCTTCTTCTCGGGCGAAGACGATAGCTCGGAGCTAGGCTCGGTTCTCTTCAACAAAGTGGAAAGAGAATTTTGGAGCTCTTTCTTCCTCTGTGCCCAATCGATGGTGATGTTCTTGCTGACGTACGCGTCAAAGTCGCGAGCAGCTGCAGACAGTGATTGTTCAATGGCTGTCAAAATATTCTCGTCTTTACGACTGTTGATGTAACTGTCTATGTCGCCCATGTTGACAACGTTTGCCACGTGAGACGGGTCTAGCTGGCGCAAGTCAATTGAATCGAGCTCGCTTTGTATTTCTTCTATTGTGAAACCGCTTCCCACAAGTAGATAGTGCGCTTTTGTATAAGGGTTCACATCCTTGTCGCTTTTGTTGTATTTGCGCAGTTCGTAAGCTTTCCGTTTGATTTCATTGAGTCCCAAATGGATTGTTCCAACGTCATTTAGTCGCTTGGGCAAACTACGCGAGGCCTCCAGCAACTCTTTCAAAGAGGTCGACGGTTTTGTCTCATTGGCCGGCTTCGCTCCTGGCAAAGTACTCTGGGCCATCTCAAACAAGCTATATAAACAATACGAAAAAAAATATGCCGAAAAGTATTTTCGTCTATATGGAAATATTTGCGTCGATCGTCCCGGTTTGAATTACAGCTCCGGCTGCACCCAGCCGGGGTTTCTGTATTGGTCTTGCGACTTGGCAGACTTGAAATGCTCTCTGATGGACCCGTCTGGATCAAACTCCTCCAAAAGTTCAGCCTTTGTTTTGCGCTCGTCCACAGGGAAAATCTTGGTGTAGATTAGCTTGTCCTCCGGGACTTTCCTGTACTTGGACAATCTAGGAGCATCGGGGTCCTTAGGCATCAATCGTGGATATATGTATTTGAAGATCGGCTCCCTGACAACCACTTCAACTCCCTCTGGAACCCAGATCTCAAAAAGCTCCTGGAAATCTGGATTTCCTGTTGGAGCAATGGTCAAAAAGCCAATATCACGGAAAACCAGATCGATAGTGCCATAAAATATGGGGATCACGTGGCGCACGAGATGCTGAACTGCCAGCTTGTTAACTGCAAAATTGGACGCGACGGCATTTTCTCGGTTCAGACTGGTGCGAATGGCTTTTTCGATGGAATGTTGATTGAATTGCTTGCCTGACATGCCGGGGAAAACCCTCAAAGCACAGTCGCTAGGCGGCCGCAGATAGAAGTAGCCTCCGATGCTGAACACCTTGTCTCCTGAAAAGTACTTTGAGGTCTTCACGCTCAGTGATTGCAACCGATGGTCTTTTGGCTCTTGGGTAGGCGGGTTTTTTATGGTAGGCAGCGCAGGAATGTGTTCAGAAAGCATGTATTTGAAGATTCCTTCTTGGGGAGGAGCGAATCCAGCGGTGTCTATTAGGGTTGTATCTCTCTTCTGCAGAGTGTACTTCATGAAGTCTCTGGTGAATCCGGGCCAGTTGCTGACTCCAGGAGTTGACATGATTTCTTCTCTCTTCACGTACTCGTGGTATCTGCACAGACTTTCAATCAGCAGACTTTTGCCCGAGTTTGTTTCTCCAATGAAATACAAATTGCCCTGCGGTAGCCAGGAGTAGAGATCGCGCACTCCCCATCTGTTTCTCGCCGTCACACAGCGGACCTTGGTTGGGTCTGCTCCTATCAGACGTTGCAGCACTTGGGCAAAGTATCGGGTTCCTTCGGCGTTGATGTACTGGTCCCTACTAAAGAACAGGTCCATCTTGCTGATGACGTAGTGGATCTTGCTCGGATCTCTGTTTTGCAGGACTTTTGCGCTTGCACCCAGAGGAAAGTCAAGTGCGGAAATGACATGTACTATTTTGGCGTTTGAGGGGATCTCGCTCATTGATTCCTCGACAGAGACCGTCACGTGCTCATCAGGGTTGTACGCGTTGTGGTGAAAGGCGTCGTAGCACCGCAGACACATGGCGTTTTGACCTGCTTTTTTAGCACGCAGTTCGGACGATTTGACCGGCAAGTTCCCCATCATTGAGCGGAACTCCTCAACAATCGCCTGTTCTCTCTCCTGTGAAATGCTGTGGTTTCGGACCCGAGGTTTCTCTTTCTCATTGTTCTCAAACGAGTATTTGGTGTAACCTGGCTTGCCTGGGTCGGAGTTCTGGAGTTTATAGCCACAGGAGGAGCATTTTGCTTTGAGAGGAATTGACGAGACCAGCCGGATCGCTGTTCTGGGCCGCACAGTTTCGACAACCTGGTGTCTTGCGCAGCTGTACAGCAACCGCCACATTTTGCAGTCTGCGGATTATATATGGGAATTATTTTTTTTCATATTTTTCATCCTCACTGTGTTTTTTTCGTAAATGTGACAGAGTCCACCACTTTGCGCACTTCTTTTTTCTTCCGCTCGCGCTGTTTTGCCTCGTCCACGCGTCGTAGATAGCCCCCGAAAACCACCACTTCGGCCACCAGCACCAGAATGGCGGCAAACAGAGCCAACAGCACTCTTGTAGCGTCATTAAACAGATTGACAGAGCCTGTCCAGTACCACACAGCATAGGCCACAGAAACCACGCTGATCAGCACGTTGACGATCGTCGTCACCTGGTGTTTGACCTCCTTGGCCTCCTGGAGCACAGACGGGCGTCCGAGCTGCCCTGGAAGCGAGCCCACTAGTTTCTGGTACTCCAATTCCTCCTGTCGTGCCTTGAGCTCCTCCATCTGCCTGAGAAATTCGGGCGATTTGGGTGTGCGCGGCGGAGTATCAAAGTACGGCGAGAGATCTTTGATCAGGACGAGATCGGTACTGCTTATGAGACTAACAAGGTCGTTGTGGGAGATCCATCCTCTTTCTTTGAACTGGGGGAATTTAGACGGTGCTGTTTGGCGCAATGCTTTTTCTATGGACGGGCTTATTTTATATTTCATAGTAACGAATTGTGTGTAATATTCTGTGTTAATAATTTATATTTAATTCAATAGGGGAATACACCAACACAAACTCCCGTCTAACGATTTTGATTCCGCTGCGAGCATTGTGACCATCCAATCAACAGGACGTACAAGCACCCTTTTATCTTAGCCAAACAGGAACCGTGACAATACCATGCCCAAGCTCGAAGAATGGGAGATTAAAAAGTACTGGCAGATCTTCAGCGGTCTCAAGCCGGTCAACAACAAACTGAGCGGCGACAAGGTGTCTGTTGTGTTCAAGAACTCGCGCCTTGACCAGACACAGCTTGAAAAAGTGTGGGACCTGTCGGACATCGACGTGGACGGCCAGCTGGACTTTGAAGAGTTCTGCATAGCCATGCGGCTCATCTTTGACCTCGTCAACGGCAACACGTCGGAGCTGCCCAAATCCTTGCCCGACTGGCTTATTCCCGGCTCGAAACAGCATCTGGTGCAGGCCAACAGGGCCGTGGCGGGAAACAGCACCGGTTTCGACAGCGACACCGATGAGGAGCTCATGCTGAGCTCAGACTTCGACTGGTACATCTCGCCATCCGATAAGGCCCGGTACGAGGACATCTACGCGTCATCTGCAGACAGGTTTGGAAGAATTACGTTCCAGTCGCTGTCGGAGCTGTACAAGACGCTCAACGGCGTTCCGGAAACAGATATCTCGTTTGCGTGGAACCTGGTGAACCCCAAGCAGTCGGAGACGATCGACAAGGACCAGTGTCTGGTGTTTCTGCACATTTTGAGCCAGAGATCGAGCGGCAAGAGAGTGCCAAAGTCTGTGCCTCCGTCGCTGAGAGCCACGTTCAACAGAGAGACACCGAGCTACGACGTGAACGATTACCAGGCAGAGGAGCCGCGAAAGCCTAGCAGCACAAAACAGGCTTTTGGAGAGAGCTATTTGAGCAAGATCACTGGCTCTTCCAGGATCGCCAACAACAAGACAGATTTCAGCGCAACAGACGGAACCGACTGGGAAGAGGTGAAGCTGAGACGCGAGCTAAAGGAGCTGGAAGAGCTGATCCAAAAGGCCGAGGACGCCAAGAACAACAAGGGATTCGACGACAAGCTGAGTCTGGCCAAATACGAGTTTGAAAATCTACTCAAGTACAAGGAGCAGCAGGTGGCCGAGCTGGGAACGGGCAGCGACCTGCACTCGATCCGGGCCAACATTGAGGTTGTGCAGAGCCAGGTGAGCCAGCTGGAGTCGTTTTTGGAGCAGAAACGGACCGAGCTGGGCGGGCTGCAGCGGGAGATCGAGGCCCTGAGATGAAATGTGGACGCTTCAATAAATATGTAGATGAGAATAAATAGGGACCGTTTAGCCATCGGCTATTTCTTGACTTCCTCGTCGGGCTCCGGCTCCGGGAGCCGGAAACTCTCTGGCGTATCGTCCTCGCCGGCGCCGACCTGCTCCCAAACCGACGAGCCCACAGTGAAGTTTCTCCAGGCCTGGGTGAGCTCCAGCGGCTCGTACACCACGCGTCGTTTCTCGGAGTCGTACCTGACCTCCGTGTACCCCGTTGTAGGGAAATCCTTGCGCAACGGATGGCCCTCGAAGCCGTAGTCGGTCATGATCCGGCGCAGATCCGGGTGGTTCTCGAAGAACACGCCAAACAGGTCGTACGTCTCTCTTTCGAGCCAGTTGGCTCCCTCGTACAACGGCACCAGGCTCGGGATCGGCGTCATCTCCGACGCATACGTCTTGATGCGGATCCGCGAGTTAAACCGCACAGACAGCAGGTCGTACACCACGTCAAACCGATTCTTGCGCGACGGATAATCTGCCGCAGTGATGTTCATGCACGCGGTGAACTGGCTCGAGGTGTGGTTTTTGAGAAAAGTGGCCACAGGCACCAGTCCAGACGGAGCACAGTACACAATGAGCTCGTCTTTCCAGACCGAGTACTGCTGGATGAACTTCGGCATGCACGCCATGATGTATCTGCCGAACTCGTGGAGCTGCTCACCCTGCTCTCGGTACTTTTCCTTCGGGTCGTACACCGGCCGGAACAGCTCTTTGGACTCTGGTCTGGGCAGATCCCTCGGGTTGGGCATATCCTCAATGGACTTGGTCTTGGCCACTTTGACGAGCAAGGACGGCCGTGAACAGCTGAACGCTCTTGCAGACGGCCTGACGAGCGGCCTAAAGCGCGTGCACTTGGTAAACATGCCAGATAAAACCAGAGGTAAAAGTGGGGAAAGAAAATAATCAACGGCATTTATCTTATCTTGTATAGAACGTACATCCGTGCACCAGCTGTCTGGCTCACTGCGCGTCGGGCGCGTCCTGTTTGTCGCGCGACGGGCTGTCGTACAGCCGCGCGGACTTCCTGTAGGTGGAGGAGTAGTTTCTGCTGAAGCGAATGCTCTTGCTGTAGGGACTGCGCGGGGTTCGCGAGCCCCGCGACGTCCGCGGAGACGGTTTCGCCAGCGGGATGGACGGGTCGCCGTTGTTGACGAGCGGCGTGTTGAGCTTGGACGGTCTTTTCTTGACCTTGCTGGACGGGCGGAGGATCTCGAACCTGAAGAGGCCCTCGAACTCGTCGCCCGGCGGGTTCTGGCCGGAAACCATGGGCGAGCCCAGCGGAGACGAGATTTCTTGCAGATTCGACGAGTAGTCGCTCGCAGACTTGTTGCCCAGCTGCATCGGGACGGCCATGTTGAGCCGCGCAGAGTTGCGGAACGACGAGACCGAGAAGTTGGCCGGGCTCGAGGCCGCGTCGCCCATGAGCGTCTTGAACGAGGCCGTGGACGGGAACTGCATGTTCTGGTCGATCTGCGGCGAGTCCAGGGCCAGCCCCCAGTTGCTCTGGCCCATCGACGTGGCCGTCGTGGAGCGCGTGTCGACCGAGCCGTTGTACTGGTGGCCGTACGCGCCCGACAGGTCCATGTTCTCCTTGGTGAAGAAGGAGTCGAGGTTCTCGAGGGTGGCCAGCATGTGGCTGAGCGAGTTCTGGTCCTGCGCAGACTCGTCGTCCTGCAGACTGCTCTGCTGGCGCGTGAGCAGCGACTGCTCGCGCTGGTCGGGCCACGCGGGACTGTAGTGGACGTAGTCGTCTCTGTTGAACTCGGGCTCGACCAGCGGCTCGGGCTGCTCGTCGCCCTCCTTGGACGTGGAAACGACGCAGGTCGAGAACACCGAGTGGATGTTGTTTCTGGTGCGCGCGGTGCTGACGGCCGGGATCGGCACGGACCAGCCGCTTTCGTCGGGGATGCCGAACAGCGTGGCCACCTTTTCGTACTCGCGGCGCATGCTGGCGTCGCCCGAGCTCATCATCAGATAGTGCTTGTCGAACGGCGACGCCGAGATGCTGTTGGCCTCGTCCAGCACCTCGAGCGCGAGGTCCACGTAGTCGGTCATCAGCAGCCGCAGCAGCGGCGACACAAGGTCGGCTCCGAGCCCGACGAACTTGGGGTCGGTGAGGTCGACGGCCTTGAACACGTGCTTGAGGAAGTCGAGCATCTCGAGCTTGATCCACGCGGTGTTGTTGAACAGCAGGCCCAGCAGGAACACCAGCGTCTGCGCCGAGTACTCGGGGAAGAAGTAGCGTTTGATCACGCTGACGACCTGGCTCATGAAGTCCTCCTTGTTGCGGAATTTCTTCTTGATGAGCGAGTGGAGGATCCGGCTCAGCGCGCCCATGCCGGCGCCGTCCGCCATCGCACACAGCACGTTTGCCGCGTCGACCACGTCGTCGCCGAACCGCTTGGTGGTCTGCGCGTGCAGGAACCGCGGGACGTTGGCCAGCAGCGCCAGCAGGATGCGGTACTGGCCCGAGCCAAGAATGGCGCTGTCCTTGAGCAGGTTGAGCCGGTCCAGCAGCCGGATCGTCGGCTCGTACGCGTTCGCCGACCGCAGCCCCATCATGACCAGCGGCTGCAGGCCCTCGAAACGGCCCTCCCAGTTGGGCGGGAACGTGGCGATCAGACACTCGACGGTCTCGTCGGAGTCGAGGTCGATCTTGGAGATGAACTTGGACAGCGTCGAGAGCACCTCGATGAACTCGTTTTCGTGGACGGTGTTGAGACACGCCACGACGGACCAGAACAGCTGCGGGAAGTCGATCAGCTGCTCGCTGTACAGCTCTGCGGTGATGGCGTTGAGCGTCATGAGAATCTGCATCGAGAAGCTCTGGATGCCCGGGTTCTCGTCCGAGACGGTGTTGGCCAGACACAGCAGCATGTCGCGCAGCATGCCGAGGTCGAGGAACGAGATCAGACACCGGAAGATCTGGAACGAGCGCGCGGCAATGTGCATCACCTTGCACGACGTGGCCCACGCCAGCGCGGTGCGGCTCCAGTCCTGCTGGATGCCCGGGTAGTCCTTCTCGAACACGTGCATCACGTTGCGCACGAGCGCGTCCATGTTCTCCGGGATGCGGCTGCCGTTCTTGTCGCCGCCCAGGTCGCCGTGCGTCCAGAACGTCTTCTGGCGGTCGTAGCTGCGCAGCGAGTCGATGATGCGCTTGCACTGGCCCGCCTCGTCGTCGCCGTACTGGTGCAGCAGGTGGATCAGCATTGCGCACGCCTGGTCCTGGACGATCGCGAGCTGGTCGTCGAGCAGCACAAACGCAAGATGCAGCAGCAGCGACAGGTTCGCCTTGACGTTCTCGCTGGGCGTGAGCAGCAGGTCCGACAGGAAAATCACCGACAGCTCGCACAGCGAGAAAGACGGCGTGGTGACGCCCTTGGTGGTCTGTGCGATCTTCGCGAGCTGCGCCACGTACGGCAGCCCGTGCGTGATCTGGCTCTCGTCCTCGAACGTGGCCGTGTCGTCGGCGTTGAGCTTCTCGACGGGAATCATTGACCGCGGCTCCAGGTTCGAGATCAGCGTGTCCACGAGGTTCACGCCCGCCGGGATCGTGGCCAGACTCGAGATCACCTGGCGCGAACACTCCCAGAAGACCGTGTTCTTCATTTCCAGCGAGTGCTCCACGATAAACCGGTAGATCTCGTCCACGTTCGACTTGTTGGTGCCGTTCGCCAGTGCCACCCACAACGCCTCCACCTCGTTCTGCATCTTGTGCGCAAACTTGACTGTGATCTCAAAGAAGTTGTACAGCACCATCAGCGAGTTGTGTCTGTTGGGATGCTCCGGTCCAAGCGTCAGCTCCACGGTCTGCACCCACGGAAGCAGCACCGCGAGAATGTCGCGTCGCGGACTCGACCCGACTATGTGGAACAGCATCGTCAGCTCCGAAATCATCATGTACTTGTCCTCTGGATGCGCCGTTGCAAAATGCGTCGACAGCTGGAAAAGCGTGCGTTTGTAAATCACCCTGGACCGACAGCATATGCCGTCAATAAAGGCCACGCTCTTGTTGGTCTCGTAAAACTTCATCTCGGTGTGCTCCAGCAGGCTTGCCGCGGCCGTGCGCACGCTGATGTTGTCCGAGCCACACGCAAAAAGCCCCAGCGCCAGCGGCCGGTGCACCTTGTCTCTGAACTTGGCACCCTTGACAAACGCCTCGCTCAGCGTCACAAAGTAGTTGTCCAGCGCCGGGTCGTGCGTGTAGCACTTGTTGATCACCTGGTCGAGGATCTCGTCCGAGGCCGTGCTCACCACGAGGATCTGCAGCAGCGCCCGCCGCGCCATCTCGATGATCTTGTCCGTGTACGTGTTGAACAGCGAGTCGATCCAGTCCAGCACTTTGGGGACGTTGAACGAGTCGTCGTCCGTGGCTATGGGGCTGGAACACAGGTTTGCCATGCAGCTGATCGCGCTGTACTGGAGCTGTCTTTTCTGCAGCTCCAACGACGCCTGCAACGTCACCGCGTCGGCCCGCCCAGAAATCTGCTCCGTCATCCGCCGGTACCGCTCGTTGAACAGACTCGTGTCCTTGCCGTAGCCGCACCACTCGTCCATGAACTCAAACGACTCTCTGCGGAACTTGAACGGCAGCCATTTGTCCACCTGGCCGAGTTTCAGACACTCTGAGTGGAAAGTCTCCAATAGACCGCAGAAATATTTGCGCAGCCGGTGCAGCTCGAAGTTGGTCTGCGACTCGGGCCGCGACAGAAACGCCTTGTTGTTCTGCAGAATAAACCGCAGTTTCCGTGACACTGTGTCGTCCAGGAACGGGACGCCGATCTTGTAGAACTTGGCTATCACCTTGTTGAGCACGCCGGTAATCTCGACGCGTAGTCGCAGATCGGCCTCCGCCGGTTGCTGCTCGCGCGCCCAGCCTTCGAGGATGCCCTCGATGCTTTCGAGAAAACTGTTGAAAATGTTAACATTCAGACAGCTGAGCCCCTCCACCAACGCCTCCTTCAGCTTGGTGTTGGTAGCCGTGAGCAATGGCACGGTCATCTTGAAGATCGACTTTGCGCTCGTGATTTTCTGGTGCTGCACCGTGAACAGCTGCTGCGAACGCTTGCGCATGTGCGACTTCGTCAGCGGCGCGTAGATGGACGACGACGTCGATGTGGCCGCTGCCACCGCCGGGATGTGCAGCCGCTGCTCGCTCGTGGACGTGAGCGACGAGCACGCGATTTTTAGGCACAGCATGTAGTCCCAGATGAGCGAGCTCACGTTTTTCGAGTTCGGGTCGAGGCTGATCGACACCAGCTGGTCGTACAGCTGAACAAGCCGGATACAGCTGTGCGAGCGCGCTATGGCGATCTGGATCGGACACCGTCTCACAAGCGAGTCGAGGATCTCCTCGAACACCTTGAACCACAGCGCCGCGTCGACGCCGTGGTTGCTCTCGGCCAGCCGAATAATAGTGTCCTTGCGCTGCTTGTGCTGCAGCCGGGCGAGCCGTTTCGACTCGGCCTCGCTCAGGATTGGTTTTTTGGGGCCAATAAACTCGAAGAAATCCAGCGACTCCAGCACGTGGATCACCCGCGTGCCGAACTCGGCCGCAAACTTCGACGGCATCCGGTTGTGCGCTTTTTTGCGGTCTTCTTCTGGGTCCTTGGCGCTGCCCGTGTCGCTCGTCAGGTCGTAGATCACCTCGTCGAACTGCGCGATAATACGCAAGATCTGCGACCCCAGGAACCGCACACGGAAGTCATGGCTGAACAGGAAGAACAGCCCGTTGCCCTCGACCTCGTCGATGATCGTGACGATCGTCTTGAGCTCCAGGTCCTCGAACGGCTTCGTCTCCTGGATCTCCTCCTGTACAAAGCCGTGGTTGACGTTGTACATCTCGTTTGGCGTCTCCAGCGAGCCCTTGTGCGTCTCGGCCAGGAACTCGAGCCAGCATTGTAGTAGATCCACGTAAACCTCCAGCAGCTTGACGTACTCCGTGGACGAGACGTACTCGTGGTTCAGCAGACTGGCGGCCTTTTCGTCGAGATAGAACGCTGTGCGCGCGAAAACGGTCATGATCACGTTCGGGTTCTTCTTGGTCATGAGGATCTTGAGCATGTCGGTCGAAAAAGCGCTCACGTTCTCGTCCTCGTGGATCGTGTTCTTCACCAGAAGCTCGATCACGCGACGGTACTGCGACGAGTTGCTGCTCAGACACCACGACACCACGGAAATCACCGTCGAGAACAGCTCCAGGTTTTTCGCCTGATGCCCGTCCTGGTGGAAATAGAACTGCGAGATCTTGAGCGGCAGCGTCGGCGTGCCGCTTGTCGAGCTCGCCGACGACCCGCTGCCGGCCCCCACGTTGGCTATGTTGCCGTCCAACGTCTTGCACCCGACCTGCTGGTCCAGCAGAAACAGCAGACTGATGAACAGACTGGACACCTCTTCGTGGACGGCCGAGTTGGACGAGTGGGCGGCGAATATCTCCTTGTTGTCGTTGTTGCAGAATTCCATTGGGTCCAGCGACGAGTGGATCACATAATCGGTCGGAAACGGCGGTCTTTCCTTCGACTTGTAGTCGGATAGTATACAGGCGTAGGTGCGGATGCAGAGAATGACTTTTTCGTGCGAGATGCTCTCGAGACTGGCCCCGTTGAACGAGGACTTGAGGATTGGAAGGATGATGTTTTCCAGCGTGAAGTTGAGCTGCGAGTACGCCATAGCACGCAGGGTCTGAACGGTGGCCTGGATCAGAAGCGAATCGTGCGTGATCCACTGCTGTTTCTTGTTCTGCTGGCCCTGGAACAGCAGGTTGGCGATCGATTCCAGATTTCTCGTCTTGGCGTTCAGCGTGTCCGAGTACCGGTACAGATACGCCCAGATGAGCCGGGCAAGACACGTCGTGATGACGACCTTTTCCTCGGTTGGCAGCTTCGGCTTGAGCCGTCGGATGTACATGTCGACAATCTTGAGCCACTCTCTGTCGAAAAGCGTCTTGGGGGCAACAGAGACCGCCGTGGCCACCAGAGTGGCGGCGTATTTCCATAGCTTGGGCGGTTTCGCCGTCGCAATGAGCACAGACTTGCTGAAGATCATCGTCACGGCGTCCACCCACGTAGGGTGGTTCACCTCTGCGGTCAGCGTCTCTGCGAGCGACAGAAGCAGCTGGTTGATCACGTCGCAGTAGGAGTTGAGCAGGTTGTCGTTCTCGCATCGGTAGAAAAACTTGGCAAGGCTCTTCATGAAATCCGCGCCCTCCTCAAACCGTTCGAGCGACGAGTTCGAAAACTGCAGGTATCGCATCCCGTGGATCAAGAGGTTCAGTCTCGACTCGCTCGCGTCGCCGCCGTCGGTGAAACCTTTCGGGAACTTTTCGAGGTCGGCGATAAACCGGTCGCTGACTGTCAAAAACGACTTCTCCGACATCTGGCCTATCAGACCCGCGAGCAGGTTCCAGTTGGACGAGTGAATAATGCTCTGGCTCACCAGATACGGATCGATGTTGCGCAAGTAGTTGTACATGATCTCCTCGAGCCCTGTTTCCTCGATCAGCGTCTGCGTGGGCGTCTGGCGCACCACCTCGATCAGCACCCGCCACAGAATGTACGTGCTGATCGTGAACTGTCTGTCTGCCTGTGTGAACGTGATTTCGGACTTTTGCACCTTCTGCTCGAGCTGGCGCAACGTCTCGGCGTCGGAGCTGAGCGCCGGCGAGTCGTGAGTCGACCGCGACGACCGCGAGGCCGACTTTTTGTGTGTCTGCGGCATGGTAGTGTTCCTGTAGCTGTTCCACTGCATCATGTCCTTTTCGAGCATTGCGCGGGCCATCTCGCGCAGCTCGGACTTGCCGCGCCGCCAGTGCATCACCGCGTCCGTCACAGACTTGGGCTTGCGCCGCGCAATGTACCCGAGCGACGTGATCACGCGATCAAACGTCGGATCGACCCCTTCGGACAGAATCTCGATGATGTTGGGCTCCTGATCCAACGGCACGCTGTTCAGACACAGATTCAGCTTCCTCTCGGCCAGTTTCGTGAACTGCCTCACCATGATGTTGAGAGTGTAGTTCGGATACGACTGTTTCTGCTTGGCCGAAATGCTGGCCTGGCGCTGCTCAATGACAGCCGCGGGCTCGGTGCTGTTTTGAGAAACGGGGTCGCCCAGCCGGAAAGACAGCGGCTGCGCGCCGTAGCCGTCGTCGTCGTCCTGCGGCTGAGGGATGTGTATTTCGTGCGGTTGGGGGTTCTGGGTCGAAGGCGCCGCATTGCTGCCGTGTGAAAGCGTGTGCTGCGACGCCTTGCGGGCCGCGGCGGCCGTCTGGAACGTGTCTTCAAGAAGAAGGCCGTTCAAATCGGGGATTTCGATCACGTTGACGGGCTGTTGCGCCCCACCGTGATCTGCTCCCTCCTGCCAGTTGCGTTCAGCCATATTCGCCGGACTATTCAGCGATGTGAGAAATAAACGGGGAATTGTCTCTGCTCAAATATCGTGCTGCGCAATGGTTTGCTCACAAAACAAAACACCAGCAAGACTCGAATGCAACAAAAGGCGAGACACCGATTTTGTTTATGCTTGGAATAATTTTATTTTTTTCGGGCCACACCTCGCACCGGGTCGATCGGCCGAGACGGGGCAGCTGGTACGCAGTGTAGCGTTTCCAGCAGGGGCGGAGACGGGGCCTCATGGAGCCCCCAGGCGAGGCCGTGCGGCGATAAAGCGTCGGTCGCGGCAAAAACCCCGAAAATACGCTTGCGCAAAGATAACCTACTGAGAAAATGCGCTATCGCCCGTGCATCATTGTCCGCTATCGTAAAAAACTTCCTGATTAGTGCTAAAAAAGATAACTCTGCAAATATCCATCATGGCCTTCAACGTGAAACAGTCCGAAAGAGAGCCCGTTGCCGTGCTGGACCCCGCCGGGCTGCCGCACGAGATCCTCAAGTTCGAGGACATCGACATTCCCGTGCGGGACGGAGCTATTCTCAAGGGCCACCTGTGGATTCCCAGGGAAGCCTGGGAGGGTAAGATCCGAGTGGGCACGCTGGTGGAGTACATTCCGTACCGGGCGGACGTGACGATCCAGCGGGACGCGATTCGGCACCCGTACTATGCCGGAAACGGGCTGGCGTCACTGAGAATCGACATGAGAGGCAGCTCGAGCTCGGACGGAGTTTTGACGGACGAGTACTTGAAACTCGAGCAGGACGACGCGTTGGACGCGTTCGACCACATTGTGGCGCAGCCGTGGTCCAACGGCCGGATCGGCATGTTTGGCAAGTCGTGGGGTGGGTTCAACGGGTTGCAGGTGGCAGCACGTAGACACCCTGCGCTGAAGGCTGTGATTTCGCTCATGTCGACCGACGACAGATACGCCGACGACGTGCACTACCGTGGGGGGTGTGTGCTGGCGTCGGACATGCTGTGGTGGGGGTCGACCATGGCGGCGTACGCTCCTCGGCCGCAGGACCCGCGTGTCGTGGGCGCCGGCTGGCGAGAGAACTGGAAACAGAGAATCGAGGTCGTCCCGATGGTCAAGCACTGGCTCGAGCACCAGACCCGCGACGAGTACTGGAAGCACGGCTCCGTCTGCGAGGACTACAGCCAGGTGGACGTCCCGGTTATGCTGGTGGGGGGCTGGCGAGACGGCTACACGTCTCCCGTGTTCCGCATGGTCAAGAACCTGCCGCATCCGGAGTCGTGCGGTCTGGTGGGCCCGTGGGTCCACGAGTACCCGGAAATGGCCAAGCCAGGGCCCAAAATCGGGTACCAGCAGCTGTCGCTCAGGTGGTTCAAGAAATGGTTGCACGACGAGGGCGACCTCCGTCTGCCGCGGCTGACCGCGTACGTGCAGGACCCGTCGGGCATTGAGGACTCGTACGAGTACAGGGCCGGCCGGTGGGTGTCTACGGACTCTGTGGAGCTGTCTGGCGGCCTGGAGTATGCCCTAGCTCCAGATAATAAACTGAGCATTGGGCAGCCAGCAAAAATTAATTACCGTTTCAGCGGGGCGCTCTCGCACGGCCTGTTCCGCGGCAACTTCTGTCCGTTTGGGTATCCCGGCGACTTCCCGGCCGACCAGCGTTACGAGGACGCGAAGTGTCTGTGTTTCGACTCTGCAGAGCTGGCAGAAGCGGTCAACTTGCTGGGCGAGCCAAAAATTGGCCTGACGCTCTCGTCTGACAAAAAGCTCGCCAACGTCAGCGTCCGGCTCGTCGACCTGTACCCTGGCGGCGAGCACGTGCTGCTCTCGTGGGGCCAGCTGAACCTGTCGCACCGAAACAGCCACGAACACCCGGAGTACCTCGAGGAGGGCCGTCTCTACGACGTCGAGATCAAGCTTGACGTTCTGGGCGTGAAGCTCGACAAGGGCCACCGGCTGCGCGTTGCGCTGTCGACGTGCGACTGGCCGCAGGCGTGGCCGTCCGCAGAGACGCCGACGCTCACGCTGCACGCGGGAAAGCTCGTGCTGCCGCTGCTGGACCAGACAACGCTGGTGGCTGCTCCGGATTTGGGGACCCCGTCGATCTGCCGGCCGATTGCGACCACGATCGACGTTCCCGAGGTCCGGAAAAAGACGGTGCAGTTCGACTGCACGACGTTTGAGTGGACGCTCACGGACATCGAGGACGCCGGGCAGGTGACGATCCCGGAGTACGGCAACCTGTCCGGGATCTACCACGGCAGCTGCAACACGAACGTGTGGAAAATCAAGGAAAACAACCCGCTTTCCGCGTACAACAAGTGCGTCTACAGCTACTCGATGGGGAGAAAAGAGGACGGCTGGAACGTGAAGATGGAGACGACCGCTGTTCTGCGGGCGGACGCCGAAAACTTCCACCTGAGCAACAAAATTGTTGCGTGGGAGAACGACGAACTGGTGGCAGAAAAAAAATGGGTGGACGTGATCAAACGGGTTTATAACTAGCTAGCGTAAAAACACCCGTCCGTGGCGAAAAACCCGCGCAGACCGGTGTCGATCCACATCTCCTCGTCGACCTGCATGGCGTCGTGCTTTGCGAGCACAAACCCGCGCGCGTAGAGCCGGCCGTCGCGGGTTTTGAGCTCCACAGAGTTCGCCGGCACGCCCAGCTGGTTCTGGCTCAGCAGGCGGTACTCAAACAGGTTTGTCTTGAGCAGGGGGCCCATTGAGCCGCGGATGTCGGTCTCCTTGACGATCCGCGCATGCAGCACGCTTTTGAGCTTGTTGTATTGTGCCGACGTGAAAACTGAGTCCTGGAGATACACCAGACGCAGCCGGGTCGCATAAAGCTTGCCGAGCGGGTTAAATATGCCGTGCGAGTTGAGGAACTCGGCGCGGTTGAGCAGCAGCGCGCGCAGCAGAGACGGCCGCGCCTCCACAAGGGGCTGCAGCCACGCGCTCGGAGCAGAGACGATGGTCGGCCGGCAGCTGACGAGCGCGTCGATCGGCGCGTCGGCCGCGACGGTGATGTGCTCGACGCCCGTGAGCAGCCCGCACAGGATCTTGACGAGCGCGTTGTTCCTGTTGCCCGGCACGACAAGCAGTCTGTCGCGGTTTGTCCACGCGAACGCCGTCGACAGAGACATCAGCTGCGACGCGACGGCGGAAACAAAGCTGCGCTGGAAATACCGGTATTCTGTGCCGTCGAGCAGCTCGACGTATGGCTCGTTGTTGAACCGGGCGTAGTCTTTGAGGGGGTCGTACGCGTACTCCGCGGTCTCGGGACACTCGGCAAAATACGCCGGGTCGTCCAGATCGACGACGTTGGCTGCAGAGTCGGCCGTCTTTCTGGTGAATAGCACGTCCACGCTCGGGTCTTCTCCCACAACAACGGTCCTGTCGCACACGAAAAAGCAGCAGAAGAGCACCACGAGCGCGTGCAGGTCGTCGAGGCCCGAATTGAGCCCCACGCGCGGGCCCACGCTGTGCTGGTCCATCTGCTGGGCCAGATGCAAAATCATGCCATTTATCTGGCGAGTCGAGCGCCTTGCGCCGCCCACCTCGAGAATCGTGTTTGCCTGCAACGCCTGGTGCCAGATGTCCTTCAGGATGCCGTCCCTGACTTTGTAGCCCGCCTGGATGCGCAGCCCCGTGGTCAACGGCAGGCCGTGCGGCACGTCGACGGAGCGGTACACGGCGGACTCGCCGGGCTTTTTCGTGGGGCTGATCGACGCCTGTTTCTGCAGCGCCACGGGGCCGATGTCGCGCAGGTTGGAGACCAATTGCGGCGCCACAAACGCCAGCGTTATCGCGAGGATCAGAACTAGAAGCATAAAATAGTCTAAAAATAATTTAATTATATATAAAATAAAATACAGGTAAAACCGGAAATATTGAATTTCCTCTGGGAATATTTGGACTCCCCGTCGGAAACATTTGGATAATGCGTCGGTAGAATTTGTATCGTGATTTGAGTCATGTGACGGTATTATTTGGATCCTCGCTCGGGATCTTTTGTATCCCAAATTGTGTTGGAATTGGATTATGTGGGAACAACAATTGGATTTCCACAAAATAGACTTAGACCAGTATTGATGCAAGGTGAAAAGCATTGGGTGCAGGTGTTTAAGTATTGTGTTTTCCCTACCTGCATTGTGCTATTCGACAGAAAGATTTACCCAGCGCTCAAAAACGATTGATCGATAACTGTCTTGTTTATTTGTTTTGGTCAAGAAATGTAATGGAAATGGTCTATAAATGCTGTGGGATTGAATGGCTTTAATCCAGTGATGGACTACCCTAAGGTTCGTTGCAACGACAAAAGGCAAACCGACTCGCCAAACAAAGACACAGAGGCGGTAGCGGTGAGAAAACTCTACTGAAAGAAAGATTGGCATAGGAAGTCGGGGCACTCTAATGCATCCGCTTCATCACCTAGGGTTGGCACTCCACGGAGGACGAGATCGATGACGAAGGCGATCGAGAAAGCTTTGGAGACGTGGCAAAGGGGAGACCCTCAGACACCAGTTAAGGACCCCCAAACACCGGTACACTTCTAGGCGGCTAGTCCAAATCAGTGATAAATCAAGAGCATTACAAGTACAATCTCTTATCATTCATACTGTCTTACCCAATTATATCACAATAATAGTGCATATTTGATCCAAATCAAGTACAAAAGTCAAACAATTCAAAGAGATCAATCAATATCAATACAATCCTGGCACAATTCTATGATCAATTCTAGCTCAGAAAGCAAAGGAAACCTATTTCAAGTACATTATATGCTCAAAAACACGTACCCAGTGCATTTCATTCGCATTTTGTGGGTATTTTTCGTTCAAAAATCATTCAATTCAGGTACAAATCTACCTTGAAGCTTCAAAATAGTATCAAAATCTCAAAGCAGTCACAATTGAGGTACAATACCAACACATTTTGGCTATAATAGGACTTTATTTGTTCGAAATGTGTCTATAAGGTATCCAATTTGCGCTCAAATCTTGCATTCAATGCAATGGGCCTGCAATATATATTCAATGCCACTTGATCATGTCACATTTTGGGTACAATCCAGCCACAATACTATTTGAAGTCTCAATTACAACTCAATTGGTGCATAATTCCAATACAATCTCACTTCAAAGCCTATTATCCTCTATAATGGATATGCATTCCCTGGCCAAATGTGATACAATACCATTCAATTGAGCTCTAATAGATTACAATACTTTACCATTAGTGGTCAAAAACTCCTGCCATGTAGTTGCAATCCCAAGCCTACATGAAACATATAACATACCTAGATATATACTCATCAGATCATGACAATCTGTAAGCCTTGTGATCCATAAGCACCAGAAAAGCCGCTCAATCGTCTCCATTTTGAATTTATTTTGATTAAAGTCTTAATTCTATGTTAATTTGTGTCCATATATTAATCGATAGCTCACAAAGCTGCACAATTTGCATGCAATCTTTTCTATGTAAATCTAATGCATGCCTCACATATGCAATCCAATTACAATGTGGATGCAATGGTATCAGACACCAATCCAATTCCAACACAATTTGGGATACAAAAGATACCGAGCGAGGATCCAAATATTACCGTCACATGACTCAAATCACGGTACAAACTTTACTGACACATTATTCAAATGTTTCCGACGGGGAAATCAAATATTCCCAGAAGATATTCAATATTTCCGGTTTTACCTGTAATTATAGAAAAAAAGATAGACTCATGCGGCTCCGACTATCTGCCCTCGTGGCGTTCCGGCCGCCAAAGGCCTCCGCCACAAGCGTGCTGGTAGTGCTTGGGCTCTGGCTGCTCCTCTTCCACTGGTTCACCAGGATCGACGTCTGGCTCCACTCGCTCATGTGCAGCTTCCCCGGCTCTGACACGGACTACCACGTTCTTCTGGTGGCAGATCCGCAGCTGGTCGACAACCACACGTACCCGGGCCGGCCCTGGCCGCTGCTGAAGCTGTCGCAAGTCACCGCAGACGACTACATGCGGCGGAACTACCGCTCGCTGCTGACTCATCTCCGTCCTGAGGCGGTTTTCTTTCTGGGAGACCTGATGGACAACGGCCGTTCGAGCAGCGACGAGTTCTATGCGCGCGAGCTGGAGCGATTCAAGCGCGTTTTCGCGCCCGGCACCACAGAGACGCTGACTTTGGTGCCGGGAAACCACGACATCGGCTACGGAGACGGCGTCCGGCTGCCGTCGCTGCAGAGGTTCGAGACGTTTTTTGGCAAGCCGAACCAGCGAATCGCGCGCAAGGGCCACGAGCTGATTTTTCTGGACACCATCTCGCTGTCGAACACGCAGGACGAGGCGATTTATGGCGAGGCGCGCCGGTTGCTGGAGGAAATAGGCCGCGAGCCAAAAATGCAACCCCGGATTCTTTTCCACCACGTGCCGCTGTACAGAGACCCGTCCGAGCAGCCGTGCGGGAAATACAGAGAGAGCAGGAAATTCCCCGTCGCAAAGGGCCACCAGTACCAGACGGTGATCGACCCGTCGTTGTCGCTGGAGATTTTGGAGAAGATCCGGCCCGACTATATTTTCAGCGGAGACGACCACGACTACTGCGAGGTGGTGCACAGGTACACGACGGGCGAGGCCGTGGAGGTGACGGTGAAGTCGTTTTCGCTCGCGATGGGCATCAAATACCCCGCCGTGGAGCTGCTGAGCGTCGGCGAGGCCGGCGGAGACGCCGCCGTGGCGTACTCGCTGTGCTACCTCGGACGGCCGTTCCGGGACATTGCCGCGTACGTGGTGGCGGCCGTCGCGAACGGGCTCTGGCTGCTGTGGAGCTTTGCGGACAGACGCAGCGGCGCGAAGCTGGACTTTCCCCGGCTGCTGCGCTACACCGCGGTAGAATTCGCTGCGGTGACGTTCATGTACTGGATAATTAAATAAAATTAGGCTGTTTAGCATAGAGGCATTAAGTAAGCGCGATCTCGTGGCCCGTGGCGCCGTGCTCCGTGGCATGGAACTCGACAAATCGCTCGATGGCGCGCGCCAAGGCGGTCCGTGTCTCAACACCGAGGGTGGAGTCCGGACTCTGCGTCGCGCGCCAGCCGAGAAACTCGTCGTCTCGACACTCTCTGGGCGAGGAAGGAGGCGTGAGCAGACTGGACGGGGCGGCTCTGGTCTTGTCCGCGGCGAGCCGCTTCTCGCAGCCGCGCGTAAACTCACAGAGCCGCTTGTACTCGCTCTCCTTGATATGCAGCTTGTAACGTAGCAGCTCCAGGATCTTTCGCTCGTTAGTCTGTAACTCGTCGACACTCAGCCCTGTGATCTTGCTCCATGTGGTGAGCGTGTAGTTCTGGTCCTGCAGGTACTTTGAGGCCAAAATCAAGCAGGTCAGAAAACATCGTTTGGGACAGGTCACAGAGCTGGGGCCCGGGTATAAATATAGTTGTTGCTGTCTCTGGGCGTACACCTGCAGCAGATAGTACATGGTCACGTGGAGAACAGAGTTGCTGCTGTGCGACCGTTTGAGCACCTCGGCGACGAACCGGTTCAGACTCGCGCTCGTGCGGAAACACTCCTGCAAGATAATGACACATAACAGGCTCAGAGTCGCCAGCACGTCTCGCTCGCCGCAGTCCACCTGTACCCTCAGCTTCCTGGACCTCCGGCTCTCTTCTGGGGTCAGAAGTTGGTCCAATGCCGGACCCCGCATCGCTGAATATTTGTGTTGGAGATGAAAACGTATACTAAAAGGCCACGGTTTTTTTTTCTGTGTTTTTTCCTGCTACGTATTAAAAACGTTTTTTGAATTTTTTGGCACTTCTCCACGATTTCTTCCCAACGAAGAAATGTAAAGTAAAAAAAAAAAAGCATTATTTATTTTAATGCAGGCATTAACAATATAATATTACCTAGCGCATTATCGCTAGCTCACACGATCAGAGTGCTGTGGTCCATCGTGCTGGCCCTAGAGAGCGATGCGTACTTCTCAAAGATGTCGGTCGACTTCTCCAGCTCGGCCTCTGGGTTCTTGGCTCTCTCGTACTCTCTTCTTCTAAAGTACACCCTCTTGATCCACTTCCACAGCTCAGAGCCCAGCAAATACAGCCCAGTGCACCCAAATGCCACGCCCCACTCCCAGGAGATGCCGGAATGCAAAAACACCTCGCTGTTGATCACCGGGATGTAAACAACAGGGAAAACCGCAACGAAGCCGCCCACGATCGACCAGAAAAGGAACTTGTTGTCGTACAGGTCGATCGCCGTCTGCTTCCACCACGAGTGGTCGGTCTCCTTGGTCATGCGGAACAGCGAGTTCAGCGGATGGATGCACTCCCATGCTAAAATTAGGGCGCACCACGTCATGGTTGCAAAAGCGGTCGAACGAGCCCTGTACACCAGGTCGCAGTGCTCGGCGCCGGAGCTCGTCGCATTGCAGTCGATTCCAAGGTACCCGTCGCCGTGTCCCCAGACAACAACGACAAACGCAAACAGACAGCACGCAGCCATCCAGATGCCGTAGACCATCATGTCGGTGAGCACCTGGGTGGTGAAGATGGTGGAGTTTGGCTTTTTTTCCAGCACGTCGGGCGCTGCCTTCTGCACTCCGAGACCGAACGCCGGGAACGAGCTGGTGACCACGAGAATGAACAGAATCTCCACGGGAGACAGCGGGAACACCGAGTAGCCGGAGTCGTCCATGAACGCCAGGCCGATGAGCAGGAAAATGGCCTGTGCGACGTTCTCGGCGAGCAGCTGCAGCACGAACTTCTGGATGTTGGCCGACATTCTGCGGCCTTCCTCAATGGCGTTCAGAATGGAGGCGAAGTTGTCGTCTGTGAGAACAATGTCGGAAGCGTCTTTTGCCACGTCCGACCCGTTCATGCCCATGGCAACGCCCACGTCGGCCTTCTTCAAGGACGGCGAGTCGTTGACTCCGTCTCCGGTCATCGCCACGTACTTGTTGCGGCGGTGCAGCGCCTCGATCATCCGGACCTTTGTCTGCGGAGCACATCTCGCAATCACCAACGGCAGCACAGGCAGCTCGTCGATCTCGCTGTCGCTCAGTTTGTCGAACTCGTGCGCCGTCATGATCATCACCCGGACAACGTCTTCGGCGTAGTGGTGCAAATTGCGCGGAACAATGCCCACGTCCTGGGCAATGGCCTTGGCGGTGCCGGGATGGTCTCCCGTTAGCATTCTGACGTTGATGCCGGCCTGGTGGCACAGCTTGACGGACCTGGACGTTTCGTTTCTTGGCGGATCGTAGATTCCGACCAGACCCTGGAAAATCAGGTCCGACTCGATCAGCTCCCGGTTGTCTGTTTCCAGAGAGATATCCTCGTCGTTGGTGAGGTCCTTGTACGCAAACGCCAGCACCCGCAGGCCCTCTCTGGAGAGCACGTCCATCTGGTTCTCGATCCGCGCAACGTCGTCTTCCGTCAGCGGCCGGAGCTCCTGGCTGTCGCGAAGACTGTCGTACTCCTTGTCGTCGAAAGAGTGCCAGTATTTGCAGCATTGGAGCAGTCTTTCGACCGCTCCTTTGGAGTACACCTTCACCTCGCCGGACTCCTTGTTGCGGTAGATCGCAGACATTCTTTTGATAGAGGAGTCGAACGGGAACTCGTTGATGTGGTCATATTTCGCTGCGAGCTCGTCCTTGGTGTAGCCGGGGATTCTGCTCGTGAACACGCGGATGGCGATCTCCGTGGGGTCGCCGTGCGCCTTCCACTCCGTGTTGCCCGTTTCCGGGTTCTCGAAGCTGTTCACGATGGCGATGTTGGCGAGTCCTGCGGTCAGACAGAAGCTCGCAAAGTTGGCTGGCATCGGCTCGGGCAGCTCCTTTTCCGGCGGAATGTACTCGTCGCTCTCCTTGACGAACTTTGGCGAGTACTTGCTGAAACTGAGCGTGCCCTGGTTCGGATTGTACGGTTCGTTCGACCCTTCCAGAGAGTACGTTCCGACGTTGGGGATCCACACCTTTTTCGCGATCATCCGGCCCTGCGTCAGAGTGCCTGTCTTGTCGGAGCAGATATCGTTGATGCCGCCCAGCGCTTCCAGGGAGTCCAGGTTTCTCACAATCACGTTTCGCGACACCATCACCTGTGCTCCCACGGCCATCGTGATGGTCAACACGACAATCAGCGCGGACGGGATCATCGACAGCGCCACGCAGATGGCGTAGATGGCCACCTCCTTGTTGACGCGGAACTTCTGCGACGCCATCACCACTATCGCGAAAACCACAGCGATCCAGAAAAGCACGATGGCCAGCCACGAGAGCTTGATCTGCAGCGGCGTGCCGCTGGCCACGCCCAGAAAGTTCGCTGCCACGTCCTTGATGGTGCCGAAATACGCCGTCAAATACGCCCTCTTCTTCGGCCTCGAGCCGTCCTTGGCGTTCTTCTCCACCTTGCGGACAAAAGACTTGTCGCCCTGCAGCGACTTGGCGATCTTGCCGATCTCGGTGTTGAGCCCGGTAGCAACCACAACGCCCGTGCCGCGGCCCTTGCTCACCACTGAGGAGCTGTACGCCATGTTGCACCTGTCTCCAAGAGGAACGGGAACAGACTCGTCGGCAAACACCGCGGTGTGGTCCTTGGGGATCGGCAGCGACTCGCCGGTGAGCAGCGCCTCGTCGGTCTCGAGGTTCATCGAGTCGATCAGCCGCAGGTCGGCCGGAATCGTGTCGCCGACCCGGATGTGCACAATGTCGCCCGGAACAACCTCCTCTGTCGGGATCGTGTGGTCGTCGTCGTCTCTGGTCACGTGCGCGGACGGCGAGGAGAGGCTCTTGAGCGAGTTCATGGTTTTCTCGGCCTTCATCTCCTGGATGAACCCGACCGAAATGTTGAGGAGCACGACAAAGCCGATGACTCCTCCGGAGATCCAGTCCCTGATGGCCAGAGCAATGACCATCGAGATTATCAAGACGAGAATCATGGCGTTGAACACCTGGTGCGCCAGTATTTTACCGTAGTTAATCTTTCCAGAATCGCCTAGAGAATTAGGACCGTACTTAGCAAGCATCTCCTTGGCTTTCGCGCTGCTCAGCCCGTTGACGGCGTGCGTTCCGAAATACTTCACCGCGTCTTCTCCGGAAATACGATAGAACGCGACCGAGCTCTCATCGCTGCTGGACTCTCTGGATATTTCTGTGTGTGTCGTAGCAGACACCTTTGTCTGTTGGTTTCTGTCTGTCGGCATGGTAGCTATCTATAACTGTATTTATCTAGTAGCTGAGACCCGGGTTCCAATCTGACAATTTTGAGGCCGTCACATGCGGGGACACCCGGTTTATATAGTAGTGCGCTGTGGAGTCTCTGCCAAGACTGTATTTGCAATCAACTCATATTCGCATTTCTTTTTTTTTAGTTGATAATTTGGGCTTTAAATTAGCTTTTTCGAAATCGTTTGATGGCACGCGAGAAGCGTCCTGTAGGGGCGGCAGGGCGCTGTTCGACACGGCCTTGGAACCCAGCACGCCAGAAAAGTCCCCTCTTTCGTCCCTGGCCCTCCACTGTTGCTGTTTCTGCACGGTTATCTTAAAGGAATGGTACGTCCAATTCTTGCAGAGCCAAGATGAAAAGTGGTCAGGAATATGTACATGGCCGCCAGTGAAACGTGGGTCTAGACAGGAGCGTGACTGGGTTCTGGCGAGCACAAAAAGACAAGCAGCAACCCTGGGCGTTGCGGACAGTTGCTCCGGCACCGTGGATCCCACCCCCTTCTTCTACTCCGACGATACAGGGCTGTGACGTGAAAACGTGGGGTTGGACTAAAGTGGGCATTTAACTGATAATTACGTCAGCCGAGAGACGCATCAGCCACGAATTTCCCAAATCCTGGGTTGTGCATATCCAGCTGCAGAAAGTGGCTGTTTCCGAAAACAGCATCGATAGCTCGGGCCGGACTACTGTGTGGCGCAGCAAGATCTACGTTTGTGCTATTTAGGTCCACTACTGGTGAGTCTGGCTTTGCCGGCTTCACAAACTCCGCGGATCTCCTTGTCTACTGCCCCAGAACAGCCTTCGCAGCCGGCTTGAGATCCTTCAAATCCTCGCCAACAACCGGGTCCTCCTTCAGCTGCTGCACCCATCTGGCAACGGCCGGGTGCTCCTTAACCCACGACTCTTCCCACAGACTGCCGTAGCACACTTTCACCGCCTGGATGGCGTAGATGTCGGCAAGCGTGGCCTCGTCGCCGGCAAGATACTTCGTCTTGTGCAACTGGTCTTCCAGCAGAGACGTGAGCTTGTCGAGACTGGCGACGCCTCGCTCGATTCTCTGCTTGTCGTACGGCAAAACACCAAACGAAGGCAGTGCCCAGTCGCACAGAGCGCTCACGTAGTCGCTGTTGACGAACGACAGCCACTGCCAGACCTTGGCCTCCTCCTGCTTGGTCTTTCCGAACCAGTTGTATTTTCCAGGCACCTGGTCCACGAGGTACTTGAGAATGGCGAGGGTTTCGGTGAGTTTGAAGCCGTCGTTCTGTTTGTACGCAGGACACTTTTTCAGCGGGAAGTTCTCGGCAAAACAGGCAGCAGAAGGGTCCTTGACCTCGATGTCAAGCCCCGTGTACTTGATGAGCTGGGGGAAAAGCGAACTTCTTGGCGAGCCTGGCAAACAGTAAATAACTCCTGACATGGGTGGGGCAAGGTGTAGAATGAATGAGCCGGGTTTTATATCTGCAACCGATTTTTTCTCGCAATTTCGGCATGTACGACTAGGAACAATTTTGGCACTTTCCCGCAGATCCCGGCAACGGGAAGAGCGCTGTGGCCGACCAACAAACACGATCGGCGACACTGGTAGCCTGCGACGGCGTCCGGTGTGTGCGGCCGGCACCGGCGTGTCTGGTGCAGAGGTGTTTTCCACCCGGGTCCGCCGATCGACGCAAAAAAAAAATACCCGTCTCCGCCGCTGTAAACAAGACTCCATGGCGTCGCTGTTCCAACTGGACGACGAGACAAAGCGGCTGCTCACGCTCGACGATTTCCTGCACGGCCTCACGGTGCACGAGTTCGTCGAGTTTCTCGCCGCCAAGCTGTCCTCGCGGACCGGCTACGACGGCGCACAGCCCCTCGATCAGCTGGACCCAAAGCCGTACATCCGCACGTTTGAGGCGTGTGTCAAGGAGCTGAGCAGGCTGGGCGAGGAGTGTCTGGCGAAACAGACAAAATACGAGAAAATCGCCGAGGTCAAGCAGACAGAGCACTTCTCCAATGTGCTGCGACTCGCTCCCAAGGCCAGCAAGCTCAACTCGCAGTTTGCCCAGCTGGACCTGAAGGTGCGGCGGATCAACGCCGACATTCGGCCGCTCGGCGACAAGCTCACCGAGACCAACAGCCTGAAGGAGAACACCGTGACGCTGATTTTCCTGACCAAGTGCTACAACGAGTTCTACACGAAAAGACAGGCCCCGTCAGAGCTGGCCAAGATGCCGCGCGACCGGCGCGCCGTGGCGTTGAACCAGCTGCTCAAGCTGTCGGCAAAGCTCGCCAGCAACGACCTGCCGCCCGCCAAAGCCACACACGCCATGATCCAGGAACACTGCAACAGGTTCGAGATCGAGCTGCTCAACGAGTTCCACGAGATGGACAACTCGAAAAACTTCAGACGGCTCCAGGAGCTGTCGAGCCTGCTTTTCCTGTTCAACGACGGCGAGAACATCAAGCAGTTCTACATCAACAAACACCCGGTCTTCAGCAACTTCCAGTCCTCAGAGCTCAACGTCGAGCCGACGTTCTGGAAAAACATGGGCGACCCGGGCTTTTCGCAGTACCGGCTCGACGGCCTCACGCTGGCGATGCTGCACGAAATCGAGGAGATCCTCACAAAGACCGAGTTCGACACCATCCAGCAGATCTTTCTCGAGCACACCAGGGCCGTGCTGCTGGCGTTTGTGGACCGTTTCTACAAGGAGCTGATCCGCAACCGCGTCCAGCTGCTGCTGCGGGTGGCTTCGTCGTACTCGAGGCTGTGCAGCCTTCGTGTGCTGCACCTGCTGTGCAACCAGGTGAACCAGCTCACCCAGAGACTGAAAAGCTTCCTTGGCGACAAGGGGGTGGACCTGGGCGTCGAGCTGGACAAGTTCCACGCCGCGTTGTTCCACCAGCACGTGGACAAGGACGTCTATTTCAACCTGGAGAAAGAGAACCTCGCGGAGCTGATCGGCTTGTTCACGGCGCGTTTCGAGGCGAAATACGAGAAAGTGGTCAACAAACACCTGCTGGAGAACAAGATCCTGCACTCCAAAGACACCAGCACGTCGGTGCCGCCCGATTACGACCAGGACGTGTTTCTGGACGCTCCGCAGCGCGAAAACTCGACTCGAAGACTGCTCTCGTACAAGCGGTCCAAGAAGTTCACGTCCATCTCTAAGTTCATCAAGAACATGGAGCGCTCGTCCTCGCTCAAGGACCGGTTCACGCGGAGCAAGCTGCGCGGGGGCAGCGACCAGGGCGCGCGAGCGGTGTCGGACTCGTTCGACCAGGACCCCGGCGACGGGTCCGAGGTGTCGCTCGTGATCGCGGAAAAAATCCTCAAGGCGGTGGTGGAGTCGCTCACGCGGGCCATCGAGCTGGTGCCCGGGAGAATCAACGAGTACTCGCTCGAGATGTTCGACATTCTGATCATGAGCTACGGCCAGTCGTATCTGGCGATTGAGCTCGAAAACCTGTACTACAACGGGATTCTGGTGCAGCAGCAGAAACTCGCGTCGTTCTTTGGCTCCAGCGAGATCAACCTCAAGTTTGTGGAGCAGATCGGCCTGGTGTCCGTCCAGGTGTACCTGCTATCGATCGTGGTGAAACGGTTCTTCTACCCGCTGATTCTGTCCACAGAGATCAAAAACAGACTCAGCCTCATGTTCAACTCGTATCTGCAGGACGTCGAGCTCGGTCTCAACATCATCGTGGACGAGCTGCTCGAGCTGATCGAGCGCAACATGAAAAACATCCTCAGCGGCCAGGCCATGGACGATTTCCAGCCGGCGACGCAGCCGACGATCGACAGAACAGAAACCTGCGACAAGATGCTCCGCTTCCTCGACAGAGTGTTCCGCGCGCTGTACGACCATCTGGGCTTCAACCCGACGCTGAAAATGGACACCATCCGCCGCATCCTCGCGAGCCTGCTCACGCTGCTCATCGGCCACTTCACGCGGTTCCGCGTCAACTCAAACGGCTCTCTCGTGCTCACCCAGGACGTGATCCACTACATCTCCGTTTTAGACGCCTACGACGGCCTGGACGACATGAAGCAGCAGTTCAGCATCCTCCGCGAGCTCACAAACCTGTTTTCGTGCCAGCCCGAGCTGCTCAAAGACCTGTGCAACGAGGGCCAGCTGATCTACCTCAAGAAGTCCGTGCTGAAACAATACATCTCGCGGCGGTCGGACTTCGACCCGAAATTTCTACAGGGTGTGTAGCAGCAGCATAAAATTAATCTTCTACCAGTTCCAGCAACTTCGTGCACAGCTTCTGCGACATCTGTCCGCCCTTGCGTCTGGCGAGATCCAGATCCGCCACGTCCAGCGGAACGGTATCGACGCGCGTGATGGCGCCTCTGAAATCCTTGGCCGACGTCTGATATTTGACTATTCGCTCGTCCGACAGATTGTAGTTTGTCACCAGAACGTCCTTCAGCCGCATTAAAACAAACAGCGCCCGTGCCTGCGCACCCAGCACGTCCCAGTCGTCCTCCTCGTCGGTCCGCTCGACAAGCTCGGCCGCCTCTGTGTCGATGATCTGCTCGAGACCCGAAACCAGGAAAAACACGTGGTCCTGCTGCCGGAAATGGACGGCAGCGAGGTTGACGGCCACGTAGCCCACAAACAGCGGGTCTGGGTCCTCGAAATTCGCGAGCGTCTTCACAAGCAGCCGCAGAAACCGCTTTCCGGCCATCTTGCTGCCGTCCAGCACGCTCATCATGCACCGGAAAAGCGTCGTCTCCGACAACAGCTGGCCAGAAAGCCGTCTGCGGTACTCGAACGCCATGCGCAGGCCCTCCATGTAGCCCGACTCGATGAGCGACTCGTACTTCTCGAACAGCTGCTCGTGCATCGCCAGCGCTGTCGACCGGATGGCCGGTGTCTGGGACGCCTCCAGCGCGACGATCGTGGCGATGCACAGCTTCGGGTTGGCAAAGCCAAACCTCACCACGAGCTTGAGAAACGTCACCGCGCGCAGCGAGTGGCCCGATTCGTCGAGGAGGCAATTTTTTAGCACATGGTGCAGGTACCGTTGCACGAGCGAGGAGCATATTCCGTCGTTCACGTACTCGGACGACTCGCCGTGGAACACCTGCACGTCCAGCTTGACCGTCTTGGAGTCCTTGAAGTCCAGCCCGTTGCGCAGCACGGCCTCGCGGTCCTGCAGCTCGAGAAACGTCGCCAGCGTGTTGACGACGATATCCTGGAGATCCGGGTCGTTGCTCTCGAAGACGCGGTCCATGACGCCCAGAATGCGCTCGCTCATGAACCAACGCGGGTGCGTGATGCACACGTTGAGCAGGTTTTTGATCGCCACGCGCTGCGAGCTCGCGTCGAGCGCCTCGTCGCAAAACACCGAAATATGCTTGATAATGAACCCAGACACCGTGTCGGTGGCCTTAAAGCCCAAACTGGCCGCCTGGAACAGCTCTGTGTGCGCGTCGAGCCGGCAGTGGCGTCCCACGTTGCCCAGCAGAAACAACAGCCGGAACACCTTGGGATCTGGCTCGTAGCTGTTTTCTCTGATTTTCGCGAGATACGGCCTCAAAAGAGCCAGCGACGAGATGCACGCCCGGGCCAGCTTCTCTGTGTCTTTTTTCATCAGCGACAGCAGCCACAGACACGGCATGGCCTCCTCGAGCTCGCGCGCGTTGAACTTGGTGAGTCGCGCCAGGAGCGACGTCTGGCACTGGTGGATAAACGTTTTTTTCAGCGACCGTGTCTGGGGCAGCGTGTAGTGGAATATCTGCAGGATGTTGTAGCACAGCGAGCTGCCCGTGGAGCTGTCGTCGGTGATGTACGGCTGGAGCGAGACGAGCTGGTCCTGTGAGAGCAGCGTGCCGTCGCACTTGACAAATATTGCCAGCAATCCGGTCATGTTCTGCACGCGGTCGTGGTTGCAATGCACTTGGCTCGTGACGTGCTCCAGAATTGCCTGGATGACGGCGGCCACTGCATTTCTGAGCTCTGGGCTCGTTGCGAAGTGGTGGACGACTTTTTCGCGCAGAAACCGCTCGAAGTAGTCCCAGTTTTTTTCTGACTTGCCAATCACGCAGACCATAGTCTCTGCCCTGGCGAGCGGGTCCTCGTGCGACAGCAGCAGCAGGTCCTTGACACAGGCGACCGCCAGGTCGATCACGGCGTCCTCCTCGTCGTCCAGTCGCCGCAGCAGCTTCTCGCAGACCGCCGTGCGCACGCTCTGCTCTGTGGAGTGCTCGTACATCACCCTGGCCAGACTGATGGCCTTTTTCCGCACCGCCATGCTGGCGTCGCCGATCCTGTCGCACGCGGGAGCGTAGAAGTCGCCGACAAGCTCGGGATGCGCCGGCACCGTGTTCAGCAGCAGCTCGACGATCGAGTCGCGCACCGACGCATACTGCTCTACGAGCCGCGCCGCCAGCGACTGTTTCACGGTCGGCAGCGTCAGCAGCGACGGCTCGCGCTCAATCAGCAGCGACAGGTTCTTGATGGCTCTGTTTCTGGACTTGGTGCGCGGGTGGTCGAGCGACTTGACGATCAGCCCGAGAAAAGCGTCGTAGTGAGCAAACAGGTTCTGCGACGCGAGAACGGCGAGATAGTCTGCCGGGCGGTCGATCTGGGGGAGCGGCACCTTCTGGTTGATGATCTGGAGCAGCAGGAACTCTGCTCTTTGGCAGCAGGAAAGTAGTTCATCTGAAGCGGACTTTGTAAGAGCGTGGACCTTGGTGAACAGTTTGAATGCAAAAAATGACCGGTATGTTTTGAGCTCGCGCCAGACGGCGAGATACTGCTCGAACAGCGTCTGGAAGTCGGCGACGCTCATGTCGGCGCTGAACCGGGCCGGCTGTTGGCTTCTGCGCAACGCGAGGATTTTTGAGCCAATAAGGCCCATCAGCTCCAGCGCAAACGCCTCGATCTGCGCAGAGTAGTTGTCGGAGCTGAAAACAAACATCAGAGTGTGCAGAAACGACTCCAGCAGCGTCTCGCAGCCGGCATATTCCGGATACTCCGCCATGGCGAGCAAGTCCTCTATGAAATTCTCCAGCACTTTTTTTCCCGTGGTGTCGTAATTGGAGGTGATTTTCGTGACCAGCAACGAGGCGATCTCATTCGAGAGCCGCGCCAGCTCGTCTGCCGACGCTTCGATGTAGCTGTAGATGCTCGAGTTCAGCTCCTGGCGCTTTTTTTCGCTCACTTTCCAGTACGCCTCGTCAAACTCGTAGCACACACTGAACGACTGGATCAGCCGCACCAGAAGCATCGTCACCAGCTGGACGCTGAACCCGCGCGCCAGATGGTACTGGCGGGAGTTTGTCTTGTGCGGCGACAGCTGGTCAAAGCTGTTGACGATCTCGTGGAGCAGAAACACGCGCTGGTCCGGGTTTCTGTTGAATATTTCGTAGATCACGTTTGAGGCTGCTACACGCAGTCTGTCGTAACTGGGGTCTTGTTTTGAGCCGGAAAAACATAGTTTCAGCGTGAAGTACTCCAACTTCGTGACTATGTTGTCCTCCAGACTGTTGTATTTGGCATAGCAGGCCAGCAGGTCCATGATTTTAATGTAGCTCTTCAAAAAATGGTCAGAGCCAGAAACGTCAGAATTTTGCAGAGCATCGCCGCACGCGTACACAAATTCCAGCACAGACGTGAGATAGTTCTCCAAATACAGCTGTTTGTCGCTATGGTTGCTTGTGAAGACCAGCATCACCAATATTGCGCTCTTGGCGGCCTGGCACGCAACGTCCATCTCGTCGCCGTCGAAATTGGCGAACTGGAAGTCCAGCATCGCGGAGCACGTCTCGTTGAGACGAACAAGAAGCTGTGCGTCGATGTCTTTCAGCTGTTTCGAGTACCACAGCCGATTCATGCTGTCCTCCAGAGTCTGCAGCGTCTCCGGGTCTAGATCGAATGGGCCCTGCAAAATGGAAACCAGCTTATCTTTGGCCTCCGTCTGCAATTTGCGCGAGTCCAAATGTACAACGGGCTTCTCTTCGGCCACGGAGAAAGCCTTCTCGTGCGACTGAAGCTGCACGCTGTCAAAATCTGTGGGCGTGCTGTCAATTTTGATTCTCTTGACCTTTAGATCGGGCTTGGTCCACGATCGATTGGAGCTCACAGCAGCCAGAATGTGTCGTTCCAGCGCCCCTGGCGGCTCTGTGTGCTCGGTGGTAGCCTTTGCGGGCAGTTTCATAGCTGGCTTCTTGAAGGTTATCTGTTTTAGCTGGTCGGAAACCTTGAATTCGCGCAGCAGCTCGTCATCAATGTCCTTCTTGCCTGCTGGGGAAACGCGTTTGGCAGGGGCCAAACGGACCTCGAATGGGCCTCCAAAAGGCACGACTGGGGTGTCAGGAGCGTCCACAAGAATACTTACTGTCCTGTTTGGGAAGAATATAGTTGAGTGGCTGGTTCAGCAGCGCCGAAGCCAGATCATGAGGAAGATCCATAAAATATTTATTTTCTTTTCTTTTATTTTATTGTATTTTATTTTATTTTATTTTATTTTATTTTATTTACCTAAATTATTTTATTTTAATATTCATGTCTACGCAAATATTCCTTCCCTCCGAGAAGTTGTGTGCCGACAGCACCAGAGAGCAGGAATGGCTTATTGACGAGGTGATACGGCCGCAATTGCCCAACATCAAGGAAAACCTCTCGTCCTGTATGGCCAAAATCAGTGAAAACAACGACGAGGAGTTCAAGTTCCCGTTGTCGTCACACAACTCTGAGACGCTCAAGGGCGTAATCAGCCGCTCCAATTTCCGAGTCACAGGGCTCAGCGTGTCCATCCGGTCAAAAAACATCGGCCGTGCGCTGCACTTGCGGCTCAAGGACAACTCGACACTGATACTGCGCCAATTACTGGATTGTCACGATCTAATTTACAACGCTATCAACACCATTGGCAAAATACAGACGCTCCAAGAAACACAGCCTGCTGTGCTGCTAAAAATACTGTCAACGCTTCACCGCCAAATCCAGCTCGCCAAGAAATCCCTGCTCTTCCCCACAGAGGCATACATGTTCCCCAGGTACAGGCTGCCGCACCAGCTGTTTGAGCCGGAGCTCCCCGAAAACGTGGCCCTGGACCTGGTCATCAGCAACAGCGACCTCTCGATCGACCTCAAGGTAATCAAGCCGATCACGCATCGGCCGTGGGACCTGATCATCGACGTGCCGAACCGCGTCTCGTTTGCAGACCATGTGCGCGCCAAGATCTCGCAGGACAGAACACGGTCCATCTCCACGATCCTGTGCGAGGAGTACCGCAAGCTGCTGGACTCCAGGCGGAAGAACGGCGCCGAAAATAGCGGGTTCTTAAAATCGGTCTTTGCGGGCAACGCAGAGCCGTCCTGCTCCACGGTGTTGAAGATGTCAAGCAAATACCTCGAAGAAAGCATCACGTACATGGACAACAGCGACAGTCCGGTCGTCGTGACGATCCAGGAGACGTGCGACGTGGTGACGAGCGACCCGATGCTTCTCTCGATCACCATCAAGCTGGATAGTCTGGAGAAAAGCGTGGGCAAGTTGCTGGAGAACCTCAAGCTGATCTCGACGCCAGTTTGAGTTTTTTTGCGCGCAAGGAATTCAGACGGGCAATGTCGTCGCGAGAGCCCGAAACCTTCTGGACCTTGATGGTGGCTCCATGCTGAGATCTGACGCGTTCGAGTTTCTTTTCCAGCGGCGCCATTTGTTTGTGCAGTCGGTCCTGTTTGCGCGCCAAATCGGCCATAATCTCGTGCAGCAGCTCGTGGTCCTTGTTCAGACGGGGCTCGACGAACGCGGAGACGGCCTTGGTGCGTTTCTGGACGGTCGACTCGGGGATCACGTCAAACACGGCCTTTGTGCGCAGAACCGTCTTGAACCGATCGACGTCGTCGGTGACCTGGCGCAGCGGGGCGATCGCGCAATTCAGAAAATTGATGGAGTTTTGCAGCGACGTGATGGACGACTGCAAGTTGTCGGCAACAGACATGGAGAGCAATGCGTTTATCTATTGATTGTTTTTTTTTTTTTCTCTGAACTTTTGTCAGAAAAATCTGGGCTTCCCGGACGCGACGATCGACGCGCATGTGTCTCGGCAAAATTCCACGTCTCTCTGATGGCTCTTTCCCAACATGGTCAAACTATAAGGTTGTGCCGCTACCTTGCTGTTTTCGATACCATGCAGTGCAGCACCGCATATTATCCTGCGCTGAGCTCGGATAAAACAGGTTTCTTTTTACCCCAGGATTTTGCGGGCCGGGAACACGAAACCCTCGATTTTCATTGGGACGCAGCTGCTGTAGAGACTCGTAATTGCGAGGGCCTAGGCAGCACAGCCAGGTTCCCCGCCCTGCTGGCCGAGCATTGGGCTGAGGTTTGCATGAAACGCACAATTTGACAGCTCGCAAAAAGTTGATATTTTTAGTATGGGAATGGCTTCGTCGCGCGTGCGCATGCATGAAATAGTTTGTTTTTCGAGGTTCCGTGCGTCCAGACAAGCCGTGTGGTTTTCACTGGGTAAGCCCAAATAGTTGCTCCCCACTCCTCACTTGCGTGGAACGTTCGGTTCAGGCCATCAATCTGACCCGTATGGACGAGATTTAATGCACGATTCACAAACCAACTACATTAAACGGTTTCTTTTCTACACCCCAGCCAGGCCCCCCGACATATATAAAGTCGGCTTCCTGGCCGAAATCCAATTTCATAGGTACATGGACTCTTCGGACCAGGCTGATACCAGACCACCTCAAACTAACGTTGGCAGACTGCCGTCGGCCCCTAAACACTCGCACGAGCCGTACCAGCCACTGACCATGCCCATGTTGGAGCCGCCCTCCTTGGTGTCAGACTTCGCCTTGTACGGGTCCTCGCCGTACCAGAACTACAACTACGCCAACCCACAGCACGAGCAGCGTCTCAGGAACGCGCCGGCGAGCCCAACATACTACCAGCACCCAACCAAAGTGCACGAGCCGTCTTCAATGCAGAGGAATATACGACGCAGCGCCAGTCTGGGCAACCAGGCACGCGATCTGGGGCGTGAGGAACGCCAGGTGCTGTGCTACGACATGGAAACGAAAACGTACAAAATGGTGAGCCAGGCTGTAGCTGACAGCTCGAACGGTTTGCTGCAACCGGTTGCTGAGAGCCCGACAGAGTACTCGCCGTGTTCCGGGTCAGGCACGCCAGAAAAGGCCAAGCGATCGCGAAGAGGGTGCTTGACGTGTCGACAGCGCAAGAAAAAATGCTGCGAAACAAGGCCAACGTGTTCTGAGTGCTCCAGACTCATGATCCGTTGCAGATGGCCCGTGCCCGGGAGCGAGCGCAAAAACCGGTCGAAAAACAACGCCATCAGCCCTGACGAGATGATCCACGAGGCATATGGGGTGATCAAGATCCTGAGGGGGGTCGTGGACTACAAGGTAGAGGGATGACTCGGTATAGCTTTAATGATTCAACGTACGACCCGGCCAGGCCAAATGTGGGCGGATTCCGTCTCATTTGCGACCAGCCATTGTAGCACTATTGCAGCACCATTGTGGTGCTATTGTGGCACAGTTCTTGATGGGTCAAGTTTGCTACGGCCCGCATATGCATGGAATATGCGGAGCTCTGGTCCTAGCGGCCCCAGACACAAGGCCGTGCTCCCCCCTCACAGTCTGCGCTCAAAGGCACAGATCTCCTCAAACTCGCGCAACACAAGGTACATGTCCTGGAAGTGCACCTCGACACACACGTTGAAGACGGCGTAGTAGTCGCGGACGATCTTGTCGATCTTGTCGCGCACAAGCTCGACCGCGTAGAACTTGCTGTATGCCCTATGCGTCTCGGGCTGCAAAATATTTTCCACCTCGGCTGATTTGCGCCGCACCGGCTCGCTCGTTGACGTACTTGCTGAAAAAACACGGCCGTGCCGGATGATGTCATAGATGGCGTTGCAGTAGATAGTTTTCAGCGAGTTGACTTTGGGGCTCCCGATGCTGGCTCTTTCCGTCTGCGCTATGAGCCCGCAGACGTGCTTGAAGTCGAAATTCATGTCCACAATGGCCCGCACGGCCTTTTCGTCGTAGCCTCGGCCGCGCAGCCGCTCAGACACGTTTGTGCACAGTATTTTGTACACCTCCTCCTTGAAAAAGTTGCCGAGCCGGTTCGACTCGGTGTGCTCAAAGTAGTTCAACAGGAACCCGTCCAGCTCCACCAGCAGCTTTCCGAAATCCACGAGCTGCTGCCGGGACTTGTCGGCAAAAAAGCTGTGCTGCAGCTCCGCCGGCAGCAGTGCCGTGCGAGTCGCCAGCGAGCTCATCAGAATCACCGTCACCGACTGGAGCGTCACCAGAGTGCGCACCTGGTTGCTCAGCTCCATCAGCTGGATCGAGAAGCTCTCCAGAAACTCGGGCATCTCGTACAGCTTGCCCGTGTTGCTGCTGCACACAAACGCCGCAAACAGCCGGTTGTAGAACGCGAGCGTCGCCGTCTCTGCGGTCGGCTCGCCGCCGGCCGGCTCCTGCTCCTTGTGCAGCTGCATCTGCTTGTACAGATTGGGGTAGCGCAAGTTGAGCGACACCTTCGACGAGGGATAGTTGCACGCGAAAACGTCGCGCTCGAACTCCACAATGTTGCTGCCAATGAACCGCAGACAGCTCTTGACGCAGTTGTTCATCCCAAACACCATGCAGTCCTTGACGAACTCCACAAACCGCTGGATGAACGCCTTGTCGATCTGGGCCGTCTGCGCCAGCAGCGACTCGGCCTCGCACCGCAGAAAGTCTGGTGTTTCGCAGATCAGCACGCCCAGACTCATCTCGAAGTACTCCGCCAGCCGCAGCTTGCCGCTGTGGAGCTTGCTGAGCACGAGCACCGAGTCTGACAGGAAGGAAATGGCCGTCGAGTTTTCTCTGCGGTGATCGGCCGACTGCGCGAAAACCAGGTTCACCGTCCGTTTCGAGTCCTCCACCACGACGAACATCGCGTACAGACACCGCTCCACCATCTGCACCACGTCCACCATCATGGACTCGACCGAGTCCAGGTACGAGAGCCGCTCGATCGCCTCGATGCAGCCCTCGTTGTACGTCTTGAGCCCGAGCCACTCGCGGATCGCCTCGATGTTTGGCTGCAGCTGGTCGACGTACTCGGCCAGCAGGTCGCACTCGGCGGCCAGCGGCTCTGCTCCGAGCCGGGGCGACTTGCCCGTCCGCATGCGCAGTTGCGCGCCCCGCGACCGGAACTCGAGCAGCACTTTGAACAGGTACTTGCGCCAGTTGTCGACCGAGAACGTGGGCGGGACAAGCGACACGGGCCGCTGCGCGGCGCTGCGCAGCGTCGACCGGCTCCGCGACGACACAGAGATCAGCGGGTTGTCGTCTGTAAGCGACGAACCCGACAGCACGGCTGCCTTGTGCCGCGCCACAAACTCCTGCTCCATGGCGTCGATCGACGCGAGGCCGGCGACGCGGCCGTCGCCCTGGAGCCGCGCAAACCGCTCCTTGTTGGCCTTGATGAACGACTCGCCCTTGCGGATCATGTACCTGTACTCGTTGAGCAGCACGTCGTTGTCGGCGGTGAGAGAGCGCATCGTGCGCAGAAAGCCCAGGTGCTTGCTCAGCCCGTCGTTGCTCTCCGACAGCAGCGCCAGACTGCGAAACCAGTGGTTGAACTTGAACACCTGGAAGACCGGGTAGTAGCTGGCCATGAGCGCCTCTTTGAACGCGTACGTCTCGAACTCGGGCCCGTTCAGCTGCACCAGCCGCTGGAACAGCTTCCACACATGGAACGTGGCGGTGTGCAGCTCAGCCACAAGAAACCCGTAGTAGCTGTCGTCGAGGTGGTGCTGCTTCAGGTTCGGGAAGTCCTTGGCCAGCCGGTCGAAAAACGGCTGTGACGCGTTCAGCCGCACCGCGTACATCGGCGCACGATTGTACCGCTCGTGCTTGTCCTTTTCGACCAGAATAGCAAAGCCAAACAGGAAACACCGTGCCAAAAGAAACGGCTCCACCAGCCCGCCCGAAACGTCGATTTCCGCAAACAGCGACGACGTCAGCCGCACGATCTCGCGGCTGTTGATGAACCTGTACGTATTCTCAATGTCTGTCTTCCCGACCGCGTCCTCGAAATTGACGAATATCGGCACCCGTCGGAGATTCTCCCAGACAGAGAGCCCAGCCACACTTTTGAACGAGTCGGCAAAGCTGTAGCAGCACGGGGCCTGCTCGTGCGATACGCACATCTCCATGCTCCGGGCGTCGTCGCTGCTGCCCGCCGAGCAGATGTGGCGCACCGTGCTCGACGCTATGAGCCGCTTGCGGTTCACGTAGTCCTGTCTATTTTTGACGGCCTTGCTCAGCTTTTCCAGCAGTAGCTCTCTTTTTCTCAGCTTCTGCTGCTGCAGACTGCTCAGTTTCTTGCACACGGCGTCGGTGTGCGCCGCGCTGCGTGCGGTGCGCTGGTCCAGCAGCAGGAGCCTGCGGCTGGCGTGGGTTTCGAGGTCGTCGTCTATGGAGTTCGCTCGCTTGCGCGGACTGAACCTGTCCAGCGGCGTCAGACGCCGCATCACGCGTGGCGGAGGCGTCAGCGGCGGCGACGACAGCGACAGCGTCGTGATTTCGGACGAGCCCCCTGAGCTGGCAGAGCACAGCACAGGGCCCTGTGCCGGAGGAGTGGACGGGTGCGGGACGTCCAGCGGGACGGGCTCTGGGGTCAGCATCTGCGAGACGGGCTCGGAAACGGACGTGTGGTCGTTGTCGCCCTGGCATTCGTTGGAATTGTCGGACGAGTCCATGGAGCAAAGAAGAAATTGCAGGTTCTGTTGGGGCGCCTGTCAATTTGTTATCTCGGTGGCTGGGCTGAGCGGGTGTGGCTGGGGAAAAATATCTTATCGGGTAATCAGATTTATTTGAGTATATTTTTTATTTTATGCACTCCCTCGCTGATGTTTTTTCTCTATGCGATTCCGTTTTATCTCGTTTCTGCCGTGGCGGTGCTCAACGCCGTGACGTGGCTCTGTAAGGCCCTCTCGCTCCACGAGACCAAACTACAGCACGGCCTCAGCCTCAACCTCGCCCCCGTGCGATATCTCATCAACACCACCTACAAGGTCAACTCGTGGATCCCGTTCCTGGACAAGCCCGAGACGTTCGTCAAGGAGATTCGCGTGCACCCAATCAAATCATTTCCCGAGCTGAAGGTCCAGACATGGAAAGTCACCGAGCACGGACTCGAGTGCGACAGAATGTACATGCTGGGCAAGTTCGACGAAGCGCAGCAAAAATGGGTCATGGTGTCGCTGAGACAGTACGCGTCGCTGAGCAAGGTCGAGCTGCGTCTGGAGGACGACCTTTTCGTGGTCGGATACGAAAATAGGGACTACTTCAGCGTGCCCCGGACGGTCTCCAAAGACTACCTGGAAAAAATGTCGGGGAGTCCCGAGCCGGCAGAACTGTGGAAGGTCGACTTCGAAGTGGTGGCGCTTGAGAAACTCAACATCCAGCCGTTTCTGGCCGCTATCGGGCTGCCAGAACACTACAAGCTGCTGTACGCTCCGTTTGGAAAACTGGTGGTCACCAACTCGCCGAAAAACCTCACCGCACTGCCCAACTACACGCCCGGCTCGCACGAAAAATACCGCGTCACAAAGTTCCAGGACTACTTCCCGATCCTGCTCATTTCCGACGCGGACATCAAAGACCTCAACGCCCGCCTCGCCAAGGAACACGGCCCTGAGGTGTACACCACCTCGACCAACTTCCGTCCCAACATTCTCATCGACGGGCCGAAAAAACCGTACGACACTGACGACTGGTTCCGCTTCACGATCAGCGGCAAGGAGTGGCTCGTGACGTCGAAGTGCCCGCGCTGCTCGATCCCCAACATCGACTTCGAGACAGGCAAGCAGCGTGCCAAACTGCCCGTCTCGCGCACGCTGGCGTCGTTCCGCCGCGTCGATCTGGGCGGGCCCAGCATGACCTTCTTCGGCGTCAGCGCCGTGCAGGTCGAGCACGGTTATAGCATCAGCGTCGGCGACCGCGTCAGGCTGCTCGAGCGGCGGCTCAACCAGTACGGCGAGCTGGCCTAGCCACACACACCCGTACACCAGCAACCACGGGAAATTTCTGTAGGGCCAAGTAAATAATCTCGTTTCAGTTGCTTCCAGCGTATCACAGTTACCATGTCCACAGAGACAATTGCTTCTGAAAAGACAGAGCTCCACGTGCTGGACCTCAACGGACCTGTGAGCAGGACCGACAGGAGGCTGCTGGAGGAGAGAAAGAAGAAAGAAGAGCAAAAACGCCAGCCTCACACGGCCGCCTTTACTGGCTGGAAAGAGGTCGGGGGCTGGGAGCACCAGGACTCGCTCACGTACGAGGAGGAGATTGTTGATCTTCTGACGAAGTCGACGTTTTTGGACGAGTATCTGCCAGAAGTTGCGTACGGCGACTGGTTCCATACCGTTGGCATTGTGATCCTTGGTGGCCTTTTGTCGTGGCTACTGGGCCGCTTCCGGTTTTCGCTGGGCCCGGTCTTCTTTGTGACGCTCGCGTCTGCGCTCTACTACCGCGCCTCGATCAGAAAGTACCGGCTTAAGCTGAGACTCGAGGCCCAGAGAGAGTTTTCTGTGAACCGCATCGAGGACGATTTCGAGACGATGGACTGGCTCAATGTGTTTCTGGACCGCTACTGGCGGTTCATCGAGCCCACTGCTGCGCAGCTGGTATGTGACCAGGCCAACGTGATTCTTGCTGGGCTGCCGATCCCTGCGTTTGTGAAACAGCTGTGGATCCACACCTTCACGCTGGGCACCAAGCCGCCGCGAATCGACAAGGTCCGCACGCTCGACCGCACCAGCGATGACGTCACCGTGATGGACTGGTGGGTCTCGATGACTCCGAACGCGGTTGAGGACGCCACTGCGAAACAGCTCAAGAACTACGTCAACCAGAACATTGTCGTCAAGGCCAAGCTATTTGGCCTGACGTTCCCGATTGTGGTCTCGGACGTGGCGTTCCAGGCCAAGGTGAGAGTCAGGCTGAGGATGATGAAAAGTTTCCCGCACATCCAGACCGTCAACGTGTCGCTGCTGGAGGCTCCGTATTTCGACTTTCTGGCCAAGCCTTTTGGCGGAGACACCATCTTTCCCTTTGAGATCCTCAACATCCCGGGTCTGTACATGTTTATCAACGAGATGGTGAAGAAGTTTGCCGGTCCGATGCTGTTTGACCCGCTCTCGTTCCAGCTCAACCTGGAACAGCTGCTCAACGGTAACGGGTTCGACGGTGCTCTGGGAATTCTGGAAGTCAACGTCAAACACGCCAAGGGTCTCAAGGCGGCAGACACGTTCAACAACACCATCGACCCGTACCTCACGTTCGCCACGGGCGGTGCTGTTCTGGCGAAAACCAAGGTTATTCCAGACACCATGGATCCTGTGTGGAACGAGAAGGTCAACGTCATGCTGAAATCGTCCTCCGAGCCCCTGTCGATCACGCTGTACGACGAGAATGAGAACGACGGCAGAAAGGACAAGATGATGGGTTATGTTCTGTACGATTTGGAGGAGATCATGCTAAAGGGCGAGCTCAGAGACGTCACGCTGCCTATTCTGAGAAACAACAGAGAAGCCGGCCATGTCACCTTGGACTTCAAAATGATGAAGACTCTGCAGGGATCCAAGCTTCCAGACGGCTCTTACTCGCCACCGCCAGACCTCAACACCGGTGTGGCTGTCATCAAGCTCCTGGGTGCCAGATCCTACAACAAGGACGACAAGAAGCCAGGAAACGTGTTTGCCGAGTTGTACGTGGACAGAGAGCTCAAGGCTACCACTGGTGTTGTCAAGAAAAGCAAGGAGGCCTCGTGGAGCATCAGCCACGACCAGATCATCTACAACCGGTCCAAGTGCAAAGTCCGTGTTGTTCTGAGAGACTCTTCCAAGAAACTGATTGGCTCTGCCACCATGAAGCTCACAGACCTCATCGACTCGTCGTATGTCGGCAACGAGTGGCTGCCGCTGACCAAAGGTCTTGGTGAGGTGAAGCTGACATGTAACTGGAACTCTGTGGCCATGACCGGAGTGCCGGGCGCTATGGGCTACACCGAGCCGTTCGGTGTTGTTCGCTTCAACATTGGTAAGGCTATGAACCTCATAAACCTGGAGAAAATTGGCGTTATCGATCCGTACGTCAGAGTCATGATCAACGGTGTCCAAAGAGGAAGGACTCTGACCAAGGATTCCACCACCAACCCTGTTTTCAACCAGTCTATCTACGTGCCTATCGCGTCTCCGAACCAGAGAGTCACCATTGAAGCCATGGACGTCCAAAGATCGACTCCAGACAGAACTTTGGGCTCGTTCCAGGTCAGACTCAACGAGTTCATTGAGTTCGACGACAAGGGAGACCCAATCGAGACCAACGGCGAGCTTCAAGAAGGACGTCTTGTGCATCCTAAGCGTGGCGCAAAGGGCAGTGTCACCTACAGCATGTCGTTCTTCCCTACTCTTCCTGTGATGACGCCAGACGACATTCTGGAGAGGAACGCCTTGGAAGAGAAGAAGGCCCAACACAATGGAGAGGACCACAAGGAGACTGCGGAGGAGAAGAAGGACAAGGAAGAGGAAGAGGAACTTGAAGATGCTAAGCCCAAGCTCGATCTGCCGCTGGACAAAGTTCGCAACTACAATTGCGGTGTCTGCGTCTTCACTCTATTTGAAGGACAGTTTCCAAAGGACGGCTATCTGCAGGTCTTTTTCGATAGATCTGGGTATCCGGAATATGTCAGTCCAAGGCTTTCTTCTCGTGATAAGCAAATCAACGCTACCGGTGAAGGTTTGGTGAGAGAACTCAATTACTCTGAGGTGACCATTAAGCTTGCTGAGAAAAAAGGAAGCAACATCAAGAAAGAAGCTATTGCAGAGACGTCCATGTCCACCCTGGATTTGATTGAGAGCACCTACGATCAGCCGAGCGTTGTCAAGTTGTCGAACGGAGCCAGCATCAAGTTGCAGGCCAGATGGATTCCTGTCTTGATGAAGGACCTGCCGGCACAGGATTCTGTTGGAAACACAGGACACATGACCATGCGTGTCATCAGGGGCTCGGGATTGCCTTCTGCAGACTCGAACGGTAAGTCTGATCCATTTACGAAGGTCTACCTGAATGGCGAGGAGATCTTCAAAACCAAGACCATCAAGAAAACTTTGGACCCAGAATGGAACCAGGAGACATCTTTTGAGGTGGACAACAGAGTCAATTCCGTGCTGAGGTTCAAAGTTTCCGACTGGGATTTCGGTTTGGAGCAAGACGACAAGCTTGGCGAGGTGAAACTCAATATGAGCGAGATTAATCCGTTTGCCGAAGGTGTCCAGGAAATGACGTTGCCATTGAAGGACGATGACGGACAGCCTGCGGGCGAGCTGGTTGTCGCATTTAGTTTTAAGCCATCCTACATTACCTTGTTGAGTGCAGAGAAGCAGCTGCCAAACGTGGCTGGAACTGCTGTGGGGGGTGCCGGAAAAATCCTGAATACAGGACTAGACGGCACTGGAAAGGTGATTGGTACTGCGGGCAAGGTTGGCGGCAAGGTGCTAGGCACTGCGGGCAATATTTTCAAGAAGAAAAAATGAGCATTTTATTAAATATTGAATCACTCTGAGCAATCGCTTCAAACTTTGTATGCACGTTGTGAAAAATAAACCAAAATAAAAATTAAATTATATAAAAATATAAATTATATTAATATACCCTTCTATTTAGTATGACAGGACAATGAAGTTTGCTAAGCTGCTACAACAGATTCTCCAAGAGGACGGTGTGCCTCCGGAATGGGTTGAAAAGGCTATTCAATACAAGGCCCTGAAGAAGAGGATCAACCGTGTAGTTGAGGAGCTCGAGAACGTGGGGCTGAAAAGGGAGAACATGAGTTTTACATATGAGATAGAACAGATACAGCACCAATTACATCCTCAGCTGACGACCGACGTCAGTCAGGAACTGGAGCAGGTGGTGATTTCCAAGCTGAACGACATGGACTACACATTTTCTGTTGTGCAAAAAGAGCGAGACGGAAGCGTTTTGACCGTCAGTTTACACGAGGATACCCTTTTTTTCCAGACTTTATATGAGGAGCTGGAGGAGCTAAACAGGTTTGGAGACGAGCAGGAGCACGAACTTGTGGACACCGTCGAGAATCTTGCCGCGGTGATAGGCAAGGTAGGGTCTCCCAACAGACGCAAAAACGACATGTATGTTTGGCGGGAAATCTTCCAGATGTACATCGAGAGCGAAGTTTTCTTTGGCACCCGAGAGAGGTCCTCGGGACGCGTTGACGTGGCGGTTTCGCGCAAGCGAATGAGCGAATTTATCGACCATGTGAACGAAACCAAGATCCTCAAGAGGCTTCGACAGCGCAACTCGCTCGGGGCGTTCGCCACGTTCAAAGAGATGAATCTGCTGATCATAAAGGTCGCCAATTACCAGGCCATCAACAGCATGGCTGTGCAGAAGATCCTCAAGAAGTTCGACAAGCAAACGACGCTCAACTCGCTGAAACTGTTCCCCAACCTCGTGAAGAAGTCGTTTGAGGCCAATATTCTCAATAGCACGGTGTGCAAGGATGTGTGTGCGATAATCGGCGAGCGCCTGCTGAGCATTGTTCCGCAGCTGGACGACTACACCTGCCCAATCTGCTGCTCTGTGGCTTTTAAGCCGATCCGCCTGGACTGCGGGCATCTTTTCTGTGTGCGATGTTTGGTGAAGCTGCAACGCAAGGAGGAGGACAAGTGTCCGCTGTGTCGCCAAGAGGTGGTGTTGCATGCCGACGAGCGGAACCTCGATCTGGCCCAGATGGCGTATCTGAAGCTGTATTTCCCGCAGGAGGTGAAGCAGAAGCAGCGTGAGAACGAGAAGGAGATTTTCAAGGAGCAGTATGGCCACATTGTGGATCCAGACAAACCTACGTGTACAATAGTTTAGGAGATGCATATAGTGCATTTATTTAATTTTATTTTTCGTATTTATTTAATATTTATGAACGACAACGAGGTGAACAGCAAATATGACCGCCAGATGCGGTTGTGGAGCTCTTCGGGACAGAAGCGGCTGGTCGGCTCGAGGGTGTGCGTGGTGGAGGCCAATGCCGTGGCGTGCGAGACCGTGAAGAACCTTGTTCTGGCTGGCGTGGGGCAGGTCGTCCTGTTGGACTCAGAACGTGTTTCTGCGGAAGATCTCGCGACAAATTTCTTTGTGGTAGCAGAGGAAGCGGGCAAAGCGCGCGGCGAGTGCGCGGCGAGACTACTGGGCGAGCTGAACCCAGACAGTACAGTGATACACGAAAAGAGCTCGTTCGAGTCTCTTTTGAAGGACCGCTCGTTCTGGTCCCAATTCGACTGCGTTGTCAACTGCAGGCTGGATCACTGTGTTCCCCTGATCGAGTTGCTTTGGGACTTGCGCATCCCGCTGCTCCACGCCCACTCGATCGGACTCTACTCGCTGGTCCGACTGTACTGCGAGGAGCGAACGATGGTGGAGACGCATTCTTCCCGGGCCGACGATCTGCGCATAGACGCGGTCTGGGACGAGCTGCAGGAGTACGTGGACTCTGTGGACGAGGCCTGTGTTGCCGAGGTGCCGTACAGCGTGCTGCTAATTAAGGTGTACCAGGAGTTTGTGCGGGAGCACGGGAGAAGGCCGAGCACCAAAGAGACGCGACGGCGGCTTGCGCAGCTGGGCGACGACGAAAACGTCGAGGAGGCGATCAAGAAGGCCGCCTTGGTGACAAAACGGTCCAGCGAACTGAACGAAAAATTGGCGCAATTGATGCAGGAGACGGTGGACCTGTCTACGGCGAGCTCGTTCTGGGTTTTGGTGGAGGCACTGAAACAGTTTTACGAGAAACACGGCGTCCTGCCGCTCAGCGGTTCGCTGCCCGACATGGCCAGCAACACGGAAAAATACCTAAAGTTGCAGAGCATCTACAGAGCCAAACACGAAACCGACAGGGACGAGCTCAAAGGACTAGCGCTGCAAATCCTGGCGCAGCATGGTCGAGCCGAGCAGATCGCCGGGTCCGAGATCGAGCTCTTTGTGAAGAACTGCAGCGTCCTGGAGGTGCACAGAGGCTCCAAAAACGTGTGGAGCTCCGAAATGCTCAGCGAGGCGAACCCGGTGCTACACAACACCAACATCTATTTCGGGTTTCTGGCACTCAACACATTCCACAAGGAACACAAGCGCCACGCTGCCCCCAAAGACCAGTCCGAAGTCCGTGCGCTGGCGATCTCCCAACTGTGCCGCTGGGAAACGCTGAAATCTTTCCCCGACGGGCTGGAGCTCGTGCTCGATGAGCTTCTCCGAGCAGAAGGCACGGCTCTCCACAACGTCTGCGCACTGACGGGCGGCATCGCATCGCAGGAGGTCATCAAGATCCTCACCAACCAGTACGTCTCGTTCGACAACTGTCTCACGTTCGACGGCGTGCGCGGCCAGACAGGTAGCTGGAAAATTGAATAATTTTTTTACATAAGCATGCCACGCAAAATAAATTAAGTTTCGTAAAATAAAACAAAATGTACTACTCGGACCAGCTGGGCATTGAGCCGAGCGCGACCGACGAGCTGCACTGGACGCTCGAGGTGAGCGACCTGGGCAACCAGAAATGGCACTACGGCCTGCAGAAACCCTCGGCAGTCGAGAAACACCTTTTGCAGGCTAGCAGGCCCGTCCCCAGTGGGAACCCGTCGCTGGACGACGCGATCGAGAAGGCGGCCGCGTACTTTGCCGGCGTGCAGCACGAGTCCGGCACGTGGCCCATCATGTACAAAGGCCCGATGTTCATGACCATAGGGTACGTTGCGGCGGCCAAGTTCACCGGCACCGCAATCCCAGATCACGTGACCCGGGAGCTCGTGCGGTACCTTGTGAACACCGCGCACCCTGTTGACGGCGGGTGGGGGCTTCACGAGACGGACAAGTCGACGTGTTTTGGCACGACGATCAACTATGTGGTTCTGCGGCTTCTGGGGCTCAGCGCCGACCACCCGACGTGCGCCAAGGCCAGAAAAACGCTGCTGGCCATGGGCGGAGCCACGGGCAACCCGCACTGGGGCAAGATCTGGCTGTCTGTGCTGAACCTGTACAAGTGGGAGGGCGTGAACCCTGCTCCGAGCGAGCTGTTTGCGCTTCCCTACTGGCTGCCGATCCACCCCATGAAGTGGTGGGTGCACACGCGCGCCATATATGCTCCCGTGTCGTATCTGTACAACCGCAAGGCCCAGTGCGAGCTGGACCCGCTTTTGGAGCAGATCCGTGCCGAGATATACACACGGCCGTTTGCAGAGATCGACTTTGCCGCGTGCCGCAACAAAGTGTGCGGCATAGACCTGTATTATCCGCACACCAAGGTTCTGGACGTGGTGAACTGGATGATGGTCAAGTACGACCAGTACCGGCCACAGTGGCTTGCCAAATGGTCCAACGACATCGCGTACGGCCTTGTTCTGAAGGAGCTCGAGAACACCGACAACCTGTCCATTGCCCCCGTCAACGGCGCTTTCAACACCATCGTGGTGTACATAGAAGAGGGCCGCAGCAAACGGTTCGAAAGAGTGGCCGAACGGCTGAAAGAAGAGCTGTTTCTGAGCCCTATCGGGATGACCATGATGGGCACGAACGGCTCGCAGGTCTGGGACAGCTCGTTTGCGGTGCAGTGCTTCCATGTGGCACAGGTGCAGGACCACGAGGCCGTGGCCACCGCGCACGACAGAGCAGTCGACTTTCTGCTGCGGTCGCAGTTCGACACCGAGTGCGTGCCCGGCTCGTACAGAGACAGGAGAGTCGGCGCGTGGCCGTTCTCCACCAAGGACCAGGGCTACACGGTCAGCGACTGCTCGGCCGAGGCGATGAAAGCGGTGCTGATGGCCCGTCCCGCGGACGGAGAGCTGACTCAGCGCTTACATAAGACAGTCGACGTGGTGCTCTCGCTGCAGAACGTGGAGTGGAGCTCGCGGCTGATGTCGTACTACGGCTCGTTTTCGACGTACGAGAAGATCAAGGCGACGCCACTGCTGGAGCTACTGAATCCGGCAGAGGTGTTTGGCAACATCATGGTGGAGTATCCGTACGTCGAGTGCACGGACTCGAGTATATTGGGGCTGGTGTATTTCCGCAAGCACAGCGACTACCGCGCCGCCGACGTGGAGCGGGCCATCTCGCGCGCGCTGCGCTACATCGAGAACGCCCAGAACCCGGACGGCTCGTGGTACGGCTGCTGGGGCATCTGCTATACTTATTCGGGGATGTTTGCGCTCGAGGCGTTTTCTGAGACGGGTCACAACTATGCCAACAGCGAGACGGTGCGCAGAGGATGCGAGTTTCTGGTCAAGCGGCAGCTTGCTGACGGCGGCTGGGGCGAGTCGATGAAGAGCTGCGAGACACACACCTATGTGAGCACCAAGGAGTCCAATTTGGTGCAGACTTCGTGGGCCTTGATCGGCCTGTTGCTGGCAGAGTATCCTGATCTGACGGTTCTTGAGCGCGGAGTTCGGCTGCTGCTCCAGAGACAGGCCTCTGACGGCAGCTGGGCAACCGAGGGTGTGGAAGGGGTGTTCAACCACTCGTGTGCGATCGAGTATCCGAATTACCGGTTTATTTTTCCGATCAAGGCCCTCGGTCTCTACAGACGGAGACTGCGTCGGGACGGCCGTGTTTGGAGATAGAGCACCGTTCACTTGAGATCGCCCTTCTTCTCCTCTCTTCTGCGCTTCTGTGTATTTCCAACAAGATTCTCCACGTACATTGAGTAGATCTCGTTGTCTTGCTTGAGCTCCTCTAAACGCAGGTTCAGACTGCACGCTATTTTCAGCAGCTCGTCGCGCACACTTTCCAGTTCCTGGGCCTTGCTGTCCAGCTCACCGCGTTCCGCCGCAGCGCGGTAAAACGACTCCGGCTGGACTTTCTGGTGCACGCTTTCCAGAACAGCGGCACTCGACTCTAGTATCTTGTCTTTCTCCATTTTATCAATTGCAAGCTTTGCAATTCGCTCCTCCAGCTTGGAAAGCTCGTTGTTCTTCAGTCCCGCTAACGCGTTGTTGTCGTAGAGTTTGGCTTTCCTGGTTTTCGAGTTAGAGGGAAGAACCTCGTCCAGATCAATAGGAATACGTAGACTCATAAGAAGCCGTCTTCGGAGAAACGAGCGTTTCCAATTCACCTGCTGGAGGTTCACTGGCGGCAGCGTGAGTCTCTGGTAAACATCCTGACACCTCTGGTCCAGATGTAGGTCGACGGCGGGCTCGCGAGACGGGACAGACCCCAGCAGACTGTGTATCATGCGGCCGAGTTCCTCAACAGAGCCGTTTTCTGGTGCAAAAATGAAAGAGTCCGCGCCAGTCTGCTGTGGCGGCTGTTCGAACTCCTCGAACTCGCCGAAATCGTCAAACTCGTCCTCCATGAACAAGAACAAGAAAATATGTGGTTATATCACGAAAAAGTAAAAAGTAGCAAAAAAGATTGCTAACTCTGAGGATCGAACTCAGGACCTTCAGAACTTCAGTCTGACGCTCTCCCAACTGAGCTAAGTCAGCAACTCTGTGAATTTGCTGTCCACATGGAGATAAGAGCAAGCAAAAAGCCACACCGACGCCAACCTTTGCTCAGGCCCGTCTGAGTTATCGGCATACGGGATAGCTAGGCTGTAAATCCGAAAAACTGAGGAGACTCCGAAACCAAAACAAAATGAGGAGACTGAGGAGAACACAACATGACTAATCTCGGCGATGACCACGACCCCATCTTGCACATGGTCACGAAACCTTATCTCCAAGAAAAATGGGGTGTTTTCTGCCAAATTACGGGAGCTTTGCTGTCCTTCGCCTAAAAACTTACGATAGCCGAAGCAGACTGATAGTGAGACTGAAAAAATCCGTGACCATTTTTTCCAATCTTATGCATGTGCACAATAAAACGAGGGGTGTGCAAACTTTCCATACCCCCTCAATCTGATTAATATAAAAACTCAGCGTCCGGTCCTTTCAAACTCAAGCAGCATGTCTTTGAGATTGTCAGTCAGAAGATTCACCACCACAGCTATCAGATTGTTCGAGAAGGAGAAGGAGGTCCAAGCGCAGGCGGCAAACGCCATCAAGGCTCCTGGTGGCCACTTCCAGTCGTTTGCTCAATACCGCTTGAAGATTGTCCAGCAGGACCCGCTGTCGATGCAGACCAGGAGAATGTTTGTTATGAGCAACCCAGGAACCGTTCAGGCCGACGAGGCGGACGCGAAGCTCAGAAAGCTGGCTAAGAAAATCTCGTACAGAGAGGACTGATTTTTGGCTCTCTTGTTCTAGCCGGACTAGGACTCTCGCATCTCGCTCGCAGGAATACTGGGTATATATGAGTATAGAATACCCGCTAATTTCATCACTCATAACTTTTGATATAACTCTATGTACACATCACCAAACACCCTTCTTGACGCCCGGGAACTCGCCCTCCTTGGCCATCAGTCTGAACTGATATCTGCCGACCCTGAACGGCTTGATGATTTTTTTCGCCGTTCCGGACTCCAGACACCGGTCGCGCACCTGGTTCATTCTGGTGTAGTTTGGCATGGCCGTCAGCTGGATCTGCGCCTCGAGTCTCATTTTCTGAGGCAGCGCCGCGTTTCTAGCAATAAACTTGAGCGCCTTGCTGGTCACCTCGTGCTCGGCAGCCATCTGTCTCTTGAAGTTGTCCCGCAAAATACGCGTGTTGACAAACCCTGTAGGCAGGCTCACGGGCTGCGGAAACCGCTTCAGCGGCCGGCTGGCCTTGACGACTTTGATGAGCTCCGACATGGTTTGGAGTTTTTTTTTTCTCGCGGTGGAAAAAGTTATGAGCCAGCGTCCCGTCATCTCTGCACCAGCAGCCATTAATATTAATGAAAATTTGATTGGCCCGCTCTGCTCGAAAAAAAAATATCCACAACTCTTCCAACCTTCCTTGTTTCTCAATGTTGTCAAGAAGATTCTTCTCCTCATCAAGACAGGTGGCCAAGTCTGTGGTCACCAAGCTGCCTAACGGCCTCACTGTTGTGTCCAAGCCCGGCCCGCAGTCTTCCTCGTCCATTGGTCTGTACTTGAACTCTGGTTCCAGATCCGAGAACCCATTCAATTCTGGTGTTTCGACGCTGGTTGGATCCGTGGTTGCCTCGTCCAAGGCTGCTAGCGAGGCCTACGCGCTGTCTGGTGTCGAGGTCAGCTCTTCCAACGCCAAGGAAGTCACCGGACTGGCCGTCACCTCCTTCGCCAAGGGTAACGCCAAGGAGGCCTTCAAGACCGTCAAGAACCTTGTTGCCAACCTCGAGACCCTGCTGAAAAACGAGTCCTACATCAAAGACAAGGCCGCAGAGGCTTCCGCGTTCGCCGAGGCCTTCGAGACCAAGCCAAAGCCTATGGTCATCGAGCACATGATTTCCACCGCATTCCAGGGAACCTCCCTTGCTCTGCCAACCCACGGTAAGGCCGACACCCTGGCCACTCTGGAGTCCATGGACCTCAAGTCGTTCCTGGGCAAGCAGTTTGTGGCCTCGAACCTGGCCCTTGTGTCTGTTGGCGAGGCCAAACACGACGACCTGGTCAAGCTTGCTTCCGAGCTGTCTGTTCCCGAGGGATCGAAGCCGGCGTTCGAGCCATTCCACTTCTTGGGATCCGATGCCAGACTCAGAGACGACACCTTGCCAGCCGCGCACGTTGCCATCTCTGCCCAGGGTCCTGCCCCATCGGCTGCAGACTACTACGCCGGTCTTGTTGCTGCCCAAATCAACGGCCTGTACCAAGCCAAGGGCCTGTACACCAGCTTCCAGGGCTCGCAATTGGCCCAGTTCTTCAACGCCAACCCTATGACGGACGAGTTCGACCACTTCTCGCTTGGCTACTCGGACGTGTCTCTGTGGGGTGCTTACCTGGAGACCGAGCACATCGAATACTTGGACGAGGTGGTGCACTTCACGCTCAAGAACTGGAACAGATTCTCTGCGGGCACGTTCACGGAGACGGAGCTGGAGCAGGGCAAGGCTGCTCTCAAGCTGAAGCTGCTTTCTCCTGCCAAGACGGCTGCCCAGGAGGCCGAGAAGCTGGCCACAAACACTTTCCTGCACGGCTTCGAGGAGTCTGAGGCCGAGATCATCAAGTCCGTCGACGACGTGTCGCACAAGAAGGTGTCGCAGTGGGCCCAGAAATACCTGTACGACCAGGACATTGCCGTTGCTGGTACGGGACAGATCGAGGCATTGTTCGATTACAACAGACTGAGAAACGACATGTCGATGATGAGATGGTGATTATAGAGTTGTAGCAATTAGACGTTACTCTGCACAGCCCTGTGTATATACTATTATTGTGATAACGTAGCGAAAACAAAAAAAAAAAATAATTAGAAAAAAAAACGAGTTGAACTTCGTCATGCTGAAACTGTTTGCACCTTCTAGGAGGATAATCGTGGGCCACAGAGCTCTGCGTGCGGTGCCCGCTCTGAAGGCGGGAGGTACGCGATTCTACTCGTCGCAGCAGCAAACATCCAAGCATTTCTACCCGTTGTTGTTGCTTGGAGGGCTGGCCATTGGTGTCACCTACTACAACCTCAACTCGACGAGCAAGCCGCCAAGGGCGTCCATCGACCCGACCGGCCCGCTGTTCAGGGAATCCGACATCGACGTGATATTTGTGCTAGGCGGCCCTGGCTCCGGCAAGGGCACGCAGTGCGCCAAGCTGGTGAAGAATTACGACTTTGTCCATCTCTCGGCCGGCGACCTGTTGCGGGCCGAACAGGCCAACCCAAACTCCGAGTACGGCTCGCTGATAGCACACTACATCAAGGAGGGGCTGATTGTGCCGCAGGAGATCACGATCAATCTGCTGAAGAACGCGATCGTGGAACAATACTCGAAAAACAAGAAAACCAAGTTCCTGATCGACGGGTTCCCCAGAAAAATGGACCAGGCCGTTTCTTTCGAGGATTTGATAGTTAAGAGCAAGCTGACGCTGTACTTTGAGTGTCCGGAGGAAGTCATGCTGCACAGAGTGCTCGAGAGAGGAAAGACGTCTGGAAGAGCAGACGACAACCTAGAGACCATCAAGAAACGGTTCCGGACGTTTTTGGAGACCAGCATGCCCGTGGTGGACTATTTCGACAAACAGGGCCGCGTGGTCAAGGTCAGCTGCAATCAGCCTGTGGAGGAGGTTTACAACAAGGTGGTGTCTGCGTTTGCAGAGAAGGGAGTTACCAAATAGAGCAATAAATGTCATAATCCGTCTATTTGATTTCTGTCCAGAGCGCGTCGAAACGCGGGCTTTTGTATTTTTGCAGTTCGGCGGTCACGGCGGCGTCTATCTTGGTGCCCAGCGGCTTGAGAGTGCCGATCGCCACCAACAGCCGGTACGCGGACTCCTCGTCGCGGGCTAGAGCGACGCCAAACTTGTTGATCACGGCCGCGAGCTTCGTGTACAGCGTCTGGTCCCGCAGCTTGCGGATGAACACGGCGTAGTTGAGCACAAACGTGGCCACCGTGATGCTCATCAGCTTCTCTATTTTGAGAGCGTCCAAGATGTCGTCCAAAAAGATCACATCCATCAGGTCCGGGTCCGCAAACACGCGCTCCCCCCACTGCTTCGCACTGAAGATGTTGACCAGTAGTCGGATCGTCATCATGACCACCTTGGGCGACTGCGACGTGAGCCCGATCTTGATCAGCTCGAACAGCGTCTCGAACGGCGGCGTGTGCAGAATGGTGAACCGCAGAATGTCAAACCCAAGCAATTTGGAGCTGGCGTCCCAGTTCGAGATCATCTGGCCGGCCAGAATCGCCAGCTGCTTGAAGTCCTGGCAGTTCATGCACGTCTCGAACTCCACAGGCTCGATCTGGTTCTGCACAGCCTGTTTGGCGTTTAGTTTCGCGAACCCGGTCCGGATCTTGGTCTCGTCCAGTTTCGAGAATTGCAAGTACTCTGTCTGAGGCAAAATGCCCTGTTTCTGGTACGCTGGGTCCTGGTACGGCTCCGAGGAGCCAGGACCCGATTGCTGGTCCAGACTGGCGCCGCCAGTGTTGGCAAGAATGAAGTCCACCACCTGCTGCGAGTACGAGGCCGGCAGGTTGTTGTCGAGCAGGAACTTGTCTGCCACCGCATACGGGCTCTCGTTGGTGTTGTACGGCAGCTTCAGCGGCGGCTGCCCGTCGGCAATGTCGACGTCGAACACGTAGTCGTAAAACTGGCCGTTGAACTCTTTCTTTTTGTCTGTCGAAGTGGAATTCACAACCTCGCCGACCTTGCTCCACTTGGACTCGTTCCATTGGTACACCTCGACGGTGCCGATTTCGGTGCGGACCATCCGGGTCTCTCCTTCGCCTGTGCCCGGCTGTTTCAGCGAGTCTCTGCCCGGGAGAGTGTCCTTGTTGACGTTGTACACCGAGTCGTTGACGGTGGAGTTCTGGAGATCTGCCTCGAACTTGTCGAGCAGCTCGCGCGCGGCGACCCGCTTGCCGACCCTCGTGAAGATGCGCACCTGCGCGTCGCTCGACGCGGCCGCAATGTCGCCGTTCTCGAGCGCAATCACCTTCCACACAGAGATGCAGGGCAGCGTGATGGTCTGGACGCACGTGCCGGCCCTGTCCCAGACCCTGATCGTGCGGTCTTCTCCGGAGCTCACGAGCTCACCCGTCGGCAGCACCGCGAGCGAGTACACAAAGTTCTGGTGGCCGTGGAGCGTCTGCAGCAGGTCTCCGTCCAGCGTCCACAGCTTGACGGTGGTGTCGTTGGAGCACGAAGCGAGGGTGCCGTCGGGCAGCACAAGCACGTCGCGCACGACGTCTGTGTGGGCGACCCACTGCCGCACCTGTGTCGCGCCGTTCCAGACCCGGATCGTGCGGTCTGCCCCGCACGTGACAAACTGCGTCGCCGACACGAGCTGGACCCCCCACACAGAGTTCTCGTGGCCCTTGAGCTCGTACACCACGGTGCCGTCCTTGCGCCACACCTTCGCGGTGCTGTCCCACGAGCCACTCATGATCAGGCCGTCCTTGCACGCGAGCGCACACACGTTGTTCTGGTGGCCCACGAGGACGTACGCCGGGTCGACCCAGTCGAACGTGGCGTCGACGAGTGTCAGGTTGACGAGCGCGTCGTTGCCGCCGCTCACTATGAACGTCTCGCCGGCGTGTTTGTAGCAAGCCAGGCTGTTGACGAACTTGGCGGACTTGTAGTTGATGGTGGGCTCTGACCACCGACGCGGGTCAATTCGCCGCCACACACGCACGGTGGAGTCGCGGGAGCCGGACACGAGCGTGTCCGGGTCGGGCGAGCACAAGGCGCGCACGTCGTCCTCGTGGCCTTGCAAAGTGGCCGATAGCTTGAAGATGGGCATTTGCCTTCGGAAGAAAGATGGTGCAGAGATGGGAGAGAGTGAAATGAGCAGGAAAAAAATACAAAAAAATAATCTACGTGTAGACCATGGCCATGCACAAGTCCACGAGATATTTGATAGCGGCCGTGATTTTCGTGGTGGCGCTCGTTGCGCTGTCGCGGACGCCGTCGGCGGAACCGCTGCGCGAGCTGCACCCGACGGTCAACCGCGTCAACCGGCTGAATCGGTACTCCTCGTCGATCAGCAAGTACGGGCTGCAATTCAACGAGAAGCTGATGGGCACGGGCAAGGGCGCGCAGCAGGAGCAGCTCGTGGACGCGAACCACGACGGCAGGCTGACGTTCGACGAGATCGTCCAGGTGCTCGAGTTTGGCCAGTCGAAATACAACAGCACGAGCGAGGACATCGTCGAGGAGAATATGGACTTCTACAGGGAGGTGTACTCGAAAAAGGTGACGGAGCCGAAGTTTGCCAAGCTGACGTACAACGTGGTGTACGACGAGACGGGGCTGAAGCGGGTGCTGACGAAGGACGAGTATCCGCGGGCGAACGCGACGATGCTGACGCTGGTGAGGAACAAGGAGCTCAAGGCGATCGTGCACACGATCCGGCAGATCGAAAACACCTGGAACCACAACTTCCACTATCCGTACACGTTCATCGGCGACGAGGAGTTCACGCAGGAGTTCAAGGACACGGTCCGCAGACACTGTTCGGGCGAGGTGTACTTTGAGATCATTCCGGCCGAGATCTGGAAGAAACCCTCCAACATCGACCCGGAGAAGGAGAAGGCGGGGATCCAGAAACTGATCGAGAACGGCGTGCAGTACGCGGACATGGAGAGCTACCACAACATGTGCCGTTTCAACTCCGGCTGGTTCTACCGGCTGGAAGGTCTCAAGAAGTTCAAGTGGTACTGGCGATTCGAGCCCAACACAGACTACTACTGCTCGATCGACTACGACATCTTCAAGTTCATGGAGGACAACGACAAAACGTACGGGTTCACGATCTCGCTGTACGACGACCCGCTCACGGTGGAGTCGCTGTGGCCGGTGACGCTGGACTTTGTGAAGAAGAACCCGCAGTACGTGCACCCGAACGGCGCGTTCCGGTGGCTGACCGACTCGGTGCAGAACCCGGAGTACACCAAGCTGGCCAACGGGTACTCGACGTGCCACTTCTGGTCGAACTTTGAGATCGCCAACATGGACTTTTACCGGGGAGAGGCGTACTCGAGATGGTTTGATGCTCTGGAAGCCGCGGGCGGGTTCTACTACGAGAGATGGGGAGACGCGCCGGTGCACTCCGTGGGGGTGGCGCTGTTCGAGGACAAGAGCAAGATCCACTGGTTCCGCGACATTGGCTACCACCACGCGCCGTACAAGTCGATCCCCAACTCGGACAAGTGCACGGCGCCCGAGGACTCTGGCTACTTTGCGCCCGAGGACGTGCACCGCCAGAACTGTCTGCCGAACTGGATCAAGTACGAGATGACGCACAAGGAGCTGCAGCAGTATTAATCGACACTAATAAATAAAATAACTAAAATAAGCTGGTGGCTTGATTTAATTTTTTTTTATTTTTTTTAAGGCTGGTTTTTTTAGTGCCCGGTTTGTGGGGCCAAACTATTTTGGCTGGTTTTTTTCAGGCACCGGGCTGGCTCTAAATAATCCGTTTTGGCAGAACGCATTATTGGGCTCGCAAAATCGGCTAGTAAACAGACCCAGCCATGGCCTGTCCCACGTCTATATAAACCCGCTCTCTTCTCCCTCTTCCCCACCATGTTGTGTCTTTCTCTCGTTCTCCTGCTCTGCGTGGCTTCTGCCTCCGGAATCTACACCAATACATCCTCCACGGCCCAGCCAACGCCGACCCCGTGGATCCAGGGATACCTCGAAAACGACCTGCCGCGGTTCGCCATCTACGTGCCCACAGAGCTCGGCCCTTGGGACTCTGTCTCGTTTGTCTCGATCGGCAAAACGTCAAACTTTGAGTGGGTGCCGGGCACCGCCGAGATTTTGGCCGGTCCCGCCGCTGTGAAATCCGGAATCCAGGACTTTTCCACCGCCTCTGCCGCCGACGTTGTCGTGTCCACGCCGTTCTCGTCGCTCAGCAGCGCCGACGTGCTCCAGTTCGTGTCGCCTGAAGCCACAAACGTCTACAACCGCGTCTTCACCGCCACGTTCGCCGTTGTCATCGGCGACGCCGCTTCCAACTCCAAGAGAGACGAGCACGTGTACTACCTCACTGCCACCGTCAGTTTAGTCCAGGAAGAGACCTCGTCGCTGCCACAGCTCACCACGCTCGTCACCACCACCTGCCCGGGCGGAAAATGCTCCGTCCAAACCGTGACAGAGTCGCTGTCCTCTTACACAACTGTCATCGGCAACCATAGCACTGTGATCACCGAGTACAACGTCATTCCGGGCTCCACGGCCGCGCCACTGACCTCCACCACGGCCCCAGCCCCAACCTTTACCGGCTACCACTTCAATAGCACACAGACGGCCAACACATCGAGCACCTACGTGCCCCCACCAACGACACAAACGACCAAAATTAACACGCTCACAAGGCACACCCACACCACCAAGAGCACGCTGAGCTCGTCATCCTCGTACTCGGCCAGCGTGGCCTCGACAGTCACCACATACCACGACGCCGCTGGCAAGAACGTGGCCACCGGGTTGGTGGCCGCTGTCGGAATGGTTATGGTGTGGCTGGTGTAAATAGACTTTTTTTAATATACGCTAATGCTGAAAACTGCCCGCAGGTACTCCACGCGCGCGTTCAAGAACATCCTCGACCTGCGCCCCACGCAGCACAACGTGTTTGTGAACGACGCGCACATGGCGGTTCCCTTTCGAGGCCGCGGTCTGTACGGGGGAGCGCTTGCTGCGCAGGCCACGGTGGCCGCGCTGCAGACTGAGCAGTGCGGCAAATGGAAACCGCTCTCGATCCACTGCCACTTTCTAGCCGCAGCACAGCCCGACGTGCCGCTCGTGTACAGAGTAGAGGACCTCAAGGTGAGCAAAAACTACCAGGTGAAGGAGGTGCGGCTGTTCCAGGGTGAAAAATTGACCTTCAACGCAGTGTGCACGATCCAGAAGACACTGCTGGAGGGCACGGCAGGTAAAGTCACCGGCCAGCTACACCATCACCGAAAACCGCCCGCTGTGGATGGGCTGGTCGACCAAAACACAGCCTTCGAGCTTTGGGCAGAATCCAACGGCCGCCAAAGCGAGCTTCATGACCTGAAACACTTCTATAATAACGAGCCCATAGAGTGGCAGTTCCCACCACACATGTTTGATCTGGGGAAGGTCTCAGAGACAGAGGAAAAATTGCCCGTTTCTGAACGCACCTTGTGGTACAAATTGCGGCCGAAATTGCCCGCAGCCAACGAGATCCAGAGATGGGGCATCACAGCGTACCTCACAGACTACTTTTATCTGAACACCAACATGCGGCTAAACATGCGTCCATTGATGACGACGAAAATCTCCGTTTCGCTGGATCACATTATATATTTTAGAGAGCCTGTTGCAGACAATGAATGGCTCGTGCACGGCGTCAAGAGCCTCAGTTGCGGCGACAGCAAATGCATCATGACAGGCGAGTTGTTCCTGGGTGACAGTCTCGTCGCACACACCATCCAGCAGGGTCTATCTGTGATCTAATTGTCCTGCTCTGCGGTGCGGCGAATTAATTCTGCAATCTGCCTCTCCTCCTCCTGCTCCATGCTCTGATGGATGATGGCATTGCTCACACGGGCCTGGTCGATGTGGTCAAAAATGGTGGTTCCTTGACCGGATTTTGGCGGCAGCACGTCAAATTCAAAGATCTCATGGTCTTTCCAGAACTGCGCAGGAATGCGCGCCATCGCACTCGTCTCGTTCGACAGGATCACGTGACGGAGCAAGTTGTCTGGGATCTTCTTCTTGTCGAACTGCCCACCGGCCTTTTTGCCTTTCTGGACAGTCTTTTTCAGCTCGGCCACCAGCCACGCCCGGCATTCTGTCCCCTCGAGCATCGATTCCACGCGAGTCAAGTACACCGCCGTTGCCAGCTTGATGTAATCGGACACTCTGGAAGATGGTTCTTTGTGTGCGGCCAATTTGTGGAGTAGCATCTCGCCTGTGTAGGGATATGTATCGTAAGCGTTGGAAAGAGCCTCTGCAGCAGCCGTGCGGTCTATTTTGTACTGGCAGATGGCAAGAGAGTATGCCAGCGGCGGAGTTAGCCACTCCTTATAGGTCTTGACCAGAAAGCTATTGCACAGGTCCACCAGATACTGGAATTCGCCGGCCATCACGGCGTAAAAATCAATAAAGTATCTGACTCCATACGGGTCGCCGGCCGGGTCGAACGACAGCAGCAGCTTGCAGTAGTTGAGGGCCGTGTAGAAGGTGGATTTTTGGGTCAGCACGGTGATATATTTGAACACTGTGAGATAGCACTGTCTGTTGAGGAAATACTCAAACGGCAAGCGACAGTCACCGTTCCCGAGCTGGAAGTTGGTTCGCAAGCTCCAATCAAAAACGAAAAGTGCCCGCTCTATGAGCCCGTTGGTGTTCGAGTTATCCCCTTGGCGTTGGAGAATCGACGTCACCTGCAAAATTGTCTCCAGATGGTACGGGTGCTGCTGGAGCAGATGAATTAAAGCCTCATGGTCGGGATGGATGACAGTGTATATGTAGAACTGCGTGGTAATTGCCCGTGGGTAGGCCGGGGTCTCTACAACGCAGAAATCATGGGTGCTGCCAGGCACCATTTCCATCGACAGCGGCTTCTTGGGCGTTGGGATCCAATCGTCGCGGATCTTGCACATCACCAGCTTGCGGGAAGTTCCCGGGATCGAGCGGCGGTCTCGGCCACACCAGCCACGCACGCGCTTGCTCAGCAGCTTGATCTGCTTCAACACGTCCGGACTCACAAACATGGACGGCGTGGCGTCTGCGTCGTCCACGGCCGCCGACGAGAGTTTGCCGAAAACGGCCTCAAACTCTCGGTCTGGGTCCAGGTCGCGCGGATCAAACTGGAGCAGCGGAAGGGCACTTTTTAGCCGTGCTGCGGTCAATTCAGGCGCACCGTCGACCAAGTTCTCGTACGGCCCGGCAAAGTTGTCGGATGGCTCGTCCTGATCAGTAGTCTGAGTGTTGATCTTGAGCTGTGCGAGAATTGCATCGATGTCATCGTCCTCGGGCGGCGGCGACTTCTTTTTCTTCGGCTTCTTTCCTTTACTGGCCGGCTGGGGCTTTGGTGCCGGTTCCTGTGCTATATCTTGTTCTTTATCCTGTTCTTGTTCTTCGCTCTCGTCGCCGTCGCTCTCGTTGCCTAGCAATGCAAATGCATTCGCCGCGCGCCGCGGCACATATTCGGGCTCGTCATCGGACGCTGTTTCGAGCTCCGTTCTCTGCAATCTTCGAATTGCCCTGTTGCTCATGATGGATTAATTTTTTAGGTGAAAAAATAAAAAGGTGCAGAGCTGGGTAGCATAAATAGGCCCTACAGCACGAGGTTTTGTAGTTATCAAAACAGCACATCTTTTGCGAATTTCCCGCTCTCAGGCTTGATCTAGTCCATATCATGACCGTTTGCCGACAAGGCTCGGAAACGATAAGTAGTCCACGTGCTTCCGCCTTCGACATCTGCAACCTATATATGCCACAATAACGGAGAACTCTGCCTGGAGTCTGCAAAAAAACTCTGGCCACCACAATATCCAGCCCGGAAACCAGCTACGGACACTGCATGGAGCCCTTGCACTAAAAGAGTGCTTTGGAATTGGCCGAATTTTGGACCATTCACCTCGCATAGCAGAAATGGAGGCCCCAAAAGTTTTCCCCCTCATATCGCTCATAATGTCATATTAGCCGTAGTATACATACTAAACGCCTATACACTCTCAACGCTGGCGTGCTCCTTGAGCTCGTGGGTGACGCCCTTGTCGTCGTCTTTGGCAAGACCCATCTCGGCAGCGAAGGTGGAGTGAGGCTTCCATCTGGCTGAGGTCCATGGGGTGGTCTCCTCCAGCATCTTGTCGACCTGCTCCAAAGTCAGGCCCTTGGTTTCTGGAATCAGCATCACGGAATACAGAAGACAGCAGCCACACAGCGAGCCCCAGATGAAGAACACCTTGGCCCCCAAATTGCCCTTGTCGCCGTCAACCATGTAAGGGGTGATGACGGCAATGACACAGTTCCACAGCCAGTTGGAGGCGGTCGACAGACCGACACCTCTGGATCTGATTGGCAATGGGAAAATCTCTCCGATAATAACCCAGGCTCCAGGACCCCAGGTCGAAGCAAAGAAGAAGATGTAGATGCAGATGAAGGCGATCATGGCACTGACGGTTTTCTGGTTGTCGCCGTCGACGGTACCGGCAATGGCCACGATAAACTGACACACAACCATACCTGCGGCACCGTAGATCATGAGCGTACGACGGCCGAGTTTCTCGATCGTGTAGAAAGACAGAGGAGTCGACACGACGTTGACGATGGTGGTGATCATGGAGATCAGGAACTCGTTGTGGATGGTGCCGAGCTGCTGGAAGAAGGTGGTACCGAAGTAGAAGATGAAGTTGACACCGGTCCATTGCTGCATCATCTGCATGGAGGTTCCGAGGATGGTTTTTCTGAGGTTCGACGAGGCCTTTCTGAGTCCGCCGGTGAAGCAGGCTCCCCACGATTGCCAGTAGCCCCTGGTTGGAATGACGCTCTTTTCGTACTCGTGGTTGGCCACGATCTCGGCGAGTTCCTCCTGGATGTAGTCGGAGTCGACAGGCTGGCCTCTGAGTCTGGAGAGCACCTTGGCGGCCTTGTCGAGCTTGCCCTTGAGGACGTAGTATCTAGGGGATTCTGGGAGCAAGAGCAGTCCACCTCCGAGGATGATGGACCAGATCAGTTGCAGAGCAATAGGAATTCTGTAGGAGCCGGAGTCGTTTCTGTGCTCGGTGCCGTAGTCGACGCAGGACGCGAGCAGCAGTCCGATGGTGACGAAGAACTGGTAGCCGGAAACAATGGCACCTCTGATTTTCTTTGGCGAAATCTCAGACAGATACAGAATGACCACGGACGAAACAAAACCAACACCAAGACCAGCTATGACTCTTCCCACGGAAAGCAGAGCCACCGTGGTGGAGGCGATCTGGAGCACAACACCGACCGAGTAGATACCGCAGCCGGTCACAATAATGGTTCTTCTTCCGAGCATGTCGGCCAGGTCTCCAGCAAACACGGCACCAATGAAGGTACCTGCAGAAAGAATAGAGGTGATAAGGGATTTTTCAGAAGAGGGAACGACAAAAGACGGATCGCTATCGCCCTGTTTCACTTTGCCAGTGAACTCATGGATAAAGTAGTCCATACCCATGACACCGGAAATGTAACCGGAGTCGTATCCGAAGAGGATACCTCCTAACGCACCAAAGGCGCACATAAGATAAGCTTTGACAGTCAAGGGAGCCTCGACTCTGTTCACGTCAGCAGTTCCTGCCACACCAGCAATACTGCCGCCAGCCATTTTCGTATTTGTTGATTGGATTCTGGGGAAAACGCTGGGGACACACACGTATTTATAGCAGAGGTAAACAATGGACATCCAATAGCCCCCAGGTTTTTTTCAGAAAAGGTGGGGAGAAAAATCCGGCCTATTGTTGAGCTGCATGCAGCAAGGATATGGAAAATTTTTTCGTGGGAAGGGTGGAATCAGCGGGGGAGGTCTTCGTTACGGTGTGGGATGGGCTGGGTTGTTCGCTGTGGGCAGTCTTCTAGCAGCTTTTGCACATTTGTCTCCCTTTCTCGACGAGTGTTTCTCGGAAAAAAACCCTTTCAACGCCGTGCACGGCGGGCCCCACATTTCCCCAGTCGCGGGAGTGACCGTATTGTCGCTGTTCTGAAAACAGACGCGTGGCCTTTTGTAGACGCTACATTTTGGGGTGCTTGTGCAGCTGGCGAAACAATGTTGATTTCTTTGGAATTCCCACTTGTGGTGGCCCGCGTCAGGGTTTACTCCGTTTGCCCATTAATAATGGCTGAATAAGAAAATCCAAACAATGGAAAACCCCACCATTACGAAATTCTTACAAAAAAGATCGGCGCCGTGCAGTGCGGAGGCTAGAATCGCACTAGTTCGGATAATTCCACTTTTTCCACCACGCCCTCTAACGCGCTGGCACCCGTTTGCAATGACGTCAACAGTGTAGTCGAACCACTCGCGCAGTGGGGTATGTCACGGTGCACGCTGGTGAATCTCGCCACGGAATAATCTACCTGCGTTATGGCAAACGTGCCAAATGTGCCGCCTCGACGGGGACGGGGAGTCTCCACTTGTGGTGTCCCACGGGGCTGGTTTGTTCTAGAATTTGCTGACGTGCCAGCACGATCTTGCACTCGCCGATTCGGAAAAAAATCTAGGGTATCATTTATCCGCAGATGGCTGCAGATGCATAGCCGAAAGTAAACATGTCGAGCGACAGGTCCGGAGTGCTGTGTCCAAGCCCGACTGTGCCGGAGCGGAGTCCTGCGTGCGAAAGAGGGCATGTATGCTGGCAGTGCTATTATCACTCCACCATCGAGAGAGCGTGTTTTCGGAAGCCAGGTGTTCGTGGCTAAAACAACAGCTCCTACAGCCTTGCCTCAGCCGTTCGTTCGCACAGCGTGTCCCCCAATATTCTCCTTCTGTCACCTTGACAGCTCATGTACCACAGACGGACACACCTTGCAGGTTTCCACACGATGGTCATCGCTCGCGTATCTGCTTCTTGCGCGATCTGAAGTTATTTTCCCGGTGTTATAAACCGACGATTGCTCCAGAAGACGCGGGAGAAGTTCTCCGTCCACCTTCTAGAGCTCCTAGAAAGGGCCCTCATCTCGTTTTGGGCGCCTACTAGCTAATACAGACCCCTTTTTTGTCGATCTGGGCACATTCGATAGACTGATAGCTTACGTCTTGTCTGTTAGGCCGGTAGTAACTGCCCGCAATATAATTATAGGGCGGGGGCCTCCAAAATCCAGAACACACAGAGCTCTCGTTGGACTCGCATAGTTCGGCACTGTATTGAGAAAACAATACACCCGCAGATTTGAGGAACCGACGTCGAGCTTGGGCCGTAGTTCAGCACGCCCCGAAAACCATTACCGTGGGGAGGCACAGTCAACGTCGGCATAGAAAGGGCGATAGAGCTGACCGGTTAAAACGTCGGTTGGAGCTTGTCCTGGTCTCAAACTTTGCACGCTCCTGCAACTATTTCCTCCCAGAAATTTGTGGCCACCAGAAGGTGTGCCGCTTGGGTGGATCATTTCTGCGACTTCAGCTCTAAATACGCTTTAATTTTTTATTTACAAGAACGGCGCCCAGCCAGCATACATCAACGCCAGGTTGCGGCTGTCGGTGGCCTGGCGCACGAGCTCGCGCACCACGGCCTCCTCGCTGAGCCCGCGCGCCTGTAGTTTGCGTAGCACGCCGCCGATCGCCATGCTGGCCTCCGACCCCACGTCGCGGCGTGCAGCCTCATCCCAGTCTCCCCCCCACTCTTCCTGCACCCGTCGCACCCGCACAGGAGACACCGTCCACGAGTAAAGTGGGTCGTATTTGAGCACGTCGAGAATGTCGCTAATGTGCGTGGAGTTGGCACGCAGCACGCCAAACACGTTCTCACAGCTGCGGCTAAACACGCCCGCCGTGCCCGTCACGCCTAGCCCGTCCATCAGATCTCTTGTCAGCCGAAACGGCACGATCTCTGGCACGGGAAACGCACGGCCCTGGTCGAACGCCACGCCCAGGTCGATGTGGATCGGCTCGGCCGAGACTTTGTCGACGAGGATGTTGTTGCAATGGCGGTCGCCGAGCCCGAGCACATGACCCACAATGCTGGTCGTCGCCAGCCCACGGCTGTACACCAGGCGCGCCTCGAACCAGCCGTCTGGGGCGGCGTAGTTGTTGAAGAAAAAATGGCGGAAGCACGGCCGCACCTGCTCGCAGATGTCCATGTAAACCGCCACGCGGTGCGCGGGGGAATGCTCCTGGGCACTCTTCATCCTTGCGCGGGCGCGGTCCGCACGTAACTTGTCCCTCGCATGCAACCCACGAAGCAGCTCGTCCAGCGAGGCAGAGTTCGACACAAACTCGATTGCGCCGGACCGGGGGCCCAGCGGCACAACTTTGTACGTACGCACACGCAGCTGCCGCCTCCGAGCGCGCGCGTCCTGCGCAAGCAGCACGTTCACCTTCCCAAACACCTGCTCCATGATACTGTCCTGGCGCAGGTCGTCGGACCCGCCCTTGAGGATCATCCGGTGCGTCTCGCCCGATGCCAGCACCACCTTGACAATCTTGGGCAGGCTCAGCCCAGAAGCCGCGATTTTGGCCGTGGGGGCCACCTGGACGACGTACTGGCCGGTATCGTAGCCCCGACTTGTCTCGCGGCGCTGCACGGTCGGCACAGGCATTTGCAGCCCCGGCAGCGTGCGCACCCACCAACCCCCCACATCTGTGTATTTTGCCCCACGCAAGTCGCGGTTCGCGAGCTCCACGCACGCCGTGGCCATCGCCTCCACTTTGGTAGCAGTTTCGCGAGCATCCGACGCCAGCAGCCGCGACCACACGCTGCGCGCGGCCTCGCCGCGTCCAACAGACGCCTCGTCCGCGCTGTCCCGCCCGCTCAGCATCAGCGATTGTAGCAGGTACATCCCATCGTACGGGTGCTGCACACAGATCTCAAACACCAGCCGTTGCAGCGTGCGCTGGAACCGGCTCGCCTGGCTCGCGAGCCGCGACGTGAGCTGGTTCAGCCACGGCACAAACTTGTGTTTCTCGATGTCGTGCAGCCCCGCCCCCACGTCCACGTCCGTGTACGCAAGCCACAGAGCACACAGCCGGTCCACGTTGCGGTCGACGCAGTTGTCGTTGGCGACCGCCGCACGCACATAAAAATCAATGGCCCGTCCCAAATACCGCGTCTTGTTGCGCCGCGCGCCCACCAGCTCTTCCTGCTCCGCGTCCTGCTGCACACGCAGCCTCTGGTGTGCGCGCCGCGCATTTTTCCGCCGCGCCTCGTCGCGACCTGCGCTCGAGCCGTACTTCTTCAGCTCGGCAAGGTCGTGCTCCCGCTGCGCCACCGCCGCCGCCAGCTTCTCGATCTGCCGGTCCAGCTCGCCCCCACGCACCTGAGCGTCGCAAAACTCGGCCAGAATGTGGTACATCTGCGCCAGCTGCGTCTCCTGGCCTTGCCCCCACGTTTCTGTCTCCACGTACTCGCTCATCAGCCGGTCGGCCGTCTCCTGCCGCGATTCGTACGACCATTGCACCAGTTTCGCCAGCAAAAGCCCCCGCGGCAGCTCGCCGTTGACAGACACATGCGCCAACGCCGTCCGCAGCGTCTCCAGCGCATAGCTCGTCTCGTGCTGCGTCCAGAACGACGCCGCCACGTTGTACTGCGACAGCACCCACACGTCCGTGCCCGCGCCTGCCTGCTCGCCCAGCCGCGCCAGACGCACAGCCGCGTTCGTCGCGTGCTGCTCCCGCCCGCTCCCGCGACACAGCTCCGCGTACCGGTGCAGATCCACGGCTAGGTCGAGGCTCTGGTCACGTGACCAGAGCCCCGTGCGCGCCTGGTACAGATCGGCGGCGATCTCGAACGGCGACGTGCGGGCCAGCCACGAGTCGCAGCGCGGCTGCTGTACGGCCGCAAACGTCGCCAGCGTGACGATCCACTCGCGGGCGCGCCTGAGATCCCGAAAAGCGTCAAACTGCCGCGCCAGGTCGCCGAACCTGGCTTCCAAGTGCGCGGCGCGCTCAGCGGCCCCTCTCGGTGCGTCTTTCAGCAGCGAGTACATCGCCGTGTGTTTGTCGCTCACCGCAGGCGTCGGCAGTTTCCATTCGCCCAGTTTCCACAGCTGCTCGTACGACAGCGTCGCCGTCTGGCCGCCCAGAAGGCTCGAGAGTCTATCGTACCCTGTATCAAACAAGGACGCCACCAGCTGGCGCGGCTCGTGCAGCTCGTTGTACCTGGCGTTGTCAAACATAAGTCTCCCGCCCGTGTTGTCTGTCCAGTGCAGTCTATCGACGCCGTAGTCCCAGCTGGAGCGCAGGGGCAGTCCAAAGAAGAGGTCTTTTTCGTCCAGCGCAGCGTACGTCCTGTACAGCCACTCGTGCTCTGTGCGCCAGTCCTTGCCGCGCCCGCTGGTGCAGTGCTCCTCCATGAGCATGAGTGCGGCGCGCGGAGCCAGCGGCGCGGCTGCCTTGTACACTTTTTCGAGGTCCAGCTGGGCGTACAGGCGCAAACACGATTTATTTTCGCGGATCGTGGCAGCACGCAGCAGCAGCACGAACTCGGTGAATTCCTTGGTAATGCAGGGGGCAGACGGCCTGGAAAAGACGGCGCAGAGCAAATTGGAAATGACAGGGCCCATGGTTTTGTCGCTGTCGAGGAGATACAGCAGGACGTGGCTGAATGCTGTTTGGTCATGGAAGATAAGAGCACGCAGGGCCAAGGCGACGGGGCCCGGCCGCATGGCCATCAGCGTGAGCAGAACATCACGGCGGAACGTTTCGACGGCCCAGGAGGCCGGGTTTTCGATATCGACGCTGATTGGCGGCGTGGTGTCCAAAAGTCGCCAGACAACACCGTCAAGCCGCCACACGGGCTCCTCAGAAACATAATCCAGGTTCTGGGCACGCAGAACACCACACACACAGAGATACGCAAACCGGGCCGGCACAGAGGCCAGCTGCGGCCGCAAAACGTCCAGCAGCCAGCGCAGGTCCATCCTGCTCCCGGTCACGTGACCAAACGCACGGCGGTCGAACTCGGGAATTTCTGTGGCTGGGTTGAAGCCCGTTTGCTCGTAGGTGCGCGCCAGACAGCACGCGACGAACCTGCGCAGGTTGTCCGCCACGCCCATTTCCAGCACGGCGTAGAGGCCCGCGGCAGTTTCTGGGGTGCACGCTGCAGCTGACGGAATTTCCAGTCTCTCCATCAGCGCAGACAGCAGCTGCACCGTTGGTTTGTCTCTGCGTGCCGCCAGCACGCCCAGCACGTCGTCGGCGTCCAGCCGGCACCGCCGGCCGGCCAGAACCGCAATCGCCGTCCGGAGAAGCTCCGTTTCCGCGCCGTCGCCCTCGAACCTGTCTCTGTTTTTATAGAGCCATTTGCTGAGCTCGCTGCGTTCCTGCAGCGCCTGGGCGAGCACCGGCGCCCATAGTTCGTACTGGTCCTTCCCCGCGTTCGCCAGCGCGGCTGCCACGGTAATGCTGTACCTGCAAACGACGGGAATGTATATTTTGCAGAGGGAAGCCGGAATATTCAGTTTGAGACAGTCCTGGACTAGAGTTTCAAAACGCGCGAGCTGCGCGGCCTGTTCGTTGGCCGGAGCGGCACACAGCCGTGCGAGCGCGCGCATACACAGAAAGTGCACCAGTTCGTCGTTCACAGGGCCTGCTACCATCTCAAACAGCTCTGCCACCGCGTCTTCGATTTGCAGATCAAACTGCGCAAACTCGCTCCCACTGAGTTCCACGACACGGTCGAGAACAAGACATTTCTGGCGCTCAAGCTCGCCTGCGCAGTGCTGCTCCAGTCTGGCAAATATTTTTTGTCTGTAACCATTTTTCGTCCAGGCAAGAGCCACCGCAAGCGACACCGCATCGCGCACGAGCTCGGCCGGGGTACGCTCTGAAACGGCGGCCACGCGCGCAATCAGCCCGGACCCGCCATAGGCAAGACACATCGCCGCCACCTCCGCGCCCACGAGCTGCAGAAACTGCCGCGTGTCGAGCGAAAAGAGCCCGCTCGGAAACGCAAGCACAGACCGGCCAAACCCCATCCAGACCTTGACGATGGGGAGCTTGTATTTTTCCAGAAACGCGCGTGGCCCCGCGCAGCCGTGCGCCAGTTCGGCCAGCGTTTCTGGCAGCAGGCTCGCCACGTTCTCGAACGTGCACAGGTCCAGCAGGTTGCAGAAACACGCCAGCCCGGCGGCCGTGGACCGCGCGCTGACGGCGGCGCAGAACCGGCAGAACACGCGCGCGGCCTCTGCCGACCGCTGCGGCTCGAACGTCGCCAGCAGCGTCGCGAGCAGATCGAAATTAAGCTCCAGCACGCCAGCCAGAAACGGAGCCACGTCCAGCCGCACGTAGCAGCTGCTCTGCGTGAACGAGCGCACGATCTGCGCCAGTTCCTCCTGGCTCCTCGTTTCCGTGTACACCCGGATGCACAGCCTGAGCACATGGAACTTTGCCAGCCGCGTGCAAACGAGCCTTTTTTCGTCCAGCTGTAGCAGGTACCCGTAAATATCAGAGAGGTGTGCATACGCATCTGAGCGCGCCCACACGCCGACGTGGGGCTCCAGCAGCCGGCACAGGGCCACGACCGTGCGCTCCTGCGTTTTCGTCTCGTGCGCGGTGACCAGGGGAATCAACAAGTCGGGGGCCGCAATAAATATATTCTTTTCTGCGATTTTTTCGCACACACGCAGCAGCTCGGCAGGAGCGAGCTGCGCGGCCAGAGCTGCCAAACATCCATCAGCCTGGTCCTGCCCGCTGTTGATAGCCAGCAGCAGTTTGTCCACCGGCTCTCCCTCCAGCGAGAAAACAGGCTGCGGAGCCACGCCGAGCGTGGCGGCACAGTTCACAACGAGCGCCGGCTCGTACACCAAACACCGCTCGTCCGCCGCTCCCAAGTCGCACAGCAGCAGCGCCCAGCACACCGCCTCGCGCGACGGCCGCATCTCGCGCAGCCACCCGCGCAGCGCCGTCTCCAGCTCGGCAAGCTTGTGGCCCAAATCTGCATTTTCTCTCAAGAAGTCCGCCATCGCCCGCGCGTCGTCGACCGTCGCCGGCTGGAAGCCCTTGTGCAGCACCCAGTCGACGACGGTGCTGCGCAGCCGCCGCTTATTCTCCGGAAAATAGTTTTTTAGCTCGTCCACGGCAGGCTGGCAGAAATCGAGCATCGCGCGCCAAAACTGCAAACTCTCTGCACACACGCCGTGCGGGCCGTTCATATCGAAGATATCGACCGCCATGGCGAGCTGCAGCAGCGTCGAGCGGTCGAGCAGAGCGTGGATATTTTTTTTCCTGAAAGCTGCGCAAAATAGCACACACGCCTCTCGGCACAGCTTCGGGTCTCTGACCAGCTCCAGACTCGTTTTCACGACACGGTCAATTTCAGCGGCGGCGGCGGACTTTGCCAGCAAGGCTCGCAAACACCCCAGCGCGCCCTGGCTCAAACTGGCGTCGTGCAACTCGACAACGTGCAAAAACTGGGTTGCAAGAAACTCCGTGTGCGCAGCCAGCTGTTCGAACACAGTATCGGTTTCCAGCCACTCCTGCACTATCGCCAGCGCCGCACACGCCACCGGCCGGTCCAGATCCGCAACGTTCTCGCCCAGAAACGCAACAAAGTCCAAACACGAGCTGCGCCGCACAAGCAGCGAGACCTGGCTCGCGACGCCGGAAAGACGCTGTTTTTTCGCGCCAGACGACGGCACCGCCACAGCAAAGTACCGCTCCAGCGTCAGGGCCACCGCTGCGCTCGTCTCGCGGCACGCGGCGCAGACTTGCACGCCAAAACACAGCACACAGTGGACGTCTGCCTCGTTCGTCCCGAAAACACCAGCAAACTCGGCCATGGCGCCGATGAACTGCGCCACCGCCAGACGCGTCGCAGCCATGCTCACCGTGCGCATTCCAGCCACGATCCGCACGCCTGCCCAGAAAGCCCGCTCCGCCAGCGCCGCGTCCACCAGCCGGCTGTCTGCCATGACCTGGCGCATCAGCCGCACCAAAAACACAGCCGTCTCTGTCTCTGCCATTTTTGCGCCACATCGACGCTCCGAAAAGCTCACGATCGCGGTGTAATACGGCTGCTCCCGTAGAAACATCTCCATGCTCGAGGAATTCGCAGGTATGACGTACTCGCAAAGCAGCTGGAGCAGCGCGTTCACAAGAATCTGCTGCGTGTCGCCTGCCAAAACCAGACAGTCCACCGCCGTGCGCACTATCGCCTCGTGGTTCTCTGGCTTGAGGTGGCTCTTGAAATTCGGCACACAGACCAGAGAGCACAGAGCGCGCGCCATTGCGAGCGCCGCGGGCTCGAAAACGCGCAATTCGCCGCCCCGACACACCATGTGGCCCAGCAGCATGTCCACCAGCTCGCTCAGCTGGCGGTACCTCAGCTGTGCAACGGTCGCGGGCTGCGCGATCGCCTGGCACAAACGGCGCATTAAGTCGGCCGTCTTGCCGATCCGCGCCTCCAAAGCGCCAGATCCGCGCTCAGACACGTCGGCACGCAAATACGGCACCGAATCGAGCGCTATGCTCTGCGACAGAGCGCGCAGCAGCCGGTCCGCGTGGTCGCGAACAGCAGGCGACCCTAAATCCGCCGCCTCCAGCTCATTCAGCGCCTCGGCGCGCTCGCGCACTCTCGACGACACAAGCGACTCTGCATATTAGCCAACGGGCGGGAAACAACGTACCTGCGATCTCGAATAGCCGCATTAAAACGTGCTGGACAGTCTCTACTCGCAAAAATCGATAAATTATTTTATTTCATCTTTCCTCTTTACGTAATCAAGGTCGAGCCCGGGCCTGCTCAAACCACAACACCAGAGTTCGAGGCAATACGCGGCCACAGGTCGGCACACTCCTTACCAACAGGTCCAGTAATGGCAGATCCCTTCATCTCTCCCTTTGGGTTCACAATCACACCGGCGTTGTCCTCAAAGTACAAGAACACACCGTCCTTTCTTCTCCAGGCCTTGGCCTGTCTCACAACGATGGCTGGCATGACCTTCTTTCTGAGGTCTGGCTTACCCTTCTTCACGGTGGCCATCACCATGTCTCCAACAGAGGCGGCTGGCAGTCTGTTCAGTCTGGCACCGGTACCCTTGACGGCCAGGACATAGAGGTTTCTAGCGCCCGAGTTGTCTGCGCAGTTCATGATAGCTCCAGTTGGCAAGGCCAACGACATACGGAACTTGTTTCCAGAGGCACCTGATCCGGACATTGCGATATCTGTGTAGTTTGGTTAAAGGTGAGTTTTTTCTTGACAAATTTTTTCTACAACAGCCACCAGCCACCGTGGCGCGTGCCGGCCGCGGCGACTCAGGGGGGCCCTGCCAACCCTCGCTCGTGTCACGTGGTATTATTATTGAAGTTATCCGACCCTACATAGCGTAAAATACTGTAAATCTCAGAGCACCTCACTCCTCCTGGTAGAGCGCCTCGAGGTAGTCCCGCACGTACTTGGCCGACCGCTTGAACCGCCGCTCGCTGTACTTCTCGTAGACCGCCTGGTGGTGCGCCGCCGCGCGCAGACAGCACTCCTCCACCGCCTCGGCCAGCGGCTCCAGCTGCTCTGCAGTGTAGCCCGAGTAGAAAACGTGCAGATCGGTCCAGTCCCCGCGCCCCAGCATCCGGCGTGCCAGGAACTGCGCGCCGGCCGCCAGCCAGCTGGGAGCAGACGCCACAAACCGCGGGTCCATGATGGTCACCTCGATAAAGTACTTGGCCAGGGTTCTCACCTCGTTGTCGTAGTCGTCGGCTTTGGAGCCTCGCCGCAGGAACGACATCGGGCCCGGCCAGCCAAACTCGAACTTCAGCACCTCGACCATGAATTTCTCCGCGCGCAGGAACTCTGGGATCGTGAACTGGTCGCCCACCATGTAGATCATCTGCTTGATGGTGGGCACGTTGATTTCCTCGTATTTCGCAGCAATGAACAGAGCAACGGCACCGCACAGCTGGAAGCGGGACAGCGAGATCGTCTTCACCGACAGAAACCGGTCGATGATGTTGACTGTGAGAAACAGCGTTTCTGGTAGCAGGTTGAACCGAGCGTGCAGTTGCACCAGCCAGTTCATCAGCGTCGCGCGGTGCTCCCACGTCAGCTCGTTCTGGACCTCCTCGACGTATTTCGGGTTTGGGGCGTACTTGTACTCCAGCTCGTGCAGGTAGTTGAAGATCTGGTTCCCGTACTCGGCCACCATCGACACATCAAAAGTGTCCTCGTCGGTCGGGTCCAGGTAGTCTTTCGAGTACTTGGCGTATGCTCTGGTGATCTCCTGGACGACTCTGTCGTTCATGATCGGCGACATAGGCTCGTTCACAAACCCAGAGACGTCGTAGTCCTCGTCGTCGTCATCCTCCAGCTGTGGCTTGACAGATTTGAGCGTTTTGGAGTCTGCTAGTCTTGTGTTCAGCGAAGAGTCCGGAATGACTCCCAGAACCTTTCTTTGTCTGCCCGGGACGGCCCTGGCTGGCTGCTGCTGCTCTTTGAGATTTGTTTTGGCGTTCTCGTCGTGCTGAACGCCGGTCCGCAGACCGTAGCTAATGCCATTAGTACTCATGGTTTTCTAGCCAATTGAAAGCGGGTGTTGGTCTATATTAGCTATTGATAGTGGGAACACAGTGAAGATAGGGAAGAATGTGTAGTTAAGTTGTTACCGCTCGCGTTGGTGTAGAGGTTCGGGATCTTTGGCGCTGTTTATTTAATTTTTTGTTGATTGTTTACCATTTCTGTCGCTTTGTTTATGCGTCGATCGGCGCGACTGGGTCGCATTTTGGCATAGCTTTTCTGGCACTGACACGGCTGCAGTTATCCAGGCAGCAGCATCCCGATGCACGGCTGCAGCTACGGGACCGGCTGCGTGCTACGGTAGACAGAGCACATTCCTGGTTGGCTACTGAGTGTTATTAAATATGTCACTAATTAATTCGGGCAGTCATCACAGACTCTGTGACGTGTAGCACGCTCCTAATTGCAAATGCTAGTCTGCTTAGCCGAGGAACGACGAGACTCTGAGACTCTGTAGCGCAAGAACTCCTTACCGCAGAAACTCTGAGCTGACCGAATCCCCAAAATTTACGCTTTCCGCTCCTCCTCCTCTCTGCCCTTTTTTCGCAGCTGCGATAAATTTTGAATGATTTTTGAATAATTTTTGAATAATTTTTGAATATTTTAATATCCCAAATTTTCATGTTCCACCATAAAAAGACCATCGCCGAGGGCGACCTTGTGCTGGCGTACATCGGTCGAGACAACCTGAAACCCATTTTCGTCAAGAACGGCGACGTTCTGCAGACAAAATACGGAAACTTTCCGCACACAGACATGATCGGCAAGCCCTTTGGGTCCCAGGTGACATCTGCGAGAAACGTCGGGTTCATCTACCTGCTGCTCCCCACGCCGGAGCTGTGGACCGTCTCGCTTCCGCACAGAACCCAGATTGTCTATACGCCAGACTCCTCGTACATTGTCCAGCGAATGAACGTTGTGGGGGGCAGCAGGGTGATTGAGGCAGGAACCGGATCGGGCTCGTTCACGCACGCTTTCAGCAGAACCGTGGGCCCTGCTGGGCGGGTTTTCTCCTACGAGTTCCACGAGCAGAGATATATCCAAGCGAAAAAGGAGTTTGAGAGCCACAAGCTTGAAAACGTCACGCTCACGCACAGAGACGTTTGCAACGAGGGATTCGACATAGACACGGAAGTTAACGCGCAGATGGTGTTTCTGGACCTCCCGTCGCCCTGGGAAGCGATACCGCATCTGTCCAGAGCTATTGCAAAAGACCAGACCGTCGGGATCTGCTGTTTCAGTCCCTGCATCGAGCAGGTGGTCAAGGCGGTGGAAGCACTGCAGGAGTGTGGCTGGACGGCGATCGAGATGACCGAGGTGCAGGCGAAAAAATGGGAGGCCCGCAAGGAGATGGTGCGTGAGCTGGACGACGCGATCGAGCGGCTCAGAGACGTGAAAAGACGGCAGAAGGAGGGGGCAGAGCTCAAGAAGCTGCCACCAAAGAGAGACGCAGATGGGAACGAGAAAGACCGCGGATACAACCCGTTCGGCAAGGGCAAACGCATTGCCGAGGGAGACGAGAGCTTCCAGTGGCAGAACGTTTCCAAGACGGGGCCCGAGCTGAAGACACACACGTCCTATCTGCTGTTTGCTCGCCAGGTGCCGGTGCTCGGTGCAGGGATGTGAAAATAATTCGAATAATTACATAAATAAATAATAATTCAGGGGAATAATTAAATTCTATAATGAGCTGTCTACTAAGATCTGTGGTGCGCAAAACAATTGTGAATCACTCCGTGCCCAGACTGCTGTTCTGGCATGGGTGTCGTTTTGTGCACTCGAGTCTCGTGACCTTGCGGTACTCGCGGCCACCGCGACAGCGGATCGACCGGCCCTCCCTGCTAAACGAGGTGCTTGCTCGGACCCCAGACTCGCTCAAGCTGGCGCTCGGACTCACGGCGGTGGGCTCGCTCGTGGTGTTTGTTGCACTGCCGCTCTTTGCGCTCGTTGTTCCGCCGCTCTGTGTGGGCTCGTTCATGGCGTACAAAATCGCCCAGAGACGCAACCGCAAGCAGATGAGCGAGAAGTGGGCGCTGCTAAAAGACTCGACGCTGATATTTCGGCCTCGGAACAGCGCAAACCCGCTGGCGCTGCCGCCGCTCGAGCAGATCAACAGCGACCTGGCGAACTTCGTGCTGCGGCGAGTCTCTGACGCGTTTCTGCTGAACGAGGACGGCGTGGCAGACTACTTCAACATCCAGTCGGTCAACGACATCGCTCTGGGCGTTCTGGACGGCGTGCAGTACGATTGGAACGTCTCGCTACAGACAGTCAACGGCGTCGTCCAGGAGGTGGAGGACATGATCACCGTGCAGAGCAGATATCTCTACGACAAACGGTCCGGAGACAAAATTGCCAAGGTAATTTTTAGTCTCAAAAATTTGGACACCCCAATTTTTCAGGACCTTCTGGAGCAGAGCATCAGCGTCGGCAAGAGCCAGTGCGTGATCGAGGTCGTCCCGCTCGGCTTTGTGGCCAACAGCCGTTTCGTCATCAACACGCCGTCGAGCGAGGGCGACATCATCGACGTGGAGGGCGAAACTAGGACATTGTAAATAGAATTACTAGCTATGGTGGATCTATTCACTAGCTCTCTTTGGCTTCTTTTTCTCTGCCTCGGCCGCTTTCTCGGCTTCTATCTCCTGCACGATCGCCTCGATCTCGTCGTTGGACAGCTGGTTGATCACCCGGCCGGGCTTCATCACGGAGATCTCGATATTCTTGGCTCCGGTCTGCACCACCTCCAACAGCGCCTTGACGGTCAGCGTGATGGTCTGCGCCTCGTCCAGCTCGTTTTCCTTGTCGTAGTTCTTCTCCAGAAACTCGCGCACCGTCTTGCTACTGCGTCCAATGGCATTGGCTTTCCATGCCGAGTAGATTCCTGAAGGCTCTGTCTGGTACAACCTCGGCGTCTTGTCGTTCTCGTCAAAGCCCGCAATGAGCGTCGACACGCCAAACGGCCGGGTTCCGCCGCTCTGCGTGTATCTCTGCTGCACGCCGGCCACGTACTTGGTCAGGTATTCCACCGTCACCGGGTCCTCCAGGGTCAGTCTGTGGGATTGGGCCTCGACACGGGCCTTGTCGATCAGGATTCTTGCGTCTGCGTTCAGCCCAGCAAACGCCAATTGCACGTGTGTATCGATCTTGTTGATTTTCGACGGGGTGATTCTCGGATCCTGCAATTTCAGCGTGGTTCGTCTCTCACACGCAAGAACCACAACCTCTTTGCCCTTCACGCCCACCGCACACGTTCCGCGCTTCACGGCCTCCAGGGCGTACTCCACTTGGAACACGTGTCCGTCGGGACTGCGTGTTAGTCGGAATTGTTTAACTACTTACCTGAAAATAGATAGAGCACTGTCGTAACCACTCATGAGAAATGTGGCAAAAAAAAGTATTTGAATTTATTTCAAATGCATTTTTTATGAAGAGGCAGAATTCGGCCAAGACACCCAGACCGCCCAAAACCGTGCCCAAAAACGACCACTACCAGCGGCTCGGGTTCCTGTACCAGGCGGCCGCGCAGCTGGACCCCAACAGCGCGCTGTCTCGGATGTACCTGCGCAACATGGACGCGGTGGCCAAGAAAACGGTGCTCAAACTCGACCCCAGCGTGAAACGCACCGTGTGCAAGAAATGCCACCGTCTACAGTTGCCTGGACGAACCGCGTCGATCAGGGTCGAAAACACCAGCAACGCCCAGAGCGCAGAAAACGACGTTCTTGCTGTCTCGTGCGTGTGCGGAGCACACAAACGGTACCCTATAGGAAAAAACCGCAGCTACGTGCTTTTCAGCGACAAGAACGAGATAAAAAATAATTAGCATTTACAGCATTTAATGTACATTAGCTTCTACCTAGTAGAACTCGTCGGTCAAAAACGACGTCAGATGGCCCTTGCTTCTCAGCTGCTTGTCCTCGATGGTGTGTCTCTCCACGATCTCCGTCTGTGCTTTTTTCCACTCGCCAAAGGCGGCCCCGTAGTCTATTCTCGTCAGCTTCTCAAGCGGCTCGTCCTCCTTGTCGATGTCCAATTCGCCCATCATAACAACGTTTTCACCTCTGATAAGGAAGATCTGCGGCTCGGTCGACTCGCCGTACCGCGAGCCGTCCAGATAAATCCGCTCCACGCCGTCGTGAATGACAAGGTTGGCAAACTGGTCAAACGTTCTCAGCACGCCTATAACGCTTCTGCCGTCTCTCAGCAACACAAACACCTTCCTGTCGACAGACCCAATGATGGCCGCCGTCGTCGTAAACGAGTACGACTGCAAATACAGGTCTTCCAGATTCGAACTCGACCCACTCGACATTATTTAAAAAGCTTGTTTTTTCTTGACTCTTTTTACATAAGCACTACCTACATACACCGTCTACAGGAATTCTCTGGCCTTGCGTCTGTACTCGTTACAGTCTCTGAGCCACTGTCTGTAGTCCCTGAGCGACCCGATCTTCTCGCCGTAGTAGTCCGGCACAGGGTTGTTCATGCTCTGTCTGGAGGCGTCGACTCTGCGCTTGATTATGTGCTTGAGAAAAAGCTTCTGCTTGATGCGGAAGCTGTCCATGAGCTTGCGGTTCTTCAGCGCAAACAGCGGGTCGCCAATCAGACTAGGCCCGACCAGGAATCCCAGCACTCCCATCGCCAAAATGCCTCCAATGTGAACGGTGAAAGTGTCTAGTCCGAATATGGTCTCTGTAGGGTCAATTTCGATCTGCGAAACGTAGCCCCACGAAATGGCAACGGCGAGAAAACTCGAGATACCGGATCCAAGCAAGGACATGCGGTGCTGTTCCTTTCTCAACGTCAAAAACTGCTCCCAGGTCATTTTCTTTGCTAGCTCCAATTCCTCAGGCGTCAGCTGGCCCTTGGAAGCGGCGGCCTTTGTGGACTGCAAGCGCACATTCACCTTTGGCAAAACGCCCGAGTAGAGCCCAACTCTGCTGCGTGAACAAATTTGTCTGAAAAACATGCTCAACACGATATATATATTTTTATATTTTTTTATATTTTGAGCATTTTACCTACTTTACTATTTTTCTTGCACTTGGAGCTATATTAACTTCGAACTAACTGTATAAAAATTGCAACTAAGCTTTCTTAGTCCTCAGAAGCCTCAAGCAGCTCTGGCAGCTTCTCCATAGGAAGACCCTCGTAGATGATCTGGTACGTGGCCTTGAAGAGCGGGAACTCGTCGATCACGTTCTTGGCAGCCAGCAACTCGTACACCTCTCTGGTGGTGTGCAGACCCTGACAAGATTGGCCGTTCAACAGCACCTTCTCTGCCTCAAAGCCGCTCACCTTGTGCTCTGCCATGTATCTTCCGACACGCACGTTGCGTCCACCGGCGCACGTCGTGATGATGTCGGCAACACCAGCACTTTCGTGGGTGAAGGTGCTGGAATGACAGTCGTCAAAGAACATGTGAGCAAACTTGATCATCTCGACCAATCCTATCCGCATCACAGCAGACTTGGCGTTCTCTCCCCAGCCGAGTCCCTCGACGAAGCCGGCAGCCATGGCAATGACGTTCTTCAGAGCTCCGCTCAAAGACACACCAGCCACGTCGTCCACGACTCTGACGTGGAAGTATGGGCGGTGGAACAGGTTTCTGATCACTGTCTGGTCGAGATCCTTGCCCTCGCCACGGAAGTCTTCAGGGAGTCTGTAGGCCACAGTGGTCTCTGACCACTTTTGTCTTGCAACCTCCGGAGCGAGGTTGGCTCCCGACAGGGCACCACAGTAGATTCCGAGCTCTTCCGTGATATAATTAGAGAGCAGCTTGCAACCGTCCTTGGACACCTCGAGACCCTTCAGACAAGAGATTGCGCGGGCCTTAGGGTTGACCTTGCCCTTCAATTGGGCAAGGATCCTTGGCAAAAACTGGTGAGGGATATTGAAAATAATAATGTCGGCGTCCGAACAAGCATCAACGATGTCCGGAATGGCAACTATGTTGTCCGGCAATTTGACGTCAGGCAGGTATCTGACGTTTTCGTGATCGGTGTTGATGATTTCGGTCAGCTTACGTCCGTCCACCTCTTCTTCGAAAACCCACATTTTCACGATCTGGTGGAACTCCTCCGGAAGCTCCTTGGCGTTCTCAGCGACCACTTTTGCGATGGTTGACCCCCAGTTGCCTGAACCCACCACGGTGATGCGGAAAGGCTTGCCTTCTGGGTTTGTCTTTTGGCGTTTGGCGGCCAATTGGTTGCTAACGTGATCCAGTCTATCCACTGCAGTCATTATTGGGAATTGAGATGTGTTGTGACTTGAATCAGAGTAGATGGCAAAAGCTGGGTTTTAAATGAAGATTATAAAAAGTAGTCCCCCAACAAAAAAAAAAAAAGTGAAGAGGTTAGCAGTGTACAAAGAAACGAGTATGACGTTTACCTGCAGATCAACAAGTGCCTTGAAAAAGAATCGTTATAGTCTGGCATAATAAGCAGCTAGAGGGACCTCCTTTGTGCAGATGCTTTTGATACAAGGTTATAGGATCTGTGCCAAATTGCCTATTCCGTTACTTGGCAAGCTTTAATTAGTCTAGCCTTCCTGCACAAGATTCGTATGTGTCCCGCCTACCGCGTAATTAATCCTGCTCAGATCCTGAATGTTTTTCCGACGCCTTCCGCGCCACAAACAAGCTTCTTTTGGAACAACGTCATCGGGATTCGTTGACGTCATACCGGGAGGGAATGGACCTCTGCTTTCTGCAACTCCGAGAAACACACACAACCTGACACAAGGAAATGTTGGCGGTGGGAAACACACTTGTCTAGATCCACTGCAAATCTGCATGTAGCAAATTTATTTTAGGAGGCGTCTGTCCAGAGGAAGTGTTTGGAATGCCGTCCCACACCTAAATGGATCCGTTCCATATCGATGCTTGTCTCAGTCGCCCAGCGGACCGTCCTCAACCCGAATCTCTGTCGAATTAGCTCTTGCGTAAGCTACTTTCCTTCTTCGGGATACGCAGATCAATATCCCTCGGTCTACTTCCAATCCCATCCACTGTGTTTCAAATAGCGATTCAAGTCCACCCTTTCCGGCCCCTCCCCTTCAGACCCCTCCCGTCTCACCCACTGCTACGTGTGCTTATCTTATCGTATCTGGGCTAAGGTGTGGTTGAAAATTTTAAAGTAAATTTTACCAGAGAGAAAAAAACAAAAAGCCAAATCTGCCTGCCATGCCATCCAGAAACAGCATCAACAAGCCCAAGGACAACATCCTCAGACGGCAAAAGCGCCAGTCGCTCGGGAAGAAGAGAGCCGGATCCCGCAAATCATCCAGAGACGACGCTCCAAAGTCCACGGCCGTCGCGCTGTACACGGGGCCTTCTCGCTCTGGCGTCACCACTACGACACTGTCCAACAAAAAAAGCAAGAAAATCGAGAGAAACAAGAAGTACGCCAAGGCCCGCAATCTGGACACCGACCAGCTGCTGGTGGACGCGCAGGCCAAGCAGGAGCAGATGGAGATCGACGAGGCCACGGAACAAGCCCAGGAGAGCGTGCGAAGCGCCCTGTGGGCTGTTGTCGAGGACGCAGCGTCCGGCGGGTTCGCGTACGACGTCTCCGGCGAGGGCACTACGTTGGGAGGACCGCTGACTGTATAGAATATACTAATTTATGCTATTCGAAGAAGACCAATAATTCGCCAGATCCCGGCAGGATGCGTCACTCAAGCAGTCCGCGGGACGCCAGCTCTCTCGACACGTGATCTCTGAGCAGCTGGATAACGTCCTCCGGCTTCTCTGCCTTGAACACAGAGGTGCCGGCAACAATGACGTTGGCTCCAGCCTTGGCAGCAGCCGGGATGGTTTTAGGACCGAGTCCCCCGTCAACCTGGATGTCCAGATGCGGGTACTTGGCCCGCAGGTTCTCGACCTTGGGCATCATGTCGGCCATGAACGACTGGCCTCCGAAGCCTGGCTCGACGGTCATCACCAGTGCCATATCTAGGTGCTCTGCGAGCGGATAGAGCACGTCGACCGGCGTGCCTGGTTTGATCGCGCACGCAGCCTTCATGCCGTGCTTTTTGATCAGCTTGACAAGCCCAACAGGGTCCTTGGTTGCCTCGTAGTGGAACGTGTACTGGTCGCCGCCAGCGTCTGCGATTTCCGGGACCCATTGCTCAGGGTTGGCGACCATCATGTGGCAGTCAAAAAAGAATTTCCCCGGCTGGCTCTCGTCTCTTGGAACCGCCTTTCTCAGGCTCGAGATGATAGGCGGACCCATGGTCAGATTGGGGACGAAATGGCCATCCATGACGTCCAGATGGACCCAATCGGCGTTGCACTTGAACATCCGGTGGCACTCGCAGCCGAGCTGCGCGAAGTCGCCAGCCAGGACAGAGGGAGCAATAATCGGTTTCACCATTGGAAAAATAAATTCGAAATAATTCCTGCGGTTGAGATGTCCGATGGAAATAGCCTGTAATTACACAGCCAAATAAATGGGATGGTAGAATTAACGTTACATGCCTAGAAATGTTTAGAGTCCCTGTTCCTCGAGGGTCTTGAAGACCATCGGCTTGGTGGAGTCTGGGAATTTGATTCCCCGCTCAAGGAGTCGCGAAAACACGTCGGCAAAGTCCGACATGCACTTCTCCTCGTCTTTGGCATACAGCTCCACGTACTTTCTGAACTTTGAGTCCTTCTTCAGCACCATGTCGGTTGGGAGCATCATCAGAGACTTGGTGCTCGAGTCCGTGTACTGTCTCTTCCCGTCCCAGTCTCTGATTTTCCAGTCCTCGTCCAAGAGCAGCTTGAAAAAATCGTTGGTCACCATTGTAGGTGAGAACGTCCATGGACCGTCGTAGCCCGACGCGTCGACGTGGCATCTGCCCAGAGCATGGCCCACGCCGATCAGACACACCATCTCCTGGTCCGTGAAGCCGAGTCTGCTGTTGAACACCGATCTCACGTACTCTCCGGTCTCCTGAGACGCATCCGGCAGACGGTGGTACGGAGGAACAGCGTCGAGGCCGAGGTCCTTGCGGCCGGGTCTCCACTTGATTTTTGGCCCGTTGAGCTCCTGGATGGCACACACGCCTCCCAGGGTCCAAAGATCGCCGTACGACAGGCTGGAATATTTAGTCTTGAACGGTTCCAGAAAATCCTGTGCCACCTTCAAGCCTGCATTTTCTGGGTCGTCCTGCTCTTTCTGGAATCTCATTGTTCCCGCATACGAGCCGCCCTTATTTTGCGACGAGTCGTTCTGGTCGTACGTGCCGGAACAGTGCCAGGCCAGTCTCACCAAAACGGGGCCGTACGACCCGTCGTCGCGGTCGTCTTCCTCTCTGAGCTTTTCCGCTATGTCGTTGTAAATTTTCTGGTACTCCTCGAACGGCTTGACGGAGGCGCTGGCCTCTCTGACGTTGGTAGCCAACAAGGTCGACGAAGCCAGCAGCTTGCCAGAATTGTTCGGAGTCGGAGTAGGCCCGTTGTTCTCGTGGTAAGCATACGCTCCCGCAGCAGCTAGGGAGACTGCAATAAGAGGTCTGAAGCTGAGTCTAGGAACTGTTCTAGCGAACGAAGCCATTGCAATGATGTTCACCCCGCACAGGAAATCGGCAAATTATATAGTGCTGCCACCACTTACTAATTAGTTAGCATATAAATGGGCCCAGAGTCTGCATAGTCACAGATCGAGTAAAAATGGCCGGTCTGGCCAATCGCCGGGCTGACAAAAATAAGCACACCTGACACCGGAGAAGAGAAAGACGCTACAGAGAGACTACACCAGGACGTACACCAGACACACAGGCTACAGAGACTACTTGCGAAACTACTTGCGTAATCGTAAAGAGCCGTCTTTCGCGGCAAGCAACGATTCGCAGCACTGAGAGGCACCCGGCGCTCTCAGCACAATTTGGCGACAAATCTCATCAAACTATATGTTCAGGCCTCCACGATGTGGCCTCTTTCGGAAACGTAGATACCGTCCAGGAACTTTCTGATATCCTTGTTTCTGACCCTGCAGATCTGCTGAATATCGGCGCACGTCTGCGACACGTTCTCGAGAGAGTTTCCCTCGACGATCAGCTCGTCTTTCTGGGCGGTGGAGATGGTGGCCTTGCAGCCCTCCCACACCTTGACTTTTCTGAGTCTTTTTTCTCCCAAGAAGTTTCTGATCTCGACGTAGTCCTGGCCGTCCTCGGTCACAACGTTGACGTTGATCGGGAAGTGCGCGTACACAAATCTCATCTTGTATCTGAAGCCGACAGTGACGCCCTTGATCAAGTTGGCAATGATAGATTTCACAGTTCTCAGCGAGGCGACGTGTTTTCTGTCTCCGTTGTGAACAGTGATTTTAATCTGTGTATTGGACAACTTGGTGAAGGTGACGTCGATGTGGCGCAGGTCTTTCTTCAGCTCGCCGCGCGGACCCCTCACGAGGATGTTGCGCGACTTGATGACGAGAGACACGTCTTGAGGAACGTCGAGGATTTCGGAGGATTGGATGTACTTCATGGCGAAATTGACGAAAAAATTTTCACTCCCATAATTGTTATAGCTCTGCTGTGGTTACCCTCCTGTTTGAAAAATTCACCATTTTGTTTTAACACCGGCATGCTACAGTCCTTCCAACAACAGGCCAGACGGTTCCACGCCTCGCGTGTGGCGACCGCGCTGAGCAAGCAGAAGCGCATGGAGATCGCATCGCACAAAAAGAAGCACAACATCGTGCTGCAAAGCAGCAGACTCCTCAATAAAGAGAAGGTCGATCCTGTTCTCGGCAGAGCCAACAATCCGTTCATCGAGAGACTGAAAATGGAGATCGAGGAGCCCACCGTGCTGGCGAAGAAGTTTAATCTCGCGGAGGTGGACAAGCTGCTCTACGGAGCCAAGGAATCCAAGGTTCTCAAGTCTGTGTCGACGCTCGGTTACGACGAGGCCACAGTGAAGCAGATCGAGAGAGAGGAGGCGGAGAAAAGAGAGATTCTGCTTCGAATACTCAGCATGAGAAACGCAGACGAGCAGGAAAGGAACAGACGGGTGCTGGCCATGGCTGTGGCCGAGTTCGGCAGGTTCGAGGGCGATACCGGCTCGTCGGAAGTCCAGGCCGCCGCCATGACTGTGAGACTGTTCAATCTCATGGAGCACATCAAGCAGAATCCGCAGGACAAGATTCATATCCGCCGTGCACGTATGCTGACCCAGCAAAGACAGAAGCTGCTCAAGTACCTGAAAAAAGACAATCCGCAGAGGTATTACTGGGCGATCGAGAAGCTGGGACTTACCGACGAAGTGGTCCACATGGAGTTCAACTTCGACAAGAGATACATGCAGGACTTTGAGATCTGGCCAGGCAGACAGCTGATCCGTCCTGGCAAGCGCGAGACTAGGGAAAGTGCGAGAATGAAGAGACTGTTGACCAAAGAGAGACTGGACGAGCTGCAGATCCGCACAGACGAAAGCGAGCAACAGCAACTGTAAATATAGTATAATTAGTATATCCGGTTGAATTATTTAATGTATGCCGACGGAATTAGTAGGTAGGCTTCTTGCAGTCCTCTGGAGTGCGTTCCAAGACCTCCTTGAGGCTCCATCTAGGAGGGACTCCTTTTTTGTAGTCGCCAGGGTGTTTCTCTCCGCCAGAGATGCCCGAGCTGAATTTCAGGTACAGTTTGTCTCCGATATCGTCGCAGATGGTGAGGATTCTGTCGATGTCTTCCTTTGTCAGCGAGGCAGAAACACAGAGTCTGACACGCGACGATATGAGCTCCGTGGCCGGGTAGCCGACCACCACGACGGCGACGCCGCGCTCGTACATCATTCTGCTGAACGCAGGCATTTTTGGAGGCGCATACAGCAACAGAGGAACAACGGGGGAGTCGTCCACACCGTAAATGATGAACCCGAGCCGCTTGAGCCCGAGACGCAGGTATCTAGAGTTGAACGCGATTCTTTGCAGTCTCTGCTTGCCCTCGTCGCCGTTAATTTCTCCCATGATGATTCTCAGCGAGGTGCTGATCTGGGTGACCACGGCCGGAGGCATCGACTCTCCGTAGACGTTGGTGCTGATGTCCAGTCTGAGCCGGTCAATAATTTCCTGATTGGCCGCCACGTATCCACCGGCCGCGCCGAACGACTTGGTGAACGTGCCCATGAGCATGTCCACCTTCGAAGGCGAGATTCCAAAGTAGTCGCAGACGCCTCTACCGGACTTGCCTAGAGCACCGATCGAGTGTGCCTCGTCCACAAACAGGTAAAATTTGTATTTTTCTCTCAAAGCCACCAGGGCCGGCAGGTCGGCGAGGTTTCCCTCCATCGAGTACAGACCTTCCACACACACGACGATCTTCTTCCACGGCCGGTGCGTCTTGGACTGGCCCTGCGAAATCGACTCTCTCAAAATCTGCTCGAGCTTTTCCATGTCGTTGTGCGGGAAAACTTTCACGGCCGCGCCGGCAAGACGGATTCCAAATCTGATGGAGCTGTGGTTCAGCGAGTCCGAGATCACGAGACACTTCGAGTTCACCAACGAGGTGAACAGATTGGCGTTGGTTCCAAAGCCCATCGAGAACATCACCGCGTCGTCCTTACCGACGAACCGAGCCACCAAGGCCTCGGTCTCCTTATGGAGGTTGCATGTTCCGATCTGGTTTCGAGGGCCGCACGACGACGTGCCGTACTCCTCCACGCTCTTGACAGCGGCGTCCGTGCAAGACCCGATGGATTGGGCGAACCCGAGATAGTTGTAGGAGGATAGATTGAGCAGCGGCTTCAGCTCTCCGCTGTAGAGGAAGGTCTCGTTGTAGTCTGGCGAGATGCGGTCAAAGCATCTGACAAAGCGGCCTGGAACACCGTAGATCGGCCGCGCAAAGCAGTCGTCCAGTCTTTTCTTCAGACGACGCGGGTAGAACGACTCGAAAGCCGAGTACCACGGAGGGTATCCGTTTTTCGGCAGCACAGCTTCGAAATGCTGCGGCATGAATCTCTTTCCAAAGAAGTCCTTCAGATGGCCGATGATGATGAGAATGAGGTAGTTCAGGTACGTGAAGATGACCACGAAATACGGAGGCTCGTCCACGGCAGGGTTCAACGGCTGATTTGGGTCGTAGCTCACCTCGTACAGGTAGTCCTTCGAGCTCAGCGGGCCGAACTCCATGTCCATTTTCTCCTTTTCGGAGAGGTGTTCCTCAGGAGCATTCGGCAGCCTCGTGTAGACAAATTTCTCCATAGTATACAGCCGGATGCTTTGCCTTGTTTATCAGAAAACCGTGGTTTAAAATATTTATTAGAGATGTACCCGGAAATTTTGGCAGAACAAATTAATTGTAAGGAACTAGATATGAGCTGTATCGTGAGGCTGGAGGGCTGTTTGCTGTCGAGAACGCTGAAAAATCAGTCTGACGCGCTCGTTTTCCAAAAACCTATCACGTTCTCGCTTTTCCAGGGCGAGAAATGGGCCGTTGTGGGAGACTCGCACCGCTCTGAGTTTTTCCAGGCTCTCCAAGGCTCCTTCTTCGCTCTGCCCCACCCGCGCGCCAGAACGTATCCGCTGCGTCTAAAGAAACCAGACATGCGAATTGAGCTGCTGCAGTTTGTCAACAACGGCTCGTTTGGCCACGGAGCCACCAACTCCTCCGGCGGATTTACTCATCTATCCAGCCGATACGAATTTTTCAAAGACCGCGAGGTGGACGAGCTGGTGGCCGATTTTGTGGCCAACATCTCGTACAATTCACAGCACAAAAAAGATCCGCGGCTGCTGGACGAGATCCTCGAAAAGGTCGATCTCAAGGGCTTCGAGCAGAAGTATATCACCACGCTCAGTAACGGACAGTTCCGCCGGGCCCGCATAGCAAAAAGTCTCTACGGCAGGCCAGACCTGCTCATGATTGAGGACCCGTTTCTGGGGCTGGACCCTGTTGCGAAAAATACCGTGTCGCGTGTTCTGGAGCACACAGGCGCCCCCACCACCGTGTGTCTTGGGCTCAAGCTGGAGGACGAGATCCCCGAGTGGATAGAGAAGGTGGCCATTGTCGACCGCATCGGTATTGTTGAGAGTGGCAACAGGACGGATCTGGCAGGAACACTGACCAGCCTATGCACAGCACACAGGGAAGAGCAACAACAGTTGAAAAGCCAGCTGGAAGCCAAGCTCTACCATCCTCACGAACAGACCTCAGATCGCTCCGAAACACCATTGTTGGAGATGTGCGACGTGAACGTACTGTACCGGGGCAAGCATGCCTTGAAGAATCTGAACTGGACTGTTCGGGACGGCGAGAAATGGCACATCAGAGGCAAGAATGGGTCGGGAAAAACCACGCTTTTGTCGCTGATCACGTTGGACCACCCGCAGGCTTGGAATAAACACATAAAAATGAATGGCGTTTCACGAGCAACGGGAAAGACCAACTACTTCGACACCAACAACCAGATCGGGTTCACGTCGCCAGAACTACACGCTATTTTCCCCAAACATCTTACTGTCGAGCAGGCAATCTCGACGGGCTACCGTACAGGCTCGTATATCCCTCCCCAGACGACGCCCGAGCAGACAGAGAAAATCGCCAAGTATCTGGAAAACGTCGGTCTGCTGCAATACAAAGATACAAAGTTCAAAGACCTGCCTGTGAGCAGTCAGAAAATGGTGCTTTTGCTGCGCGCAATGATCAACCAGCCAAAAATATTAATTCTGGACGAGTCGCTCAGTGCCATGTCCAATGAAGACATCATTAAGGGCAAAAGTTTGATCGACCAATGGAAAGGATGTGCGCTTGTAATTGGACACGTTGCGAACGAGGTGCCCAAATGCGACAAGTTCATCGACCTGAACGGCGCAGACGAGGGCAAATACACCATTGGAGAGGTGGAACATTAGACACGCTCGTAGAATAGCATGTATGCGTCTCCGTTGACGACTTTATTTGGCGCGCAATTTTTGTACACCTTTTCGTCGTCAAATAGACACCAGCCGTTGCCCGGCCCCTTCTCGACAAAAGCAGTGTAGTGGCCATTGATGAGGTTTCCAAAATGGTTGATCACTCCGTAGAGCTTGTATCTGAAAGGCGGAACTTGTCCTCTGATCGGCAGTCTGCTGAGCTCGATGCGCTCAAGCTCGCTCTCGACGTTGGGCCAGTACTTGTCTAGCTGCAGCTCCAGAGGATAGTCGATGTAAGTATTGAGTTTTGTCAGATAGTTGCCCATTTTGAAGCGTTTGAGGTGGATGATCAGCACCTGGGGCAGTCTGGAGATCTGGAGATGTTTCAGCGTACGCTGTTTTGTTTTGCAGTGCGGACACAGCCACGCATTGTCGTTGTCGAGCAGCTCAGGTTTGACAAATTCGTCAAAACATGCGCCCAGCGTGGATTTGGGGCCGTTTTCGGGAATCGGCAGACTCACAGTGCTAAAAGCGTTGTATGTGGTCGAAGTGGTTGAGCAATTTAGACACCGGAGCTGTGACATGATCTGGCCCTGGAAAATGTCCACAATGATACTGAAGTTGGTCTTCAGATACCGTTCCCACTCGATTGTAGAGGCGATTCTAATTGGCAGCTTTTCGCGTTTTTCCTCCTCTTCTTTGCTCAGCTCGGGCAGTTTCGGATGGTTGCCGTTCTCGTTGAGGTCCTCGTGAAGCGAGTCAAGAGCGTAGTTTAAAAACTCCGAGCAATCTTGCTGGTCCAAGGTTCTGTACATGCTATTGAGAGATGCTATCACTTTGCGGAACTGACGAGGCGTTACTGATTGCGGGCGGCTGGGGGTGCTTTTTTTGTACAGCTCTGTGAGCAACGAGGAGAACTCGTTTGCTAGTATGCCCTTCGATCCCAGTCTGGAGTTCATGTTGATGTGTTGTTTAAATGTGCCGACAATGAAGAACTCTGTGAGTCGTTTGGAACCAATCAGACACTGAAGCGCAGAGTTCATATAGCAGGAGTTTCCCAGATTTGACAGGCCAGTCATGACGCTCAAAGAGCTCTGAAACACAGAGCTTGATCTGGAGACCGGCGCTGGCGACGATGCGGGTTTCGCCGGCAGCATTGGTAGCTGCGCTTTCGGCGGCGAGCTTCGCGAGCTGGGGAGAGGTACCGGCGACAGAAATGCAGGAGAAGGCCGCGACGGTGAGCTCGACGATATGGAAGACTCGGGTTTTGGAGACGGGAGGCCGTTGCGAGTATACATATCGAGGTAGGGCACAGCTGCTGGAGTTTTCAGCTCGATAGAGCTGTGGCTGGATTGCGGTCTGGACTGGCTGGAAAGAAACTCGCCGACGTTCTTGATGAGCGCCCGTTCGTTGTAAGATGTCTTTCGTTTGACTGTCAGGTCGTCGTGGCTGGAAATGGAGTTTACAGACTCAGACCGATCACGTCCATAAACAGGCCGGGGACCATGCATTGGTGACGACAGAGCAGACCGGGACTCCGACCACGCCTTGTAGCCACCGTCCAAAATGACGGGATTGCGTTTGAGGAAGACTCCAGCATTCTTGGTCGTCAGTATGGAAATCAATCGCGCAAGTTCCGGGCTTTTGGACTCTTTGGTGGAATTGTAGTCCAGAACAACCACCAGCTCAAAGCGGCCTCGCTGCGCAAACAGTTCGCGCTCTTCGTCTGTGTCGGTGATCATGGAATATTTTTCTATTTCGTGGCAGGTGTAGCTGTCTCTAATTGACACGGGCTCCAGCTGTATGATGTAATCTGCGAGATCTATATGCTCAAACTCGAATTCTCGTTTGCGGCGCAGATCTATGAGCAATACGAGTTCCGAGTGGTGTTTGAGCAGCACTGAGAGCTGCGAAACCGAAATGGCGGCGTCGAAGGAGTCGAACAACTGGGTGACGTCCTGTTTAGACGAGCCGTTGGACGCTATCTCCGTCCCGCTCTTGAGGGTCTGTAGCCTCAGAACCAGGCTGTCGGAAGATCCACGAATATGCTGTTTCATGGCCTCATATGTGGGGCGCTGTCTCACCAGATAGTTGATCAGATCTGCGTAGAATTGGTACAAGCTGGGTTTCTGCTTGAGCTGTCTATAGTCGTCGAGTCTTGGGATCAGATCGCTCAAAATCCTGGATGCTGCATTGTAGTAGATGAAGCCCTCCTCGAACTCTGACGCCGCGAGCTCAGAAACACGCCTCTGCCCAACAACGCCTTTGTAGTTCTCGATGCACTCAAGGGCCTTCACAAGGTGCTCTTTGGTGGAGTTCGAGGAGCCGACTTCCAGCGACTCAAGCAGCTCATCCACCAGCCCCGTCAGCTCGTGAAGGTTGCGGGGTTTGCTGGTTCCTGAGGGCATCAGCAAATCAGTGTGGGGAGAGAATTAGTGTTACAATAAGTCTAAAATGTATATTTATTAGATTCGCGCAACGACGCAAAAAAAATAGAGACGATCGACGCCTCACCATCCGTCTAAGGGGGTCGAAGACTGCTGGTTATTGACGCTCGCGAGGATCTGCTCGGGACTCAGCATGATGGAGCTGCCTGCAGAGGGCACCGAGCTGCCGTTCTTCGTCTCAAACTGTCCCATGTTGCCGTTGAACGACTGCTGCTGGGGCTGCTGGGGCTGCTGGAAATTAGTGAAGTCCTGTGGAGTGTACTGGTTGAAGACGGGCTGCTGTTGCGGTTGCTGTTGCGGTTGCTTCTGCTGCGGTTGCATGGTTTGTGGCGTCTGGATATTCTGCTGCTGCTGGTTCAGCTGCTGTTGTATAAATTGCGAATACATCTGGTGCTGTTGCTGGGGAGCCTGCTGCTGCTTGGCACGCGGGGCCAGCAGGTCGGAAGGCGAGTTCCAGGCGAAATTCATCTGGCTGTGCTGCTCCTCTTGCGGGAACGTCTGGTTGCGGAACTGGAACTGCTGTTGCTGTTGTTGCGGAGGTTGTGGCTGGGGCTGTGGTTGGGTTGGAGGCTGAGGTTGGCGTTGTTGCATCTGTTGCATCTGCTGCATCTGCTGCATCTGTTGCGGCTGCTGTCTTGCTGCCTCCATGCGTCTCTGGAAAAATGGCAACGCTTCGGGATATAGCTGGTTGAGAAGCTTGTAAGGCTCGTTGAGCTCGGGCAGCTCTGGCGGCGGAAGAACTATTTGCGGGATACTGTAGTTTTTCTTAGGCATGTTAGGCGGAGTGGAGTGGATGTCGTTGATCGATGCCAGACATGTGAGATTAAAGTGGATGCGCTTCAGATAATTCTGGTACGTCTCTTTTCTCTGGTTGTAGTCCGGGTTCATCGAGTTGGACTTGTTTAGGATGTAGGGCTGGAGAAGCAGGCACTTCTGGAGCAGGACCGTGTTGATTTTGAGCAGCACGTCAATTCGTTTCTTGTCAATCTCCAGGTTGATCTGCGGCTGTTGTGCCGCGTGCGCCTGCAACATCTGTGCAAACGACGTGTTCTGGAACTGGTCCATAATAAAGGCTATTTAATTTTTTTTTATTTTTCACCTTATTCACCTCTGCACCGACGAGAGCCAGATTGGAAATTGCATTAATTCAACCGTTCCAGCCAGATCTCGCTCTGCCCATGCTTTTAGCTTTTGCGCTGTTCCCACTGCTTGGAGCGTGTATCAACAGCGTTGTGGCCGAAGCAGACTACAACTATGCCGTGGGTCTCGCGATGCGCGACTATTTCTACTATAGTCATGAAACGTCCTATTTCCCCAGCACCGAGGCCTCGGTATTTGCGTCGCTGGCCAGCGAGTACGACAACAACCTGTTTTTTGACCATCTGCTAGCTACCTCCATTGTCGAATATGCAACCTCCATGCTCTCGGAACTGCCTTCAACTGCCCAACAATACGTGCTTTCGGTGGCCACCAAATACTATACCAGTTTCACCTCTGTCGACTCCGCTATAGAGACTCTTTTGACTTTTCCGTCCAGCACGTCGTCACAGACCAGCTGGGACACGGAGATCATCATCCCAGACGACCAGTCGGCCACATACATGACATACTACAAGCTGGCTAAGTGCAATGCGCTCTGCTACGATATTGCGACGTACGGCCGCCAATACAACAGCATGGCCATCACAAACCCGGGCTTTGCAACCAGCCTCAACGAGATGGTCAGTGCGTACTCCACGGAGTCCGATCTTCTGCGAGTGAACCTCGAATGCGACACTCTGCTGGCATATTTGAGCCAGCTTCCGTGGAGCGGCCGCATTCTCGAGGAGGCCAAAAGCTCGTACCTGGTTCTCCAGATGCTCTACGACACACCAACAGCAAATTCAGACTACTTCACCACGACATTCTACCAGCCGTGGGTGTATGTTTCCGACGCAGACACAGAGACCACGGCCGCGACATTGGGGCCCTCGGAGGCTGCTTCCTCGACGATGGCGTCGAGCACAGGAACGTATGTCACCACCACAACCATACTGTCGTCCACGTCGGTCAACACGGACACCCCGCGCGCGTCCATGGCCAGCACTCCGGCCACTGAAATTAATAAGACAGACACCGTCACGATCCACTACGACGCGCAGAAAATTTTCTCTGCGGTGATCGAGGGCCTGGTTATCGACTACAGAAGGCACTCGGACGACTACAACTCCCTCATAACTAAAAACAGCGACCTTACCATCGTGCAGAACTACACGAACATGATCAACGAATTCAAGACCAGAAAAGCACAGCCCGACCTGGACGAGTACGAGTATATAGTGAAGGTTATCTACACGTTTGCGAACGTTGTGCCGTGGCGGTCGAGGATTTGGGACGGGATGGGGTGGTGGTACACGAACCAGATGCTTTCGCAAGGCCAAAGCACCGAGTCGTTCACCCAGGGAGCTGGCCAATTTTTCACGCAGTTGTACAACCCGCAGCTCACGGGACAGCTGGACGCCCGAATCACGTCTGTTCCGCAGCTCAAGACGAACGCGGGGATCGGCGTGGAGGACTGACGCACATGGAGCATATATAGTAACGCGCTACTGGATCTGGATAATCTCGAGATCGAACTAAAAAAATAAGAAATAACGGCCGAAAAAAATAAAATAATAAAATAAGGGTCAAAAAGGGTGCGAATGCAGCTCGGTATTCTTTTTGCTATCTTGCAAGGCTTACCGAATTTTGATCAATAAAAAAATTTCCATCTAGGAACAAAATCATCGCATCAGAGACACTGTCCCAGTGCCGTCCACCATCTCACAACCATCGGGTTTACATGCCAGCCACATAGCCATGTCGTCCGTGTCGTTGATTCTTCGATTACCCCTACTCTTGTTCCAGCTTGCACGGCACATGCTAAGCCAGGCTTTGAACAAGAGATCATTTTTTGGACTCCTCCTGAATTTTGCACTCAACTTCTCGCCTGTATTTATATGGTTGCTGATGTTCAAGAATGCCGGAATCGTCCCGAACGAGATCCGGCCCACGATTCACGTGAAACTGGCCATGTCGCTGGATTCGTTTGTCTTTGACGTCCACAGACTCTCCGCGTGGTTGTCCTTCCTGTTGATTCTTACGTGTTCATATTTGTTGTGGAGCTATTTCTACCAAGTCCCGCGCCGCGCCCGCTTTGAGTCGAGCCAGGAGGTGCACGAGCTTGTCATTCCGACAAAAAACGACGAAGAAAACCAGTTCGTGAATAATGTCGAAATGACACACCTGTCGCAGACTGGCACCGTCTCGGTGGGGTCCAGTGGGTCTAGCGGGTCCAGTGCCTCCTCGACAGATCTGCCCCTCGCCTCGTCGGCCCAGCCAACATACCTTCCTGTCTCCTGCATCTATTCTGCTCCCGTGCTCTTTCTAGCCCTGTGCTGGCCAATCCTGAACATCGATCACGCGCTGATCTACCCCCAGACCACTGCACGGGATTTGCTGGCGTGGTTCTCATATGTGCTGCTCCACTTTTTCGCACCGCTGTTCACAGCCATCTACCTCTATGTTTTCCAGGCGCCGGGCGCGATCAAGTGGTTTTCCTTCGCTCTTGGCACGCAAAATATTGCTGGCGTCATCACACACATGCTCTTTCCCAACGCTCCTCCGTGGTTCATCTTCTTGTACGGGGAGGACGCCGCCGCGAACTATGATATGCCCGGATACGCCGCTGGCCTGACACGTGTGGACGTTGCGCTTGGCACGCATCTGAATTCCGACGGGTTCCACAAGAGCCCGATTGTGTTTGGAGCCATCCCGTCGTTGCACTCGGCGATGGCGGTCCAATGCACGCTCTTCGTCGCGTTCTACACCAGATGGTGGTTCCCAAAGGCCGGCATGTTCGCATTTGTCATTCTACAGTGGTGGGCCACGATGTACCTGGACCACCATTGGCGGCTGGACCTGATCATAGGATTGGCGTACGCAATTATTAGTTTCACCATCTACAAACGGCGTCTTGAAATAGTGGAGCACAACTTTGTCAAAGCGCGACTGCGCGGCGACTTCGAAGGCGGCTCGTCGTACGGTATGAGAGTGTTCCGCAATCACTGGCTCAAAAGACTGTTCGACCCATACTTCTAATAGACTCCCACAAGCATTGTTACATGTCTTCGTCCTCCTCTTCGTGTGTAAGATCACAATGCATGTCATGCCATTCCTCGCCCGCGAACCGACACGAGCTCACGCCGTCGTCCACAAAGCCCAGCCCGCGGTAGAACGGCGTCACCTGGGGCTTGGCAAGTAAAACCACCTTGTCCGCCACATACTGCTGGTTCAGTTTCTGCAAGTAGTCCTTGATCAGAAGAGACCCGAGTTTCAATCCCCGGTACTGGCTGTCGATCACCACGGCATGGATGCCGATCGTGCGGCTAGTCTCGACGTGGCCGCTCTGCAAATCATTTTCGTCCTTTGGGATAGCCATCGACCGTTCCGTGATGGTGGAATCGTACGTCTTCGACGCTAGAATGTGTCCAATGAGCTTTTCATTCACTATGGTAGAACGCGGAGGAGGACTGTCGTTTTGCGCGGCGTTCTCCTCAAACTCCCTCACAAAAAGCCCGGAACACAGCTCCGGACACACCGTGAGACGATACTTGACTTTCTCCTCCGAGCATCTCTCGTGCTCGGGGAATCCCTGAGCCTCTAACTCCACCACTTGCTGCCAGTCGTAGATCGTGAGCGGCCGTATACAGAGGTGTTCAGGCTTTTGTTTGGAGCCGCTGTCTAGCTTTTGTTTGGATTCCTGGGACGATGCAGAGCTCGACGATTCTGTTGTTGACTCGATGGATGACATGGAGGAAGTAAGTGCTGTAAATAGATAACATTTTTTTTAAAGTTGTTGGAAATTCCAGGTGGCGGTGGTGGCGGGGCACAAAGTTTGGTGAAATAAATCCGTCAATTTTATTCACACTATTGCTAAACATGTCGGACATAGTGCTTCCTTTGGAGCTGATTGACAAGTGTATTGGGTCGAAAATCTGGATCCTGCTGACTACAGACCAGGAATTCGTGGGCAAACTCGTGGGGTTCGACGATTTCGTGAACGTTGTGCTTGAAGACGTTGAGGAATACGAAGGTGACAAGCTGATCTCCAAACGTCCCAAAATGCTTATAAATTCCAGACAGCTGGCCATGCTGGTGCCCTCTGGCGAAAGAACGAGCTCAGCCACGAAACAGCTAGATTAAAGCCGTATGTACACTACTCCAATGCATCGATGGACGTGTCACTTATGCGCCATAGAAGAAGCATCCAGATACTCTTGTACGGCACAAACTGGTGTGCCAGACAGTTTATCGCGTGGTCAGATGCGTACCTTGAGTTTTGCGACGACTTTGGCAATTTGGGTAGATCTAGCTCCTTGAGCTTCGCGTTTATCTCGGCCAGCAGCTCGGGCCGCTCAGACAGATACACAGTGGCTCCTCGCCGTATCCCAAGGTCTCCGACCTCAAAGATGTTGTACCGTTGGAGCGCAAACATGAGGAACATGGACGCAGACCACGGCCCTATGCCTTTAAATTTTTGTAAATCGAGACTGATGGTTATATCGTCCTTGGTTTGGAAGTACAGTTGCGAAAATTTCACGCCTTCCGGCGGCACCTCCTCCGACTCGATAAAAGCCTTGGCTAGTCTTTTCACAAACTCTGCTTTTTTATTTGAGAGACCACAGCTCCGAAGCTCTTCTATCGACTTTGAGTCAAAGATCTCCGGGTCCGGAAGCTCGTTGTCTCTGGACAGCGTGTCAATCACCTTCTGTTTGATGGCTTTAGCTGCCTTTCCGCTGATCTGCTGCGAAATCATTCCGCTGACTAGACTGTCGAAATAGTGTTTGAGGGGTTTCGTTCCGCCCACGTCTTTCAGATAAGAGTGGAACGGCTTCGTAAGATATGGCTCCAATGTTGGATCCTTCGACAGAATATATTTCAGTCCCTCTACGGCCTCCTTGGTGTTGGTCTCCTCGAACTTGACAAAATTCTCAGGGTCCACCTTTGTGTCTCGGAATTGGTCAAAATAGTCAAGTGTCGGAAACGTCTCCTCCAATTGGATGAGTTTTGCCTTCTTCACAGCGGTTTTGCCACCTTCGGAGGCCACAGCTGCAGCCCGTTTCATTGTTATAAGAGCGTAACCAGTGGCGAAAAAAAAAAAAAAGTAGCTGATAAATAAAATTTCCCCAGATCGCCACGAAGAACAAGCGATATGAATTTGACCATTGCTGTCGAGGATACGGACCAGATTATCACGGCAGATCTGCCCGAAGAGCTCGAGTTTGCGGATTTCAAGGCTTACTTGAAATCCGAGTCGAATATCGATGAAAATCTACAGGTGCTTGTCTTTGACGGCAAACAATTAGATCTCTCAAAAAACGGTACGCTCAAAGACCTTGGACTCAAGGATGACGACTTGCTGATCCTCAAAAAATCAGCCCCGGCGCAACAGCCTCAACTTGGATTTCTGGATGCGCAACTGGAGACCGTTCGCCAGCAATACCTCTCCAACCCGCAGATCCAGAGCCAACTAGATCCAGAGACCAGGGCCGCTCTGCACAATCCCGCAAGATTTAGAGAGCTGGCACTGAAGATGGTCGAGAACCAGCGCCAATTACAGGCAGATCACCAAAAAGAGCTAGCTCAACTGTACAGTAATCCTGATGATCCTGAAAGTCAGAAAAAAATTATGGAGCTGATCAACCAGGAGGCCATCGAGGAGAATCTGCGAACAGCCATGGAGATCTCTCCGGAGTCGTTCACCAGTGTGCACATGCTGTATATCAACTGCGAGGTGAACGGGACCCCTGTCAAAGCGTTCGTTGACTCCGGTGCACAGACCACGATCATCTCTCCTTCACTGGCGGAAAAGACAGGATTGACGAGACTGATCGACAAGCGTTTCATTGGAGAGGCCCGGGGAGTTGGGTCCACCAAGATCCTGGGAAGAATTCATTCTGCTCCACTAAAGATTGAAAACGGATATTTCCCGTGCACATTCACAGTCATCGACACACATGTCGAAATGCTTTTGGGATTGGACATGCTAAGAAGATACCAAGCAAATATCGACCTGAAACGGAATCAGCTGGTGATCGACGATGTGTCCACCTCCTTTTTGCCAGAGCACGAGTGTCCAAGCATGGTCGAGCAGGCTGTTCCCTCGTCACAGTTAGGAGGTAACATCTTTAACCTGGCAGATGCCCAAAAAGCCACCAAGAAACCAAAAGTTGCTACTCCTAAGTCGTCTGCCGACCCAGCCAAAGTAGACCAGCTTGTGGCAATGGGTTTCGACCGGAAACAAGCGGAGCTCGCTTTACAACAGACGAACAATAATGTTGAGATGGCGGCAGGAATGCTTTTTGACTAGAGTTGCACAGCGTCCTCTTTGAGCTCTTCGTCGAACCAGACGAATTGCATGCTTGGATGGTTCTGGATGATGTGAGGACTCATGCCTTTCCAGAGCCAGTCCACACGTTTGTCGGCGGAAGGCAGTTTTATGCGGGCTTTGAAGCTCTCGATAAACGCCCTGTCGTTCTGGTTGATAGTTGTGCTGTATCTCACGAACTCATCATAGATTGAAACCAGGTTCCATAGCTGTATTTTGCGTAAACATGCCACCACGAGCGACGTAATCTGGCCTCCATTGTTACAAAACATGTATATTGGCGAGCGATCCTTGTTCAGGATTAATTCGAGAATTTTGAGCACTTGTTCGGACTCGATTGGTATTCCTCTCTTTTTCCCCTTATCTTTGGCCGAGTGGTCGGTTTCGAAGTGTACGAGAAGTATATTATTCTTGGAGCAGAAAGAATATAGGGATGGATCATTTTCCATGGTGATTTCGGTTGGGGTAAGCGCGATCATGACCTTCAGCTTGAGCGTTTCCAGGTATCTGTAATTGATGGGCCGCGGATACGCTCCGCGGGCAAACGTTGGGGTCACCCGGGCAAATTTGATAGGAGGTGTAAACGGCTCGGGCATGCAAAAAAAAAAGTATCAGATTCAAATAATACAATTAATTATTTCTATTCAAATTAATTTCGTTTACAATTTGGTATGTGCTAAAGTCGTATATCTTGTCCAAAACGAGTACAATTAATTGTCGCCGACTGTGATACCAGCACAGGTGAATCCTACATTTGGCGTAACAGGGGCTGTACAACCGAATGCGCTAGCTGTGGATGTTTGGTAGTACTCGATGGCACTTTCGATAGCAGAGTAGGAGCAAAGTCCGGCACAGGAAAGGGATGCAAGGAAAAGCAGGAAAGCAATCACTTTGATGGAGGTACGTTTCCATCCCCCGTACGTGAGTCCACGCTTCCAACGCGACCAGTTGCGCAGAGTGTCTGCTTTGAGAAGTTTTTCAGACACGGGGTCAAAACTGTCCGGCGTAGTCACATCCATGCGGATCAAGAGACAGAGAATGAACAGGAATGGCAGAGTGTAGGAGAACTGGAAAATACAGAAGGCACCGATGATGGAGACCAACTCACTGATACCTGGGATGGCTGCGCCGATGATGAAAGCGCAGGCCCAGTAGACAACAACCAAAATTCCCCAGACGATGGTGCCCTTGAAAGTGGTCAATTGAGGGAATCTGAAGTCCGAAACAAGGAAACCTTGGTAAAGCACCTTCAGACCGACGTTAGCATAGAGCGTGGCAGCAAGCATACCCGACACAAGGTTAAGAACGTTGGTGGCATTTTGCAAAGCGTGGCTAGAGATACCCATGTTGGCGGTAACGTAGGACCATTGTCCCAATTTGGAGTAGATGAACAGACCGAAGACCAGATAAATCACCAGAATAAAAGATTGTGCACAAATCATACCCTTCCAGAAGTCCATAGGTCTTCTGAGCTCGTACATGCACTCACAGAAAACAGTGGCACCTCCCCAAGCGAAAACCATGTTGTTCATTCCGCCGATACGGTCAGACAGCGTACCTGGAGCAACAGCGTGTCTCACGATGTCCAGCGTATCGTATGGAGCGGTACACCCGTAGTTAGACCAGAACAGGTCGTAGTTTGGCTTATTTTCCACACCTGCAGCCACCATGGTGATAATACAGACAGCCACGTTCATCCAGACGGCAGAGTTGGCGATGTGTGCGAAACGGTTCAGAGTCTTGATTTGGCCAAGAATCATACCCAAGAATGCCCAAACCAGCACCTCGACAGAAAAACACAGGGAGTTGTGGCCACGGTTGGTGACAAGCATCTGGGCCAGAGTTTGACCGGTAGACAGCATAATAAGACCGACGTTCATGATCATCTGGATGAACTGCAACAGTGCGGTGGGGTAGCGGAACCATGCGCCAACGGCTCTTCCGGCCAGGTCGGAGAAAGTACGGATCGGATAATTGTTGGAGTCCAATTTGCAGAAACAGTAGTTCAGAACGTACCCTCCAACAGCTGCGAAGATACCGAAGATGACGTACAGAATGATACCTGGCACGTAACCCATCTGGGCAATGGCGTATGGAGCATTGCTTGGTCCCAAAATATCGGTCGTGATAAGGAAGAAAATGGAGTACACCTTGGCCTGACGGAGCTTGCGCTGGGTGTCCAGCTTCTCCTCGGAGAGGTTAGCGTGGGCATCTGTCTTGATTTGGTTTCTCTGCGCGATGTACAGGCCGTCGTAGTCGTTGGCTTGCTCATAGCCACGCTGAATGTCGGCATAGTGACGGTACACTTTCAGAGGAAGACCCCGAGAGCGGTGGTCGTCGTGAACAATGTCAATGTCATGAGTCGGGTACTCGCTCTCATCAGCGAGAACCAGTCTCTCCTTGGCTTCCTTGTCGATGGCCTTGGACACCTGAGGACTGATTTCACCGAAGTTTCCAGCTTTAAGCATATTGAGTTAGGATAACTTGCAAAGGATAAAAATTTTGGGAGTTGGGCCACAGGACTACTGAAATCGGTATTCGGGAATGTCCACTCTCTTTATCTTGTTACCGGCGGAGAAATAGCACTCGTAAGGCTTTTCTTTGTTGTTAATAACTGAAGATCCGTTTACCGAGACGGCTGCAGAAAATATTATATATTTATGTGCTTCTGAACAATAAGAGTGCCGTCCAGAAACATTGGCTTTGCTTTTTAATTATTTCTTTTGGTTCCTTGGACAATGTAAAAACAATAGATTAAGCTATAAGCTTCCTCCATCCTTGTAGATAACTCTCGGCACATACGACTGCGTGGCCGTTTTATAGTTAGCCTGATCATATGAGTGTGGCAGTTTCTCCAGATGCAAGTATAGGTAAACACACGGATGCTTCTGTGGATATCCATGATCCCGAACTCCGTTGTTTTCCCTATGACGATGGCTAATCTTGCAGCACCCGTTATCTAGATTTCGAAAATTAGGGCTGAGATTATCAGTCCGCAAAGCAGTCTTTGCTTTTTCTGCGTAAAATGCTTACTTCATTAGGAAAGTGCCATGAACCGAATTTGTAGGGCTGGTGGCTCAGGCGGTGGATATCGTGCCACTTGCTGAAACGGTGGTGTTTGTGGCGGGTGCCAAGATTATTCGCCCGTGGGGAGTGACACGCTATTTCCTGGTGATAACTTAAAAGGGCCATGATGTTCCTGCCCGTTCACACATCGCTGAGTCAGCGATGAGGTAATACACTCTTTACCCTGTTTAGCCAAAAAACGAACTCAAATTAATTTAGTGACACCAATTGTTTAAGCTCTAGCTGATTATACGCGCCATGGAGTTTATTGAGGCCGAGACTCAGGAGTCAGAGCACAGGGACCAAAAGACCGAGGAGTTGGTCAACAATTTCGAGGAGCAGGTGGGCAAAGTTTACTCAAACATAGAGTCCCAAACCGTTTCTGGCTGGAACACCTTCAGTGGGTATCTGAGCAATTTCCAGAAGAAGTTGCCCGATCTTTTGACAGACACAAAGGAGATCACCAAGAAGATTGATTTGCAAAATAGGATTAATGCTACGAAGGAGAATTTCGAAAAAAATCTGGCTAAGGTGCAAAGTAAACTCAACGAAGAGGAGTTGAAGGAAATCAAGGAGAGTTCCGCCAAGCTGCTGCACAATTTTAATGAGAACACCAACAAATATTTGGACGGACTAGACCAGGATCTAGAAAAACTTGAGAACCTGACGCTGGGGTATGCAACTAAGCTTGGAAGTCTTCTTGCTGATAAGACGGGCATTAGATTCGGCAGCGAGGAGGCGGGTGGCGCGAAAAAGGACGAGATCATGTTCAACATGCCGCAGAACTTGGCCACGAGCAGACTTGAGGCTCAATTGCACGAACTGGAAAACAACAAGGATCTTTATCTCACAAACTGGAAGAGTGAGAGTGTCAAGGACTACGTGCTGACTGCAGAGGACGAGGCGGAGAAGAACACCCTTGCTGAAAAAGAGAGCTTGAAGAAGCTCATTCAGGAGCTAGTTCCAGACGAGATCGACGAACAAGTGTTTTGGAAAACCTATTTCTCCAACAAAGCCAAGATCCTAGAAGAGGAGAAGAAACGGAAGGAAATACTGCAGCAGAAGCCTGCCGACGACGACGAGGACTTTGACTGGGACGACGACGAAGAAGACGACAAGAAGGAGGATGATAGCAAAGAATAAATAATATGTGATTTATTTGCTTGTATCTGAATATCCACCGCAGATATTATTTTAATACTTTTTCACGATTTTATTTACTTTTTTCCATGACACTAAAGACTATATATATTGTTAGGCACGGGTACCGTGAAAACTGGCTTCCCGAAGACCAACAGCGGGACAGTCCGCTAGGAGACAACGAGAGCGACCCTTTGCTTGCTCCCCATGGCGTGGAGCAGGCCCACGAGCTGGCAGACTATATATCCGACAAGCTGGAGCCTAAACCTGAATTAATATTTTCGAGTCCGTTTTACAGATGTATTGAGACAATCGAGCCGACAGCGAAAAAGCTGGGACTGAAAATATACCTGGACCGCGGGCTTGGAGAATGGTACAGACGCAGCAGGTCCCATATCCCAGAGCCCGCGACAATCGACGTGCTGTCGCAGTATTTTGCAGCTCTGTCGGACGAGTGGCTTCCAGAAACGGTTGTTCCTTCGCTGGAGGGTGAGGAAGAGGACGAGCTTTTGGAGAGATGCAGACTGTTCTGGGAGAAGTTTATACCGAAGGTTGAGTCGTTGTATCCTCAAGTCACCTCTGTGATCCTTGTTACCCATGCTGCTTTGAAGATCGCTCTTGGAATGTCGCTGATGGGATACCAGAATACAAGGGAATTTTTGAAGGTGGAGCATGGCGGAGATGGCGTGAGCACCAGGATACAGGCCAGCACATGCTCGCTAGACCGGTACGAGAAGAACACCAATGGCTGGGTCATGACTATGAATGGTAATACAGAGTTCCTTAGCGCAGGCCCTGAGATGAATTGGCACTTTGCTACCGCACAATTCGAGGCTGGAAGCAAAGAGGACATTGAGGCACGGAAGAAAGCTGCCGAAGTCGCCAATGCGAGGCCTTGCACGTGAAGACGACGACGAATATGAGGACGTTTACGTTGCGCTCAAGTTTCCGCCAAACCAGTACATTAATCTCGAAAAGGGTTCTCTGAATGCAAGTTCTATAAAGCAGGAGGCACTGGACGAGTCGCTTGAGGAGCCGTCCTCAGAAAACGCCCACATTCGACTGAGCGGATTGGCAGAGGACAGGCCACTGGTGCAGATGAACAGCAACCTGTATCAGGGCGAATGGTCCAAACTTGTGGGGTCGGAGCTTGTGTTCAACGAGAACGGAGACTTTGTCACCAAAGTTCACGGACATGTTGTTCTGAAAGGAGGTCGACTGGAGAACACCGGCAACGATAAGGAATCGTTCTTGACCAAGGCGGTGCAAGCGGCCAGAAAGGTGAAGGAAGCAAAGCAAGAGGATGCGATGGAAGTTGATCCTTAGATTAGAACTCGTTTCACCGACCGACTGAAGTCTTCACTTGTCCATTCGTACGCACGTTTATCGGCAATCACGTGCGCCTTGACGGCGAAGCGTTGCCAATCAAGGAGCTGGAAGTTGCTTGCGACTGTGTCTGTAGACAGTTTAAGTTTCTGTAGCTCTGTGAAACTCAGCACTCCGTACGATCTGATGAGGAGGTCTGCTCCGTTAGGGAGTTCGGCTATCCTGTGCAATAGATGAGTTATTTCCTGTTGATGTTTGAGGCTCAAGAATGGAGACCCGGTGAGGGCCATTAGGTAATCTAGTATTCCACTTCTGTTGATTACTTTGAGGTCGTTCTGGTGACTCAGAGACTTCGTCAGAGTGACAACGACCCACGACAGCTGTTTGTAGTAATTTTCATCAAACCTGGAATGGCCTAGATGCTTGTCTGCGACAAAGTGTTGGGTGACGGCTTTGAACAACGGAATGTCAAACGGACGGAACTTTGACCCGCCTAAAATGTACCTGTAAGCTTTTTCATAAAGATAGTGACCTGGGTTATTCAATATTGGAATTAAGTGAGAAAGCATTATAGTGATCATGGGAGAACACTCTTCCTTCATAGACAGCAGATTTCCCAAGTATACTTTGAACGCCAGTCTTTCCTTGAAGGAGAAAAGATGGAGAGTGGCCACGTCCGTCTTTGCTTTGTCTACAGACCCCTCCTTCTTCGCCTTGTCTTCTTTTAGTTCTGTCAGTCGCTTTAATTCTCTGTCGATCGTAAAGTAACATGACAGCAAGATTTTGCGGCTAATATGTCTCATTTCCTCGTTGCAATTGCTCAGATTCATCACGATGAATTGCAAAATGTTGGTTTCCACAAGTCTTCGCACGTCCACTGCCACGAATTCTTCCTGTGCCTTGAAAAGCTCATCGTTGTTGATAATCAACAGCATAATAAATTCGGGATCGTAAATGGTTTTCTCATATATATTGCTGATGATTGCGTGTTCAAGGACGACAGAATTATGGTTGAAAAATGTTTCCCAGTCTTGCCACGTTGCCTTGTTCACCGCTGGCAGGGCAAAATCGTCGGAGGAGCCAGGAAATCTAGCAATAGAGTTGTCGATGAATTTCTTGGAAAGATTCACAATAAGACCGTGTGCACTGCTTGTGATAAAGTTAGTCGTGGACGATTCATAAGAGTCGGCGTCGAGGAATTCCCAATCAGCCACAAACGATAGCCAGCTCTGTCCCACATGTTGCTCGACCTCCATCAAAATATTCTTGAGAATCAAATCGTCGGCACGAAGAGACCCTGAGTAGAACTGTAAAAGACGTTTTGCAACATCAAAATTGGAAACTGGCCCGACTTGAACCAGATAGTAGAGCACAAGGGCTGAGCGGAACCTTGTGGACAAGTTCGACCTTGATGGGAGCTCGTTTAGCACATTGCTTTTGTTGTTGATCAACAGTTGAATGTGTTTGGAGTGCTGTATGGTTTTCGAACTAGTGGTCATCAGTAGCCAAGAAATGTACCGCAATATGTCCTCTGCGCGAATCCATTGTTTGGACAGAAGCACTTCCAGGTGAGAATTGAGAATTGATGCCGGGACAATAGTCCAGATGTCAACTTTCAGCAACAACTCTTTAAGGCTGCTGAGAAAGGTCAAAAATTTCTCCGGAAGTGTATCCTTTTCGGCAAACATTTTCGTGGAGTACAAAACGGCTTTCGAGCACCAGGGCTTGAGTACATCCATATTGTCAACCGAATGAGCCACATAATAGGCAGATTCTGGGCTAAAAATGTAAGCGGCGTTGTTGTAGAAAGGCGCAAACTCCATGAGTCGAGCAAATAAGCTGGAGGACGTGCTGCGTGCGAGAACTTTAACATAAGTCGGAACATTGGAGGCTGTCGAGGTCGACAAAAACTCTTGCAGCCTTTCTGTTGCAATACTTTCCAGCTCTGAGCGTAGCGACTCCGATTCTGTGAGTTCGTTGAGCGTGATCAAATAGTTCAGGCCGTGCACTGAATTCTTGGTAGCAGGTCCTGGTTTGTCCAACAAGATATCTGCTATATCAGGGTTGGATCTCAAAATCGCAGTTAGTGCAGAGTATAGCAGCTCGTTCTGCTCCGCCTTTTGTGCAAGAATCGTAATCTGAGATTCCTCAAATTTGGTCCTTGAAGCGAGTGTGACATAGAATTGGAGATCTGTTTCAGACACAAAATCTGCAACTTTTGTGAGCTCGGTAGCATCCACTTCCACACCTCTAAGAGCAGCCAGCTCGAGAACTTTGTTCTGTATGACCGCCGAGTCAAATAAATGCTCAACTAGCTTGAAATTATCAAGCACCCAAAATGAACTTGCAAGAATATGCTGTTCGTCTACTGCTGGCGATTTGTACCCGTGGACATAGTTTTCGTATTCAGATAATTTGGAACGAATGGAGCTGTCAAGTTCAAACAGATTGTAAAACATCTCGTTTAGCAAACCAGCCACAAAAAACTGTTTGTCTGAGTGGCTACCGTTCAGATACAGTGGACTCCAGTACTTGCACCTAAAGAGGTCAACATGATTAAATGTGTCGTATTGCGAAAAATTTCTCTGGGCCAGATAATTTGCAAGCTTGGAGAATAACTCAACAGCCACGGATTCGATGTCTCTGAGTGTCAATGCCCCGTCGGAAGCTAGTAGTTGCAGTCTTCTAAGAAGAGCAATGGCATCGATGTCTGCCATTGCAACTTTGCTAGAAATGGCTCTTCTTAATTTGGAAATTGGGTAATTGACCACCATCTCAAAGAAAGGCACGTCTTCATCGGCGTAGAGTTTGGAACAAAACTCCTTCAAGGACGACTCGTAATTATCAAAATCCAAATGATCGTCCGACCAGTACTTCAACAAGACCTTTTTCATGCTGTCCAAAGGCTCTCCAATCAAGAACATATATCTTGTCAACAGATTCACCCAAACCTTAACATTGTCGGTGGTTGCAAACTTGGCCTGTTCAATGGCAGCCACATAGAACGGGCTCATGGTTCTTCCGAACTCCCGCGAAATATCAATGTACTTGTACGGCGTTCTCATGACTCTGGAAATGGCCTCATCCAATGTCTTGCAAATGACATCTATGTCATCCTCGTTTTTCACGTAACGAGAAAAATGATCCAAAGCATAAACTAGAGCGTAGGCTTGCGTGATCAGTACGGAGTTGTCTTGCCTGCAGTCAGTGAAAGATAGCGACGAGTCGATGAGGTTTGAGATGACACCCACAACCTTAGTCCGCATATCAGATTCCTTCAACCGGTACGGCAGTCGCAAAATGGTTGTGAACAGCGAATTTTTCGCGGTTCCTGCATTGAACCACTTACTCTGTTGAGAATCCGAATTAATCTTCAAGTAGCTGTCAAGAATTGTGAGGTCGATAGCCTTAAATTCGGCCTCCTGTGCGAGGTTCAGTTTTGGAGGAGCCACTGACACAGTCTGGTTGAGCACAGCCTGGTAATACTCGCACACTTTCAGTAGATTGACAATCAGCAGCTTATTGTAGGGCTCACTTTTGTAGCAGTCGTTAAGAGCACCAACTATCATACTGTAATCCGGCAAGCGTTGGCTGATGAGGATTTCCAGAACCTCGTTTCGCACATCCCCCGTTATAAATAGATAACAGTCCTGAAGCTTTTGCAACACATCAATTATCAATTGTGAGCCAATGTGGCGCACGAGGCCAATGTCAGTTGAAAAAGCCTTAGAAAACGATGTTCTCCTCAACGAGTTCGGACAGATGTACTCGACAAGAACAGATGCTGGAGAGCCGGATCCTAGCACTTTTTCAACAACTGGTAATCTGATTATTTTGGTGAGAAGTAATGACTCTGCAATATATAAAGCGGAAAGTTTAGGATCATGCACCCCGATTGTTTGCGAGAGGTTGTAATTGTAGCAAGGAACTAGTTCAGGTATAGCAGAAAGCACAGAAACGGTCAGATCCAATTGTTTTTCATCTGTCCAAGGTTTGCAACTTGCTAGCAGACTGAATATCAATTTATTATGGATTTTGAACGTGTGGTCTCCAACTGTCACAGGAACACCGCTCGTATCTGTGGTTTTGTCATCAGAGAACACAAGCCCCAAGTCATGGTCTGTTGCTATCTTTATTAAAAAATCATGAACCTCATCGCGAACAGCCTCGACGCCATATAGCTCCAGAAGCTTTTTGGGAACATAGTCTCCGAATATCTTGCACTTCGTCATCTTTTTGTAGGAGCGTTCCTCTATGATGTATCTGTCAAAGAACTCAAGTGTCTGTTTTACCGTGTCGGTGGAATCATGAGTTGCTATGTATTTGATCCAGTTCGTGGTGATTTTCCTGTTATTGAACAACAGGTCTTTTCTTGTCAAAGGGTTGGCATGTGAACACAGGGTGATCCAAAACAAAATGAAATTGTTGCGAATGGAACTCTTCGTCTTGCATCTTGTCGGTTCCTCCATTTCTGCTTTTGTTGGTATAAGAAGCTGAGGAAGAACTTTCAAAGATAGGTCGAAATTGTCGAGAAACAGATCCACATATGCTCCTTTTTTGAACTCCAATGACGACGAAAGTAGCCTCAGTGCAGGATTTGTTATTCCTCCTTTTTGATTATTGAGACATCTGTAAAATATCTTAATATTGTGAGTTGATAAGATCTCCTGTATCAGCGTAGAGCAAGGTTTGTGAAGCTCTTGATAGCAATTTCCAAGTTTGATCAGCCTTGCAAGTTTTTGTAATGTCTGCGATAGACCGGAATGGTCATTAACTGTGGCATAATAGGAGAAAGCTAGAACAAGAGCATTTAAATTTTGAGAAGTTTCTAGGAACGAGGAAAAACTCTGTAATGACTCAGGCTTTGGCTCTTCTTTTTTGTCCAGAGCATCCAGGTATCCAGAAAATTGCTGCAAAATGCCTGCGTCTATATTGGAGACGTATTTGTCTTTTTTGGACATGGTTCCAGGCTATGCTGCTGGTCTTAGTTTTCAATCCAAGATCAAATTATTTTCAAATATTTTTTCTGAGGTCGTGCACCAGAAGTCCCCAAAAACAAAACAACACGAACAAATCAATTACTATTTGTTTTTTATATTCCGATGTGGGGGGTCAAAGCCGCGGCCCGGTTGAAGAAACAGCGTGAAAGTACCGTTGGCAATGTTGACACGGCCACGATTCCAGGGTTCTCCAAATGGTTTGCCCAGGAAGTGAATGTGGAAACCAAGCTGATAAAATCAAGTGTTGATCAACTCGGTCTGGCTATGATGGAGCACAGTGAATGGATTAACGAGGTTATGCATGAGGTGGTAAGCTGCTCCGATGTGAGCGATCTGTCACTACTAGAAGACGACCAAGGAAAAGAGCAAGACAAGGATCAGAGTATGATGGTGCTGCTAAGGTCACCCGCAAAACTTAGAAGAGAGAGCTCGCCTGTGAGGGACTTATATTCGCAAGGGGTGGAGATGATCCAAGAACAGACAAATATAGTGACTCAACACAGCAGTAAGGACAATGACGACAAGGAACCATCTGTGCACAATTCGCCACAGCCAGAGGTTTCTCCTGTGCTTGAAGCTGAATCAAGCAAGCAAGATCACCCGCAATTGCCTGTGGACAAGTCTCCGTCTCAGTCTCCTGAGGCGCGCAAGCTGTCCGTCTCCGAATCTCCCAAAAGACTTCTTTCCGATAATGAAGAGTCTTCTGATCTCTCATTCGACGCAATCTCGAAAAACATTCGCAAATCGTTTGCTCGCAAAACTCTAATGCATGAAGAATCGTCGCCGAAGGAGGAAGTCACGCGTCCCATTGCACATGAAACAGCCACGACCACGCCCACCGACTCTGTTCCGAAGCAACGAGAACAACCTCATCAACGACCGGCCGATGCGTCGGTTCTTTTGGACGAGGGAGATATCATGCTCAGCGACATCGACAACGACATTAGCTTCCAAATTGGGAAGCTCGAGAAGATTGAACTCGCACAGATAAGAATACCGCTCAAGGCAGACACGCAAATAAGCAAGCTGCCGAGTGTCAACAATAGCACCACTCCAAACGCAAGCAGGTCGCCTATCAAGTTTGCAGAGCTGCCATCGAGAGAGCCTCTGATGATCAAGCAGGGGAAGAAGAAATCGATCAGCAAGGTCACAAACCAACCAAAGAGGACAGCGAAACAGATCAGAGGACCTACGCAACACCTTCTGAGGGATGAAAACCGCGATGAATTGTCTCCGTTCAAGGATTATGGCTCTTTCAATTCCAGTATAACCAAGCAGCCGTACAACTTGAGATTACCTCCAATCAGTGACCTGTCGCCATCAAATACAGGCAGCAGCGAGCCCACCATCAAAATAAATAGAGGGCTAGCATATAAGTCCTCACCTTTACAGAATGAACTGGCCAGATCGCCTAATAGATCCCCTTCAAAGCAACACAACGGGTCGCCAAAGAAATCCCCAAGCAAATACGCGCATTCCGATCTATTATCGCGGCTGATGGCACCTACTGAAGCTAGCACAAAGCGCAGTAAAGCCTCCCCCTCGAAAGAAAATATGCGCCTTACGAAGACTCCTGCCCGTCTTGGAATTGACGACTCGCGTCATAAATCTCAACTACTGAAATCAATAAAGTTGGAGAAGCACAATGAGGTGACAAAAGCGACAGGCTCGCCGTCCAAAAGCAAGTCTCTTATCCCAACTTCAAAGATCACCAAAGCTCCATCGGAGAGGCTGACCAATCTAGACAAAAAGATACAGAATACAAAACTGAGCCAGCTTGAGTTGAAACTGCCTAATGAACTGAACAGGTCAAAGCTGCCATTGACTGAACAGATGCTGCAACCGAGCTCAAACAAATCGCAATATGGTGTAGGCTCGCCAGATGCAAAAAGTCTGATAGACTTGCACAAGAAATTAGAGAAACGCAAAAAGTCTGAGCACCTAATGCAGGCCAAGAGGCAGCGTGCGGACATCAAGCTTCGAAAGATTTCCGTGAATCACTCGAAGCTGAACCGCTTACCAGAGCCTGCTACCAAATCTGCGACAGAAGTGACGTCTTCCAGGCCTTCCAAACCAGTCATCATAGACGCGAACGAGCTGCCAGAGATAAGTTCGGACAACGAGGATGATGAAGCATCAAAGCAGCTTGCTCCATGGGGCACGAACGCGAACATCAAGCAGCTTCTCCGGCGACAGGCCAAGACCAACCCTAGTAGAGTGTTTGGGCAAATCCAGAAGATCAATTGCACAGAAATTTTTGAAAGAAGCTACTACGGCAGCTTAAACATCAAATGGAACGACAGCGATGTGTTGGGCCAGAAGGAGACAGAAGAGTACGACCGTAAAATGGGATATAGTTGAACGAACGCGTTTACACCTCGCACCTCGAAATAGAATTATTTTTTCGTGTTTACATATTGCCAGGGTAGGCAGGATGGCAGAAAGCACGGGTGTTTTTTCCTGGTTTCTCTTTTAGGGAAAACCAAAGTTTATAAAGAAAACAAGTGAGTTTTAGGTCTGGTTTGCTGGCTTTCAAGAGTGTAGGACGCCATTTTGAGTTGACACGAAGCCTTAGAGAGTGCACAACGAGATAGTTGTATTGGAACAAGACAAGCTTGGAATAGAGCCAGATTTACAGAGAGACAAGTAGCGGACGTGTTTTAGAAGGGATACCAAAAGAAAGCGACAAGAACGAGAATAACGCCAAAACTTCTGTTCCATCATGTCAAGAGTGAGTATACTAATGGAGTCGCGTGAGTCTAACATCCAGGAACTTTCTCAGATGCAAATGGACGAGGAGAACATGCCGCAAATCAGCGGTGTGATGTCTTCCAAAGGATTGGCGGAGAGCCAACCTCGACCAAGACAATCAATGACGCGTGCGCGCTCAGCGTTGACGGATATCAACAATAACGCGAGCATCTTAGAGACACAGAGACAAAGGCAGAGTCTACCTCACCAACAGTCACAGCAAGGAAAAACTGCAGGCCAACTTGTGAGGCCCTTAAAAATCCGTGCCGACAAGCAGGAACCAGAACACAGCGACAAGCGCGTGTCACTCAAAAGACAGGCCACAGACTCGAGCAGTGACTTTCTAGAACAGGGGACTCAGGAAGTCAAAAAAGTTAAGGTGGAACACGACTACACCTGGGACGATCTTGATGCAGACGACGCCGACGATCCGTTGATGGTGAGTGAGTATGTTAACGACATTTTTGAATACCTCCATGACCTGGAGCTCAAGACTCTTCCAGATCCAAACTACCTGCATTGGCAAAGGAATTTGCGTCCTAAGATGCGCTCGATTCTGGTGGACTGGATGGTAGAAGTACACCTCAAGTTCCGACTCCTTCCAGAAACATTGTATCTTGCCATCAACATCATGGATCGCTTCATGTCACGCGAAAGTGTCCAGGTTGATAGGCTGCAGCTGTTGGCCACTGGTTCTTTATTCATTGCCGCTAAATACGAGGAGGTGTATTCTCCATCGGTGAAAAACTATGCCTACGTGACGGACGGAGGTTTCACCGAGGAGGAGATCCTTAACGCAGAAAAATTCATCTTGGAGATCCTCCAGTTCAACATGAGTTACCCAAACCCTATGAATTTCCTACGACGCATTTCAAAAGCCGATGACTACGACGTGCAATCTAGAACCATTGGCAAATATCTGTTAGAAATATCAATCATCGACCACAAATTTATTGGATACCTGCCATCGTTGTGTTCAGCAGCTGCTATGTACATAGCACGCAAAATGCTGTCGAAGAACGACTGGAACGGCAACCTTATTCACTACAGTGGGGGATACAAAGAGAGCGATTTGAAGGAAGTGAGCGAGATGATTATAGATTATCTGATCAGTCCCATTGTGCACGAGGAGTTTTTCAAGAAGTATGCTTCGCGCAAATTTATGAAGGTGTCGATATTGGCAAGACAGTGGGCAAAGAAAATCACGAGCGAAGGCAAAAACATCATGGACCCAATGCTGTGACCCGACTTCCATGCTATTGTCTTGCTCTCCACTGCTCCCTAATCTATCTAGTAATGACATAATCTCAAAAATTCCCGGTGTAAGGTGTAGAGAGCTTTAAACTAATATTTATCCACAATTTGAATCGAGTCATTTTATTTAATGAGTTTACGGGTCATTGTGGACGATAGGCTCAAGAAATCTCTCAGAGACAAGCTCAGCAAGTCCCAAAACTTATTCTATCTTTCACTATTTGAGCGAAGCAAGCCTGCGAGCGATCTGCTGGCCAGATCTGGGTCTCCTTCTCTGAATTTTGCTTTTGAGCATACAGATCATTCCCTCGTGCTGACTCCAGTGGAGATCGAGCTCATCCTTGCCGATAAGTTTGAGCTGTTTGAATATGTGAGGCGATTAGGACGTATGAGAGCGCTCAAGCCGTACTTGATGGAGTTCCAAAACGAAGCTTTTATTGATTTTCTAAGACAAAGGCTGCGAGTATACGCGCTACTTACGACGAACAAGGCGGTCACGTACGTGGACAATGAAGGTGTTGGAATACTCTGTGATGAGAGCAGGGATCTCAATTCCGAAACGTACCAGAAACTATTTTACAAAACGGTGCCAGATGGCTGTCAAATGATCCTTGGATTTGAAAAGCTGGTAGAGTTTGTTTGTCGCATGATCAAAAACACAGGCAGCCACGAACATGCCGCAGAGATGATTTTTGGATACAATGCTGTTATAATCGATCTCATTGCGAGCTGCATTAGGGTCCTACGACCATTTGAAGTGCTGAACTTCCAGATACTCGATTTTGAAGATTACATGTGCAACTCTGGATTTGCCATGATCAACGACTCCAGACAAGTTGAAGAACGATGGTTTCGGTATGTGTTGCACGTGCAGGACTGTGCAACGAGATTCAACTTCCTGTTACCGCTCGACAACTCCAGCTATGTGAGCGTGGGCAACTTTATGAGTTTTCTCTTTCTCACCTTCAGAGAGCCAAAAGAGCTGATTTTCGATGGACTCGAGACGCCCGAGTGTATGCATTTCATCGAGTCGCTCGCACAGCATCTCAACGTCAAGATCACGCTCCAAGTAGGATCCATCAAGTTTGCTACTGGCAACATGCCGCTGCATTTGGAAACGCTTATCAGTTCATCCATGAAATTTTTCAATAATCGCAATTGGGCTCCTCAATTAAGTGTGCTCTGCAAAATCCTCAACAATCTACGCTTATACGGGACAGACTCTGTCAACGACGACCTTGCAAGGTACAACCCGGCTCAGCTACTTTTTAACAGCTGCGAAGAGCTCTCGGAACTAATTGGCGAGGCCCAATTGGCGCAACTATTAACACTGTGGGAGGAGCATGAGAGACAGCTTGACGACAGCGATGATAGCATTGTGGAAGTGGGGCCCTCGCAGCCTCCTAAAACCAGTCAATACACAAACGGGCATTTGAATAGTAATGGGTACACTGAGAATCCTGATAACGAGGTCATTTTGGAAGGAATGGAGAGGAAACGAAGGAGACAACGGTGACAAAGACAATAAATAACATTTGATTGTATAAATATGTAATAAATATCGCAGCTCATCTTGGGGACCAGTCCTCCTGCACTGGCTTGGTCCTCCTCTTACCAATTACGTCAATAGTATGGGTGTTGTATGCCACATACATGAGCGACACAGGAATGACCACAAGGGCAGCCACAGCGATCGAGGTGGACTTTAGGTTGAATTTGTAGTAGTTCGCCAAGTTCTCGCGAAAGTAGGCAAACTTCTGCACCTCTTTGTCTGTGCGCAATAAATGTCTTCCACCGGCCATGAAGAAATTGCTTTAAATCGAGGGGTAAATTTATAGAAATAATATTTAAAATAAATTATTATGCATAGAGTTCGAGCCCCTTTCAAAATCATAGCTAGACACAACTCGAGTCTAGTGGACTACTACAAGCTGTTTCCAAAAACATTTCCAAAAGGGTCTCCTCCCAATTCTCCCTTTTCGGTGGACCTGAAGCAGCTTCGGAAAGAGTTCCGATTACTCCAAAGCACCAACCATCCGGACCTCAATCGGATTAAGGATGAGACTGCAGGCGATTTGTCGTCGCTTCTCAACAACGCATACACAGTGCTGTCGAGTCCATTGAAACGGTCGCAGTATCTGTTGAAGAAAAACGCCAATATTGACCTAAACAACGACTCGGTGAATAAAAAGTTCCAGTTCCAAGATCAGTCGGTACTGATGGAAATACTAAACGTCCATGAGGATCTGGAAGATATACAGAGCGAGCAGGAACTAGCAAAATTGGAACACGAAAATGACGAGAGAATCGAGAAAAGCATTGCAAAGCTGGAGGAGCTTTACAAAACAGAAGACTACGAGGCGATTGCCCTTGAAACGGTGAAATTGAAGTTTTGGGAAAACATCAAAAATGCATTAAAAGAGTGGGAGTCGGGCAAGCCGGTGAATCTGACCCACTAGGAGACGGTACTGCGCTAGGCAAGACGGCTCCCGCTTCAGTTTTGGGATTATATAAAGTCGAGGTGTAATAGTTTTGTGGAGTTGAAAGCGAGCTGAACAAGTACGAAATGGTCAGCTCGCGCGACAAGAGGTTGGACGATGGTAGGAGTTCTCGTCTACAGGAATAAGTAGCCAAGTTTCTAAGGATCTCGATACGGAGCTTCAGGCACCTAGCTGCGCTAGCCTTACTACGCTACACAGCCTGAAATATATTTTTCAAATCGCAAATGTTGGCATGAAAGTTGTTCTTGTGTATTTATTGCAATTACTACTCGCCGTCTTTCCCGTGGCGTGTGCGTCGTCCGGGCAGTACAGTGGATTTTCTGAGCCTCATTTGAAAAACCTACGCAACCGTACGAAAAATTTATTCTATCATGGGTTCAACAGCTACATGACTCATGGGTTTCCCTATGACGAGGTGGATCCGCTGACTTGCCAGCCTGTATCTCGCGACTACGAGGATATCAACAATACATGGAAAAACGATGCGATGGGCAACTATTCACTCACTCTTTTCGACACATTGGACGCATTTGTGGTGCTTGGGGACAGACAGGGCTTTGAACGCAATATTCAACTAATCAAAGACACGTACCAGGATTTTAATATTGACGCAAACATCCAGGTTTTTGAGACCACCATTAGAGTTTTGGGAGGACTATTGAGTGCGCATTTATACGCTTCCGACGAGCGGCGAGGGTATAGTATAGAAAACTACGACGGGTTTCTTCTCCGTCTGGCATACGATCTAGGGAAAAGGCTTGTTCTGGCATTTGAAAACAAGTCGGGAGTGCCTTATCCGCGCACAAATCTCAGGTACGGACCGCAAAAAGTGCCCAAAAGCCTGCAACGAGAGCAATGCACGGCAGGCATTACTTCTCTAGTTTTAGAGTTTGGACTGCTCTCTCGACTGACCAACGACCCGATCTTTGAGCTTGTCTCCAGAAAAACGTTCCTCAACATCTGGTCCTCGAAAACCGTGCTTGGATTGTTACCAATGTCTGTGGATGCGCGGTCCAACGTTTTCACGGACCAGGTCACGGGAGTTGGGGCGTCCATCGACTCGTTTTACGAGTATGCTCTAAAATACTCCATATTATTCGACGACGAAATATTCAACGATATTTGGCAAGAGTCTTACAAGGCCCTGCTTATGCATTCACAAAATTCAGTTGGCATATTCACGAACATTCACGCCTCCAATGCAGCCGCGGCAAGGGAATGGATCGATGCTCTAGGGGCATTTTTTCCCGGGTTGCTGGTGTTAGCTGGAGACCTGAAAAACGCTTTTGACTTCTACACGGTATATTTCAAGCTGTGGAACACTTACGGAGCCATTCCCGAACGATGGGATTTTTCTGGGTTCCGTTGGAGCTACGCCAACAGGGACTCGAAGCCGTACCATCTTTTGGATAGCTTGCCAGGAATGTCTCGTGAGGAAACGAAGGTCGCGTTGATGAACGATGCCGTCCTTCTTGAATGGTACCCTTTACGTCCTGAGTTCATTGAGTCGACGTACTTCCTTTATAGAGCGACTCAGGACCCGTTTTTCTTGCGCGTTGGCGAGGCCATTTTGCGTCGTTTCGAAACAGAGTTCTATGCTCCTTGCGGATTTGCAGGCATTGACGACATCAGGCTGGGCACCAGACAGGCACGGATGGAGAGCTTCGTTTTGAGCGAAACGCTCAAGTACCTGTACTTGCTATTTGACCCTGAAAATGATCTGCATACAAAAAACGGTGCCGCTATATTTTCAACCGAGGCGCATCCATTTTGGTTCGACGACAAGCTAAAAGTGTACAATATGCGCCAGGACATTGCAATTCCAGAAACAACGGAGAAAGGTGTGATGGAGGCGGTTTGGGATAAACTGTTTGCGCAGACTCCGCCCCAGGAAGTGGACATCCAATTTGCAAAACTAAGGCTCGAGAAAAACACACTCCCTGACTACACACCTATAATACTAACTCAAAAGATGAAGGAAGCATTGGACAGATACCACATCAAATACCCTTCTAACTTGGAGCTGGAAAAACGTATCTTTGTCAACCCCAAAGTGTATCAGCTGCTCAAACCGTATATGGCAGAGAAAGACTCAAACAGAGTTATTGAGGAAATGAACCTGACTTTAGATCCAGACTACTTGGGCCTGACCAAATGCCAGGCGTTCTCACAGGACCACACATTTGTGCACTCCAAAATCCTCCAGTATCCGATGTTCTACAGAGTGAATGATAGGTACCAAGTTGCTCTGCACAGCCCTCCTTATTATAGAGACACAACCGATGTTGAGATCGATGAGCCTTTCTACGATGTGTTTGGAACGAACGGAATGGTGTCATTCCCGACGCAGTCGACAGAGGATTTTGACGCTTTGATTGGATCGTTGGAGGGAGTTAGAGATACACGTATTTACCGAGTGGTGGCAGGACCAAATTACGAACCAAACGAAAATGCTACTGTGCCGGTACTCCCGCAGGATCTGTATATTCCTGCGCTCGACAACCTCCGGATGACCTTTGAACGGGTGACTCCTGGAAGGATCGACCGATACGGCCAGATCGTCGAAGTGGACCCATACAACTGCTCGTTGAGGCTGCTCAAAATTAATGGGTGCAATCTGGAGATGGACGACATAGTCTGGATCGACTACGGCTGGCTCAGAACGTCTAATCCATATGGCAATATCGGGTACACACAACACGGGTTTCTCACCATTAATGGAGAATTGGTTGCAAACGTTCGGATAATTCCAGATTGAGGCGGTGCAAAGATGTAACGAAAAAGATGTGACCAAAAGTAACGACGGCCGTTCTTATCAAATGAGATAAGAAGCTAGACGCGGGAGGCGTACGATATTTAGGGGATGTACTAAAAGCATTTCAGGTTCCAAGGATGTTCTCACATCGCTTTCGGGTCCTGGCAAAGCTGCATTTTAGCGATAAATTATATGGGTCTGCCTGGAACAATAGCAGTTGCAATAAAACGTAATTTCGGGATAAACTGCAGACCCAAAAGAAGAAAAAAAAAAAAAAGATTGGAAACCGTACTAATTTGTTTGGCTGTTTTCAATCCTCTCACATTTCTAAGTCTCATCGTTGGAAGAGTCATCTGGAGGTGTTACGACTCGGATAGAGAAGATTTGCAGTCTGATATATGTCAGAATTTGCAAAAACATTTTTTGCCTTTGGCAAGCAGAAACCACAACCGTTAGATACTGCAGGCCAATCGGAATCTATCATGCCAGCCTCGAAAATAAGCACGACATCTTTCCCATCTGAGATGATTCCTCAGCCGGCGACACCTACAATCGCACTCAGTGAGAACTCATTTGCCATGGGCACCACTATCAAGGGAGAGCAGAACTCATTAAATCGGACCTTCACCAATCTAGATCAAACGCAACAAAGCAGCAACTTAACAGCTCAGCTCTCAACGACGTCGGCCCAATCCATGCAACCAATCGAAACGGCCTCGACTCCCGCATATGCCGTTGCTAGCGACACAGACACGTCCACTGGGATTCCACGGGGAAAGCTTAGAGTCAGCATCATTGAGGCTGTGGGGCTCAACGTTACGTCTGAGAACTCGCTTCCGTATGTCGTTTGCACGTTCGAGAGCTCTGAGTTTGTGACGCAGGGTCCTGAGAGCTTTGACCAGAGCAAAGACATGCCACCGCCTTCGGCACAGCCACAGTCGCACCAGCCATCCAACCAGCTTCCGCAGAGACGGCCGCTAGTCAGGACTCAGACGTCGTCACAGCACAACCTCAACATCATGTCGCACAACTACAGCTCATCGAACCCAGTCTGGCACCACAAGGCCATTTTCGATGTTGTTGGGGCAACATCCGAGCTAGATATCTCAGTTTACGATTCTGCGCAGAACGACCATTTTTTGGGACACATCCGGATTAAACCGCAGACTCTGCACGAAAATAGAGCAGAGCAGTGGTTTGACTTGAAATCGCGTATCAGCACCGAGTTTGTTAGCGGCAAAATAAAAGTTCAGGTCGAATACTCAAACACTAGAAAGAGACAATACGGTCCGGAGGATTTTGAGATCCTCAGACTCTTGGGCAAGGGGACGTTTGGCCAGGTGTTTCAGGTCAAAAAGAAAGACACAGGGCGTATCTATGCCATGAAAGTGTTGTCGAAAAAGGTGATTGTCAGAAAGAAGGAGATTGCGCATACAATCGGAGAAAGAGACATTTTAGTGCGCACCTCCAGCGCAGACTCGTCGTTCATTGTGGGTCTCAAATTCTCGTTCCAAACTCCAGTCGATTTGTACCTTGTCACCGACTACATGTCCGGAGGAGAGCTTTTCTGGCATTTGCAAAAGGAAGGGCGCTTTTCCGAGGAGAGAGCCAAGTTCTATATCGCAGAGCTGGTTCTGGCTTTGGAGCATCTCCACGACAACGATATAGTCTACAGGGACCTGAAGCCCGAAAATATTCTTTTGGACGCCAACGGACACATTGCTCTGTGTGACTTTGGCCTATCCAAGGCCAACCTGGCATCTAACGGCACCACTAACACCTTTTGCGGAACAACCGAGTACCTTGCTCCTGAAGTTCTACTGGACGAATCTGGATATACGAAAATGGTTGATTTCTGGTCGCTCGGTGTTCTAATTTTCGAGATGTGCTGTGGATGGTCTCCGTTCTATGCGGACAACACCCAGCAAATGTACAAAAACATTGCTTTTGGAAAAGTCCGGTTCCCGAAAGAAGTCTTATCGCCCGAAGGCAGGTCGTTTGTGAAGGGCCTACTGAACAGAAACCCTCGTCACAGATTGGGAGCCATTAATGACGCTAGAGAACTTAGAGCTCACCCTTTCTTTAATGACATCGACTGGGTTCTTCTCAAACAGAAGAAGATCCCTCCTCCATTCATCCCGCACATTGCAAACGAGCTAGACACTTCAAACTTTGATCCGGAATTCACAAATGCCTCCACGTCAGTCATCAACAAACAGCTCATGATGGGAACGCCATTGTCCTCTGTTGTCCAAGAAAACTTCAAGGGATTTACATATGTTGACGATTCGATGATGTTTGACCATCTCAACAGTCACAGCATGGGCAAGAGATTGGGCAACTCCTACAAGCCGGCTTATGGCTCTTTGATTCCTGGCAATCCGAATCTTCCGCCCGAGGAGGAAGTCATTGACGAAGAGAGTCAGGAAGACGAGGAGGAGGCGCAGGATGATATGGACGTTGACGACGATTTTGTGAATGGTCAGTTCGATCTGTAATTTTGGTTTTAGTTAATTGTTATAGAGGGAGAAAAATTAAATTTAAATTTTTTATGTCTTCCTACAATGTCTCGTCTACGTCGTCCTATTTGCAGGCGATGCAGCCTATGATTGAGACGCTGAACCGTCTACAATTAAACGAGGAGAATCTAGATTTTAAGGTGCCGAATGTTGGCGACGGAAACTCGAAAATGGACATTTCCAGGCAGGTGACTGATTTACTCAAACAGTTTGAAAATTGCGCTGAGATAGAGCTTGACGACGAATCGACAGAGGATACCGAAGAGGAGGAAGCCAGCACGTATCTTTCTGAGATCAGAAGCGATTGTGAACGTATCAACCCTGAAAATGCTGAAGATATGGTGGAAAGCATACTTTCCATCCTCGAGTCAGACAACGATTCGCACATTGAGTCGGGACTGTTTGATCTTTTAGGTTTCGGCGAATTCGACCTGATTTCAAAGATTCTGCAAAACAAGGACGCCATTCTCGAAGAAAAGAGAAACGAGACACAGATGCTACAACTGTTGAGCGAACAAGAGATCCGGCAACAGGCAAACGAAAACCGCAAAGAGTCGAAAAACGCCAAGCTGGAATGGGAGCAGACCAAGCAGCAGTATCCGCATGTTTTCCGGGCGCACGATGCGGGCAATGTGATTTCGTTCACAGGCAAAAAATACAGTCTCCCGTTTGGCACCACGAGAAACTCCTACGAAAACTACGAGGAGATTATTATCCCCAAGTCTGAGAAAAAGCCTTCAAAGTTCAAAGAGGTGTACATCCCGGTGAAGACGCTGGATTACCTTTGCCAGGGCACGTTCAAAGGGTACAAGACTCTCAACCGCATGCAATCGCTAATATACCCCGTTGCCTACGAGACGAACGAGAACATGCTGGTTTGTGCTCCTACCGGTGCCGGAAAGACGGACGTTGCGCTGCTGGCCATTTTGCACACCATTAAACAGTTCCTGACTGAGTCAGAGGACGACGAACGCGTGCAGGCAGACATAGATTACGACGAGTTCAAGATTGTCTATGTTGCTCCGCTAAAAGCTCTAGCCGCAGAAATTGTTGAAAAGTTCAGCCAAAAACTTGCATGGCTCGGAATACAGGTTAGAGAGCTCACCGGCGACATGCAGCTCACCAAGGCAGAGATCATGACGACACAGATTATCGTCACGACACCCGAGAAATGGGACGTGGTGACACGGAAATCGACCGGCGACAGCGAGCTGGTTGAGAAGGTGAAGCTGCTGATTATCGACGAGGTCCATCTGTTGCACGAGGACAGAGGATCTGTGATTGAGACTTTGGTTGCCAGGACGCTGCGGCAGGTGGAAAGCTCGCAGTCGATGATCCGCGTGATTGGTCTTTCTGCCACGCTCCCGAATTTTGTGGACGTTGCAGATTTTCTGGGAGTCAACCGTCAGGTCGGAATGTTCTACTTTGACCAGTCGTTCCGTCCGGTTCCGTTGGAACAGCAGTTGATCGGCGTGAGGGCCAAGGCGGGCAGTATGCAGTCACGCGACAAGCTGGACAAGACGGCGTACAGGAAGCTGGTGGAGATGGTGGAAAGAGGTCATCAGGTGATGGTTTTCGTGCACTCGAGAAAGGACACGGTCAACACTGCGCGCAACTTCATCAAGATGGCGGGCGAGAACGACGAGACGTGGCTCTTTGACTGCTCTGCTGCTCCGAAACACAGCTTATTTGAGCGCGAGATGAGCAAGAATAAGAACAAAGACCTCAGAGAGCTATTTCAGTACGGGTTTGGCGTCCACCATGCGGGAATGCTGCGGAGCGACAGAAACCTGACCGAGAAGATGTTTCTATCCGGGGCGATCAAGGTGCTATGTTGCACGGCCACGCTTGCGTGGGGTGTCAACTTGCCTGCTGCCGTCGTCATTGTGAAGGGTACGCAGGTGTACGACTCAAAGGCCGGTGGCTTTGTGGACCTGGGCATTTCGGACGTGATCCAGATTTTCGGTCGTGCCGGCAGACCGCAGTTCGAGAGTCACGGTATCGGCATACTGTGCACCACGAGCGATAAGCTGGACCACTACATCTCGCTTCTTCTGCAGCAGCACCCGATCGAGTCCAAATTGTCTGCCAAGCTAGTGGACAACCTGAATGCAGAGATCTCCTTGGGTACCGTCACCAACATCGACGAGGGGGTCCAATGGCTTGGCTACACGTACATGTACGTTCGGATGAAGCAGAATCCGTTTGCGTACGGAATAGACTGGCAGGAGCTTGCCAAAGACCCGCTGCTGGTGCAGAAGAGACGCGACATGATTATAGACGCTGCCAAAAAACTGCACTCGTTGCAGATGATCATTTTTGACGAACGGTCCGGAGCGTTCATTCCCAAGGACCTGGGCCGCGTCGCGTCCGATTTCTACCTGCTGAACGAGTCGGTCGAGATATTCAACCAGATGGTGAGCCCCAAGGCCACCGAGGCGGACGTGCTGAGCATCATCGCGATGAGCTCGGAGTTCGATAACATCAAGTTCCGCGAGGAGGAATCCAAGGAGCTGGAGCAGCTCAAGAACGACAAGTCGGCGTGCGAGATCGCCGCAGAGCTCGCGTCCGCACAGGGCAAGTCGAACATCCTGCTGCAGGCGTACATTTCGCGGGCAGCCATCAGAGACTCTGCGCTGATTTCAGACGCCAACTACGTCGCCCAGAACGCGGCGAGAATCTGCCGTGCGCTGTTTCTGATCGGCTTGAACCGCCGGTGGGGCGTCTTTGCGCGCGTGATGCTGTCCATATGCAAGTCTATCGAGAAACAGCTCTGGTCATTCAACCACCCCATGCGGCAGTTTGAGCTCCCGCAGCAGATCCACCGCAACATCGAGGCACACAGTCCGTCGATGGAGACGCTGCGCGAAATGAGCGCGGCAGAGCTCGGAGAGCTCGTGCACAACACCAAAATGGGGCCTATTCTGTACAGACTCGTGGGCCGGTTCCCGTACGTGCTGGTGGACGCCGAGGTGTTTCCCGTGACGACGAACGTGCTGCGTGTGCACGTGACCATAGAGCCGGATTTTGCGTGGCATTTCGAGACGCACGGCAACGTCCAGATGTTCTGGCTTCTGGTGGAGGAGAGCGACAAGGGCTCGATTTTGCACTTTGAGAAGTTCTTGCTGAGCAAGCGGCAGATGAACGCGCCGCACGAGATGGACTTTATGATCCCGCTCAGCGACCCGCCGCCGCCGCAGATCGTGGTCCGGGCGGTCAGCGACAGCTGGATCGGGTCTGAGACGGTGCACGCAGTCTCGTTCCAGCAGTTGATCAAGCCTCACAACGAGACCATCCAGACCAAGCTTTTGCGACTGCAGCCGCTGCCGATCACTGCTCTGCACAACCAAGAGATTGAGAAGATCTACGGAGCTAAATTCCACTATTTCAACCCGATGCAGACGATGGTGTTCCACACGCTGTACAACACCAACTCCAGCGTTTTTGTTGGCTCGCCGACGGGTTCTGGAAAGACGGTGGTTGCAGAGCTGGCCATCTGGCACGCTTTCAACGAGTTTCCTGGCTCCAAGGTGGTGTACATTGCGCCAATGAAAGCTCTGGTTAGAGAGCGGGTTGACGACTGGCGAGAACGTATTTCGAGGAACACAAAGCACAGAGTGGTGGAAATGACGGGAGACTCGCTGCCGGAGGCGCGCGAGGTGCGCGAGGCCGACATTATCATCACCACGCCTGAGAAGTTTGATGGAATTTCTCGTAACTGGCAGACACGGAAATTTGTGCAGGACGTTTCGCTCGTGATCATGGACGAAATTCATCTTCTGGCCAGCGACAGAGGTCCGATATTGGAGATCATTGTGAGCAGAATGAACTTTATTTCGTCTTTCACCAAGAAACCCATCCGGCTGCTTGGTCTGTCGACTGCCATTTCCAATGCCATGGACATGGCCGGCTGGCTGGGGGTGAGGGAAGGGCTGTTCAACTTTCCGCCCAGCGTGCGGCCGGTGCCGCTGCAGATGTACATCGACGGGTTCCCTGACAACCTGGCTTTTTGTCCGCTAATGAAAACGATGAACAAGCCAGCGTTCATGGCCATCAAGCAGCACTCGCCGCAAAAACCGGTGCTGATTTTTGTTGCCTCGCGAAGACAGACCAGACTGACCGCGCTGGACCTGATCCATCTTTGCGGGATGGAGGAGAACCCAAGACGGTTCCTGAAGATGGACGACACAGAGCTACAGCAGATTTTGCCAAAAGTCAAAGACGACACGCTGAAACTGTCTCTGCAGTTTGGTATAGGGCTGCACCATGCTGGTTTGGTGGAGAGTGACCGGCAGATCTCGCACAAGCTTTTTGAGCAGAGCAAGATCCAGATCTTGGTAGCCACGTCCACACTTGCCTGGGGAGTCAACCTGCCGGCGTACCTAGTGATCATCAAGGGCACGCAGTTTTTTGACGCCAAAATAGAGGGCTACAGAGACATGGACCTGACAGACATATTGCAGATGATGGGACGAGCAGGAAGACCGGCTTTCGACACCAGCGGCGTGGCCATTGTGTTCACCAAGGAGTTTAAAAAACAGTTCTACAAGCATTTCCTCAATGTCGGGTTTCCAGTCGAATCGTCGCTTCACAAAGTGCTGGACAACCACTTGGGAGCCGAGATTTCGGCAGGAACCATCAAAACCAGACAGGAAGCGGTCGAGTTCCTTACCTGGACGTTCCTGTACAGAAGAGCACACCACAACCCAACGTACTACGGAATTACCGATAATACCACCGAAGGAATCAGCAAATTTTTGAGCGACCTGATCGATGATTCTATTGAGAACCTGAAGGAGTCCAAGTGTGTGATTTCGTACTCCGACAAGCTAAAACCAACACCATTCCTCCAGATAGCCTCGTACTACTATCTGTCGCACAAGACGTTGCGCAACTTGCTGAAATCTGTTGTTCCCAAAGCCTCGTTCCGCCAGTGTCTGAGATGGCTGGCCGAAGCCACCGAGTACGACGAGCTGCCAACGCGACACGGCGAGGAGCTGATCAACATGGAGTTGTCCCAGCAGATGCGCTACCCTGCCAACGACATGGAGAACGCCGAGTTTATCTGGGACCCGCACATCAAGGCGTTCCTGCTGCTGCAGGCGTATTTCTCGAGAATCGAGCTGCCGATAGCAGACTACTCTCAGGACACAGTTTCTGTGCTGGACCAAAGTCTGCGTATTTTGCAAGCATATATCGACGCGGCGGCCGAGCTGGGCTATCTGTCGACGGTGCTGACGCTGATCAGACTGATGCAGTGCGTGAAGCAGGCGGTCTGGTTCGACGAGGACTTTATCTACACCTTGCCTGGTTTGAGAGCAGATGACTGGGAAAAAACGCACAACGATGGCGAGTTTACAGGACTGCCGCCTGTCTCGTTGCTCCAGAAAGCCGGCGAGCAGGCTGGAGAACTGAGCAAATTGGCACACCGGCTGAAACCGAAGAATTACGACCAGTTTAAAAAAATCGTCTCGACCCTTCCTGTTGGCAAATTCAGGGCTGTGAGAACAGATAAGGAGATCCGAGTTGAGCTGGTGCACTCGAATCCTCCGCTGAATCGCGACTTCAAGGTGTATTGTCCGAAATTCTCGAAACCACAGCGAGAAACGTGGTTTGCCATAGGCTGCAACCTCGAAACGGACCAGATATTCGCTATAAAACGGCTCTCTCCGAAACGAGTCGGTGGGGTCGACAAAGTCGAGGGGACGTTGACGGTGGCCACGTCAGAGCCGGTGGAGGTCGTTCTAGTTTCGGATTTCACTGATCTGCACTACCAAATGCCGGTGTAAATTGTATATAGAATGGACCATTATTCTGATTACGTGATTAAATTGATTATTTATTTGTATGAGCCTTGAGCAAGAGCTCGACAGCAGCGTCTACTACGCCGCGCTGAGCCTGAACTCCACGACGCTCTACACGTACGACAATGTCAGCTTCACCAGCAAGCTGAACGTGAACTATTCCGAGCTTGTTTCGAAGAATCTGGGCGTGATCAACTCTGTCCAGGAGACGAGAATCAACAGCCTCAAGCTGGCGAACAACGTGGTGATGGGCGTGACGGGCTCGCACGGGACGGCCCCACGCAACGTGCTCACGAACCTGATGCTCTACTACCACAAGAAACTGATGAAAAATAACAATTTGATCACGATCGTGGCTCTTTGCAATGATCGCATTCTCGATCGGTTCGTGTACAACCTCATGGAGAAAATCATGGAGGAGTATTTGGCGCACTTCTACCAAACAGAAGACGGCACGCTTAGCTACGAATTTAAGAACAGAATGCGCGATTTGATAGTGGATCATGAACTCAGGCTGCGACAGCTGACGGCCAATTACGGAGCCACCACGACTAACGAACTAGACGAACTTCGGGACCTCATGTCCGAAAACATCGACCGCATCCTCAACAGGGGCGAAAATCTCAACTCGCTCATTAACAAGACCAACAAGCTCAACTCCTCTGCAGGCTCGTTCCGCAGACGAACAGTGATGGTGAAGCGCAAACTCTGGTGGTCTAACATCAAATTTCTCGTTCTCGTCAGCACAGTGGTCCTTTTCGTGATATATCTATTTGTCGGCCTCGAGTGCGGCCTCCCGTTCTACACGAAATGTCTCCATCCCTCAAAACCGTCTCAGCCCCACCAAAAGAAACTCTAATGCAATATAATTCTACCCTTCGTTTTCCGACTCGGCTGTTTCTGTAGGCTCGTCGCCCTCGAGCTCCTTCATCTCCTGCTGCAGACGCTGCGACGCGGTCAACGCCGGCGCGTCGTCGTCCTCGGCGTCTTCCTCGGCGTCCTCAGTGTCCTCGCCTACCTCCGTGGCCTCTGCGGTAGCATCGTCTCGAGTCGTTTCCGCAACGTCCTCGGCCATTGGCTCGTCCGCATCCACCTTTGCTCGCTTGTTCTCGTTTTCCTGCTCGTCGTCGGGCTCGTTGATCTCGTCCTTCTTCTTTTTTTTGTGTTCCTTGCGCAGGTTGAATTTTTCCAGCTCCTCGCTCAGAGCGGGCACAAACCCGCCAAACTGGGCGCGTTCGAGGCCCGCAAGGACGTCATTCGCGTTGACAACTTTGCGGCCCTGCTCCTTCGCCACCTGTTTTGCGTGGTGGTACACGTAGTTCACAAAGAGCACCGACCCGCGCTGCAGAACTGTCTGCGACTCTTTTGCGAGGATCATGTTGGTTTCCGACTGCGATAGGACCTGTTTGGCCACCTTGTGCACCGTGGCCTTGGGAAACAGCATCGACTCAATGGACACTTTCTCGTTGTCGGCTGCCGTCTCGAAGTACGAGTCGTCGCCATCTTTTTTCCACCCCTTGGCAGGCATGACACGAGAACAATAAAATTTGCTATGGTTTGTTTTGTCGACGCGGATTTTTCACTCGACCGCCAATCGACCCTTATCGACAAAATGATCCAATTTAGGTAAACCGAGCACCAACAGGTATTTAAAGCGGGTCAAAGAATTCGGGGAAAATTCAAAACCGCTCATTATGGACTCGCAGGAGGTAACCGTCGTGTTCAGGGCGCTCAACAATTGTCTTGTCAACCTGCCGGCGCCCCTGATCAACCCGTTTCTCGCCAACAACATACTCATCCAGAACATTGCCGTGGAGCTCAACTTTCGTCCCAGTGGAGTAAAGAAGGACACAAAATGGCTCGTTGGCTGGAACGGCTACTTTTCAAGCGATCCGAAAACCATAGAGATCGATTCGGTGTATGCGAGCTCCATTGGACTTCGGGAGTCGAGGAGAGTCGTCATTCGTTTATCTCTCTCGCTGCCGAAAATTCAGTCTGTCGAATTAGAGCCTGAAACAAGCTCTGACTGGGAGCTGACCGAGATGTACGCCCAGACGATCGAGGATCGGTTTTTGAACCAGGTGAGGTGTGCCGTGCTGGGCCAGAAGCTCGCCGTGTACCCCAGCTCCAGCCCCAACAATGTGATCAGGTTTGTGGTGACAAAGATCAAATCGGAAACAGACGAGATCGAGCGCGGAATCCTGGTCAACGACTCCGAGCTGCACATCATTCCGAAGCTGCACAGACTTGAAAAACAGCAGAGCGACGGGTCCTCGCGTCGCAGACGGTCTGTGTCGGGTCGTCGCTCCTCGCAATTTGACCCCGTGCCCTCCTGTCTTCTGCGCTCGATTTGCCTGCCACACCATACTTTCCAGCATGTTGGCCATTCGTCCGCAAACTACGAAATATACGTCAACCTGGATCAGGATTTTGTCAACCACCAGTTCAAATCGATAAAATACGTGCAGGTTTCTGTGGTCGCGGGACCCGGGACGCCTGCAAAGGCCAGCTCTGTGGCGGAGCAGGCGAAAAACCACGACACTGCATCCGCAGGCAGCTCAAGAAACAACTCATCGTCTGTGGTCGACCAGAAAAGCGTCAACGGCTCGGTTGCACAGGCCGACACAGAACAGCGTAAAATAGTAGCCATATTGGTGCACGACCCGCTTGCGCCGCGACGCAGTGCTGGGGTCTCGCCTCTGCTGGCGATTGCGCTCGGTATTGAGCACCGTTGCGGAGACCTAGTGTGCATCGAGGCTGCTCCGCGAAAATACGGCACCGATATTCACACGGTTGTTCTGCACAAAATTATCACACATACATCAACGGTGAACGAGCTCGCCTTCAAGAACGATGGAGACCGGCAACTGAAGCAGGCAGAGGCTAAAAAGGAGCTGAATGCAAAATTCCAGGAACAGTTCAAACGGCTACATTTCACAAACTGTCCAATCACTAACGGCATGAAAGTGCCGGTTATTCCTGACCTGCTGCCCCAGGGAGGGTTTCTGGAGCTGAGAGACGGCTACCAGTGGGCGCTACTAGGCGAGAAGCTGCCGACTTTCGAGCTAGGGGACGAGCGACTGAAACCTGAGTCGTTTGTCGAGAGACGGTACGAGCCTAAAGACGGATCGATCGTAGGACACAAAGAGCTCATTGCCAGACTAGTCAGGTCGGTCAGGCACGGCCATAATTGTGTTCTCTCTGGCGCCTCGGGCTCGGGAAAAACAACGCTGATCAACGAGGTCATACATCGCCTGGTGACGCTTCACGGCTACCATTCCAAATATATCAGCTGCGAGACAATTTCAAACGACAATTTCCATGCAATAAAAACGCTACTGGACGACGCTGTCAGAGAAGCCAACTGGCACGCGCCGTCTCTGCTCGTGCTGGAAAACCTAGACTCTCTTATTCCCCAGGAAATGGAGCACGGAGACTCGGGGCTGAGCAGACAGGTGAGCGAATTTCTGGTCCACTTGCTAAAGGCTCTCACGCGAGAACGCGAGGTCTCGCTTCTGTGCTCGTCGAAGTCGAAGCAAGCGCTGAACGCAACGGTTTTCCAGACCCATCTCATCCAGCAGGAGTTTAACCTGAAAGCTCCAGATAAAGAGCTACGAAAAGAATTGCTACGGAGCTTTATTGACCAATACAGCATGGAGCTCGAAGAAGAGGAGATCTTGAACGACATCACCGTCGAAACAGAGGGGTATCTTCCGTCAGATCTCAAAGTCCTCGCTGACAGGACCTTCCACGACTACATATCCTCGACTATCGACAACAACGACTTCCATCTGCGAGCCTCGAATTTTGAGCGCGCACTGCAGGGATTCGTTCCGTCGTCTCTGCGTGGAGTGAAGTTGCAGAAGTCAAACGTGGCCTGGTCGGACATTGGCGGTCTAAAAGACGCCAAACGGGTGCTTTTGGAGACTCTAGAATGGCCAACCAAATATGCCCCCATTTTCGCCAAATGTCCCCTGCGGCTGCGTTCCGGAATCCTGCTGTACGGGTACCCGGGCTGCGGAAAGACGCTGCTGGCATCTGCCGTGGTGTCGCAATGCGGTTTAAATTTCATCTCTATCAAAGGCCCAGAAATTTTAAACAAATATATTGGTGCTTCCGAACAGAGCATCAGAGAGCTGTTTGATAGAGCACAGAGCGCAAAGCCTTGCATATTGTTTTTCGACGAATTCGATTCCATTGCGCCGAAAAGAGGCCACGACTCGACGGGAGTCACCGACAGAGTGGTGAACCAGCTGCTCACGCAGATGGACGGTGCAGAAGGGCTCGACGGCGTGTACGTGCTGGCAGCCACCTCCCGTCCGGACTTGATTGATTCCGCTCTGCTGAGACCAGGACGGCTGGACAAGGCAATTCTATGTGACCTGCCCGACTACGACAACCGACTAGACATATTGCAGACGGTTGCTTCCAAATTCAAGGTGTCTGACGAATGCCAGCTCGAACACTTTGCGCACAAACTCGAAGGCTATTCTGGCGCAGACTTACAGGCCTTTGTCTACAACGCGTATCTGAAAGCTGTGCACGATAGTCTCGACCAGCTTACAGACATGAACGAGGGCACCACGGAACGCAAAATTGAATATTTCAGCATGCTCAAAAATATGCAACCGTCCGGCAATATTGCCAGCAAAATTGATGCCATCTGTAATAACCTGCATGTGACGGACATAAACTCGTGGTACGAGGAAGACCAAAACTCCGGAGCAAAGTCGAATCCGATCGTTATCAAAAACAGTCATTTCGAGATTGCTCTAGAAGAAACCAAGAAAAGCATCTCCAACAAGGAGTTACGCAAGTTTGCCCGCATCTACTCCCAGTTCGTTGACGGCAAGCGAGAGGGCAACCTGCCGGACGGTCAGGCAAGCACAGATATTGGCGGCCGGACCACGCTTATGTAAATCCGAACTCCATGAGTGTCTTAAGTCCGTATTAGTAAAAAAATAATCGGGGATAATATTTTTTACTGCGCCGGCCCGAACGGGAGCCGGACCGAGTCAATTTTTGCAAATCCATGCTTACATATGTATGATCTAAATGCATAGCTGACCAGTAGTATATAAGACCATGACTGCCGATACTGAAGATCATGGGCGAAAAACAAGCATGGAACATACTAAATTGCACAAGATCAAGACGATACTCCCCCGACTGCTGAGAAAATCTGTCTCGCATAGCAGCACCTCTTCGCAGGCTAGCTCCGCAACTTCCTGCGGCTCCTCGCACAACGATCCAGCAGAGTCTATTCTTTCAGTAGATGATTTTGCCGAAGCTTTTGAAGAGCTCCCTCCCGACTGGGAAGTCCGCTACGATCCCGTTCTACAACTGTATTACTACGTCAACACGCACGACAAGATTTCGCAGTTTGACAGTCCGCTCGAGGTCGTCAAACATTAATTCATTAAATCAACCATATTCGTCATCATCATGAGCAACGTATCTGTATATAGACCAAACTCAACGTACTATAGTTTTTCCGTCTCTTTGAGTAGCCAGTCAATTGCCCTGGTGTCGCCAAGCTTTTCCAGTATAGGAATAGTGGAGGCGCGAATTCTATCGTAGAAGGCGTTGATCCAGCTGACTTGCTCCGGCTCCAGCAGGTTCACGTCGATGAGATTCTTGCAGAAAGGAACAAGAGTCAAGTAGTCAAACGCCAACAGCTTAGTTCCGTCCGACTCTTCGGTCTCAACGACCAGCAGATTGCTCTCTATCCGGACCCCATATTCGTTGTCTCTGTAGTATCCCGGCTCGTCACTGAGGAAGTTGCCCGGCTCCAAAGGCTTGTAGTTGTAACTTGTCTCAGCTGGGGATAATCCGCAAGGCCCAGCATGAACACAGATAAATGTATCAATGCCATGGCCAGTGCCGTGGTTGTAGTTCAGTCCCTTTTCTGCCAGTGGCTTCCTGGCTAAGGAGTCAATGTACGATGACGACGTTCCGGGCGCAAATTTGAGCATGGCAACGTTTAAATGGCCCTTCAGCACCAATGTGTATTTTTCTATCTCGTCGTAGCTTGGCTTGCTGAAATGCAGTGTGCGAGTGATATCAGTGGTTCCGTCCAAATACTGAGCGCCCGAGTCCAGCAGGAAAATCCGGTCAGGATCAAGCACAGAGAAATCTTCTAGCGTCGGGGCGTAATGGATCACCGACGAGTTCGGTCCCGTGCTGGAAATTGTCTCAAAAGAGAGCCCTTTGAAGTTGGGCATGAGGTTCCGGTAATGGGCGGCCTTGGTAGCAACCTCTATCTCGTCTACCTGTGCCCGGGGAGGCAGAAACGCTTCATGAAGCCAGGCAAATGTGCGAATCAGTGATACCGAGTCTTTGAGTTGTGCGAACCGGTTGCCTTCGATTTCCGTTTCGTTTTTAATTCCTTTGAACTCAGTGATAATAGACCGTGTTCTGATCTCAAAAGCGGTTGCAACGTTCATATACAAAGCATAGCTGGGACTGTTGGAAAGCACCACGACACGCGAGTCGGTCGATTTGTTTGTAAGTGCAGGGATGCTATCCCAAAATTGCGAGTAGCTGCAAACGGTCAAATTAGCAATGGTGGATAAATATCTGGACACCTTAGGGGTCAGCTTCGACTTGTCCAGAAACAATTCCACGCCATCCAGTTTGACGATGGCGTACGAGAAAAACACCGGATTGTATGGGATAGAGCTGCCACGGAGGTTGAAAAGCCATGCCACTTCCTCGAGTTGCGACACGACCAGGGCAAAGGCGTCTGTCTCTCGAAGATAGTTCTGGACACGCGCAATCTTGCTTGCTGCGTGCTCACCAGCAAAGCGCATTTCGTGCTCAAAGATGTAGTCCAATTTAGGAACAGGCGGCTTGTAGTGCTCGAACTTCATCACCTTGTCGACCAAATTGTCCATCAGGGGCAGGAACTCGATGTTGGCGCTGTGACATCTTTCCTGAAAAAAGGTTCCAAGCTTGTGGTCAACCAGGCGTGGATCAACAGCAACGGTCTTGAAATTGGACAGTTTTGCCTTCTCAAGGCACCACTGTTGCCAGGTCATCACTCCTCGGACTCCTTGCTTCAGCAGAGTCCAATTTTCGTCCAGCTGCCGCTCTGCCTGGAGGAAATAGCGGCCGTCGGTCGACAACACAGCATCGTCCTGCGACACCACAGCCACTCCAGCACTTCCGCTGAAGCCGGATATGAATTCGCGGCGCTGGTCCTTGGGAGAAGTGTACTCGCTCTGATGTTCGTCCTGCGACGGAACAATATAAACGCCGATTTCGTAGGATCTCATCAGACTTCTCAGACGGGTCAGTCTGTTCGTGGTGTTCACGCGGTCAGCAACGACCGGCTTCTCATATTTCAAGTCGTTGTAGATCTGCTCCGCCTTTGTCTCCGTTTCAGTCAGAGCAACCTTGTGGCGTCCGTGGAAAAGCGACCACAGACTGTAGAAACAGGAGACTGTCTTTTCGTGCGAGTCGACCATTCTGATCTCGCCACCGTCCTCAACAGAGTCCACATACTCTGGGACCTCAACAAGAAGGGGACGCGGAACCATGAAACGGAGATAAGAAGGGGGTAATTTTTTTTTTTTCTGTAGACGATAAGTCGATCGACGCCAACGCAGGTCATGACCTCCATTTTTTAAATTGCCATCCTTATCTTAGAAGACACATATAAAATGTGCATGATGAATCCTAAACACGTTTATAGTATGAACAGCAAAAACACTACGTCTGTTACTCCATATATGAGATTCGAGCCTGTTGAATACGATCCCCAGATCGACCCAACGAACATGGGCCAATACAAGCCAAAGATATACAAGGTGGAGCCTGTTTACCAAAAAGTGGATGTGGAGGAGGAGAGTGAACCCGACTCATACAAGGGGGAGGCCGAGTTGGCAGATGAGCCTCCTCGGTATTCCGAACTCTACGACGTGAAGGACGGTAACGACGGTAAGGACAACTCCGCCAGAAGACGAGGCGCGCGTCGGTTTAGAATAGCGTTTGCCGGTTTTGTTACGCTTATTCTTTTCAGCATGCTCGCCTTTTCCAAGTTTAGCTCGTCCGGCTGTCCAATGGATACCGACACGGCCGTGAACAAAGGCAACATCGCCCTGGTTGTCTACGAAAAAGCGCATATGCCGATGGACGACGGTCCATCGTACGAGGTCTACCATTTAGAGATGGTTGGGCTGGACTGAATGGAATTCACTATTTGCTCACAGCTTAGGGCTCAGACCCAGGTATTTTGCATGGTGGGCAGCGTGGTCCTTGGTGAAGGATGAGATGAAGTAATAGGAGTGGTCATAGCCTTCTTCCAAATGCAGATCGATCTTGCCCTTGAGCTTGGAGTCTTCGCTCGCCTTGACAAGGTTCTCAGGCAGCAGCTGGTGGTCTCTGAAATAGAACGGATCGGCAGTTCCCGTGTGAATCAGAATCGGGGTGTCCGGACCGTCGTATTTCTTGATCAGCTCGGACGGATCGTACTCGGCCCATTTGGACTTGTCCGCGCCCAAGTATCCGCCAAAACACTTGTGACCCCACGCACAGTTGGACGGGTTCGAGATCGGAGCAAACGCACTCACGCTCTTGAACTTGCCTGGGTTTCTGAAATAGAACATTAATGCTCCGTAACCTCCCATGGAATGTCCTGTAATCGACATATTATCAAAATCCAGCCGAGTGTACGAGGAAGCCAGCCCTGGCAGCAACTCCTTCAGAATGTAGGAGTACATTCTGTAGTTCTTTGACCACTTTTCCTCGGTGGCGTCGAGGTAGAACCCGGCACCGCTGCCAAAATCATAACTCTCGTCCTCTCCCTCGATCGAGGCTCCTCTAGGAGAAGTGTCTGGATAAACCACCGCAAAGCCGTACTTGTTGGCATATGGCTGCCAGAAACCTTTCTCCGAGCAATTGTTGGGAGTACAGGTCAGTCCGGAAAGATAGACCAGCACCGGCAACTTCGAATCTGGCTGCTCGTAGTACTGTTCGGGCAGGTAAAGGTTGACATCCATTTTGGTCTGGGTTTCCTTGGAGTCGTGCTGGAGCTTGACCAGCTTGCCTCCAAACGACCTGATCTCGGCTTGTGTGACGAAAGACATAATTGGGATGAAAATTGAATTGACAAAGTTGCTGGTGAAGCAAATAAGATAGCCTACATTCGGGGATGTGTTAGCCTAATACGGAAACCGGAACGGTATCGATTTTTAGTGCAAACGCGCGGCACGTGACAGAAACCGGGTCACGTGACATATATAGGTCCTGTATAAGTCAAATCTTGTGCGCACTGTGTCTGTGTCTGACCAGCTGGTAGTACACAAAGACGACAGAGCAGAGCAGTCCGCTGGCGGAAAGTGCCATGCCCATGTAGAATGCGCTGCGGATCCCCGTGTATGTGTCTGCTCCGTTTTTAATTTTGTAGTACTCGACCGTGCCAGCCAGGCCCAGACCTATTGAAATCGAGTAGTTCACAACCGTTGTGACGAGCGATGCGGCGAGGCCCTGGTGGCGTCTTGGCAGTTTGTTGGAGAGAATCAGAATTCCCGACGGAAAGCTGATATCCATGCCAAAGCAGGCTACTACGATGGCCGGGAATTTCTGTGCCCAGTAGATCTGGCCCCTTGGTCTGAGGCCCATGATTACAAGCCCGCCCACGAAGCACGCCATTGCGACCATCAGCAATATCGACGCGGGCACCCGGTGGATGAGGTTTGCGGTGAGCATTCCGGCCAGCATTCCAGCAATGCATGACGGAATAAATTGCACAGACGCAATTAGGGGGCTGAGGCTAAGGATGTCGTAAGCGAATCGGAACGTGTAGTAGATCCAGATCCCGAAGCTGGACCAGCCGAGGGCAATGCAGGCGAGCGTGAAGACAACGGGGGCGTTGAGTTTCGGCACGAGCGGGTGTGTAGCAACGCGCTCGATCCAGGCAAAGGCAGCCATAAATGCCACCCCGACTATCAGGAGAATGTAGACGTACGGCACGTTCCAGCCAACGACGGGGCCCTGGTTGAAAGCGAAATTGATCAGCACGAGGCCGCTGATACCCGTGGCAGCCCCGTATAGGTCGAAATGGTGTGCGGTGAGGTTTTTATGAACGGTAACGACATTTTTTGGGATCACCAAAATTGACACCGCTGTCTTGCCCACGCTCACTATGGCGGTGACGTAGAACGCCCAGGGCCACGTGGCGAACTGCGCTAGCACTGAGCTCATGAGGGCGCCCAAAACAAAGCCCAGAGGCGCGACTGCTCCGAAAAACCCAAACGCTAGATTGCGTAATTTTCCAGCTGGAAGATAGTGGCCCATGAGGCCGAGCGCGTTGGGCACAGCGGCCGACACCGAGAGGCCCTGGAGCGCGCGACAGATGTCGAAAAACTCAATTGAGCCGCTATATTTGCTCAGGCCCGCCAGCAGCGACCACAGAGCCAGACTCAGGTAGCTGGCAATGTACACTTTTTTGTAGCCAAGCAGGTCGCCCACCCTGCCGGAGATTAGGATAAATGTGCCCACCGAGAGCGAGTACGCGGCCGTCATCCACGAGATTTGGCCCTGGTCGTCTTCCACGCCAAACGATTTCGCGGTATAGGGGGCTGGAACGAGCGACTGTGCCAAGAGCGCCTGGGCAATGATCTGGGACGTAGCCATGAGAGCGATAAATGTCAGGAGCCGCAGCCTGGAGATATTCTCGAACGGCGGCTCTGGAACCATAAACTCGAGGTCCGCGTCGTCTGTCTCGGACACCTGCAGCGACGTTTTGGGCCTGGTTTCTGGGTCAGGCAGAGCTTCGTTTGACATTACGAATTAAGCGAGAAAAAAGCGAGAAAAACACCGAGCTACAAAAAATTAAAATTAATGTTTAAGTCAGGGCTTTGCGCAATCAAAAATAGCTGGCCACGGCTCGGCCGCAGGGCTTTTGCCAGTGTGAGATACGAATCTCCCAGCAGAAGACTTCTTGCGTTTAGCGGCGTCGGCGTGGCTGTCGGGTCGTACTTCTCGTACAGCCAGATTCTGAGCGACGCAGCACCTGTGCAGGACCCAGAGAACCTCGTCAGCGTCGACTCGTCCGTGCACTCGTTCCCTGTGGTCACGTCGGACTGCTTGTTGCAAACGCCGTTCCAGCTGCTCGGCTACGGCATCAGAACAGTCACTTTTCTTAACATGAAGGTGTACGCTCTGGGACTTTATGTGGCCAGAGAAGACCTGCCGCTACTGAAAAAGACGCTCAGCAGCGTCAGTCCCGAGCCGTCCCAGGTGGCCTTTAGCCTGAGAGACCCGGCCCTGTCGCCGCAGGTGGTGGAGCTACTGCTGTCTTCTGGTGTGCGGTTTTCTGCCAAGATCGTGCCCGTGCGAAACACCGATTTTAACCATCTGAGAGACGGCCTGATTAAATCAATTAAGTCCAACCCCAAATACAAGGAGCTGGTCAAGCGGGGCGACGGAACAGACGAGAAGCTAAGCGCTGGGCTGGACCAACTGCGGAAGGCGTTTGGGGCCCGCAAGGTGACCGCGTCGAAAAACTCCACCTTGATGCTCCAGCTTCTGAGTGACGGGAAACTGGCGTTGTCGTTCCAACAGTACACGACCCGGGACAAGATGGCGGAGCCGTTCAGCATGGGCGTTGTGGAGGAGCCGCTGATCGGCCGGCTACTGTTTCTGAGCTATCTTTCCGGAGCCAAGCCGCTCAGCGAGCCTGCGCGGTCCAAGGCAATTGACGGATTTATTTCGTTGCTATGAAATTGTATATAGTCATTTTTTAGGCTACCGGCCGGGAAAAAAACCCCGGAGTTTTTTTTTGCGCAAGCGCAGTCCCCCAGATTCCCCCGGATTCAGTCTTGGTACATAAATAGTGAATCTCCCTTTAGCCTTTTCCCCAAAAATGTCTGAATCCAAGCAAACCATCAACACCGATTTGGTCACTCTGACCAGGTTCATTCTGGAGGAGCAGAACAGATACGCCCCGCACGCCACCGGCGAGCTAACATTGCTGCTCAACTCTCTGCAATACGCCTTCAAATTCATTGCACATACCATTCGCAGAGCCGAGCTGGTGAACCTGATTGGCCTGGCCGGGATCACAAACGCCACAGGAGACGACCAGAAGAAGCTCGATGTCATTGGAGACGACATTTTCATCAATGCCATGAAGAGCTCCGGTAACGTGAAGGTGCTGGTGAGCGAGGAGCAGGAGGATCTGATTATTTTTGAGGGCTCCGAGGGCAACTACGCGGTGTGTTGCGACCCGATTGATGGGTCGTCCAACCTGGACGCCGGAGTCTCTGTCGGTACCATCTTTGGTGTCTACAAGCTGCAGCCGGGCTCCAAGGGAAGCATCAAGGACGTGCTGCGTTCGGGAACAGAAATGGTGGCTGCCGGGTACACCATGTACGGCGCAAGTGCGCATTTGATGCTCACGACGGGCCATGGCGTTAACGGGTTCACGCTGGACACGCATCTTGGCGAGTTTATTCTGACCAAGCCGCAACTGAAAGTGCCGGAGAAAAGAGCCATCTACTCAGTCAACGAGGGTAACTCGTACTACTGGCCCAAAGAAGTGCAGGACTTCATTGCGTCGTTGAAGCTGCCACAGGAGGACAACAACGGCAAGCCGTACTCGGCCAGATACGTTGGATCGATGGTGGCGGACGTGCACAGAACACTGTTGTACGGCGGACTGTTTGCATACCCGGCCGATTCGAAATCGAAGACGGGAAAATTGAGAGTTCTGTACGAGTGCTTCCCGATGGCTCTGCTGCTGGAGCAGGCCGGCGGAGAGGCCGTTAATGACAAGGGCCAGCGCATTCTGGACCTCACTCCGAAGAAAATTCACGAGAGAAGCGGAATCTGGCTCGGAAGCAAGAAGGAGATCGAGAAACTGCTGCAATATATAAAGAAATGATGACGGTTATTCAATGAAGTAAAAAAAAAACCTAATTCGTGTAGGTGTCAATTTTTCAATTGTCAAAACGTTTGAACTTCGATAATTTCAGGCAATCGAAACATGAGCGACTGTAAGTTATAAAACCGCGCCGTTTGGCTGCGTTTGCCGCCCGCTAACCCGCAGTCCGTGTTCTGGACCTTGTGAAACCGTTCACGCCGTTTCTGCCAGAAGTGCTGGCTCCAGAAAGAAAAGTGCCCTTCAATCAGCGACTCATGTGGACAGGCGTCACTTTGCTCATATTCCTGGTCATGAGCGAGATCCCGCTGTATGGCATCACTGCGTCGGACTCCTCCGACCCGCTTTACTGGCTCAGAATGATGCTGGCCTCCAACAGAGGAACATTGATGGAGCTGGGTATATCGCCAATTGTCACCTCCGGCATGGTTTTCCAGCTGTTGCAAGGCACCCAGCTGCTCACTGTCAACATGGAGAACAAGAAGGACCGTGAACTGTTGCAAATCGCACAGAAGATCTTTGCCATTCTGCTCTCTGTGGGACAGGCAACCGTGTACGTTCTGACCGGAATGTATGGTCGTCCAAGTGATTTGGGCACCGGCGTGTGCTTGCTGCTGATTTTGCAGCTGGTTTTCGCCGCCATGGTGGTTATTCTTCTGGACGAACTGCTGCAGAAAGGCTACGGTCTCGGCTCGGGCATTTCTTTGTTTATGGCCACCAATATTTGCGAGCAAATTTTCTGGAGATGTTTTGCTCCAACCACCATCAACAGAGGCCGTGGAACAGAATTTGAAGGTGCCGTTTTGGCCTTTGTCCATCTTCTGTTCACTAAGAAGTCTAAAAGAGCTGCCCTGATTGAGGCCTTCTACAGAGACAACGCCGCTAACATGTTCCAAGTGATTGTCACCATTCTGGTCTTCCTTGCTGTGGTTTACCTGCAGTCGCTCAAAGTCGAGCTTCCTGTCAAGTCCACCAGACAGAGAGGCCCATACGGTCTGTACCCAATCAGACTGTTCTACACCTCAAACATGCCTATCATGTTGCAGAGTGCTCTGACCTCCAACATCTTCATCATTTCCCAGATGCTCTACACCAGATTCCCAAACAACGTGATTGTCAAGCTGCTTGGTTCCTGGGAGCCAAGGGCCGGCTCCCAGCAGCTGTTTGCCTCTTCGGGCATTGCCTACTACATGCAGCCTCCGTTCTCTCTGACTGAGGCGTTTTTGGACCCAATCAAAACCGCCATTTACGTTATATTTGTGCTGGCCACCTGTGCATTTTTCTCCAAGACCTGGATCGAGGTTTCTGGCTCTTCTCCTAGAGACGTCGCCAAGCAATTCAAGGACCAGGGTCTGGTCATTGCCGGCCACAGAGAGACCTCTGTTTACAAAGAGCTGAAGAAAATCATTCCTACTGCTGCTGCGTTCGGTGGAGCCACCATCGGTGCGCTGTCTGTTGTCAGTGACCTCTCCGGCTGCCTGGGCTCTGGAACGTCCATCCTCTTGGCCGTTACCACCATTTACGGCTACTACGAGATGGCTGCCAAGGAGGGCGGATTTGCCAAGAGTGTTGGAACTGGGTTCAGTGAGATGATGTGAATAAATATCTAGCTAAAAAATCTCCGTTGCACAGTTATTTTTTTTGTTTTATTTTATTGACTTCCTCGCAATGCCTCCGCAGAGTTCCTCCTCACGGAGAATCAAGAACATCTCCATTTCCAAACCCATAATCTACGGCAACGTGGCACAGAAGATTTCCGACACCAACCCGCTTCCCGAAGGCGCGCCCACAGACCACACTCACACATGGAAGGTGTTTGTTGCTGACCCGCTAGGCAACGATCTGTCGAGCTATATCCGCAAAGTGGTGTTCAAGCTGCACGAAACCTACAACAATCCTACCCGCTCCATCGAGGAGCCGCCATTCGAGGTGTCAGAGACCGGCTGGGGAGAGTTTGAGATAGTAATCAAGATATACTTCAACAACGACTGCGGCGAAAAAAATATAACGTTCTACCATCATTTGAAGCTCCATCCATACGGACCGAACATGGAGGAAAGCCAGAAAACCGGTAGAGTGGAGAGCATACTGTTTGACGAAATAGTATTCAACGAGCCTACAGAGAGAATGTTCAGACTGCTGACCGCCAAACCGGGTTCGCTGCTGCCCTACAAAAGCGAGAATTCCAAGTTCACCAAGGAGGCAGAGCGACAGGAGATCGACCGGATCGAAAAGGCCCTCGAGGAAGTCAGAAAGCAGATCGACCAGAAAAGCGTCGAGTTCAAAGAATTGGAGCAGGAACGACAGCGACTCGTCGCATGAGCGCTTTTATACAATAATCCAGTGTCTTTTATTAGAGCGTTGAAAAGCTAGTGTACATTAACATACTCCAAAGTCTCCTCAATCACCTGTTGTAGGCTCTGGGCCGAGCCGAAATATTTGTTGTAGTCGTAATTCACAAGAATCTTCACCAGCTCGAGTCCGTCCCTGTTGAAAACCATCACTGATGCTAGAGGATACGTTCCGCCGCCCAACGGATCGGTCACGCCAAGACGTTTTGCCAAAACTCCACGCGAATCAAGCAATATCGGGAAGCTATAGCTGTTGGGGCCGTGGAAGTTGCTGGTTACCCCAAGGACATATCCGTTGAAATGCGCAGTGTCCATCATCTGAAGCAGCTGGGAATCGCACTCGGCAGCGCCAAAGAAGAAAAGAACCATCGGAAGCGAGAATTGGGCATTATGCTGATTGAATACAGTTTTGATGTCTGATCCTGGTCCCAGAAAATACATGTCGTCATTATCAGTGGCCACGTCGAGCAAATCGAAAACGTTCGACTTGGACAAATGTGCTTGTTTGATCACCACCTCGGGCACTCCGCGCCGGCAGCTCTGGACAAACTCTGAGCTAGAGGAAGTGGACGATAATGGCCGTATTTTCTTGGAAACAGAGCCATACTCGGCGTCGTCATACGAGCGCTTGGGGCGCCATACACTGTCGATCATAGAGGAAAGATCATGCGCGGTGAACTGGAGCTGGGTGGAAGCCGGAGGAATGGTAGGCATAGCGAAAAGAGAAAACGCACTGACAGACGCAAGGATGGATGATTTATACTCAGCGGGTGACTTGAGGATGATTTGCCGCCCAATGTCAAAGTTTTCCGGTAGCTGGGTTCTCCGCTTGTTTATATAAAGAGGCCGATGACCTTAGGATCGCACCATAAGGATCAAAGTCCGAGATCTAGCATCGAGTCACGAAAGCAATCACATGGCGCAACATCATGTGCTCTGTGGTCACGTGCAATCGCCTCAAACGGTGTATGCGAGCGGACAGGAGGGCGCGGAAGTTAAAAAACAATTTACGCGAGGAGAGGAGGAAAAAGAAATAAGAAACGCCGTGCTTGTCGCCCCAGGAATTTGCGGTGACCGCGGCCGGGTAACTCGGTTTTCCCATACTCATCGGTCGGGGCAATATATGCGCCAGCGGGAATCCTTCGATTTTACCCGTGCGATTGTGCAGAAAGTGCATCACCAGAACGGGAAAAGTGCTGTGGCGCGCACGACTTTACAACTTCGTCTGTGCACGATAAACTCCAGAGTGTTGCATAGGACAAGTCAAGATAGGTAGGTACACAGTATTTTTTATCTTCAAATTTTGGAAACGTTGAAGAAGAACAGGGTTGTCGTTAATGTTGTCACCTTCCAGTAAAGAATCGCATCTGGTTCCGTCCAATCAGAACAGATTGTCGAACTTTACGTTTGGAGAAAAAAAACATTCGTTATCCAAGGTGGAGTCTTCCCACGATCCAGCGGAGCACACCACACAGCGCCGTGGCACGAGAGCCTCTTCGATTGGGAACGCGAACGTTTTAAATTCGCCTCTCTCGCTGTCAGATGAAGATCAGTGCCACAGAGCCAACTCCAACCTCGATGGCGACCAGATATCGTTGGAGAGCGTGCCTCCTCCGAGCACACCGTCGTCGCCATCTCAATCGCGCTCAAATGCCTCGCGAGGCTCGCACTCGAAGCGCAAGGACTCTTTGATTTTTGAGCGGTTTGTCCAGGACCAGCTAATTGACTCTCAGCCGATCTCGTCTTCTCTGCCTCGGCAATACTCTACAGAAAACTTTGTTCCTGCCTCGCTCGATCTCACCGCGCAGATCTCGCACGACGAGCTCGACCAGGTCGATATGCGTTATCCAAGAAGATCGTCGACTGCCAACTTGCAGGCCGCGTTCGCTTCGCCTGGGTACAGAAAAATGTCCATTTCCTCTAGACCTAGCACGAAACGCAGCACCTCAAACCTGACGGAACAGTTGACGTCCAACCAAAGTCCGCGTCCGGCGTTCAGCCATTCTCTCACTACATCGAGTATTCCTCAAGCACAACAAAATTCGCCTGCCACGTCGCCCCTGCTAAAGCAAAATAAATCCACCCTCTCCTTCTGTTCGTACGCAGATATGATCACCCAGGAAGACCAGGAATCAAAGATCCCTATTAGACGTCCAAGTATTAGCGCCAGTCTTTCGAACCACCCAAGATTGTCCCGGACCAGCTCTGTTTCGTCGACCACCTTCTCCCAAAGGTCTCCGGTGAGCGTCCAGGTTCCCCAAATCCACACCGCCTTTGGGCCTAACGCCTCTGCCCAGGCATCTAGTTCCTCGCTTTCTCCATGCGGAGGCCCTATCTCGCCTCAAATCTTCGCTCGAGGCCCCCTCGGCCAGAGAACCTCGAGCGTCCAGTCAGGCAAGAAGTTCTCTGTTGACTTGCCGAGCTCTGACTCCGATAATGAAACCGACCAGTCCTCAATTCCTTTCAGGTTCACTGGATTGCAAAAAAAGAAAATCCCTGTTAGATTATCAAATGCCAGTCAACACTCCTTTAAATCTGGCACCCACAACATCGACGATGTTCTAGTCGACGACGACTCTGACGAAGATAGTATGCACGGTTATGTAAATGAAGGACTGCGTACTTAACACGGACTTTTATTTTTTATACGAGAATATATCTGGTAAATTATCAATCGCTCAGATAATTCTTTCTATTACCAGTCCGCACAAACCGGCGCAACATCCACTCGACGTCGGCGTCTTTGTCGTCCATAGTTCCGAGCCGGACTTCAAACAGCCTCATTTCAAATCTTGGACCCACTTCGCTGAGCTCCACATCGTCCTTGGTCCGCACATACAGGTGCTGTCTCACGCTGATATAATCTTCATTATTCACGAAACTGATCACTCTCGGCGACTGTGGCTTCACTCCTGGAGGAAACAGGTGCTTCAGCACTTGCACAACACGTTTTCCTAGTTTAGAGGTGAAGTTTTCGAACACAAGGTGCGGATACGCCTCTGATTGCGAGCCAACGTTCAGAATATCGTGTCGAAGAACCACGTTGTGAAGAGTAAAGGTAACGGAAGGCCCGTGGGGTAAGTGTGTGATCGTGAGCGTTGTAGGCACACCTCTGTGCTCGTGAATGACTATGACATCTGTAACTCCTGATTTTTTGCACGTCTCAATCAGATCACTGAGTATATAGTTACCTCTGTTGAGTCTCATGGCATTGGGAAAAAGCAGCTTTATCTCCTTTGTGAACTGTGAGAGTCTGGACGATGGGCTTCTGGACGTGGTGATTATTATTTTCGGCTCCACAAGGCCGGAAAGCGCAGAGTATTCGTCATCAACGGTCTCTTGGATCGATTCGTCATATAGATAGTCTTTTTGCAGTTTCTCGTCGTCGGCGATTTCCTTAGGCAGGTTTTTCCCCGTAGCCAGCGCATGGCTGAGTTGTTTGCGCTTCTCTATAAGCGTCTGCTCTTGCAACTGCTGTGCTTTTCTATAGAGATACTCTCTTCTCTCTCTGGCCTGTCTTCTGAGCATGTGGAATTTTTTACAAAAAAAATTTATTTACGCCATTCATACAGAAAAAATTCATTTCTTACATATCGCATCCATAGTAAAATACAAGACTGAGCACCGAACCGCAGAAACAGGCCAATTCGCAAAGGCCGTGGGCGGGGTGGCTCGGCTGAGTACGCTCGCCCTCATTGTATCGCTCAGTTTTTCTTCCTGCCAAAGAGTCCTCTCTTTTTCTTCTCCGGCTCCTTAGGGGCTGGTGCCGTGTACACGCCCTGCTCCGTGGACGACGTCTGAGGCCGCTGGTACGCGTTGCCGTCGTATATCGGCTGGCCGTACTCATCAAACTGCTGCTGCCCCGCGCCGTAGCCCTGCGCATACTGGTTGCTGGTGTAGAGCGGGAAGTCCTGTCTCACTCTCCATCCCAGGCTTGGGGTCTCTAGCTGCTGTTTATAGGTCGGATCGCCAGTCACGGAGTATTCGAACGATCGTATGGTGTCCATGGGCCGCTCGTCTCTGGATCTGGACGGATTCGATATGTCTGGATTCACAATGGTATTGCCGAACACGTCGCGTAATCCGGCGTCGCCCAGCGACGACTGTCTTTGGTGCTCGTTGGCAGACTGCTCAAACGGCTGTGCCTCGTTGACCGCGTCCAGGATCGGGTCGTGCACGTTGGCCGACCGCATCTTGAGCCGTTTCTCGTCCTCGTGCGTCAGCTTGACTTTCATCTTATCGCCAGACGATTGCGAACTTCTCTTGAACAGACCCATCTTGTGTAACGTTTACAAAATTAACACAGAATTTTTGTCACTCGGTTTTTTTTCTAGAGCTCAGTGCCGAACGAGGCTTAAAACAGAAACAGTAATAACGTCAGTTACCAACGGCTCGTTGTAAACAAATAATGGATCTTACAATTTGCGATTTTCGACACGTCGTCAGTGCCTCCAGCTGCCACGGGACAGGCCTGGCTGCTATATTTATCTGCCCCCTTAGCCTCCTCTAGCGTCGATCGGCGCGTCTATCAAATCCATTCTGTCTCGACCCCCACAATATTTTATTGTTTTTTACTACGCCTTATCTATAATCAGAGCCACTTTGTTTAAATTACGAGATATTGCCGAAACTCGTTCTCTGTCATCGAACCAGCTTCGCTCAGGTAAACAGGTGCGCAACGCGCTTGGTAAAAAACCAATGCCTCGAAACACAGCCAAACACTCCTCGTTGCCCCAAAATAATTCGCCTCTCTCATCCCTCGAATCGTCTTTTTTCGACTCCCTGGATGAACTAGCAAGCTGGGAAAAACGGATCCACGAAAAGTCATTCGAGCTCGACGACCTCAAAAAACCCACTGAAAAGCTCGCACACTATACAAGAGCAAGACAGCAAGGCACGTCAGAAGATGTTAAGCTTCTAGTTTGTCATGATCTAAAAGGCGGCTACCAGACCAACGAAGACGACGACCCGCTGGGATACTTCCCCCATCCAGACGGCCAGCGTTACTTCCTTCAGTACCCGCAATTGGTCGACAAATTTGTGTATTTCTCTCATCATCGCATCAGTATCCCGCCGGTGCCCTGGATTAATGTGTGCCACCGAAACGGGATCAAATGTTTGGGTACCGTCATCTTTGAGGGTAACACGTATCGCGATTTTGAGGAGGCCGATAAACTGCTCACAAGGCAAGACGCAGAGTTTGTTTTTGTCAGATGTCTAGTTGCGCTGGTGGAGTATTTCCAGTTTGACGGCTATCTTTTCAACATTGAGACAAGGTTTAGCAATACGCGAATAGCCAGTCTTTTAGAACCCTTTTTAGAACAATTAAGAGCCGAACTTCATGTGAGAAATTCTTCAACAGAGCTGATATGGTACGACTCCTACATTTACCCAGAAAATAGGGTTTTATACAAAAATGGCGTTACCGAGGCCAACCACAACTTTTTCTCGTGCTGCGATTCCTTCTTCACCAACTACTGGTGGAACGTGAAGCATCTACAGGATAATATCAAGAACGTTGGTGTTTTGGGGTCCCGCCTGAAGGTCTATGTCGGCTACGACGTATGGGGAAGGGGCACGATGATAGGTAAAGGAGGTTACGATTCGGCACTGGCATGTCAGATGATCAAAAAGTACCGCTCCAATGTCGCTCTGTTTGCTCCTGCTTGGACATATGAATACTTGGGTCGAAAAGATTTTGCTCGAAATGACACTCGATTCTGGACAGGTCTTTTCGATGGTGAGTCTTCCATGGCAACCACTTTCAAGCCTTATAGCTCGCCGCTCTATAAGATCAACGACTCCAATTTTGTTTTTTACACCAACTTTGGATCTGGAGAGGGCCGTGGGTTTTACGAGCGCGGAGAAAAAGTGTATCACGACAATTGGGTTAATGGATCACTGCAAATGGAAATTCCCTTTAATATACACAAGAGAAATAAAAATGGAATACAATGGACGTTGTCAAAAGAAGACTCGTTTCATGGTGGTTCCTGTGTGGAGATTGAATACAATGAAGTCGTAGACGATAACGGCTACCAGGTATTCAACAACCAGACTATCAACTCGTTCTCATTGTTTTCATTTGTCCAGGATTGTTCTTTTCCAACGATTAACGTGAAATTGACCTACAAGCTGAATCACAAGACAAAGTCTTTTTTCAAGCTGAAAATTGGCTATTACATTGAACGGCGTTACAGAACTGTTCAGAAAGTTAGAAGCGGATGTCTGGTGATTCCATTATTCTCGACGAATGATCAATGGTTCACCACGGAAGAGCCGTTCCATGTGAGTTTGCAGAATTCACATGAGTTCATAGTCCTGGATTCGGCTACATTATTCTACGAGGAGACAGAAGATCCGTTTATGCGCGCGCATGTTGTTGAAGATCAGTCGGCCTCAAGTGTTATTGACAACGAGGAGTACGAGAAGCTCATGAACAGCGAGATTTATTTTGATGACGAGGATGAGGACTGGATTCTCGTCCCTTCTGATATATCAATGGAATCAACCGATAACGGGGGAAGAGAAGGTCATACATGGAGAGTAATCAGCAGCCCAATACGCAAAAAACACCCAAAAGCCCATGCTTCCACATCGCCTGTACTAAAGCTAGGAGAGCTCGCGATCATAAATGCCAATGACTACCCGTCAGAAACTTTTTTCAAAATACTGCCAGTAAACTCCGTTGATGTCAGGCGGTGGGAAGGTAAAATATTGCTAATATGGAAAACCAATCAGGACTCAGTTCTTTACCATATAATATTTGTCGATGATGTGTTTCAAGGCATATCGTTAGTGCCCAAATTCGTCTTTGAAGATCGAGCGGTTGATGAAAAGAGCTCCAAGACGCAACCTGGAAGCGCTATGAAAGTGAGAATTGATACCGTCAACAGACTTGGAGTACTTGTCAAAGGTACTGATATGTACATTTGACGTGCGGCTACAATTGATCTGTCCAAAATTCTTGGCAACCCGCGTTCACTGTATTTTTTTTTCATCTAGCGGTTGCAGTTGGAAACATGAAGCTATCAGACGCAAGCAAAGACTTCCAGTCTATGAGATTGACGAAATCTGACTCAGACATTCCTCTGCGCGCCTGTGTTTCGTCTGATGGTATCAGTATGGGACAACCGCCCAAAGCCAGGATCGGTCCTCCTTATCAGATATCCAGATCGCACGGCTCGGAAGGTAATATTTTCGAGTCTAAGCGGAGAACTGGATCGACACATAGCGTCTTGTCTTACGAAAGTCTCCAAATGAGTCTACGACCTCCATCAAGCAGACCGAAATCAGGAATGATGAAAACCAGCTACGTGATGATCAACGGGTTCCCGTTCCCTCTAGAAATTGTCTTCCCCAAAAAGATTGCACACAGAGGACAAGAGACGTTGCAGGCACCTGGCAGGCCTGCTACACAACCGCTTCCCTCAAAACGAGACTTGCCGCGCTCGCCGTCAAAATGCGTCCCCCACTCATTGTTAGCGATTCCCGAGCTCCCAGTTCCCGAGGAAAAGTCTACGAAAACCGCTGCTGATCTGTCTCCGCAGCTGGTGTTCAACTCGCCTAGATTGAGTACATTTGAGGATGGTGGTGAGGAAACAAAGAAGGATATCAGCACTTCGCCAAGTGGAAGTTCAGGAATTTTTGATGTTTGCAAACCGGCAGCTGAGGAGAAGTCACAAAAAGAGGAGCAGAAATCAGAGGCGAAATCCAAGCCACCATCCAACAAGTCTAGATCATCCTCTCCCCGGAAACCCCTTTTCTACACCGCTACCTACAAAGACGCAATAGAGCTGATGAACCGGCCCCTATTCTCGTCTGACGAGAAGGAGAACAGCACAGGCTCAATGGTGATGAAAAAAACAAGGAATAGTTCCTATGCAGGATCTCAAATTGACGACAGTGAATACACGGAAGACGGGAGACAAGCCTCAGAAGAGGTCTCGCGCGATTACATGTCTCCCTCGCATCTTATGCTCTCAAGTCTCCGGGTCATTAGCGAAGATTTCATTTACGCATAGAGAACGCATTCAGCGTAATGGCGAGCGTGCAGCCGCACTATCGTAAGACGCCTCGCTAATAGTGGTCAATGGAGAGTCGCTTTTGGGCCCAAAACCATGCAGCTGGATCGGTGTCGATAAGCCTGCCATCTCAGTACTATCTTCGAGCTCGTCCGTGTACTCTTCACTGGCACTCACTTCCACAGGATGCTGGGGTAGCGGTTTGTCGTGATTATGGTATTCTTGGCTATTTGAACGCGACACGGGTTTGAAAAGCGTGATTGTCCTGTTGCTGGTTTCGATGCGGTCGTTTGAAGGATTAGGCGTGCCGGCATAATTGAATTTCGTCCTTGACTTCAGCAGTTGTTTACGTCGTTGTTTTCGCATAACTGGCGAAACCGTGCGTTGTGGCAACGAACGTTCGCTCTCGAAATCGAAATCTTCCGGTATCTCGTTGATCTCGTCCAGCAGCGAGTCCAGCGCCTCTCTTTTCGGCAACTCGTCGTCGGGGTACCATGAATATCGCTGGTTCAGGAACTCCAGCTCGTCGCGGTCGCTGGACTTAAGTTGGTGGTACTTGATGCTGCTGGAGCGAAACCGGGTCACCAGGTCCTGAATGTCGGACGACGACGGGTCTGTAGCCATCAATTGCGGACTCAGGTCGTCAATGGTGACTTCCTGGTCCGAAAGGAAAGAGTATTGTCCATTTAATGTCAATAATTGTTCTGAGGTGTCTCTTTTCTGGCTGTCGAAATTCTCATAGTCGTCTGCCTCCTCATCGCTTGAAAACAGTTTTCGGTTGAACAGGTCCTCCGAATCGTCCATTTCTTCGCCGTCGTAGAAATTCATGTCTTCCTGCAAGTCGTTGAGCGACTCTGTGTCGTTTATAAACTCCTTGAAGTGGTCCTGGTTTTGTTTGAGTTGCGCCTTCATCTCCTCGTACTTCACTTGGTCGTAGGATTTGTAGTATTTGAGCGATGCGTTCCTGCCAGTGCCTTCAAACGAGAAGTGCGACGAGCTCGAGCTCGAGCTGGGGTCCGATTGTGACTCCTCCCGTCGTTTCAACACGACGATGGAGAAATCGTCCGTCGACTCTGCGTTCAGCTTTAAAGACTCCTCGTCCTCTTTCGAAGTCTCTGGCGTCACCTGCGCACTGAACTCTGGTTTGTCGAACGCATAGACCAGCGACCTAGGACTGGCGTCGGCACTCCAGTCGTGAGTCTTTTTGCCGAAAATTGTCGGATTCTTCAGCTCTCTGTCAATTTCCAGGTCCGGCGAGCTTGCGATGCGCGACACGATGGGCGTGGGTTTCGTTTTCACAGAGCCTGTGGACCCCAGCCCCGTGCTAGAAATTTTGTGCTTGAGAAAGCTCTTGATGGGGTTGGTGAGCTTCCGTCCAGCTGAAACTGCGGAGGAGGGCTCTGTGCCGTCGCGTGGTCTCGGTCGAGTCGCGGCCGTGCTCTCTTTATGGGACTTGATGAGGCGCATGCTAGTACATTCGGTTATCTGATGATTTTTTTTTAATTATTCTACTTTAGTATCTCTGGAGCTGGATTTTTTTTATGGTAGCTTGTTACTATACTATATTATGAATTTCCCTTCGCTCAAGGTATGCATCATTACTGCTTGGTGGCAACGCCGTTCGCACGTTCAGGTCTGTTCTGTTTTTTCTCCAGCGGATACTGGAATCCTCCCAGGCTCAGACGTTCGTTTCTCTCAACAATCTGGTTCACCTTCTCGCTCAGGTTCAGCGCCAGCTCCTGCAATTTCGAGGCCTTGAGCTTGTTGCCCTCAACAAACTCGAGGATGTTGGCGGGCTGGTTGTACAGAGCGGTGATCTCCTCGTTGGCGATCATCTTGAGGACAGTGGATTTGACGAGTCTCTCCTCGATCTGGAAAATGGCAGCCAGCGTCGAGATGGAAAGCTTGGAGTAGAATGTTTCGTTGGTGAACAGGTAGGTTCTCAGAGCCTCGATCTGGAGCTTCTCCAGAAGCATGGCCTTGATTTTGTCGCTGTTGTTGAAAAGATCCCAGATCTTGATGGAGTTGATCAGCTCGCTGGCTTTTTTCCAGTCGGACTTGAGCAGAGCCTTGGCTGCCAACATAATGTAGTCTCTTGTGTACTCCGGAGGACCGTCGAAAATCTGTCTCTCGTGGTACTCAAGCACTCTCTTGAACGACTTGGACACAGCGACTCTTCTCTTGGCAAAGTCAGGGTTCTGTGCCATCAATGGCACCTCGATCAGCATGGAAGCCGTGTAGAACGAGCATTCAAGAAGCTCCAAGTTGACATGCATGTGGAAAGGAAGCAATCTCTGCTTGTCCACCTGGGACTGCTGAACCTGGAATCTCTGGACTCCCTGGCCAAGCAGCTCCTTCTGTCTTGGAGACGTGGCAATCTCATACAACGACTGCTGGGCCTCGTGGATAAGACCACATCTGAACGCACTCAGACCCAGCTGGACCAGCGATCTGTTGAAAAGCACCTGCAATTGGGGGTCGGCGGTGTGTATGGTGGCCTGCAAGTGAGACAGCAGCAGCATGTCGCGAGCCTTGAAATATTGGTCGTTGAACGCATAATAGTATATGTGGTAGAGCACCGCCTTCTTTCTGAACACGGAGTTTGGCTGTTCATACAGCACCAAACACAGTGCGTCGATCAGGCCGTTTGTGTATTCGACTCCCTGCGGTCCGGACTCTTTCAGTTTTGGATAAATGTTGGAGTCCAGCGACTCGTCCAACTTTTTCCAGACAGTATTCTCGCCAAAAATAATGAGCTTCGAAGGCTTGAAGTAGATGTAGTCCACTCTTTTCAAAATGACTCTGGCAAGCTGGTCGCCCTTAGGAGTCTGCAGCTCCTTCTTAGAGATGATCGACTCGTAATAGACCTGTGCTCTCACCAACAGAGTGTACACTGATGACTCGTCTCTGAGTCTCGAAACGTACTCTGTGGAGTGAGGATCGATGGCCAGAAGATGGGAAGTGAGCTCATCAGCAAGTCTCTCGACCAACGAGGCGATGGAGCCGATCATCTGCTTGACGCCGCTGGCGTCGGCTGGCGGCTCGGTCTCAATATCGTCGGTTGGAGCGGCAGTCTCGCTAACAACGTAATTCCGGTTTTTTTCTAGCACGTCCAGCAAAGCGTTGATGTCTCTGAGAGCGTATTTCCATTGTTCCAGAGGCATGAAGGCTGCTTTGGCATACAGGTCAAATCTGATAGGAACAAGAAGCAGGTAGATGGAGATGAGGTGGAATGGCGCCTTGGCCAGCTGTGTGAGCTCTTCCAATTGGCTGATCTGCTCTGCAAGGTCAACGTTTCTCTTTCCTCTGGTTTCTATGATAGAACGCAAGATCGTGAATATTCCGGCAGCCTCCGAGCCAGAGGTCTGCGTGGTCTGGGTTTCCTTTGGAGTCTCGGTTTCGACCAGAGAGCCGCTCTCGTACGCTTCTGGATTTTTTCTGTATTGGTCCAGTTCCAACTGGTGGTCCTTGACGGCCTTCTTGACTCTTTGTTTCACCACGTTCATCGACTTCGACTCCAGCGCATTCAGCTTCTTCTTCACGTCTCTGTTCTGTGCTGCAGAAATGGTGTCCTCCAAAATTGCCAGCGATTTGATATAGAGACGCGGCACAGGAATGTGGAACTGTGGATATTTCGAAACAGTCTTGTTCAGCTTGTCAAATTCGGTCGATATCTTCACCCAGTCTTCAACCATCGAGAAGTTCTCAATCTGGTCCACAAGATTGGCGATCTCCTCCAAATACTTCTCCTTGGCGCTCTTCACCACCCTCTTTTCTTCTGCGTCGCTGTCTGAGTCGCTGTCGTCCCCTCCGCTCTTGAAATCCTTTTTCAAGAAGTATGACGGTCCTCTCACCTTGCCGGCATGGTAGTCGTCGTCTGAGTCGTCGTCTGAGCTGGAGGCCCATTCTTCCTCCTCTTCCTCCTCCTCTTCGGATTCCTCCTGCTCAGAACGTTCGCCGGCCTCGGATTCGGACGACGAAAGAAGCTCTTCCGACGAAGAAAGCAATTCCTCGTCAGAAGAGTCCTCCGAATCGTACACGGTCGTAAAAAATCTCGACATGGTGGTATTTAGTAGAATAGATCTGCTATACCTGTTGCTGATTTTTATGAAAAATTTTATTGGGAATGCACGACCAGATCGAGGCAGCTGAATTCGTGGAGCTGCCCGTCTTTGCACGCTGGGACTTGTACTCTGGTTCTGCCCACGGGGAGTGGCGAATTGGCAAAACTGCAGTCCAGCCACCAAAGCCCATAGCAGTTATCACCGCAACATCGGTGCCTCCCTTCCACCCTTGCACCCGCTCCCTGCTCTGGCACCCTTCCTCGCTTACGTCAGCGGCCTTTCCTCCTGGTCTCGTTGGAAAAAAACTAAAAGAACAACAAGACAAACAAAGCACGCATCACTCATCCTTTAAATAAAACTCCTTGGAGTATCAACCTCAATTGCACCAATTCTTGCTTAGCTCCAAGCAACTGTTTATTCAAGATGAAGATGCTCACAAAGGTAAGTCGCTCGACCTGTTGACGTGTACTGTATGCTAACTCTCTTTAGTTCGAATCCAAGTCTTCAAGGGCTAAGGGCGTGTCTTTCCACCCCAAACGGCCTTGGATCTTGGTCTCGTTGCATTCTTCCACCATCCAACTCTGGGACTACCGGATGGGCACCCTTATTGATAGATTCGAAGAGCATGACGGTCCCGTGAGAGCTGTCGATTTCCACCCTACACAGCCGATCTTTGTTTCTGGTGGCGATGACTACACCGTCAAGGTCTGGTCCCTGCAAACTAGAAAGTGCATGTTCACCCTCAACGGCCACCTGGATTACGTTAGAACTGTGTTTTTCCACCACGATCTGCCATGGATCATTTCGTGCTCCGACGATCAGACCATCCGAATCTGGAACTGGCAGAACCGTCAGGAAATCGCCTGTTTGACCGGGCACAACCACTATGTGATGTCGGCGCAGTTCCATCCTTCCCAGGATCTGATCGTCTCGGCTTCCTTGGACCAAACGGTCAGGGTTTGGGACATCTCCGGATTGAGAAAGAAGCACTCGGCTCCACAGGGTGGAATGCGCTCTTTCGAGGAACAATATGCCAGAAACCAGGTGCCCCAGCAGGACATTTTTGGTAACACAGATGCCGTCGTCAAGTACGTGCTTGAAGGCCACGACAAGGGTGTCAACTGGGCCTCGTTCCACCCGACGCTTCCGCTGATTGTTTCCGGAGGTGACGACAGAGTTGTCAAGCTTTGGCGAATGAGCGAGACGAGAGCCTGGGAAGTTGACAGCTGCAGAGGCCACACCAATAACGTTCCCTGTGTCCTGTTCCATCCAACTGAAGATCTCATTATATCGGTTGGCGAGGACAGAACCATCAGAACTTGGGACTTGAACAAAAGAACACCGGTGAAACAATTCAAGCGGGAAAACGATCGGTTCTGGCTTGTTGCTGCTCACCCAACAATGAACCTCTTTGCCACTTGTCATGACTCAGGTGTCATGGTTTTCAAGCTTGACAGAGAACGACCAGCAAGCACTATGTTCCAGAACACCCTGTTCTTTGTCAATAATGAAAGCCAGGTTCAGCAATATCAATTTGACAAGCAGCAAGTGTCTTTGCCAATGTTGTCCTTGAGCAAGATCAGCAAGTCATGGACCAAAATCAGAAACATCTCTTACAACCCTGCCGAGCGTTCTCTGCTGGTTCAAGCAGGTGAGAACGAGAATGGAGTCTACTCTTACATGGATTTGCCAAAGGAGATTGTTGGTGCACTTGAGCCAAGCCCAAGAGGTGAGGGCGCAGCTACGGCAGCATGCTTCATTGCAAGGAATAGATTTGTCACCTTCTCAAAAGTTACGCACAAATTAGAAGTTAGAGACCTCAGGAACACCGTTACCAAAGTTATCGATCTTGACCCGGCTGTCAAGGACATCTTGTACGCCGGTCCAGGTACGATTCTGTTGATGAAGCCTAACGAGGTTATACATTATGACGTCCAGCAAAAGAGGGAGCTTGCAAAAATCCAGATCAGCAATGCCAAGTATGCCGTTTGGTCCGCAGACACTCAGTACGTTGCTCTTTTGTCCAAACATACCATCATTATTGCCAATAAGAAGCTAGAGACTTTGATGTCGATGCATGAGACTATCAGAGTCAAGAGTGCAGCCTGGGACGACTCTGGCGTCTTGATCTACTCTACGCTGAATCACATCAAGTACGCTTTGCTGAATGGTGACAACGGAACCATCAAAACCCTGGAGAATACACTTTATGTTACCAAGGTCGCTGGCAGACAGTGTTTCTGTCTGAACAGAAAGGGCGAGGTGGAAGTTGTGACGATTGATCCTACTGAGTACAGATTCAAGAAAGCGTTGGTGAACAAAAACTTCAATGAGGTCCTTAGGATAATCAAGACATCCAATCTCGTGGGTCAGAACATTATCGGCTATTTGCAGGCCAAGGGATATCCAGAAATTGCATTGCAATTTGTGGAGGATTCTGAGACCAGGTTTGAGCTTGCCATCGAATGTGACAACCTGGACATTGCCTTGGAAGAGGCAAAAAAACTGGACAACCCGGTTATCTGGGAGAAACTGGGCAAGGAAGCCCTTTTGCAAGGTAACGTTCCGATTGTCGAGCTTGTCTACCAGCAGCTCAAAAAACTCGAAAAGCTTTCGTTCCTGTACCTCATCACTGGTGAGACTGAAAAGCTTTCAAAGATGGAACAAATTGCCGAGGCAAGAGGGGACTACTCGTCTTTGTTCCAGAATACTCTTTATCTGAACTCTGTCGAAAAGAGAATCAACACGTTCATTGAAACTGGTCTTTTCCCACTTGCATATGCCACGGCTAAGACGAATGGTCTCGACGATATCGCAGAATCGATTCTGTCCGAGGCGGGATTGACGGAGGCAGACATCCAGATGCCTTCATTCGGAGAGCCTAACAGCGTTCTCGAGGTGAAGACTGTCATCACAGAACCATGGCCTCTGGAAAAAGCCTCTTTGTCTTACTTTGAGCAAGCTCTTTTTGGCAACTTTGAGGGTTTGTCCATTGAAGACCAGCCACAAACGCAAGCTAGTGCCACCGATAGAAGTGCTGCTTATGTGGATGATGAGAACTTGTTTGAGGATGCAGAACCGATTGCCGACGACGAAGGATGGGATCTTGGGGATGAAGAGCTTGAAGTCGAGGTTGATGAAGATGCCGTTGATGAGGATGTTGAGGATGTCGGGGCCTTGTCGGGAGAGATTGGAAATTGGGTCAGAAACTCCAGATGTGCTGCAGGATACATTGCTGCGGGGGCATTTGAACCTGCTGCTCAAATGTTAAATAAGCAGCTTGGTATAGCCGATTTCGAACCTCTGAGAAAGAGATTCCTCGAAATCTACCAAGCTAACAAGGTCTTCATTCCAGCCATCGATGGTCTTCCATCTCTGAAGTCCTATGTGAGAGCTGACCCAGAGGAAGAGAATGACTCAAAGGCTCTTCCATACGTGCCAGGTTTCGACAAGCTTGAGGCTGGATTGCACGAAGGTTTCAGGCTGTTTAAAGCCAATAAGCTAGAAGAGGCCATCGTGGTATTCAGGGAGATGATCTACATTGTTGCTACATCTGTGGTCTACAATACGGACGATGAAGAGAAGAGCAAAGAGGTGCTTGCTGTCTGCAAGGAGTACATTCTTGGTCTTTCCATTGAGCTTGCTAGAAGAGCTTTGCCTCAGGACGATGTGAAGCGCAATTTGGAGCTGGCAGCCTACTTTACGAAAGCCCAGTTGCAGCCTTCGCACAGAGTCAATGCTCTCCAGGTTGCCATGACCCAGTCATTCAAATACAAAAACTACGCCCTGGCTTCATACTTTGCCGGCGAGTTCCTCTCCATCATCACTTCTGGACCACGAGCAGAGCAGGCCAGCAAGATCAAGGCCAAGTCTGATTCGATCTCCACCGATGCCGTGGAGATCGACTTCGATCCGTACGCAGACTTTGACGTTTGTGCCGGCACATTCACCCCAATATACAAGGGTTCTCCTTCGGTGACGGAAGCTCTTACAGGTGCCAAATACCATGCGAGCGAGAAGGGCAAAATTTGCTCCATCACCAAGGTCACCTTGGTCGGCGCTCCTGCTTCTGGTCTACGTATCTTGGCTTGATGTAATAATTTCGTACAATGGATTTCGTCATATCGTTACATGTCTTCGTACTTGCGTTTTTTCGTTTGTAGAGAGTACCAGCGCTCGAACTCTGCTACGAAATCCGCAGGTTTGCCGACCACGCTGGTCGGCAAGGAGCTCTTTAACCTGTTTATGACACGCTTATGGTATTTGTCTGCCGCGTCAATGTTTTCGATATCCTGGAGCTGGCTCTTGTAGAAAGGAATGAGGTTTTCGAGACATTGCAGCTCGAACTCTGACAGGTTATTGTATTTCATCACAAACCAGCCGATAAGCCAGATGACTTTGATGAAGTTTGGGAACTTGAACTTCTCAGGCACCTTGGTGTCAATCTCGATTTTGTACACCTCCAGATGATTTTTCAGGCTCAGCATGTTGAGAAAATTACCGCCCACAATGATGGAGTCGCACGGCGTGTAGACTGAATGGATCCAGCCAGAGGGGAGAATAAGCAGGTCGCCGGCGTCGATGTCGATTTTCACCCCGTTGTTCATATAGGCCGGATCTATAGGCTCTTTGCCTGGTTTTGTTGGAGGCACGAGATCGCCAAACCAGAACGAGTTCTGGTCCTCTGACAAGCACCACCTTTCGTATACTGCAAGGTTTCTTTTCGTTGGAGGGAACATCAGAAACTGCTTGTGGCCCTGCAAGATCGTGTAGTACACGGAAGTTCCTCCAAAATCGATATGGAAGTCGGTAAACGAGTCTTTGACAGACATGAGGATATATTTGCTGACTTTGGGTTTTTCGATCTCGTGCGCTTCCAGCTCTGATTTGCAGGCCGAGAAGATCTTATTCACCACATCTATGTCCAGCACTGATTTGGGCAATTCTATCTCGTTGTTCAGTTTCGTTTGCGACACTTCCAAGCTGATCACGTTGCGTATCCGATCTCGATCTTGAGCTTTCGAATTAAAATAGTCTCTCCACTTGCCGAGCGTCCAGTTGGGCGAGTTGTTTTGAGTGAGCACATCCATGACCGGCAACTCCTTGTCGAGTCCCACCTGTTCCGCAATCTGGTCCACTGTCAATCTGGGAAACTTGAACGTCAGATCGTAGCAGTTCTTGTAGTTTGGGAGTGCGGGATTGCATGCCGGAACAAGAATTGGCCGCTTCAATTGTGTCTCAAAGATTATCTGCGTGAGCTTGCTGTCTGTCACTATTCCGTGTTCGTTGCCATCCACCTCTGGACGAACAATGTATATAAGGTTTTCCAGGGGTCTATCGTTTTCAAACATGTTGAAGTTGTCGATGTGCGGATGCTTGTCAATTTCACGAAGCTGCTGCCCCTCGTTCAGCGCAATGTAGTCAATTTTCTTCCGCGAACGGTTTGATTTACGTTTGAGCACCGACGGGCCGTGCTTGGGGGAACAGTCCGGACAGTGATACTCGCCTATTGTTTCAATTTCATGAGCAGACAATTTGACACAGGATGGATGGAACCATCGCTGGCACAGCTCGCAGCCAATCCAGCCATAAACGAGATCGGATCCAGGACCTGCGTCGTCTGAAGACTGACAAACAGGACAGTCCTCGGTCTTTGTTTGCACTGTCATAGAGAAGCCGGGTAAAAGAAGAGAAAAAAAACAACCGAATAAAATAATTTCAATAAAATACTAAAACTCTAATTTGGCTCATGCTCATGTTCCGCAGAAATTTTGTCTCGTCTGCTAGACAGTGCGAAGAGTACACGCTCAAGAATGCCATGAAATCCATTAAAGACCATCAGACCGATCTCGAAAGCAGAAGACAGGCAGTGATCAACCCTGCGCTGATAAACGGCTTCGAAAACCAGAAGACCTACGATCCATTTGATTTTTCGGTCGCCAAGCTGAGATACGCCGCTAAACAGGAAAGAGACAGTAGGAGGAAGAGACTTGCGCAGTCCACATTCAACACAAAAGAGGTCAACCCGCTCGACTTCTACTGTTTCCCAAAAGTTCTCTCTCAGTACATGTCTGTCACAGGAAACATTCATCACCGCTCTGTGACACAGCTGCAGCACAAAAAACAGCAACAGATGACCAGAGCAATTAAAAGGGCCATACAGGCTGGATTTTTGAGTCCTATGTCGCGTGACGTTGCGTACAGCCCGAAGAGAGGTGACACGCTATAAATTAGAAAATTCCATGTACATAAATCAAGGTATTTGTTTAGCATCGACCCCGACCCATTTGAGGTAAACAGTTGTTCCCTGGCCGTAAACGGACTTGAGCTGGATATCGCCGTTGAACAGTTTGTTATAAGTGAGACTCAGCGGCAGACCGTAGCCCATGCCGGCTATGATGTTGGCCTGGTTTGCACCCGTGTTGTTGAGTGTCTTGTACGAGTCCTCTACAGTCTCGGACTCGAAAGTGGTGAACGAATAGTCAAATAATTTGTCCAAGACCTCGGGCTTTATTCCTAGACCATGGTCAACGATCCGCATTTCTAGCTTGTAGAACTGGGGGCCTGGCTTCTCGACATTGGGCTTGTTCACGACGATAAGGACATCGACCGGCTTCTTCACCCTGTTCTCTATGTGAGCCCGTGTGGAATTCTTGAGTATTTCGTTCAGAACATACTCGATGTGACTGGAGATATATGGGAATTTGAGCGGCTCCAAACCGTCTGGCGACTCAAAGTTCTCCACTACCTGCTCTGTGGCGGACTCATCACCGTTAATTGTCACCGTTTTCAGGTTGATCCGGATTTTTTCGTCGTATTTCAGCGCAGCCATATCGTTGACAAACACAAACGAGCGGTGCAGAACCTCAAGAACGTTCATGTTCGGCTCGATCATACCGATCTGGTCTAGCCTTTCAAGCTCTTCTCCTTTGTAATTCAGTTGCTCTGTGAGCTGGATGTGATGGTTGGCCAGCAAACGCATCAAAATCCGCTCCTTCAGATGGTCATTCAGAAACGTTTTGTCGTCAACAAGGTTCAGTCCAGATATTTCCTCAAATCCCTCGCTCAAGGTCGGCAGATTGTCGGTGTGCATGTCGATAGTTTTTTTCAGCATTTGGAGAAACAAATCGTTCTGTTCCAAATTGTGGATCTTGAAAGTGAACTCTTCGGTTAGCTCACTATCTGGGTCGCACTCGGCCACAAATTCCAAAATCACCTTCAGCGTATTCAAGTATGCAGTGTAGATGTCTGCGATTTTGGCGTTCAAAACCACAATGTAGGGCAGTCCCATGAACTGTATGAGTCGCCGAGTCACCAGGACCACCATATCGTTCAGCGTCTCGTTGGCGTTCTCCACCAGCATCAACGATTTGTCTCTGTGCGAAGCTGCAGAGTTGAACTTGAGAAGGTCGTTAAGGGCCACAGTTGGCACTGGTCGTGCTGCTTGCTTTTTAATAAACCTCTCCAGTCCCGTGCGCAACACATGCTGATCTTGCAAGATCTTATTCGGTGGCACGTTTGTTGGGTACTGTGTCTGATATCGCACGAGCAGCGGTCTTCTCCATATTGGTGAGCGCCGGAGACATCGCAAAGCAAAAGACATGATGCTCAATATTCTAGGATTCTCCCTCCAGACTAATAAATAAATATTTTTAGCATTTTAAATTACACACTATTTATTGGCCACTTTGGTCCGACTCAGCATCAGCTCAGAACCATTTCTCTGGGTGTACCGGCGTGGAGGCGGGGGAGGTGGCCGCTTGCGATGGATTCCCTTGGAATCCTGCGACGAGATAGACGAATTGCTCCTGCTTCGGTCGACAGGTGCAGTTGGCGAGTCAGGCGAGTCGATCTCGCTCACCACAGACGACTGCGACGAGTTCTCACGCGAGAGAATGTATGGCGCAGCGCTTCGTGTAATTAAAGGACTGCCACACTTCTCGTCAAAAAAATCCAGCACCAGGCACCGCTCGGCCAGCCGTTTGGTAGTCTCTGAGGTCTGTTCTGCCCCGACAAGATATCTGAGGACCTCAGACATGCTGTCTCTTTTGTAGCCTTCTTCCCTGATGCTCGAGAAGAGTATCATCGGATACAGCACGCGTAAATATGTGTTGATCAGCGCTTCTTCCTTCACGGTCGACAGATTGAACAGTTCTCGGATCATGATATCTATGATGAGCTTGAGATCGTTAATATAAAATTTGCCGCACGTGTTGGAGGTGGTGAATACCAGGTACAGCACCTTGAGCATGAGGATTTGGAGGACGTGGTCCTGTTCTCTGTTGAAGTTCAATATAAGTACCTCGTTGAAATTTTGGAATCGTTGACCATTCTCTGTCATTTTGATGAAAAACCGGTTTTCTATCTGATGCGAAATCTCTGCCGACGAAAACTGAGAAACCATAAACTGCTCGTTGAGCACCAGCAGCAGCTTGAACTTCATAAAGTTCAAAATGTTGCTTTCCTTTGGCACGACCTTTAAGCTCTCGAATAAATATTCAAGTAGCTGCGACTCGACGTGATCAAGCTCTGTGCTTTCAAATTCGTAGTTTTTGCAAAGCTCATAGAAGAGCTCAAAATAGGGAGAGTAATTTGTAATGTACGGGTCTTTATCACCCGAATTGTGTGATATTCGTGAGTAGTTCGATAGTACACCTGCCAGAGTCTCAAAACCATTGAAGTCTTTTAATATCTGCAAAAAAGCGTCCTTATCCGACTGGTAGTTGACTATGAGGATCCATCCAATTATTCGTATCAGCTTCTCGTTCATTGTAATAGAGTCGTTGACCTGTTCCCTTGTGTCGTTATCCAGCATGTCAAATTCTAGCCCCAAGTTACTCTCATTGCAACCAACACTGTACGTGAGCAATGATAGCATTTTGCGAACGCAAAATTGCATGTTCGATCGATAGTATCTGTGACATGTGACGTACTCTGAGATGTCATTGTAAAACTGCTCTTCCGTGTCCGGCGTCGTGAGCTGGTCGCAATGTTCACAAACAAGAGTCAAGTAGTTCACCAGTAGCGTATTGACTTTGTCCTCTGTACAGCTATCTCTAAGCTCGCCAACTTGCCTGTCTGAATGAAACAAATCATTTGCGATGTCCCAGAATCGGTCTAGAGTGATAGTGTCCTTTTGTAAAAGCTTGACGTTGGTCATAATGATGACCCGCCAAAGATAAAAAGGTGACTTTATTAAATTTCCCGGCTTCTTTTTGGCAGCCCCTGAAATTATAATTATGGTCTATTGAGAATGCATGGTCTTTCAGAGGTGGGTACCATAGTTGGGGTGCTAACGAAAAGGTGTATGAGAGCGAGCATAATGCCGAGAGGGCAATGATGAAAGGAGACTATAGTCGCTCAATCAGCTGTCACGAGTCGTCAATTGCACTGCTACAAGATATCATTGACAGAATAGCTGAAGAGTCGCTGATCAACCACTTCAACACGCTCAATTCACTTACAACCCTCAAGTCGCAGATAGTAAAACGAATAGATCAGCTCAAACTGGTTCAAAAGTCCAAGGAATATAATCAACAGCGGGAAAAAACTCCGGTTAAGGAAAAGGAGCTCTGCGAGGAACCCGATAACCAGATGCTAATCGAGCATATAAAATTGCTTATGGTCAAGGACCTCAATTTCGATCTGTCCTCCAACAAAGTGAAGTTCATTGAACAAGACAAGATTAACAAGCTTGAACACGATTTGCAACTCATCAACTTCAAGGAAAAATCCTCAAAGCAGCAGGGAATAGAGGAACTGAAGGCCAAAAATAGCGTTCTTACAGAACTGAATTTAGTGTATTATAGTGAATTGATGGCTAATCACGAGTTTATCAGAGATCTATTGGAATTACTGAAAAATGGTCCCTCACAACAATCTGGGGATCAGTATGAGCAACTCAAAAACGTGATTGACCAGCTACAGCAAAAAATTGCTACACAGGAACGCGACAGAATTGTCCTAGAAAACCAGATAATCAAATTGAAAGAACGATGGAATAACCTCGTTGAGAGCGCCCGCAAACGAAAAGAGCTAGAATTACAACAACGTGAAGCATGATTACTTTCGTATTATTTATTTCACCTTCGCAGCATACATCATCTCCTCCTTGGTGATCAGATGCTCGACGGTCTCTATACTGCTCAGAAGCTGGTCGATATTTGAACTCCACTCATTCAGATACTCATTCTCGTTCTTCGGCTTGATGAAGCTGGCAAGTTTCAGTGGCCGGTTGATCTTAGCGTAGATAACCCCATTATTCACTAACTCAATGATGTTTAGTTCAACTTCCTGTTGTTCGAGCTGCAGCAGCTCACATAATCTTTCCAGTCTGATAGACGAGTAATACTTTGACACTATTCTCAAATTGTATTCTATCACGCGCTTCTGGAGATCTTTGTAGTGCAGCTTACCTTTCTCAGTCGACTGATCGAAGGTGGTATCTTTGAACAAATAATCGCCAAACTGTGCCTCAGTTTGTTTCCAGTTGATCAGCTCGTCTGCAGTGAAGAGTTTGAGTATCTCCTTTTCGGTTGGCAGCTTATCAACGTTTTTGTCTATCTTCACTCTTGAGATCAGATCGTTCTGCAGATTGGAATACGGAGAAAGAATGCTGTAGTAAACGATCTGTCTCAAAGCCTCCAAAGACTCGTTGCTGTCTCCCTTTATTTTTGGGATGTCGTAGATGGCAAGGTAGTATTTCACCAGGTTGATGTAGTCATCTTCACTCAAAGCAATGTCAATCATTAATCTGTAGTATTCCAATTTTTGGTCCGCAAACTTCTCCAAAGATCTCACCAGAATCTTTCTCGAAAGCATCTTAGACATCTGATAATCACCTCTCTTGTTGCTCAGAGTCATTTGTCTCAAAATGAACTCTATCTTCTCACTCAGTTCCATAGACCCGTACGTCTCGACCTGCAATTCGCACAACACATCGCACGCTTTATCCAAATCGTTCTTTTTCTCCAACAGAATGTCACTGAGTATTCTTGTCACCCTTGCACGCTCGATTTCCACGAATATTTTGTTTTCAGTCACTGTGCGGATGGTCTCTATCGTTTGAATCTTTGTTTCCAAATCTTGGATCTCGGAGAGATGGGATATCGCTTGTTGAATCATGACCCTGACGGAATCTTTCAGTTGACCCTGCTTCTTGGAAAGCAACAGGATCTGCTCATTAAGCAAAGACCAGTCTTTCTTGGAAGCTAAAAGGTCCATCAAGGTTATCATAATTCTCTTGCAAGAGGCCAGATCGGACGCTTGCCTTGTTTGCTTCTCCAGCAACAGCAGCTTGTCGACGGCAGACTTGTAGTCTGAAGTGGACAGCTGCTCAATCTGAGGCAATTGCTCGTCCAGCGTCTCGGTGAAATCTTTTTCAGCTTTCAGTGGAGCCTCTCTCGACATGTCAAATAATACAAGATGTTCAACTGTTTTGCCACTACAATATTTCAAATTTTGGTTTAGAGCCCAGGATTCTCAGTTTGTTGCTTACATAATACAAAAACCCCCGGTCGATCATTCTTGACTAGTTCTGGTCATCTTCCACACACGATCATCTCCATTATGAACGCACGTCCTACTCGCCGTTGAGGTCTCCTTTGACCTTTCCCTTGTCAATGGCCCCGAGTATGATCTCTAAAAAATTCTACACCTCGCGCCAGCTCGAACGTAAATATTTTGATTTAAACTGAACACCAAGTTATGCTCTGTTAACCATGGACGTTACAACACAATTCGGCTATGCGTCAGTCAACCGATCGATCAACCTGCAATGGGTCTACATGGTGGAATGGGTTATAGCTCTGCTTGGATCCATCGGAATACTATTCTACTTCAATCGGTTAATGGGCTCAATAGTGTCATTCCTATTGAAATACATTTTATGGAAGCGATATAAGGTACGATTGAAGGTCCAGTCTTACAAAGTCTCCTTTCTTGGGGGACGGCTTTTTTTCAAAAATGTCACAATCATAACCAAGAACGAGATGATCCTAATTCATCAAGGATGGCTCACATGGAGATATTGGCTCACATCCGTGCGCCAATCTGGATTCATAACTGAGCAAGAAAATACAAAAAACGGGCTACTTCCAACACGGCTGCTGATGGAAATCTATGGGCTTGAGGTGTTTGTTTACAACCGGATGAATGTTTACGACGAATTACTGAGAAAGCTGAACGAGGAGACCGGTCATACTGAAAAGCAGTCGTACTCTACAAGTCGCAGCAGCGAAAATAGCAGCGATGAAAATACAATCAATGACTTTGAAGAGTCGGATGAGCGCTATGTCCCACAATTCATTAAAATTCTTCCCCTCAAAGTTCTGATAAAACAAGGCGGCTTCGTGATAGGCAACCAGACAACAACCTCTCTTTTGGTTGGATCCTACACATCCTTGGAAGGACTTTTTGATTGTCTTCAGCCAGCTTCCAAATACGATAAGTGTCGAGTTGACCACGATGTTAGGGCCAACCAGCTACAGCTGTATCTTAAGCCGAATGTTTCATACGAGGGTATGGATCAGATCATAAAAGAGTTTGATCAGGAGCAAAACCACAAGTTCAAGAGGTTTCTAGAGAAGCTAGGGCTGTATCACAGTGGCACCAAAAAAGACAGTGAGAAGACTAAAGAGGAAGAGTTACATCATTGGCGCGGTCTTGAACGATATTTGTCCTATGATAGTTCGACATTGAGCTCCTTTGACGAAAACACACATTCTGACAAGAGAGACAATGCGCTTGTGTTCTCGCAGTCCGAGTACGCGCGGTATACTCATATATTTGACTCGGAGTATGTCGATATCCATTATTACTACGACATCCCAGGGAACACGCCAGCAACACCAGCCAACACCTCTGCTGATGATCCAGACATTAGAAACGGCGGAGCGCCTCCAGCAAACAACATCGACCTATCGATTTCAGAAGGAGTCATCCATTACGGGCCGTGGGCCGAAAAAGAGCGCGCTTTTCTACATCAAATGTTATTCCCTTCTATCTGTAGGGATGCTGAGCCGCTCGACCGTCTCAAATCAGGGTCCAAAAGGCAGTACGAATGGTTCAAGCTATTTATCGAAAGTGTGGACGACCTGGTGTTAAGGATCCCATTTAGGGAGAGCAGCAAAGATGTTCTTTACTCCAATAGTGACCACTCTCAAAATCAACTTGAGCGCAGACCGTTTGGGTGGCTGGAACTCAAGGTTGGACAGAATTCCACGTTCAATATCTCAACCTCGTACATCCCCAGTGCAGAGAGCGGCTGGGCAAATAAGTTTCATGTGGATTTTAATAACCCGGTCATTTCTTCCAGTGTTAATCATCAGATATTTTTCAAAGCTATGAAACACAGCATAAATGCAGATGTCGGGTATCCCTTGCAATGGAACGGTCCTGCAACTTGGATCTTTCAAAACAGGTCTACAAATGCTGAACTATACTTACTCAGAGAGCACATTGAGCTGCTCACAGACATGTTTGGGGATTTCAGCTCGGGATATCCAACTCCTTACGAGTTGTTCCGTCCCTTCTTCTACAAGATAAACTGGAAGGTTTACAACTACAATATCTCTCTGAACTTGAACGAAAAAAATATTGTCAGCCATCCTCTAGACTATAATGACAACATATATGTTTCCTTTTGTGGATCCGAGCTTGATTTAGCCGTCGATATTCCTTTGGATACAGTGTATCGAAAGTCGACGGTTTTTGACTATAAACTCAACACCACATTTGACTTGGCTGTCCATTTTCCACCATGGCATACAGGATATAATTTTCTGCGAAAGAAAGAGGTTGGAAGAGCCAATAACTTCGAGATGTCGGGATCTTTCATTTATTTCAACGTGATCGATATAGATACAGTTGACAACATTGTAGTCAACTGCACTTGTGAGGATACAACGCTTGAGTGCTATGGATTTATTGTAAAGTATGTGTTGCTTCTCAAAGCCAACTACTTCGGGGAAGACATCAATTTCCAGACCCTTGGAGAATTTCTCGAAGACATGAATGATAAGTCTCGAGAAAAACCGGTGCCAGAAGAGTTCAAGCCGTTTGGAATAAAACTACGAAACGAGACCGACCTACATTTTTCTTTTTGCGTCAAAAATGGATGTCTGGTCTTGCCAGCACACAATTATGACTGCGAGACACATGTGGCACTACATTTTGAGAATCTGGATATTGATCTCCGATTCAATAACTACTACATGGATCTCCAGGCTAACTTTTCAGAGATCTATGGCCGTTCACTTGAGAACGCCGATGAGGATATGATCTTTAGCACCACCTCAAATAATGTGAGATTTGATCCTCAGCTTTATATTGAACAGCTTCCAGTGCATGGCCACAGGACATTTGGACTCCCTCCAGATGAACCGACTTATTACTGCAGATGGGATTTCCATCCGGGACAAATAACCGTTGATTCAGAGCCAGTTTTCCTTGACACTGTCCGTCGCTCTCTTGGGTCCCTTGCGGTGGGATACAATGATTTAGAGAATTCTTTGGACCTCCCTGAAGAGGCGCTCTTTGATATGTTGAATCTGTCTTTCAGCTGTCCCGAAATTCTGCTGAAAATCAATGGTCCGTCTTGTGGTCTCTCGGTTAGACTCGACACGTTGCACCTAACTATATCAGATCAGTCGTCTGCGACATACAATAGCCGAATCAATCTTAAAATTGAAGACATTGTCTTACAAGGTATGCATGGCACCGAAACTGTGATGGACGTGAGAACATCAGTGTACGTGAGTGACTTCGTCAGAAAACCAGACTTTGCAACTCGCAAAGAAGCTCAAAAAGCCCATATGAAAATCCATGATGCACCATTTCACAGATGCCCATTTTTGCTCGCACCAAGTGATAGAGATACAACGTACCATGAAAACTATGGAGGTTTGAGGCCTTTTCTCAATTTCCCTGATGTCCCTCCACCACTGAACTCCAACTCTATAGATTTGTTGATTGCAAGCTATCCCGAACGGTTGAAAGATGCCTTGAGAGACGATGATGGCTCCGATTCATCTTCGTTTGCAGATGATAGCAGCTTTCATGCAGCGGACTCCTCTCCGAAAGTTTCCTCTGAAAATGACGGTTTTGAGCTTGACTCCATAGTATGCAGCTTTGATGCTGTTGACGGATACATTGATCCGAAAATCGCATTGGTGTTGAGTTACATCATTTCAAACAAGGAGGTCGTTTCTGTCACCAATGTATTGGATGAAATTCAAAATGACTTCATAATGCACTTGACCAAAAAACATGCCACAAAGTCGCAGAAAGTCAACATTAAGGCGCTGATCCCGATGATCAATTTGAAATTGACAGAGTCACGGACTTCTGGGGACTGCGTTGATATCAGCATATCCAATCCAACGTTAAGTGCTGCAATTGAGCCAGAAGGCGGCGTGGATGTTTTGGCAGCAGATGTTTCTGAGATCTCGATCAACATATTAAAGAGTGGCAGGTCTGTTTGCAGTCTCGACATGACGAAGCTCAGGGTGGATGTATACGATAGCAAAGTGTCCACCAGTGTCATGATCGATGAGGAACATGTGTATTTGGATGTGGAGCCGACAAGCCTCCAGTGGGTTGAGAACTATATTTCGATCCTTATTGATCCGATGAGGAAAGCAGCGTTGGAAATCTCTGAAACCATGGCGAGTACTACCAAGGCCAAGATTGACACTGTATATTCCATTTCCAAAGGGGGAACGGACTATTCAGTGCGCCATGATCCGTCGTGTATCACCAAGCCGTCGTACATCAGCAAGTTCTCTGATGAGCACATCAGGCGTGAAGACAGCTGGAAGATCATTACCAGAATCAGACATATTGCTTACAACTTGCCCAAAAGCTGGCACGATGCCACACAGAAAAGATTTGATGAGCACTCTTGGAATGCTCCGGAAGACGCCAAGGAAAGGGTGTTCGATGTATTTCTCAATTGGAGAAGGTGGGAGTTTAGTAACATCTCCACCAGCTATGTGCTGATGAGCGTGTTTGGTGACACCAGATCGAGGGCCGAACAGAAATCATTTTCGCTGACAGCGGCATTTGCGACGTCGAAACTCAGTGTTCATCCTTTCAGCAATTTGGTGGTGATTGAGAACTTGGAGCTTGCCGTAAGTAAAGGAAAGCTGTCGGAGGAGTTATATCAGATGGCCACTGAGCTTTCTATGATAAACATCCAAGATCAGATCAATGTTGGGGTTTCCATTGGAGCTTTCAATACCAGTGTCACCTCCATGAAAGAATCGATTCCCTATATCAGCGATTTGGTTGCAAGCATGGCATCAAAATCCAGTGCAGACCAGACTGTCGAAGTTGTGAACGCAACGGAGCCAAACCCACTTTTTTTTAGCACGAGTCTACTTGTGAAAGAGTTCACTCACCAGGTTGCAATTGAAAGATCATCGGTCAATGTCCGTGGTAGTAATTGGGTGTTAACGTTGTCTGGAGTCAAAAGTGCAAAGAATCTGATTTTTGCTATGCTACTGAACAATACCTCGGTTGGGGTTGATTTCATGCTTGATAAAATGAAGTTAGTACAATTGAAGTGTTTTGAAAACTCACTGCTTGTCTCCAAGGCAGGGTCGGCGGGTGACGGTCAGGTTTACGTGGACTTGTCTACCTCAAGTATCAATATCTCTGCAGGGTCGGGTTCAGATTTCTACCTAAAGGCTTTAGATGTGCTGATCGATGAAGAGTATAACTTGTTGGCCCCACTTATTAACGATTTGAAACGAAACCAAGAGAGAGGATCTCAAAGACAGAAATCTCCTGTTACCCAATCTAGCAATGAATTCCTAGGCCAGCTGGAAGGGAAGGTAACGGGCAGTATATTTGTCTCGAAAATTTCCTTGCAGCTTGAAGTTTTGTCACCAATTCTTTACAAAATGGACGTCCAAGATATCGCATTTGATCTTACAGCTTCAGACCAGGGTGCCATGTCAAATTTCACAGTTTCTCGCATTAGCTCAAGAATAATTTCCACATCCACCACGCAGCAAGTACAGTTTGCTACGGTTTTTGTTGGAAATCTGAATCTTCTAACGAGCTTTATTGAAAGATATGGTAGGTTTGATGTATTTGCCCAGGTGCATGCAGATCAACTTGGAATAAATTGCTCACAGCGTAACGTCATCTATTTGGCGAAACTTGCCGAATCTGACTACCGTGCTGCGCTGGAATACTTTAGAAAATTTGAGACAAGGTTCCATAGTCTATCTCAAAAGTTGGGCAACAAAAGCAATCACGTGTCCAAAGCAGGAGATTCCTCCTTCATTGTGAAAGCCACTGCTGCCGTCGCTCTGGACAGCTTATCATTCACCTGTCTTCTCAACAAAAATCAGACGTTCCTCGATTGTAGCAAAATCACAATGAAGTTTGTCACCTCTGATTTCAATTACACCGGGAACAAGCCCCAAGGATTCTTGAAGCTGCCCTCCACGAAAGTTAGTATGCTCTCTCATGGTCCTCAGACCTCTAGGTTCACCATCTGTGATGTCAATTTGGAATTGAAAGGTTCAACGTCAGTTTCAAGTGAGAAAAAACTCCACGAGCTTGAATTGATCAGCGAGCATTGCAGATTTGTGTTGGATCCGCACTTCACTAGAGAACTCCTTGACGTTTATTTCGACTTCCAAAAGAAATTCAACACCTACCAGTTCCCTCGCAAACCTACTCCAAGACAGAACGTCAGTGCAGAAGAGATTTGGGACCTCTTGAGTGTTTATTCGATTCGAATTGTGTCCAAAAACATGTGTATTGGTTGGCTGCTTCCGAAACCAGAAAGATTGCTGTCAGATGCATCGGATGTTCCTGGCTTTATTATTGGTTACGAAAAAGCTGAGACTGTATGCAGCACAAAAACAGGAAATGTGCTCGTCTCAAGCATGTACTTGGCAACTGCTCACGGAAACAGCTCCATGAATTTTTACTCCACTGGCGATGAAAGCTTGAGCGCTAACAGGGCATATTTCCCTAGATTTGAGCTTGACTATAAAGTTTCGCGAACGCCGGAAGGCAGAGATATCTATGCTGAACTTCATGGCGATAAGGTCGATTTCAAGCTGGAAACTACGATATTTTCTGTGGCCGATAGACTAGCACGGTCCGTTATTCACGTTCAAGAAAAACTTGAGTCTATGGTTTTCCATGAGATTGCACAGGCCGAGACGGCAGATGGCTCGGCAACACTATTTTCCTCGATCCACTCGAACTTGAGACTTATTGGCTGTATCTTTGCATTCAACGGTGCTTCAATCATGATCATCAATCCTACAACAGATTCAAACCGTAAGCCTACATCTTTATGCCTCCAGGCCCCATCCGTGAGGATTGCCACAGAGTATATCAAGTGTCGCGACTCGGTAAAAAAGCACGTCGTTTTGATTCAGGCTGTCACTTCGAGTACAGACAACGCGTTGTCAGCATCTTGTGTTCCCGTGATTGTCAGTCTTGTTAACAGTGTGAAGGCTTTTGCAAATAGGAGTCACTCAAAGAAAAGCAAACTGCCAACAGCACGGAAGCCAGAAGAAAGACGTCCTTCTGTGGGAGAAAAGGAGCCGGTCAGCGTCAGCTTGGAGCGCATTTTCGAAAAGTTCAAGATCAACTTCTCGCTGAAGGTTGAGCCTCAGCGGCTCACTCTCAGTTGTGAACCAAGTGCAAAGGTTGAGGCGGCAGTCTCCACAAATGGACTGTTTTGGCACTTCAACACCGATACAGATTTGATCACCACCACTATCTGTATTGAAAAGTTGAGAGCGAAGTTGCAACATGTCTACTCGAAGGAAACTAGTGGGTCCTTGGGAATCAATGACATACTCCTATCTGCAACTGTTGCCAAAGCGGACGGTGTCAAGACAATGTCAAACACGTCCAAGATTTCGAACATTGACTCGTATTTAAACATACAGCAGAGACAGGACGTCGACATATTCCGCGAAATATGGCTACCATCCGAACTCTACAAAGGATCTGTTGAAAAGCCACATCAGAGCGAGGACATCTCTCTCCAAAATATTGCAGCCAGAGTTAAAGACATGTCAAACACAACTGTACTTCCCTGGATTCTCACTCTTCTTGTGGGAAAGGTGAAGTTGAAGGTGGATCTCGGGTTTTCGCTTGGAACACTGGACGTAGAAGTCGACAAATGCTGGGTCAAATCTACGAAGGTCACTAACAGGGACCAAAACTTAAAACTAGAACTGGGCCAGCTGAGAATTGTGTCAGAGGGAAGACTTGGAGGGCTTTTGGTTGTCGAAAGAGCGCGAATGGCTTCTGCAATATCATGGTCAAAGGAAAAGGGAATGGAGAACATTCCGCTGGTCTTCCTGTCTGCTGGATTCCGGTCGTTGGAAACCAAGATTTCACTTGATTACCACATATTTTGCATAGCAGTGATTACCAAAGCGATGGCTTCCATATACAACCAGAGTGTGGACAATCATGCAGACAAACTTGTTGGAAAAACCTCGATGGAATCGTTCAATGTTTACATGACAGCTTTGACTGCTTCCAATTTCGTGGATATTTACACCATTGGATTACGGATCCGACAGGATATCAAGATTTCGTACCATCAAACTCTCAATGATGCTTTGGATGATCAGAGACAATCTTTCAGGGACGCAGTGGGGCCATCGGAGTCATCTTTGTCATTGCCTGCTTCGCGCAAAACCGATACTTCAAGCTCGAGCACAGTCAAGACAGTGGAAATGTTTCTGGATGTGATTGACGAATTCTACACCAATTTGGATGTCCGCATCGGGTCGATGCAGCTACAAATCTTCCCGAGTAGTTTGATGGATACACAAGCGCTGGTGATCAGGGTGGGAGCTTCGAGGGCCAAGTTTGAGCAGATCAAAACCAGCATCATGGAGAACAAGCTGGACATGAACCTTGACAATTTCACTGTGGCCCTTTCTTCTTTCAAGTCAAAACCTACAGAGGCATCGCTTGAAGAACCAGGAGTTCGGAGCTACGTCAAGCTAGCAAACACGGCCACCGGTGGCAGCATATTTGTTTTTCCCTCGTTGAACGTGTACATGGATGCGTTCCAGCACCCAGGCTCAAACCAAATCAAATTCAAATTTAGCAGCTCCTTTGGAGGAAACGTTGATGTCAGGTGGAAGCTGGGCTCTGTCTACTTTATCAGAGAGATGTGGTATTCCCATGCAACCACGCTGAAGACTCGCCTCACTGCGTTGCGAATCTTCACTTCTGGCTACGGAACAGACTTTGACGATCTGCTGGAGGAAAATTACAAAGAGTCAATTTTTGAGGCCGTCAACTTGGAGGACAGGCTAAAGGACGTGGAGTCGGACCAGAAATACGTTTACGTTCCTTTAGAGGAGCCGCATATCGAGACTCCTAGACTACGTGATCTGGGAAACGCCACGCCTCCGCTGGAATGGTTTGGACTGCACAGAAACAAGTTCCCTAACCTCACGCACCAGTTTGTAATCGTGGGATTACAGCAAGTGGTCAAAGAGGCCGAAGCCCGATATGCTAATGTTCTAAAATGATTGCATCAACCTTTAGTTTTATTGTTACTCAGGTACATTTCTAGCCGTAAAAGATATCAATCGTTAGCTCGATTGATTTTAGTCAGCATTCGCGTAACAGAAAAATAAAGTGTTCTTGTACTTGACGATGTCAGAGACAGCTCACGATGGCAAGTCCCGGCTGTCTTTGAACTCCCGCAAAGTGTACGAGTCGATTCCGGAGGACGTGCCAGAAGCTACGGTGCTCCCCCGCATGGACTCGATGGGGAGTATATCGCAGTCCCTGGGCCAGTATCCGTCGTTTGTTAGTATGGATCGGAAGGACAGTCAACGAAAGAAATTGGCGATTCCTGAATTCGAAAGCACGCGCAATAGAGGACATTCGAACGCGGCTTTCCACAGCGTGGAATCCGCTACCTCGCTATCGAGCATTTCCATTAGAGAGGCCGACGAGAGCACGTTTGCCGATCAGACACAAACATCCAGGTTTACGGGCGATAGAGTGAGTCCCACATGGGCTCTTTCCGATATTTTACAGGTTCTGAGCGACAAAAATACATCCAGTGAAGACCTTGTTGACAAGACGAATGATATGGTGGAGCTGCTGGAGGAGAACGAATCACTAAGGAACGATCTTGTGTTCTCTTCCGTTATCCACGTCGTTCAAAGACTGATGCTCCAAGGCAACGAGATGGTGGTTACTTGCGGATACAGGATTCTGTGGTACGTGGTCACCAATCTACGGGCACTGCAGCTATTTTTCAGGTACGACCTATACGTTTTCGTTATTGCCAGTTTGAGCAAAGATCCCAAGCACACGACAGAACGGAGCGAATGCATACGTCTTGTGCGACGTTTGGTCAGCATTGAAGGCGGCCCAAACGAGTTTCCGGTTGCATTGGTCCGCTCGCTTATTAACATAGTCGAGGACGTTACTGATCCACTGAGAGCCATCGCTTTTGAGACACTCGTGGAAATCGCTCTTTTGGATCCAGAAAGAGCGTACAGAGCCAACGCGTTAGGCGTTCTGTTGCAGTACATTGTTGACGGGCCTGCCATCTCAAGAGGTGTATTTTGCGCAGCCATCCTTAAACTTCTCGATCTCCCAAATACCAGACCCTATATCATGGAATCGCAGCTTGTCCAGTTGCTCATATCGCCTTTCATGGATATTTCGCATATCAAAACAGAAAATTTGCAAGTTATAGCGCATCTGATCGTGTTCATGCTGAAAAATTGGTCTGGACTCATAGCTTTCAGCCAGCACGATTTTCTCCCCATCCGTGAGCTGATAAACTGTCTTACGTTCAACTCAGTTTCTATAAAGAGTATTTTGCTACAGATTTTCAGCGACTTGTTTCGGATCAAACCTATGTCCCTGAGTGACACCAATGACGAAAACGGCCCGGTGATTGTTCCTCTGATAAATTCTGGACGACGAGGGTCACTATCAAAGTTCAACACCAGCGCACGAAGCTCGCCTGAAACAGAACCCTCGTTGGTCAACCACTACACCATGCTGGTGCTGCATATATGCATTCGCTGTGGTCTCGTGGATACGCTAAAGAAACTATTCGAAGAAGTGACTGACAAGAAGTTGCATAAGCGCATAATGATCCTGCTGTCAGAAATCTCATACATGCAGTCGTTTTTGGTCCCAGATCAGCTGATAAAGTCGATAGCTCCGTCATTTGAGCTCAACAAACAGATCGAGAAATACCTTCGAAAACACCATACTTCCAACCTCATTCTTGCAGAACACGTCCATGTGAAGCTGTCTGAACAGGTTTTCAGGGACTTGCGACTGAGAACGCTGTGTGGTGCCGACGCAACACACTTAAAAGTTCTAGTCGCGGATACTCATGTTCTGGCTACCAAAGATTACTACAAATGGAACTGGAGCTTGATCACCGAGCTAATGCAGGGGCCGCTTCGCGACTCGCGCAACTTCGAGGAGACTGTGCGAACTACCAAGTTTTACAAGAGGCTGATGTCGTTTTACCGTCCGTTCAAGTACCGTTTTGCATCGCTGCGCAAGACGAAGTCCAATTTAGTTTTCGTGAAAGTGGGCTGCGAGATCTTCAAGAACTTGCTTTCCAACGCCGAGGGAGTCAAGTATCTGACGGAAAACAAAGTTTTGCCCCAAATAGCAGAGTGTCTCGCACAGGTAGACCCGTACAGTGGAATCACGGCAGGCGACCCGCTTTTCTCCAAAACCAAGCTGGAGACAACGCTCAGCTACGGGTACTTTTCGTTCCTCGGGGTTCTCTCAGCAGACCCGAACGGGCTGCGGATGTTGGAGCAATGGTGGTTCTTCGACATGCTGTACCATATAACGGACCAAAAAGCACACCGGCCAGACCTGGTGAAGATCATTATAAAGGAAATGAAGTACAACTCCAACAGTCATATGCGAATCATCCTCAGCAAGGTGGCAAGTACCTCGGGCCCTTCGTTGCGCTTATTTTCTGTTCGGCTGCTGGGAAGTCTCTTGGAAAATGAGGACTGTGAGAGTTTCGCGTGTCGTTTGCTGGTGGGCCAGCTGTGCGATCCGGAGGAGAATATCAGACAGCTTTCTGTGGAGTTACTGACTTCATTTGCGAAAGATGAGGAAAAAGTCCTGGAAATCATCAGGTACAGACCGTCGCTCGGTGTTTTGGAAACACCTAGCGGCATAAAATTGATGCTTAAGATTCTGGCTACGCGGCCGGGGTTCGAGTATTTGCAGGAGTACGACTTCGTCGATGAGGAGATGGAGGCCTGGATCCAGTCCAAGAACAAGCACTACGTCCAGCACATAGAGACGTATCTGGCCCAGAAGCTTTTCAATGAGAAGGCCCCCAGCGAGCTGCCGTACCATTTTTTCGGGGGACTGGTGAGGACTACGGATGGGCTGCGGCTGTTCGAGGTCACTGGAACTTTTGAGTCGTTCTCGCGCGTCGTGAGCTCGTATGCCAATTTGATCGAGACAGGTCAGGAGTCGGAGTTCTATTACAATACGCCGTGCAGCGAGCAAGAAGACTATGTGACGGACCTCAAGTCTGTGCTGTGGGCAATCGGCCACATAGGATCGTCGGACCACGGGGTGTGTCTCTTAGATACGACAGGCGTGGTGAACGAGATTGTATCGATCTGTGCCAAATCGCAGAACGCATCCATCCGAGGCACCTGTTTTTTCGTTCTGGGGCTGATTTCCCAAACAGACCTCGGCTCCGAGATGCTGGATGACGTGGGGTGGTTCACAAAAACTGCCTCGAGCGGTTATCTGGGGTTGTGTCTGCCGAAAAAGCTGGAGGGCTTGGTGGAGCTGGACGGGCACGAAGCCGTCCTTGCAGATCTGAGCAGACTCCCGAGCTCCACGGCGATGGAAGAGTTCGACAGGATCATGGATCAGGACTACCTGCCATTCCACAATAGAGAGAAGCTATTAAAAAGAACCGACTCGTCCGGTGGGGTTGGCGGTGCAACGGGACCCGGCCCCTCTTCCCACTCCGCAAGCATCACCAGCGAATACCAGGCTCTCAAGCAAATCTACCGAAACCTGCTACTTCTTCCCGTCAACCAGGGAAAAGCTGTGGGGAATCTAAATCGGTTGAAGTCCGGTCACCCTAAATTATTCGAGTCGGAGCCGGTGGTGATGAAATTGATTATGGAGGTGTTGGAGAACTACCGAATAAAGTTCAATGCGAAAAGGTTCCTTCTGGGCGAACTGATCGATCTCAACAGTCTTATGGAGGCAGTACTGAAGCACAACAGACGAAAGCTCAAGGAGCAAGGGCTTCTGTCAAGTGGGGTAGGTGGTGAGAACTCCAAATCTGCGCAGAATATAGCCATGGCTAGGGGCTCCAGCAATCGGCATGCTGTGCTGTACTGAAATCTGCGCCTGGCAACCCCACAAAAATCGTAAGTTTTCTGGCCAAGACGAAAACCAAATCGGGCGACGGTAATAATTTATCACAGACCCTACTGAGGGCTTAACCCCACACGCATTTTTTGTTGCCCGTGCGTGACTCTTAGTACAATGCAGAAAATGGGCATTTGCAAGCTCTCACGCTAGCAAAGGGGTGGAAATTATAAATACCGAGGAGGATTCTCGGGCTTTTTGCATACTTTGACACATATGTCACAATTTAACGAGGACGTCGAAAAACAAATAGGGGACGACCAGGTGGGATCGTCCCACTCCCAACCAACAGCAGTTCAGGAGGAAGGCCTTCAGTCGGTGGTGCACTCCGAAGATGGCAAGTACCTTTGGCTGGGCGGTCACAAGTATCTGAAAAGCGAACTTCTGAATGCGTTCGGTGGTACTTTGCAACCGGGATACGCTCCTCCAAGTGTTCACAAATTTGCCAATCCAGCGCCTCTAGGGCTGTCCGCTTTCGCTCTGACGACGTTTGTTTTGTCAATGATAAATGCCGGAGCTATGGGAGTGTCAACCCCGAACGTGGTGGTGGGCCTTGCCGCTTTCTACGGAGGTTTAGTCCAGCTTCTTGCAGGAATGTGGGAGCTGGCCCTGCAGAACACGTTCGGTGCAATGGCATTATCGTCGTACGGTGGATTCTGGATGAGCTACGCGGCCATCTTTATCCCGTTCTTCCATATTACTGACTCGTACGATGATGAAACGGAACTGAGCAACGCGCTCGGCTTCTACCTACTGGGCTGGACCATATTCACCTTTATTTTAATGCTCTGCACCATGAAGTCCACCATCGCATTTTTCTCGCTCTTTGCGTTCCTGGACCTCACTTTCCTGTTGCTCGCTGTCGGCCATCTGGCTCCGTCCTCCGGATGTATCACTGCAGGGGGTGTGTTTGGAGTTATCACCGCTTTTATCGCATGGTACAACGCCGCAGCCGGTGTATTTGACGAGGGAAACTCCTACGTGACTATCAAGCCTATTTACCTGCCTAAGTTCGGCAAGAAGTCCAACTGAGGTGTGTGTAAAGTATAGGTTTTTAGGTAACGATGATGATTCTATTTGGTCGACCCCCGCGCAAACTTCCCAAAAGGTCATCTAGCAGAATATAGTCCCGACGGCCCAAAAAAAAATATGCGCAAAATTTCGAGTCATCGATTCTGTATTTAAATATGCTTCGCTTCCGACAGATGGGAATCCGTAATTTCAGCAAGCATTTCGCCATGCCTGCTGCAGAGAGTGTGTTCAAGAAACAGGTCAGTTCCACGTTTGTGCCTGCTTCGCGGTTGACCGCTTCAGACTTGAACCCTCATGCTCTCAACGCTAAGTATGCTGTTCGTGGACGAATCCCTACCAAGGCGGAGGAACTGAGAAACCAGCTTGCCAACAAGTCCCACTCGTTGCCGTTCAACAAGATTATCAACGCCAACATTGGAAACCCTCAGCAGCTGGACCAAAAACCCCTCACGTTCTACAGACAGGTGCTGGCTCTGTTGCAGTACCCTGAACTGATGAACCATCAAGCTGTCGTCGATGTTCTGCCAAAGGACCTGATCGAGCGCGCTAGAACGCTTCTGGACTACATCGGCTCAATTGGTGCTTATTCGCACTCTCAAGGTGTGCCCTACATCAGACAACGGGTCGCGGACTTTATTTCCAGCAGGGACGGCTATGAAAGCTCGCCAGACGACATTTTCCTCACTGCTGGCGCGTCCACGGCCGTGTCTTATCTGCTGAGTTTGCTTTCTCTGGGTCCTCAAACCGGCTTCCTGATTCCTATCCCACAGTACCCTCTCTACACTGCGTCTCTGGCTCTGAACAATTCTACTGCACTGCCGTACTATCTCAATGAAAAAGACGACTGGTCCATCAACGCCCAAGATCTTGTGAAAATCATCGAGGACGCTCAGGCCCAGGGCGTCGAGGCCCGGTGTCTGGTTCTGATCAACCCAGGTAACCCGACTGGAGCAATCTTGAAACCAGAGGCCATTGCTGATTTACTTGCAGTGGCTGCCGAATATGGCCTGGTCGTTATTGCGGACGAGGTCTACCAGGAAAACGTCTTTCACGGTCAGTTTGTTTCGGTCAAAAAAGTTCTCAGACAGTTGCAAGAAGCCGACGGCTCTGGCAAGTTTGCCGACGTGCAGCTTGCTTCTCTCCACTCCACCTCCAAGGGAATTTCTGGCGAGTGTGGCCAGAGAGGTGGATACATGGAGCTCGTTGGCTTTGAAGACTCGGTTCGTGCACAACTTTTGAAGCTGGCTTCCATCTCGCTGTGCCCTCCAGTCTCAGGCCAGGCTTTGGTCGAGCTGATGATTAACCCTCCTACCGAAGGCCAGGAGTCTTACCCACTTTACAAACAGGAAAGAGATGCTATCCATGCGGCTTTGAAGGAGAGATCTTCCCTGCTATATGAGGCTTTCAACACAATGGAGGGTGTGACCTGCCAGAAGCCTGAAGGTGCCATGTACCTATTCCCTAGTCTGACTCTCACGAAGAAGGTCTTTGAGGAGGCTGCCAAGGTGGGTATGGAGCCAGATGAGTACTACTGTGGTCAACTTTTGGAGAACACGGGTATCTGTGCAGTTCCTGGCTCAGGGTTCGGGCAAGTTGAAGGCACTTGGCACGTCAGAACCACGTTCTTGGCCCCAGGAACAGAATGGATAGAAGATTGGAAGAGATTCCACGCAAAGTTCATGAAAGAACACCAGTGATTATAGACCATGTAATGGAGATGTATTGATATACTTAGTTTACTTTCCTCTTTTCAAAGTCTCCAATTTGCACATCGATGCAGGTGATGATCAGAGACATAATCCACACAGGAAGCCACGCAAAGCTAATGACCATCCATGTCCAAGTCTGGAACCTCCTGTAGCCAGTGAGCAGCCCGTAAAATATTTCCACGGGACCTTGTAGCAGATTCTGGAGAAAGGCTGGGTTGAGCCAGTCAGTATCAAAGATTTTTGTTTGCAGCTCGTGTTTGAGCAGTGGCACCGAGAAATATTGGATCAGATTCCTAACAATGTCCAGCTGAAACTCCATCTTGCGAGCCACTCCGACAACTGCCAACCACAAAAATGGCGATGATAATATTAGCCATATGCTGTTCTTGCGGTTCTGACGCAAAGGTCCATATCTGATAAAGGTAAGAGGGAATGCTGCGAGAGATATGAGGAGTGAAAGAGAAAAGTGTAGCACAAGAAGGCTCACGAGCGCAAAAGCGAGGTAGAAAAGCGAGCAGCCATTGGCTACTCTCACTGTCTGCGAGATTGCCGCTGACGGTTGCGATTTGTACCTGAGAACCACTGGGAGAGTCGACACAGTAGTAGTTGCCAAGATCAGGCCCCAAGTAAGCTTTGTGTACAGATTGTTGTTGTCTGCAAAAGACACGATTGAAGAAAACCACATCAACAATGTTCCAAATATTATCGAGCCCACAGTGACAGTAGTGAATAGCAACAGCCCATTCATCAAGGGAAACGTATCAACCTTAATAGCTGCATCATTGAAATTAATGTGCTTGTTGTTGACATTGTTATTTGTGAGGAACGCGCTGAGTGAAGATATAACAAAGCTGGATGCGGTCAACACTGCTGCCGGAAGGTAGTTTCCAATGGAGACAAAATGATTGGGAGTAAGCAGCAGATAAAAGAAAAATGACTGATGAAACTTCTCCAACAGGTTGTTGACCGCACGGAAACAGGCCTCGATGACTCTTCCCAAGGTTGTGATGTCGCGACCCTCTGTGCCTCTAGCCTTGAAAGTCAAAGTCTGGACATTCCATCCACTGAAAGCCTCACAGCCGTTTCCACCCCCTGTTTCGGGCAGCAGACCCGCAGTTGCCATGGAAAATAGACCTTTCAATAACGTGGTGAGTCTAGACGGGTAATCATTAGCCCAGAGTTGACCTTTTGGTGTGTTGTGCAGCGACACTTTGAAACCCTCATGCTCGCTGATCATCACGGCACAATTGACGAGGTCCAAATTTGGCAGCTGACCATTAACTCCCACGTATTTGACCTCGACGTAGTCTAGTTCATCGCTTTCAGAAGAATATTCGATCACAATTGCACTCTCCATGGATCCTCCTGTCTCGTCCAATGTGGTATGGTAGGCATCAACCCATTTCCTCAGAGTATCCTGGCCATCCTCTGGGAACACCACAATGATATTCTTCGACCAGATTGAAAGTCTGTGGAAGTACCGGATCAGCCCCATGGTCAGGGCCAGTCCCCCAATATTTTTCTCTCCATCGCTTGTCGTCCAAGGCGCAACAATTACCATTGCCTCGGTATCATCTCCCTTTGGAACATGATATATTCCATATGTAGTCCTTGAATCATTAGCGGACCTGTACTCGAAGGTTTTGTAGCCAATTGTCTTCATCCAAGAAGACAGCATTTCGTGCCTTTCATCCATTGGGTCATCGATGTGCTCAATAATCTGATCTCTATAGCCTCTTACAAAATTCCACTCCGACTCTCTGAAGAATGAGTATGCCTGTGACGGCATAAGGGCGTTCTCCGAAATGTATGTGGTCCGAAACTGGCCATCCAGTGGTAAAATGAGGATCCATATCAAACCCAATAACGTCAGGAGAGTGGAAACCTTGGGCAAAAACCGTACCAGTTTGGGAAGTAGCCCATACTTAGTTATCTTGCGTTGGATTGTCTCCAACAAAGCCATCAATACTGCAAGCTGCCCAAACGAATTGTAAGACAAGACAATATGTGATCAAGTCGATTCCGAAATATTCATAGTCGCGGTGCGAGGGTGTAATTTATGTTGGTAGCTACTCACTAAATGATGCAAATGTATTACAAACTATCAAGTATCAGACTCTCCTTCGGCAACAGGCGGGTCGTTATCCTCGTTGGAATTTGAAGGTATAGTGGAAGTGCGCACGCCGTCGCGTGTACGACGACTGGCTACACCAACTGGGAAAAGCGGATCCCTGTTTACAAACTGTTGTGAAGAAAGTCCAGTAGATCTGAGAACACGACGGGGCTGAACGACCCGTCTTCTTCTAGTCAGAAAAGATGAATGGTTCAGAGGAGGCCCTGGTTGATTTGTCCGGATGATAGGCATTCGGTGTAAAGAGTCTTGATTGATTAAGTTTGACGGCTCACCTTCGTTGACCCGTACTGGGTTGCGCAGCCTGCCATTCAAGTTCTGGAGCAACCCCCGGACCAGACCAAGAACGCTAGTGTGGTTTGTAGGCGACGAGCGAGAGACAATAGACTCCTGTGGCGTGACAGGCGTAGGTAGAGGAACAGGAATTGTTCCCGTAGACTCGACACTATCTTGGTCGGGCATGACAAAAGTGAGGTGTCTCGAGTTGAATCCTTCAATCAGTGGTCGGGTCTCGCTAATCACTCTAGCCAAGTTAGGCAGGATAATGGTAGTTTCGTTTTCGGAATCTGAGTTTCTGCCAGCAGACGACTCATTGCCGTGAAGCATACTGTGTCGGCAAAGCGGACAGCTATTATTGGTTTTCAGCCATTCTCGAAGACAGCCCCTGCCAAATATATGGCCACACGGCATTTCTACAGGAACATGATTGTAAACCACTTCCTTCTTTGCCATGTTTGTAGCCGCACTTTGGTGTTTGAGTTCGTTTTCCATCTTGCGCATTTTCTTTGGTTGATGCTCCCCCATATCATCGGTTTCATCTTCTGCTCGCTTGCGTTTCTGGCCAATCTGGCTTCTAGCCTCGGGGTTTTCGTCCTCATAATCGTCATAACATATTGCACATTGTTTATCCTTCAAATCAGCGGTTTTTTTAACCTCTAACTTGTCGAACTGCTCTGAAGAAATACCTGAAGCTTTTTTAACCGAGGTCGCAATGGTCCTTAATGCTATGGTAGTTGCGAGTCGAATCAAGACTTGTAGGTTTTCGTCATCGCTTTCATTGATGTTCGGAACATGCAGAATTAGAGACCCCGATAGACTGTTGTTATTTTCACTAGGCTGCAGCGGGTTCGGTTGGCCATAGATGTAGTTAACAGTGAGAATGATATTCCGGGATGGTTCTGATGCTGGAGTTAAGTTTCTATAGAACGGCACCGAGATACTATTGGTCTGTTGAGATGCTGAGTTATTTCCGTCCAAAGACCGATAGAACGGGGATATCAAATTATCAAGCAAATTGTTGGCTATATGCTGTTCACGATAAACCCCTTCGTTGGAAACGTCGAATGCTGGATAGTCAATCCCACGGATGCCAGGTGGTGCAGACGGTTGATCTGCATCCGCAACTGAAGAGTTTTGCTCTTGCGTATGCTCCGGAGATCTTGCTGATGTTTCTTGAGCTTGGTTCGTGTTGTTGCTGTTGGCCGGACCAACTTCAATGATCAGATTTTGGCTGGTCCCATCCGCGTACTGTATAACAACCGCAGGTAGCACCAGCCGTCCAGAATCACTAGTCGACACACTCATCCAGGACGCACGCCTTTAATATGCTTCTTTTGCAACTGATAAACCTTATGTCACAAAAATTACAACTTGATTTTTTCCTATGGGCGATACGGTCTTGGTCTCAAAAAAAAAAAAACGATCTTAATTTATTTCAGCCTGGTCGCTATATCACCTGGAATTTGATAGATGTTATCGGTATAGGAGCAATCAGCGACGGCCCACGAAATCCTCTTGACTCATGTCGACCCCATTCACACAGTCTCTCCAGGTAGCGGAGATGTTTCCTGATGTGCCCTTTGAGGCTGTCCAAAAAGCTGTGGAGGATCACAAAGGTAATTTGGAGAAAGTAGCAGAAGAATTATTGAGCTATGAAATGCTGAGGCAACCGGAAGAAAGCGGACGTGCGTCTTCAGTTGGGACACCGAACTTGTCCGAGCTAAAGGTCAATCATACAAAGTCAAAAGTAAAGTCTTCCAATTCTGATCCTCGTTTATCTGCCCTGAGCAGCTTACTCTCGTGCTCGCTGGATCGCGTAAAAGCAACATATCAGAAAACAAAAGACATTGAGAAGACAGTACGCGAAATCATCCAGCTGGGCTGGACTCTGAATGATAGTCAGCTTGCAAGCAAGTATCGGAATCAGCTAGCAGTGATTTTGGACTCCAAACGAACAAATCCTTATCTCAACAACATAGAAAGACGATTTTATCTTGACTGTTTGGAATATTTTGGGGGTGATGTTCATCGAACCATACAACTGGCTGCTTGGATGATGAACCCTGATTCCAGCCCCCAGTCCATGCCCACATCAAAACCCCAGCCATCCATTTCTTCTTCTTCTTCCATTTCGCTCGGTCGACCGCCCGACCCCCTAGAGAAAATAATAGATGGTGCGCTCAAAACAAATAAATTGGATTTGCATGGATTGCTGGTCTCGGAAGCTCAACACTGCGTTCAGCAAGTTCTGAAATCTTGGTGGAGCTTCGAGATGGAACAGAGAATTATCGAAGGAACCAATTTGCGCGGAAAAAAGGTCATATATGTGGGGTATTTGGACATTATCACTGGTCGGGGCTTCCATAGTAGTGGAGGAGTACCGAAGTTAAGGAACTTAGTTCATCAAATTCTCAACTCAGAAAATTACCTTTTTGATGACATTGTTTTAGGATTCAAAGTGATGGGCAAAAAAACATGATTTCGCTATATACATGTATGTCAACGTTTCTTGCTTCCCTTGTCCTTTCGAGCAACTCTCCCACCAAGCTTTGGGGCAACGTAACTTTCTCCCAACACACTAACATAGTCATCCGCAAGTGTTTCATCGAGCTTGACACCAGTACCACTCAAAATTCTTTCTCTTCTTTCTTTCTCGAGAGTTTCTTGCTCGGCCTTGACCTCCTCCTCTGTCTTACCAGAATGTTCAAATTGCGAGAACCGGCTCTTAAATTTGCTCATTCTTCCATTATTCTCGGCATCAAGTTGCGACATATCTGGCTTAGATGGATTCCACAGTGGGTTCGTTCTCTGGTCAGTAATCATTCTGGCTTCCTCTTTAGGTATCTGTGTGCGACGAGTAATGACAGATCCGTCCGAGAGTTCAACCAAGGTGTCGAATTTGTGATATATGGCCGGTCTCGCTTTTCCAACCCTGATTTTCTTTCTAGGACGTGTGGGAAGAACACTTGCGATCTTGGGTCTCCCTAAAACAGCGTAAGATCTGGTGTGCATCACTTGATTCGCAACATTACAAGTTTTTGCCAACGGGAGCATGGCGACGTCGAATATATAATTATTAAATTTTTCAGCTTTGACGAAAAAACTAGTTTACGATCTTTAGAAGGTGCCAGCCTCATACTGATTGTTAGAGAACTGAATTGGAGACTCGTGAAAGCAACAAAGCCTGGCTAGCTCAATCGGTAGAGCGTGTGACTCTTAATCACAAGGCTGCGGGTTCGAGCCCCGCGTCGGGCTTGTTTTTTTAGGTTTTTCTAGTTCCGAACTAACAATTTATAAATTTTAGCACCTGATACTCGAAATCGGGGGCATTGTCCAAATAGACGTGATGACCAGCGTTCTTCACAATTCTGAATTTAGCCCTCGCGTTCTCGTTGTCCTTGTTTTTCTCGTTTATTTCTTTCACGATCTCGTAGCCCCCTTCTTTGCTCATCCAGTCAACATCACCGTATAGCCACAACGATTTGATCTTAATTTTATCAGGCAACCTTTCAGATATTGGTAATTTGGCAACAGCCCCCGGGGCAAGAAGCCTGGTGAGAGCGAATTCTCCAGAGCCTCTTGCAAGCATAGTTTTGGCAGTATACTCGTTAATTTTAAGAAGAGTCTTTGGGTCTTGTAGATGGGAAAATCTATTAAACGTCCATCCTGAAACCAGCCTGCCTGCAAAAGGGCCAAACAATCTCAAAATTTGAAAGGGGGAATAGTTTCGTTCCCAGAGGCGCGTGAATAACTTGCCAACTTGAGGGGCTCTTCTAACTTGGGTCATCAAACTAGAAGTATCTGTCTCACCCGAGTCCGAAGTGATGGAAACCACGTCGTTGGTGTCATCAACCTCTTCCACTTGTGTGTGATCAGCTTGATGATCAGTAAATTCGTTCGTCAAATCGATGCCCTCTCTTCTGGCCAATTCAGTCTCCTTGTCTATCGAAAGAGCGTGCTCCTTTGTGACGTAAAACGAGAGATCGGACCGCTCAATACCAACCGGAGACACTAGCACAATCTTGTTGACAACGCCTGCTCCATACTTCATGTAGTAGCAGCAAGACAGGTATCCCCCTAGTGAATGTCCGATTAGTATGAACCGATCAAGCCCTTTTGCTATTCTCCATTTTTCCATGGCATCAATGAAGAAATCCTCACTTTTGGTCACATCGTCCGCAGTGTCACCTTTCAGATTCGGAAATGGTGGCCTACTAGATAAACCAAAGCCAGGAAGATCAATTGCGTGCAGCCTCGTTCCTGGAAGTTTTGTGAGTCCGTCAAAATTAGCATAGAAGAATCCCAATGCTGCGCCATAACCATGCACCAGAACGATGTCCAGCTGTTCAACGCCATCGGTTTTCTCAATGTTCTCCACCAGGAACTCGTGAATGTAATTATTCTTGTCGTCTATCAGAGTATTGATTACTTCGGCACGTTTCTTGTCGGTGGGATTGGGATAAAAGGGCAAAAAAGACAAAATTTGATCTTCATAGTGACTGAGAGGTTTGAAGGACCAATACAATTTGAGCGAGTCCCAGTAACTGACGTGTGGTTTCTCCTTTTCCTGGAGAGTTACCGGATGAGCTGTCTTAGTTGCGGACATGGGGATCTAATTGCTGCAAAAGCTAATGGAAGGCAAATAGTTTAATATGCAGCTTTTCGTATACCTTCCGGAGTTAAAAAACAATTCCAGGGCGCTGTATTCGAAACAATAGCAGACAGCAAAATCCAAAATTAGTATGCAGCATCTACTGTCGTCGTATATGGCATACTCTGCTACGATCAGTGTGGCATTCGGTAGCTTCTTACAGTACGCAGTGGTGATCTAGTATTCGTCCTCTCTTGCTTTTACACCGCCTTCTTTCTTGATCTGATGTGGGGTGGAAAAAAAAAATGGCAGGAAGCACACCACTTTGACAGGTGGAAGGATAAATATATTATTGTGACAAAAGATCAAAACTGGAACAATATGGAAACATTGGCTCCATACGTAGATCCTTTGGTTTGTCTTCTGAAAGATACCCAATTGAACAAGGACAAATGCAAGTCGGACGAGTTGATTCGGCACATAAACAGCATAAATGACCACGAAATCAAAACTTTGTGTATACAATCGTTCGAGATTCTCAAAGATCTTGAGAGTATCGAGCTCAAAATCTATAACTGGGAGTTTCAGACTTTGGAATTTAAGCTTTCTCAATCGTTGATTCTAGATGAAGAAGACCAAAGGAAGCGTACCTTCAATTCCAGGCTCGCTCGAAAAGTTGCTAGGAACTGTTTGGAATTACATAAAGTTTTGCAGCAGTTGGGAATAGAGATAGATGAGGTCAACGCAGGAGCACGGTTTATGACCCCCATGCAGCGGATCAGTGACCCCGGAACAATTTTAACCGAGTTGATGTTGAGAGTGATGAAATTGAGATCCAGCTTAATTGACCAGGTGTCGATTCATTACTCGAAGGCAAAATTGGTGAACATAGGAATAGATCTCGAAAACCTTATTTACGAAGAGGAAGACCGTAAGTTTGGCGACATAACAGAAGAAACAGTCATCAACTACAAACTCTTTATCAACAATTTGCTCCAACAGATCAATGACTGCATCAGCACAGGTGACACAATAGGAGCTATGGAATGTATCTCTATTGTTACAGAAGTGGAAAAGATGTTTGAGACCATGAAATTAGACAGACTCGCACGTCAACGAGAAAAAGTTTTGTCGTTGCCTGAATTTAGCTCGGATGAGCTGGGAGTAAGACCGGATTCTCCAGCATCCTCCTCGATCACCATGTCTGAAACCTTATATGGTGATGATGAAAACCCAGAAAAGGCAGATTATATGAAACGAGCCAAAACCGAGAGGTTTCGTAGCTTCAGTGCTGCTCACAACTCTTCACTGCATAAGACTACTCTCACAGAGAAGCTTCCCTTACTGATGCATGCATTTGAGGAAGCCAGATCCATTGAAGAAGACATCAGAGGAGTTATGGAGGCTTCTGAAATGAAAGTCACCGACAGAAAGCTAAAGGAATCATCACCGCGCTCCACGGCATTTCTACCAAGCTCTTCATTCACGGAAGAACCTAGCACGAAATTTTCTCTCTACCGCTCGCTCAACAATCCATTGCTAAACGCATTGATGAGCCCCTCGCAGCCCGTTTACATTGAAGACCCATCGCATCGTTTTAAAACGCAAAAGCCCAAAGTTCCTGTCCATGCAAAGCCACAGTACGGCTCCCATTCAGCAGTTGTCACTGGCGCCGGGCAGGAAAAACTGTACCATGACATTAAAAATGTCATTGACTAGCATGACCTGCTGTTTTACATATTCCATTAAATCCCTTCATTCCCTTTAACTATTTACAGAAGCTTTGAGCTATAGTGGTATCGATTTCTCATACCCGTGTTCTTTTATAGCCTTGATGGCCCTTGTCACTGAAGAGCCAGCATTGTAATCATTGGAATCGTCCACTTTAGTCAAAAACGATCTGATGACTCTTGGATCGTTTTTAAGTGATCTGAGGATTTCACGCTGGACAGCACTAGAGGAGTCAAATAATATTACAAAATGAGAGCCCTGGAAATGTCTTTCGCCCGCTTTCTTGAAGATCTTGGGTAATGGCTTGAGCCCCAATCCGATCACTTCTCGAACGACACCGTTATTTCTAATGATCATCTTTCCCAACGTTGTAGCCAACCTATACGTTAGATATAAAGTTGTAATCAAACGTACTCTTTTGCCTCAACATGTGCAGCTAAAGGGTTAGCCACCCTCGCAATAGCGGCTAACTCGTAAAGCATTTTTGTTCAATATTTGGTTTTACCTAAAAAAATTTCGACTACATATCGTTCTTATATAGCATCCTTACACAGTCTGTCAAAGGTGTAGAAAACACAGATAGGAATTTAATTCGGGTTTCTTCGACTTCTAGCAGCATGTTTAATTGGCTCTTTGGTAAAAGGCTTACGCCTCAGGAGCAGATGAGAAGAAACCAAAGACAACTAGAGAGAACTCAGAGAGAACTAGAAAGGGAGAAGGTGAAGTTACAACAACAGGAAAAAAAGTTGATACAAGATATCAAAAAGTCTGCAAGGGCCAACCAAATGAAAGCTATCAAGGTCCAGGCCCGGGATTTGATAAGAACAAGAAAGCAGGTGGAAAAGTTTGATAAAATGAAAACACAACTACAAGCTATTTCCCTCAGACTACAAACTATGAGATCATCTAATCAAATGACTAGTTCCATGAAAGATGCAGCCCGTCTGCTAAACGGTATGAACGGTCAAATGAACATTCAAGGGTTATCTAGAATAACCATGGAATTTCAGAAATCTTTGGACATAATGGATCAAAAACAAGAGATGGTAGACGACGTGATGGATGACCTTATGGACGACGAGATTGATGTGGACGATGAAGAGGAAATTGACGAGGTTGTCGGCAAAGTTTTGGACGAAATGGGTATTGACCTTAACACAAAGCTCTCGGATAGTGTACCCGACGGCATTGGGCATGCGTCTGCAGAGGCTATTACCGGGTCCAAGAATCAAGCAATGGCTGTCGGTGCTGATGGTGGGCTTGATGATGACTTGCAAGCAAGACTGAATGAGCTTAAGAGGTGAGATCCTTTGAGCTGAGAAACTCTCTTGCGGCCCAGTCTGTTAACGTGTTCCTTTCTATGCTTCGTAATAAAAACCATGCTGATCTCGCTGCTGGAGCAGCTCTTTGTTGACTACTTATGGCGACATGTTGCTGTCTCCAGGATTGGCACCCAGAGGCCTCAATTTACGGCAGCTCGGGTGAAGAGGTGACAGCTTATCAATATGCTTGGGATAAATCCTTTCATGTGATCAATGTGAAGTCGGTTATGCTGTAGAAACTTCACCGAATTCATATTCAGTCTACTTCAACTGGAAGTCTTATACTAACTCGAAGCAAATCGAATGAAATGAGTGTATAATTCAGGCAGCTTCTTGATATTTGGCCAGACATAAGGTTTTCCGAAGAGTCCTGAATATGTGAGCATCAGACCATACTATCGTTATTTAGCAGGGAATTTGTGTGAACACTAGTCTGTCGGCCATCATAGTCCTGATTTTGTCTTTTTCGACGGACATGAGTTCTACGCACACTAACAGTTTCAACAGTGCTGACGCTACAATTTGGTAGCTGAAGAATGACTCTCGATGGCCAATATTCAACAAATCTCTATAATTCACGAATTCACAGTTTGGTGCAAAAGCGTGACATCCCCTGATTTTTGCCCAGAGTTTTTTGCCTGAAGATGTTTTCCAAAAGGGTTCTGGGAAGCACTGTTCACTTTAGCTTTTGTGGGCTGATTCTTTTAGTGCAACGCTGTTTCATACAAGTGGGCAGCCGATTTTGTACTAACGTGTGGATCAATCAAACAAAATTCGTGCCGCAGGCAAACCGCGAGATTTTTCCGGTCACCGTAGAAATTGTCTGCTCCAAAATTGCCAATACTCCCCCACCCCCCGCATGCGGTAAGTTTGTATGCGGCGTGCAGAGAAAAATATTATTAAAAAAATAAATAGAAAAGACTTCTCGGTGTATTGACCTACTTTGGCATAAACGCAGTGCTCTACCACGGAAGAATTCTTTCATTACATTCCAGCAGCCGCTTTTTCTGGATACAAGGCTTTTGGTATTCAAGATACCATAATTTGTACGTGAAAAAGCCGACTCTTGGAAGAAGACCACTTTGGCCATGCCATCATCGTTGTCTGACAGCGACTCGTCAAGTTCTACTGGGTCGAAGACAAATAAATTTTTCAAGAAGCTGTCAAGTAAGACCTTCAATAAGCACCATGAACAGGATGATCACCTACCAAAGAATAACGGTCAGGCCGATCATTCTAAGTCCAAGGACAAATCGCATAATCTTTTGCGACATTTAAAGCCGAGTCACTCACATGTCGTGGAAGCTCCTCAACGACGTAGTTCATCTGAGAGCTATGGACCGAAGGGCAAATTGGCGAAATCGAATACGAGTCTGGGCCATTCTATTATATCAAAGTCAAACAAGAATATGAATGATCTTTTGGGCACCTCCGGCAACGTTATTGCTTCACCAAGAGATGCAACAGTTCCCAGACCGACTGCTAAATTGGGACTTCCATCTGTGGATGAATATAAACCAAACAAACCCCAGAAACTTGAGTACAATCCTTTCGGAATCAACAACAGTGGTCTTCAATTTAGCACTTCGTCGTCTCAATCGAAAAAGTCTCGCACCTTTGATGCGGTTGATGACGATACAAATGTGCTACCATACCCTGTGGATATGCCCAATGATCACCTTCCTGATGAATTCAAATTGGAACATCAAGTTTTATTTGATGAGTATCAGTTTCCGAAGGACGAGCCGGGCAATATAGGAACAGGAGCTTCCTCATCAGTTAGAAAAATCCATAAAATCAACAAGCCCAAAGAAGTGTATGCATTGAAGAAATTTGTGTTATTCAAGGGTGAAACACCTAGCGAGTTTTACCAGCGTGCTTCTAAAGAATACATCATTCATAGAAACCTCTTTAATGGGCTCCATATCGTGAAATGCTATGCTCTTATCAGAATCCCTCATCAGCAAAATCTTACAAGAGGGTGGGGTTTTGTTCTTGAGCTGTGTAAAGCAGACCTTTTTACAGTCATGACCTCCCCTAACTGGTCCCTCACGACACCCGCAGAGAAATTGTGTCTGTTCAAACAAACGGCTTACGGAATCAAGTATATGCATGAATGTGACATTGTCCACCGAGATATCAAACCGGAGAACATTTTGTTGACTGCTAACGGTTGTATTAAACTCACAGATTTTGGTGTTTCTGATTATGGACACCAGATTCCTGGTGATTTCAGCTCGGACATCAAATATAGTACACAGCTAGTTGGTTCGCCTCCTTACCAACCTCCAGAGGTTGAAGCATTGCACGATGTACCTGTATCCAAAAGAGCTCCTTATAACCCTTTCAAGATGGATCATTGGGGATTAGGGTTGCTCCTCTTCGTTCTCTTCTATGGTGGTACGCCGTTTGCAGAAAGCTCGAGGAAAACTTGTCCACAGTATAGAGATTACGAAATCTCGTACTCTCAGCTGTGTTCCAAAAATCCTTCCTTCAGAAAGAATGATTATACCAAATGCCCTGCTATCGAGTCTCGATTTGCCAAACGGTTTTCTGACCCAGGTGTTGCTAGAATTGCTTGGCGTCTAGCAGACCCTCAAGCAGCCACCAGATACACTCTTTATGACCTTTTCAATGATCCAACCTTCCAACAAGCTGAAATGTGCATTGATGAAAATGAATATGAATGCAATTTTTTCCATCACCCAGACTCGAACTTCAAAGGCAAGTTCGAGTACGGCCACAATAGCTCTTCGGCATCCTCCCTTGATTCGTCACATTCTGTCTCCCATTCAACCGCATTGGTTCCCAAAAGTTCTTCCAATATGAGCTCCCTGGCTTCTGCTAGGTCCAGAGCGTCAACTATTCAATCGGTGGCTCATACCTCGAGTATGCTTGATGTAGGCAAGCCCAAAAAACCTGTCTCATCCATGGTGGATATAGCTGTGGCTAATGGAATGCCAAAACACGAGGACTTCGAAGAACGAAAGCAAAATTCATCTTGTACATCTTTGAGTTCTCCTGAATCTCCTTTAACCATCTCTGTTCATTCAAAGTACGATGGAGAAAAGCCAAATATTGGCGCACTTTCACTTAATGATCCAGCAAACGCGCAGGATGAGAAGTTTGATGGTAGCGATGATAGCCAACAAGAAGCTACCCCTCAAACAGAAAATTCACCAGGTCTGAAGTCTACAGGAATGTCCAGAGCAGCGTCCGTGGTGACTCTTGATTCTCTGTGTACCATAGATGGGCCACATCCAATCAAACTTCAAGATAACGAAATTTTCAAGGTTATACCTTCTGAGGTGATATGCAAATGCGGAGGGACCAAAAAAAACCATAATCATTTCCATAACAAATAGATTGCTTGAAGTAACTTAAAAGCGTTTATTAAAATCAAATTATAAACTGGCGATGGAAAACGTGTGTAGTCGTTGAAACGCAAATGTAGGAACATAAACATGGATGTAAATGCAAACTCGAAATCGTAATGTCAATCAATTTCAAAGAAAATGTGAACCACACTCATGAGCAATGATCTACTTCTTTCTTTTGACGGAAAAAGGTTTGAGAAGTTCAAATGAGCACATGAGTTTTTTGTTGACGTTCATCACAGCACCCCAATTGTCAAACTCACCACAATAGTTTGGTGCCGAAAAAATGGTAACGAGTTTCCGTTTGGAGTAAAATTCGTAACCTTCTTCAACCACCATGTGGCCTCTTGCAACCAAATCAAACTGGAAATGGTCGCAAAATTTCTGAACAACCTTTTTGCTGAAACAGTATGAAACGCCTCGATCGTTTTCACACCAGTCTCCACTCAAGGAAATAGAAGCCTTTGAAGAACCTTGTGTAGGGTCTTGTGGATCAGACCACAAAAGGTCTGCTAGTAGACCAGACTCGGGAACGTCTGTAGGTCGTTGAATATTCTTAATTTGATTCAAATCCGTCAACTGAGGGGACAATCCCCCATGAACACAGAAAATACGATCTGCAATCGTAGCGGCAACTGGAAGGGTGTTGAAAACATCAACGAGATTCTTCCAGACTTTCAAGTTCGCCCTACGTTTGCACTCGTCGTAAAAGCCATACATTTTGGTGATGTTCGCACTTTCGTGATTTCCTCTCAACATGAAGAAATTCTCCGGATACTTGATCTTCAAACACAAAAGAAGAATGATGGTTTCCAGGGACTGCTTACCTCTGTCAACGTAGTCTCCTAAAAACAAATAATTGGCATTTGGCGGGAAACCACATAGCTTGAAAATTCGAATCAGATCGTTGAATTGGCCATGTATATCTCCCACAATTTTCACAGGAGCAGCGAGTTCCAACAAGGTTGGCTGCCTCATGAAAACGTCTCTCGCTTTAGCACATATGACTTTTATCTCCGCACCAGAGACCATGAATTTCTTGGGAGATCTTTTGGCCAATCCCGCTTCAACTAACCTTTCAATGACTCCGTCAATATTCATTGCAGCAGACGCAGGCTTCCTTGTGACGGAACCACTGTTGCATTTGGAGGCATCCTTGGCTAAAAAAAAGTGAGCCAGGCTTTCAGCAGCATCCGAAGACGTTGAAATCTTGGAAGACTTTAGATCCGGAGTGGATTCTTTGCTCTGCTCTGCTATTGGATAGAGATTCGTTTCCTTTGAGTGTGGTGGAGTTGTGGTAGAACTAATCGAAGAGGAAGAACCATTTGTGAAGCATGAATCTGTGTTGCTGTCAAAAGAAGAGCACACCTCCTCAGTAACATCCCTTAATGGGGACCTCGATATGTTCAACGTTTGTGCCATGGAAGCGGCGATTTCTAGCCCGTAGGAATTGTCATCTTCAGCACAAGGTCGTTTAGAAATCGTCCAAGTAGATACGTCGTTTTCATCATCAAATGGGGATACTAGCGTAGTGATTCCACCATCGTTAATGTCATCAGTAGCTGTGGCCGTCGTATGCGTTTGGATAAGTTGACCATTATTGTCGTTATTGGTATTAATATTGTGTTTGCTGCTGCGCAGCTCGTTCGTTAAATGTGTCTTGTCAGGTCGCGGCTTACGCGACGGGTCTGGATCATCCGGAGATGAGCCGCTGGTTGTCACAGAAGAGGTTGAACTGCCATCTTTACTGGGCGAATTTCCCATATTCTTCAATAGAAGGTATACAGAAGATGTCGATTTAATACTCGAGGTTCAGAAATTGCTTCTTTGTAGTGCTATGCAAAATAGAGGCTATGATAGTGGGCGGCGATTACAGAATAAAGTATAATCTGACAACGCCTTCGAAAGTAATAAGTTCAAAAAAATAATCCAGTCTGGACTACCAAGGCGTTGTGCGGACCTTCATTTTGTGGGTGGTGCACGCAACACGCTTTTCAATTTGACAGATTATCATCACCATAGTAAAATATATATCCAAGTCACGTGACTGGGTCACTGTGGTATCTCAAAAACCAGCTTTCCTATGGTCTTGCGACCTTCAAATTCGCGAGCCGCATCAACGTACTTCTCCAATGGATAAGTCCTGCTTATGTAGATTTTGAGCTCACCAGAGTCAATCAAATGGAAAAGCTGTTTCGTATATTTTTCGAATTCTTCATGCTCTGTAATGTAGCCATACAAAGTGGGCCTGACTACCTTTAAATTTTTCGCAGTTAATCTGCTGAGCTGAAGAGGTGGGACTGGGCCGGAAGCATTTCCAAATGAGACAAACGTTCCCTTTCTTCCAATCACTGCTAGTGACAATTCCGCTGTATCACGCCCGACCGAGTCAAATGATGCTGCCACACCCTTCCCACCGGTTATGTCTAAAATCTTTTCCACCTGCTGTTCATGTGTGGTGTTGGAGGAATTGATCAGGTATTCGGCGCCTGCTTCTTGTGCCAACTTGAGCTTCTCATCGGTCGACGCATACGCAATAACATGAGCTTTCTTGAGCTTCGAAAGAAGCTGACAAAGAAGAAGGCCAACTCCTCCAGCTGCTGCCGTAACCAAGATGTAGTCATTTCTCTGCACGTCGTATGCTTCATATATAAAAGTCAACGCTGTCAAACCTTGAAGTAATGCACCTGCAACTAACTTCAATTTTTCATCACTTGCATCGGATGGAAGACGCAATATGTTCCCTGTTGCTGGAAACCTCGTGTACTGCGCAAACGTGGCAGTCGAAAGATATCCAACCTTCTCTCCAACTTTCAAATTGTCCACCTTGGAACCCACTTTGACTATTTCACCTGTGGCCTCACGGCCCAAAATGTGAGGCTTTTCAATAGGATATAGTCCTGTCCTGAAATACGTTTCAATATAATTTAGTCCGGCATACCTGTTTTTTATCAACACATCTCCTTCCCCAATTTCAGGGACAAGAACATCGTCATATTTTATTACGTCAAGATCACCGTTTTCTTCGAAGAAAACGGCCTTCTGGGTCTTTGGGATAGTCATTTCTTTGAAGGAATTGCAATTAGAATTGTCAGCGAATTTCAATTGTGGCTAGAGTTATATATGCGAGCACAGAGCAATATATATAGCTGTCCTTGATGTTGTCCTTGCAGCTAAATTAGTAATATTAAATTGTGGCTTCAACATCGCCCCAAGAAAAAAAAAGAACTCCGATGCGGGGAGTCGAACCCCGGTCTGCCCGGTGAGAGCGGACTGTGATAGCCGTTACACTACATCGGATAATGTTGGTATTAATGAATACTGTGTCAACACATAGAGCTAGCAAAGATGATACCTGATGATAATATGAATAGAGCTGCACGCTGCAGTTGACCGAAGATACCAAACATAGAAAAGAGCTTTGGAAGCCAAGTGGATAAAAGCAATTTGCCTCAACAAAGAAGTTTTTTGTACCTGGTTGAAATAAATTCTCGGCGTTCAAGATAGGACTATTTAAAGGCTAATCATAAGTTTTTGCAAAGAATTACTCAATACAGCCGAATCTTATCCCCTTAACACGCTTCGAAGAAACTCGAATTCTTGATTCACTATTGACTTTATCTTGACTTCATGATTAATTAGAAAAAAGAAATGTTTGAGTGAATGTATCACAGTAGTCAGTTAATTAGTACAGATTTCAATTTTGGATGAGATTTGAAGAAAAGTTACCGCTTTCGGTGACATGAATTGTATATATTAAGTAAAGGGATTTCAATAAAAGCCGTCTGAGATGGTTATCATATACTAGAATAAACAGGATTGTGTCAACAAACTGCAGTGTACTTATTGTTCAGCACTTCAGCTTGGTAGCAAAGTTCATCGAACCTCTGACAAAAATAAAGCACATATTTCACATTGAGGTGAAAAAAAGAAAACTCCGATGCGGGGAGTCGAACCCCGGTCTGCCCGGTGAGAGCGGACTGTGATAGCCGTTACACTACATCGGATATTTACATTTGTTTTGGGTATTAGAGCATTGCAAGCTGTTTTCAGCTAGAACACAAATATATGCGAAAAATATGTGATATACAGTGCATCGTTGTGAGGTGAAGAAATATTTAAAGCGGACAAAAAGTCTACTGATAAGTGAGAGTTAGTTGCAGTTAGCTGCATTGATATAGTATACGGTTCTCTTTGAAATGGATATGAAGTTTCGGATTGGGTCAAATGCAACGATTGGCGCTATGTTCCCGAAGATAATCTCTGAGTCCCGATCCTTTTATTCGTTTACTATTGAGAGCCAGTCATTGTCGCTGAATTACTGTTACCAATGCTAACGCGAATGCTTTTACTGGTTCGCTTACGTACATAGCTTACCTCCGTAAGTTCCTGAGAGCTATAAATTTTGCGTTTTCGAGCACGATATGGATATATTTTACATGACTTGTCTCCACTAAGCGAATCAACAAAGACACTGCGATGATCGATGTTGAATTATAAAGTGGAATTTCTGTCTTCTTTCGGCCATTTTTGCAATATTTAGACTGAGGTTCACTAGTATCGCTGGTAATCCGAAAGTTAAAGATATGTAATAAAGGAAAGATTTTTTTTCCTTGTAGATTTAATTTTGAACGTTGGTAAATTGTTTATCACACATCTTCAATCATGTCCATAATCACATTTGTTACAGGAAATGCGAAGAAACTAGAGGAGGTAATTGCCATTCTCTCAGATGGGCACCCCGAATCTGTTGATGGTGGCTCAAAGGTGGGTAAATACATTATAAAAAACGAAAAGCTGGATCTAGATGAAATTCAGGGATCTATTGAGGAAGTCACTATACATAAAGCTAAGCAAGCAGCCAAATTATTGGGGGCTCCGGTTTTAGTGGAGGATACTTGTTTGGGATTCAACGCTCTGAACAACCTTCCTGGACCTTATATTAAGTGGTTCCATCAAGAATTGGGACTAGAGGGACTGAACAGGCTTCTATATGGATTTGAGGATAAGTCAGCCAATGCGATTACAACTTTCGGTTACTGTGAGGGCCCTGATGCTGACGTGAAGCTATTTCAGGGTGTCACTACTGGAGAAATTGTTCCCTCTAGGGGCCCTCAGGATTTTGGTTTTGATTCCATTTTCGAGCCTCATGGAATGGGAAAAACATATGCTGAGCTACGTGGTGCTCAAAAAAATAGAATCAGTCACAGATTCAAGGCCCTAGCGAAGCTGAAAAAGTTCTTACTTAGCCAGTAAGCTAGAAAATTGATCTCTAGTGACATGAAGTAGAATGAGCGTGTTCGTTAAACTTGATTCGGGTCATTATTTAAGAAGGATGTGCGCGACCATATTCTTAGCGAAATAACAAACCGAAAGCATCAAAATAGCGGTAATCACGTACTGGGCACTGTTCTTTATCTGATAGGTCACACTTGTTTGAAGCTTTGCCATGTTGTGCGCTTCAATCTCTTTTATAATCCTACCTGTCATCTCAAAGATGTACTTTGACTCCTCAATTATTTCCCTTTTGATATCCTCCGACAAGTTGTTTCTTGTTTGCAACTCATAGTCTCTTTTGTAGACAGCTCTCAATTCCTCAGTATCAGGCACATCAATCGTGAAGAAATTTGTACCTCTCTTCAAAGCATCATCACGGGATTTGCCTTTGACCTTTGGAAACAATCTGAGTGATTTCATCACTTGTGAGTTCAGGATTTTGACACCTGCAAACAATGCCAAATACATCACATGCATATACGCCAAAAGAAGGTAAGGCTTTTCTTTGGTGCTTTCGAGAATGTATTGCGCGTACTCGATTTGAAGGGGCAGGACGGGATTCTCAAACTTCTGTGGTTGTCCTTCGTAGAAGTACATCAGATCTTTGCGGAGAGGCTCTGTTCTGCAAAGAACAGGCTTGTAAATATCTTTGATGATCTGAGAATATTCATGATCTTTTTCCATCTCACGTTCAAGAGCAATCTCAATATGGTGGAAGATATGATAAAAGGCCTGCAGCCCCTGTCTGTAGACCCTTTGGTTTCTCAATGCAATAGCAAATTTCATTGTCACAAACGAGTCGATCTGATCATGGATTTGTCTCGTTTCAGCATTGATTCTGTTTCCCAATGCCCCCAAGTCATCTTTAGCTGGAATGCTGAATTCCTTACGCTGTTGGTTTGACAAAGCACTGCGCATCTTTGTATTTGCTAGTTAATTGAAATCAAAAAGGAGGGGCTTCAGTGTCTTTATATAGAACCATGGCTATCACTCAAAAAGTTTTCTGCCAAAATCCGCCCTTATTCTGTGCGGACATAAAGGTCAGAATATAGTCCGAAATAATTTGATCTCTTTCAATTATTGGAAACAAGCAAAGCTTAACGTGTCTTCACTTGATAGCTTGTTATCCTGGAGTCACAAAAGAAAGGCCACTGATGAGTGTCACTTAATCTCTTGAAGTCTGCTGCTTGGCTGAGTTCTCAAACTCATGTTTATATATGATTATATATTTCGGGGTTATAAACTTGACAGAAAGTAGGCAGATTCTGCCAGACCGTACAACGCGTGCGAAATCAGTATTTGAGCTTCGCGTTTGGATTGTATCCTGCACTCGTTACAACCCAGCTCCCTGCTCCCTGGTTACCAGTGGATATATACTCATTGAAAGGTTGACCATACGTAATCAAGACTGAGCTTCATCCTGTTCTCATAGTTATTGTCTCCCATCATATATAGTTTTCACCAGTTGGCTGTCTATTTCATATGAGTCTGCTTTGAGGGTGCAGTGTTGTATTTATTTGTGTGTGATAGCCTCAAGTAAGTAGAAAGGGTCTGCTTTATTTGCTCTCTCATCATGCAGTCCAGAGGGCTTCCTGACTCTCACTCTGTTCAAGCTAAATCAGCTATTCTAAATCTTCCCAGGTGTAGAGGTGCACAATTGCTTCACGATCTTTTTCAAAATATCTATTACGACCTTGTATAGTTGAGCCCTTTCTAACTATTTACATTATTACATGATGAGCTCTGACTTAAGAGAATTCGATGCACCGAATTTCAAGAATTCTACGTTTAGACTGGATAGACCTTCCTCATACCTTCTCAACAAAGCCAGACGAGATGAGATTAATGGCTACTCAAACCTAAAGAAGTCGATGTCTTCCTCGACAATTTACATTGGAAAGCTTTCATTTAATACAACGGAAGAACAACTGTTTGAGCTATTTAGCAGTTGTGGCCCAATTGTGAAAATCATCATGGGGCTAGATAAACACAAGCTAACTCCTACAGGATTCTGTTTTATCATATTCGACACACCAAGTGGAGCATTGAATGCAATTAAGTACCTCAATAAAACAAAGGTCAACGGCCGTTCTATGGAGATAGATTTAGACCCGGGATTCGAAGAAGGACGGCAATTTGGTAGAGGTGCTGACGGCGGACAGAGACAACCACAACAGCAATATGGACATCGCTACGAGCATGGCCGAAGAGATGCTTTCGATAGAAACGGGAGAAGCGGATATAGAAATTTTAGGGGAAGAGCGAGAGGCAGGAATTCTTACAGAGAAAGACAAAGACATCACACTATCTCTCAGAACCGTGAAAACTATCAACCACCTCAACATCAGGATTCTCAAAGATGTGATGACCGCCAACCCGAAGTGCCTCCTCATTTGATGGGTGAGGATTTTGCCTCGGATGTATCCAATCAAGAGCTTCCACCTCATTTACGATGAACTCAAGCTCTATATCGATTTCTCTAGTTACTAAAAAATCCGGGTAATTTGAAGACCCTAAATTTTTCGAGCGAACTTATCCTTGTCATGTTAACTTTGTTTTATTTTACGACTTATAAGGTAATCCCAATTGACTGGTTCCTGCTTTGATATTGTAAGAAGAAAACACTACATCAAAGCTTGCTTATTGGGATTCGTTCCTTATACATCAGGGTGAAAATTGATTTTTAAAGCATACCCATCACCATGACCACAAACCTAGATTCGAAACAACTTGAACAATTGAAAGAAGCCGAGAAATTGGCATTTGAACATCAGAACTTTTTTGAGCAAATTCTTGACACAACAATCTCTATATGCTTAGGAACTCCATGTAATGAGTTTCGACTCCAGTATCAATGCTTGAGCTTTATTCACAAGGCTTTTTACGAGAAAAAAATCGATTCTTTCGAATTAAGAAGCCAACAGTCCGTCAAAGTAATTCAGCTTCTCGATTACTTGATAATTCGTAACGAAGAGAGGTCTCCAAACTACTTGATCATACAGAAGTGTATTGATATTCTCAACGCTACATACGACCTTATTTTTTTGCAGATGGTTCAAAATCCGAATGAAGACGATTGGGAACGCCTGTCTAACGTCAAAGACTATCTACTTTCTCAGTGGCCCTCTTCATATCCATTACAGCCATATAACCCAGAAACTGACCTCTCCAGATCAATCGCATGCAAAACTTCCCTGATCAAGCTAATTGGGAGAATCATTCAAGTTCAACTTCCAGCATCTCCCTCTATTACTGATATCGAGCATGATATCTCGGTCTCCATGATTAAAACAAGCCATCCGTTTCTCTTGAATTCAAATTTGTCATCGCAAGCACAAAACCTACTGGACAATTTTTTTACAGTTTTGAATGATGATGTTTTGCTTCCAACTGGATTGTTCACCACAATCATGTCCACAATGATGACGTTATTCAAAGCAAGACCCAAATTCCTCTCAAATAAATTTATCATGTTTATTTTAGCCTACGAGTCGCAATTGAAGATTGAACCACGATTCGAACGAGAGGAGAAGCTTAAAATGAAACTAACCAAGAGATTTAATGACAGAGTTGACAAATGCTTAATTTCCATACTTTTGAACAAGGGTTTCTTGGCAAAAGACCCGGGTCTGAGAACTAGATTTGAGAACAAGTTCAACTACTTGGTGGACAAGGCACGAGACCAAAGACAAAAGGGAATATTGAATGTTGATGACGATGATGATCTTGAGGTGAAAGAGATCAAAAGACAAAAGGTTGAGGCTATACAGAGAAACAATATGCTGTTTTACAACGAGTCCAGAATTGCTAGATCCCATGATTATAAGTCTATATACAATCTTATCAAACCAAATGATCAGTTGACTGAATTTGATATGTCAACTATCCCAACAGATGTGCTAGTCTCAATGGTTATTACAGCCTTACAAAAGATAAGTGTCGCTAAGCTAGTCAAAGGTCTGACAATCGTCTCTGATAGATATAAAGATATTACCACAAATACGGATAGCGCTTTTCAGGGAATATATGTCCCGTCTACGAATGAAGGGTCTTTGAAAAGAAAGCGCACCGATGATGACGAATTTGGTATACGTACGCGGATGAAGACAGACACTGGAAATGATATTTCAAACGAGATTGATGACGCATATAATGATGATGAATTGAAGGGAGACTTTTTGGTTCCAGTACCTAAGGAGTTTTCTTTTAACAGCAAGAAAGAGCAATTAGCGCTTATTGTTAGAAACTTCATTAAGCAATCAGCTCCTAAGATCAAGCAAAATAACTCCACCTCAGATCAGTCGATACAACACAATGCACTCGATAAGCTTGCAATATCGATTTGGAATGAAGAGTCTTGGGTTAAAGTCCTTTCCCGACTTGCGACACGAGGACTAGCTAATGATGAGCTATCTGATTGTATGAGGAAATCCGTTTTCAACTATTTCAAAGACGATATGAGGAATAGAATTGATGGAGTCATTGAATGGCTGAATGAAGAATACTATTCTGAGATACGTGATACAACAGGTGTACAGCCACAGAAAGACGGTCATTATATGACATACTGCGCGTTCACTTTGGATAATCTGATTCCATTCTTGGACTCGAGTGACAGAAAAGTTTTCATCAGATTGATGAGCGAGCTACCATACCTGGACAAAAGTCTTATTTCAAAACTTCGATCTTTGTGTAAAGATCCTGTAAGATCCAAACTCGGTTTTCAGTCTTTATTATATCTCATTATGTTCAGGCCACCCGTATTACCCGATTGTTTGGGGCTCCTCACAGACATGCTCAATGACGCAAGCAGCGATGACGCACTGAAGAAAGAATGTTCAACTTATCTCAAGAAATATAGTCCTCAATAATAGAAAAACGAAATACCGATACAAATGAGATAGCTAAATTAAACCCTGTTTTTTCAACTGGTCATAGACTTTTTTACTCATAACATTACCCTCTTCATCTTCAACTTCAACACCATCATCTCTGTATTGTGCAGCATTCCTCTTTTTTCTCTCCAAATAGTTGGAGAGCTTGAGGACGTCGTCAATTTTATTCAAGTCTCGAAATGCATTATATTCCCCCATAATGCCAAGCATTTTCAGTCCATGCAAATGCCTTGGCTCTATGAAATGATTGCTAAACACTTCTTTACCCTTGAATTTAGCGTTCCCACAGATTTCGCATGTGAACACCATGTCGAAACCTTTGAGTTTCCACAGCCACAATGGCATCGGTTTTCCATCCGGACCGATTGGCAAAGTTTCATCATTGCCGTAATGATGAAAATCTCCTTGGTCATCACTATTGTACTCAGTATGAAGATCAGCAAGAGTTTCATATTCGTAATCAGAAAGATTCCTTGCATCATTAGTTTCAAGCTCCTTTTCTCTCAAACTTAAAGAAGAATACCTCTCAACTTCTTTTTTTGTGTTTTCAAGCTCCTTGTTGAGACGTTTGATAATTTCAAGCACCATGTACTCGTTCAAAGCAGTCTGATAAGTCTCGGGTCTTGATAATGACTTTTTATGCTTTTTACCGTTCAAATGAGAATTGAATACAGACAATTTAGCAAAATCTTTCTTGCAAATCAGGCAATGAACACTATCTCTGTCAATCAAAGCGGACGAAAAAGACTTCTTGACTTGATCGATGTCATCTTCAGGCCTACTCAAAGGACGAGTTTTAATATAAAAACTTGACAGATACTCGACCAGGTTCTTTATGTAGGTCTTATATTGAATAGAGTCCTTATCATAGGTTTTGCAATCAAACTTGGCAAGCTCTGAAAGGTAGTCCACATATGATGGCAAAGTTCCCTCATATGAAGATTGCTTTTTCGGCAAATTTAACCATTCCTTGAAATTCTCGCTCAAATCCAAAGTTTTACCTAGGGCCTCTTTAGGGCTGAATATTGACGATAGTTTAAGATCCCTGGCATAGACGCTCAATATTCTTCTTTTGTTGGGCTTTTCACCTTTGTCACCCGACATGAAAGCATATTTATCTAGTTCTTCTTTCTCGATATCATTAACATTCAATCCTAAATGTAGCAATCGATCATGTTTCTTTGAGAGAAGCTTATAACTGTCATCAAATCCACTCAAGCATTCCCAGTGATCTTGATAAGGTAATAGCGATTTTAATCTTCGCAATTGAAATCTTCTCCTGTCCAAGAAATGTCTTATTTCAAGTCTCAGTAATACTGTTTTAGCCAATAATTCCACGCGAGAAGATGGAATATCTGATGACCTAAGTTGCGAATGCTGATACAGTTCAGGATACTTACAGAATCGAGTTGAGATGGCATCTTCCATCCGGTCTAAATCCTCCAATATTGCTCTTTTTTCTTCCAAGGACATAATACAAAGTAAGACTTATTTACGGGCTGTGTATCTCAGATTTTGTAAGTTTTTTTCTACATCATTTCTATATCTCTTGATGGTCACAGCGTACGTACTAAACCCATGATGTTATCTATCATCTAACGCAAGAAAGTGTACTTTTTGTCCAAAATGCCACACCAACAACGATTACTACATTCCACGATCTTATATCCAATGAATTGCCGCAATCACTCGGCCCTTGGAATTTTGAACTAAAGATATTTCTGAATAACAAATTTTCTAGGCCTGCGAACTTCGAACCGAACCAGATAGCCAATAGATACCTCTACACTCTTCAATTGTCATATTACAGCAACCAAACGATTAGTATAATTAATAATTCGAAATCTATCGTCACAAGGATTCCGAATAGCAGCACACTTTTCGATGATATTGTAAACTATGAAAACATAGCACTTATAGAGCACATCAAAAATGGATGCGCCAACAATATGGGAACAACGACAGAGAATTTTGAGAGACTTGTAACGAGAAAGCTTGCCAGCCTTTGGACGGTAAAGCAAACAATCAAAGGAGAAGGAGGATATGGCTACGTAATTTCCGTGCCTGGTTTGAATGAAGATGGTCAAAATGAAAAATTCAGTCTGAGAACCAGTAATTGCTTCTTGCATGGATTATTCAAGGGATTTCTTATCGAGATAGAACATCTTGATGATGAAATTCAGCAAGACGATAATTTGGAGCGTAACGGTTTAATTGTTAAATTTACGAACAGCATTAACAAGATCAAAAGTTTGATAGATTTGTACAAGTTTCCGGAAGGCAACTTATGCTTCAACGTCCTGAACGAGACCAAACTGGACTATCTAAGCGACTTGTGTCAGCAATATTGCGACGCGTTGCAGTTTTAACTATAGTGATATGAATATATTGAAGCTCTGTTGCCTATGCGTGTGACTTTTTCAAGTGAGCTCTTTCGCGTTCAACCCTTATTCTGACTGCTAATTTGCTTTGTTCGTACGTAAAACTTTTCTCTTCTTCCGTGAAGCATTTGGAGGAGCGCATACCGACTACAGGAAAAAGTGTGTCCAGAGAGTCATCGCTTCCCGTTTCTGATGTCCCAGATGATATCAGAGTGTCCGATGAATCCGATTCTTGTGTACTTTCGGAGTACACATTATCAAGTTTCATAATTGACATGGATGGCTTAGCACGTAATGTATTGCGATTGGTGGATTTCAGCGGCTGAGCGATTTGCAGGTTGACTACAGACCTATGAGTTTTGAAACCCCTCGGTCTGCAAGCATTTGATAGTGGAACCCTCGTACTTCGAAGCACCTGTTCTTTCGACTTCAAAGTTGCCTTATAGATTCTTTCCACCTGTATGTGGAATGCAAGTTTCTGAACATACAATTTAATGATCTTTGCTCTATCATTCTTATTGAAATTCTTTTCATTGGAGCAAGTTCTTTGCGCATATATGATCTCCCTCGCAATATCTATCTTAACTTGTTGGCTGATATTGTGTTCCTTGTATATATCAGACTTGTTGACCAGCACATCAATGTAGTCTTTGTCCGAAGAGTTGGCTTTCAAAATCGTAAAGTGGAAGTCTGGAGCCATAAATTCAGGCAGCTCTGGAAACTCTTTAGGATTATCGCTTAGAATCAAATATGACCTAAATTTGTTCTTGCAATAGTCAATTAGAATTCGATAAGGGTCGTCAAGGAGGATCTTCTTGAACGATTGGATGTTATAAACTGAGTCCAATTTGTCGTTGATAATCACATCAGGATGAAGCGGTGCATCGGGTTTTGAAAGCCAGTCAAATGAAAGCTTTCCTGAGTCCGAAATTTTGATAAAAGGCGCAAAGTTATACACCTTCAGTCTCTCAAACATATACATCAATGACTTGATCTGAAGATCAACAGAATCTTCGTCTTCACCCCCCTGGTATCTTGGAACATTGACCGCTACCTCATTTCTAGACCACAAGTATCTCCACATCATTGCGAACACACTAGACCACAAATTCTAGCTTGGTGTAAATAAACTATAGATTCCATCTGTCTGTTTGCTTCTTGTAGCATTTGAGCTCAAAAATACCATTTTAGGAAAATTATCAATAAAGCTCTTCGATCCATAACAATACATCGCCAAAAAAAAGGTCAAAGGTATTAAATTGCCCCCTAGTCAGAGAAGAGTTTACTTGGCTTCTACTGTGACTCCGCCGTGGACTGAATCAATTCCAATTCGGTAGCGCTAGAAAAAATGCGGCTTCAAAGCTCTTTTTGAATTTGGGATGGTTATTCAAGACTTGGGTTGCGTCAAAATCGGGGATCAAGAGTACTTTTAATCACCAGTAAAGTCAAGATATCATGGTTTTTTTTGAACATACCGAAACGCACTGGCTGAGGTGAATCGAAGTCCTCAAAAGTTTTCGCCATATACAGACAGACAGGTATATAAAGTATTAATGACCCTATTCGTGTTAACACCATACAAGGCGTGCCTTGTCAGCGTCCTCAAGCTTTCAATGAAAAAAAGGAATTGTTGCTTTTTCTATTTAAAGTATGCCAAACATGTGAACGTGAATATGGTGTATGGGTGCATTACCATGGGTTGCACTCATCACATACAGCAATATATTGATAAATCATATGGTTGAAGACCAACCTACAGTCATAAAGTTCGGCGATGAGACTATGAATATCCAGATGAGAGACGTTCCCAAGCTATGAAGTCACTCGAAATATTCATGGTGAGATTAATTTTTTCGAAAATTCCACGGACTTCTAAAAAGCAATGATTGAATATAAAGGTAAAATTATATCTCCCTATAGCAAATCAAGCTACAATTCTTATCCTCTGAAACTAGTCATTTTTTACCCAATTGATACCAATGGTGAAAGGTAATGTTATAGTGGTCTCAAATAGAATTCCAGTCACTATTAAGAAGACTGAAGATGATGAGAATGGGAATCCAAAATACGATTATACTATGTCCTCAGGCGGATTGGTGACCGCATTACAAGGGCTTAAGAATCCTTTTCGATGGTTTGGATGGCCTGGAATGTCTGTTGATAGCGAACCGGGAAGAGAAACTGTTGAGCGAGATCTGAAAGAAAAGTTCAATTGTTATCCTATTTGGTTGAGTGACGAAATTGCAGACTTACACTATAATGGTTTCAGCAATTCTATACTCTGGCCATTGTTCCATTATCACCCTGGAGAGATGAACTTTGATGAAATCGCATGGGCCGCTTACCTGGAAGCCAACAAACTATTTTGTCAAACAATCTTAAAAGAGATAAAAGATGGGGATGTCATCTGGGTTCATGATTATCACCTCATGCTCTTACCTTCATTGTTAAGAGAACAACTAAATAAAAAAGGATTACCAAATGTCAAGATTGGGTTTTTCCTTCACACCCCTTTTCCTTCTAGCGAGATTTACAGGATTCTTCCTGTGAGAAAAGAAATACTCGAGGGAGTTCTAAGTTGTGACTTGATAGGTTTCCACACCTATGATTATGTCCGTCATTTTCTCAGTTCCGTTGAAAGGATATTGAAATTGCGAACGAGTCCACAGGGTGTTGTCTACAATGACAGACAAGTGACTGTCAGTGCTTATCCGATTGGCATTGACGTTGACAAATTCCTGAATGGTCTTAGGACTGACGAGGTCAAAAGCAGAATAAAACAACTGGAATCAAAATTTGGCCAAGATTGTAAGCTCATTGTTGGGGTGGACAGGTTGGATTATATCAAAGGTGTACCTCAAAAACTTCACGCATTTGAGATCTTTCTGGAAAGACATCCTGAGTGGATTGGGAAAGTCGTCTTGATACAAGTTGCAGTTCCCTCAAGAGGGGACGTTGAAGAGTATCAGTCTCTGAGAGCAGCTGTTAATGAACTAGTGGGAAGAATCAATGGTAGATTCGGTACGGTCGAATTTGTTCCAATCCACTTTCTTCATAAAAGCGTGAACTTCCAAGAGTTGATATCTGTTTATGCTGCTAGTGATGTTTGTGTGGTGTCATCGACGCGTGATGGAATGAATTTGGTTAGTTACGAGTACATTGCTTGTCAACAAGAGCGAAAGGGCTCTTTAGTTCTAAGTGAATTTGCAGGAGCTGCTCAGTCCTTGAACGGAGCTCTCGTAGTGAATCCCTGGAATACAGAAGAACTTAGCGAAGCCATTTATGAAGGCTTGATCATGAGTGAAGAGAAGAGGATGGGCAATTTTCAGAAGATGTTCAAGTACATTGAGAAGTATACTGCAAGTTACTGGGGAGAGAATTTTGTGAAGGAGTTGACAAGAGTTTGATTGAGCCGATTTGCAGGATATTTTGAAACGCTCAACTTGTACTTGAAGAGTTTTATATTATACATGTTATACATCAAATAGGATAAAAATAAAGTAGATGAACTTAAAGTATTATTTTGTTGGGCTGCTAAAATTTAACTGATAACGATTTATCAGACTGAATTGATTTGATCCAATTGAGCTGGAGGGCGTGTTAAATTTGGCTTACCGAATCATTTCATCAATCGTTAGCATGGGGCAGCTTCTTTCGCAACCGATCACAGAGAAAAATATTACACTTGTCCAGCACGATCATATTTCGCATTCAATTGGGGAAATGCAAGGATATAGGCTGACAATGGAAGACGCGTTCTGTGATTTGAACGAAAGAATATTTGTGACCAAAGAGGGGCTTGACTTCAGACGACAAGAGGAGGATAAAAAATGTGATCTAGAATCTGTTCAAATTAACATCTACGGTGTTTTTGACGGACATGGCGGCTCAGGGGCATCCAGATATGTTAGTCAGAAATTGCCGTCGGTTCTAAGAGACGAACTTATACGGACAATCAATGATCTGCCTCAGGTATCCAGGTCCAGGCTTTTGAATTGCAAAGAAGTATTAGAGACAATTGATTTTCCTCGACTTCTACGATCATCATTCATGAAATGTGACTCTATGTTTTATAGACATCACGATAACAATAGTGGAACAACAGCAGTGGTGCTAGTTATCTTTTGTGGTTATGCATTTGTTGCCAATTCTGGTGACTCAAGGTGTATTCTAAGTCAAAACGGAGCTACAAAAACGTTGTCTTTTGATCATAAGCCGCGAAATCTGGGCGAACTGATGCGAATCCATAGCGACGGAGGTTACGTTTCCACCAACAGAGTGAATTCAATTCTAGCTTTGAGTCGAGCATTCGGAGACTTTGGTTTCAAAATACATAATGAAAACAATTACTCCAGACAATTAATGTTCAGAACAGCCAAACACAAGTATACCCCTCCTGAAGAATACCAGGTAACTGCAGAGCCTGATATTCTTATACATAAGATCACCCAACCTGATGAGTTTTTTATTCTTGCTTGCGATGGAATATGGGATTGCTACAAGTCTCATGAACTAGTACGTTTGGTTAGGCATCATCTTTCACTGGGGAGAAAGTTACCTGAAATCAACGAGATAATTCTTGATAATTGTATCAAGATGGCCAATACAATAACTGGCATCGGATTCGACAATATGACATTGATCATCGTTGCCTTGCATCAAGATTACAGAGATTTGAACAACTGGTATACACGAATGAAATACAAAATTTTGGACGAGCGTTTTGGACCGTCTGGGCATTGACGACAAAGGACCACATTTTTTGAATATAGCTGTATGTACTAACTCATGTCGATCATTCTATTTTTGCATCGCTGTATGACTTGTCAGTTGCTTCCTTAATCAACTGAATTACCTCTTTCATTTTCTCCTCACCTTCACTGATACCGAATGTTTGCAGAAATTTCAGTTCTCCTTTCATCCACTTCTTTAGGCACTTAGCACGCTGCACCTCACCAAGCCGTGAAATTGGCATTTGATTGGGTTCATAAAAAGCAACGATATCGAGTATAAGCCCGAATTGATTCAGTAATTTGCTGACAATCAACGGCACCAGCGAACTCAAGTGATTTGTTGGGCGTCCCGTTTCAATCGTCGCAACAACGTAGTCACCAGCTTTGAATACACAGCTTCTTGTAGGGCGAGATTTTGATGTCATAAGTATGGAACCAACGAGTGCATTAATTGATTCTTCTATGTCAATCGCAAAGTACTGCATTCCCAAAACCTCAAAAGTCTCTTCAATTTTTCCCAAGTAGAAAAGTAGCTGCATTTCAACGACATTTCCATTATCTAGAGTCTTTTCAATATTGTGTAAAAAGCCAAGATCGCCCGTTCTCATATAGTCCAAATCTTTGTTCCAATTTTCAATTTTGGCTTTCAGTCTAGAATCATCAAACTTTCCTTGCTGCGTTATTGTCACATTTGAGACTGTCGACTCAGAGCAAACCCAAACTTCTCCAAACTCTCCAACCTTGCACATCTTGGATGTCTCAGGATTGACCACCGCTAACTGTGTGTTCACAGGAACTATGCCCGAATCCTGCAAATGAATTGCATACGGTGAATCGCTAGGATTGACCAATGACACATATCCTTGAGTCAATGCGAGAGGGTCGACCCATAAATCAACAGGAGCAAAAGACAGATATGATCTCAGTGTTATCATAGGATTGAGATCGTGCTGGTACACATTGGACACAGCGAAAGGCGATAAATCTGTCAGCTGCATATGGTTCAAAAAGTCATTTAATAGTTTTCCGGATGGACGGGCGTCCCACCCAATCATTAGGTTTTTCAAAGACGAGAGATCGCACTTTTTTGGGGCAGGATTCTCGATGGCATAAGCTATCATCTTTTCTGTGACAAACACGTTTTCCACTTTATAACGATCCAGGCTCAAAAAAAATTTGGAAGGGTTCAATGAATAATCTAAAGGCGATATCAGATATGTCGTGGTTCCCAAATAGACACCAAGCATCATCGACTGAAGAAACCCAAGCCCTGAACAGTGTCTCACGCAAGCGCATAAAGGTCCCGTGCTATTTATTTGGCATGTTTCTTTGAGAATTTTACACATGGCCATCAAATTCGAGTGTCGTAATTTCGTTCCTTTATACTGGTGATCCTCGGTCCAAGAGATCCACACGAGACATTCGTTTTTCTTGATTCGTGGTCTTGATCTATACTGTTCCATCTTTTGATACATCATCTTTGAGCTGTTAGAGTATTTAGTATGTTTAGTAGTATTTCGAAACTTTGGAATAATGATCCTCTGTTGGATTGAAAGGGTTTTGAGCTTAGAGTTCACTGGCTTGTTTTTCAGTAATGTTTCCGTATCATTGTTCACAAATATTGCCTGTACATTGAAATCCCTAATGATTTTTACAAGTGAAAACGTGTCTTCGTCAAGGCGAGTCACATCCAATGGGGGCAAAAGAATGGGCACTAACCCTCCAAACCAGCAAGCATATAGACACATAATTACTTCCTCAGATAATGGGTACATCAGTATAACACAGTCACTGGATTTGAGATTTTGCTTTTCAAGGATGTAAGAACAAACTGCAAATACTTTCATTTCCACTTTTTTCCAGGACAAGGATTTGCTTTCTTTGGCACTTTGTCTATCAATGATCCCATATGCCATCTCATCAGCTTGTCTTGAAGCTCTTATTTTGAACAGCTCAAGTATTGATTTATATTCTGTTAGCTCCAAATTTGTTCGATCATCCACACATTTTTCTCTCAGATCCAGACCTGAATACTGGAGATCTGTGTAGTTGAGAGCCTCTACCCTAGAATTGGAAGAATATCGAGACCAAACTCCACCCACTATGTCTTCTCCGTGGGGTATTGCACTCAGCGAATTCGATAGATTGAACTTCACATAAACGGATGGAATTTTTCCCTCCATAAACCGCCGCTTGCAAAGCATGTTGGCAATCTCTGGTCTACCACTCCGTGGAGTTCTTGGAAGTGAGTTTGGCGCACACAAAAGGATACAATGCAAGCGGACATTTTGCATCCGCTCGAGAATTTGAAATGCCTTTGAAGCCATCTCATCCAAAGCTGGATAGTTCAATCGATCTCCAGATTGTGTCGTTACTGCTGCAGGTAACATTTGAGCAGATGGGGACTCGATAATCATAATAGGCACGTGTTCACGACTTATCGTGATGTTAAAAAATGAGCAGTCCGAAACCTCATTCATGTTTCTGACTAGCGTCTTTACCAGATGACCTGCATAGTGATACCTATATTGATTCAATGGTTGTTCAAATGTGTGGTTACCATCTTTTTTTTTCTGCTGCAAATACTGATCGTACCATGTTACCTTTTGACTAATTCTATCTTCATAGAGGCCCAAAACGTAAACTTTGCCATTATACGTGAATCCGAGTAATCCCGTTCTAACGAATTTTAGGTTGAGGATTCCTTCATAATCTGAGCACTCTGCTTGAAAAATAGTTTGGGTAGCATCTGCAAGGCTCCAGAATCCCCCGGAGATACAGTGTGAGTCCACCCAAATTTCTCCAACTTCCATGTTACCACTAAGAAACCGAGTCTCAGGATTTACAATTGCAAGCGTGGCATCAGGCAGGGGGTATCCAAATGCACCTACTCTAATGTACTTGGAAGACTCACTGTTGTCCATGAGAGTGGAAACTGGAGGAGGTCTATCGCTCACAACCTTAACAGTGTTTGAGGTCAGTGAAGCTTTGTCAATCAAAAGCTCCGATAATTTGTTATTTTCATCATTCTCATCTTCATCTTCGTAAGCATCACTAGGCAAATCATCTGCCATCGGACTGCGGAATGTGCATCCCAGATTCTCCTCCTTTCCTATCCAGTCCCTCATTGATATAATCATCCCTCCATGTTCATTAAGGGCTAGAATAGGTGCGATAATTTGGCGCGGTGACTTATGTCCTAGCGGACGAAACCATCTATTCACAAGCATATCATTAAATTCACAGTCCACGATAACTGTGTCTATCAGGCACCACTTAACGCATGAGAGATCAACTTTAACTTTCTTGTTGAAAGTCCGGGTCATTTGGGGAAAAGACTGATAATTGTAGGCAACTTGTTTCAAGCTCAAATAATCGGAAAGCATAACTGAAACTCTATACTTTGATATCACATGAGCCAGTAAGCCTGCAACTTCTGTTAATCGCTGCGGCATCCAAAGTAGAGTATTTCCAGTGAAGACCGTAAATAATACTGAAACAATCAGGCCGACCGAGTCACGAGCATCTAAGGTGCTCAAAAGGAAATTATTAGAACTCGAATATCTGATATCTGATCTCACGAATTCTTGTGCTTCCATGGTAGGCTTGCTCGTAAGAATTGACAATATCGAGCTCATTTGGTGCATTATAGTCCTATGAGATATGACAACACCTCTGAGCTCACCAAATGAGCTTTTGGTGTATTGAATATAGGCGAGATCACTGATTTTCATAGCTGGAGGATCTTCATCTTTTGCAGCCAGTCCCATATCCGTTGTTTTCCAGATGTCCATGCCTTTGGGCCAAATAGTAAGTTTCGGTCCGTTTGACTGCCTCTCAAAATGTTTGTGGACGGAATCAGACATTAAACAAAGATGAGACTGGGTGTCAGTCATGATTTTGACTAGCTCCTTTACCGACAGACCACTATTCATTGGAACAGCCACGGTACCAGATAAAAAGCAAGCATACACAGCAATGACTAGCTCTATGACTTCAATATTCTGATAAATTAGACAAACTCGATCACCCGGATATAGAGCTGCTTTGTTTTTGATCTTTTGTGCTATTTTTTCAGCTCTCAAATACAGCCTTTCCCAAGATATGGACTGCGATTCTTTGCCCTTAGCATCTACAATGACTATTGCAGCTTCCCTTTTGTAAATTGAGCCTCTATGTCTCAGAATGCTAGGCAGATTATTGAATTTTTGCTCAAGCACTTCGTCAACATCTCTTGGATCTAGGGGTTTCTGTAGTTCTTTTGGTATGTCGAATTGCAGGCGATAACTCAATGAGGGTTCCAAGTATGGAAATTGCTCGTCCTCATACGTCAAGGGCTGATTTAGACTTTCATTATGGTCAACGGGAAAATATTTGCTATCAGCTAAATTGAATTCAAATTCGCGAATTTCTGAAGGAACAGGAATAGAAGTGGAAGTCGTGTTGCTCAATGTAGTTGCTGTTTTCGATAATGGGGATGTTGGTAAAGCCGTGGGTCTGGGAGATATAGATTGAAGAATTTGTAATCTTTTATTTATGTAACCTTTTTCGGTAAGATAACCTTCTTGATATTCATTAATGAGTTTAAGTAATTGGTCCTCCAATACCTGGGAGCAATTCCTTGGAATTGTGAAATCCATCTTTTAGTTGGTTACCTACCTCTAGATAGTCCATTCAGAGCTGCAACTGTACTAATTTAGTCAATTTCCAGTCAGACCAGAAAGTAGCTATTTTTGTCTTATGATGATGAGTTTCCGGTGTATTTGGTTGAAATAAGAAAGAAACAATTCCGAGTTTCAATCACCAGATACAAAGTCAGCCCAATCAAATATTGTTGAGAGCTTTTTTTGGAGAAGAGATCCTCGATATACTATACTGACCTATTTATTTTTGAAAGGAACAAACTAATTTATTGATGAATAATTTATCGCGTAAAGATTGGTATTAGAAAAATCATGGATTTATTTTCTCGGGAATTAAAATACTAATATACCTGAGCTTAATTCCAAATTCGATAATATGGTCAATTTGCATTGTTTGGCAGATGTTTGCCTGGTGCCTGTAAGTGTGATACAACTTTAGAAAATCTGAATTTTACTGACCACACAGATCGGGACGGCAAACTCTTCAGTTTCAGATTTTATTGTTGCCGTTGAGAAGGTAATCCAAGCAAGCGGTTTGAAAAGCACGTTGCACAGTGCAGGAACAACAATTGAGGGCGAATGGTCTGAGGTCATGGATCTAATAGGCAAGCTACATGAGACAGTTCACAAGATGGGGGTTGCGAGAATTCAAAGTGATATTCGTGTTGGAACTAGGACGGACAAAATACAAACAGCGGAGGAAAAAGTTTTGGTTGTGGAGCAGAAACTCAAATTGCAACACTAGGTAGACCTTATCGAGTGTATTTAATGCGACCTTTAAAAGTAGAAGTGGAATTTTTAAATATTACCGATAACAACAGATTTCAGAATAACGTAATCATCCACCCCATACTTGGAACCTTCCCTTCCAAATCCTGACCAGCCAATACCACCAAATGGAAGAGCGGCTTCCGTCATGGCTCCGGTATTGGCACCGACCATACCACTGTTAAGCTGCTCGCTCACTCTGAATACTTTTGCGTAGTCCTTCGAGAAGAAATAACCCGCAAGACCATATTCAGTATCGTTAGCAAGATCGATAACTTCCTCTTCAGTGCTGAACTTGATCAATGGAACTAATGGCCCAAACGTCTCCTCGTTTGTCACTACCGCGTTCAAGGGAACATCAGTCAAAACAGTAAGCTGATGAAAGTTAGCACCCAAAGATTTTTCAATTTTCCCACCAATAATTATCTTGGCTCCTTTGCTAACAGCATCTTCAATATGTGATCTGACCTTTGCGACAGCTCTTTGATGAATTAGAGGCCCATGCGTTGTTCCTGCTTCCAGTCCGTGACCCAGCTTGAGCTGAGCAACTGCACCAGCTAGTTTTTTTGCAAAAGTCTCATAGATTCCCTCTTGAACATAAAGTCGGTTAGCACAAACACATGTTTGACCAGATTGTCTCAATTTGCATGCGATGGCACCCTGCACGGCAAGGTCAACGTCTGCATCATCGAAGACAATAAATGGGGCATTTCCGCCCAATTCAAATGATAGCTTTTTAAGAGTGGAAGCAGATTGGGTCATCAGAATTTTACCAACACCGGTTGAACCCGTAAAAGAAATTTTCTTCAACAACGGAGACTCGCAGAACATCTGTCCAACAGTCTTGGTCCTTTCTTGATCGACTGGAATGATACTCACAACACCTTTAGGGAACCCGGCTTTCTCAATGAGAACTGCTATGGCCAAAGCCGAAAGCGGAGTTTCGGTGGCAGGCTTGATAACAGCTGTACATCCCGCAGCAAAAGCTGCTCCTAGTTTTCTTGTGATCATCGCAATTGGAAAATTCCATGGTGTTAAAATACCAACAGGTCCAATTGGTTGCTTGTAGGTGATTATCCGTCTGCTAGGGTCTGCGGAAGGTATATTATCACCGTTTATTCTTGGAGCTTCCTCCGAGAACCACTCGAAAAAGGATGAGGCATACCTCAGCTCCCCCAAGGAATCAGCATAGGGTTTTCCATTTTCTAGGGTGCAAATCTTGGCAAGATCTTCACCATTCTCAATCATCAAATCGTAGAGTTTTCGGAGCAACAAACTTCTTTGCCTGCCGGTAGTTCTCCTGAACTCTTTAAATGCGATATCGGCGTCCCGAATGGCTTGCTCCACAACTCTGATAGGCGTATTAGATACCTTCAGCAAATGATCGTTGGTGGCCGGGTCTTCAACAGAAAACGTTTCGTCACTGAATTGATGCCACTGGCCCCCAATGTAAGCACCCGTCTTGATCAGTCCTGCATTCTTGATGCCAAACTTTTGAGCCAGTTGATCGATGTCGGCTTGTGACGACATCCTATTTATGAAAAAGTGCTAAAAAAAATCTAGCTTGTATATATATATATATATGTTGCCCGTGGATGAGAAGTACGATCCCAGTATGAATTTAGGCGCACTTTGAAGCTTTATTCGCCCTTCCTAATCGGTGCTTGCGATTGCACTGCCTTTATTAAACCATTTCAATATGGCAATTTAGTTCAGAAATAAGTGGCATTATCGTCCCTAGCGGCAACTACCTAAAAAATATAGCCGCTAGGGTTTGCGTCCCAAAATACTTTGAGTGATACACATATAGGATACGAGGACCCGGAGATAAATTATCGTCCGTTCTAATGTAATACAGTAGTTGGATAGAGAGCTACTCACTGCGTGACAATTATCGGCAAAATTATTCTTTTAGGATAGTGCTGACGAATATACATTATTTGAGTTCGATAATATTCATAATCACACTGATCCTAGCTTTCCAATATTGTTCGTGTCTAAGCTTCTCAGTGCATGGCTAGAGTGACACATTTACTGCGAGTCGCTTCGGCTGAAATGGAGTTCGCTATTGACTAATTTCCAGATTTGATGAATGCATGCAATTTTATTGTCCTCTATTTAAACTACTGTTTGAAGTCTGATTTCGATGTATTTTTGACTCTACTATTTCCAGTGAGAACCTCAAGTTCTTTTGTGCTAGTAGCTGTCTAGTACAATTAGCAAAACTATGAAATGAGGCTTGGTTTTTGAAGAGTTTTTCTGCTACAGATGTAACATGGCCGCACTTGAAACAAAAGCTGCTGGCTAAAACCTATGGATTGAATACACGCACCATCTATATAATTTGTTTGTCTATAATCAATCGCGGAGGCTTCCCAAAACGGCAATTCTGAAAATTTTCCGCCCGTGGTTAGGAACTCTGTCTGACACACTACGACTCATTTTCTTCAGGGTGTACAACAACCTATATATATATTTCATCGTTACTTGAAAATTTTCAGTAACTAGTTATCTTTTAGTGTTTCACTCACTGTGTCAAAACAAAAGGATGTCAAAAGGAAAGGTTTGTTTAGCATATTCTGGAGGTTTAGATACATCTGTGATCCTTGCATGGCTTTTAGAGCAGGGTTATGAAGTGATCGCTTTCATGGCGAACATTGGCCAGGAGGAGGACTTCGCAGCTGCCGAAAAAAAAGCTCTTGCAATTGGCGCATCCAAGTATGTCCTGGTTGACGTCAGAAAAGAATTTGTTGAAGAAGTGTTGTTTCCAGCTGTGCAAGTCAATGCTGTTTATGAAAATGTTTACCTGTTGGGGACGTCGTTGGCCAGACCTGTTATCGCCAAAGCTCAAATTGAAGTAGCGGAAAAGGAAGGTTGTTTTGCTGTTTCCCATGGATGTACAGGCAAGGGAAATGACCAGGTTAGATTTGAGTTGTCTTTCTATGCTTTAAAGCCTGATGTGAAAGTTATTGCACCTTGGAGAGATCCATCTTTCTTTGAAAGATTTGCGGGAAGAAAAGATCTACTCGATTACGCTGCTCAGAAGGGAATTCCCGTCACCCAAACCAAAGCCAAGCCTTGGTCTACGGATGAAAATATGGCACATATCTCTTTTGAAGCTGGTATTCTCGAGGATCCAGATACAACGCCACCTAAAGATATGTGGAAGTTGACAGTTGATCCTACCGATGCTCCTGATGAGCCAGAAGACTTTATTGTCGAGTTTGAAAAAGGAATTCCCAAGAAACTCATTCTATCTGATGGAAAGGAAGTGACGGAACCCGTCACTTTATTCATCACCGCCAATGCTATTGGTAGAAGAAACGGTGTTGGCAGAATCGACATTGTCGAAAACAGATTTATCGGTATAAAGTCTAGAGGTTGCTATGAAACACCAGGCTTGACTCTTTTGAGATCAGCACACATTGATTTGGAAGGTTTAACTCTTGATAGGGAGGTTAGAAGTATTAGAGATACATTTGTCACGCCGACATACTCAAAATTGCTTTACAATGGAATGTATTTCACGCCAGAGTGTGAATATGTCAGATCTATGATTCAGCCTTCCCAAAACACTGTCAATGGGCTTGTCAGAGCTAGGTGTTACAAAGGGTCTGTAATTATTTTGGGCAGATCATCATCCACCGAAAAGCTTTACGATGCTACTGAATCTTCCATGGATGAACTTACTGGATTCCAACCTCAAGATGCTTCTGGATTCATTGCCGTTCAGTCTATCAGGATTAAGAAATACGGGGAGAAAGCCAGAGAAGATGGTAAAACCTTAGGTTTGTAACATTGCACGTGAAGATAAGATGTGTAATGGGCAACAATTTGTCGACTTGCAGAGGATCTTTATATTTGTATCTGTCGCTTTTAGTTCGTGTCAGCAAATTTCTTTCGTAAATTTCAGCGACCGAAAACATTTTGCGGAATCGAATACTAAAAGGCACTCTCAGGTTACCTTAACAGGTTCACGTTGGTTACAAGAATAGCTTGCTTCTCAAATTATACAGCTACACCTTAGGTTTCCAACTTTGAGAAACAATTTAGTCATACATTTTTAGTCAGAGATTTATTTATTATATTGATCAATCTACGTCTACAATTTGCCCGTCAGCTAATTGATTGAAGGGAAAAACCAAAATTCGTACCTAATATCAATTCTTTGCGTTTCAAGATCATGTCAGAGCGAGGTCCAGATCAATGGTTTGAGGACATCAAAATTTGCAAAGCTCTTCCCGAGAATGATATGAAGCAACTATGCGAAAAAGTTAAAGATCTTTTGATGGAGGAGTCAAACATTCAACCTGTCAGATCTCCCGTTACTGTTTGTGGTGATATTCATGGTCAATTTCATGACCTTCTTGAATTGTTCAAAATTGCAGGAGGCTTTCCTTCTCAATCTGGCCTTAGCACCAATTATATCTTCCTGGGGGATTACGTTGATAGAGGATACTTCTCACTTGAAACGTTCACATTGTTAATGATTCTCAAAGTCAAATTTCCACAACATATAACTCTGGTGAGAGGTAATCATGAATCGAGACAAATAACGCAAGTGTATGGATTTTATGAAGAATGTTTGAATAAATACGGCTCAACAATGGTGTGGAAATACTGCTGTCAAGTGTTCGATTTTCTTACTCTCAGTGCAATAATAGACGGCAAGATTCTTTGTATTCATGGCGGCCTTTCCCCCGAAATACGTATGCTAGACCAAATAAGAGTTCTAAGCAGGGCTCAGGAGGTGCCTCATGAGGGAGGATTTTGTGACATTGTTTGGTCAGATCCGGATAATGTGGATACCTGGGCTATTTCTCCAAGAGGGGCTGGATGGTTGTTTGGGGCAAAGGTAGCCAGAGAATTCAATCATATCAATAATTTACAGTTGATCGCGCGCGCTCACCAGCTAGTTATGGAAGGATTCAGATATCATTTCCCTGACAAAGACGTGGTGACTGTCTGGTCTGCACCAAACTACTGCTATCGATGTGGCAATGTTGCCAGTGTGATGAAAGTGGATGACAACTTGAACGTGAATTTTCAGATATTTAGTGCCGTTCCCGATGACACATTGAAAATCAATCCATCTAAGAACCAAAAAAATGGGAACGAATACTTCTTATGATTGCACTGGCCATAAAATGTTGACTAATATGAGCCTCATGTTGATGTTGACGTCTGAAGAACCGAATGATCAAGCTAGAAACTGTTTGTATCGTCGACAGCGCTGGCCTACATTTGACTACTTGATGTTTATGTATCTGTTCCTATGCTTCACCCCTATTCTGTACCTAAATCCAGCTGCTTTAGTTACAACGAAGTAACGACCAACTTTCTATATTGCCTTGTGTGAATAAAGGCTCAGTTCTTGCTTCGTATGCAAATCGTAGCTACCGATTATCCTTGTAGTAGTGACTTTCATATTTTTGAACTCAGTTCGATTATGTAATAAAGAATCTGCACAATTTTGTTGTAACAATATCTTGAAACATCATTAAATTTCGATTGTGATCGTTGCCTTAAGAGGTCTGGTGCTTTCTGTTGGTCATAACACACGAGTTTTGTGGGTTGTGACAAATAACTACGGGCTGTAATTTACAATCGATAACTTCACGCTGGGATGACAGTCCTAGCGGCGGCCGGAAAATCTGGCGAGCAATTTGAGGCATCCAAACACCCAGCAGATCCCACCTCTCTTGAAAGGGACTCCACTTTGTTTGCTCGATTGCCTTCTTCTGCTGACGTTGCATTTAGTGCTCGGCGACCTTCTCAGACTTCATGTATCTCCTCGAAAACCAAGACTCCTGTCAGATCACCATTATCTACACCCTTGATCAAAAGACTAGAGACGTTAGCTGTGTTTTTACATGGTAGTTCAATAGTTGTTCTCCCATTCTTATATTTTTACCTATGGTGTTATCCCTACATCTGGCCATTTCTCCTTATTTACACATTCAGGTTTTATTTATTCGACCGTACCCCCTCAAATGGCAATGCGCTCAACAGATACTCTAGATCAATGTCAAACTGGAGCTTGTATAAGCATTTTGCCCACTACTATCCAATTCGTCTTCATAGAAGCAAAGAACTAACCCCTACCAAAACATCAATAAAATGTGAATTAGAGCAGCTTAATATTCCGCCCGTTTTCGTATTTATCACCCCGAAATTTTTGTTGAATTCATTGCTCAGATGGCAACTGATAAAACTAACAAAGACAACCGTGAGAAAAGAGATGATTACAGGACCTCGATATATATTCGGCTATCATCCTCATGGCGTTATCGCTATGGGAGTTTTTGCTGCATTTGCGACTGAAGGTGCTGGGTTTTCAAGACTATTTCCAGGAATTCGGTGCTTTGTAACTACACTTGTAAACCAGTTTCAGCTTCCAATTTATCGTGACTACTTGATGAGCTTGGGCTGTACTGCTGTGACCAAGAAAAATATTTCATCTTTGCTGGACAAAGGAGACAGCGTGGTTATCGTTGTTGGTGGTGCGAGTGAGAGTTTACTTGCAAAACCACATTTGAATTCTATCGTATTGAAAAGACGAAAAGGTTTTGTCAAATTAGCATTACAGGCAAGTGGAAAATTTGGTGATGATGATATATGTTTGGTGCCAGTGTACGCATTTGGGGAAAACAACATTTACGAAGTATACTACACTAACGAGACGGAGGATACCAACTACAATAATGATGGCTATGTACGCCAGTTACTCAAATGGTTCCAGCTACGACTCAAAAAGAATTTTGGGTTTACCCTTCCTATAATAGTTTCTCGAGGGTTGCTAAACTATGATTTTGGTCTGCTTCCCCACAGACGCCCAATCCATATTGTAACCGGAGCACCGATAACAGTCAAAAGGTTCCATGGGAAAAAATATGGAGATGCAGTGTCCCCTGAAGAGATTGATTATTACCATAACTTATACGTGCAAGCTTTAAAAGACCTTTTTGCCACATACAAAGACAAATACCTTTCAGAAAATGATTGCGATTTGAATATTGTTGAATAGGTTGCCAGCAGATATCTCACTGACGCTATCTTGATTACAATATTTTGAAATTCTAAAGCAGCAAATCCTAATCAGCTTATGTATTTTCCAAAAAAGGTAACTTTATGAATACTTAGTAAATGACTGGTTTATTGTGTCTCAAAAACACTGTATCCTCAGCTGTATTTTATCGCTTCTTTTTTGTTAACTCTGGCCTTCAAACGACTTTTGCTCAATATTTATCATGGGACGTGAACGAGCTATGAGGCAGATGGTTTACTGGAGTAAGATGAATGGTAACAAAGATATCGCAGAAGACGAAGATACTGCTTTGGAAGAAAGAGATCTATACATGCAGAGGTTCTTTATTGTTCAGCTGTTCTATTGTATTCTCTATTCTGTGAAATAATAAGGTAGGTCGGACCGCTTATTCGATTAATCAGAGAACGAAGTGCATCTCAACTGAACGTATAAAGCTTTGCTTTCCCCCTTTTCGAATATAAAAAGACTTGTGGATATGAAGATTGGATATTTGCTGCTATTCCTGATGCAGACCTTCATAGCCGCAAAAAAAGTCTTCATTGACAATGATGGACTGGATGCCTTGCAACTCTTATATCCACTGTATGGGGGATATGAAATTGTGGGACTTTCAATGAGCTTCGGAAGCGTTTCAACCGTTGATGGGCTTGGGCAAGCTTATGATCTGTTGGCCAATTACAACCTTTCTTCATGTATACCCCTATACCTTGGTGCTGAAAAACCTCTGATGCAAACCAATGAGACGTTTCAGATTCACAATCAATTATTTGGTGCTCCTGTTTGGGAAGGAGCTTTTGCTTCCTCTTACCAAGATTCTTACAACTGGTCGGATTTCACGTATGAGAATGAGACTCCGGGTGCTTCAGCTTTAATAGAAGCTGTGAAAAGATACAAAGATACTGATCCCGTTTTGATCTTTGCAGCTGGAATGATGACAACAGTTGCGCAGGCCCTGAGTATATACCCGCGTCTTGCGGAAGAAGCTGCGGGCCTCTACATAATGGGAGGATATATTGATACGCAGTACGCCCAAGCCACCGGAAACGCATTGGAAGTTGATATCAATACAGACATAAACCTGATTCAGGATCCTGAAGGTGCTCAAATCACCCTCACGGCTCCCTGGAAAAAATTAGTTATCGGAGGCAATTTTACCAACTACATCACCCCTTCTCAAAAACTCTTTGACAGGATTATAGACAGAGCAGGTAACCTCAGCATGATTTACAATACACCCTATTTGAATCCCATTCAGACCTTGATATACGATGGAAACTATACGGAGATTCAATCTGAAGCACTTCCGTACTGGGATGATGCTGTCGCGGCCATCATCGGTTTTCCAAGCTTAGTACTGGATTCCATAGACGTCAAATGTGCAGTCGATACCGCCTTTTATTCTCCGTTTTACGGTAATTTAAGAATTTGGGGAAAAGACTTTGCACCCACCTCGGGAATCAGAATAGGAAATGGAACAATTATCAACGCTATTCAGGATGACCTATTATATGATTTGATGGTAGAAGTGCTTTTCACCGACTGGAGACAATACTGCCATACTGGTAACATCTTCCCTTTCGAAACACTATAGTAAGACCTTATATGGAGAATCCCATGGAGGCGTTTGGTTTATTTCCCAGGTCAACCACGAAAGCTCTTTCCGTGTCATTTAATGAGGATGTAATATAGACTAGGACCAGAGTGTAAACATTTTGATACAATTCTTTATGTTAATGTACAAACTAGAAATCAAGGATCCTTGATCCAAATTAGATAAGTATAGGACATCCAAAGAAGGTGTAACACCTTGCATTAGTCTCATACTTGAGTGTGATCACATCGTTGGCTATATGATACTAGAAACTCACTGATCGGTTCCTATATGCAACAGTCACGTCTGATAATGAATGACCAAACATCTCCTTGGTTGAGGTTTGAAACAGAGACGGATTTCCATACGAAGAACGGTGCTAATCACAGGCTGCAATACCTAATCGAGGGAGCTTTTGTCATACACAGTTCGCTGGTTTTGGGTCCGAAAGCTAACCAGACAATCTGATTTCAGCGTTTCTTTTTTTTCATCAGCTCCAAACCATATTTGACTAACTTACTGGTACACTCTGCTTAGGGAATTCGTTGTATTACCAATCATCCGTTATTCTGAAAGACAACTTTAGCACAGCATTTTGTGACAAAAGAGCCATCCTGTTTGAAATTTATAGCAACACTATTCACGGAATTAATACCTTGAAAGTCTCGGCTTAAGACAGATGATGAGGAAAAGCAGGGGATCAGCGGGTTTGCGATATACTCCTTCGCTGTGTATTTCATATTTATTAGCTAATCTCAACCTTTTTGGCGGAGTCACTCTCGTATACTTGACAAAAATCTCTTGTCATCCCACAGTTAGAATTATTAGAAGTCAGTAGCATTACCATACAAGCATGAAGATGTGGATGAGTGCGTATATCGTTGACAGTACTCTAATTGCACTCAAGGATTTTGTCAAATCAAATTCGCGAATATTAGTGGGATGACGTCCATCATGACTATCCTGTCAGAAGTCTTACGTACAATCCTACCAAAACCTCCGCTCTCAATTCGATCATAACCGATATGAAGTCGCTTAATAGAAAACCCGATATCACAGTCCGCTATGATTTTCATCACAGAATACAAACTTTAATAAGTAATTGATATTTCGTATCCCGAAGCTAGTGCTTACCCTTAGTGTCGAAAAGATTTTGTAATGCAAGTCATGCTTTTTGAATCCCATGTGGTCACGAGTATCACTCACCTAAATTTAGAGGTATCGCATAGTCTTTACTCATAGGATTCTATAAAATCCCAAACTTGGCTGATGATTATTTTATCACATGAATAGTAAGTACTCTGACGCACTCACGTGATCTATATCGGTAATATTAGGTAAATATTGAGCCTAAATTACGTAAACTGACATACTCTGCTAACTTCTATTTCTACACATGCGACAGAATATTTTCTGAGGTGATCTGAGCAACCTCAGCAAATACAAGTTGTTATGATCTGAGGATATATCGGTACAAGCTACTGGATACAATGGATCAATATTTCCAATATATGTTTGTTCTTGATGAACACTATAAAACCATAGCCAGATACATCAACTCTAGAGTAGTGGTTTTTTAAGGGAACCGACAGAAGTCACCAGTATCCCAGCCGCACGCAACTCCATCCCTGGATTATTGTCTAATGAGGTTTGGATCTACAGGTTTGGAGTCTTCAGCATCTTGAAAAGCTAATTATTTATAAACAATCGTTAGGTCCTGAAAACTTCACAGAGTACGTAGTCACTCAATCAACCTGAATATGAAAGAATTATGGAAGTGTTGGAGCTTCAATGAACTGCTATGTGCTGCCTTCATGAACTAAACTAACTACAACATAGCTTAATGATAGTGGTCATATGGTCACCGGACCGCGGATATTACATACTAGTGTAATTTTGATGATAGAGTAGTTTAGTTACTTGAAGTGAGATGTCATGCTGTCTGATTAGGTGATAAGAAACTTTAAAACTATCCGATCTCAGGCTCATGTGACATGCACTAGGTTACAATGTAATGTATCAACAGATTAATTAATATACATGAAAAGAAAAGCGGAAAACCCTCCTGATTATATCTGGGCAAGTAGAAGCCAAAGTATGTTTGGCCTGTGTAGAACTATTTCGTCACTGACGCCTGCCTCTCAATTTTATGACCTCTAAATGTTATGATCACATAACGATAGAATACAAACAAAATTCAATTGAGTGTTCATGATGAAAGTCTGTCGCACGCCCGCACCCCCCCCCCCCACTCATTGATGAACTCGGCTGAAATGTAGGGGAAGATCGCCGTGCCCGTGGTCACGTGGCCAATCACTACAACTGATTCCCTACACTCTAGCTTCAATTCACGTAGTTCTATATATTTAGTTTTTGAGTTTGTGCAGCACCGGGTCGTTAGATCTGATGAGTAAATGCTAGGCTCAAATTCGGTCAGCTGGATGATGTAGTCTCAGGGTGCTTTGAAAGTGGGTTAAAAAAAAAATAAACGAGGTCTGGCGACTCGGGTTTATTCAATCATATAATCGAACCATCTTGGTTCCAAATCTACGTATTTTTGAGCTTAACTTAATGGTAGAACAAAAAATTTGTGCTCAAAAGTTTGGCTTGAAATTTGGAGCGCGTGTATAATCAAACCAGCGACCTTTCAGCTCAGTATTCCCATCATAAAATAAAGATGTCTCATGTATGTTTCAAAGAAGTTAAATAGGGCTGATCTCACTATGTGATGATATTTGAAAGCTCAGTGTCGTGAATTTGCATCACCGCTTCACCATTTAGTTAACATCCGCCCGAAAGAACCATATTGAGGATGTTGAGATAAGATAGTCATAGATTATATCATGGCTGTGCGGCTTATCCTGATATGAAGGTTTGTCGGTCTTAGCGCATGCATCGCATGTGTATCAGATCCAGATGATACAGATCTGAAACACATATGACACTAACCAAATAATATATAAGGGTGTGTCATATCCCACTTATAAGTGGGGAACTAAGGTATACCAAAGATACTAACCATCTGATACATAGTCACACTATTAAAGGAAGAGCAATGACCGTAGACATTACACTTATCAAAACAAAGTTTCAACATTATCTGATGAGTAAGATTGATGGGAATTCTTCCCAATGAGCTTTTATTAATTATAGCCAGAATATCGTGTTTGCTGAAAAAGAACATTTGACGGCAGTCGAACACCATGTCTTATGGTATTTCCTGAGCAGCATCATACATTTTAACGCAGGATAAATGCATGACCACCCTCTAACAACATATCTAATCTATTCGAAATACTCCATATATGAATTGGGTTGAAGGCAAAAAAATCTGTTTATAATCTATATAGTTTTAATCATCCAAACCATCTAGCTTTTGCTTCCTTGAACACCAAGTAAACCTAGCGCTTCTTAAAACTTTATCTAAATCAGTCTAGCCACTATATTAGTGTTGGAATCAAGATTATCTTTAGTGCAAACGATAAATTGCAAAAAGGCAATTACCCATCTGCTATTTTATTCCTGTGAGTAGATATGGCGTATTTGGTATACTGTTATAGGTCAACTTTACAACCGTCTTTATTCGTGGCTTCGCTTCTTTACAAGTGGTTAGGCTGTTAGTGAATCTTGAGCAGCTAAATCTCCCTTCTTTTTTGAGCTTAGCCTATTTTATTTGTGTTTGTTAAAATAGATTAATTCAACTGACTCCCCTTACACCAGGCTGCGGACATTTTACATTTGAAACGTCAACACGTCTTTCTCTAACCCAATGCCAGTCTCAATATTTCAGCTTCTGACCTAATTGCAAACGTTCCTTTTACAAATTTATTATTCTGATTTTTTTATTTTTCCCACGTATTAAAAAAGTCCATTGAATGAGCAAGAGCACTAAAAGCAACTTTGACAAAATTTGACAGAGTCCACTACGATGTATGACTTGCTCATATGATCATTGATTGAATTGACTATAACCGCCTCTTCATTCAGAGAAAGGTAAGCGATAGAAACGGAATTTCCGATTTACGCTAATCCTGCTCAGAGCTATATTGCGAGCTTGAGTTTCATCCACATATTACACATATCAATATGTAGCAGACAGCTCGAGGATAAAGCAAAAAAACATTCTCAATAATCTAAAAAGGTCTAGCATCAGTCGCTTCGGAAATTCGCCTCAGACAGCTCCCACTCCCTTTGTATCCTTGGCCAACTCAGCAAAGTACGGGGTGCTACGTGACCATCTGTTTTACATCTAGCAATAGAATGGAAACTTAGAATAAATCGAGGGAATTGTCTTTTGAGACTCCGAAATCTTATCTTTGGTGCATACACAAAGATCACGTAGTAGCTCTACATTGAGCCTACGCAGGACTATTTGTAGTGTGAGTTTTGATAACAGTACGAAATTCAACACCCGAAAACAAATCGTGATTTTACCCGTAATCTTTGGGCCGCTCACCGTTCAACTCAGGATAGGATGCATGCTGCGCATCACAAGAAGCTGAGTGAAAAATTCGTAGCTCATGACCTCATTTTGGCAGCACACACTCCACGCCAATATTTGACACAATACTATTAGTGACAAGTATGCCAAGATTGTATATAAGACAGTAAACATCTTCAACATGTTTCTTCTGTATCTTGAGATCCT